CAAGAAAATAGTGTTTGAAATATTAGAGTGCAAAAATTGTACGACGATGATGCTGAACTTCTATTTTTCTCCCCATTTTTGGCGAAAAAAAACAGCCAGACAATTATATTATAACTTCCATGGCGACAGCCAAAAATGTTTAGTCGATCAGATTTTTTGGGGAGGAACATCTTCCAGGAAAAAAATAACAAAAGTACCTTCTGCAAAATTTTTGCAACAAAAATAATAATAATAATGAAAATAACATGAGGAAGTACTTGTGCAAAAATAAATCTACACTACAAATATTTTTGAGAATTGAAAATGGGAACTTTTTAAAGGAACATCTAAAGCTGGTTTGAATTTTATAATAGGCCAGAAATTCAAATCTAAATTTTCCTCTGCGTCACTAACACCGCTTCGAGACCACCCTAGAGAAACAAAGTTAAAGACGCACGTATGGGTCTCGCACCGAACACCGTACTCCGTTTTTTTCCAATTTTCAAAAAATCACCACGATCATCTTGTTATTATTTTTAGCCCCATCCAAATCTACAGTAACCTTGATAAATGATTCTCGGAACTTTCTAAGGTTCACGTCACTTTTTTTTCTCGCATGAAAACGGGTCCGTGACGTGTTGAGAACACTTTTGATCAGTTTTTTTGATTTTTTGTTTTTTCCCTATATGATCTTATGATCAGTTGAAGAGACTTTGATCATAGAACAGAATGAATTGAATGTGAGAGGAGAGAGAGAGAGAAATTGGTGATAAACTGGCATGGAAAATGAATGTATTTTTAAAGGAGAACCGGGTATCTCAAGTTCTTTCTTGATTAAAAAAAATATTGTGAAATTCTTCCAAAAAGCTACAATTTAAGAGGTCTGCACGATTTTTTGCTTCAAAACGAAATTCAGAATTTATTCTACATATTGAGAACCGCTTACAGTACTTTTGCCACGTCATAGCTTGAACGATGATTGTTCTTTCAACTCATAAAACTTTATTATTCAATTTTGCTTTTTTCCCTAGACAAAGTGCTTTTTTAGACATCGACAGCTGAATTTTTGATAAATCAATGGGGAAAATTCCAAAGATCGTGCAAAATTATTCACGTCAAAAATCATTTTCACATTGAACTCCTAGAATTCTATTGTCAATCCGAAAAAATAAGAACCTTGGAAGAGAACCGAAATGGCCTAGGAAACCAAGACTACAGTAGACTTCGCAAAATTTTGAAGTCTATTTGAAAAAAAAAATGCGAAATTTACACGTTGGCTATTTGCCAACCAGTTTGATGTGCATGTGTCACGTCATTTTTAGTCTACTGTATGTGACCGCCAATTCAAACAGGGGTTCTTTTATTTTCGGAATGACAATATCTAGATGAAAATTAAAAATGAAAAGGATTTTCCAATATTATACGGAAGCCAAAAGCAAAACGATCAGCGAAACAAAAAGTAATCAAATTAATCTCTCCAAAAGCATTCAAGTCTAAAGAATCTAAAGAACTCTGATCAAAATAACAAATGCAAAAACTCAATAATGTTAATCCTTTGTGGAGTGGAAACCAGAAAAACATGAATTTTTGGGGGGTAATTCGAGAGAAAGCGTGTACAAATTTTAGAAGAAAAAACTACAGAAATTTCTGATATTTTTCAAAAAGCAAAAAATCATCTTCGCCAAAACATCAAAAAACAGATCAATGCGACCAAGAATGAGTATATTATTTTGGTTATGTAATACAAGATTAACATTATCATAAATCTAGGCATAAGCCGCTAGAAGAAGTGTAATTTACTTTGATTTTTGAGGTTTGGCAGAGTTTTGGGGGATTCGGGAGAGCTCTACTACAAATATATGTACGTATTGAGAATATTTAGGTCTAGGTAAGGTCGTAACAAAAAAATTCCCTTAGGCTTAGCTGAGCCCTTAGGCTTAGCTGAGCCCTTAGGCTTAATTAAGAGCTTAGGCTTAGGCGTAGGCTTAGCTTAAACCTTAAGCTTTAAAGGTTCGTTAAGACCTTAAGCTTCTAATAACTTCTTGGCTCTCTAAATCCCATGCAGATTTCTACATTCCCACTGTATTTCGCAATTCCAGGAATATTTTTTCTATTTTTTTTATCCTGTGACTTAACGTGAAAAATGCAACATTCAAAAACTGAACGAAAAGAAAAGAAAAAAGATGAAAGAGAACAAAAGTTGATTTTTATCAACAAGTTTTGACAAATATTGAGAGAATTGTGACGTAGCAAACAAAAAAAAGCGAGAAAAAAGCCAAGAGATCACTAAAACATTTCTGGAAAAATTAGAAATATTCCAAAAAAAAATATTGATCATTGAACAAAAGCAGCTGCGTTTGCTTTTGCTTTTGCTTTTCACATCACTCGGCTCACTCACATAGGAGAAGAAGACATATAAAATGTACTCGAGAGCAAGAGGAGATCAAAATTATGAGGAATAAATAATGAAGTATGTTTTTTTGGTTTTTAAATAGAATTTTCTGGGGGGAGAGAGAGAAATAACATATGATTAAGTTAGAGAAAATTTTTTGAATAACTCAAAAAAAAATTGGAGAGGAGTTTAAGTTTTTTTAGAATCACACCCTTTCGCAACGACAACGACGAAATATTTGAGAGACGATTAGAGAAAAAACACTTGTCAATAGGGCGCACATGCGTTGCCAGCGCCTAATAACGTCTCGGGGAAAAAGTAGCAAATTTCGCTTTTTTTTAATTTTTAAAAACAATGTTGAAAAACTCACTTTTCCTCCAGTTTTCCTCGTTTGTGACATTCATTCAACTCAAATTCGCTTCATAAATTGTTTCGATATTTACTTCATTTCGCTGACGTTTTTCCTGTAAAATATAAATAAGTGAAACCTATACAAGAACTCCAAACTGAAGAAAAATTGAAAAATGTACATTTTTCCATAAAATTACTCTTTGAGCACCATAAAACTATCGAAAATCAACTAAAATTATATTACTTGTACTAGAAAAGACATAATTATGAATTTTACAACAAGTTTCATTCAAACTCATGGAAAAACAACAAAAAATACGTGAATGAAAAATTTTCGAAAAACAAAAACAAAAAAATAAAAGTAAAAATGGAAGTGCGCCCTATTGATAAAAAGTTGCATGTCGCGCACTCTTTCAAAAATTTGTGTGTTTCGTCGTTGCTGTTTGGTTATCAGACTATCTGAAAGGGTGTGACGAAATCTTGAAATCACAGTAGTAAGAAACTGGATTCTGTCAAGCAAGGATTTTCTTTAGAAAATCGGATAATCCGAGATCTAACATCAATTATTTGCTCTAAAACATCACAAAAAAATTTCTTTAAAAAATTAATTCAAAACTAGAAAACAGAGACTAGAAAACATAAATACAAAAATGAGATAATATTCAAAAATATTCAATGAATATATCCTATACCCAACCCAATCTCCATTTTTAATCTTTTGTTGCTGATCTTTTTCTAGTCCACTCATTTCATTTTGCATAAACAATCAGAGTTATCCCAATTCAATGAATGACTCATTTGATGAACAAAAAGGTGATCAAACACGAATTTTGTCGTTGATCTATTCATTTTTACATTATACATACATTTGTGAGTCAATCATTTTTGTGTTGACAAAAGACCAGAGAAACAAGATTCGATTTGATTATTCAGCTGACTCGTAGATCAAGCATAATATTATTTCGCTCGTTTTTTGTTGAAGGGACTGACTTTTGAAATAAATAAATGAAAAATTCACACAAAGAGAAAAAATAGCAGAATGATCAGCAACAAAATTCCAATTTTGAATCGGGAGAGGGAGAAAGAGATTAGATCTGAATATGAATCGCATTCAAATGGCCTCGAAAAATATCGAGATGTACGGGAGAATTGTGCCTTGGGTCAATTGAACTATGGATTGAATCGAGATTAGAAGCGGAACTTTTTTCTGTGGATTTGTTTATATCTTGAGAAAAAGATGGGGATCTGAAGTGCGATTTTCATAAAATCATAGAAATTCTGGTTGTCATTTCAAACATGAGTTATGACGTGGCAAACTTTAACGGATGAGTTTTTAAAAAATCAACTGGTTTACTCCTATGGAAAACACCGTGACCTCGCAAAAAAACTTGAATTTGCTCGTAGCGCGCTGGCAAACAGCCGATAGGATTTTTGTATTGAACCGCGACCGCAACGCACACGCGTCGCGGGTACAAGTGAAAATCAGAAATTTTTGCCGGTTCTAATCTCTCCAAATTCTGTGTTCCGAAAAACTTTTTTCCTTTTTCTTAATCTCACATTTTTCTAGATCCCAACATGAAAAGAACAACAAATCGATTCGGAATGGCCTTGAAAATTATCTCGGCAAGCACAGAATTTGTGTCTTAAGTCAATTGAACTACGAAATCAAGATTAGCGCTGAAAATTATTTTTTTTTAAATATTTTGTGAGATAAAATGAAAACAGAGATTTGATTTTTTGAAAAAAAGAAAAGGAATTTTTTCGTAAGTTGAAGGGACTAGAGAAAATAATTTTGAAACTGAAAAATATAGAAGGTACGAAGTTCTGGTCCAGAACTTCTGGAACAATTTTTTTCTGAATGATCTGATCACTTTTTTGTTGTTGCTTGGATAATTGTAGGTTTTGTTTTAAATGATCATTTAAATATAGTCTAGCGAGTTTTTTTTTGAAATTTCACTTGAAATTTAAAAAATGAGTTGATGAAAAAAGTTAAGAATCTGTTGGTATTTAGTTCCGAGTTGTACTTAATGTTCTGGAGTCCAGCCTATTTATTTTTTCTTATTTTCTCTTTCCTCTCTCTCTCTCTCTCTCTCTCTCTCTCTCTCTCTCTCTCTCTCTCTCTTTCTCTCTCTCTTTCTCTCTATTTCACCAAACCTCACACCAAAAAATCGATTTTGTGCATTTTTTCAATTTTTTTAAATAGAAAATGGCTCCATTTATTGTTCTTCGAAAAAGCGCGAAGTTTTTTTGCGCACTGTTTGCAAAAATACAAAAATTTATGAATGTTCACGTAAGTTACACGGGTTGGAACCATAAAAATTGCCATTTTTGGGTGGTCCAAAAATCGAATTTTTTTCATTTTGAACACTATATGAAATCTTCCCTTTAACCAAGTTCTCAAATAAATTCGTTCAGAAAAAACCATCAAAAACAAATGCCATAGAGGAATACGAGAAATTGGAAAATGTGGATGTTGAAGAGAGACCTATTGAAATACGCACGCGCAATTCTAATGTAATGAATAGATATCCAGAAATGGTCGATGTAGGTTTTTTCAAAATACATTTTTCTCAAAAGTCATTTTTTCATTTCGATTTAATTTAACAATTTTATTCACCCCTAGTTGAGCGTGTAAAAATGATTTTTTTTTCAATTCCTGATTATCTGGGTCACGTGAAATCCTGATAAATATATAATTATCAAAAGTGCCTCTTTTCTTATCTACGCGCGTGGTGTAGTCGGGGAGAGCTCTGTCTTCTATTCAACCCGCATAATTTTGTGGGTTCGAGTCCCACTGCCCGCTGTTTTGTCCCTAGATATATCTTGACATAACTATTGTCATTCCGAAAAAAAAAGAACCCCCGTTTAAATTGGCGCTCACGTACAGTAGACTAAAAATGACGTGACACATGCACATCAAACTGGTTGGCAAATAGCCAACGTGTAAATTTCGCATTTTATTTTTCAAATAGACTCCAAAATTTTGCGAAGTCTACTGTAGTCTTGGTTTCCTAGGCCATTTCGGTTCTCTTCCAACGGTCTTTTTTTTTCGGAACGACAATACAAAATCTATACATTTTGAAGCAATATTTGTTCTTGAAATTCACTCCAAAAAATATATAAACATTTGGACCAACCGCTAAAAATGAATATTTTTCAATTTTTCAGTATGCATATATTCAACTGGATATCAATGATTCCCCAATAGAGAAAAAGAAGAAGAAGAAAAAACAAAAAGAAGAATGGGTATAATGAAGAAAACACCTTCTATTATCGAAAATCTAATCGGTACCACGCGCTCCACCGAAATAAACACGCAACGCAGACCGCGCCGCGCCACAACCCATACAAATAAGGGAACCATTCAAATTCCCTCCCTTTTTTGTGTGTTTTGTGGCGCGACGCGGTCTGCGTTGCGTGTTTATTTCGGTGGCGCGCGTGGTACCGATGAGATTTTCGATATCCACTGTATCTACTGTATCTCAGGTGTATTTAAAGTGCCGTGTAATGAAACATTTGTCTATTTCACACCAGTCAAAATTTTATCGAGGTTCTGGAATTCTTTCTCGGAAAATAAAAATACTTTTCAAAATCTTAAGGTCCCTAGTAAAATTAAAAACTTATTTATTTATTGAAAAAAAGAGAAAATGAGCAGAACTTCTGACGAAAAAAAAATGGAAATAGACACCTTGAAAACTGTACACATGAATAAACGAAGAAACATCGATCGACTTCGAGAATTACCCGATAAATGATACATAAATAATAATGAAATAATTTGGTGAAAAAATCAAGAAGAAAGAACTACAAGTTTTTGAGCACTAAAAATCCAGCTAGCGCAACAATTGCTGCTCCAAATGTGAGTTTTGAGAGAAGATTCGAATCGTGGAGATAGAAAACACGGCGAAGATGCGGATAAACTGCCATCATTGCCAATTGCTCGAAAACTGCACATTTTGAGTCACCAATCTATAGAGAAATGTGAATTTGAAACTTAAAAGGAGGAAAAAATGAGCTTACATGATTGTTTGAGAATTTGATGGGTCTTTGAAGTTCGTATTGTCGACAAAATTCTTCTGGTGGAATTTCCCATCGTTGATCAACTTCTTCTCTTTCGACTTTTGTGGCAATCATGACACACGGTGTTTTGGTTCTGGAAAAAATTCCAGAATTTTCTACAAATTCCCAAATCACTAACCGATAAAAATACTTTTGATAAATGGTTGCACAAAACGCAAACGAATCGGGATTCGAAACATCGTACAGAAATGCGACAACATCGGCGGCAGTCTCGCCAGCACCTAACGCATCTTGCGGCGACAAAACATCAACTTCGCGGAGCAATAAATATTTGCTCTCTTCTTTCACTTTGACACGATTTATAACGTATGGTGAGTGACGGCGACCGATTTGCGCAACATCAGCCATTCCGCGGCCAGCCAAGGATTGCATGAATACAGTCTGCAAGGGAATAGAGTTAGTTATGACGTGGCAAAATAGGTCCAAGCAAAAAATAAGTTGAAAGAGCATGTTCTAATTAGTACAATCCTCGAAGGATTTTTTCTAGAAGCTTCTCAAACATTAAATCCAAGCTACAGTACTTATGGACTTTCAAGCCATTTTATTATTGAAAATCTCATCGGTACCACACGCGCTCCACCGAAATAAACACGCAACGCAGACTGCGTCGCGCCGCAACACACACAAAACAGGGAACGATTCAAATTCCCTCCCTTTTGTGTTGTGGCGCGGCGCGGTCTGCGTTGCGTGTTGATTTCGGTGGAGCGCGTGGAGATTTTCGATAATAAAATGGCTTGAAAGTCCATAAGTACTGTAGCTTGGATTTAATGTTGTGAAAAGCTTCCAGAAAAAATCCTTCGAGGATTGTACTAATCAGAACATGCTCTTTCAAATGAGCACAACTAATTTTTGCTCGGATTCCACCTTTTATGGGTCAAAGTTTTCAAAAAACCAACCTTTCCCGCATCCTTGGCTCCAACAACCAAACATTGAAAAACTTTTCGATCGGTTCCACGATCCTCCAAATCTTTCCTTCTTTCTCTTGTAATTCGCACAGAATCCACAGCATTTCCAGCTCTTCCCGGGCCACTTCTTCCAACTGGAAATCCTAAATACGCCATTTGCTCCATTGCTTGCGTCACATTTATCAACGTGGTCATACTGAAAGTTATTTGCGATTAATTAGAGTAGATTTAGGGGGAGACTTACTTCCAATATGCCATATATCCATTATAAGTGAGCCAGCCTCGTTGATTTGTTTCAAGTGCCAAAATTGTCTGAAAAAAAATGATTTGCAATTTTTTTCAGATAAATTTTAGGAAAAACTCACATCCTTTGTGATCACTGGCGCTGGACAAACTGAAAATAGATTCTGCAATTCACTCGGCGACAAACATCCATCTTTATCCTCATCGTATTTTTCAAACAAAGCCGATACAAATTGAACACCTTCAGGCGATAATTCAGTCGAACTTCCAATTGGAACAACCAATCTTGGATATAAATACTCTTCCGATAACTTCAAATTCGTCTCATATCCAAATTTTCGTAAAACCGCCCAAGTTGTTTCATGTCTTCCTCTTTCAATGAATAATAAATGTAGATAAAGGAATCCAGGAAGCATCAAAGCATCGCTAACAACTCCATCTGGACAACCATCAGCAACTGCTCGCTTAACATCTTCCAATGCTGTTGATGTTAATGGGATTCCGAAGCATAATTTTTGAAAATCATTCAATTCCGTATCATTCAAATATCCATCATTATCTCGATCGCAAACTTTGAAAACTCGAATCAACGCTTTTCTGGCGCGATCAGTTAATTGTTTATTATCAGCATCGTAAAGTGGACGAGTCGGATAAATCACAGCCTTTTGCGCATAATAAAATATCTCCGAAACATTTTTCATAGTTCTCGCTGAGCATTCAACACAAGTTTCGACTTCAGTATTCGCCTCCATTATCGGTAGAATTTTATCAGTATGATTAGCAGGACCGTCGGATTTATTGCCAACTAAAATTACTGGAACCTCGTGGAATTCTCCAAATGCTAATCTAATAGTTGGCAGCCATGTTTTCTCAATTCTATCCACACTTTCCTCATCACAAACTGAATAGACAACACAAATAACATTCGCCTGACGGATTTCCGAAACCAACCAATTTTCATCTGGAAAATTCATGTTTTTTTTCAGAATTTTTTTTAAAAATCAGTAAGATACCTTCATCCTTGATTGACAAATCAACAATACTAGTTGTCACATTTTCCGGAGTCACATCTGCAGGAATCAAAACCTTATCCAATCTTGGCGGCACCAAATCAACCCATTCATCCTCAAGCAAACTCATTATCAGCGAGGTTTTTCCGCATCCTTTATCACCGATTAAAACTATTCGAACATCCGCCAAAACATCCTCATCCGCCATTTTAAATGCTGCAAAAAATGTGAGGTGAGTGCGAAAAACAAAGCTAAAAGAAGAAAGTGCGCTCCAGTGTACACACCGCGTCTTTTGCCTGAAGAGATTTAGAGAAGCGAAGAAATTTGGGTTTTGAAAAAAGAAAAAAAAATCATTTCATTCATGGGAAAAACATGATATTTTCAGCAAAAAAAAAAAAGATTCAAGAATTTCAAAATTGCTCCAGACGAGCCAAAATTCGTGGTTTTCTAGAAATTTTGAATGAAAAATGGTGAGCGTCAATGTCAAAAAAGCAGATGTTGCATACTTATCTGACACAGGCATTTGCGAACAGAGTGGAAACCAGTAGAAGCGGGAAACCAGTCTGTTTTGGGTACGGATCTGGCTGGAACCAGTAGGTTTTCATTGGTTTCCAACTGGTATTGCAGGTGTTACTGGTTTCCACTCTGTTCGCAAATGCCTGTGTGATCATCAAAAACGTCTTTTTATAGTTAGTTAATTGCGCAATTACACTTGAACTCGACTAAGAAAAAGATTAACCGAAGAGAAATGCAATACTTCTTGCTGGAAGTATTGAATTTCTCGAAAATAAATAAACTTTTTTCCTAGTTGTCGAGAAAACTTTGTCAACACGTACGTTTGAACCGATTTTTTTGCACGAAAAATGAGACTTTTTATTTTTTTTTAACATTTCTGGTAGTTTCTAGTAACTCTTATCAGAATTTCATTTCTAGTATTTAGTATCTGACAAACTGCCTACGATATCTCTATTTTTACTTATCTCAACTTTGACTATGAGTTATGACGTGGCAAATTTTGAAAATCGCAAACTAGAAATACTGCTACCTTATTTCACAATCAGTGTTGAGATAAGGTAACCTTATTTTTGGTTTGCGATTTTCAAAATTTGCCACGTCATAACTCATAGCCAGAGTTGAGATAAGTAGGCAATTTGTCAAATACTAAATACTAGAAATGAAATTCTTTTTAGAAAAAAACCACGTGAAATCACCGAAATTCAAAGAAAAATTCCGAAAAACCCATAACACTCAAGCTAACTCAAAACAATACGTGACTCTTTGTTTATTTGTTTTCAATACAAAAATGTGCGCCCCAAAACTTTTGACATATGGGATAAATAAGAAAATATGAATAAATATCTCCATGGATATATTCAGAAAGAAAATTCTTTGGATTATTCATGAGAAAAAAAGAAAAAGCAAAAAAACTTGGACAAGGAAAAATTCCGTTCGTTTTTGAAAGAAACCGGTTTAACAAAAAAAGCATTAGTGTTGATAATTAGTTAATTAAACAAAACTTACGTTATTTTTAGAAAGAAAATTTTTTTAAAGCTGAAAAAATTTAGAAGAATCTAATCGAATTAGAAATAGTACCTGCAAATTTGAAAAATACTTGACTTGAGAAACCGTTTTTTGAAGAGAAATTTGAGAACTTTTCAAAAACTGGTTCAAAAATAAATAAAAAATCTTTTTTTAACAAAACAAAAAAACATAACAATTGAAAAAAATAACAATCTATGATTCTTGTGCACGTTTTTGACCTCGTTTCTGATTCGGTTGCTCAATTCCTTCTTTTTCTCGCAAAACTCGTTGCTCTTTTTTGATTGTGAGTTCGAAGAGTTCTTCAACGTAGATTTCTCTGAAAAATGAGATGAGATTTATGGGGATCGGATTATTTTCTTGATAGAAATTGGAGAGGGATTTGGTGGTCTCAAAAAATGATTCAAGTTTCGTACGATTCAAAAAATCTGGGCTCATTTTCAAAATTTTCAGCGGAATTTCTAGAAATCTATGTCAAAAATTCTGGCTCAATAAACATTTTTTCCGCTTGAAAATTTGATTTTTTCCGGAAGTTCATAGAAAGTTTTTAAGAAAAATAATTTAAAAACATTCAATTTTCAACCAAACCTCGGCCAAGCCGTGGCTGGCCACAGTACAATTTTTTGAAAAATCTGAATTTCAGTTTTTAGAGGTCAAAAATTGAAAAATCACAATTTTTAGAGGACAAAAACTGAAAAATTCACAATTTTTGTACTGTAAAAAGTTAGCGTACAATTTTTTATTGTGGAAACCACGATTTTGGCCGAGGTGTGTTTTCAACCCAATTTTACCTATAAATCGGCAATAATTTCGGGAGAAGATGAAGTTTATCAAATCGAACTCGCAACATATCCATAGCAATTCCGATTTTCAATTCATCCAAATATTCTGGCAGCATTGGAACCTGAAAATTACAGTTTTTTCCCCAAAAATTAAAAAAAAGAACAAACTTTCGGATATCTGGCACTAAAATGTGTGAGAACAACATTTTTCGCATTCATTCTTTGACCAACATCAACAGCTTGACCCATTGTGGAATGTCTTTTTCGAAGTGCGTCAGCCTGAAAATTTTCAGCTCTCTAACATGAGCAATATCTCTTATATCTCTTACCTCATGTCCATCTTCAAAAGTTGCTTCATGAATCAAAAGATCCGCATCTTTTCCCTCTTCAACCAACAAATCACAAGGTTTTGTGTCTCCAGAAAACACCAATTTCTTCCCCGCAACTTTCATCACATAACCATTTGCCATTCTTGTATGATGAACTTGAACCGCGTTCAATTCCTCCAACTTCCACTGATCTTTATTATAAGACGTCGGAAGATCCGGGATGATATCTCGAGTTGGCGGAAGATGTGGACTTGGAAGACGCGGTCGTTTTGCTCCTGGTTGAGAAGAAGAAGAAGGACTTGAGGGTGGAGTTATCGGATGTCGAGAGATGTCAACGATTTCCATGAGTGATTCGATATTTTCAAAACATAGTGAGTAGGTTTTGAGGGGTTTGAGGACATTTCGATTGCAAACAAGAACGAGGGGTTGATATGGGAGATCTGGAAAAATTGGGTAAATTTGGGGCTATATAAATATTTTTGAATTTTTTTTTAATTTATGATACATTTTCAGAGCATATTTTTCTTCTAGGAACATTCTAGGAGCTTTTTTTGGTTGTGAAAAATGCGTAAAATTCAAAAATTCAAAAATTTTTAGATCTCAATTCTTCGGCGAAAAAACATTTTATTTCACATTTAAGAAAAAACTTTGAATTTTCAGAATTTTTGCTAGAAAAATTGGAAAACTGTTAAATTTTCCAATGAAGATTTAGATCTCAAAATACATCATTTCTGTAACTCTGAAATTCTTCACGAAATGAAATTTTTTCGAAAAATCAAATTTTGAAATACTTAATTTTTCTCAATAAAAAAAGCTCAAAAAATCACCTAAAGCTTCAAAAGCCTCCTGTACTTGGTAAATTGGGGGGCCGGAAATATTTTTGACATGTTTTCAGATCAGATTCTACATATTTTATATAGCAAAATTCAGACTTCTAGGAACTTTCTGTTTTACTTTTGCGAAAAAATCCGTGAAATTCAAAATTTTTAGATCTCAATTCTTCGGCGAAATAACAATTTATTTCACATTTAAGAAAAAACTTTGAATTTTCAGAATTTTTGCTAGAAAAATTGGAAAACTGTTAAATTTTTCAATAAAGATGTAGATCTCAAAATACCTCATTTCTGTAACTTTGAAATTCTTCGGCGAAACAATTTTTTTTCGAAAAATCAAATTTTGAAATACTTAATTTTTCTCAACAAAAAAAAGCTCAAAAAATCACCTAACAAGGAAACCTTTTTTACTCAACACTTCAAATCATGATGAAATTTTGTCCAGAGACAGCTTTTGGGGTCAGAAGAACACCCTAGAAATTTAAGTCTCCCAATGGACCTCTGAGCCAAGTTCTGGGCTCTCAAAAGTTCAAAAATTGCCAAAATTGGCTCATAAAACACGTCATAACTCAATTCTCGATCAATTTTATGAAAAACTGAGTAGCAGATGATGATTAGCGTGGTCGATTTACCCAAAAAACATAAATAAATCAAATTTTTAGAAAAATTTTTGATTTTGGAAAAATGAATGAGCAGGGGCATATGAATTTTCATGAATTGTCAGCCCAAAAATAAAAAACTTCAAAATTTTTCGAAAAAATATTTTTTATTGATTTACTTTTAGGTAATCGACCATGCTGATCAATATCTGAAACTTTATTTCTCCCAAAAAAAATTTTGAACTGGAGCTATGATGACTTTTATGACCATTTTTAGGCCTTTTTTGAGTTTTTGAGAGCCCAAAACTTGGCTCAGAGGTCCATTGGGAGACTAAAATTTTTAGGGTGTTCTTATGGTCCCAAAAGCTGCCCATGGACCAAATTTCATCATGATTTGAAGTGTTGAGTAAAAAAGGTTCCCTTGTAAAGCTTTAAAAGCCTTCTTTACTTCGTAAATTTGAGGGCTGGAAATATTTTAGAAATATTTTTGACATGTTTTCAGATCAGATTCTACATATTTTATATAGCAAAATTCAGACTTCTAGGAACTTTTGTTTTATTTTTGTGGAAAAATCTGAGAATTTCAAATAAATTTTTTGGGCCTCACAAATACCTAATTTCTGTAACTCTAAAATTCTTCGGCAAAACAAAATTTTTTTTCAAAAAATCAAACACTAAAAAGCAGAGATGCTCAATTTTTCTCTCAACAAAAAAATCCCAAAAACCCACCTAACGCTTCAAAAGCCTCTTTCCTTCTATCAACAATCGTATACAATCCATTCATATGATCCTGATGTGCATGCGTAATCAAAACACATTTCAAATTCGTCAACATCTTCTTACACCCCAAATCCCCCAAAATAGCTCTCATTTGTCCATAAGTTCCCTCTCCAACATCAACCAATAATCCACTATTTTCCGATGTTTCCACTAAATATCCAGTCACATTTCGATACTTTGAAGGAACCGCTGAAGAAGTTCCGAAAAATGAGACTTTGGGATATTCACAATCCGAACAACTGGCTTCTTCTTCAATTCGAAATTGTGCAATTAATTCTTTCGCTTTCTCACTGAATTCATTATCATTATTCCGTAAATCATTAATTATCGGCTCTTCATTTGCATTATTCCCCTTTCTCATCCAAAATCGTTGAAGTGGCGCAACTCTTCGGAAAATTCCATCTCCAACTTCCAACTCATTATTTTGCGTGATAATTCCACTCCAATCAAATGGATCCAATTCCGGAAAAATTGATGGGGCTATTTTTCGAAGAGTTTTTGTATGTTTATAAACACTTTCAACTGCTGGAATCACTTGATTTCTATCATTCAAAAGAAGATGTTCTGTGGAAGAAGATTTTCGGATGGATTCAAGGAATTTTGAATAAGTTGGAGAATCAATTACATTTTGATGACTAAGATGAACAATCTGAAAAAAATTCAATTTTTTTAAAATCTTCCCTAGAAAATCCTCTAAACTCACATAATCAATAACTTTCTCCCCTTTCAAATATGGCTGAATTGCACTTGAATCAATCAAAGATCTAACATGCTCTTCCGAACTGCATTCAACAACTAATAAAGTTGGTTTTTCTTCCGCAGCTTTTTCATCCGAAAATACTTGATCTGGCTCAATAACTCTTCCATCAGCTAAAGTAATCGTTTCTCCATTTTTCAATTTTCCGATAAGCGGACCTTTTGGCACTTTCATCTGCATTAATTTCAATGGATCGATTTTTCGAGCAGCCGCTTTTAATTCAATCAAATATGCAATATCAACATCAGAAACCTATGAAATAACACATTTTCAATATTAAAAATGCAGCTATCTAGATTACTAACCCGTTTCACATCTCCATTTGAAACTGTCCTTTTCCTCCCAATTTCTAGCGGTGGACTCATTGGAATATAAGTTACACGAAGTCCAGCATCTTCATAATTTCCTACGGTATATGGGATTTCTTCGACTTGTGATGGATATTTACAATTTCCATAATCCGAATCTTGAAATGGGCGAATGCATTCGAGAAAATGTTTGATGTTCATTGCACCGTGTAATCGAGTTGTCATTGCGTTTGATTCTTTTGAGAGGAGGATTGAGGAAATTCCAGCAATGTTGTCCCAAGTTGCTGGAAAATTCGGGCTGTTTTTGATATGAAGAAAAGGGAATTTGAAAAAAATTATATTTCACAATGGATTTTGAAACTCCGAAAGTCTCAACCCTATTATTTTCTAACAAGGGAACCTTTTTTACTCAAAACTTCAAATCATGATGAAATTTGGTCCATGGACAGCTTTTGGAACCATAAGAACACCCTAAAAATTTTAGTCTCCCAATGGACCTCTGAGTCAAGTTCTGGGCTCTCAAAAGTTCAAAAATTGCCAAAATTGGCTCATAAAATTTATAAAATTTCGAAATGGGCCCCCTAATCCACCCAAAAACTCTCTAATTTCCCTGAAGTCGAAAATAGAAAATTTTTCAGAAACCCGAAGTTTCGAAATTCGATTTGGATTAAAAATGGGAAAATTTTTCAAAAGCCCGAAGTTATGTTCAATTTTTTAAATTTAGAAAAAAACGAGATTTTCTCACGTGAACTATGACTTCATCAAATTTATTTTCAATATTTATCGAATTTCGAAATGGTAAGCTTTCAAAGGGATTTTTCAAATACTTTTCGATAATTTGAATATTTGAAATTTCAGGCAGATTTTGAATCGGACCATAGGAATCGGACCCGATTTTGAGGGTTTTCTGAATCGGACCAGGTCCGATTTTTTGAGAAAAATTCTGAATCGGATCCGAAAAATCGGACCACTTTTTCAAAATTTCCTGATTTTTGCACCAAAAAATTGACTTTTTTTGAAAAAGTGGTCCGATTCAGAATTTTTCTCAAAAAATCGGACCAGCTCCGATTCCTTTTTCGTGGTCCGATTCCTATTGAAAAATGTCACCCTGGTCCGATTCAAAATTTGTCGAAATTTCAGGGCTACAAATCCCTCCCGCTCCAAAAACCCTCTAATTTACCTGAAGTCAAAAAAACATCAACAATCGACGAACTTCTCAACCTCAATTGCCAAAGAAATCTACAAGCATTCTCCGGACAATTAAACATATAAGTTTTGAGCGGAGTTCGAAGAACAAAACATTGTCGAAGTAATCCAGTACCATTTCCAAGTACTTCAATACTAACTTGTGATGGAATATTGACAATTGAATTAGCTGGCGGTTCAAAAGCCGCCTTTTTCTTTTTCTCAACAGATGCCATTGATTGTCGTAGATTTGAAAGTGATGTACTGATCTCTCGAGCTCTGCGATTTTTTTTTTGAAAAAAAAATGTTTTTCAAGTAACTCACTTTAAATGCGACGCTGAATGTCTGGCTAGAATCCTTCGATTCCTTTCAATCCTTTGTTTAATACTATCTAGCAAATTCTCGTCAATATGCTCACTTGAAAATGCTCTACGAAATACCCTGAAAACCTTTATTGCATATTTTGTTTTTAAATTAATATTTTAATAAATTAATTAATTAATCCACATCACACATACTCACACAATCCCTCGAATTAATCCACGTTGCATAGATAAATTCTGAATTTATTCAATTTTTTTTCGTTTTCATCATCAATAACACAAATATACTTTTGAAGTAATTTCAAACTTGTCAAATAAAATCGCTGATTTTCGTAAAGTAACGGGTTTTATATGAAAAATGAAGGGACAATAAAGTAACAATCTAAAATCCTGACTATTAAAAGAAGAAACAATAATTGAAGAAGTCTATTAAACATGGGGATTCACGGGAAAACAGATCAGTTGGTGGGGAAAAAATAAGAAGAAAAAAATTGAATTAGGAAAGATTTGGGAGACCTGTAGGTAAACCGAATGGTCGTGTTGAATCGATTCCTGGTTCAGATTGCGATGGTTTTTGTCCAAGACTTCTTGGATCGTCCAATGCTTCTGGCTGAAAATTAATTGATTAATGAATTAATTAAAAAATGAATCTTACAGGTGGTTGTGTTGGATCAGCCATTGCTCCCATCCATCTCGTTGTCATCAAACCAATTCCCTCAATCATAGCCAGAATAACTGAACCCAAAACCGCACTACCAGCCATCACTTTTGGACCCGAACGAATAGCCAATAATGCACCAGTCAAACCACCCGAAACAATTGAATTGATTGGATCCTCCTTCTTACGAATCGCCACCAAACAACAATCGATTGTGGAGAACATGCCACCCCAGGCGGCGAATTGAACACCCGTTAATGTGCTTTTCATTCGGACTTCTCGAACCATTCCGATCTTTAAAATATTGAATTTTTCAGTTTTTTTTTGAAAATACTCACTAATTTTTGTCCCTTCGCTGCATTTCTGTAACCTCCAATAGATTGGAAAATTGATCCACCAACAAGTCCCATTGCAAAAGCTGATCCGATATCATCTCCAATACGATATGGGCTGAAATTCACGATTTCTTAAAATTTTTAAAAATGATGCAAAAATAGATTTTCTCGTTTTCTCTCAATTTCTATCGATTTTCGGGAGGTTTTTTGTACTCACCATGGTTCTCTGCTATATTCTTCCATTTTAATATGTGCAGCTTACTGAAAAATTAACAGGGAATTTAAAAAAGTGAATTCGAAACTTCAGAAAATGAAAAAATTCACGAAATTTGCGTCAACGTGCAAAATTTTCTACAAAAAACACGTCAGTCTTCGATCGCTTGCGCATTTCTTCTCAAAAAATTGCGTCAATCTTCCCCAGGTTGGCGCATCGGCTACTACGCGAGGGTGTTTGAATTTATTTGTTTGTTCTCTATGTTTTGTGAATCAATTTTTTTGCTGTTTTCGACTGTTTTTTCAGTTTTTTGAGTGATTAACAATTTCTGGAAGAGATTTAGTCAGCCAGTGATGATTTTTCAGTGAAAAACCCAGATTTCGAGGACATTCTCGAATTTTTAGTCAAATTCTCTTTAAAAATAAATATTTTATTATATGCGAAACATTAGATCCTAGATATTTCCAAAAATGAGGTCATATATACATATATTTTTCTGAATAATTAATTAATTAGTTTATTTATTCGCTCTTTGGTGTTGTCGATGGTTCTTCGGTTGTTGATTCGGTTGAAGCGTTTCGTTTAGCGAAAAGTCGACGGCGGAAAAATGATCCACAGCATGAGAAATCTGAAATCAAGTATTTAATGATTTCCACATTTTCTAGAGCTCACTGTTATTTGAGCAACATGGGCTTGAGCCAAACAAGAATGATGGTGGTGGTGGGGGTGGAAGGAAGATCTGAAAATATCAAAAATATATTTCTGAAAACATCTCAAGAGTTCTTACTGGTTGTTGTCCACATGGTGGTCCGAAGCAAGGTGGTGGTGGAGGGCAAGATTGTGTGAAGCACGGTGGAGGTGGTGGGCAGCAATTATTATTGTTCGATGTGGCAATCACAATTGGTGGCGGTGGTGGGGCACACGAAGCTCCAATACATGGCGATTGAACGATGCACGGTGGTCCGAAGCAAGGTGGAGGTGGTGGGCAAGATTGGGTGAAGCAAGGTGGTGGGGGTGGGCAACAGTTATTATTGTTGTTGGATGTGGCGATGATAATTGGAGGTGGTGGTCCGCAAGACGATCCAATGCATGGTGGAGGGCCGCAAGGAATTCCCCCGCATGGTTGATCGATGAAAATTTGACCGCCACAACCGCCATTGTTGAAACATGGTGGGGGTGGGGGAGGGAGAAGAAGTCCACCCAAACCACAGCCGCCGCCGAAACATTGACTAGCAACGCCACCAACCAAAAAGGCGACAAGCCACAAGCTACTACTGCTCATTATGTTTGATTTGATAAATAACAATACAATAATCTGGTGTCCACTCCTAGCTCATTTTATATACAAACAGAAAATGGGGGGAGAGAGCACATACATAGACCAGTTTTTTCATGTCTTGTTCTTTGTAAAGGGGGCGTGCTTGTTTTGTTACGCGTGAAGATTGTGCTCATCTTCTTCAGCAGAAGCTCTTCTGATTATTCGCTAAGCTTGTCCAGGATGTCATCACTTCAAACAAAATCATGTAGTTGAAGTGATTCTTTGATCAATGTTAGGCTAACTACGTGTGAAGATGGAAAATTAGTGGAGATCAGCTAACTTTGAATATTTTCATAAATGAAAACTATAGTATAGTCTTATAGAGTTTTGAAAAATCTTAAAAACATAAAATTGAAGGTGCATTTTCGAAGGGTCTCGCAACAAAATCGAAAATAATTTTTAAAAAATTACTGTACAGTAGCATTTGTTTTTTTTTTTAATTCTGATAGATCAAAACTATACTATAGTTTTGAGAGAGTCTTGAAAAAATCTCGAAATTCAATCATTTGTGCAATTTTTCGTCACGGTGTACGCACGCCCAAAAATTTCGAAGTTTTTTCGAAATGGGTTCCTGAAATCGAAAAACACGCGGAGAAGTTGAAAAAGCGTCGAGTCTCGCAAGGAAAATAAAAATAATTCCAATGTCCCTTTGAAAAATATCGTAGTAGAATTTCTACATCATTTTCGACGTGAGATTTCATTCTCCGAAATCTAAACTCAAACTTTGCCACGTCATCAAATTTCCAGAAAAAAAGCGTTCAAAAGATCTCTACCATTTTTTTCCTCAAATTAAGCTTACGCTTAGTCATGATGTGTGATTTGTGTTCTTTGCATTCGAGAAAATGTAGTCTGGAGCAAACAATGACCTGTTTTGTTACTTTGAGGCGGACCTATGTCAATGAAATGAGACGTGTATTTTTCTCCACGTTTTTGCTCGCATTTGCAAGCAAAATAATGTTTGATCTATTATTTAACCAAACAAGAAATCGGCATGCATGATACTTTTGATCATATAAGGTTTTCATGCCATAAAAAAGGTGGAAACAATTAATTGTATATTATCCTGGTCAAGAGAAAAACAAAACAATTTTCATCCCGCTGACAAGTATTTTCCAAACCTGAATATAAAAAAATAAAATAAAAACAATTATTGGTACTGTAATGCAATAAAATAAAGGTGCATTGTGTGTTTCAAGAAATCGTGTCGAGACCACACCGCGAATTATTTGTGTTTGATTTATCGATTGGAATTTTTTAAATTTTTTTTCAAAGTTTTCAATTTTCCAAGGCACTTTCTTGCTCCTGGTTATTATTACTACACTTACTGTTTAGATAACTTTTTTACCTTCTTATACTACGAGTCTTTGCAAGTCCGTTGATTGTTCGAAATGCTCCCAACTTCCCAAAAATCTGTTTTTTTTCTTTACAAAAATTTAAAATGAGCCACCAATTCCCATAAAATGAGTCATTTCTTTATGTTCTCCCCTTTCTTCAAATAAAAATGTGTACAAGTGCGTCGCCGTGTTGACACACTTTTAATATTATTTTCAAAGCGTTCACTTTATCATGGCGATATTTTTTGAAAAAAAACAACGTTTTCACTTTTTACCTTCAAAACAAAAAGTTATTAAAAAAATATTCATTACAGAATGAGTGCTGGTGTTTCAGTAGACGATGCAATAAATAATGTGAATGTAAGTTTTTCCGATTTTTTTTTGTAAAATCAAAAATCAAAGTTACAGCTACTAGATTCACTGGTTCTACCGGATGATTTGCCAGATATTGAAGCGCGTGCTCTTCCGCTGTTATGTAGATCAAATTTCGATACAAATTTCGAAGATCGAAGCGCATTTGTAACAGGAATCGCAAAATATAGTGAAGAAGCAACAAGACATGCACAATTTGTAAGGGTTTTCAAAATGGAATTTCTGAATCAAAAATACAACATTCAAATTCTTGTTTCCAGAATGATATGTTGGCTGACGGTTTGAAACACGCTGCAAATTTATACACGTGGAGATGTTGTTCTCGAGCAGTTCCGATGGCAAAATCAAACGATCAACCAAATCGCACTGAAATCAATGAAATGGTCGTGAATGTTTTGAGACCAGAAGTCAATAAATTGAGTTGTTTCATGCGATTCACGCTAACCGCAATTCAAAAATTTTGCGAAGAATTTCGACGACTTTGTCATGCTGAAAAACGCAAAGATTTTGTGTCCGAAGCCTATCTTCTAACCCTCGGTAGATTTATAAATATGTTTGCGGTTTTGGATGAATTGAAAAATATGAAAGCATCGATCAAAAATGATTTCTCAACATATCGTCGAGCATCACAATTCTTGCAAACAATGTCTGATACTCAAGCAATTCACGACATGCAAAATTTGAGCATGTTTCTAGCGACACAGAATAAAATCAAAGATGATCTCAAACTTCAAATGAAAACCATCGAAGGTTATGAGGAATTATTGGCGGATGTTGTGAATATTTGTGCGCATATGTATGAACATCAATTATATTTATCACCCAATGAAAAACACATGTTTGTTAAAGTCATCGCTTTTTCACTGTTTTTGATGGATGGAGATGTTGGACATGTTGCAAAATTGGATCAGAAGAAGAGGTTGAGTATTCAGAGACTTGATAAGATTTTTAAGACACTTGAAGTTGTTCCGTTGTATGGTGATATGCAGATTCAACCGTTTGCTTTTGTCAAAAGAAGTTCGCATTATGATGCAAGTAAATGGCCATTGAGTGATAAAGAATGTGAGTTTTATGGGATTTTTCTGGCTTTTTAGGCGCTTTTTCTTGTGAATTGAGACCTGATTCTTGAAAATTGCATTCTCTAGGCTTCACTGCTTGACTTAGATGCTCTCAAGGCCCGGCTCTTTGAAAATTGCATTCTCTAGGCTTCGCTGCTTGACAGAAGTTTTCAAGGGTCGGATCCTTGATAAATAGAACCTCTAGGCGCTGAACCTTGAAAATTGAAGTTCCTAGGCTTCGCTACTTGACTTAGATGCTCTCAAGGCGCGGTTCCTTGATAAATAGGTTCTCTAGACGCCGCTCCTTGAAAATTGCATTCTCTAGGCTTCGCTGCTTGAAAATTGGATTCTCTAGGCTTCGCTGCTACACATAGAAGCTCTCAAGGCACGGTTCCTTGATAAATAGGATCTCTAGGCGCAGATCCTTGAGAATTGAATCTTCCCTAGGCTTCGCTGCTTGACTTTTAAGCTCTCAAGGCGCGGCTCCTTGCTAAATAGGATCTCTAGACGCCGCTCCTTGAAAATTGAATTTTCTAGGCCTCGTTACTTGACTTATAAGCTCTCAAGGCGCGGTCCCTTGTTACAGTGAACCTCTAGGCGCTGATCCTTGAAAATTGAATTTTCTAGGCTATGCTACTTGACTTAGATGCTCTCAAGGAACGGCTCCTTGCTAAATAGGATCTCTAGACGCCGCTCCTTGAAAATTGAATTTTCTAGGCTTCGTTGCTTGACAGAAGTTTCCAAGGGTCGGATCCTTGATAAATAGAACCTCTAGGCGCTGAACCTTGAAAATTGAATTCTCTAGACTTCGCTACTTCACATAAACCATAATTTCCAGCCGACAAATGCCACGTAAACATCGTTGAAAAACTCCGAACAATTCGCGCCGACCACGAAAGCTATGTAACCCAATTCGCCAAAATCAACAACGAAGTAGCGATCTGCGATCGGCCCGGAACCGATCTCGAATACCGCGAACTCACATCTCTCGCCCTCTCCGGCATCCAACTTCTCTGCCAATGGTCGTGCGCAGTTGTCGAAACAATCAGTTGGAAACTTTTGCATCCAACAGACCCGCGAGATAATCGAGATTGTCCAGAAAGTGCGGAAGAATACGAGAGAGCCACCAGATATAATTATTCGCCAATCGAGAAAACTGCACTGATTCAAGTGATTGCTATGATTAAAGGATTGCAATCTTTGTTAGGAAAAATGGAGCCGGAAATGAGTAGCTCGATCAGAAAATGTGTTTATATCGAATTACAATCTTTTGTTCAACACACAATCAATGAACCCCTCCAAAAAGCGAATAAAAACAAAAAAGATCTTCTGGCAAGTATATTTCAATCTGTAAAAGACTCGATATCTGATGTTGGATATGAAATGAATCGAATAATTGATCCAAAGAAGAACAAGAAAACGAAAGGAGATTCGGCGAGCTCGTCAAGTTCAGATGTTCGAATTCCAAGGAGAACAGCTCCACCTGGAAGTACACAATTATATATGGCAAGAACACAATTAGAATCGTTGATTTCGGATAAATTGTGTGGGGGTAAAAAAGATTTTGCGAAAAGAATTGGACTCGAAAACAATTGAAAGAATTTCGGTATTTTTGCGGAAATCCGCGCATTGGCCAAATCTATTTCAATTATCTGATTCGATGACTGAAGCGGGGGAATTGAGTCAACTTTGGTTTCGAGAATTTTATCTGGAGATGACGATGGGAAAACGAATTCAATTCCCCATTGAAATGTCGATGCCATGGATTCTCACCGATTTTATTTTGTCGTCAAATGAACCATCTTTGATTGAATCCGCGTTGTTTCAATTGGATTTGTATAATGATGCGGCACAATATTCACTTTTCAATTTTAACAAGCAGTTTTTGTATGATGAAGTTGAGGCGGAAGTTAACTTATGTTTTGATCAATTTGTATACAAGTTGTCGGAAATGGTTTTTACACATTATAAACAATTGGCATCTTGGTAAGATTTTTTGGGAACGGGGATGTTTTGGAAATTTTTGGTCCGATTCCAATCTGAAAACTTTTTTTTTGAATTTTGAAAAATTTTGAATTTCTGTGTGAAAAAACGTGACATAGAAATGTTTGAAGTTCATTTTGAGAAAAAATTTGGATTTTAGAAAAAAACATTATGGGATGATTCAAGTCGGAAAAAAATTGAAAGATAGATATTTTTCATTTTTGTGTGGAAAAAATAGGTTTTTTTCATTTTCTGAATCGAAAATTTTTGTTAAAAAATTAAAAAAAAAATTTTTTTCAGAATTTTTCTCAAAAAATTAAATTTAAATCGATTTCTATTAAAAATAATTTTTTTTTGAAATTCTGATTTTTATTTTGAATTGAAAGTCCCCCAAATTCACAAAAATTTCCAAATTTTGACCAGAAATTCTCCTTTCTTTTTTTACATTTTACACGGTGTTTCACTGTTTTTTTCGAATTTTGCAAATTTTTCAACTGATTGTACTATATAGAAAATGCTCTTTCAAATGAGCACAACTTTTTTTTGCTCAGACTCCATCTGAAAACTGAATTTTTCGCATTTTTTAAATTGAAACTCCCCCAAATGTACAAAAACCCCCCATTTCCAGCATGCTTCTTGACAAACGTTTCAAATCTGAAATTCTCCGAGCTGGCACAATGATTCGATCGCCTTCAGCTGCTCGTTTCGAAAGTTTATTACAACAAAGACATTTGCAATTATTAGGCAGATCAGTGGATTTGAATCGAGTTGTATCGCAACGAATTAATATGGCTCTCTTGAAAGCCCTCGATTCAGCCATCGGAAAATTCGAAAGTGAACCACTATCTTCAATAATTGAATTGGATCTTCTCATCGAAGCGAATCGACTCTGTCATCATTTGCTGAAAAATGTTCTTCACTCGGTGGCCGATTTCGATGATTTACTACAAGAAGCAAATCATGCGGTGAATTCGCCGCACGGTCGAATCACTCTTCACGTTTTCTGGGAACTCAACTATGATTTTGTGCCGAATTTCGTTTATAATGGATCGACGCATCGATTTGTGCGAGCGCGACAAGTTTTTCGAAAAACACCGGCACGCGATAAACCGCCGAATGTTGGACAGGTTTATTATTGGGGATCGCGATCACTTCAGGCCGCGTTTATGAATATTTGCAATGCTTATACACAATGTATTGCGACACAGCATTTACGAGCGTTGACGAAATTATTGCATTATCAGGGAATTGCTGTGATTGTAGAGGAGTTGCTGAAGTTGGCGAATCGAACGCTGAATGAGAAAATTCGAAGACATGTTAAAAATGTGCTGAATGTTATGCCGAAAGTTTGTAAATTGCCAAGAACTGAATATGGAAGCAATGGTGAGTCTTAGAGATTTATTTTTGCAAGGATCAGCGCCTTGAAAGCCTATATGTCAAGTAGCCGCGCCTAGAGAATTCGATTGTCTAGGATCAGCGCCTAGAGATCCATTTTTGCAAGGGTCAGCGCCTTGAGAGCCTATATGTGAAGTAACAGCGACTTGAGAATTCAATTGTCAAGTAGCCGCGCCTAGAGAATGCAATTGTCTACGATCAGCGCCTAGAGATCGATTCTTGCAAGTAACAGCGCCTAGAGAATGCAATTTTCAAGGATCAGCGCCTTGAAAGCCTATATGTGAAGTAGCCGCGCCTAGAGAATCTGCTCGTCTAGAACCCACGCCTAAAGAATCACTCTGGATAGAAGCCGCGCCTTGAAAGCCTATATGTCAAGTAGCAGTGCCTATACAGTCAAATTGTCAAGGATCAGCGCCTAGAAAGCTTTTATGTCAAGTAGCCGCGCCTAGAGAATGCAATTTTCAAGGAGCAGCGCCTAGAGAACCTGCTCGTCTAGAACCCACGCCTAGAGATCCACTCTAGCTAGAAGCCGCGCCTTGAAAGCCTATATGTCAAGTAGCAGTGCTTATACAGTCAAATTGTCAAGGAGCAGCGCCTAGAGAACCTGATCGTCTAGAACCCACGCCTAGAGATCGATTCTTGCAAGTAACAGCGCCTAGAGAATTCAATTGTCAAGTAGCCGCGCCTAGAGAACCTGCTTCTCTAGAACCCACACCTAGAGAGCCACTCTAGCTAGAAGCCGCGCATTGAAAGCTACCGTGGCTATTTCAAACGCCTCCAGAGCTTTATGTGAAGTAGGCAAGTCTAGAAAGCCTAGAAAATCTTTTTGAACTCTTTCCCTCTGCAAAAATCCACCAAAATTCCAGCGGTCCTCCAATATTATTGCCATCATCTCGACGCCATCGGCAAATATCCCGAACTCAAAACCGAATTCTGTCAAGACCTTCGTGAACTCGGAAATATGATTGTCTTTTGTCAACAACTCGAAGTCGCATTAGCTCAAGAAGAAACTAGTGATCTATTCCTAGCAGCCGCCTACACTGGAAATGTTCCACAGCCGCCGAGTCGAAATGCGCAAGAGCAAATTCAACAATTGGCGAAATTGGAGGAGAAATATTCGAGAATTCATTTGACGAATATTATTGATAAAATTAGCAGTGATGAAGCGGTAAGGGGGGTTTTTGGAGGTTACTAGAGTTATCTTAACTTAAAAGCGTTCTAGACTGAAATTTTGTGCTGAAAATTATGTAAATTTCATAATTTTCAGCATCAAGAGAGTATTGGGGGACTAGTTTTTTGAAAAATGCAAATTCTAGTCCCTAGCCTAGATTCCTGAATTTTTCCAGCAAGTGACAATTGGCAGAGAGGCTGAATTAATGACAAAAGAACGACTTTGTTGTGGACTCAACGCTTTTGAGCACTTTCTCATTCGAATTCGACAAATGTTGGCTGCTGATGAGGTTTTTCTTTCTTTTTTTTCTTCCCCAAATAACTTTGGCTAAATCCCATTGTTTTTCTGCAGATTTGGACTGGCGGATATCCGACGAATGGTGTTTTTTGGGTTGATGAATGTGTCGAGTGGTATCGTGTTTTTTCGGCTTTGCAGTTTTTCATTTGCCAACCGGCTAGAGATGATAATGATGTTTTGGTTGAGTGAGTTTTTTTTTTGAATTTTGAGAGAAAATTTGAATTTCTGCGTGAAAACACGTGACCTGGGAATTTTGAATTTGGAATTAATTTTGCACGACCATTTACTCCAATAGAAAATTGCCCCTCGGGTCAGACGAGAGACGACGGGAGTCTGATGACGTCATCTGAGACAGAGAAAGACATCGCTTCGAGATATTTTTGAGAAAATATGTGTCCCTTTGAAAAAATACCGTATTTTGTTTCAAGGAACACATATTTTATTGAAAATATCTCGAAGCGAAATTCATTTTCGGCATATTTTTGCAAAATACTCTCGTCGTCTCGCGTCTGACTCAACGGGCGCCTTGTATGGTCGTGTTTGAGAGAAATTAATTTTTAAATTGAAAATTTGGCATGAAAAGGGAAGCCAGAAATTCGAAACCCAATTTCACCAAGTACGGTATTCCTCTGCGTCACTAACATCGTTTCGAGACCACCCCATTGGGCAGAGAAACAGAGTCAGAGACGCACATATGGGTCTCGCACCGAATACCGTACTTTGCCAATTTTTAAATTCCAATAATAAAAAGTGACCCATATTTTTGGAAAATTCAAATTCATTTCATGATTTGAAAAAAATAGTTTTCTCAAACAAAATTTGGAAATTAGAAAATCATGGAAATTTTGAAAAATAAAACTATAAAACAGTAAATTTTGGACAATTTTCTATCGAAAATTTTTTTTTCCAAAAGTTTCCCAAGATTTCCCCAGCACAAAAATCATCAAAAACCACAAGTTTATTGAGAAATCAATTAGTACTTCTTCTTCATCTACGATCTCTTTCACGACTCTTACTTCTTCTTTTTTCACCACGGCTTCGACTTCTACTATTATCATGTTTCTTGTAGTCGCTTTTCCTCGATCGATCCCTTTCTCTCTCCCTTTCTTTTTCTCTAGATCTCTCTCTTTCCCTCTCTCTTTCTCGTTCTCTCTCCCTGAAAAACCAAAAAAAAAATTACAAAAATCTCGACATTTCCCAACAGTTTTCGGCTTTTTGTTTCACCTGAACAACCTCTTATCCTGATCTCGATCTTTGTCTCGATCATCCATTCTCGAACGCGGTTTACTTCCTCGACTTCTGCTTCGGCTTCGACTTCTATCTCGATCTTTTCGGTCTCTGTCACGATCTCGATCTCTATCTCTAGTTTTGTCACTTCTCGAACGATCTCGATCTCGATCTCTTTCCCTCTGTCTTTCCTTCTCTCGCTCTCTCTCCTTCTCTCGTCGTCTCTCCTCCGAACGTTCTCTTTCCCTCGCTTTCTCCTTCTCTCGTCGTCTCTCTTCCGAACGTTCACGGTCTCTCTCCTTCTCTCGTCGTCTCTCCTCTGACCGTTCACGGTCTCTCTCCTTCTCTCGCTCCCGCTCCTTTCGATCCTTGTCACTACGTGAACGATCACGTCGATCTTTGTCGCTTCTCGAACGGTCCCGCTCTTTGTCTGCATTTCTGGGCGGCGTTTTATTGTCGCGACGATTGCGGCTGTCTGATTTGTCGCGAGGACTTTTTGGTGAACGAGTAGGGCTCTTGCTTTTGCTGAAAAAAGAATATTGATGCTAGACGTAGGGCTGCTAAATAAAAAGGAAACTGTTTCAACTTGCAATCGGGATGTAGGTTTTCTTGTAGTTTTCGACCCGCTGATCACGATTCCGTTGTCTAAAATTGCAGCTAACATGAGTTATGACGTGGCAAAGTTAGGAAACTTCGAGAAATCGGCACTTTGGGAAGTCAAAACTCGCTTTTAATCAAAATCTGATATCTCGATTAGATACGTTTAGGAGGTTCATACAAAAATCCAGAAGATTGTGCCGATTTTTCTAAATTTCCTAACTTTCCACGTCATAACTCATGTTAGGAGTTGAGCTTTGCAATTTTAGACAACGGAATCGTGATCAGCGGGTCGAAAACTACTAGAACCTGTCACTCGCGTGCGGTTGTGCGTCGCGGTCGGAATTATTGATTATTCTCCGACCGCAACGCACAGCCGCACGCGCGGCCACATTTTTCCAAATTTGACAATAACGATACCTCTTCTCCCTCGGCGTCGGTGGATCTTTCTTTGGTTCCGGAGGCGGCGGTGGCATGGCTGCTGCCTGCTTCTCCGGATCTGTTGTCGGAGTACGTGATGGACTTCTAGTTCGCGATTGATTTGATGACAAATATCTCGGCGCTGCATTGCGCCTCGCTTTCCGCGCCTTGAAAAATGATATTCCAACTGATATCAATGTCAAGATCACGACGAATCCATTGGTAACCAATAGGGAGTAAGATGTTGGCGGGATTTTTTCGCGGAAATCTTTGTTGGTCATTTTGTTCTTGCCCTCTTCCAGTTTTTCGTCTCCAGGGTAGTTCTGAATTTGTTTTTTTTTTTTGAGAGAAATTTTGAAATAAAGGCTCACCTTCACTACAAGACATCCGATACAAATCATTGAGACTAGAATAAAAACCAATGAGAAAATACAACACACCATTATCACATATTGATTGATGCTTTTTTTCATTGAAATTAGAATAATCGCGATTGCCGAGAAAAGCATCGAAGCAATAAGTAGACCCAAAGCCACATAGAGAGCTAATGGATTATTCAAAGTATCATCGGTAGAAACTAGTATAATATATTGGATCAATTGAACAGAGCTGATACAAATTGCTGCTGATAATGGAAGTGTATACGTTGATTTTTTGCTGTCTCCTTCTTCTTCATCTCCCATTTTTCTGGAATAATTACATACGAAACTGAAGAATTTTACATTTCCACATATGATTCCACGTTTTAAATACAATAATGTCACGTAAAAAATAATTTTTTCAAAAAAAAATGAAAAATTTTTTCTACACATTTTACAAATTTGATTGAATGTCACGTGAAAAATTTTCAAAAAAATAATAATTTTTTAAATAATTTTTTTTTTGCAGAGAATTATTTGGCGATTCGTTACAATGGGGCGCACTTTCATTGATTGTTTTGCTTGGACAACATCGACGATTTGAGGTGTTGGATTTTTGCTATCATTTGCATCGGGTGCAAAAGGCTGACGCCAAGGATGAGGTTCATAATGGAATTGTGAGTTTTTTTTCAAAAAAAAAAATTGGGTGCCTGAAATTTTTGGATTTGAAAAAAAAGTTTTCTAGATCAGAATTTTGGGTTGCAAATCATGGAAAATTTTATTTCGAGAAATTTTGATTTTTTTCAATGATTTTCAGCGTAAAATTTCACCTAGTAAATTTTTTGACTGATAAAATTTGGATTTTTTTGGAAAAATTAAATTTTTCTTTAAAAAACTAACTTTAGGTCCAAAATTTTTTCATGGAAAAGAATCATGGAAAATCTCAATTTCTGTTGTTTCCAGGTTTTTCTTGGTTTTCAGCGTAAAATTTTAATCAGGAAACTATTGGCCCTGAATACAAAAAAATCCATTTTAGAAATGTTCAACTTGTCCCAAATCCCTTCAAAAATCCCCCATTTTTTGTTCCAGCGCCTCGCCAAAATGGTGGAACGAATTCGTCGTTTCCAATTGCTCAACAATCAAATCATCGTAATTCTCACCAATCAATTAAACGAGAATAATGACGAAGAAATGGAACGGGTACGTGAATTTGCGCCACCAGTTCATCCAAATTATGCCAATCGACATTGAAAATGGTGCTTCAAACTTTTTATTTATTTATTTTATTTTATTTTGTTATCAAAAACGGTGTAAATAATGTGTTTTTTGTCAACTTATGCTTTAATGAAATTAATTAATTAATTAATTCATCTTAATTTGAATTGATTTGTTATGATCCAATGTTTCTTGAGTGTCTTCAGCTTGTTTTTCACTCATTTGAATATCTGAAATATCATTTTTATTTAAATTTATTTTTTTCGAGCTCCAAAAGTTTTTTTTTCCAAATTCACCAACGAAAAAATGTTTTTTAATAACATTGAAAGAACAATGAAAAGTCAAAAAATGTCGAATTTTCATCAGAATTCACCCCAGAAGCTTCACATTTTTGGGCTGAAAATATTTTCTGACTTAAAAAAAACATTTCTGTTCCTGAATCAGCCCTAAAATAAAATTTACCGGGTTGAAGAATTTGCTCAGCGGTGATTTGCTCTTCGCTTGAACAAATTAGGAGGAAACAAATTCGACGGGGTGCTTTAGAACGTAGAAGACTTCTGAAAAAATCACCTGATTTACCAGAAAAAAATTCATCTGCCTCAGAGCAGATGTTTTTGCACAGTATACTTCATACTTCAAAAGCATCACGTGTACTACTGGTGTAAAAGCGGCGACGAGGAAATGAAGAGCTGAATCGGTGACCGAATTCGATTCAGCGTTTCGGAAAAAGTAGGCGGCAATCGCGGCCGAAGACATCACAAATTGATAAACAACGATTTTGTTGATACGATCCATGTAGGAGATTAATTCCTCGCCGGCCGTGTATTTGATGCGTTTTTGGATTTGTGATTTGACGATGTGGAAGATGATGGCGACGATGATTGGAAATCCCATGTCGTAGAAGTTGCCATCGACGTCCAAAGGGTTGTAGATTGTTTGTGTTGGGTCGAGAGCGAAGCTGGATTTTGATCCGAGAAATGTGGCGAGACCGAGAATTAGAGTTATTATGATGCAGATGAGGAGTTGGATGATGCTGGAAATTATTGATTTTTGAGCTTTTGGGTCTAGTTTTTGACACGCATAAGAAGTTCTAGAATCTAGTGTTCAGAATGTGAAAATTCTGAATTCCACTTGAAGTTCCCGGAAGTCAAAATTAGAAATTTTTCAAGATTTTCAAAGTTTTTGTGAAAAACAAAAACCTTAAAACTAGGAAAGAATTTGCGCTCTATCGCACACATATTTTATTTTTGTGTACTTCTCTCGGACTTCACACCCAAACATTTCTCAGGGTTTCGAAAATGTTAATTGGCGATGAACTCAGCGGACAACTTAAGTATTATCGAAAATCTCCACGCGCTCCACCGAAATAAACACGCAACGCCGACCGCGCCGCGCCACAACACACACAAAAAAGGGAGGGAATTTGAATCGTACCCTTATTTGTGTGTGTTGTGGCGCGACGCGGTCTGCGTTGCGTGTTTATTTCGATGGAGCGCGTGGTAGCGATGAGATTATTTCATTCGTGTTTCAATCGTTTGGTGTGCGATAGAGCGAATTTGCTCGATTTCACAAGAAAACACGGGGAAAATCAGGCATGGCCGCCGCAGAATTTTCCCTGTGAAATTCTCTTGTCAGAAAAAAAGTTCGCGTGGAGACAAAATTGAACTCGAGTCTTCCAATTGCCAGCCTGACACTCTACCACTTAACCAACGGCGCTTTGCTAAGGCAGCATCGAATGCAAAGTAACTAGAATCTAGGTCGTTTTACCTGTTCTGAAATGGTTCCGAAATGTGAGTATTGTTATACAGGAGATATTGCTGAATTACAACCATCAGAACAATCGGAGAAACTGCACGATTCAAAGTTCTGACAACAATCTGATAAATCATCGTATTTTCCGGATTCTTTGGTGCTTTTGTCGTGATCTCTATCATTGTTGCTCTTGTCGTAGTCTCATTGTCATTACCATCATTATAATCATAGTCAGAAGTTGAGAAGGTTGAAGACAATTGTAAATCTCTAGAAAAAAATTATTTTCTAATAACCTTCATCTTCCACTAACTCCTGAAAGGATAGAAAATGAGCGACTCCTCCAGCACAACCCAAAAACGAGAGAATGATTATGAGAGCGAAACCCTTTTTCTTGACATCGCTGGTAAATCGAGTGCATCGGAAATATATCATTCGAGGAATGTAATAGATGAATAAGAGAAGGGAGCATGTTGCCGCACCACACAAAGGTCCACTCATTGTTGGAGGGCCAAAGTTTAGCAAATCTAGCAACATTTTTGTCGAAAAGGCCGGATCATTGTAGGCGTCATCGTCATCGGTTTTCTGGAAGAAAATATTTGGGTTTTCCTCAGCGATTCCTTGAATCCTTAGGTTGAAGTTAATAGAAGTCACTCACATTCAAGTTCAATCCCTTGAGCAGCTCTGACAATTTTTGTAGAGATTCTTGAAGGTCCACTGAAGAATAGTTGGATGTCGAACTGAAAATTGTCTAGATACTAGGGATCGGATGAGATCGGAGGTTTTCGAAAACTTTTTATTCACGAGATTTACAATGAGACCTATGTTTTTGGTCAGTTTTTCACACTGATAAAGATCCTGTTTTCAGTTTTTGCTGAACGACTCTCTGAAGATCCGAAAAATGAGCCAAAAGTTGAGAATTTCCTGAAAATCGCGTTTTTGAGAGCTCATAACTCATGTTAGAAATTAGTTTTATGGAAAACTGAATGCATTACGTTGTTCAGGAGGGTCGATTTACTAAAGTCACAAGTTTTGAAAAAATTTTCAAATGTGCAATCCATGGTAAATCGGCCCTCCTCCTGAACAACGTGATGCATTCAGTTTCCCATAAAGTTAATTTCTAACACGAGTTATAAGCTCTCAAAAACGCGATTTTCAGGAAATTCTCAACTTTTGGCTCATTTTTGGGCTCTTCAGAGAGTCAGCAAAAACTGAAAACAGGATCTTTATCAGCGTGAAAAACTGACCAAAGAAACATAGGTCTCATTGAAAATCTCCGGGGACTGGTCACACACTTCCCTCGTTAGTGCAGTCTGAGGTAACTCGACGCGCTGATCAAGATGCCGCAAAAGTTGGCGCTCTAGTCCTAGCCAAGCTCCACGTTTGTTTCGCCCCAAATAACCCTAATTGTAAAGTACTTCTGTCCTACCCAGTTGAAAATTGATATTTTCTGAACATAGCTCATTTGCGCGGCTCAGGCTGGAGCTAATTTTTGCGGGGTAGTGACCTACACTTATCTTATCTCAAAACCCTTTATCACCCTAATCTCCCCCAAAAAAAAACAGTAACTCACTTGAAATCCCTGTCATCATCGAGAAATGTCTCATTTCCATTCATCCATGTCTCATTTCCACTGAAAACAGAGCTGAAATTGGACTGGAAATTCATGCCCTGCAAGAATGATTTGACACAACTCGAAACTCGCAATCTCCTGATTTATTTCACCTGCTCTCGGGGTACTGTAGCCCCATTTTTCGCCCCGCAATTTTTGCTTATCAAAAGTTCATTGATAAGGGAATCTTCTTCTTCTTATTTTCTGCTTTTTCATAAACAACAAAATTTTTTTAAATTTTCAGTGAGCAACAAAAAATGAGCCAAGTCTATGAGGATCGAAAATTGATTTTTGGAATGATCGGAGCATCTGTGGTGACGTGGAATGTGAGCTGGATTTGGCTGGAATCCCATAATTTATAGCTGTTTCAGATCATTCTGAAGATCAAGCAAATTCTGGAAAATCGCCAACCAGAATTGACCGAATGGATTCCAGTTGGAAGAATCAAAAGTCTCCATGTCTACCCGATCAAATCTTGCCAGGGAAAAAATGTGAGTTTTTCCTGATGTCTAGAATTCTCCTCATAAACTCTGAAAATTATAGGTTTTCCAATATGAATGCACACCCCTCGGCGCAGTTTCTCAAGAATATTTCGACAGATTCTTCTTGGTCGTTGATGGTGAGACTGGAAAATTCCACACCGCTCGAACCAAACCACAAATGGTTCTGATTCAGACTGATATTCAGGATGGAATTGTGACACTGAGTTATCCGAACTTGGAAAGTGTTCGATTCAGTGTTCAAAGTGTTGTGGGGCCTGAAAATTTGAAACAAGGATTGTAAGTTTTTCCTGAACTTTCTGATCCAAAAATCTGATTCCAGTCTCCACGGAAAACTTCGAACCGATGGATATGATTGCGGTCAAAACGTGGCCGATTTTCTATCAAAAATCATTGAAGAGCCAAACACCAGACTTCTGATGTATCAACCAGATCTTTTCACTGAACGAACTTGTCGAACATCGGAAACTTGGTGGAATAATCGAGTGCCGAATCGAGTTGATGATGTGAGTTTTTTTTCGGGTAGACAGGGTTGTGAGTGATGAAAAATCTTAATTTGAAAAAAAATTCAAAATTGAAAATATCGCAGTATCGTAACCAAAATTATTATCAGAGCAAAACTTGATTATATTTCATTTTTTTTTCAATTTTTTAATTATTTTCTAAAATTTTAAATTTCGCACCTGTTCGCTAGAGCGCGTTTGCCCACTGACAGCTGTTTCTCCGATTCGCAATTTTTTTAGTAAACGCACATTTAAAAACTGTACTGTGCCGGAAATTTTCCAAATTTCCGAATTTCCGGTTTTTTCAAAGAAAAATCAATTTTCCGGTTTTTCGGAAAATGTGCTCGGAAAATCGGGAAAATCTTCAATATTGCCTAAATTTTGGGAAAATTTCTCAGGTTATGATGAAAAAAAAATGACATTTTTGAATTTTTTTTTCAAATTTTACTATTTTTGAACGTAAAACGTCTCAAATAGTAAGTTTTAGTGTCAAGTTGAGGCTGAAAATCAAAATTTAAGACTTCGAAAATTTTCCGCATTTTTTATTTTCCGCTTCAAAAAATCCACAAATTTTCCAACTTTCCGTTTTCCGGCTTTTTCCTCGAACTCCACCTCTAAAACAACAACGTTGCAGACAGCCTACGCTGATCTCGCCCCATTCATGATCACCACTCAAGCCTCCCTCGACGATCTCAACAAACATCTCAAAACCCCCGTCACCTCAACCCACTTCCGCCCAAACATCGTTGTCGACGATTGCGAAGCGTGGGACGAGGATAAATGGCAAGATCTTCGAATCGGCGAGGTTGAACTTCAGTGCTTCAAACCGTGTACACGATGTATTTTGACAACTGTTGATCCGCAACTTGGAACAAAGGATAGTGATATGCAACCCTTGCGGAAACTTCGTGAAATTCGTTTGGCACCGGAGGGAAAAATGCGGAAAGAATTCAAGGATTCACCGATTTTTGGTGTTAATGCTGGTGTTGTTCGAAGAGGGCATATTCATGTTGGACAAACTGTTTGGGCCAAGTATAAAAAATCTGCTTTCTAATTAATTAATTGATTTATTTGATCAGCAACATTATATACATATAAACATCTAACCCGACAAAAAATTAATAAGAACCGGTGAGAAAACCTGAGAAACTATTCGATAAATTCTTCAAAAAAGAAAAATAATTGCTACTAGAATCGAAATAAACATCGAAATCGATTTCGAACTCGATGAATATTCTAGCGATTGCACATTTTCCTCGTGTATCAAATAATCGGGTTCTCGCTGATATGATAGATTTTCCTCAACAACTGGCGATTCATCGATGATTTCGAATTTCCATGGAACCATTTCCAAATCATTTCGAATTGGTTTCGCATTTTCGAATGTTCCAGTCTTTCCCTCCTTCGCCATTTGTGCAACTTTTATAAATTGTTGCTCGTGAACTCCAGCTGAACTGAAAGAGCTTGGAGGTCTTCGGAATTTTGGATTTGTTTCTGATTGTGATGGTTTATCATTAATCGAATCCTCATCTTCATCTTCCGATGGTTTCGTATAATCTTGTCGTCTTGGATTTGATGTTGTGGTAGATGAAACCGGGAGAGATGGTAGAATTCGAATAGCCAATCGCATGTTTTCAGTTTCGCAGAGCCCACTATATTTTCTATCGATTCCCTCGATTTTTCCAGATGATGTGGCTAAAAAACATTAATTTTTTGTGAGTTTTAGTCGAAAATTTTTGCTCGGAAGAGCCCAAAATCCAACTCACTAATATAATAATAGGTCTGTCCAACACTAAATTCCCTTCCATTCGGAACTGGCGTAATATCTCTTATCGACAATTTCGAATTCTTCACCGGAAATCCATCGCCACCCCGTGACCGCAAGATTTTCTCCACATTATTCTCCATTCCACACCTCAAAACTTCTCGTGAAAGTGTCTCAACTTGACATTCACCAAAAGCCAATTCTCCAACTTCATACACTTTTAGATATTCATTATTCGGTGATTTTTGATCTTCCGAATTTTCCGGGCATACAAATCGCAAAGTATCACCAATTCTCACATCGATCTCCGCGTTTACTCGACCATGACGAAATCTGAAAAATGAAAAAGTTAGGAAATTGCTCCTCGGGTTAGACGCGAGACGACGGGAGTATAATGTTAGAGAAACACATCGCTTCGAAATATTTTTAAGAAAATGTGTGTGCCTTTGAAAAGGCAACCGTAATTTGTTTGAAGGGTTTTTTTCGCAAAATACTTTTTGACTTAACGAGCGCCAAGTATGGTCGTATAAGTAACAATGGCAATTCCATCAACTTCCGAATCTCATTCCCAAACGGAAATTGTACATATGTATATAGAACATCCACATTAATTAGAATCTTTATTTTTATTGTTGTTGTTCGGGTTGCTATAGAATTTGGCTAATAATATAAAAATGTGTGTCAGCTAATCCCCTTCGACACCTGCTTTATTAGATAAACAACCCCAAAAAGTGACAGCCACCAAAAAATGCCAGGTAGAATATTTGTACATTTTCGGTTGACATCAAAAAATTAGTCATTTTTATCAATTGACTTTTATTTTGTTCTGTTTACATTACATACTAAGGTGATTATTTATTTACAACCCGCTACTTTTTTTGCGGCATAAAAGAAAAAATAAGCCATTTGGGGTGGTTGAGAAATTTGTCGGCTATTGCGTCAAGGAGACATCGATAGATCTTTTATATATATGTTAATGAAGCGGTGATCCGGAAGAAGTTTTTATTAGATTACAATCTATTCTTTTTCTTAGGCGGTGGCGAGTGAGTGGATTTATTTCTTATGGTTGACAGAAGGAGATTTCGAAAATAATTTTTTGGTTCACTAAAGTAAAACGCTGGAGACAAAGGCTCGACTACTTGAACTTGAAGACACTGTGTCTCTCAAGGCGTGAATCCTTGTCAGAGTAGATCTCTAGACGTGGGTCCCAGAGAATTAGGCTCCCTAGGCTCTGACACAAGAAAAATCCCAAGACTTCTTCTCACTTTCCATAAAAATCCCAACCAACCCTATAATTACCCAATCCTAAATGCATTTTTACAACAATAATACAATACAATATACATTACCAAACAAAACATGCATTCTCCTAATAACCCCTCGCCTGCCTCAACTTTATTATTATACAATTCCTGTCCTTCCTCCGACTGTATATTAATACGGGTCGATGAATTTTGTCTCGCCTAATTTGATAGTTCCGTCTCCCGGGAAGAGAGAAGACAAGGTGACACCACCAACTTTGATTGATCCTAAATTGCCATGACACCTAGATAGTCACCACAACAGATTTATTAAATATTTGTGTAGAGATAAATCTATGTAGAGATGACCCCTGCCTGTGCAAGCATTGCGCAAGTTATGAATATTTCATACCCCCTTTTTGAGCAAACCCTAATTGCCAACCATTTTTTAGAATGCAAAAGGCAGGTGTTGCCTTAACAAAACATGGGTTAATTACTAATAATGGGTTCGTTTTTTGGTGCGAGGGTAAAAGCCACTTTTTTCATTATGAATACAAAATTGGTGAAAAATAGGGGGGTCAAATCAATTTTCGAATTAACGCAAATGGAAAAATGAATCTTGCTTGTTTTAGGCTTGGGCTTAGGCTTAGCTATTTAGTGAGGCTTCGGTTAAGAGTAGCGTTTTTTTAGGCTTGGGCTTAGGCTTAGCCTTTTTAGGTTGGCCTAAAGTTATTAGGTATTAAAAAAGTATGGCTTAATTACTAATTTTAAAAAATCATAAATCTCACTTGCCAGACTAGACTCAGCCTTTTTCAGGCAGTAGGCTAGGCTCAGGCTCGGTTTAGGCTCATATAAGGTATGGCGTATTTAGGTTAGGCTTTTAAAATCAGACCCATGGTTAGGCTTAGCTATTAAGTGGACTAAATAAGTAGACTGGTGTGCTTAGGCCTAAGGTTAGGCTTGGGCGTAAGGTTCCTCAAGCCCCCTTCTATTATTTATGAATACAAAATTATTAAAGAAGGGGGGGGGTCAAATCAATTTTCGAATTACCACAAGTACGTAAATTGAAAACTAGAATCATAAATCTTGTGAATTCCTCCCCTCGACCCTATAAATAATATTCCCGAAAAAATCGCAGAGTACATAAATTATACGTTATCTTTCCTTTCCCGCACCATTTTTATTATCTCGTCCAAAAATAAATATTACTTTTAAAAAAGTTGTTATTTCTTTGGAGTCGTATATACATATAAGTAAACTCAATTACATGGCTTAGCGGAGCACCCAAAAAAAAACAATATTAACAACGACAAAAAAGATGGTCCCAAATTTCAAGAGGGCTGCTCTTCGTCACCAATTTCCACCCAATTTCCTTTTGACATCTCAAGTTACGCGATATTCTTTTTTCTCATTGTACGAATAAGCTTACAAGCAAATACACGTGTCAATAGTACTTGTCAACTTAGAGGTTAATCCCATTCTTGACAACCTCTAGGTGAGGTTAGATATGTATTAGCTCCTGCCCTGGTCCAATCCGGATAAAAAATCTCAAATATCATTTGGACACCACGAAAAAGTCAGTGCAATTTAGTTAATGTAAGTAGTGTACATATAAGTGCCCCACACATTTTCATTTTCACACGAATCAAGTCAAATATGCAAATTACTCCGGCCCCCCATTCCAACTAACATTTTCTTCGTGATACTACTCTACTACAAAAAATGTATGTATGTTGCCTGGGAAACGGACAGCAGAAGCTAATGAGCTACAAAAATACTACAAGAAAGGCGGTGAGAGCAAAGAAATGGCATACGGTGCACTACTTGTTGAGGATGGGGAAATTTGAGGATCGAGGATGGATTAGGCGGGAACAAAATAGTGTTTTACAAATTAGATGGGATGACAGAAGGTATCGGCTTCAAGTGAAACAGAAATGTGGGATTTTGGAAATTTCCGGAAAGTAAGAAAGTAAAAAAACTAGACTCTCAAGGCTCGTTTACTTGACAGCTAGGCTATCAAGGCTCGCTTACTTGACAACTAGGCTATCAAGGCTCGGCTACTTAGAAACTAGGCTATCAAGGCTCGGCTGCTTGACAACTAGGCTATCAAAACTTGGCTGCTTGACAACTAGGTTCAGCTGTTTCATATGAAATCCCCTGATTAAAATACTGTGCGTTTTTCAAAAAAACTTTTTTTTAACATTAGTATTCTACTCTATTTCCCCTCAAAAAACTCTCCCTCATGATGAATTTCAATTAACTATCCATCTAATTAAACTCTTCATCTCCCATTTATAATATTTATATTTATATATAAACTCCATTTGGAAAGATGATTTACAACTGTCTCAACCAATTTAGACACTCCCCCAAAAAAGTGCACCATATGCCACCAGTTGACTAGTCAACTTGTCACACCAAATCATAAATAATCGCCTCAAGCTTAGGAGGCTTATCAACATTTTCAAATCTCTGGCTCCAATTAATAATCCCCAAATTTCTAATTATCTCAAGACCCAAAAATTGCGCAAATCAAGGCAGATGTCGAAATCTTGTCGGTTCGAATGAGGCTTTCATTTAGAGATTAGTTAGTCCCTCATTAATAGTAGTACTAATAATAATAATTATTATAATACTCATCTTACCTACAAAAAAAACGATCATAAAAATCGGTCGGTCGGCAAAGTTCTATGAGGACTGTAAATCTTCGGCGCGCACGCGCGCGCGGAGAAAAAACATAAATAACAATAGAAAATCTGGAGGTAAGATTTGCATGACTATGGCCAAGGTCCCCATTTATGTTAATATGTGAATGGGCCCCCACCCTGAATGGGGGGGGGGGTGTGAAAAAAGGCGACACCTCATTAGACACGCGTTATAAAAAAAAGTTTTCTTGAAGATCTTGATCTAATGTAGATAAGAAAAGCAGATGCTCTTAAAAATAAAAGCGAGCGGATACCTTTTTGATGTAATCATCTTGTAATAGATATGCTATGTGCTAGATATGAAAAGTTGCGGACCTAAGGCCCAAATACTCACCAAAGGGTTTTAGGGCCCCTTACCTTATTGTAATAGATCTACTACTACTACTAGATATGGAAAGGGTTAAGATCAGAAAGTTGCGGACCTAGGCCCCTAGGGTTAAGAAAAATTACCTAAGTCCCCCAGAGGGTTCTAGGCCCCCTTACCTTATTCCCCCTATATATATAATACACAAAAGGTATGTACGTATATAAATATCCGACTCTTTTGTCTAAAACTATCTGTTTACCCACCGAAAATGTGACTAAGAAACACAAGTCTTTGTGTCTAACAACTACCTAAATTGCGCAAATCGGTAAAACTCTTTGAAGTCACCGAGCGCGAAAAAAATTCGAATTTTTTCCATTTTGGCGTTTTACATAGAAAGAAGGTCATTGACTTTGCCTACTTGAATAAAATTCATTTTCTTTTCTCACATTTTTTCCCTTTAACACCTGTGTTACATAAGTAATATTGAAGAAGAAGACGATGGCAAAGTAAATAATAGTAAAATCTCAAGTATTTGATGATATCCCCTTATGGTAAAGTATAAGGGTGGTTTACATAAATAAACAGGTATTTTTTGTTGGACCGGAAAGAATTGGATTGTTGGGGCGTAAATATTGCGCAATTTTAGATAGGGGATTATCAACAGACAACAAACTTTGGAAGGAAAATATTGATTGACGTGTTTCTGGTCAAACCCTAGACCTGACTATTCAGAACACAAGGCTCAAAAGCTCTCATGAATAAAATTTTAATTTTAAAAACCACGAGTCTAGCCTTTGAACCCTCTGATTTTCTCTAGTACTAACTTTTGTTTTCCCAAAAGTTTCTAGCACTAATTGCTTGCTATGTAATTTGAACACCCAATTATGCACCACCCCCGAAAAAACAAAGTTTACCGCCTTGTTTTTTACATCTGCCTGCCCCCTGTGCCTTTTATGAATGCCTATACATAAAAAAAAGTCAGCTGTTCGTATAAAAGCAAAAAAGAATAAATTGTTTATGTATGACAAGATTCGTTTTAATTCTAAATGTGACTTTTTCGATTCGAAAAAATGTTAGAATCCTATGTATTTATAAATGAATATTTTGTTTACGGAAACGGAATCACCTGCCTATTGCTCTATTGGTAACCTCGGGGTCTTATTTGCATAAGAATAACTCGCACCTATTATTATTATTTGGGAACATGAGGAAAACAGAAGTAATGAATATATTATAAATGAGGTATATTCAAAGATGAATAGGAAATTTGATAGTTGTGATATTCGAGCAAATGAGCGAAATCGGGCGGACTTCAAAAGAGCACATCTGGCGCATTTTTGTTGGAAATTTGAGGTGTTAGGAGATTTTGAGAGGAATTTTGGACAGTTCGACAAAACTCTCTACCGGCAAAAAAAACTTGCGGGCAAGGGGCATCGAACTTGGGTCAAAACAATGAGAGTCTATCTACTTATCCACTCGGACACGCGCGCTACAAATTTAGTGTGGCGAATTTCGATGAAAAAGACCGCTGCGGCGTATTTTTGCCGCGGCGGTGCTAAAAAGGTCCCGAGAGGGGCTGAGGCCCCCAGGAAAAACAGAAAAGCCTAAAATTTTTGCATAACCCTAAATTAATTGTCAATATTTGTTACAATATAGTATACTTTTCGAACTTTTCCCCCATTCCATTTTCGAGCAAATATAATGACCCTTCAAAATGACAATTCACTTGCCGCTATCTAATCTCTCTCTACCGGCACAAATAAACAATACATAAAAGTAAAATGCTACCCGCAAAAACTTACTCGACATTTGAAGAGTTCCAGTGGAAAATGTGCTCGACACAATTCGAAAATCCAAAGAGAAATGTTGAAATAATGAAAATTGAAAGTGAAATTCGAAGTGGCATGTCTGAAAATAAATGAATAACTCATATAAAAATATAGAAAAAAAATATATATAGAGAGAGAAAATGAAGTTAGCGTAAATTAGCCACGTGTGTTAGATTAACACCCAAAAACCCAGCGGGAATTCGAAAAAAAAATGAGAGCGACGAAAAAAATAATAAAATTGGTGTCAACACACTTTTCTCCTTCTTCTTCTTATTTTCTACTAATACACCACCCCCTTTTTGCTACTGCCAAAAGTGGGCGGAGCCTATTTGATATGGGAGAGATTGAGAGGGTGCAGAGAAAGACAGGGGGACTAGGGGAAAGAAGATGAGGTAAACTGGACTGAAGAGTTTCTAAATAACTTGTAAAATGGGAGAAGTAATTGAGCGGAAAACAAAAAAAAACTGAAGTTTTCTTTTTTTTTTTTTGGTGAAGAGAAAAAAAGGTTGTGGTCATTTTCCGGAAGAAATTGGATAGTTTTTTGAAGTGGTTCGAAATTGCTACAAAATCTGGGAATTGCAATGTTGAAAGTAGTAGGCTCTAATATGAGCAATGTCCTAAAAATTCCATTTTTTAGTGATCTGAACATTTTTCAAGCTCACATTTTCAGAAATGAAAATGAATTATTTTTTTTTATATCGCTCAACTTTATGTTTAGTCATTTTAACATGAGCAATAGTGAAAAAGTAACTAAATTTTTAAATAAATGAGATTTTTCAGATTTTCCAGCAAAACATTGCTCATGTTCGATTTCAGATTTCTGAAAAATTGAAAAGGTAGAACATTTGAATGAGAAATTTGAGCTTAGAACTTAGGAAATCCAGAAAATTCTAAATTTTTTTTTGAAATTCAGAAAAAATGAGAAATTTCTATATTTCGCTGGAAAAATCCAGAGAATCCTAGAATCTAATATTCAGAACTTCAAAACCCGGAAAAATGCAGAGGCTCTAATATGAGCAATAATTTCACTGAGCTGAACATTTTTATATTTTCAATCAGTTCGTCAGCTCACATTTTCAGAAATAATGAAATTAATTTTTTTTTTTTTTGAAAATTTTTCTTCACCTGAAAAATTAGGCCAACACGTTTTATTTTATTATTCATTTTTTTATTCCAAAATTTTTTTCATAGCACGAAAAATCAAAAAACTCAAGAACGAAAAAAAAACAGTTTCAAGTTCACCTAAACCTCCAATCAAATAAAATATAATGTGATTTCTTCTCCCAAGCCATCACGCTCTTTCAAATCGTAACTTATAATTACGATCAATTTTCATTGAAAACGAAACGGTCTTGAAATTCTTTTGAATATTTTTCGAAGCCCTAGCTATACATTTTGAGACAAAAATAAACAAAACAAAAACCACTATACATTTAAAATTAAAATTCTCAAAAGAGGAAAAACGGGCGAGAGAGCGATTTGTCAAAATGTTAATTTTCACCAAATTTTTTTTTTATTTTTCACCAAGTCGAAATAAAATTGGCGTCCTTCTTTGTCGGAAAGTGCAAAAATTGACACTTTTTGTTGTTGTTGTTGTTGTTTGTGTTAACACCTATGACACGTGGATTTTTCTCAAAAAAGAAAAGAAATTAGCCGAAATCTAAAAACAACACAATAAAAATAAAATGAAACGAAATTGCTCTTTTCTCGTTTTAATTACATTCTCATCGAGATTAAACTATTTTTGAAATTCAATCTTTTATTTGCTCACAGAGAGAAAAAAGTTTTGTGAATTTTTTTTTGCTGTAGTTCCGCGAGCTTCCGCGAGCTCCAAAAAAGTTAGGGTAATTTTGGCGATGCGCGGAAGCTTGCGGCCTACATTTTCTTGAAGGTTAAGGTCTTCTATTTGAAGCTTCCGCGTAAGCGGTAAAGTTACCTTAACTCTTAAGATTTTCAGAAAAGTTAGGGTAACTTTGTAAACACCGCAAGCTTCTTCCGCCTAATCTCCAAGTTACCCTAACTTCCTAGCGATTTTATTATTTTTCGTACACACACACACACAAAAAAACGAACGTGCTCTGAATACATATACATACTAAAAAATGTGAGAAAAAAACAAATTTTCTCGAAAAAAAACCTTGAAGCTAAGAATTTACACACGCAAACCAACATTAATAATAATTAAATATGATTTGCGATTTTCTACAGAAAAGGACAACAAAAAGTCGAAATCGAATTATGACAGCGAAAAAAACGCGAAGATCGTTTGAATTTGACGCATCAGCGGCTTTTTGCGAAATTCATTTCGACAACCAGTTGTTTTTTTTGGGAGATGGGAGATGTAGGTTAGGTTAGGTTAACTACTTATGTGAAAAAGAATGGTCTATGGCTCATTTCGCAGAGACAAAATAATCGAAATTGCGGATTTGAATGGGATGGGTTTTTTTTGGGGAGAGAGAGGGATTAGTGAATTTTAGATTTTCAAAAAAAAATATAGAAGGGATACTGAAGATTTTTTATGATGACGTGGAAAATTCTAGATTTTCTGAAAATGACTTCTAAAATGCCACGTCATCAATTTCACGTTGAAAATTTCACGGCACTTTTAATTTTTTTATTTTGAAATCAATTTCAAGATTCTTACAATTTTGAAAATGCCACGTCATAAGGGCCAGGTTCAAAAAAAAATTTTTTGGAAATTTTTTACAGTATCCAAAACTTCTTGTGACTCACAATCAATTTTCAATATCTATATTTTTGATAAACCACTTTATAGCCGGAACTTTTTGCGTTGTAAAATTTTTCAATAACTCCTAGCTGTTCCCATGGTATGTTTTCATCATAAACTTCTTCTTTTTTGAAAAAAAAAAACATCTGCTAAGTCCGAAAACTACAACAACAAAAAAAGGCGAAAAATAAAAATGCAAAAGTAAGAAAAATGCTTTACCAATTGGTAAATACTAGTCGTCAATTGATGAATAATTGACGAGTCAATTGAGCTCTTTTCTTCTTCTTATTTTTTTTTTGCTTCTTCACGAGCTCCTAGATACAAATAATACAAGTATTTATCTTGTTGTACTTAAACAAGGTTTGAGTTGACGACAAGATAATTAACATAAGAAGAGTAATTATTTTGACATGTTTTCGGGTGTTATCAAGATCTGGAATTAGCGCAATTTGACATGTGATGCACAATGTGTGCAATTTGGGAAGGGGAGATAGGTTAGGCTAATTTACGGGAAAAATGAGATATGGTGGTTATATAGGGTGTGGGGGAATAGGTTAATGTTAAAATGAAAATTTGAATTTTCAAATTTCCCGCCTCGAAAAATATAGCTCAGAATTTGAATTTTCAAATTTCCCGCCTTGAAAAATATAGCTCAAAATTTGAATCGTCAAATTTCCCGCCTTGATAAATCGAGAGGAAAATTTGAAATTTCAAATTCCTCTTCTAAATTTAACCTAACTTAAAAGAAAACGCACCTTTGAGATAGTCTAATTGTGAAAAGAGTATTTAGAAAAATGTCTGAAACTCAAGATGAAACTTCGGACCACTTAACCCTAAGTTTCCTTTTGGGATCCGAAAATTTGGAATTCTGCACAGTGTGTTAAAGGTTCCCCTAACTTAACTATAAAAATTCGCGAGCTACCGTAGTTGGCAACATGAACACGCACTTTCTGCAACCCTGGCACACTTTTCTATTTGTGAAAAAATGTGCCAGAAAGCATCTGCGCGATCTTAAAAAGTTCCAAGATGTTTTGGACCCTCATGAAATATTTGGAAACTTATCACTTGATCCAAAAGGTTTGAACTTTTTTTCTGAAGCTCTGATGATCTTTTCACATTTGTTAACCACGCTCTTAGCCAATCTATGCTCCAAAGTCATAAATGACACCAACTTCCCAATCTTATCTTCATTAATTTCTTCTTGCTGCTCAAACTAAATGCGCAACAAAAACAAAAACATTGTAAAAATGACACATTGAGCAGTGGTAATAATTTATAATGTCTCCCATTCAATCTTGATAAATTTATTTATTTATTGTAAAAGGTGACAGAATGATTGGGGTTGTTGTAATGTGGGAACTGGGAACATATTGCGCACTTTTGTTTTGTTCTGTTTTTTTGGGGTGACTGGTTGGCATATATTGTGATTGAAAAGGGGATCAATGAGAGCGGCACGATGAAAAGTTGATTGTAAATTAGATGTATCTACATATGTGGGTCTTCCGTTTCTACTTATAATACGAAAACAAAAGAAACATGACGAGAAAAAATTGGGAGTCAAGGGATTCGAACATTAAATACGACGATAATTACTTTGAAGATTTATGGAGGCTTTTTTTTTGAATTTGAATACGAATGAAATATGGCTCGAATTATTATTGGGCGAATAAAAAATGTTCTTCTTTTTGAGGAAATGAATAGCTTTTGAAAAAAAATCGGGAAAGTTTTGGGACCTTCTGAATCGGACCAAAAGAAAAAATTGAAAAACTCACCAAAAATTTCGAAATCTTTGATTTTTGCAAGTGTTTTCAGGCTGGTTTTCCATGGTTTTCGAGTTTGTTTCTGCAAAAAATTATGATTTTTCTAGGAAATATCGGAGTTTTCCTGATAATAGTCGAAATTTCCCTCCTCCTCGAATAATTCCACGTTTTCTTTTCAATTTTTCTTTGAAAAGCGAACCTCGATCTCTCCCTTCACAGTTTTTCCAACCAAATCAAGTCGACAAAGTCGAGAGTATAACCAAAAAACAAGTTAAGGTAACTCATGTCGAGGTTCCTGACAATTGCAATGGCTAATGCTCAACTTAAGAAGCTTTACTATCCAGAGTTAGGCTAAGTTGAGCTGTACTTTACTCCAGAAGAGACACGGGAAATTATTCGGTAGGTTAGGAATTCGGGCAGCCCAAAGAAAAAAAACTCATCTGCCATTTTTTTTGCTCGCCGAAAACTTGAAATAACTGAAAAATTATCGTTAAAATGACATTTGCCACGAAAATTTCACGTTCACGCAAAATATATCATTTTTCTCTCTGTGTTTTTTTAACACTGTTAAAATTTATTTCAACTCATACTACTTCTGAAAATTATTTTTCAGAATTATATCCAGAGTTTCTAGTCAATGCAAAAAGTGTTCACGAGAAAAGTCTAGTTTAGTCTTGCGATAAAAACTCGCAGAATTAGATTAACTCTGCAAAGTTAGCAAGCGGAAAACCTCAAAAATCAGATATTGAGAATTTCCAGTCTGCAAAAAACCATAAAACTTTTCATTCCATAAATTTTAATTAAAATTATCAAAAAAAAACAAAAAAAAAATACACGTTTTGTGAAGAGATCAGATCAACAATTATTTTGGTCTATAGAACACTTTCGTCCGAGATTGAACCAATTGGCAGAGACAGTTTTTTCTGCAAAAAAAAATAATTTGCTATCTTTACCTGCAAAGTTCGATTTGACTTACATGAACTCACCAATTTATCCTTTTCATTAGGCGCACGAGCCAATGAAAAACAATTTCGAGAAAAATCGCGGATTTGCGCTTTGATGTCACCGTTACAATGGTAATATACTGGAAGTCTGAATGCTGTTGATGAAATTGTTAGAACTGATGAGAGATCTGCCAGGTATCTGAAAAATATTATTTACAAATCTGGATTGTGGGTTTTACGAACTTATAAGTCCAGCCTTCTCCATGTTCCCGAAGAGTATCGGGTTTTATAAACTCCATAATTGTAATCAATAGGTTCAAAGTGTTCGTCAATAAATAAATAGTTATCAATGCTGCTAATGTGCGAGTCGCATCTCTTTTTCGACGACGAGCCGCGCAAGCTTCAGAATTCCTTCGCAGTAATGTTGGCATCTGAAAATATCACATTTATTTGGAGGATTCCCTTATAAAAAGTTTTGTTAGTATTAAAATTTGGAAAAGTTAAAGATGATTTTCGCGATGAGCCGGAAAAAACGCGCCGTGCATTTGTGCGTCGCCGTGTTTGCACACAAGTGCGAGCTACAGTAGGCTGCCACGCAAATTAAATTCTCATTGCGAAAATCATCTTCAAAGCATGCAAAGCCACAATCACAATAGAAAAATATAAATATAGGGGGATAGAGGCAATCCTTCTCACGTCAAATGAAGATGAACAACTCAATGATTTATTGATTAGCGGTCGATAGACATCAGCGATATATGGAAGGCAGAAATCAGTTGCGGCTTCAATCGCCGCCGCTGTCGCAATAGATTGACAACGTTTCTAAATTCATTTTGAAAGAAAAATCAAAAAATAGTTATTTTGCAACATCACACACCATCAAAAAGCAGAAGTGGGACACTTCTAAGTAATCAGGTTTTTTCTTATCACAAATTAAACCTTTCCAATGTTAACTCACTTCAACCAACACAGATTGAAAACCATTTACATGTAACTTGTTCAAGTTTGAAATCGTCAACGAGTTTAACAGGAGGAGTAGGGCGAAGGGGGTGAAGACGTTGAAAATTGAGCGACACCAGAACATCCAAATTGTTTTGTAGTGTTCACTGCGCGTGATTTCGGCTAGATCGAGTTGGAGATTTTGGAATGCTGGACAATGTGGGAGAGTTTGGAGTTCGAGTTCGAAGAATACAGAACCCTGGAATAATATATGGTTAGGCAGCTATTCCGGTTGACCGAGAGACCACCCACGAAGCCTCTGGCCTAAACTTGAACCAAACAAAAGATAGAGATGAAATATTAGGAGAATATGAAAGTTCCTGTACGCAAAAGTGCGTCACAGTGTTTGCACACACGAAGCCTTGGAGGCAATTTAAAATTTTGAGGATTTTCTCTTGTCAGCTCGTATTAATTTTCATGAATTTGGTATTTTTAACACTTAGCTTCGAGGAAAACCAAAATAGATTTCTGACCGCTTTCAAGGGGGGGGGCTACAAAATTTTTAAATAAAAAAGTTATGGGAGCTTTCATGTATCCCAAAAGAAGTATAACAAACCTTCATAAAGAGAGCGCACGCAGCAACTCCCAAAATGCACAAAAATCTTCTTTGCGATGTGAACTGCATCGATGATTTTATTGAGCAGATATATCTTTCGAACGACGCAGCCACGATCAACAATGTCGATGCAGCGATCAGAACCTGAAAATAGTCACAATTAACAGAAGATTCCTGCATTTTTTGAGACCTGACACGATCTTAAAATTGAAAAATGTGGCTGTCGTAAAAATAAAAAAACATTATTTCGTCAGTCGCGTGCGGCTGTGCGTCGCGGTCGGAAAACAATCAATAATTGATTTTTTCCTATGTTTCCCGACCGCGACGCACAGCCGCACGCGACTGTCAATGAATTTCGAGCCCGCGAAAGACGCATCACGAGACGCGCCGCATCACATTACAAAACACGGGATTTCCCTGAATCCTTAGTTTATTTATTTGCACTTTGTACTTTCAGCTTTTCTCAATTCAACGCAGTCAATTTCAATTTCATCCCTCACTAAAAGGTCAAGTGAACACAAAAGATTGGATTTCTGTCGTATTTTTTGAACATTTTTCATTTTGACTTGGATTAATGGGTGGCATTTTTCTTGCCTCAAAATAAAACCAACCTGCCCAACAGTCGACACATATTTGATATAATAATGCCACATAATATATAATCTCTCAACTTTATAATAATCATACACCAATGAGGCGGGGAAAATTAGCTGGAAGAAAAAAAAAGAAGGTCCCAAATGTCCAATTAATAAGGCATCAAAGTCTTCTCACTTCACTTACCATAAAACATAATTCGACCAAAATATCAAGGCAGGCAAGAAGGAATAAATATAGAAGATTTGAATTTAGAAATGGTAGTTTTCGAAGTGAGAGAAGGAGAAAAGCGTTTAGAAATATACCTGGAATTTAAAAAAAATTTTAAATTTAAAAATTTTCGCGGTAACAAACATCGTTGTGAGACCCATTTTGTTTCCAAAAAAAAATCAATATTTTCCCCCCGAGCCTTACCAATAATACAAACTGCCGTTCCAACTCCCACAATTAAAATCATCCGAAACGCATCAGCCTGAGGTGATTCTTCTTCACAAGTTCCATTTATTTCAGTCATCTGAAACATTTTGCACTAGTAAGTAATTTTCTCGGTTGAGAAATAAATCTGAATAAAATACGGGGCGGGGGTAATTTGGGCTCCGCCCACTTTTTGTTGAACTTTTGAGCACTCAATAGAAAAAATTGGGGGGAAAAATATATCGCAAATTTCGTTTGCGGGAAAATGTGTCCTCGGTAGTATAGTGGTGAGTATCCGCGTCTGTCACATGCGAGACCCGGGTTCAATTCCCGGCCGGGGAGAGATTTTTTATTTTTATTGTTTTTTTTTACAAAAAATGATACCGAGAAAGCAAAAATGTTTGTTCAGCGGAATATGATCAAATCAAAAAAATACATAATCAGATTTTCACTAAATCCAATGTTTTTTCGCTCGTTGATATCGAAGAAACCCCGCGTTGAAGAAGCAAAAAACAATCAAACATCAAGTGGCTTTGAAACTTTGGAAACTTATGTTAGAACAACATTTGGGGGAAAAATCCAATTTGAAACAGGTGACATCAATTTTATGATGTTTTCTGAGAATTGAGAGAAATTCTAGGTGCTAATTAACTGAATCTAAGTTCTACAAAAAAAAAAAAAAATGAAATTGTGGTTTGATTTTTTAGTAAGGCAGACTTAAAACATTTTGCCATAAAAAATTTCAGCTGTTTTTTAATCATGAGGAAAAGAAAATGCCACAAAATGTTTCCAGGTAGTTGAACATTTGAGCAAAGTTCAAGTAAGTATTCCTTTTTCCTAGGATCGTGCATGTATAAAAAAAATAAAATGAAATAAAATTGTAGTTTTAAAGCTGACTACAAAAACCGTTTTTTTCAGTAGTAAAAGCACAAGAAAAATGAGAAGCTGAAAGAGTTTTTACTTCTTGGTTGAAGAAAAAGAAAAAAGTAATTGGTTTTCTGAAATAATTGGTTTCAAAACTAAGTTTGAGAGGGATTTTTGAGGCACAAATTTTTTTAAGAAAAAATAATTTTGGGTGAAATTCTCTTTTGAGACCAGAAATTGAAATGAAATCGGTTGTTTGTTTTTTGTTTTCGAAAAAAAATATTGAAAGAAGATTATTGGGAAAATATTTTCTTCAAAAAAAAACATAATAAGAAGGGTACATTTTTGAACTCTTTGAGCATGAAAGAATTTTGGAGCACAATGTAAAAGACAGGAAGTGTGATTTGTACAAAGGTCGCCGCAAAAAGTTCAAAATTCGGAATGAAAAAAGCTCGATTTTTGTTGCTCGGGGAAACTTTTTTGGAATTTTTGGAAGTTGGGGATTTGAGGCCAAGTTAGGCGAAGTTTCAGAAAATTTTTGGAAAGTTTTCAGACAAAAATTTGTAGTGTACAAAAAAAAACAGGATTTTTATCAGGAAAAGAAAAATCGAATTTTCAGATTCACAAATTTCAGGCGCATTTTTTCCCGACTCCAAATCTGTGAGTCAAGTTCCAGATTTTTTCAGAACTGAAATTTTTCAAAAGTTCAGGAAATTGATCCACAAATTTGCATTAAAAAAATGAATTTCAGATTTCTGATTTTCAGACAAAAATTTTCTATGATAAATAGGAAATTTAGGATTTTCTAGACCAAATGCTTTATTTTTTGAAAAAAAAATAATTTTTTTCAGATTCACAATTTTCAGGCGCTTTTTCCCGACTCTAAAAAAACTTCTTTTAGTTCTGATTTTCAGACTTATCTTAAATTTATCCCAAAATTCAGATAAATTTAGAAATTTCTAGACAAATATCTTCAAGCTTCTTCTAAATAGAAAAAAAGTGCAGGAAGGGTATACTGTAGGTCAGTCAAGTCAGTCGAGAAAAAATGAACAAAAAATGACGAGACACCCACAACACACACGAAAAAAATAATTAAAAACGGGGACAAGAAGAGGAAAAATGTGATATATATAAATATTATGTATAAAGAAAAATTTGTTCTTCTAGAAGAGAAGAAGAAGAAGAATCCATTTCTTGTTCTATTTTGAATAAAAAATGAAAGAGAAGAAGAAGAAGTGCAGAAGACTGTGTATTGTTCTAAAAAAACGAGTACCTAATTGAGATTCTAAACAGGGAAGAAGTGGAAGAAAAAAGGAGAAGAAGAATATTGAATTGAATTATATTGTCTCCTGGAAGCAGAAAAAATGGGGAAGAAGAAAAGACCAAAAAGTAACTGATTTTATTTTATTTTTTTTGTCTTTCTCTTCTTTTTCTTCTTGTGACGAAAGTCCAGTCAATTAGTAGTGTGAGGAAATTTATTTGATTTTTTGCTCCGAAATGAACTGTGCTCTTTTTATTGGATACTTGGAGATTTGGTAATTTTTTTTGTGAAATTGAATTGGTAAATTAGAAGTAGAAGTCAAAAAAATTGTGAAAATTTAAAAATCAGTCAATAAATTCTGAAAATTTTAAAATTAGTCAGAAAATTCTGAAAATTTCAAAATTAGTAAAGAAATTCTGAAAATTTTAAAATTAGTCAATAAATTCAGAAAATTTTAAAATTAGTCAAAAAATTCTGAAAATTTTAAAATTAGTAGTATTGAAAAAATTAGATTCAGAAGATCAAATTGAAGTTCAGGAAGGTCAGAAAATTCTGAAACAAATTTTAAAATTTCAGAGGGAAATTCAAAAATTCAGAAAAAAATCATTTTTCAGTTTCCAAAAAAAATTGGATCACTTCGAGAATGTTCAATTTTTATATCCGAAAAATTGTTTTTTAAAAAAAGTTCAAAATTTTTATTTCCTTGAAATTTTTCCGGTCTATTTGATTTTCCAGCTTCAAATTCAGAAAAAATAAAATTTTTAAATTTCATGAAATCATAGCTTCCGCTTTTCCAACAAAAAAATCAGAAAAAAAGGGAAGACAACACAAAAAACCGCTTGAAAATCAAGAAAACGAGCTGCAGAGCAAAAAAAAATGATATTCAGATTTTTATGAGCTAAAAAACAAGCGGCAGACCAATTTTGTCGAATTCAAAATGCTGCTTTTTGATCTCGAAGTCTCTGGGGAATCATAAACTTTCAGACAAAAAAGATCAATTCTTTGAAGTAGGTTATTTTACCATTTTTTTCATGGCAAGGGTTTGTTTTTCAAAAATTGCTGAAATTCACTATCCAAGCGCGCTGTTTAAATATGAAAATTTCTATTGCGAAGAAAACCAGCCGTGTGGCCGAGTGGTATGCACGCCTGCCGAGCTTTTGCAAGACCAGGGTTCGACCCCACCCGCCGACAAACTTTTTTATTTTTTTTCTTCAAGATTTTGCAGATAGAAAAAAACATGAAAAATAAATAGGGTTTGCTTACTCTCAGCCTAGCAAAAAAAAAATAAAAATAAAACAAAAAAGATCGGATCTTCTCAAATTTATTTTCAACAATACTTTTTTATGTATGCCTTTTCTTCTCCTTGTTTTTTTTTGTTCCGGTTGAATTTTGAATCGTTTTTGCAGGTGAATTATTCAATAGAGCCAATTAAAAATTATATGTTTCAAAAGAGAGCAAAAAGAATTTCAAAAAAGGAAAAAAAAAATGAAAAACTCACGTCTGGATGTCGGTTTCGGTAAAAATTGAAAAGCATCATTTGCATTTTGCTGAAAAGTTTTTGGGAGTCAAAAAAAAATGATGAATAGAAAAAGTGGAAAATATTTATTTGCTCATTTTTAAGAGAGAAAAAGTGGAAAAAAAAAGATTAGTAGTTGGATTGTGATTAAAATCGGCAAGGATATAAATATATCACATCATCATTGAACGCTGGAAAAAAAAAGAAGCGAAAAGCTTCAGCGAATACTATAATTTCTAAAAATAGCCGAGTTTTTTGTATGTACTATAAAAGTATATTTTGGGAAAAATTGAAAATTGTACGAAAATATTCCGAATTTTTTGGGGGATTTTGGAACTGAACCCGGAAGAGATTTTCAGAAAAACAATCTTAACTATAGCTCAAGCTACAGTAACCGGGCTGCAAAAATAATGGCTCAAACTGCAAAAATTTTAGCTCAAGCTACAGTAACCCAAACTACAAAAATTCAAGCCAAAACTACAGTAACCAAACTGCAAAAAATGCAGCTATTTTTTTCAAATTTTTCTATTTGATAAAAAAAAAAACGTTGCACCTCAAGCTACAGTGTTCGAACTGCAAAAAAGTATAGCTAAAACTACAGTAGTCGGTCGAACAGCAAAAATTTATAGCTCAAGCTACAGTAACCCAAACTACAAAAATTCAAGCCAAAACTACAGTAACCAAACTGCAAAAAATGCAGCTATTTTTTTCAAATTTTTCTATTTGATAAAAAAAAACGTTGCACCTCAAGCTACAGTATTCGAACTGCAAAAAAGTATAGCTAAAACTACAGTAGTCGGTCGAACAGCAAAAATTTATAGCTCAAGCTACAGTAACCAAACTGCAAGAAATGCAGCTATTTTTTTCTATTTCATCAAAGAAATTTGCACTTCAAGCTACAGTAACCAAACTGCAAAAACTCTACTTAAAATTACAGTAACCAAACTGCTGAAAAATGCAGATATTTTTTCCTTCAAATTTTTCTATTTCATCGAATAAATTTACACTTCAAGCTACAGTAATCAGACTACAAAAACTCTTGCCAAAACTACAGTAATCGAACTACAAAATTCCATCAAATTTTACAAATTTACAATCGAGCTGCAAAAATTGTGCTAAAACTTGAATTCGAAAAAAATCTTCAAATCAGAAAAAATCTCTGATAAGCTTTTTTGAATGAATTTCTGTTTTCGTTAAATACTTTTTTTTTGAGAATCGGATCGCCCTTTGAAAATCGTATAAGCTCATTTTCGTCTACGAAGATGGCTAGCTTAAAAAAGTTCGAACGGTTTACCAAATTTCCAAGGCTAACCTAGAATTTGCTTTTATTTTAGCTTAGCTCAAAAAAATCCAAAAACTACGTCAAAAAATGCGAGATGATGATGATGCGATTATCCAAAAAGCATAGAAAAAATGCTAAAAGTTCAGACTAAAATTTGTGTGCAAAATGCTCTTTTTCAGAATTCTGACACGCCGTGTGCGCCGCACGGACTTCCAAGGCGACGCGACGAAAAAACACAAGTTTGCCAATGAATTATACATTTCTCTATTGACACTGACAGTTTTTTGAGATCTAATTGTAAAGGGAAAATTTTGCCACGTCATAACCATGTTGTGGTTTTCGGTGTTTTAAGAAAACGTCATAATTATAAGGTATATGTGGAAATTATATGGAGTTCAGTAACAGATTTTGAAAATTTTTGAGAAAAAGGGGATTTTCAAAAAAAATTGGAAACACAGGAATTTACAGATCCAAAACATTTTTGGGATAGAAATCTTCGGATTTACAAATTTGAAAAATCCAGAAATAATTTCATGTGACGATTTTTCCAGATTTTACGATGATGTGATACTTCCTTAATCGGATGTTCTTATTTTCAGATCATCTATTTTGAGCTAAAAATTTTTTGAAATTCTGTTTTATAGGTTCTAGGTATCAAGTGTTCATACATTTTTTTATTATTTATTCGCAAAAAACAACGGAACCTAATCACATTTCTGTTTTTTTTTTCATTATTTTTTATTATCATTTGGCACGTGTTTTTTGTTGTTGAGCAAACTTGTGTTCAGTTAGTTAGCTCATAGAACCCAAATACAACTTGGAATAATTTTTCTCACCTCGCCACAAATTTTTTTGAACCCAAACATTTTTTTGGGAAAAAATGATATCAAATATTTGTGATCTTCCAATGATTTCTTTGTCAAATATCTCAACAAAACAGGATGAAATAATTCGGAGAATTGAATATGTTCAATTTTCGATATTTTGCATAACTTTACCATTTTATATTTTCATTCTATATTTTATTTATCTCGGAAGAAAGAGAAAAATCGATCAATTATCCACGCCATTTTTTCTTTTATGTATAACAACTGGAATTATTGATATCTTAAACTATACCAACAATTATTTCAATTCAATGTTACCAAAATGGGGTTGGTGTATTCCATTTTTCCTTGTCCTTGATGGTATATACGCCCACATATATTTCTACATTGCCTGGTCGACTGGAATTTGTCAAGTATTTTCAGTTGCGGTGATCGCATCAAATCGGCTCACCGCAATAATATATCCCTTTCGAAAGAATCAAATTTGGAATTCGAAAAATTTGCGAATCGCAATCGGGATTCAATTTCTCCCCGGTTGCCTACTCACTTTAGCCACATTTTTCAATCCAACCCAATTATATCGAAATAAATATGATGGAGTTGTTCCGAAATTTCTCGAGTATGAGATAGATTTTCAAAATTTTTTTTTGAAATAATTAATTTTGCAGTCAAAATATAACATCAATGTTTTTCCTGGTTTGCGGGTTACTGGTTCTTATTGTTTGTTTTTATTTGATTATCGGGTATTTTTACCTTTTTATTGTTTTGCGGAGGAGTGCGACTAGAGTGAGTTACTCGAACTTCGGGGTTCAAAATTGACTATTTTCCGGGGTAGAATGACGTGGCAGTTTACAAACTCTTTTTATTCCAGAACCACAATACATTCCGAAAACTAAACATCAAAACAAAACGTCGTGATATGAAACTGTTATGTATGAGTTCAATAATTGTTCTAACTCAAATCATCGGTTTCGTTTTTCTCGCAATCGTCGCAACCAAAATCATCATCTTAGATCTCGAAGAATTCTATCTTCTTTATAATATTGTTAGTGATCTATATTCAGGCCTAAATCCATATTTATTATGGATTTTCAGTGATTCTCTACGAATATTCATCTTAGAAGAATTAGGTTTCAATCGAAAATCGACAAAAACAATCGGAGGCATGGCTGTTAGTAGAACATCTGTTATTATAATAAATACTGTTTGAGAATGATGTGATCTTGTGTTTTCTAGATCTTTTATTTTTGAGCTAATCTAAAATAACAAACTTCAATCCCAAAAGTTTTTTCTAAGTTTTGCGTAATATTTTCCAGGTATCACTAACTATATATTAAATCTAGTTATATGTATAATATTATGTTTTTATTCGCAAAGAAAAAACCCAAAAGCTAATGTTTTCTTCGTTGTAAATGTTCATTGGTTTTTGTTCTCAAATTTCCCAAGTGGGAAACACTTGTGGTCATAAACCAAAACATTTTTTCACATCTCGCCACAAATTCGTTGAACCCGCGGATTTTTCTGTTCCAAAAATACATTTTTTTGAGAAAAAATGATATCAAATATTTGTGATTTACCGATGGTTTCTGCGTCAAATTATTCAACAAAAGAGGATGAAGTGATTCGAGGAATTGAATATATGCAATTTTCGATATTTTGTGTAACTTTACCATTTTATATTTTTGTATTATATTTTATTTATCTCGGAAGAAAGAGAAAAATCGATCAATTATCCACGCCATTTTTTCTTTTATGTATAACAACTGGAATTATTGATATCCTAAACTATACCAACAATTATTTCAATTCAATGTTACCTAAATGGGGTTGGGGTGTTCCATTTTTTCTATTCCTTGATGGGATATACGCCCACATATATTTTTATATTGCTTGGTCGACTGGAATTTGTCAAGTATTTTCAGTTGCGGTGATTGCATCAAATCGTCTAACCGCAATAATATATCCTTTTCGGAATAATCAAATATGGAATGCGAAAAATTTGAGGATCGCAATTGGGATTCAATTCGTTCCCGGATGCCTGCTGGCTTCTGCCACATTTTTCAATCCTACCCAATTATATCGAAATAAGTATGAGGGAATAGCTCCAAAATTTAAAAAGTATGATTTTAAAAGATGGAGTCCAACTCGGACTGTTCGAGATAAAAATCGATTTCTTTGAAACAACATTTTTTCAGTCAAAATATAACATCAATGTTTTTCCTGACTTGCGGGTTACTGGTTCTTATTGTTTGTTTTTATTTGATTATCGGGTATTTTTACCTTTTTGTGGTTTTGCGGAGGAGTGCGACTAGAGTGAGTTACTCGAACTTCAGGGTTCAACATTATCAATTGTTTGGGAGAAATAGAATGGCGTGGCTGTTGATTGTCCCGGCAACGCTGAAGTTGCAAAAACAATTCCCCGATTTTATAGATCCCCAGGAAAAGCTTTTGAAGAATGGAGGGAATAGGAAATTTCTAGTCCCTAATGTAAGACTATGTTTTCCTAGTACCTACATTTCTAGGTTTTCCTTAGGCTCTATAAAATTATCTATGACTTACACAAACAAATCCAAGCTTCTCTTCCAGAATCACAATACATTCCGAAAACTAAACATCAAAACAAAACGTCGTGACATGAAGCTGTTATGTATGAGTTCACTAGTTGTTCTAACTCAAATCACCGGTTTCGTTTTTCTCGCAATAGCTGCTACCGATATTATCGTCCTAAATCTCGAAGAATTCTATCTTCTCTATAATATTGTCAGTGATTTATATTCTGGCCTAAGTCCATATTTATTATGGATATTCAGCGATTCTCTACGAATATTCATCTTCCAAGAGCTCGGTTTCAATCAGAAACCAACAAAAAGAGCAACTATTGCTGTTAGTAGAACATCTGTTATAATAATACATCCTGTTTGAGAATTTGGAAAAAAAGATAGATCTTATCATGTTTTCGCTTGTTGTTTTTTTTCTGAAACTGTCTCTTTCGAATTAAAAAGATAACATGAAGCGGTGTTTTTTAATGAAAAAAAATAATGTCTGGTTTTTTCTCGGTCGAGAACAAAGGATTTTTCGAGAACACGGGTATAATTTCTGGAAAAACGTTGTTTCTTAAGGAAGGGATGGCTCAGTGGCAGTGGTAGCTGTTGTCAATCTCAGGGTCGCGGGTTCGATCCCCGCTGCAAATTTTCTTTTTGGAAAAATCACAGCAAGACTGACAGAAATCTATAGGGATAAATGGTCATTTTCTGGAACCTCACAGTAAATCCTACTCATAAATCAAAACAGTTCCAGGCATACCCCATAAACATCCCCAATAAATCTTTGAAATGCCCCCACAATTTTTTTGGCTATCCGCGCGCAAATCTCCGCCTTCCGCGTCCTTTAAAAAGGCGGCTGTCCATCAAAGTTCAAGCAGAAAAACATGGAGAAAGAGGAGATTCGTGTTAAAGCCTACCGATTTGTCGCCTATGCTGCTGTCACGTTTTCAGTCGTTGCTGTTTTGACGGTAAGTGCTTTTTGAGCTTTTAAAATTGGGTAAGGGGGATTTTAGATCACGGCCTTTCAGAAATAGGAAAAATTGCGAGTTGAGAGAGACGCAGAGAGTGAGAAATACCAAACCTTTTTGCAGTTCGACTCCTCGTTTCAAGACCAAGCGCGGGAAGCGTCTTGAATTCGAAAATATTTGAAAAACATATGTTTCCCGCGCTTTGGTCTCGAAACGAGGAGTCGAACTGCAAAAGGGTTCAATTTTCCCTATTTTTGAAAGGCCCGCCACTTCGTTCGAATAGAGACTGTTGGGTCCTGAAGCGATGAGCCATGTTCCTTTAAACGAATTCTCACTTATTTACGGGGTTTTTCTCTATTTGTTAGTCCAAGTGCCCGGTGAGAAAAAAAGAAAAGGTCAGAGACACAGAGGGAACAATGATGATGCAATCGAGTGCAATAGAGCGCGCTTTCTCTGCTCTCCTGAAAATTTCGCAGTCTCATGATATTTCAGGTTTGCATAACTCTCCCAATGGTTTTCAACTATGTAAGCCACGTCAAGAAATCGATTCATCAGGATATTCGATATTGTAAGGGATCAGCAAAGGATATCTGGTCAGAAGTGAATGTTATTCGATCTTCTTCAGCCAATAGAACTACTAGACAAGCCTATGATTCAACATCTTCAAGTTCTTCAAATTGTCAAGGATGTTGTTTGCCTGGGCCAGCCGGGCCAGCTGGTAATCCAGGAAAACCAGGCCGTCCGGGAAAACCTGGAGCCGCCGGATTGCCCGGAAATCCAGGCCGCCCGCCACAACAACCGTGCGAAGCTGTCACTCCGCCACCATGCAAGCCTTGTCCACAAGGGCCACCGGGGCTTCAAGGGCCACCCGGACCTCCGGGGGATGCTGGACTAGACGGGCAACCCGGTCAACCGGGGCAAGACGGGCAGCAAGGGCAGGCTGGGCCGAAAGGTCCGCCAGGGCAACCAGGACAACCAGGAACACCGGGACAGGATGGGAAGGCAGGGCAAGACGCGCCTAGTGAACCGTTGCAACCTGGAGAGCCTGGAGAACCCGGGGAGCCTGGGCCACAAGGCCCGCCAGGACATCCAGGACAACCTGGACAGGACGGTTTGCCGGGAGAGGCTGGGCCGAAGGGACCAACTGGACAGCCAGGGCAACCGGGAGTTGATGGAAATCCAGGAATCGCTGGGCCGCCCGGACAACCAGGAACACCGGGAGAAAAGGGGATTTGTCCGAAATATTGTGCTATTGATGGAGGGATTTTCTTTGAAGATGGAACAAGGCGTCGATAATTTTTTAATGTTTGGTAAAATTAGTTTTAATGATCATAAAAATTATTTATTTATTTGCTGAATTTAGGCGCGAAAAATAAATTTTACCAAAAATTTTCAGGCTGATGAGCCTTCGCTGCAAGACCAATTGAGATTAAAAACACGCGCGCCTTTGGTACCGTACCTCTTTTTTCACGCAAACGAGGAGCCTAGATTTTGATGAGTTAGCCTAACTTTTTTCAATTTTTAAAGATTTTTTCAAACTTTTCATATATTTTTCAAATATCGATTTTTTCAATTTTTCGCGAAATCCCTCCCCAAAAAACTCACCAATCGCTCCTATTTCTTAAATCACACAAAAATCCTCAAGAAATCCTCAATCCTCCAAGTTTTCCACGTTATTGACATTGAAATCCAATTGTTCATCGATATTTCAAGCTGAAAATCAGAAAATTTGAATCGAAACAGTGTTTCTCTAGAAAAAAACCCACTTTTCTTCGATAATCCTCGGATTTTCCGCTGGAAGCGATAATTGCAGACTTGTAGAACATTTAAAAATTCAATTTTTGACTGAATTCCACTGTTTTTTCCCCGGAAACCAGAAATCCGAGCGAAAAAAAACGAAAAATGAAAATATTCTCGCATTGCGCTAAACAGCAGGCAAGCCGGAGTGTCGTTGTAAAAGTCAATCGACAAATTTTACTGTTTTTCATCAAAAAATGATGACAAATCGAGATTTTTCAAGCTTCTGGAGTGATTTCTGATGAAAATCGACCCTGGAATTCACTTTTCAGAAGTTTTTGCTGATTTTTCGTAAAATAAAGAAATGAATTTCGAAAAAACCAACAAAATGAGGTAAAATAGGGTTCTCGAAGCTTATTTTCATTAAAAATCACTCCAGAGGTTAAAAAAACCTCATTTTGTTAATTTTTTCAAAATTTAAAATTTTTTATTACCAAAAACCAGCAAAATCTTCTGAATAGTGGACTCCAAGGTCAATTTTCATCAAAAATCATTCCAGAAGCTTCAAAAATCTCGATTTGTCATCATTTTTTGCTGAAAAGCTCGACATTTTTCGATTTTTCGTTTGTGAATCAGCCCTTTTGGAAAATCCTTTAGTTTTAATGATCATAAAAATTATTTATTTATTGATTGATTTTCAAATATTGAAAATTGAGCATCTTTAGATTTGTTTTATGGATGACTAAACGACAAAAATAACATGAGAGATCAAAAAAAAACATCACAAAAAAGAATTTTCACTGATTCGTTCCAATTTCCCATAACACCACTGGCAAATCGGGTTTAAGACGCGGAATTTTATAGCGCTCCTTGCCTTTCGGCCTCAAATTCTTCATCAGCCGACATAATCTGTGTTTTTCGCCGTCGCTGATTGTCTCCTGATAGAATTCATTGGCCACATCGCCGTCTTCATCAACATATTGACTGCTGGAAAAATTAATTGTGGATGAGCAAAAATTGAGCAAAAATTGAGCAAAGGGGGCTAACCTTTTCGATTCGTGGACTAGAAAAAATTCGGGTAGAACTCCTTTGGTTCGAAAGATCTCCGTGTATTTTGCGATCATGTCATCGGGTCGAGCACGAGTTCGAGCAATCTGAGAGAGGAACATTTAGAATTCTATGGACATTTTGGGGGGAAAATTTGAATTTTTTCGGGTAGGATTTTCTTAGGCTGAAACTGGGCCCAAAATTAGGGTTTTAGGACCGAAATTAGGGCTTTTTGGGACTTTTAGACCTGAAATTGAACCCAAAATGCGATTTTCAAGCTGAAATTTTGAATTTTTCACGGAATGTTAAACAGCTCCAAAATTAATTAGGTTTTCTAGGCAAAAAAGCAATCGAGAGTCAAAACCTTGCAATTTTCTGGATTTTTAAAGGAACATTAGCTGAGTACTGTAATTTTCCCATAATTTTGACCAAGGTGATTCAAAGAAAATTCAGAGAATCAAGAATTTCAGATCTAAAAAAGTCCGGAAACTTTTAGGCCGGCAATTTCAACTCCTGGGGAGCTAGGGCCCATCTAGGGGCTTCAGGTTCAAGGCCAGGCTCTAGACCCGGCCCTAATTTCCAAGCCTGATTCTGAAGCTCCAGAGAATATTTAAAAATATTTTTCTGAAACTCAATTTTCAGACACTAAATTTTTAGCCAAAATTATTAAATCTCTTCAAATTTTCTTGTAAAATTCAAGAAAAAACTCACATAATTTCTCTGCTGACAAACTTCTTCTTTTTCCGTTTCTTCACTCGAATTCTCCTTCTTTTTACTTCCCGTCAATCCCATTTTTCGTACAAAATTCTGAAAATGAAAAAAAAAATCGAAACACGTTTTTTGGATTAAAAATGAGTGGAAAAAATAATCAATTCGAAAAAAACCGGACGAGAAAAATCAAATGACTAGAAAAAAAGAGACGCAGACACCACGAACAAAAAGCGAGAGAGTGCGAGAAACGCGGAGGGTGCTAGAGACAAAAAGTCGATTTTCATTTTTATTTTTTATACACATATATCTAGGCAAAAAAACCCAAAAAAGTGTCAAAAAACCGCGAGAAAATTTTCAAATTTATTTTAAAACACAGAAAATGTTGATAAAAACCGGGGCGGAAACCCGGAAAATTTTTAAATAAAAAAAAAGTTAGAGATGAGCTTTTCAGGGCGATAATTTCAGAGATGAAAAACACGAGAGAGAAGCAAATTGAAACAGATAACAAAACAATGAAATGAAATGATATAAAGAAGCAATGATAATAATAATAATAATGATAATTAATTAGAGAATTCTGAAAGACGGTGTTGAATTGAAGTGAGTTCGGAGCCAAGAGTTTGAAGATTTGTTGATGATGAAACATCGCAAGATCGACGGATGAATGGAAGAATGTGGGTTAGACAATCACGAGATATTGAACGTCTGTGAAAAAATCGATTTTTTGAGGGGAGGAAGGGGATGAAAACAGAGGAAAGTGTGATTTTACAAGGGAACCTTTTTTACTCAACACTTCAAATCATGATGAAATTTGGTCCATGGACAGCTTTTGGGATCATAAGAACACCCTAGAAATTTTAGTCTCCCAATGGACCTCTGAGCCAAGTTCTGGGCTCTCAAAAGTTCAAAAATTGCCGAAATTGGCTCATAAAACACGTCATAACTCAATTCTCGATCAATTTTATGAAAAACTGAGTAGCAGATGATGATCAGCGTGGTCGATTTACCCAAAAACCATCAATAAATCAAATTTTCGGAAAAATTTTTGATTTTGAAAAAAAAGAATGAGCAGAAAAGAAACATATGAATTTTCATGAATTTTCAGCCGAAAAATAAAAAACTTCAAAATTTTTCGAAATAAAGTTTTTTATTGATTGACTTTTAGGTAATCGACTATGCTGATCATTATCTGAAACTTCATTTCTCCCAAAAAAAAATTTGAAATGAAGCTATGATGCCTTTTATGACCATTTTTAGGCCTTTTTTGAGTTTTTGAGAGCCCAGAACATGGCTCAGAGGTCCATTGGGAGACTAAAAATTTTAGGGTGTTCTTATGGTCCCAAAAGCTGTCCATGGACCAAATTTCATCATGATTTGAAGTGTTGAGTAAAAAAGGTTCCCTTGTTAGGCTAGGAAAATGAAAGTTTCTCGTTGAAACTCACAAAAAGCGATTTTTTGGGTGGAAAAAACCCTATTGTAAAATGAGGTTTTTTGTGCTTTTAACATGAGCAATCTATTGGTTGAGGGATTTTCTTCAAAATTCTCAAAATATGATTTTTTTTCGAAAATTCCCTAACCTTCTTTCGAATTTTAAAAATAAGCTCTTAACATGAGCAATGTATAGGAAAAATGCTTTTCCTTAAATTTTCAAAGTTTCGTAAAATCTGGATTTAAAAACCAGTTTGCACTTTTCAAAATGATAATTTTATTCAAATTTTTTTGTCGAAAATTCAAATTTGAAGGTGAATTTCCTCTTTAACATGAGCAATATTTTTTAACAAAGGTTTCACATCACAACATTTTAAAAAACTCACAATTGCTGATATCGTCTCAAATGCCTGTCAAATTTCAATTTATCTACACAATTTTTAGTGGGGAATTTTAATCAAATTTTTAGAAATTGAAAAAAAAACTGAAACAAACCTGTTAACAGCCGGAACACTTTCCAAATCTCTCACAACATTTTTGGCGACTCTCAACACAACTTTTGTGATATATTCTTGTCCTCGCTCATTTTGTGTCCACCAAACATCGCCGCCAGTTCTAAATTCATCAGATGCCATTTTCAAAAATTCCACATCGGCCAAATCGATTCTCGAACATAATTTCGGATAGAAATTGGGTGGCAGAGTGACTCGTTGATTTTCATTGATTCCGCCAGATCCAATCTCCAAAATTCGTCGAATAATAAAGTCTGCAAGAAAAAAAACAATTAGGAAGGGGTGAAATTCAGACAGAAATATGGATTTTTCAATTTCGCAAAAAAAATGTGGTTGTATGAAAAATGATGGAAAATCTTAACAATTTTGATTTTCAGAATTTTCTTTCATAAAAAAAATTTGAAACGTATTTTTTTAAAGAAAAAAATTTGAAGATTTTTTTCATTTCTGAATTTTCAATAAAAATTTGAAAAAGTTGGCTTACTGTATGCTCCTTTAAATTTCAACGATTACCATTTTTTCATTGGAGAAAATTTAATTTATCAATTTCGCAAGAAAATGTGGTTGTTTGAAATTAATAAGATATTTAACAATTTTGATTTTCACAATTTTCTTTCAAAAAAATTTTGAAACGTATTTTTTTGAAGAAAAAATTTGAAGATTTTTTCATTTCTGAATTTTCATTCAAAAAATTTGATAAAGTTGGATTACTGTATGCTCCTTTAAATTTCAACGATTACCATTTTTTTAATTGGAAAGTTGGATTTTTCAATTTCTCAAGAAAATTTGGTTGTATGAAGAATGATTGAATTAACAAATTTGATTTTCAGATTTTTCTTTCATAAAAATTTTGAAACGTATTTTTTTGAAGAAAAAATTTGAAGATTTTTTTCATTTCTGAATTTTCATTCAAAAATTTGATAAAGTTGGATTACTGTATGTTCCTTTAAATTTCAAAAATAATGATTTTTTCTGAAAAATTACAAGGTTTTTCATTAAAATTTGTAAAATTGACATTTTCCAAGTAATTTCTCTCAAAAATCATAAATTTCTGGTGATTTGTGAGTAAAAATTCTGAAATGAAAATTTCTCAAAATCAAAAATGATGATATTTTTGGAAATTTCAAGTTAAAAAATTGTTTTTTTTTGGGCGCTGAACGTTTTTGAACCAGAATTCCAGTTTAAAAATTTAAAATATTCAAAAAAAACTCCCAAAAATCCACCAACCCAACGGAAAATATTTCGTCTTTCCAAACACCGCAAACAATTGTTCAACCGTAACCAGCAAATTTTCACACAGTGTCGCCTCATTTGGAGCTGTCATAAATTCTGCAAAAATGCACATTTTAGGCGGAATATAAAGAGAAATCTCACCATCCTGAAGAACAGCTTCCCAAGTCTCAAAAATATGCTCTTCCACATACATATTCGCACAATGGAACAAAGCCAATTTGATTTTGTGCAATTTGAAAGGAACCTGGGAGAAATTGGAAAATTGAGGGGGCTTGGAAAGGGGGAGGGCGAATAGTTACCACATATTTCAACAGCAAATCTGTGAGCGACAAAATTTGTCCATCCAATTCTTTGACCAACGATTGTCCTCTTGGAGTAGGAACATCAAGAGCTTCTCTGAAAAAAATGGGATTTTTGGGAAAAAAGCAGAATTTCTGTACATTGCTCATGTTAAGCGAAACACACATAATTTTCCACATTGAAAAACTCAATCAATGATTGAATTCTTGTAATTCAAGTTCTTAGAGCTTTCATAATTAGGACCAAATTTTCAGAATAATTTCAGACTTCAGCTGAACTTCCAGAAATTGTTTCGATTTTCAAAATTTTCTTGTGCTCAGAGGGTTTGGCAGCTGAATTTTTATATGTTTATCAGTGGATTACAAAATACCCACCAACAAAAAATATATTAATTTTTTTGGATTTTCAGAATTTTTTCTCTAAATCTCTGAAAATTCTGCTTTTTCAGATTCAATAAAAATTTGAATTCGGAAATTTTTTAAAGTTTTCTCAATTTCAGCCAACTTTTCAATCAAAAATTGATTTTTCAGAAACAGAAAAAAAAAGATTTTTCAGAAACAAAAAAAATGCCAGCAAAAACTGGTCACATTTAGCAAAAATCATTATTTTTCAGATTTTAAGTTAAATTTTTCCCCAGGCTTCCCAAAACTAACTTAATCCTCATAGGATTTGGGACAGAATTTCTGTACATTGCTCATGTTAAGGGGAAAAACATAAATTTTCACTTTAAATTGAGATTCTTGTAATTCAAGTCTCATAATTAAAATCAAATTTTCAGAATAATTTCAGACCCAAAAGTTCATATTTCTCTAATTTCTAGCTCAATTTCCCGCCCAGATTTCCCAAAACTAACTTAATTCTCATCTGAATATTGGCAACTTCTAATCGATCTCTCAATTCATCCACATTTTCCGTAATCGTCGGATCTTTACAAGATTTCGCGCACAAAATCGCATGCGACAAATAGGCGCAACGTTGCGCCAATCCCAATTGCCAATTGTCATTCTCAGCCAATTTGCTCAACAATCTAGCAGCTTTGTCATAATTTCCACTCTTCTCATAGAACCTCCATAAAAGATCAAAATACTTTTGTCCACGTCCCGAATTGATTTCTTGCAGCAGGAAGAATTCGACATGCGGTGATTTCGATTGGAGAATTGCGTTCGTTTTGTTTTTCGTGAGAAGCCAACGGAAAACTGCGGCATGTGCGAGTTGATCTTCGGATTGAATTACGGCATTTATCATCAAATCTCGATTCATTGCCGAATCTCGTTGAACATCTGTTGTTGATTGTTCTTCAAGTTTATCAAGTTCATCGGTGATTACTCTGAAAAATTATCATCTGAATGACTAGGTACGACGCCTTGCCATCTTCTTTGTCAAGTAGCCGCGCCTAGAGAAACTCATCGTCTAGGGCCCGCGCCTAGAGAGCGTAGTTAGGTCAAAATGTGTTGATTTGAGTCATTCAACACTAACACGTGGATTTTAAACTTAAAAAATGGGAATTAAAAAATTTGGACTAAAAATTCAAATTCGCTGCAAGACCCACATGCGTCTTTGACTTTGTTTCTCTGCCCAATGGGGTGGCGGTGTTAGTGACGCAGAGGAATACCAGGAAATTGGGATTTTGAATTTCTGGCCTCCCTTTTTTCGCCAATGTATAGAAAAAAGTGATTTTTCCAAAAAATCCTGGATTTTCAACAATTTCCTGAACTTCTTTCGAGATATTAAATTTTAAAAATAAGCTCCTAACATGAGCAATTTAGAGAAAAAGTGATTTTTCCAAAAAAATTTCATGAAATGATTCTAGATTTTCAACAATTCCCCGAACTTCTTTCAAATTTTTAATTTCAAAAAAAGTTCCTAATATGAGCAATGTTTAGGACAATGGGCATTTTTTCAATGTTTCATGAAATTATTCTAGATTTAAAAACCAGTTGAAAATGATTATTTTTTTTTAGAATTTTTGTCGAATTTTTTTGAGTTTTTTCAGCAATAAAATTAAAAATTTTAAAAATTTTCAATATTTTCGTGCTCTCTTTTAAATCCCCCCCCTCCCTTCAAAGAAAACACCAACTTATAACAATCATTCCTCTTCTTTTCGGCCGCTCTCATCTCCAAATCTGCTCCATTTCTTCCATGTTTATAAGCCAACAATGCCAATTGTTTCGGATCATCTTTATTCGCTCGAAGTAGACACAATTCCACAACTTCTTCGAATGCTCCAACCGATTCAATCAATTGTTGACATGTTTGAGTTAGCACAACTTTTCCGATCGATTGTTTGAACATTTCGACGGCAGATTGAACGAGCTTTCTTCGAGCCGCTCCGATTCCCAATTTTCTCGCCGATTCTAATTGTTCCATTGCATATGTTACACAAGCGTCATCTTCCGAATATAGATTTGGACATTTTTCACGTAGATTTTCGGATAGATGTTTAGTTCCAGCTTCATCTCCAAGGAAAAATCTGAAAGAATTTTCTGGTTGATTTTCAGATTTTTTCGTTTTCACCCTGAAAACGAATAAAAATACTGAAATTGAGAATTTTTTAAATTTGGGTTTGAAAATTTGCTTTTCTAGTAAACTTGGTTCAAAATTCTGATTTCTAGCGCTGAAAATCATATGACAAATAATTTTTTTCAATGATTTTTTTTTGACAAAGATTATGAGATTTCGGGAATTTTTTCAGAAAATTTTAATTTTTTATCTAATTTTCGCCATTTTCCTCAATTTTTACAAAAAAAAAAGAAAATTTTAAATTCAAATTCCGTTTCAACCTAAATTTTTTAGAGTTTCAGAATTTCAACAGAAAGAAGATTTCTTGATATTTTGAGCTTAATACATGTATTTTCCCCCAAAACTCCCAAAAACCCTCACTTAATCATAGCTCGAATCAATTCCGCATTCAAATTGCTTCCATCCGACACTAAAAGCGCCAATTTTCTCGAAGCAAAAGTCGGCAAAATCGCCGGATTCATTCCCGCCGAAATCGCGCTCAAATTATATTCATTGGCCAAAATCCACAATGAGACAGTTTCAATCGTCGAATCAACCAATTTTCGCAATCCAACCAGCGATTTTCTTTCGAGCGATGTCGCTTCCGCATTCAATTTATCGCTCATATTATTCGCATATCCACCAAAATCCACATTTGGCACCAATCGATATTCATCCATGATTCGACCCAATTTCAACAGCTCATTTCGCAAAAACAATATCCGATCTGGTTCGAAAGTGATTCGCAGACTTTTGCCCATCAAAACCTCGCAAATTGTATCATTCCAAATTGGCGAAACGATTCGCGAGAAATAATAGAAGAGTGCGTCGTGGCGGCGAGACGGAGACATTCGAAGATTTGTTGCACCGGTTGCTATCGATGTATTTACTGGAAAAACAATGGGATAAGGTTGGGGGGAAAATAACAGCTTACAAATCGGAGAAAATGGCGAGTTGTAGACATTTGGCAATGTATCTTGAAGTCGAGGAGTTGATGACAACAATGGTGCTGGAAAAATCGAGAATTTTGAAGGCTTTAAGGGAAATTTGCAAAATTTTGCGATTTTTTAGCCAATTTCTGACCAAAAATTGGCCAAAACAATGAATTGATCAGAAATTGGTCAAATGTTGGCTTAAAAATTGAGAATTTTGATGGAGTGGTTAAATTTAGGGGGTTTTTAAAGGCTTTAAGGTAGAGCTCTTCAAATTTGAAAATTTTGGAATTTTTTAAGCCAATTTATGACCAAAAATTGATCAAAATTTGGCAAAAACAGTGAAGTGACCAAAAATTGATCAAACATTGGCCAAAAAAATGATTTTTGTTAAAAAATTCACTTGTGTCGAAATTTTAAGCCCAACAATCCCAAACTTTTCGCGCCAGATTTCAGATTTAGAAAAAAAAATTGAAAATTTAAAGAAAAATGAAAAAATTCATTATGGAACGATTTTTTTCTTTTCATTTTCAGATGAAAAATTGCAGAAAAAAGTGAGTTGAAAATTTTCCTTTCAAGTTTTTCCCATAAATTGCATATTATGTTTTCACGAGAGAAATCTATCCGAACATCACCACAAAAATATGATAATAACATTTAAAGGAAAATTTTGGAACCTATTTTTTTCTGGATTTTTTAAAGGTTTGTATTTTTCACCGTTTTCAGATAACAACCCCCCCCTTTACCCTTCCCCCAATAAATTTAAAAAAAAACCAACTTTTCATTCGATGTGTCCAATCAGCAATACTACTTTCATTGGGCGACCAAACCGACGCATCAGCCATCAATCGATCATTTTCCACAATTTCCGGCGCCTCTTTCAAACTATACAAAATCTGTTCGGCTTTCGATTTGATTCGCTCATCAATCGGTGCGTCGCTCGTCAAAATCCTAAACGCCAAAATGAGCATTTCGGTCGAGCCAATCTTTTGCCACAATTGAACTGTCGCTTTTCCCTCGACTCCTCCATTATACAACGCGTCGCGAAGTGCGTCAACTGCTGTGATTTGTTGAAATTCGAAAATACCCTCGTTGGAGCAAACCAATAATCGTAGATTGTCTTCGAGTTGAGATTGATAATACGAATGAGATGCGACTTTTTCGACAACTCCAGCGGGTGGTGCACGAGGTTTTACAAACTATAAATAATCTTATTTTCTGGGGACCTTTCAATAACAAAAAACAAAAACATACCACATTCTTCACCGCTTCAATTTCCCAAACATGTCCCGAAACTTCACATTCGGTGGCAGATTCGACAAAAAGACTTGAAGAAGGATACATGAGATTCGAAAAAGCAAAAACCACATTTCGATCAGCGGTCGCCATTGCGCAAATAGTCTCATCTGCATAGACAACAGAAACACCAGCTGGGCCATCACCATAAATACTGGTTGGTGTGATTCCGGGTGCAAATCTGACATGAGCAACGCGGAGGCATTGAGGTCGCACTTCGGATTGTAAATGATACTGGAAAAAAAATAGAAAGTTATTTAGATCCGGGGTTAGAAACCCCTGTGAGAACATTTCTCGAGGTTGGAATTTAGTTCTTTGAATCTTAGAAAAAAGGATTTTTAAGTTGAAAATCCAAAAAAACTAAATTCTAAATTTAGAACTCCAGAAAAGTTCTCATAGGGGTTTCTGGCGGTTTTTGACTTCAGAATAGTGATTATCCCGGTCGACTTGGTAAGTTTCAGAAAAACGAGTACAACCTTGTTCAGAATAACATTTTAGAGTTCACAAAGTTTCGAAATTGTGCCACGTCATAACTAATTTTCAGATTTTAGCTAATAACAATTCACAAACTACGTTTTTTGGTCCCCTTTCTATATTTCATTTTTTTTTCGTACCAAATCGTTCCGTTTTTTCTCCACCAACAAAAAAAACCCATAATTCCTTCTCTGCCCAGCTGCAAAATGCGCGCATCTTCTCCCTTTTCATTTATTAGTTTTTCGTCTTATTCAAAAATTCACTTACTCTTGACACAACATTTTGCTGTTGTGCTCTTTGTGCATTATTTGTATTCTGATAACCGCCCATAAATCCTCCAGTATTATTCAAATTTCTCGACAAAACCGACAAATACATGCGAACACCTTTCACAGTTGTTGCCACAAGATTCAATTGCGATGATTGATGTGCTTCGAGCGCTTTGATAGAAGTGATATGTGTGAAAGTCGATTCATCATGTCCAAATTGTGTTAGCAAATGTGCTTCATGCGCGATTTTTGACGCGGGAACACTGCAAATCTTCTGACAAGCTTGTCCATCTTCGCCCAAATCAAAGACAATAATTGAGCCAAGTTTTCCCAAACAATAGAGAATATTTCTGGATTTATCGACGGTTACTTGCTCCAAAACTTCTTTTGTGTTCCCAAAAAATGGAAGAGGTATAAGAGTTCCGAGAATCGATGCACTTTGATTGACACTTTTGCATTTGTGACTTGCACCAAACCAGCCGATTTGTTTTTCGTAGTGGAATTCGAATAATTTGTCATTTGCTGTATAGAATACTCGTCCGATATTTGTATGAACAATATCATGAATGATTGCGCCATCAAGACTTATCTGAAATTTCAGAAAAATATATTGGAACTAATATTTCCGTCAGAAATCTTCTTTTTACCCGGAAAAATCGATTGGTATCAATGGAAATTGAAGAATCCGCTGTTTCAAAAATCGGATAAAGTGAGATGTCGCTCACAGTTCCAACAATCAATCCATATTTAATTTGTGGCTCAAAAACCCCTGGTTTCATATTGACTAAAGCAACTTTGTAAATCGAAGCATCGGCCGAATCAAAATAGGCTAAATCATCATTTGTCTCATAATTCCACATATATAAATTTGTATCGATGACAACCCAAGCTCGACTGATTTGTGTAAATAATCCCATACTGAATTCGCTGTGGATGTCTGAAAATATTCAATTTTTTCCAAGATCAATAAAAAAAACTCACTATTCATTTGAATCTGAAGCTCTCCGGGGATTGGAATTTTTCTACTTGTGACAAATTCGGGCGATCCTTTGATATAAAACTTCTCTCCGAGACCCGAGACTGGTGTTGTTCCTGATTGTGTTAGACGATCAAAAATATCAGAAGAATCTGCCATCGAATCAATGTGTTGAGCCACTTTCGCAGCTGCCGACTCGACAGATTCAACTGAGCTGGATTCGATGAAAGAGGCGCTCATCCTATAAAATTAATTTATTTTTTTAATATAGAGAAAACTAGATCTTCCCTATAAAAAAACGCTCAAAAAAAATGAATCTTCGCTGTCCGCAATGAACACCATGACGCAAACTTGCACACATTTTTTTTGGGCAGCTTGCCAAATTTTCTCCACAGAGCGTAGAATAAAGGGAGGACGAATTGTTCGTTTGGGTCTCGTCGCGATGTGACGCGCTGCTCAAATGTTTTTCATTTTCTCTTTTTTTTCGTTTTTTCTCTTTTTTCGCCGAGGTTGCGATCTGGAGGCTGCGAAAGGTATGTTAAACTAACATCTTTTTACTTATCATAACCAACTAATTTTCAGGCGCCGCTCTTGCTGCCATATTTTATGCTCAACGCCGAAGAAAGAAGTGAGTATTTTACGTTTCAGAAAGAGAAAGTTTTTAAGAAATTTGCAGAAATCTATTTAAATTTTGCGAGATTGTTCACCTCTCAGAATTATTTCAATGTTTGTTAATGTTGATTGCTTTCTCTCCATCATAATTTTTGCTTTACTCTATTCGAGAAAACAGTACTTTTCGAAGAATTTAGGGTTTTTTCAACTGCGTTTTTCATTAATCTTATTCAAAGGCATTTGTTTTTCGGGTTTCTCTCGCGCGTTTCTATCTGACTGACATTCAAAGTAATTTTCTTTCAGCCAGCCGGTCGCGGAGGTATCCGAAATGAAGAGGCGAAAAATCTGGAATGAGGATGCAACAAACCGCTCGCGCTTTTGGAAGATGATGTAAGTTTTTTTAACTCAAAGATAACTTTAAAATCCAAGAAACCGCTTTGAAATTGTTCAATTGTACAATTCCTGGAGAACATGCCCTATAACCACATTTCCTGTAAATGTTTACTTACAACCCTGGATTTTAGTGGTAGTTATAGGCCATGTTCTCCGAGTATTGTACATAACTTGAAAAAAAATTAATTGTAAGCTAACTTTATTCTAATTCTCTGACTTACTTCTGATAAATATTGGGCCAAAAATTAATAAGCTATTATTTTTTATTTTTAGATGCTTGAATTCAAAATAAATCCAAAAACAACGCGAAAAAGTCAAAATTTTCCAAATAATAATTCAAAGTTATTTAGGTGGTAACTCAATCGGCAACAATTACGATACTGGACCATCCAACATCTCGGTAATTTTAATTTTGTGTTTTGTTTATTTATTTTTAATAATAAATATAATGAAATCACTACCTTCATAATGTGATTACTCGGCGTCTCCGAAATCCCGATTTCCGGGTTCCCCAGAAAAAAAAAAGAATCCAAATTATTATTCAATAGAGCAATTTTGCTGCATCTGGATGGAAAAATAGAGTGCTGCCAAAAAGCATTTATGTGCACGATTGCGTTATGGTGCTTGCGGTTTTGCGTTTTTTTTTGGTTTTGGTTTTTTACTGGAAAAAGTTGTCTCGAGCTAATTTATGTTCTCGGAATAGAAATCCCGAGTAAACTTCTACAAATCTGCACCAAGTGAACAGATGATTATGCCCGGTGGTGAATGAATAAGTTGAAGCATAAGCGCCCTTGGTCCACTAGTGAAAGAGTAAAAACGAACAAGATATCTTATCAAAATATGTACTTTTCAGTGAAAAAAAATCCCATTTATTTCATACGAAAATAATCGAAATGGTCATTAATGACCAGAATTTTTTTTACGTAAAACGTTCCGCGACTTTTCAATAATTAATTTTCGAAAAATGTCTTCGAAGCTGCGCAAAAATTCGTATTTTACTCGCGAACAAAAAAAATAAAAAAATTCAAAAATCTTGCAGCGGCACACAGAAATGGGCGGGGCTTGTTTGGCAGAAACGCCGCGCGATTTCGCAATGTTTGTGTAATTTTTTTCTTTTCTGGTTTTCCGCGCGCCGATGTTTTTAAAGGAAGAATAGGATTGTTTAGCATGCTTGAAAACATCTAGAGTTTCCAACTACTTTCTTGCGAAAATCATTTTTTTTTTGAAAAAACAAATATACGCTTTACAGATGAGCGCAAGTGGATTTGACCCATTCGAATGGCAAAAATTCTTCTTCCGCGGGTTATCCAGAGAGGAAGCGAACAAATTGCTCAAAGAGTCGTCAGTCACAATCGGAACGTTTTTGTTGAGAGACAGTTCGAACCCTGGAGATTTTTCATTGTCTGTAAGGTGAGCGAGCAGTTTTTGTTGATTTTCCAGAAAATCAATTTTTTCAGAGAATTTGACACTGGAGACTGCGTTCGTCATTATCTAATCTCCGAAGTAGAAAACGAAGACGGCTCAAAACAAGTGAAAATCGCCGAGAAGCAAGCTTTTCCAGACATTCCAACACTTTTAAATCATTTCAAAACGCGAGTATTAGACAAAGCCTCGCTTCTGAATGCATATAAAAAACCAGTTATCGAAATAATGACCGGCAAATTCAAGTTCACCGGAGAACGCGAAAACGATCTCACATTTGAAGTCGGAGAGCAACTCGAAATTATCAGTGAGTCATTTTTTCTTGAAAGCAATTTCAATTTTTTTTTCAAATTTCAGCAAAAGAAGCTAATGATTGGTGGGAAGCGAGAAACGCGCTTGGCAAAACTGGCATGGTTCCAGCAAATTATTTGATTCCTATAACTGATGAACGAGCATCCAAAGGAACCTCACAATCATCGATTTCAAGCGGCGCAGCAGAACGTCTTTCAACAACATCAACAAGTAGTGAAAATATGGATAATATTTATAATCCAAGATTGCCAGCAATTGCCAAAGTTTTATATGATCGACAACCAAATGCTTATGATCCAACACAACTTCGACTGAAAAAGGGGCAAACTTTGAATATTATTCAAAAATTGACTAATGGCATGTATAAAGCAAAAACAGAATCGGATGGTTTAATGGGAAATGTTCCTTTCACTTATATCAGATTTCTTCGACCTCAAGAATAGCTTTAATCTAATAATTTCCTGTAAATAATTACCAAAAATCGGTTTCATTTTCACTTTTTCATGTCTTGCTCCTGAAAATAACACGGTTTGCTTACTTTTTTGTGAAAATTTTAAAAGGTCTTGGAAATCCTTGGCATACTTTTTTGTTTTGAAAATCTTTTTCAAATTCAAATTTATTCAGAAAATGAATTACCAAGAAATCGCAACTACAATTAGAGGAAGTGATTTTCCAGAAGATGAAGAATTGGCTGGATGTGAATGTGATTTCGAGTGCAATTCTGAGAATTGTAGCTGTTTGATGAATGGAGAATCAAATTATTCAGAAGATGCCAAAGTTATTCGGAATTCGAAGCCATTGCTAGAATGTCATTCGGATTGCTCATGTCAACAAAATTGTGGGAATCGGGTTGTTCAGAAAGGCATCAGGAAAAAACTAGAGGTACTTATTTTTTATGGATTTTTTCTAAATAAAATCAATTAGATTTTCAGCACAAATGCCAAAGGTTTTGGTGTGAAAACTTTGGAAATCATCGATGAAAATGAATTTGTTTGCGAATATGCTGGAGAATGTATAAATGAGAAAGAAGTTGAGAGGCGGAATGAGGAGATAAAATATGAGGATAATTATACTCTCACAATAAAAGAGCATTTTGGTGGGCGAATTCAAAAAACCTTCATTGACCCGAGGAAAAAGGGAAATATTGGAAGGTTTTTGAATCATAGTTGTGAGCCGAATTGTGATATTGTTATTGTGAGAATTGGAAGGATTATTCCGATTGTTGGATTGTTTGCGAGAAGAAAAATCGAGGCTGATGAAGAATTGACTTATGATTATGGCGAATCTTTGATAACTGATGAATCTCGGAAAAAATGTGAATGTCAATCGGAAAATTGTCGCAAATTTTTGCCAATGTCTATTTCACCTGTTGAATAAATCTCTATTTTGTTTGAAAATTTTGAATTTCTACTTGGTTTTCAACCAAACCTTCTATCTTTTTGAATTATTCGCAATTAGACCTTTTGGGCCTATGCAGAATAATATTTTGTAATAAAAAAACATATTTTTCTTATGCAGAAAAACGTCGAAAAAACGAAATATACAGTTTATTATTTTTGAGTAGAGACAATGTGAAATTGAGAGAGTGCAGACAGTTTTTTCTATTTTTTGTGCGAAAAACTAATTTTTCTGTCTCTACTCTCTCAATTTCACATTGTCTCTACTCAAAAATAATAAACTGTATATTTTGTTTTTTCGACGATTTTCTGAATAGGAAAACATTTTTTATTACAATTATTTTTTTGTAGATGGTTCACAGAAGAATCCCCAAAAAGAATCGAAAAAAGCTGAAATCAGTTGATCCATTCAACACCAAAGCAAACGCCAAACATAATTTGCCTGGAAAAAAGTAGGATTTTTTTTGTTAAATCCAATTTCTAAACCAAAGTTTTTCGTTTCAAGGAATCAAAACAGTGCACCGGAAAATTTGAAAGATGAGCAACCTTTGACAAAAGTTCAGAAAGAAATGATGGAGCCGAAGAAAATGTTGGATAAAGCTGAAGTGAAAAAGAAGAAGAAGCAGAAAAATGCGGTTTTGAGTGAGTAATTTTCTCCCAGTAGATAAAAAATAAGTATTTTTTCAGGAGAAGCTGAAAATCTTGGCTTGAAAAAGGGGAGATTCGAAACAGTTGAGCGATTTGTGAGAAGAGTTGAGGGAATTATGCACTCAAGAATTAATGAAAAAATGGCAATTGCGAAGCATGGTTTAGCTGGAAGAGATCAGAATGAAATTGATGCGGATTATAAGAAAATCGAGGATGCTGAAAAACGACGAAAAGATCAGGAAAAACGAGAAATTGATAATAAAATCAAGGAGGCTAGGAAGAAACGAGAAAAGGAGGAGAAACGAAGAGAAGAGGTTGAAAAAATCAAAGAGGAGAGGAAAAGGAAAATGCAAGAAATAGAAGAGGAGGAAAATGAAGATGAAGATGAAGAAGAGGATGATGAAAAACCAAAGAAAAAAGTGAAAAAAGTTGAGAAAAGTAAGAAAGAACGACGGAAAGAAACATTGAAATCGAGAAAAGACGCCGAAACAAAAACCCGGGCAAATGAAGCGATTCTTAATTCGAAAGAGGTTATCGCATTTGGAGAGAGATATGATGCTCCGCCTGTTTTTGGGGGGCATCTCAAGAAGAAATTCGAGCCATTGTTAGCGAAAGCTGGTCAGAAAACTCTTCTTCTTCATTCGATTTTAGCGAAAGGAAATGAGAAGACGAAATATTTGGATAATTCAACGTCGACGATTCAAGAAGAGCGGCAAAGAGTTATTGATGCTTATCGGAGTATCAAGAAAACTCGAAGTGGACATTTATAATTACTTTAATTAAGTTTCCTTTATTCCTTGTTGATTTTTTCGTTGTTGTTCACTTTTTGTGTTATAAACGCATTCATATGTTTCCATAGCAACGAGCTCTTGAAAACTCGTTTTTCTCCGCTAACAAAAATAAATTCCAAAGCTACGAAAGAATGACTGATGGTGATCGAACTCCTGAAGAGCAGGAAATTTCGGAAGTTCCAAAAATCGACGTGGAATTAGAAGTTGTGGCAAGTTCGACATTCTCACTGAATCAGCGAATTTTGCCGAATTGTTTGATATCGGCGATTCTTGAGCCAAATGGTAGAGAAAGTGTTCTTGCGGTTTCGGCGTCGAACAAAGTTTTTGTCAAAGGTTTGTGATGAAAAAAATTATTTTTTGAATTTTGTGCATACACAGCGACGAACAAACGCACAGTTTTTTGTGTACCGTATTTTTTTCGATTAAAATTTTATTTGCTGAAATTCCAGACACCGAAATCTCTCTAAACATCAATGAACCAATTCGATGCATGACAATTGCTCCATTTGGAGCTGGCTATGATTATGTTGTAATTGGAACCGATGCTCATGTTATATGCTTCGATATTCACAATAATCAGACAATATTCCGAAAAGAAGTTCCGGATGGTGTGAATTGTTTTGCGGTCGGCAAAATTGCCGATAATCAAGAGGCGATTTATTGCGGCGGAAATTGTTGTATTTGGGGTTTCGATCGAGAAGGGAATAATATTTATTGGACGGTTACAGGTAACTTTCAAAAAAGTTTCCCGGAAAAGTCCAAAATTTTGCAGGAGATGTTGTAACTTGTATGTGCATTTGTGACTATGATTCTGATGGTGAAAAAGAGTTGATCATTGGCTCGCCAGATTTTGAGATTCGAATTTTTAAGAATGATCTAATGAGGACTGAATTGATGGAAACTGATGCACTCATCAGTTTAACTTGTGTTGCAGAGTAAGTTATTGAAAATCAGGAAATTCGATATCCCCGCATTTAAAATCTTTTAGTGAATATTTCGCCTACGCTCTTGCAAACGGAACAATCGGAGTTTATCAAAGAGATCAACGTTTATGGCGAATAAAATCAAAAAACATCGTATCCGCCGTTTTTCGCTTCCCTAACGATGAATTGATGACAGTTGTCTGGAAGATGGGAAAAGTTGACACAAGATTGGTGAAAAATGGAGATGTGATGTCGAAAGATCAAACATTGAGCGGACAAGTTCAGGCGGCTGCGATTTCTCGAAACATCGATGAGAAATCGCAAATTTGTGTTGCACTTGGCGATGGAAAAGTTCAAAGTTATCATTTGCAAAAGAAAAAGGACAACGAAACTGAGAAAACACAGGAAATGATAAGAGAATTTGGGCAGAAGAAGCATAATTTAATGGTAATTTGGGAAAGTTTTGGAAAGAAAATGTTAATTGTTTTTTTTGAACAGATGGAACTTGCAAATTATGAACAAGAGGAGCAAATGACAGATGCGGAAAAAGAACGAGAACAAAGAATTCCTGTTGATACAACGGTTCAATGTGCATTTCTAAGTGAGTTGTTTAAAGTCGGACCTGGCTCGATTCTAAAGTTGCCAAATCTAAACATAAATTATAAATTCAGTTGATCAAAAATCCCGATTACTATATCTCCAACTCGATGCTTCAAACGAAGTTATAATCCGATCAGTTGCCATGTTTGCTGAAGGAATGTTTGAAGGTGGAGAATCATTTCTATGGATTCCAAGAGGTCGTGATCAATCTGATCACGTTTTAATTCCTCTAATCATCGAAAAAGATAGTCCAAATGACATGCATGTTAAAGCATTTCTTGGAACTATCGACTCATATAAATTACATGTTTATGAATTATCGAGAATAATTCCAAGATTTGCGAGATTAGCATTTTTGACTGATGATTCAGTGGATTTTGTGGCTTCGGATTGCTTCGTTGAATTTGAGTTGAAACAGAGAAGCGGAAAACTTATTGAATGGCTTCAAGATAATTTTATAGTCGATGCTAATTATGCGATTCCAAATATCGAGGAGAATGTTTTCGAACTCAGATTTGCTGGATTAGTTCCTCGAAGTGATTTGAATGTTCTCATTCGATTCAATAAAACAGATTCGAGGCTAACGATTTTTTGCGATTGCGTGGAAACAACTGGAAATCTAATTCAAAGTATTGCTGAATATTTTGCGATTCTGAATTTGGAATCACATGCAATATTCCCTGCATTATTCAAAGAGGCTGATGAAATTATAAATGATATTGATCCGATGTTTGAAGTTCGAGATAGACTAACTGCTGAATTACAAGAGCAACAAACACTTGTGAAAGAGGCGATGATTCGAGCGGAAGATAATATTGGTATCAATAATCTGTGAGTTTAAAAAAAAGCTGTATTATTCTTCAAAAATAAAAATTTTTTTCTATTTAGCCTTGGCGCTCGAAAATTCTACATTCGCCTCAAACAACTTGATTCCGCTGCTCGACAATCGGCAAATTTGCGATTTATCAATAACGAAAGATGCATCAAATCAATGCGAAGATTATTGAAAATCATCGAATCCACGTCACGTCTTCGAGTTGGCGAAGCCGGAAGACTTATTGTAAATTCTTGTCGGGTTGCTATAAACGAAGACAACAAACAAATCATTACCAAAATCATGGAATTTGGAGCAGCTTGATTTTTTCTTATCTTTTATTTTTTTTTAATATGAGTCATCTGATGTCTGAGAAATCAAATCAAAAGTGTAACAAACCGGTCTGCTGATTTTTTTTATTTATTTGAAAAAAAAGAATGTGTTTATCGATTAAAAATTCCTGTTTCTCACATGTATTTTGAAAATTTTTAATGAAATCTTTGCCATAAATAGGTTTTGCAGAAAATGTACATTATTATTAGTATATTTTTAATTTTTGCACCAAGTTTGATAATTGGTGATGATTTGGAGATGCGATGTTATTCTGGGACCAAATTTGTTGTTGGACAAGATGTGTATCAAGATACAGGTTTGTAGTTTGTGGGAATACTGAGAAAAATTCGAAAAGCCGAAAAAAAGTATGCTCCTAGATTTCTAAGCCACCAAACCATTATTATTTATAGAAAACTGTGCACCATTTTTCGGAATTGGCGAATCTTATTGCTACAAATTTTCTGAAGAATCTCAACTAAATGAAGTTGTCAAATTAGGATGTTCTGCTTTTGTATGTAATGTAAGTTTTTTTCTGGAACGAGAAAAAAAACTCGAACAAAAATAAAAAAAACAAAATAAATACTGTAGTTTTTTCAAAGGCGCACAACAAACTACACAAGGGTCTTGAAGCGCACGCGTCCTTTTTATTTCAAAAAATTTTTATTTCAGGGAATTAGAAATCGATGTATGGAAACGGATATGTTGGGAATGAAAGGAACACTTTGTTGCTGCAATAGTCGACATTACTGTAACTCTTCCAACAATTTTTCGAATTTGCCTTTCATTTTTATTATTTTCATTGCATTATCATCAATTTTATTGTGAGATTTTTTAAAATCAAAAATAATTTCTCACGGGTATTCTATATTTTTCAATTACAATATGTGGCAAAAGTTGATGTTCTAGTCTTGCTTCTTGTTATTATTACCAAAAAATTTGAAATTTATTCGAAATTTTTTAATAAATCCAATTTACAGCACCCTCAAAACTCACATTTAATCTTTCGATCCGAATTGCTTCGAAAATCATCAGTTTGTAAATATTTAGCACTGAAATTATGACGAGAAAAATCAGTTTATATAAGCTCAGAAAACACGTATTGTCTTTTTAAATTATTTTTTCACGTTGAAATTAATTTTTTTTGGAAAAAATTCATCCGAAATATTTTCCACACCAAAATGTGTAGTTCTCGCGGAGAAGTCGATTTTCCACACCAAAATTTCGGCTGGAAAAAATGCATTGAAAAATATTTTCCACACCAAAATTTCGGCTGGAAAACATGCATTCGAAATATGTTTGGTGTGGAAAATTAAGTAATCCTCCTCGAGAACTACAAATTTTAGTATGGAAAATGTTTTTTTTTTCGAAAATTGAACATTTTTCATTTTTTTTCATGATTTATTCTGAATCTAAAATAAAAAATAATCAATAGTCAATTATGTGGCAATAGTAGATGTTCTAGTCTTGCTTCTCGTTACCAAACGTTTGAAATTTGTTCGAAAATCTTTAATAACATAAATCACTCCCAATTGTTCAATCGACGGGTAAATTGCCAGGAAAATCATCGAAATATTCGCATTCTCTCCAAGACCAACGCCAAAAACCGGAGTTATGAATAGAATTTCCGAAGGAATATAGATAAATAAACTTGGGATTGTTGCCTGAATCAAAAGAGCTTTGAGAAGTTGCCGTTGTTGTTCTCGCAATTTTGCACTCAACACTAGATTCTGACTATTGATTCGAATAAACGAAACAATTCCGAAATACATCATTGATGTGTAACAAATCATCATTCCAATCATTAGAATTCCAATTGTTATCCAAACTTCAATAGGTTTCACGCAATCTGTTGCTCCGTTTTCACATTTATAAAATATGGGACCATTATAAATCACTTCATCCATAGCTAAACCATATATATTTTCAAAATCTTCGCGAAGTTGATTCGTTAGAAATTCGTTTTCACCAAGGTACAAATATTTGAGACAAACTATAAAAGCTCCGAAAAGAAATGCCGTCAGAATCCAAAAATATATATAGCAACCATCAAAAATTTTCACAAGTTTTGGACTGAAAATCAATAAAAAATATTTCTTTAAAAAAATAAAAAATATTTCTCTTACTGTGACAAATGTATAAACCGATAGAGAAAATGAATTGAAAGCACGGCAATTTGAGTTGTATACATTCCACAGAAATGAACTAAAAAAAAGATCTTTCATTAAAATTTTAAAAAATTTTAAAATTTCAACTAACTCAAGGAAAATGGAGCAAATTTTCGATCAATAAATCCACTATTTTTTCTGAACAACACATAGGATACATTTGTGCTATGAGCATTCTAAAAAAAAATTTGAAAAAAAACCGCAGAGAAAATCTTATCCGACCATATTTGCCGTCACATTTGTCACCGAATAAAGTAATTGCACCAAACAACACAAGATCATCAGATGTTTATAAGATCCGAGTCGAATTTGAGTATTCATCATGATCAGAGTTAGAAGTATTGTATTGGTTACCAATGACAGGAACATCGAGATATTCTCGCTTAATCGGAGATAGTTCAATAGTTTTAGCATGGTTTTTTTGTTGGAATTCGGGTAGACAGAGTTATTTTATACTCGATTTTTGTAGCTGCACTGTTGTTTTCCGTGAGTGAAAAGATCTTGTGGATGATGGCATCGAAAAGGGTATTTTTTGTCTGGTACACGGTTTTTTTTTGGATTTTTGGATTACCCGAAAAAAAGTTCTAGACTTTTTTGGCCTGACATAATCTATATGAAAAAACTCAGCCCAATTTTTTTTCAATAACAAAAAAAATCGGGACGATTCGATTTTTTTCCAAAAAACAAAAAAATATCGGTCCGATTTTTTCGAGTAACAAAAAAAATCGGGCCGATTTTTTCCAGTAACAAAAAAAAAAAGTCGGTCCGATTTTTCCAACAACAAAAAAAATCGGGCCGATTTTTTTCCAACAACAAAAATTTTTTTCCAACAATAAATAAAATCGGCCCGATTTTTTCCAATAACAAAAAAAAATCGGGCCGATTTTTTTCCAATATAACATAGATAAAAAATCGGCCCGATTTTTTTCCAGCAACAAAAAAAATCGGCCCGATTTTTTTCCAGCAACAAAAAAAATCGGCCCGATTTTTTCCAACAACAAAAAAAATCAGGCCGATTTTTTCCAGTAACAAAAAAAATCGGCCCGATTTTTTCCAATATAACAAAAAAAATCGGCCCGATTTTTTTCCAATAACAGAAAAAAACTCGGCCCGATTTTTTTCCAATAACAAAAAAAAACGGCCCGATTTTTTCCAAGAACAAAAAAAATCGGGCCGATTTTTTCCAATAACAATAAAAAATCAGCCCGATTTTTTTCCAATAACAAAAAAAAATCGGGCCGATTTTTTCCAATAACAATAAAAAATCAGCCCGATTTTTTCCAATAACAAAAAAAATCGGCCCAATTTTTTTCCAGTAACAAAAAAATCAGCCCGATTTTTTCCAAAAACAAAAAAATCAGCCCGATTTTTTCCAAAAACAAAAAAATCAGCCCGATTTTTCTCCAATAACAAAAAAATCAGGACGATTTTTTTCCAGTAACAAAAAAAAATCGTTCCGATTTTTTCCAATAACAGAAAAAATCGGCCCGATTTTTTTCCAAACACCAAAAAAAAATCGGGTTAAACACTGTGTAGAAAATATCAAAAATTTTTATTTATGTACATTTACTTGGACAAACATTTGAAACAGTCAACGGATTCGTCAACCGTTTTCCCATTTGACCATTCAAAATTGATCCAGCTTGAACAAATCTCCAACTATGGCATTGTGTCAAATCAACTCCATTAAAAGAAGAGGGCAATGTGACAACCGAATTCATCACATTTCCAGATATATTTGCAAATTGTACTGTTGCTTGATTCGTCGAATCAATTGTCTTATTTCCCATCCCATTTGTGGTTCCAGTTTGAACATTTACAGAATTATTGATGTTTTCGAAAACAACCATGCTTAACTGGCTCTGAAATTACATATATTTCATAGGTTAAGAATGAATTTAAATTAAAAATTTTTCAGTAAAAATTAAAAATTACCGTAGAATCTCCAAAAACAATAGCTGTCCATTGATTATTTTGCAATTGTTTATTCGTAAATTGAATATCAATCTCATTATTGACTGTTTTCCAGCTCGCAATCATTTTTGATTTCGAAAAACTGCATTTGTTTTTGGCTTCGATGGTGACGAGAATAATTAGGAAACAAAAAGAAATGAGTTTTAGAGACCACATGTTTTACTGATGTTTCAAATGTGCTGTATTTATACTCGTGAAGTACAAATATTAGTTTTCAAATTACCAGATCATTGAAACAGTTTTGTTGGACAAACTATTTTTACTCTTGAGGTTTTGATATTTTTGACCTGGGTTTCTGATGCTTGAGAACTTTCTAGATCTGTTAGATAGAAGCCAAGATTCTGAATCTACAAGAATGAAAATGAGCTTCTCAGGCTTTGAAGTCAGATGTGATACTTTTTGGATTCCAGAAGCCGAGTCTAGAAGTCTAGATATTCAAAGATCAGAAGTTCACAAATTCAAATACAGAAATTTCAGAAAACCTTTAAAAAACTGGATTTTTGAATATCAAAATTCGTTTACGTCAGAAATTTCTATAATGTTTCCCCTGCTTCAAATTTCTATGTCAAAAAAATTTATTAATGTAATAAATACAGTATATTATATAAACATGCAAAATTCGTCAGAGGTCATGAGTTTGGCACTTATTTTTTTTCAATATTTGGGGGATTAAAGTATTTAAGAACCGGAGGATATCACAGAAACAAATAAAAATTGAAAGACTTTAAACAACTTCACTTCGACTTGGTCTAACTGGTGGAACATCGCTCGCAAAACTCGAATCATCACTGAGAGGAGCATAGGGTTTGCGAAGAGCGGATTCTGCAAAAAAAAAAATTTTGTTTTTGGTTTTCATTTTCATTCAGAATTCAGGCATGCTTGGGGGTCCCAACTAATGATTTATCAGACATTCAAGACTTACTCAAACAGAGGTGAAGTATAGATGATCATCTTCTAAAATTCAGAGGGACTCTACAGAGGTATTTTTCAAGCTATAGGCAATTGTAATTAGAAAACAACTCACTAATTGGTTGTGGTGGCAACATTGGTCGATTGTTTGGTGAACCATTGGATTGTTGAGGGGAAGGTTGTCGAAGTGGTTCACGATCATCGTAGGGTTGTTTGAATGTGGTTAGTTCTTTTTCAACTGGCTGACGGTGTCTGGAATTTTTTTTGGTGAAAATGTGGAGTGGAGATCAGTTGGAGATGAGTAAATCTGGATTTTTTCAACAAGAGTCGAGAATCTTTTAATTTTAAAGGGAGTTAGGCAAGCTTAATGGTAAAATTTACAAAAAAAGGCCATAAATTCAAATTTCCCCGAATTGGGGACCCCAAGTACGGTATTCCTCTGCGTCACTACCATTGGGCAGAGAAACAAAGTCAAAGACGCACATATGGGTCTCGCACCGAACTTGGGAAGAGTGTCATTTGAATTTTTTTACTCCAATAATACGAGATGAGAAAAATTTCTAAAAATAAATTTCAAATTGCCTTTGGTGTGTGCAATCACTGCGACGCACCTTTGCGTACAGGGTGATTTTTCATTTGTTTGGTGACAGTTAAAGTGAGAGGCGTGGTCTCGGTCAACCCCGAAACTCACTTGAAACATGTGAAAAGTATCGAAGCACAAAACAGTAATGTCATAATAAACAATGCAATAATCAAAAGAATCGCAGCTGTCTGCCAACCACTTCCAACAAATCCAGCTTCTCGTGGATCCAAAACTCCACCATTCGCATCTTGACAATAAGTTCCTTCTCTAACACCCCATGGACATTTTTTGCATCGATCAACTTGTCCATTCGAAACATATTCACAAATTGAATAATATCCCGTCGAATTTGACACACATTGTGCAATATTTGTTGTGATATGTGATTTTGTGCAATGCAAATCGCAATTTGCGCCAACTAAAGAACCAGCACAGGAAACCGATGTACCTAAAGACAAAGAAGTTCCGAGAGTTTGTCCTTGATATGTTCGTTGATTATTCATATTCTGAACACCATCAACAGCTGGAAGTGTGTCGACTAATGAAATAACAAATGTGTCAACAAGAGTCAAAGTGTCAACCGAGACTAATTGTCCGCTTTGTGATATAACTGCACCAAGATGGTAGACTAATACATCGATGGCAGCTGGTTTCGATGGGAATCGCATTACATAGGTTGAACCCCATGAATTTTGAGAGGATTGGGGGAGTTGACCGTTTTCAAGATAGACGAAATCTGTCATGTGATGACGAACCGAGCCACTGGAAAATTTTTTTAAATTTTTTTTAGGGATTTCAGATAATTAATTTCAAAAAATTGAAACCTACTCTTCAGACGACGCAATAAAATTGAATGCAAAATAACATCTCGGATTTGTGTTCATAAAACTGCAAGTTCCAGTTGGACAAATACACGTGTTACTATTTGGCAACAATGAATTTATATTTGAATATCCTTTGAGTTGAATTTGAATCGAAACTCCTTTATTTGATGTATTCGGACTTTCAGTGGTCGTCAGATTTATCATATTATTGTTGTTTCCGTAATTGTTAGCTCCCCAAGAGTTTTGATTTGACGAGCCATAGTTATTTGACTGAAAATTATTGATTTTTGCGAAATCATGAAAGTTAATGCTGATTGTGAGAAAAATTTCAAAATTACAAATTGCCTCCAAGGATTGGTGTGTGCAAACACCGCGACGCACTTTTGCGTACAGGAAGATTTTTGATTTCTCAGCATCCCCTGGCGTACACTATTGCGAACGAAAAGTGTAGCTACATTGTTGTATGACGCATGCTACACACATCGTACACACAAGCTGCAAAAACGTCTACAAAGATCCTACACTTTTTCTTTTTTTGAACGAAAACCGTACACCGAATTTCGAATCGATTTTTTTCTTTTTGCGCTGCGATTTAGGAGAGATTAAAACTAGAAAATAGAACAAATCATTTATGGATCAATATACTTTCATTACATGAAATCAATAATATATCAAAAATCTTCAAAACATAATAAAAAAAGTTAGAAATTTAATTTTTCCGAAGATTTTTTGAGAATGTGTTGGTTGTTGAGGGTTGAGTGGTTGAAGTCGGGGTTGCGGGGTAGAATTCGGGTTGTGGAGCATGTGCATATTGTCGTTGATTTTCAGGTTACTTGACTGTGAATCTTCGGTCGAAACTATCCCGATGTTAGCATTGGGCGTAGGTGTAGGTGGAGCATCAAGTGTCAACCTGAGAAATAGGATGATTTTCAATTTTCTAGATATTCATAAACATCCTAAGTCCCATAACATTACTACATAGCATAATTATAAGAGGCGTCTCCACGAAATGATCTGCCAACTTCAGATCACCTACGTTTTGACAGGCGATTAGCCAGTAGGGTTCCAAATTTCTAGTCTTCCTAGTACTCAAGTTATGCTCACCTTTAAAATCATCTTCTCGATGAGCTCCAGTGAAGGTTCACCTCATTTTTTTCTGTCACCATGATGCAAATTCTAGAAGTTGTTGGTTTGATGGTCTGAAATTCAACAAATTGCAATCAAATTCAGGTGTGTAACAATAATGACGAGAATAAAAAGAAGGATAATTATCGGTCAACTCTGATTCGCAGCCTCATTGAAGGAATTTTCGAAATTTTCAAAATTATTTCAAGATTTTTCTTGAAAATACGATATTTCTTTTGACGAAAAAAGTGTTTTGATAGCTTCAATAATCATACTCAACTTCTAGAATCCACGCAGATATAACTTGATTATCATGATACCTGATTTATACGTTTAAAAAGAATTTTAGGCCAAAAAGAAAATAGAAAACAAAAATAAAATAATAGCCGCAACGCAACAAGCTTGCAACGCGGTCGTACAATGTAGCTACACTCGCGAAAAGTGGCAAGTGTACAAAAAGCGTAGAAAGAGTGTAGGAAAAGCGTACGTTGTCGTGCAAAAAGTATACGCCAGGAGATGCTGAGTTGTCAGAGGCTTCGGGAGCTGTCGCCTTTAAAAATATTAAACTTGACTCACCCCATATCCATTTTGTTGATATTGATTATTCTGATTCAAATTTTGATTTGCGTTAGAATTTGAATTCGAATTATATCCATTATTATTATTATTATAGTTATTATACTGTCCAGAAACGATTCCAAATAAAATAAAAAATGCATTGAACCTTGTGATCATTGTTGAAATCTTCTTCCTAAAAAAAAATAAAATAACATGACCTTTTCAATTTCGATGAGATCAGAAGATATTGCAAAAAAAAAAACAAATAATATTAAAAAAGAGATGTTGGGTGTCCTCGAAAATAAATTATTATGTAAATTCAATCGCTCTCAAGTTTTCTTTTGTTTGAACATGTGAAAATATTCTCCCGACCGGGAGGAAAATTTGTGTAATTAGCTCTTTTTATATAGAAAAATCCAGAATTAAATAGAGAAGGCGAGAAAAAAGAGAAAATCTTTCTTCAGGAAACGTAAAAAAATAAGAAAGGTTTAGAATTTCGACAAGGTAAATATTGTGTGAGAAGAAGAAGGAAATCGATAATAATAAACATTTGTATTCTGTGCAAACAAGAGAATTTCGAGATAAGAATTTATGAAAAAATGTGTGAGTCATTTGTGAGTCACGCATTTTATATTGACTTAAAATGGAAATCGAGGGGAGGGGAGCCAGAAATATCGACATATGTAGGTAACATTCTGGAAAATGTGAATTTTTATTACGAAATTTATTTTATTTTCCAAAAAACTTGGAAAAATTTGAAATTTTGATGAAGAAATGAAGGGAAAAAACGCGGGAATTATTGAAATTTGAAAATTTTCTGAATTTTGAAAAACTTCTGATATTAGAGCCGTGGAAACTAGAATCACTACAGTATACTTTGTCGGCTCCTTTGATCTCCATCTAGGTCACAATTTGGGACGTGGTGAAATCAAAATTTAAAAGTTGAAAATTGAATTCTGAAATTAAAATTGAAAAAAAAATATGAGGGAATTTTTGATGCTAAAAATATGTTTCGAAAAAATTCGACAAAATAAAAATCTGATAAAAATTCACGTGAAGTGATAAGTTTTTTCATTGTTTTTTTTTTTGAATTCCCGAAAAATATCAAAAATCAATAAAACTATTATTATCATCAAAAAAAGAAGCAAAAAACCCATAATCTACAAAAAAAATTGTTAAGTGTACGAAAAAACACAGTGAAAATGAAAAGCAAACAAAAAACGAGAAAGTAAATAGAAAAGAGCCATGAAAGTATGAGTAATTTGAAATATTGTTGTTAAAAAAATCCAAAAACTCATTGAGGTAATTAATAAGGATAATTAATGAGTAAGAATAAGAATAAGAAGACCATGATACTCCAAGGTCGTGCTTCTTATTGTTTTATTTATTTATTTATGTACTTTTATGAGGGGGTTACACCATTTTGGTGTAATTTTGGCGCATTTTGAGAACAAATAAAACGGATGAGAAACATTTTTTGAATACGAAAACGTACAAAAATCGATGAAGCATCTGCATATTCATTCCATTCTCAAAATTTTTTAAACAATTTCACATCGTCGCAAACCAAAAAAAAAAACAATAAATGAATCATCATTGAATTTTTTTGGGGGGTCTTCTTCTTCCTTTTTCGCGCCCCAAAAGCTAGTATTGTACAAAATGTGTATGTACACAATCATAAAACCAAATAAATATTATTATTTTATTTTCGGATGATAGCGGGCACACACAAACATATACAGGGCTTTTTGTTTATTTTTGATTTTGGCGCGGTAATTTGAATAATCTGAGCAATGTAACTAGAAGAAAAATGAGGTAACAAAAATAGAGAAAGAGCTTTTTTTGGGTTAGGCAAATATTGTCATGGGAATGATTTTGGAAGATGAAAAGACACCGGAAGAGAAAATTACAGGGTGTTTCATAAATAGTGTTACAACTTGCACAGTCCACCTAGCGAAAGGCAAAAGATCAAAACTCAATATTATTTGACACAAACTTGGACGAACGTAGGTATAACAAGATTTGAAAATGAATAACATCTCATTTCAACTTTCACACCATTGCCACCAGCTCAAGTGTGCCAGTGGAGGGTCACTGTTGCACGCACGATTTTTTTCGTTCAATGAGATCCTTTATTTTTGAAATTGGTATTTTTCCGAAAGTAACTTTCGAAAACCCTTTTTGACGGGTTTATTTTGTTAGTTTAAAACGGACAAAGTAACAGCATTACTGTAAACTCGTAGCCGGGAGGTTAAAGTGAACCCACTTTTCGAAATTTTCAAAAAATAAAATTGAGTTTTTTAGCTTTTGTGGAAAAATATGATTTTTTCCACTCAATATTTATTATTTCTGTACCACAATTGTTTTTTCTTCTATAAATAACTGATTTGACCAATTACATCAAAATTAAAACTCGATTTTAACAATATTTTTGTCGAAAAATCAGGAAAATCCGAAGTTTCAGTCGAAATTGAAGATCTTCTTCTAAGTTCAAGAAAAAAAATGATGAATACCTGGAGTTGTGTGAAATGTTCACTAGAAACATTGTTTACGTTAGAAAATATCATATCAAGCCATCAAACTCAAAAAAACTAAAGATTTCATGGCTTTTCATTTTTGGAAAGACCGTCGTGCCAGGAAATGATTTTTCGAAAAATTCGTTTCTGTTTACACGTCATAAACAGAGTCCAAAACACAATAATGTCAAATTTACATAAACAGCTCTTGTAGAGGAAGAAAAACCCTACATTTTTGATCTTACGACCAAAACGATTGGAATTACCCAACATTCACAATACTGACTTAAAGATGAACAACTCTTGTAACACTATTTATGAAACACCCTGTATTGATTTGCAGATAATTGTTATGAGAATCAGGTCGAAAAAAACGTTTTTCAGCAAAAAATTAGATTCAGCAGATGTCAAAAAACTATATTTTTTCCACACAAAAATGAAAAATATCTCGCAGCGAAAATGTTTCAATGAAAAAAAAATGTAAAAAATAGGAATAATATATAGTTTTTTTTTTCTGAATCGAAATTTTTTGTTTTTTTTCGACCTGAATCACTTGTTTTGGGAAACTGAAAGCCAAAGAAAATATAATTTTAAAAAAATTTAATTTTGGGAATTTGAACATTTTATTCTAAACTTATGAAGAATTATTCATGTTACAAAAACTTTTTTTCATTTTTTTTAAATCCAAAATTTTCAATTTCTTCAATCACAAATTTATTATTTTTAGAAAAAAGTACCTCAATGATAGGTCGAATCATTCCTCTCAACATTCTCATCCTTCTTATTCTCAACTTTCAAAGTCGGTCCAATCATTTCCCTCTCCTTCTCCTTCGGTTTCAACTTCACAATTTCAATCTGACTCCGACTATCCGATGATGTTTGACTTCCCAATGATCCAGTTGTGTCATCGTCCGAGCTTCTATTCTTGATTTTTGGAATAGGTGGTTTTGGTGAAACTTTCGGCTCATCTTCCTCGATCGAATTATCGGGTTGAGTTTTTTCCAAACCCATATCACTTCGTTTCAGAATTACGAGTGGAGTTGAAGATTTCTGAAAATATTTTTAGCTTTCCAAAGTGTTTCATATATTTCAAAATTCCAAGTTACCGTTGGAACAAAAAGTTTCTGAGTCACCAAAACCGAAGGCCTTCTGACAATTGGTACTTGTGCTGGTGTTGGCGGTGGCGGGGGTGGCGGAGAAAGAATTATAACCGGGGGAGGATCTCGAATCTTCGGTAGAATCAGATTGGTTTTTGATGACTGGGTCGTGGATTTTTTCATCAATCGTGGAGGTCCAATCGAATCTTCTTTTGATTGAATCGGTGTCTCAGCCTGATCATCTTCTTCATTCAAAAGATCAACCTCATTTTTCTCAATCACCAACTCCATCTTCAACCAATCTTCCAGTGCTTTCACAATTCTTGCCATCGGCGATCTTTTCTCATGATCATCCACATAAATCATTCGACTAACAATCGAATACATTTCAAACGGCGATTCTCTTTCAAAATTCGGATAATCTCCACTCAATGTTCGTTTTTTCGCCTCAGCGCTCGTTATATCCTCATAAGGCTCTTTGATTGTATAAATCTCGTATAACAGAATACCATAGGTGAAAACATCCGAAGCTTGATAGAATGTGAAAGTTCGAAGAGATTCGGGTGCTAACCATTTTGTAGGCATTCTTCGCGCTGTTTTCATTGTATATTCATTTCCTTTTCGTGATAATCCAAAATCCGAAAGCTTTACATAATGAACTTTATCGAATAAACAATTTCTTGCAGCAATGTCTCGATGAATTATATTTTGCGAATGGATAAATTCAATTCCCCAAGCAGCAGAAATCGCCATCTACAAGAAAATAACTCAATTTTTGTTCAAAAAAAAATAAATAATCAATAAACCCCACCTTATTTCTCTCATCAATCGTTATTTTCTTCCGATTCTTCCGCAAATATGAATCCAAACCTCCTCCACTTATAAAATCGATAATAATATAATAAGGTTGTTCCATGACCGCAATTCCACGCATTCGAACTATATTTGGGTGATTCAAAGATCGCATTAACCTGGCTTCTCCCATAACTTCTTTCATTTTCTCATCGTTTGCATCAATGTCAGATTTCATCTAAAAAAAAGAAGTTATGACGTGGCAAACCAGACTGTAAATTACTCCTCCCCCTAGTCTAGGGGCCCCTAAATCCTACCGTTTTGATAGCCGCCTCAAAAATCTTGCCAGTCTTCGATCTTCGAACTTTTCCCATATAAACCTCTCCATACGCGCCTTGCCCAACTTTTTTTGAAAGTATTATATTAATATGTCGATATTCCCAATGTGACAATGGAATTGCGCGTAACAATTGAATTTTCAGATCTTTGGCTTTCAATGTTATTGGAGAATTTTGATAGAATCCAATAAGATTATCAAGAGTCTCGAATTTTTCGATTTTATCAATACAATACATTCCTTTTGACGACCGCTTTATGACAATGTTTCGAATATCATTTATTGTTAGTTGAGCAGTTCCTTCAGGCCACGCGATACTCAAAATCAAATCTCGCTGCCGACCAGTTGCTGTTGGACGCTGAAACAATTATTTCTGCATCTGCATACAGAAAAACTCTTGCACAGAAAAAAAAACTAACATCAGTTGTCCTTACGATATAATCCCCTTGACGTTTTAAAATGTATAACAAATCTTCTCTCGGCAAAAATCCATGATAAAAATTATACTGATCTAATTTTTTTGTATGCCCTTCTCTTTCGGCCATTTATGAATATGAAAAATGACCAGATTTTCGAAAACATCAACCTCGTGGATGTTAGTTCACGTGAAATTTCAATTGGCACCATTCCATTTGCCCAATTTTCGCCGCAAAAATATTATATATTGGAATTTTCCTGGGGAAGAACCGTTCCAAACGTTCCAAACGAAAAAAAAGAAAAAAAAGTCGTCCGCGAGAATTACAAAAAATGTGACATCGCTGCAAGACACAATCCACGACTCCTGCGCCTTTAATCAAAATTTCTGTTTTTTTTTCATTTCTCTCCCGAAAAAGCATGAATCTAGGCGTTCTCACAGAAATTCAGCATGAAAATTGAAAGCAGCATAGGTCAAGCCTGACGTAAATGAAAAATTTCAGTTGAAATTATTGAAAATTGACTTTTTCACTTAAAATTGTTAATTCATATAAAAACTGATATATTGGTTCCAATTGTTAATTTACGGCGTTCATATTTACCAGTGTGATCGCGTTTTTCACTGATTTTTGTGATTTATCGATTTTTTCTCTCATTTCCTAATTTTTGAATCCATCTCCGTTTAATTTCCAATTTTCAGAATGATGTTTACCGCAACAAAACCGATAGAACCTAAGAAATATCGATATCCACCGGAACGCCAATCAAAACCAAATGGATTAATTTTTGGAGTGGTTGTGGACAAAAAAGGCGATGCATCTGGAACAACCATGAAACAAAACGAAATCTTTTGTTATTCGCCAAGTATTCGCAAGAATTTCGGATATTTCGTCATGCCAAAAACATATTGGAAATCTATGAAGAAAGGCGATTGGTTCGTTTGCGTCCCGGAATATGTGGATCACAAAGATCCTGCTGAATTTGAGGAAAAACATTTGACTCAGGTGAGATTATCTTTATTTTTCTGCGAGGATTCATTATAGAAAATATTTTCAGATAAAGTTAATTCCACACAAACGCCGATTTGATTCCCAACTACCACAAACATTGGTTCATCTGGAGAACGTGCAGATTTGCTCAGAATTCATCAAAAGTCCCAATTTCATTGACAACAATTATTTGGCGGCAACAAGAGGATCAGCAAATATTCATAAATTGGTTTTGTGGAATACGGGCACGGCATTTGTGAGTTTCTGTGTCAAAACGCGTGAAAAAATATTTCTTTTTTTTCAGTTTTCCGAGAAGAAATTCCCCATCGATTGCATCCAGGAAAACCGAGTTTATCGAGGAGTCTTCGAATTTCGCGGTCCGGACAATGGTGGTGTAAACTTTCGGCCACATGTCAAAGATAAATATACAATGCCATTGGAAAGAGACACATATTGGGAGCTTGTTGAAATCATGGAATTGCGAATGGCAGTTGAATCGAAAACGGGAGAATGTGTCAAAGATTTGCCAATTGAGAAATCACCGTATTGGGTAAAATATGTGAGGGTCTTTTTTTTGAAATGCAGTATTGTGGAATTAAAAAATTTTGGCAGAAGAAAAAAGAGTCAGCTAGTCCTCGTAAATATTTCGAAAATGAATGAATGTCTGTGTGTGCGTGCGGTCGCGATGCGGTCGTAATAAAATCAATAAAAATATCGGCAATTTTTTCATTGTTTTCCTTCGAAAATGTTGTTTTTTTTTTCGACCGCATCGCGACCGCGCGCACACACAGACATTCATTCATTTTCGAAATATTTACGAGGAACTAGCTGACTCTTTTTTCCTCTGCCACATTTTTTTAATTCCACAATATGATGAAATTAAAAAATAACTGTAAATTTCAGCTCAAAGATCTCAAAGAATGGGCAATCGAATATGGCGAAACAATCGAGGTGAAATTTCTGAACAATCCACCGAAGACAACACCGAAACGCGATGTTAACTCGAATTTTTGCTCGCCAAGAAACGTCTCACTCAAACTCCCACCAAAAGCAATCGAGAACAACAGAACGGTAATATTCTTTTCATTTTTTGTAGCGGTTTGGGTTGTCTTTTGGTGTTTTTTCAAATAAATTATCATATCTAAAAAAAAAGAATCTGATTTTTCTTGAAAAAAAGTTGATTTTTCAATATATATGAATATATTTCATTTTTTTCAGCTCAATTTCCAACAATCGAGAATTATCAATCAGACGACTACTAAAATTAATGGGCTGCATTCGAGATTTGAATCACTGCGTTTTTCAAATTCAAACTATGAACCTGTATTCACACCAAGAAATACACAACCAATTGTTGCAGAAGGAAGAAGAATGGAACAATTGAACTACAATAGGAATGTGGAGTATATGTATTCCGATAACACCTACGATACTGCAAATTTATCGTTTGCACCGCGTCAGGAAATGTGTTCGACGCCAAGAACAAGTCCAAAACAACAAAGAAGACGTTTTTGAACAAACCTAATAGAAATTCATGTCAAATAACTTTTTAAATCAAAATTTTAATGAACCGTTTTATAATAGTCGGATTTTTGTTGAATTTTCGAAAATATCTCGTTTTTCGGCGAGTTGTCTTATTTTATGTGACGAATTGTAGTTTTTTCGTTTTTATTTAGCTCAGATTTCAGATGTCCAATTTCACGAGCCAAGGAGTGATTGCTGGAAGTTTCCAAATCAACGGCGTCAGTTATTATGAGATATTCGATGTTGAGTTAGGATATCTGTTTGCGAATTTTGAGGACACGGATTTGATGGTGAGATATTTGAAAAATTTGGAAGAGATCGAGATTCGAGCCAGACAACTGACAATTTCAGAAATTTTATGTTTTTTGAAAACTTTAGCTTTCAAAATTTGCTAAAATTTAATAAAAATAAACCTCGAAAATCAATAAATATTTTCCACAGGTATCCACCGAAACGTGGGTCAAATATGAGGTTATCAAAGTTCGAAACGGAATCAGAAACATGCAATATCAAGCAAAGAAAGTCGAATATATGGAAGAAAATCGAAATTCATCGAGCCCGGCCACAAATGTTTTCCGCAATGACAACAAGCACAATTTCAATGTTCGAGAATCGATCAATTATTTTCAATTCGACACCAATGGAAATTATTTGACGTTTAAAGGATGGGTCAAATATTTCGAGGGAGCAGGACAACGAAAAACCGGTTATTATCATGAATATTATGGATTTATTGAAGTGGCTGGGGATGAATTACGAAAATTGAGAGAATTCAAAATTAATGATTTAGAGGTTGATTGATTTTATATAAAAAGAGAAAAGCAGTTTTTTAAACAAAAATGTAATTTTCCAGGTGAAAATGAAGCTGAAACCATACGCAGAATATATGCGAAATCGCGGCCAAAGCCCATGGATTGTTATCCATTATATGAACAAAGGAGAAAGCCATGGATTGGGAGGATTTGTGAGTTTTCGGGAAAATTAGGGGAATTCTGAAATGAAAGCAAAAAAAAATCTGAATTTCAGTTTTTAGAGGTCAAAAATTGAAAAATTCAAAATTTTCATATTGTAAAAAATTAGCGTACAATTTTTTTTATTTTGGAAGCCACGATTTTGGCCGAGGAAAAGATTTCCCTAGTAAAAATTCGAAAAAATCTTGCACTTCTCACTTGAGAGCTAATTTTTTCCAGTTAAGCGTTTCCGGCCTCAATCGTCGTGGTCCCGGCGGTCGCCCACTCCCAAAGGATCAAGTCCTCATCCCGCCCGATTCTCTGCGACCAATGCATGAAGTGAGAAATTCGAGCCAGCCTTCGTCATCGAATAATTGGTGAGTTTTCTCCAAAAATTTCCAAGATTTGTTTGCGAATCTGATATTTTCAGGCAATCAAACAACAACAACTCCGCCAAAAATCAAGGTCAAAATGTTGGATTTGGTGCAATATTCGGCAAAAACTTCTGAAAAGTGTTGGTTTTTTTTCTATTTTTTTCTTGTTAATATTATTTTCCCATTTTTATATGCACTATAATGAATTTCAATAAATTTGCTTTCGAATTAATTTATTGAAATTCATTCGAATTATCATATTTACCACATTCCCAATCTGAAATTACAGGTTGAAAATTTGAGTTTTTCAATTACTCACAGAGCAAATTACATTAGTGGAACTAACTGCTTGAGAAGCGACCAATCGGCGACCGAATTCGCTGTTTTATTGAGCGTACTTTGGCCAGACTAACATCGCATGCTCTGCGTATATCATTTATACGTTATATCTCCGATGACAAATAACAATCCAAAAGATCAATTCATAAAAAAAACTGTTTGTTGTCCTTTTCCGCGTATAAAATCGAAAGATTTTTGACATAAAGTTTATTCTTTCTAATTGTAAAGCAATGCAAAACCTTGTGTTTTTCATCGTTTTCAATTGTATTATTGCGAAATGCTCTGCAATGGTTGGTGGAATAACGAATCAGGATGCAAATAACCAGAAATATACTGTGGGTTTGAATTTTTGTTTTTGAATCTGACACGAAAAATCGGAAATCGAACAAAATTTTTAAATCACAGGCTTTTTTTCGAAAAAAAGCCCAATTGTTATCAGATCTAGGAGTTAGCTTAGTTTTAGTGTTTTCTAAACAATTCGGAACATTTCAAAAAATATATAAATTCAAACCACGCGCGTTGTCGTCAACGCGGAGTCTCGTTGTTTTCTTTTTTTTTTTTTTCGGAAAGTTCTCTAGTTTTACAGGATTTTTCAGGACGTTGACAACATAGTGAAATTCTTGAATTTTTTAGGACCTTGCTTGGAAAGCAGTTGCACAAATCAACAACCAATCTTCAAACAATAGATCATATTATTATGTGCCAATAAAGGTACATACATTTTCCCCCCAAAAAAAATGTAGATAAAAAACATTATATATTTTTAGGTGGTAAAGGCATCAACACAAGTTGTTGGTGGTCTCAGCACGGATCTCGAAGTTCTTGCCGGCGAATCTTCGTGCAAGAAGGGAGAACTTCAAGCACAACAAATTTCAGCATCCAATTGTCAAGCCAAACAGGGAGGATCACGCGCGGTAAATTTTTTCGGTTTTAGATTTAAAAAATCCAAAATAAATATGGTTTTTGCAGCTCATCAAAGTCAACATCTGGGAGAAACCATGGGAGAACTTTGAGCAAATCAATGCTGAAAAAATTCGTGATGTTTCTGCTAACGAACAATTTTAAAAATCTAAACTGGTATTTCAGATAAATATTTTTTCTAAAAATCATTTTGTGTCTTACTTGTCAATCAAATTTTAGTTCTCCCAGTTCAAAAAACCACCGCTATTTACATTTTCCAACAAAAGTTCTGCAATTCTTCAAGTATCTTCTCAATTGTTGTTTTTTCTGACGGTTTCTTGTAGAAAAGAAAAGAACAACTTGAGATCTGATTGATTTATGGTCTTGGAAAAAACATTTGAACAGACACAGCAAAAAAAAACATGGAATGCGTGTTCTCATCTTTTCATTACCAAACCATTCGCTTTTTAATCAACACAAATACATTGATTTTCTTGGATTTCTTTTATTTTGTTTTATTTTCTGTAGAAAATGAAAAAAAATGAAAAATCGAAAAAAAAATGAAATTTTTGAAACTTGTCCGCGAGAACTACACGAGCCCGTCATTGCGGAGTATCGTTGTTTTATTTTTTTAAATTTCGAGATTTCTTACATAAAAATCTATGTTTTCCTAATTTTTAATCAATAAAAAATCAAATTCGAAAAAAATGAAAATTTTGAAACTTGTCCGCGAGAACTACACGAGCCCGTCATTGCGGAGTATCGTTGTTATATTTTTTGATTTTTTTTTCAAAATTTTGCAAAAAATCAGCAATTCCAGCTGCAACCTCTGAAGTTTCTGAAACTTCTGGAGAATCTAGAGTTAGACCAAATCGGGTAGCAAAAAGCCAAATTTTCCTGCATGTTTCCGAAAAAAAATACCCCCTTCGAAAATTTTTCCAGAAAAAAGTGTTCAAAAATTTTCAGGTTTTCTACAATAAAAAACCAATTAATTCTTGATGACTTCCAATGTTTTAAGTAGTTTAAGACTGTGTTTTGTTCATTTGCCCCATTTCATAAAACAAAATGTGCGGATAATAAATCGCAGCAAGTTCCACCATGAAAAACAACGGCTGACCAACGATTAATTCGAAAACACTTCCAACTAAATAATATCACATTTCATGTCAATCAAAGTGTTCGAGGTTCACGCCTTTTCCGAACCGTTCCGCATTTTGTCTCGTGTTTTTTTTTTTGCGCGCATGGAATTTTTTTTCGAAAACAAAAATGTTAGATTATTATCTGCGTTGTTCGCCCCCCAAAAACACTTCAAACACCTCCATTTTTTGTTTTGTAGATAGATTTCGTCCTTTTTCTTCGAGTACACTTGTGAATTTCGTTTTTTATGGTAATCCTCTTGTAAGTATTTAGGTCATATTCAAACTAACATACTTCATTTTTTTCTTTGTTTGGAAATTTTCCAGAAATATTGATGTTTGAGGGTTTTTCAAATTTTTTTAAACGTGAAAATTATTTTGAATGTCGAGAAAAATTTTTACAAAAAATTTCGAAATTATATTTTTTCCTATTTTTTGACGTTATTTTCCACACAAAAATGAAAAATATCTCGCAGCGAAAAATAGGAAAAATATAGTTTTTTCACATTTGCTGAATCTAAATTCTTTTTTTTTTAAATTTTGACTTGAATCACCACATTATTCTATATTTTTTGCAAAAAAAAATTAAAAATTCATTTCTGAAGTTGAAAATTTTTCATTTTTAGTACAAGTTAGTTTTGATCAAAAACACATATTGAAAATATATTTTTTAACTAAATTACTGCTCAAAACTTTTCTGAATTCAACGCACGTCATAATTTTTGATCATTTTCGAAAATCTTTGCAATTTTAATTTACTCTTCACACTTCAAATTGATCATTAAATGAATTAAATTTGATTTTCTCTCGCCCTCTTTTTTTCCCTAATTCCAAACATTCCTCAAAAATTGTACGAACACACTTCTGAAAAGGTCATGTGTGTGTATGTGTATGAAAAATTCCTCGTAGATTTTTTGATTTTATCTCCATTTTTTCTCGAGTGAGTTTTTTGATCATTTCAGATGAATTGCGTGACATTTTTCCTATTATTTCTTATAACGATTCTCAAGTTTGGAAATTCGCATGGTTTCTCGAAACGAAAATCGAGTTTTCAAAATCGATATTCGGATTTTGTGCCGCCTGATGTTCCGTGTGAATTGCCTGCGGTCACTTATCGATTGCCAGAGGAAATTCGAGAAAAGTTGGTTTTTTTTTAGAAAAAATTTAAAAAAAAAATAGCGTAAACACTGCATTTTTTAAAGGATCTTGGATATTTGGAAAGATCACGAGCAAAAGAAAAATTGTTGGATAGAAATGATGAAAAGTCGACATATTTTATTGTCAATGTCAGCAAAACAACGATCCGAAATATTAAAACCAACAAAAGAGTGTCAGGTATGAAGCACAAACTTTTGAAATTTTTTTTTTTAATTAAAAAAAAATAAATTTCAGGTGCCATCAGTGGTGAACGCTCTTCCAACCATGGTCCGTCGTAAAATATCCGATATCTGGACGCGAAACACACTTCTCAAATCACAAACCAAAAAAGAATGCTGGGAACAGCAGCGAAAAACACGGCTACTTCTCCTGAATCTCCCCGAACACCTCAAAAATCGCTTCACACCTTCACCATTCGATTGTGCATTGCCGCATTTCTTCCCGAGGCTTGAGGCAGAATTGCAGGAAAAATTGAAGGATATTTGGAAAAGTTGGAAACATGGTGATCAGTGTTTGGAGCAGATTGATGAACAGATCAAAATTCTTGAAGCCAATGATATTTCTTTGCAAAGTTTTCAGGTTGGTGTTTGATTTTGAGCTTTTTTCTGGCAAGGGAAGGTGTTGAACTTTTTATAAAACTTGGTATTACCGAAAATCTCAACCACGCGCTCTACCGAAATAAACACGCAACGCAGACCGCGTCGCGCCACAACACACACAAAAAAGAGAGAGGGAATTTGAATCGTTACCTCATTTGTGTGTGTTGTGGCGCAACGCGGTCTGCGTTGCGTGTTTATTTCGGTGGAGCGCGTGGTACCGATGAGATTTTCGATAATATATGTACCCGCTGATCTCGAATATCTTTTTCAAAATTTCTACAAGTGTGCCCCAAAAACTTTTGTTCAAAGACGTAGGTCACCAGGTGGAGTCGAACCCTGGTTTTGAAAATAGTAGGCAGCCGTGCAAACCACTCGGCCACCCTGCAGTTATTTTTTATTGTCAGAAGCCGTGCTCGGAAATTTTTGAAATTTCGAGATCAGCGGGTTTTTGAATCTATAGGTGTACCAAGACTTGCAAAAAAAAAAAATTTAAAATTTTTCAGATGCCTCCAGCAGCGTGGTTCAAAAAGCGAGAAATTCTTCGAAAATTGAAACGTCGTGAAAATATCGCTTAATTCCAATGCTCATGTACATAATTTCGATCTATTTATTTGTAAGATCAACTTGTATAAACCCGTGAATAACAAACCAAAAAAACAACAAAATCAAAAACAATGAAATGACAAATAGGGTACCTTATGTCGCCAAGTTGTCGGATGTCCTTTCATATTCCAACCAAGAACTGGTAAACTAATCGGATCGGATGTGAAAACATCTTCTTCCGAGAGATTCGGATCAGAATGTAGATCAACATCACCGTCGCATTCGTGCATTGAACCATCTTTCTGAAAAATAATTTTTTTTCTTAATATTAATTTTAAAATTTTTAGTCTCACCTTCGTACACTTAACTTCACAAGAAATTCTCTGATTTTCATTCAAAATCGAGACTCTGACTCGAACACCACCATGATTTAGCTCGGGATTGGGAGCTTGGACAAAAACTATATTTGGGTCGAAGCTTGAGGCGGCTTTTTGAATTGATGAAGACCAGACTGGACCAATGTCAGAGTGTGGAGATACTTCTATCTGAAAAAAGGGCTTTGGAAGAGACTTGGGCATATAAAACACGGTATTTTAAATGTAAAACGATAAAAACCTTCCAGAGAAATCCAAAACGTAGAAATTGATATCAAGCGCGGGGAAAATTTTTTATTCGGAAAAAATCTTGAAAAATATGTTTCCCGCGCTTGGTCCCAGGTATTTCTCTCGAGTTTTGTGTTTAAGTTGATCCCTGAAGCTGTTCCAAAAATATTTTTATGAATTTTCAATGAGGTGATTCAAGTCGAAAAAAAAATAAAAAACATATTTCCAAAAAAAAAATTTTTTTAATTTTTCAAAAAAAATTATTTTTTTTTCGACTTGAATCTCCCATAAGTTCTAAAAATTTTTTTCAAAATTTTCAGAACTCGAAATAAATACTTTCAAAGCCCCTCCCCCTCACCTGATAATTCGCACCCATCGGTCGAAAAACCGAAACTCTAAAAAACACATAATTCTCATGAGAAACAGGTTGTCGAATAGTCTCGGGTAGTGCTAAAATCATAGCTGACGTCACCAGTTTTCGAGCACACGCAAAAACCATAAAAGGCAATGATGGGCGAATGAGGCGAGGATGAACCGATAAATCGATATCCAAAAATGTTCGAGATGACATTGAATGCGTGTATGAGAGTGGAGAGGAATTTTCGATTTTCATTGAAATATTCAATACTGGTTGGCAAACCTAGAAATACGTATTTATTCTTATTATCAAAAATCTAACATTAAAGGAGGGGGGATAAGACGACAAAATTTTATTAGCTCAAAAGATCGGGTCCCCTTTGAATAGTGAAAGCCCCAGGGGATTTTTCTCCGAAAGGCCTAAAAAGGTCCGAAAAATATTCCATGAATTTTTTCAACGTATACCACCTATACGTGGTACCTAGTTCATGGAAAATTTTTTTCTGGAACCTTTGGGGAGCCTTTAACTTTGCGACGACATTTTTTGTCGTCTTACCCCCCTTTAATTCAATATTACCTCATATCTATCATTAGTTGAATTCAAACATTGTGCTTGACAATATCTCCCAAATTGATCTCTGGCTTCCAACTTCACCCTCGAATCTTGCCCATTTCTCGGTTTCGGCAAGCTCAAATAAACCGTTCCCGGTATCTCTGGATATACACTTTCCCCGAGGTTAAAAACCATAGTACTCGAATTTTTATTCAAATCAGTTATGGTAACTCTAGCCAATTCGTCATCTATACCATTTCCATTTTCATCCACCAGAACAGTTTTCGCCCAAATACTATCTTTCCACGCGATATTTTCATCTTCAAGTCTGGATTTCATAGAATTCTTGACTCTTGGCGGAACAATACATTTTCCTTGACTACAAACCGAGTTATAGCAAATTTGTGTTCCCTCATATCCTGTACAATTTCCTCCATAAACAATTTTACTTCGACACCTCCAAAGTTTATTATCGCACCAATAATAGGGTGAATCACATGTTTGATCAGTCATAGAACAATGCTTAACAGTCTGATATTCATACCATTCATCAGTATATTGATTACTCAAACCATCTCGATTTTGTATTGTGAATGGTTTCATTTGCATATCAAAACCATGATTATCATTACAGGATTTAGTTGCCCATTGGGTTTCCCGTTCTTCTCGAGTCTGACTATTTTGTCGAAATTGTTCCCAAAGATTATCAACAAACGCGTGATGCATATAAAATGTTGGATCATTTGGGCTAACTCTGATAACATACATAAATCCACCAACCCAAACGTGACTCAAGCCATGCATACTTTCAAATGTTTTATCGTGACAAAACGTGAGTTGACTGAAATTCTTGCGATTCACAACCCAGCTAACATCTCGTGGTGTCATCAATCGATCTTGTGATCGTCCCCCGGTGGATCGATATAATTTTTTGACTGGGATCTGACTCAAAGGCATAAATACATTTGTATTCCAATCAGCGAACGGGCCAGTTTTCACGTAACCGTTACCATTTCCTAATAATTCATCACTCCATAAAACACTGTCCGATTCTTCCGGTAGACCTTAATTTAAAAAATTAAGAACCTAGAAACATATTAAATCTTACCTTGATCCAAAGTCGAATCCCAAAAAGGTAAGGTAACCGTTGGAACTTCTGTCTGCAGTGCAATTTCAAATTGCCTGAGAAATTCACGATGCCACGGAAGAAAGGCGGGTCCCCAATGAGCTCCAGGAGCACTATCCGGATAGTGAACAAGGGTGTGTAAGTCCCAAGCAGTTATATTGTCGATTTCTCGATTTTTGAGCCCGTTCATCGCGATGGCAAGATCACGTAGTTCTCGTGGACTAAACATTCGAATCTCTTTGCGAATGGTTTTTGAAGGCGCACGTTTCTGAAATTATTTATTGAGATTTGAATTGTGATGGGATATTGAATAAGTTTTGAAATGTTGAAATCACAAGCGTCAATGCGGAGTCTCGTTGTGTTTTTTAAACTTTAAACTTTATTATAGCCAATCCAACAGTTTTGTTCTAATGGAAAATCAGTACTTTAAACCTCTGAACTTCTGAATCAGCAGGATTATTTTTTTCTCGAAATCTAACAGTTGATTATAGCACTTTTAATCACATACCACAAAAGTTTAGCTAAACTCCCGAACCCCCTAATTACACTCAGCTTCAAATTCTCAAATATTTCACCCCAAATTATCAACCATGGTTGCTATAACCTACAACATTTCAATATTTCCTGATTTCGAGCCCATAGAACATTTTGATCCAACTGTTGATTGTCGTGATCCATCTTCCTGCGAGCACGTGGCTTGGCTCTTTGTGAGTATCGATATTTTTCAATTTAATTATCTAGCTCCATTATTCGCTACGATATTTGATTTCTTGGTTCAAGTTATAAATGTCGGAATTTTATTGAAGCGAAAATATCTGAAGAATGGTCCATTCTTCAAAATCTTGCTTATTATGTCTACTAGTGTTATACTGCGATGTCTACATAATGTTGTGAATTATAGCTGCGCAGCTATTTTTAGCGTGGGTTCTTCAACCTATAAAACTTCTCTAAGAAATGCAGTGTATTCTGATTTCTTCTTCAGTTTTTTCCTAGTCACTTTAATTTTTCTAATGTCTCTAAATCGATGTTTATGTTTCGTTTCCAAAGATTGGAATGATTTGATCTTTGAAGAATATCACTATCTTATCCCAGTTTTTCTATCATTTTCAATTTCACTTATAGCAACAATAATCAGTATTCAATCTTCAAAAATCAAACGAGTATTTCAAGACTCTACTGGATTTATCGATTACAGTGAAAATTTGGATGGCTATAATACAATGATTGTTAGGATGTTCTACATATTTCCAATCGGATCATCAATTTGCTATATTGTTTTATTTCGATTTATGAGACGAAAATCTAGAATGGCATTAACTTCTAAAAACGCCGGACAAAAAATATTCACACAACTTTTGGTCACAGTTATCTTCTACGGACTCATGTGTATCTTCTACGAAGCTGTTGTCAGTCTAGATGACTTTTTGGATATAAATCAAATATCTAAATTGATATCACTGCTGAATATTATAAACAATTTACCCGAAATCGCATTACCTTTTATGCTTTTGATTTCACGACTTGATTTATGCAAAAAATCTACTAAAGTTCAGGCAATAAGTAGTACAACCGCTTCTAATATTGTTAGATAATTTGTTTTTTGAAAGTTGAAATAATAAAGCTTTTGAAACAACGATACTCCGCTAGTGACGCTTGTCCGCCGTTTTTTCAAATTTCAAATTTTTTTTTCAACATTTATGTATTATGAAAACCAAATTTCTAAAATCCATACCTTTCTTCTCGCCTCCCTCACACAATTTTGCCTCGTACATTTCTCCACCATTTTCAGATATTTTAATTGATTGTCTGGAATAACACGATGATTTAAAACTGGTTTCTCCCACCTAACCAATGTATAATAATTGAATTGAACCTGCCTGTAGTTGTTGGCATGAATTTTTTCGAAATCTCTTCGTCCCGATCCTTCGCCCATTGCTTCTGATGATGACACATTTGTCGAATCTGCGCCTCGGTGAAAAAATCCAAATCTCCTAATTGATTCAACCATTGTTGACACGAATCGTTGAGCTTCGATTTCGCAATTAGAATCAGCCATAGAAATGTGAGAAGCAATCGAAGCATGGGTTAAACCTAGGGGTAAAAACTATATATGATAAGGTAGGAAAAAGCGATGTCTGAATCATCAGAAAGAATGTTAAAGGGGGGGTAAGACGACAAATTTTTTTTGCCGCAAAGTTAAAGGCTGCCCAAAAGTAGTAAAACCTCCAAGGGATTTTTTCTGGAAACGCTCAGAAAAAATGTTCCATAAACTAGGTACCACGTATAGCTATACGTTGAAATTATTCCATAAACTTTCGGACAACGTATAGCTATACGTTGAAAAAGTTCATGGAATATTTTTTCGGACCTTTTTAGGCCCTTCGAGAAAAAATCCCCTGGGGCTTTTACTATTCAAAGGGAGCCCGATTCATTGAGCAAATGAAATTTTGTCGTCTTACCCCCCCTTTAAGGGTGTGGTCAGGCTATTTATAGGTCAAGGATCAATTTCAGATAAAAAAGTTATGCTACCCAAAAAAACATTTAATTTAATTTGATCGAAAAAAGTTGTGTTCTTCTCGCACGCTTTCATTGTTTCATAGTAAACAATAAACAAGTTGCAAAAAGACCATAAAATGATTGATTAATTATAGTAAAATATTTTCAAAAAAGGTTTTTCAATAGAATTATAGGAGAAGAAGAAGAGAGAGATCAATAGTTCTACCAAAATATTTATACAAAGCTTTCAACCAACCCAGTTCCTTATCTTTTTATCTGCTGTTATATTACGTGACTAATATGACGAATTGGTATATGTTCGTTCATCAAATAATGATTTTTTTTTGGAATTAACGTTCAGTGTTAAGAAAAATTTCCTTGCCGCTAAAATCTTAAAACTGGGAGAGAAAGTTCGCTCTATCGCACACATAATTTATATGTGTGTACTTCTCTCGGAGCACACCTAAACATTTTTTTTTAGGTATCTATCTATCCCAAATCAAGTATAAGCTCATTAAAAACCTTTGCACGTAGAAAAAAAAATAATTTTAAAAAAAACTTGATAAAATAAGTTACATCAACTCAACTATGCCTACATATCTATTCATCAAAATAAACAAAGAATGGTATAGGTTATATATGTTCTTTATTGAAACAGTCAGCAAGGCAAAAAAAAAGTGAAAAGTGGTCACCGCCCATTTGAGAAAATTCGGCAGACCAGAAAAAACATGAAGAACATTTCATACATTTTTCGAGGTAAGGACGAATCATCATTTCGAAAAAAGAAGAAGAAGAACGTGGGCGGTGGCAACAAATATTTTTTCAGCAACGAAAAATAGATAGAACTTGTTAAATGATCCATGTCCGGAAACAAATTATCAATTTTTTTTGTTTTTTTTTGAGAGAGAGAGAAAGAGAACGAGAGCGAGAATTGGATTGAGATTGCAATTTTCTGGAAAAAAATCAAGTTGATTTTACTTTCCGAAAATATATGAGGCCGTGGAAGAGAAAACCAAAATACAGTAGACTACTGATTGCTCATGTCAAAAATGATCAAGAATTGAAAAATAGTCATAGTAAACCTGTGGGATTCGCAAGTTCAATAATTTTTAAATTATTGTTTTCAACAAAGAATGTTCTGCCACGTCATAACTTTTTTTTTTACATTGAAAACTAATATTTTCTGATTACTGTAAAATTCTTCTCCTCCAAAGCTTCGCCTATGAGCCATAGATAAACCTCTTATCATCCTAAATCTCAATAAAAAATATATAAAATTTTTAAGAAAACAAAATAATTTTCCAAATCCTTTTCAAAATCCATTAGTTGATTGGAAAACGAAATCCGCCCAACTACCGTACCCCGAAATCCGCTTTTCAAAATCGGGGTTTTATTTTGTTCAAGCCCTCCTATTTTTCATTTTATTCTTATTATTACTTTATTCGCTGATCCTGTCTGGTGAGAGCTGATGTATTGGATTCTCTTTCATTTTCTGTTGCCGTTAACTGTTTGGTGTCAAGAAGCTGAAAGAATTCTTGCGAACAATGGAACTGATGAGGAGAATCATTTCACTTCTAAAACAACTCCGAACACCAATCCACTTTTATTGTCAAATTCTACTGATGGGCTCTACGATTCCAGAGGTAATTCTAGGGTGAATCGTAGAATAGGTCCCCACCTTTTCATGGTCAGAAATCTTGTTGGTGGGGAGCTAAAATTGAGTTGGCACGTGGGGCACGAATACCCTATGATGGGAAAAAGGCCCCCGACTCTATTAAAACTGCCCTCAGTCAAGAAATATTTCAGTCCTCACATACTCATTTTAAGTCGAGTGGGGACTTGGGGCCTGTTTTACGATCAGGCCTATATCTAACCCAAGAATTTTTAGGCAAACTTCGTGTAAAACTCGGCCATATCGGTGCTTTCGGTGCTCTTCGAAACGATGTGAAAATCCTCGAAGTTTCTCACAAATCTTTGCGCGACGAAGGAATTCTTGATGATGATTTTGATATCGAGTATGAATATTTTCTCAAATATTATCTCAAAATAAATAAAAAAATTTCCAGCATCATTTCTCAAAACGGTTGTGGTGAATCGTATGAAGGAGTGGCTGTTGCAGCAGACATGTACCATCTTCAAAAAGTCAAAATCTTCATTGGTCCCTATTGTAATGCTGAAATGGATGCTGTCGCAAGAATGGCAGCGTTCTGGAATATTCCAATTATTGGTTATATGGCTGCGTCAAATGCGCTGGCTGATAAAAATGCCTATCCGACTTTGGCCCGAATTTCGGTTAGTGTTGATTAGGAATTTAGGGCCTTAAGGACCTAAAGGCGGTTAAACAGCTATTCCGGTTGATTGAGACCACCCACGAAGTCTCTGACTCTAATAAAGCTCAAATCTTACTATACGCAGAATTGCGTCGCGGAGTTTGCACACACCAATCCTTGGAGGCAATTTGAAATTTTGAAAACACAACATGTGTAGATCTCCAGAACTTCTAAAAATTCTCCAGAAATTCTGAAAATTCTCCAGATGCGAACCACAAATTCAATTGCCGAGGCAACTTGTGCAATGCTTCGCCACTACGGTTGGCACAAAGTTGCGATTGTCACAAATACCGGAACAACCGCATATGACCGCGTTGTTTCATTCGAAGAAGTATTTCATTCTCGTGGCATCACAGTCATCAAGAAAATCATGTTCGACGAGTTCGCCGATCAGAAAGCTATGGTCGCTTCAGGTCTGCTCAATGACTTGAGAAACACCGCAAGAGGTAAACTATAAATTACTAACCTAGAACAATATTTTAAAATCCGAACTTTCAGTCATCGTCTGTTTGTTTTCGAATACCCGTGAAAGTTCTCGCGAATTTTTATCGGCTGCAAATTCGCAAGGAATGTCTGTCAACGAGTTCGCCTATATATTTCCATGGCTTCAAGATGGCGGAAAGGATATTGCGCCGTGGACAGGAACTGATGGATCAATGATGCAAAAAGTCAAGGATCAATATGCCAATGCGATTATCGTATGTGTTTTTTCTCAACTTTATATTTCGAATCTTCATGTTTTTTCAGATCGACGATGTCAATAGTTTCGACAACACCATCATTGGACCATTCCTCGAAAGAATCAAAGATGTTGGTCTCACTGAAGCCGATGTTGATATTGCCAACATCTATGGATATCTTTATTTGTTCGATGCTCTCAAATTATACGCGCTTGCTGGTAGAAAAGTTCTAAATGAGACTGGAAAACCAGAAAACCTGATGAATGGCAAGTTAATGTGGCAGAATATGCGAAAAATCAAATTTGTTGGAATGGTTGGAGCGTCTGGAATCGCATCCGGAATTGTAACAATGGATGATCGAGCTGAAAGAGCACCGCTTTATCGTGGATTCTTTGTCAGTCCTAATAGTGATCAAGTCACACCAATGGTGCATATGGAACCAACAATGCTTGATAATTGTGATGGACTTGCCAATCGATCGGGATGTTATGAGATTATTGTCACCGATATTATGCGAGATTTCTGGCCATCAATCGATCGAAAAATGCCGAAAGATGAGCCAGATTGTGGATTCCGTAATGAAAAATGCGATTATACACTTATTATTATCGGAGCTGCTCTGGTTTTAGTCTTCATTATTGCGGCAATCTCCGCATTCTTTGTTCAGAAACTTTTGTAAGTTATTATAGTATAATATGAGTCATATTTTATTACTATTGCAGGGAGAAAAAGGCTTTGGATAAGCTGCCATTCCGGATTTATAGAGATGATCTGCAGTTTATTGACGAGGAACAATTGAAAAGTATGCTGTCGTTGGGAAGTACAAGAACAAAAATGAGCAATATGAATTATGGTGCTAGAAATCATGCGATTGTTGGAACAAATACTCATGCAATTTATCATAAATATCCCCAACGTCGTCCAATTATTTTCAGTCGCGCGGATAAAACACTTCTTCAATTGATGAAAACCGCAGTTCACGATAATATCAACCCATTTTTGGGGATGGTTTGGAATGAACGAGAGGAAATGTTATTGATTTGGAAGTTTTGCTCGCGAGGAACACTTCAGGATGTCATTTACAATGATAATATTCAATTGGATGCCAAGTTCCACGGTGCATTTATTCGAGATATTCTTGCGGGACTTGAATATTTGCATGCATCAATGATCGGATATCATGGTTCACTTTCGCCTTGGGCATGTTTGATTGACAGAAATTGGATGGTTAAACTCACTGATTACGGAATTGCTGACCCTTTGGAGAGATGGGAAAAACAACAAGCGATTTCGAAAGACGCGTTGACATCTGACGAAGACAAATCGCAAGCGACTCAATCAACAAGTATTCTTTATGAAGCTCCGGAAATGCTCAAAAATCGGGAGAGTAATAGAACTCGAAGAGTTGATCAGGATTGGCTTCGGCAAACTTCTGCGAGAAGACAGTTGGGAGATGTTTATGCTTTTGGTTTGGTTATGTATGAAATCATTTTCCGTGCAACACCATTCCCAGAGGGAACCAATTTGATGGGTAATTTTTTTTTAATTTTTAAAAGAACACCACAGTAAAGTGGAGTTTTTTTCAGAACTTGTTGAATGGCTTCGCGATGGATCAAAGACTGTGAAACCGACAATTGCTCAAAACAAAGTTCTGAATATGGATCTGACCGCTCTTATTCAAGATTGCTGGAACACTACGCCTGAAATGAGACCATCACTTCGAAGAATCAAATTGAATGTCGAAACATATCTCAACATCAAGGGATCATTGGTCGATCAAATGACAAGAATGATGGAACAATATGCGAATAACTTGGAAAAACTTGTCGCCGAAAGAACCGGAATGTTAGAAGAGGCGAATCAACGAGCTGATCGTTTGTTGAGTCAATTGCTACCCGCCTATGTTGCGAATGAATTGAAACTCGGAAGATCTGTGCCACCAAAAACATTCAGCAGCTCAACAGTTTTGTTTAGGTATGGGTGTTTAAAGGTGTTTATTGCTGTAATATACAATATAAATTTTCCAGTGACATTGTCGGCTTCACAGATATGTGCAAACACGCAACTCCAATCGAAGTTGTTTCAGTGTTAAACGGTATTTTCGATGGTTTTGATCAATTCATCGCAAGAAAAGATGCGTACAAAGTTGAGACAATTGGAGATGCTTATATGGTTGTATCAGGTGTTCCCGAAGAAAACGGCCATCGTCATATCAATGAGATCGCTTCGATTGCTCTCGATGTTCATAAATTCCTCTCCGAATTCATTGTTCCACACAAACCAGACACTCGTGTTCAATGCCGTCTCGGTTTCCATACCGGCCCCGTCGCTGCAGCTGTCGTCGGTCTCAACGCACCCCGTTATTGTCTCTTCGGTGACACCGTCAACATGTCATCTCGAATGGAATCGAACAGTGATCCAGGCCGTACACAAATCTCCGAGGCTGCCAAAAACCTTCTCCAAAAAGAATATCCCGACTACGTTTGTGAACAACGCGGTGAAATTCCCATCAAGGGCAAAGGACTTTGTATGACTTATTGGTTGATGGGAACCAAATCGGAGGGTTCTGGATTCAGTGGAAACTATATGGCACCATCGGCGAAGTCCGGAGGAACTGGATTCACTGGAATGCTGGGCAACGCCGTCAACGATTATTCTCTCAATGTCAGAAATCCAACCGGATTGCAACGTTAATTATGCTTTTTTGAAAAAAAACGTAGAAATCTTTTAGTTACACATCTGAACTCTAATCAAATAAATCATCATTTATTATTTCTTCATCGATTTCTCATCTCTATTTCTTCATATTTTCATTTTTGTGTTGTTTTTTCGTCTCTCTTGACAACAGAAACAATAAATAATATGTCTAAAAACTGCCTATTTCATAATAGAAAATATATGAGTCATTCAGGTACATAAACATTACCAAATATCTCTGCGTCTATCGACGAAAGGGTTGAATTGCAATGGATTATTTGTGTTGTGCGCGTGTCGCCGCCTCTACCAATTCCATTTTATTTCTTTTTCGCCAGTCTTCTCATGTGACCAAATTTCTCGGAAAAAATACTGTTGTAAATAATATTTTACATAATTTTTCCTGTTTTCCAATTTCAACTAGTGGAATTCTTTTGTACAAATTTTTGTCTGAAATTGAATTTTGTAACAAAAACAGTCTTATCAATATTGACTTTCCCTCTCTCCTTCTCTTCTTCTTCTTCTTCAAAAAAAACAAACATTTCTTTTCACTTCCTATACTTTCTTACTTACCGCCAAATTTTCTCCAGATGTCGTATCAACCGTACAATCAACCACCGCCATACGGAGTTCAACAAAACTATCCACCTCCAGGATCAGCTGTAGGTGTTCTGTACTTAGGGGCTGGGGGAAACCTATAATTAAATGTTTACAGGGATACATTCAACAACAGCCAGGATATTATCCGCAAGGACAACCGGGGTATTATCCACAGCAGCAACCACAAGTCGTGTGAGTTTTTTTCGTGATTCATAACCGTTCAAGCGTGAAAAAATATTCGATTGATTTTTTGTCCAAAAGCAAAGAGGATCGCCAAATTAAAGGTACACCGTGCAAACAACCGTGATTTTCTGTCCAATTCCTTCTCAGAAATCGAGTTAGATATGCAGGTTCTACCGTACATCATATGCCTTTAAAAAATATTCTGTACACCCCAGCCAACTTCCAAATTTCCAGAGTTGTCGAGGAACGTCGTCGTGGCGGCGGCGGTGGTGGAAGTGACAATTGTTGTCTAGTCGCCCTATTAGCATGCTGTGCTGGTTGTTGTATTGCCGATTGTTGTGACTAAACAATTTTTATGAACATTTCGTTTTCTTGTCAAATAATAAATATGTATCATTTTTTGCGCGCTACAATTTAGAAGGTTTATTGAGCACCCAATCGGCAATCATATGATGAGCAATGGCACCAGTTGGCGGGATATAATGAAGTGCATCGGGGTCATTTTGGACTTTCGATAAGTTCTATGGAAAAATATTTTTAGAGATGAAGCCTGGGGGTGAAAATAGATAGTACCTTTAAAAATGGGTCAGCTAATGTTGTCTCGAGTGCAGCTCTCACTTCTTCTCTGGTAAACCATTTAGCAGTTTGAATTTCCTCGGGGCAAATATCGATCTAAAACAAAAAATTCTTGTTAATTTGGTCAAACGCATACATCACTGTGCAAACAGCCAAAAGTACACGTGTTGTTCAACTCCTCTGGTCAAATAAAGAGAAGGGAAAACAACTAACCGATTGATTCATATCTGCGATTGCAATATGAGCAATCATCAGTGAAGAATCAGGCATTGGCCAAGGTTGTGACATATTCAACGATTTCACATCATTCACTTCGATTCCAATTTCTTCCGCAACTTCGCGACGAACACAATCCACTAGATTTTCGCCTGGCTGAAAATTGAACTTTCTGAGTTCAAAGTCTATTTTGAAAGTGTTTACCTGCGCAAAACCAGCAATCGCCGTAAAAACACCGCCGGGTGAATTTTTATGACGAGCAAGGAGTATGTTCTCGAAAGTTGGATCCGTGACAATTGTAATTGTGACTGGTGAAAACTGTAAAGTGCCTGGTGAGATGAGTGAGAGAGAAAATTGAAAAAAAAACGAAAAGACAAACAAAAAACAAATTGAAATACGATACATGCACATTGAATAATGCATTAGATAGGTAACACGTGGTGAAATATTATTAGACATGCATAGTTGTTAAAGGGTAAGGATTATTTTCTGAGTTTTAGTAGCAGGGGCTTTCCCAAGATGGATTCCGGTCCGGTCCCCAGAATCGGGGTTAGGGTTTAACTTTTTTCAAAAATCTAAAGGGAAGGGTGCCTAACTTGGCCAATTTTCTGGTGAAAATTGACCAGATCTCCCAGATTTGTCCGAAATTTGCTCAAAATGTGAGGAAAGGGGTTTAACTTTGGAAATTTTTAAAAGAGGGATCCTAACTGAAAAAACTGGCTCGGGAAAAAGAAAAAAAACCTATTTTTGTATGATTCCGGAAAAACCCTGAATCTATCTAGCTATCACAATGTCTTATACAAAGATCTGAGATTTTTTGAAATTCTGAAAATGTGAAAAAACGTCTTCATGAAAATTCTAGAGTTGAGTTTAGCTGACCAATATCAGAAATAAGGATATTTCAGCAAAAATAGCAAACATTTCTCATTGTGAGCTGTAATTTAAGGTTCTGAATAGGTAAAAAGGAGTTACCCGAACCTCACAGCTCAAATTTCTGTCTTTCATACCCCCCTCCCTCTTTTTTTAAATAATTTCGACTTCAATATCACATGTCTTATGATAATCTTCAGAGATATTATCATAAAATCTCGTTTCCCAGTTTTCAAATTTCAAGGACACATCATGTTAATTTGAACCCCCCCCCCTTCCAAACCAAAGAACTAACCGTCGGATAATACGTCTTCTCACACTGCAAACATTCGGCTCCACTTTTGCTAACTCGCATTTTCAGTGCCGCCGCACATTTCGGACACCTTCTATAAGTCGACGACCATTTTGTGAGCACTTGGAATTTTGCCAACAAATGTCTTTGGCGTTCTTGATCCATTGTCAACATTGCAGTTCGAATATCGATAAATCTTCCACCAAAACTATCGGCTAATTGCTTCAAAACTTGTGTTTTTGAGATGGGACTGTCTTCTGGGAGGGTTGCCGTTTTGGTGGCAACTCCGAAGAGTGGAGTCTAGAATTGATATTTTTTGTGGATGTTTCTGGAGATGAAGCTTACCATATCAATTTCTCCCGGAATCGCATCAAGAAGACAAGATTTGGAAATATCGAAATCCACTCCGTATTCTCCCAACTTCTTTTTCAAATCTGCAAAAATCAAAAAAAAATTTTAAAAAAATGGTTTTTTTTTAACATTGAAAGATCAATTAAAAGTCAAAAAAAATTAGTTTTTCAAGGTTTTTCAGCCAAAAATGATGACAAATCTAGAATTTTGAAGCTTCTGATGAAAATTGACTTTCGAATTCACTTTTCAGAATAAAATGGATATATTTTCATCAGAAATCACTCCAAAAGCTTCAAAAATCGCGATTTGTCATCATTTTTGGCTGAAAACCTCGAAAAAATTTTATCTACAATTTTTCCCACCAATAAAAATGTGTCTGGTCTCAAAAAATTCGGGAAAATTTTAGGAGTATTAAATTATACTATATGGGTCTGCCACGTCATAGGTACTCGAGTAAAATCTAGAATTTCAGATGTAAAAACCAACCTGACTGATTTCAAAAATTTACGACCGGTTTCAAATAAAAATAATGATCGAAATAAAAAAGAGTTAACGTGTAAATTTTATTTTTTTTTCGAATTTTAATTTTTTTCACGTGAAAATCTATTTTTTTTTGTTTTTTTTTAAATTTAATTTTACTTAACTTTAAACTTAAGTTTTTTGTGATTTAAAAATATTCCAAAAAATCGCCCAAAACCCACCTGTATAACTATATTCAATCATTGTCACACTTTTTCCCTTCGAAACCAACAATTGTCGATCAACCATTAGAACCAGTGTAGATCTTGGGAATTCACTAAAAAAAAAAATTTTTCGATAAGTTTTCAGGAAAACCTCACTTTTGAAGTGATGAATCTTGAACTGTCCAATAATCCAATAATTTGACACGATCTACATAAGTGCTCAATTTTCGCATACTTGGCATAACTCGCGTCATTTCTTTCTGAATCATAAATTTTTTTTAGAGATTTAACAAAAATTTGAAAAGACAAAAAGAAAGGAAGAAAAACCTAGAATAAATCAATAATTTCAAAGAAAAAATTAATAATCAAAAAAACATTTATAATGTGTTAGTACAAAAAATACAGATAATTTCAATTCAAATGGCAAAGTTCAGATAAGTTCTAAATAACAAATTGAGATATGAGATTGAGGAGCCCGACTAGAATAATGGCGTAATGTGCATATTTTTTGAACGGTGTTAGGGTGCCAAGTGCTTGATTTTGGCGAATGTAAACTAATGAGGGAAGGGCGAACACATAAATTAGACCCGATATTGAACCAACGTATCTGGAAAATTTTATGTTCAGGTCGAAAAAAATAACATTTTTTTTCAAATTTCGGTCAAAAACTATCTATTTTTCCTATTTTTTGAAAAGTTCATTGAAAAATTTTCGCTGTGAGATATTTTTCAAAAAAAAAATGTCAAAAATAAGAAAAAAAAAAATTTTTTTTGGCATTTGCTGAATCGAAATTTTTTGTAAAAAATGTTTTTTTAAAATTTTTTTCTACCTGAATCACCCCATTAAATATCGATTCAGAAAATGTCAAAAAACTATATTTTTTCCTATTTTTTGACATTAAAAAATTTTCGCTGCGAGATATTTTTCAAAAAAAAATGTCAAAAATAAGAAAAAAAAAATTTTTTTTTGGCATTTGCTGAATCGAAATTTTTTGTAAAAAATGTTTTTTTTAAATTTTTTTCTACCTGAATCACCCCATTAAATATCGATTCAGAAAATGTCAAAAAACTATATTTTTTCCTATTTTTTGACATTAAAAAATTTTCGCTGCGAGATATTTTTCAAAAAAAAAATGTCAAAAATAAGAAAAAAAATTTTTTTTTGACATTCCTGAATCGAAATTTTTTGTAAAAAAAATGTTTTTTTTTATTATTTTTTTCAATTATTCTTCAAAAATTTCCAGCCCACAAAATAATATTTTTTATCAATATTTTTTGTTTCAAAATCAGCTGAAAAAGGTTTCAAAGGGCATTTTTAACCATAAAATTTGAAAAAAAAACAAAACAGGAAAAATTATGGATAGGCTTAAAGGCCCGGGCTCTGGGCCAGACCACAATTAAAAATAAAAATCAGTCGCGTGCGGCTGTGCGTCGCGGTCGGGGAAAAATCAAGAACTTGATCCCGACTGCGACGCACAGCCGCACGCGATTGACGAAGTTTTTTTAGCCATATAAATTCCTGTCCCCAGAAAATTTTTTTTAGAAAATTCTAGATTTTCGCAACTTTTTAACAGGAACCCAAATCACTTTTTCCCCAAAAAAATTACCTTAAAATACTTCCAACATTTGGATAAAATGAGGCAAACAAAACAGCAATTGCGATAAGCAAAACATTGAGCAAAATGACTTTCAAAATTCTGAAAAACACCTTTTCGAATCAAATGAAAACCGGAAAAAAATATGATGTGTAACAATAATGTTGATTATCATTGATAGATAGCAAATCAAATCGATCAAAGTGCAAAACATACCCAGGCCAAGTGTTTTTGGAAATCGCGTAGAATAATTGCGATCTGACGAGAAACATGAGCAATGGGAGGACGGTGATCATTTGGAAGAGCAAAAATAATCGAGCTGTGCTTGATAAAACATCGCCGGCGCCAAAATTGTTGAGGAAATTCTGGAGGGGGAAAATTGGATTTTTGGAGAGGATTAGTGTCAAAAATAGTTGAATATGGAAGGAATCAGGAAAAAAACTCTGAGAAAATCTTGAAAATTTCAAATTGCCTTGGTGTGTGCAAACACTGCGACGCACTTTTGCGTACAGGAAAATTTTGGTTCAAATTTAGGCTAATTAAAGTCAGTTGAAAAAAATCATTAGGATTTTTCTGACTGAAATTCGAAAAATAAATGTTTTTTGAAAAGTTGAACTGAAAATTTTTGATTTTTATCTGAATTTCATTCAAGTCGAAAAAAAAAAATAAAAATATTTTTTTTTACAAAAAATTTCGATTCAGAAAATGTCAAAAAACGATATTTTTTTCCTATTTTTTGACATTTTTTTATTGAAACATTTTCGGTGCGAGATATTTTTCACTTTTGTGTGAAAAAAAAAATTTCGAAAATAAGTTGTCAAAAAATATGTTTTTATTATTTTCTCAATCAAAATTTTTGTAAAAAAAAATTTATTTAATAATTTTTTTTTCGACTTTAATCACTCCATTATATTTTTCGAATTTCAGTCAAAAAAAAACTAATTATTTAAGATTTTTTGAAAATATCTGAATTTCAATGTGAAAAATCCAATTTTTTTCAAAATTTTCAAATTCCCTCCCCCCCCCAAATCCTCTCACATCACTAATACAACTCCTTTGAACCGGAAAAGCGGCAAAAAACGTGAATCCAATGAAAACATAGCAAAACGCGACCAACGAATAGCCAATCGATAAATCTCTCGCATTATTTTCCGGCTTTTTCTGATTCCGCAAAATCGTTAGAACTGCATTGTGAATGAAATAGGAGAGAGTTAAAGTTCCACTTAGCGCAGGAAAATGCCAATTAAATACTGAAAAAACCTTATTTTTTAAAGTTTTTAAAGTTAAAACGCAAAAAAAGGGATTAACTCACATTGCACATAATGAATACTTTTGGGATTATTAAAATCCATATTTACACCGCATTCCAACAATTTCGAAAACACAAAAATCAACAAATACATCACTGAAACCGTTCCCAAAACATTGAATTTGGTGAAAAAAGTTGGAGATTTGAAGTTCATCAATGGGAAAAGTGCGAAAGCCAGGTAAATCGGAACAGTTCCTTGGAGTGTCCAGAATTTATCGAAGTTCCATTCGTCTTGATCGAAAAATGGATCTTTGGGGGGTTTTGTCCACATTGCTTCTTCGGGACAATAAACTGAAAGATGAAATGGATTTTTGGGCGAAAATTCAGGTAGAAATGATGGCCACGTTGGAAAATTCGAGAATTTTTTTGATTTTTTTAAACGAAAAATGAATTCGGCAAAAGGTAGGTAATTTTTAAATTAAAATTTTATGAAAAGATTTTTGAATTTTAACCAAAAGTTTTGTAATTGAAGAAAAAACATAGTTTTTATCCCATTGCTCATATTATCCCCCAAAACCCTCACCATCACACGTAAAAGTTTTATTCTCCATAACCGGTATAGTCGTACTATTTGGCTGCAATGCTTCATAAACCACAGCTCCGGTATAATACAAGAAATTTGACATGAGAACCCAATATACGATAACTCCGCCGATCAGCACAATTATACTGAACACAACCGCCAACATTTCACCTGGAAAAAATTGAGTTTAGCTCAAGTTTAATATGAGCAATCTCGTGGCAAAAATTTTGAAATCTATTTGTGAATAAAATTCTCGACTGAATTTGAAGCGTAAATGAAAATTTTGTCCATAGACAGCTTTTGGGGTCATAAAAACATCCTAAACATTTTAGGACCTCTGAGCCAGGTTCTGGGCTCTCAGAAGTTCAAAAATTGGCTCATAAAAGTTATCATAACTCAACTTCCGATCATTTTTATCAAAAACTGATCATCAGCGTGGCCGATTTACCTAAAATAAATCGAATTTTCAGAAAAAATATTTTATTTTTGAAAAAAAAATCATAACTCCATTTCAAAATAATGTTTGGGAGAAATCATTTTTTTTTTCCAAAATCAAAATTTTTTCTGAAAATTCGATGTTTTTTTGGTAAATCGACCACACTGATGATCAGTTTTTGATAAAAATTATCGGAAATTGAGTTATGATGTGTTTCAGACCTGGGAATTTTTTACGTGGCACCGTAAAACGAAAAAAGAGAATTTTACTGGTTTAAAAACCGTGAAACCCCGTAAAATTCGTAAAAAATTTTTTACTCAACCTTTTCCCTGAATACATCAACAAATATTATTTAAAAATTGGAAGTTGGTAACTTAGCGTAACTCCAACATAATTTAAACAATTTCATTCCTCATATCCATCAAAAAATAATTTTTATTAAAATTTTGTTTGAAAAAATCTGTGTTTTCTTTAAAGTTTTACATTTATTCTGTCAAAATTCACTATATTAAGTGATTTTTTAACGAAATATTTAACGATTTTTTGAGCCGTAAAATGGGTTTTACGGTGAAATCCCGTAAAAACCGCAAAACTTAAAAACGTGAACGTAAAAATTTCCAGGTCTGTGTTTTATGAGCCAATTTTTGAACTTTTCAGAGCCTATAACTTGGCTCCCAAAAGCTGTGGACAAAATTTCATCAAGATTTAAAGTGTTGATTTGAAGATTCATGAATTCTAGAATTCAATTAAAGCGTAAAAATTAGAGAATTTCAAAATTTGCCACGTCATAACTCAAAAACCCACCTGTTTTTCCCAAATACTCTCTACAAACATCGCTAAACTCAGCAGTCTGAATATCCGCAGCCGAAAGATGCATCCTCTTCGGACTCTCAATAACAATATACGCTGTATAGAAACATAACCCAGCCAATGCCAACATTATCACAATTCCTCCAACTAAACCAGCCTGTTGTAGAGCCCAAGGCATTGCCAATAATGAAGTGCCCATCATTGTATTCCAAATTGAGAATCTAAAAAAAAACAAAAACTTTTTGCACAAATAGAGCAAGAGCCACTTACATCGTCACAATACTTCCTTGCTTTCCCGAATTATCTTTCAATTCTTCGAATGGTAGAATACTGAAAAGGCCCGATGGAAATACGTGATTTGGCATAACTAGGGTTTCGCCACCGGGATCGAGTCGATTATACAATCGATATCGAAGTGCATTGTTGTGCTCTCTGTGCAAATCATCTTCGGAATGTAATGAGAGAAGACTTTCTTCTCGGAGGCCGATTCCGCCGGAGAATAAATAGGGTTGTCTGGAAGGAGATGCGCGGCCCTGAAATTTTTGGGGTTTGGGATTTGTGGTTTTTAATTTGGGCCCAAATTCAGGCTCTTCAGAATTTGTTGTTCAAATTTTAGGCCAGGTTAAATCTCTAAAAAATTAGGTTTTATGCTCGGAAAACTTTAAAAATTTCATGTTTTAATAAATCTTAGGCTCGTCACACATTAGGTTTTCCAAATTTGAGGATTGTCGAAATTCAGGCTCGTCAAAATTTAGGCATGGCAAAAAATCAGGCTTATCAAAACTTAGATTTTTCAAAATTCAGGCTTTCAGGCCTGGATTTAGGCTCGGAAAATCCAGGAAAGTTAGGTTTGTAAAAACTGAAGCCAGGTTAAATTTAGGTCCGGTTTTTAGGTCCTTGAGGAGTGTCGAAATTTAGGCCTGGCAAAAATTTAGGCTCGTCAAAACTGATGCTCTTCAAAATTTAGGCTTGTCCAAATTCAGGCTGGTCAAAATTAAGGCTCCTCAGAAATCAGGCTTTTCTAAATTTAGACTTGTCAAAATTCAGATCTTGCAAACATTTTAGGCTGATTAAGACTCAAATTTAGGCCTGGCCAAATTAAGGCCTGGCAAAAATTTAGGCTCGACAGAAATTAGGATTTTTCAAATGTAGGTTTAGGCTCGTCAAAATTTAGGCTCGTTAGAAATTAGGATTTTTCAAATGTAGGTTTAGGCTCGTCAAAATTTAGGCTCTTCAAAACTTATGCTTTTCAGAATTTAGGCACCTCAGATTTCAGATTTTGCACAAACATTTTAGGCTGATTAGGATTTTAATTTAGGCCTGGCCAAAATTTAGGCTTTTCAAAAATTTAGGCTTCTCAAAATTAAGGCACCGATTTTTCAAGCCTAAACCCCCCGCTTCCCCCCAAAACCCTCACCAAACTCGACGCCGAAAAAGCTCTCGTTCGACTAATCGGACGTCCCGGTGCTCGAATCGGAACCTCATCCAACAACGGGTCCAAACTGCAAATTTTTTATTATTTTTCAAAAATAAAATTCTAGAAAAAAAAAATAAAAATGCAAAACAAACTCTTCTTCAACGCCAATTGCACCATACGACGACATTTTCAAATTGATCCGACTTTTTTCCTGAAAAAAAACGAGCAGTGAGAAAATGATAAAAACCGTGACCCCAAACTTTTTATCATTGATTTGTGTTTGGTTGATAAAAAGAAAAAATGACCCACCATTATTATTAGCCTAGGAGCAACTTTTGGTGCTCTTTTTTTTGGAATGAAAAAGTTTCGAGGTTAAAAAAATAAAATTGAAACCTATTTTATCAAACCAACTGATAAAATCAGCGTTTTTTCGGAAACCCACGTGATTTTTAAAAAGCACAAACCCAACATAAAATAAAAAAAAATATGAAAAAGTGTGAATCATAAACTTTTTTGTCTATATATAAACAAAAACACATAAATAAATAAATAAATAAATTCATAACAATTAAAAAATAAATTAGATTTTACCCATATTTAACAGCAAAAAAAGCGGGTGAGAAATGCAATAAAATCTCTCAAAAGACTAGAGAACCCAATTAATAAATTAATTAATTAATTATGTTTCTAATTTATCGCTCATAATCATGAGAATCAGGGAGGACCATCCATTAAATGGATGTGAACCTCGACCTTGGCCAGTTGAATCATCGTAGTTCTCCCAAATGTATCCAGTTTTGTCGAATTGCTGCAAGGATTTTCAGAGTTTCAGGTGTGAATTATAGGATTTCTTATGAAATTCAAGATTTGGTGGTTCCTTTTGAGAAAAATAGCATTTTTTGTATTGTCAAAAAGTTGAAGCTATAAAAATTAAAAACCAGTGCAGAATTGAATCGCGTGCGGCTGTGCGTCGCGGTCGGGAAACAATCAATGTTATCGAAAATCTCACGCGCTCCACCGAAATAAACACGCAACGCAGACCGCGCCGCGCCCTAACACACACAAAAAGGGAGGGAATTTGAATCGTTCCTCTATTTGTGTGTTGTGGCGCGGCGCGGTCTGCGTTGCGTGTTTATTTCGGTGGAGCGCGTGGAGATTTTCGATAATAATTCCTTTTTTCCCAACCGCGACGCACAGCCGCACGCGACTGACGAACTTATGTGTTTTTCATTCAATTTTGCACATTTTTTTAACCATACTAGTATTCTCCAAGGGAAAAGCGACATCGGAGAGATTCTCAGGGTTCCCATATGTTATACTTTAAGCGTGTCAATTTCTAAAATCTGGGGGGTTCCCAATTTTTAAAAATCCCCAGAAATTTCTTCGCGAAAACACACACCGCGTATTTCGCGTCAAGGTTGCGCGTAGGATTTGTTGTTTGCGGGCTGTCGGTGTTGACATACACTCTTATTTTTTCCGTTCTTTCTTTAGGTTTGGGATTTTTCAACTTCGACAATATTGAATTCATGAAAATATGCTTAATAAACAAAAAAATTTTCAAATATTTCGAAAAAATGAATTTTTTTAATTAAAAAAAAACATATTTTTTGACAAAAGCTTGAAGCTCAAAAAAAAAATCCTCACCTTTCCCATATTTTCCACCAAATTCTTCCTCAATTCTCCAAATATATTTTCCGCATTTTCCCTATAAGGTCCATCAATATCAGCATAATGTCGCAATGCTGATAAAACCATATAATTAATATTAATCCAAATATAACCTCTCCAATATGGTGGATCATGTTCTGTATTTCTCGCTTGATAATAAGGCGATGTTTTCGATACAGATCTCAGTCCAAATTTCGTCCATAACAATTTCGGATCGCGAATTTTATCCAATGTCGCTTTCAGATGTTTAGAATCTGCTGGTATTAATCGAAGCATCAGCGGATATAAACTATTATATCCATAAACATTTGTCACAAATTTATTAGTCGCTGCTCTTGCTGTAACTCTTTGATATTCCACTCGTTTTGGCCCGGGAACTGGGACCATTGCAAGTGCAACATCTTCACTATGTTTACCATAATCGTAAAAACCTTGATGCTCTTCACTCCAATGATCTTGAACAAGTTGATCGAAATCATTGAGTTCTTCCATATGTTTCGAGAATTTTCGATGATCCGCGTCGGTTCCGTAGAATTTTGAAAGTCTTTCAAGAACTCGAGCACATAGGGCTAACCAACAACGAAGATCTAAATGTCTTTCGATGTCTGATGGATGACTGGCACGTGGATAATCATCGAGACCTGAGGAGAGGGTTTTTGGGTTGAGTTCGAGGTTTGTTGTCTCGTTTCGACCACGCCATCTGTAAAACATTCATTTTTTATTCAGAAAATTTCAATTTTCAGAGTCAAATTTTGACTCAAAAATCCTATTTTTTTAAAAACAAAAAAAAATACGTTTCAAAATTTTGATATATTTTTTATGAAAAGTCAAAAACTATTGATTTTTGGATTAAAATCATGAAAATTCTATGATAAATTATGAAGCGTAGAAAATTTCTTTGAAATTTTTTAAAGTTTTAGAACAAATTTCCAACCCGTAAATTATATGTTTCAGAATTTTATAATAATTTTTTTTCAATAAAATGGTTTGATTAATATATTCCAGGCTTTTAATTATAATTTATTAATTAGTTAACCGAGAAAAAATGTCCTAAAAATTCGAATCTAGAACTCTTCTTTTGATAATTTTCCCGGAAATACTGTAGGTGTTTGCGCGTGGTGGTGTTTGCGGATTTTTTTCACGCCGCAATTTTTTTTTCAAGTCGAAAAAAAATTTTTTTTTAATTTTTTAAACAAAAATTTTCAATTCAGAAAATGTCAAAAACCCTAACATCAGGGAAAAAATCAAATTTTAATTTCAAAAATTTCCACTTTTTCCCCACCCATCAAAATTTTAGTGGCTTTTAAATAAAATTTGAGTTTTAAGCGTGACCTATGACGTGGCTTTTTGAAAATTTCATTTTAAATTTTTTCAATCAAGAATTTTTATAAAATTTGCCGATTCCCTCCAAATTCCCCTATCAAACCTGAATGTGGTTTTCGATGTTCCATGTTGTGTTCCTCGCAACCAGAAGAACCATTTCTCTAATCTCGGATAAATCTTCGCCAAAACCCCACCATATTTCGCCACAACCTTCTCATCATGCACCAATTTATCAATCACATAAAAAAGACTTGGCGGATTCGCCACATCCATTTTTTGTGCAATATATTCCTGTGGAACTCTTGCCTCAGCTTCTGGCCCCAAAATCATTTCTCGTGGAATCCAACCACTTTGTTCCATTAAATTCATCCAAGAAACAACGATTTCTAGCGATAATTTTGGGTCGAATTTTCGAATTAACATATTGTGAAATCCTTCGTCCCATAGAAATCCTCTTGGAAAAAAAGGGCGTGATGGAACTGCTGAGAATAAAGTATGAGGACCATAATTTTGAAGACCCGAAGATGTTTGAACTTTGTTGAAACCATTCCAATATCCGATTCCACCTAACATATTTGAAAGTGCAACTTTTGCCATCGTTTTTTGAACAGCGGTATAATTCTTGTTCTCAATCTCAAAGACTTTTTCAAACTTTGTTTTGAAATTCTGCGATTTCTTCTGAATCTCTTTTTCAAAATCAGAATTTGCTCCCTGATTCTCAATTTTGCCAAGCTTTATATAAATTTCTGTTGATTTTATCAAATTCAATTGAACAACTGCCATTCGACCATCTCTTTCGTTAACTTTCTCGTTTAAATGCATGAAAAACATTTTTTCTTGACTTCCAGGATTCTGAAAAACAGTTTTTTGGTCAAAATTTGATCTTCCAATTGTTTGCGTAAGTGTATTTGTTCAGTCTCTTTTTAAACTCACCGATTCCACAGATATTTCCGAATTTCCCACCACAATATCTTGATACATATTGATTGGTACTTTTTCATTTGTCAGCAAAACTGATTTCATAAACAAAGCTCGCTCATCTTTCAACTCAATCGACAATTTAAAATCTCCCAAAAACTCGCTTTTCGCTTTGAAAACCTCATTCAAATGATAACCTTGCTTGAAAACTGTATTATCCTGACTTGTTAGATAGAATAAAACATTAGCAATCTTCCCAGGCTTCAAGTCGAAATTGATCTTCGCCTTGAATCCATTAGCTTCTTGTATCCAATCTGTATGTATTGTTGCAAATTTGTCAGAAATATTTTGTTTTCCAAAACTTCGACCGTCAGCTTCATACCAACCGTATCGATTTATCCCATCATTTTGATCACACCAGTGTCGAACTTGAGGGCGGCCATGCGGCAATTGTGATTCATACCACATCATTCCAAAAAGTGGTGATTGTGGAGATCTTGTTCTTAATCCAAAGTACAAATGTGGTCGATAACTTCCCCATTGTTTCTATAAAAAATTTTTTTTTTCTCTCAAAACCCATTTAATTAAAAACCTACACTATCATAATCTGGTCCACTAATCGGCGGTAATTTATCAATCGTTGGATTCATATAAATATACAAAAACATATAACATGACGCGATAAAAATAACAAATGCAAGAATTCCAAAATCCCAACTGCAAAAACTGAAAAACGATCGGCTCCTTGTTCGGGGCTCTAGGCTAATTGTGGCCGACGGAACTCCTTCATCAAATCCTCCTCCGCGATTTCGCCGTCTTCGATTCATCGCGGTTTATCTACCTTCAAAATTCTATCAATTTTTGCTCGATCGAAAAAAAAGAAAAAAAATAAAAAAACGACGAGTGTTCGTGTGCAGTGGAGCACGCTTGCTGCATTTGACCAAAAAAATAAACATTTTCACTGTGCCCGGAACGCGACAGCAGAGAAAATGTTTTGCCTCTACCCTTTTCTCATACTCTCTCGTGTGTCTCTTTTTCTCTCGCGTCTCTTCACAACCCCACACACTCTCGCTGAAAACTGACTTTTGAATAAAAACCGCAATTTAAAAGTTTGAAACTCGGAATTTCGAAGAAGTAAGATGATGATCAGAAAGAGGAAGAGTAGTAGAACGCAGAGATATGAAATTCACCCAAAAAAGTTCTGGAAACGGCTTTCAAACACGGGTTTGAAAAAAGTGAATTTCTATTTTTCAATTTTTTTCATCCAAAAATGAATTTTTCCAAAATTTTCGTAACAGATCTTGTAGAGAAGATTAATCTGGTTAGATTCCAATATCAAAGTCTTAACAATGATAGCTACTTCATGAAATTATCCCTCTCAAAGTTTTATACATGGGCAAGTTTTGGCAGAAAACCATGAGTTCAAATGAACATTATTTGAAATTGTGTTTTAACAACAATGTAATATAGGTCTTCCTCTTTCAAATGATGTATAAAACTTCAGCTTTTTGGAAATAATTCGATGAGAAAATCCAGACACACACGAATCAAAAGTGATCCAAAATGGTATAATAATGCATCCATTAACTTCAGAAAAATGGGAGCCATTATGTACCTCAAAACCATAACAAAAAGGATCCATAATGGATCCATAAATTCTATGGTGTAAAAATGGATCCTTTTTGAATTCAAAAAGCATACATTTTTCTAAAAAATAAGTATGCAAAATGAATCATTTTTGCGTAGTTTTTTTTCGTTTGAATTGGTGGAAAGCTGCGATTAATTCATTTATTTTCAAAAAACAAAAATGAAAAAAAAAACAAATTGCTCGTGAAGTTGCAGGGTGGGGTCCAATTAGATTGTTGAGGTAGAATTTTTGAGCAGTTTCCTTGATTCCAAAAGCGCATGGCCTCCTGGCTCATTTTGGACTTGTCCTCTTTTTGATCCCTGTAAATAAAAAATGATACACTACAGGTTTCAATTTTTTTTATTTAAAATTTTCAATTTCTCACAGGGGGATGTGTGAGCAGTCTCCAGAGTTTTTCACGCGGAGAAAGATTCCGCTTTAAGTCTTTGCTGCAGGACTCTCTGACAGTACAAAAATGAGCCAAATTTGAGAATTTCTGAAAAAGCTCTTTGGAGAGTCCCGCAGCAAAAACAAAAACTGTACAGCAACATATATGTATAATTGAAAACCTCCAGGGAGCAAAAAACTCACTCTAGTAAGTGCGCACATTGATTGACTTCGTCGGTGGCTTCCTTGGTAGTGGCTCACCATTCTGATGACTGACATCCAGTAAGTCATGCGGCGGGGGTTCAGGATTTCGAGAAGACTGAAATCAAATAAATTGAAATTGGGTTTAGATTTTGAAACGAACCGCTTTTTTGAAAAAAATGTACCATCGTTGCTTCGCGGCAGACCGACGAGTTTTTGGAGGCATTTATGTTCAAACCTGATGCTGAAAAATCAAAATTAATAGCGTAGCAGAGCTGAAGGGATCGTAGAAATATAGTGAAGAAAGCGAAAGAAAATAAGAACGCAACAATGAACAAATCACACAATCACGAAAACTCAATTGAACACACCCACAGGTGGAGAGAGGTTTTTGGTCAAAATTTGGCCCAAACTTGAATAATTTTTGTTTAGAAATTGGTCAATTTTTGACCAAAAACCCGATTGGTACGAGTTTGACCAAAGATTGGGCAATCTCCCTCCACCTGTGGCCACAGACATTCACAACAAAAATAGATTACTAGAGAGAAAGGTCAAAACAAGAAAAAACGAAAGCGGAGTGAACCAATATCTACAGCTCAAATCAAAACTCTCAATATTACGCAGTTTTATCATGCCTCAGAGATTCGCTGGCCAGCTCACCACTAGATCAAGACCACGTGGCCAGAAAGTTCAAAAAGGACTGAAATTGATTGATCAAATCGATTCGGCAACCAGGTCGCCTTGCATTTTCAGGCGACGTGGTCTCAAATCTTTGTCACCCAGAAAGGCTGCTTGAATTCACAACAGTCATTTTTTCTGTTTTTTCTCATCTAATGGTTTCAAATACTCATGAAAAACAGAAAAAAAGTCATATTTTTAAAAAATGCTCCAAATCACAAGTTTTTCGGAATTTTTTCTCTCACGCGAGGTCGGCTCGAGGTGGACAACCTGGGCGATGTGGGCTGTATGAACTGTCCGAACTTACGGCCACGTCGTCTTGCAAAAAAACCCGGGCCATGTGGTTGTCCATGTCAATTTTAGATTGGTAGTCGATCCCACCTAGTAGCCAGCTGGCCAGCGAATCTCTGAAGCACAAAAAACAAAATAAAACATGAAAAACATAGAAAAACGCCGAAAAAACACAATAATTTCGAAAATGAAAAATTAATTGGAAGAAGACGCCCATGTGGATTTCTCTTCCACGGCCATCTAAAAATGGATGCATTATGGTTACTTCTCAAAATTCTCAAAGAAAAATAATGGATGCATTTTTATTCTCATAAAGGATGCATTTTTTCTCGCGTTTAATTTTAAGGGATACAAATTGTTTGCTATTAGTATGCAATATTTTTTTATATCCATTATGGATCAGTCAAGATTTCCCTGTGGATTTGGTTTCAGAAGTTTTTTTTCCCCAGAAAAAAAAACGATGGCCGAAATTTTTTGTTCTGGCCGAACTAATCGGAAACTCGGCCATTGTTGCGCTCAGGGCACAGTGATTTTCTTTTTTTTTCTCGCATGCATGCAAAAAAGGACTTTGTTTCAATCGATATCGTTTCTTATCACTCAATGGCACCACTCTTTTTTTCTTCGTCTTATTCTCCTATTTTTCAAAAGTTTCATATTTTTCAGCCTAAATCATGACCGAAACCGCAATCCAGGATTATGGAGATTTCAAGAATTTCAAAAAAGGTGAAGTAAAACCGGTGAGTTTTTTGTTTTCTAACGGAAAAAAAAACCGAGATTTTCTTTTGTTTTTGTAGATGCCAATTTATGAATGGATCTATCTTCAATATATTCTTGTTTCTGGACTTTATATGCTCGAACCTTGGGAGCGAAAACTCTTCAATTCAATCATCGTAACAGTCATCTCAATATTCGCTGTTTTAATCAAATATCTATTTTTCTAACTAATAATTGTGCCTTCCTCAATTCACTTCCAAATGTGTCCTAAATAGAACTAATTCAATATCTTGCCTTTTCCAAACCTTGCCAAATAAATTAATGTATTTTTTTTTATTTTAAAACAAAAAGACTTATTTTAAACGTCACGAGGTCACTAATTTTATCAGGAAAAAAACATTTGCATCATAGATTCATTCAAGTTTACTCCGGTCAACTAATGATGCAAAAAAGTCACATTTTTCACGCATGAAATGAGAAGAAACCTGTCTGATGTTGTTGAAAACAAAAAGAGAAAATTGAATTGATGAAATAAAGTTGGAAATAAATAACGAGTTTAGGTAAGTTTTTGCAAATTTTTTGACCGAAGAGTGCGAGCAAAAATAGAGAGAGAGAGAGAGTACACAAAAGTTGGAGAGTCGCAGACATTGTGATAAATAAATAAATAAATATGGCGGGAAAAGAGTATTCAAATTTTTGATGATTTTTCGAACCAAGCCAATAAATATTGTTAATTTTCCTGATAAGTCAAAACTATACAATAAGTACAATCTCTGATATTTTTCGCATCGCCGGTCATATTTTTGTGATAACGTTTTATATTTATTTTCGCTGTTCAAAACATTTTCATAAAGTTTTTATCTTATTTTATTCAACAAGGAACTTGAAACACGTTTTTCTATATCTAATGTTTCAATCATATAAATTTCTTGTGTTGGATTTGAGAAATCCTTTTTTTTTTATTCACACATAGAAATTTCCTCTATCAAACTAAACAAACCTGAGAGTTCAAATGTTGTTTTGTTCGTGTTTCCTTATCAGTTTGTTGTCTCGATTTCTCTAATTCTCTTATATCTCAAACTCTCCTCGCTTTCTCCTCCCATTCATTTTCGATTCGCATAAAAATCGGCCTTATTATTTTATTTTTGCAATAAAAACAAACACATTTTTTGAATTGTGTTTTGATTTTCAATTTTCAGCGCCATGAAAATCGCAATTATCGGACAATCAGCTTTCGGAGTTGATGTTTATAAAGAGTTGCGTAAAAATGGGCATCAAATTGTTGTTGTTTTCACGATTCCCGACAAAAATGGAAGAGAGGATTTGTTGGGTAATTTTTTTTTGAAAATTATTTTTCCCGGGGAGTACTGTATGCAATGAGTGTTTGCGGCTTTTTGCACAGCTCGCATCAAACCCCACGCGCATGTTTTTTTTATTTTTTCGATTTTTTTAAAAGCTGGCGCGCTTGTTTCGTACAAAATCCCCCTTCTTATCAAGCATGTGATCTTTTCGATGATTAGAAAACAAATTGATAAGGATTTCGGGAGAAAGAAACTATTTACAAAATCTTTTTTCAGCCATCGAAGCTGCCAAAGACAATGTGCCCGTTCAAAAACCAGCGCGTTGGCGTAAAAAGAATCCAGAGACCGGCAAATTCGAGACTCTTCCCGAGATGCTCGAACTCTACAAATCCTACGGAGCCGATCTGAATGTTTTGCCATTTTGCACCCAATTTATTCCACTCGAAATCACAGAAGCTCCACCATTGAAAAGTATCATTTATCATCCAAGTATTTTGCCAAAGCACAGGTTTCTTTTCTTCTAATTTTTTTGTTGGAATTTTCTAATTATTTTCAAAATTCCAGAGGAGCATCAGCTATCAATTGGACTTTGATTGAAGGCGACGCTGAAGCCGGATTATCGATTTTCTGGGCTGACGATGGACTTGACACCGGCCCGATTTTGTTGCAAAAGAAGTGTAAAGTTGAGGAAAATGACACGTTGAACACGTTGTATAAACGATTTTTGTATCCAGCTGGAGTTGCTGCTGTGGTAAGATTTAGAAAAAAAATGAAAACGAGAAAAAAAAATTTTTTTTGGAAAAAAATATATACCGTAGTTCTTTCGTCGCGACGAGACCCTGTGTGTGTTTCAGCTGTTGCGCCTTTCAAAAACTACGGTATTTTTTGTTTTTTCTCGGATTTTCGAGGTTTTTGCATAAAAAAGGAAGAAATCAACTGAATTGATAACAAATCGAAGCAAAAAACACTATAAAAACGATTTTCAAATGTTTTATTGAGGAAAAACCTATTTTTCGGTTGAAAATTTTGTTTTGAATCAAAGGCGCATCGATTTTTGAACGATGTGTGTCTCGTCGCGACGAAAAAACTACGGTATATAATTTTTTCAAAAAAAATATTTTTCGCGTTTCCAATTTTTTTACCTTTATGAAACCAACCCCATGAAAAAAATTATTCAGGCTGAATCAGTTGAATTGATCGCCGCTGGAAAAGCTCCGCGAATTGTGCAATCTGAAGAAGGTGCCAGCTACGAGCCATACATCACAACAAAACCAGAGTTGGCACAAATTGATTGGTCGAAAAATCAGCGAGAATTGCACAATTTTATCAGGGGAAACGATAAAGTTCCAGGCGCCTGGGCGATTTTGAATGGCGAAAAAGTCTCGTTCTTCGGCTCGAAACTTTGGAAACCAAGAAAATTGCCAGAGGATGCGATTGAGATTGCTGTTGCAGAAGTTCCGGGTGGCAAGGTTTTTGTTGAGGATCGGGGATTGCTCCTGCCAGCCGCTGATGGAAAATTTGTGATTGTTGACACCGTGAAAATCGGAACAAAATCGTTCGCAGCTTCAAAATATGGACAAGGCGCCGAACAAGCTGAGGAAATCATTTTGAGTGAAGACGAGAAAAAAGTTGTGGCAAAAATCAAGACAATTTGGGCGGGAATTCTCAAATCCGCCGTATCCAGTGACACAGATTTCTTTGAATCCGGCGCTTCTTCGGCTGATGTCACAAGACTTGTTGAGGAGATCAAATTCAATACTGGAGCCGAATTGGAATCATCGCATATTTATATGGCGCCAACTTTAGGAGAACATATTAATATTGTTATTCGAAATTTGAGAGGGGAAGGTGGAATTACAGTAACTTATGATCCGATTGTTTTGAATGTGAATAATATGGAATTGAAATTCCCGCATGAATTGTTTATCAATGGAAAGTTTGTGCCATCTTCGAGTGGAAAGTGAGTAGTTTTTGGATAATTTTACCTGAAAAATAGTCTAGAACAGATTCCCTGTGAAGAGGAAACTGGCAAAATTCCATTTTTATTAATAAATCGAAAATTTGGCGGTTTTCTCTACTGGAAATCGAAAAATATTAGAATTTTCTCGAAAATCATAAAAATTATATTTTTCTTTTTCATTTATTCACAGCCACATAATTTATAATCAAATTAAAATGATCTGAATTATAGTTACAGTATCTCTTGATTTTTCTCGTGTTCCTAGCCTATAAAACCTAATTCTCAAGCAGCCGAGCCTAGATAAACTAGTTTTCGAGCAGCCGAGCCTTGTTAGCCTAGTTCTCAAGTAGCCGCGCCTAGAGAAACTAGTTTTCAAGCAGCCGAGTCTAGAGAAACTAGTTGTCAAGCAGCCGCGCCTAGTGGGTTCAATTTTCTAGAATCAGCGCCTAGATAACTTAAGTGTCTAGGACCCGCGTCTAGAAATCTACTCTGACAAGTAGCCGCGCCTAGAAAACGTAGTTTTCAAGCAGCCGCGCCTAGAGAGTTCAATTTTCAAGGAGCAGCCCCTAGAAACCCAAGTTCTCAAGGATCAGCGCCTGGAAAACCTAGTTTTCAAGTAGCCAACATTACTAAAACATTTTCCAGAACATTCGAAACAATCAATCCAGCAACAGAAAAACCAATTTGCTCCCTTCCATTAGCCACCGTCGACGATGCAAATAAAGCCGTCCGAGCCGCAAAAAAAGCATTCGAAAGAGGAGAATGGAAAGAAATGTCAGCTCGTGAAAGAGGAAAACGATTGTATAAACTTGCCGAACTCATGGAAGAGCACAAAGAAGAATTGGCAACATTGGAATCACTTGACGCCGGAGCTGTTTATACATTAGCACTCAAGACTCATGTTGGAATGTCGATTGAAGTTTGGAGATATTTTGCAGGATGGTGTGATAAGATTCAAGGAAAAACAATTCCGATTACTAATGCGAGACCCAATAAAAATCTTTGCTTAACAATTCGCGAACCGATTGGTGTTGTTGGTCTGATTGTTCCATGGAATTATCCACTTATGATGCTCTCCTGGAAAATGGCTGCGTGCCTAGCAGCTGGGAATACTGTAGTTTTGAAGCCTGCGCAAGTCACACCTCTTACCGCTCTGAAATTCGCGGAACTCTCCGTTCTTGCTGGAATTCCTGCTGGTGTTATTAATATTCTTACTGGATCTGGAAGTTTGATTGGAAATGCGTTGACGAATCATCCAGATGTTCGGAAGATTGGATTTACTGGATCAACTGAAATTGGTGCAACAGTTATGGAGAGTTGCGCTAAATCGAATATCAAAAAAGTTTCGCTTGAACTTGGTGGAAAATCGCCGCTTATTATTTTCCCGGATGCAGATCTTGAAAAAGCTGTGAAACAAGCTTGTGGAGCGGTTTTCTTCAATAAGGGAGAAAATTGCATTGCGGCTGGAAGAGTTTTTCTTGCAAAAAGTATTGCGGATGATTTCACGCAGAAATTGGTTGCTGAAGCGAAACAATATCAAATTGGAGATCCTTTGGATCGATCAACTGCTCATGGACCACAAAATCATAAAGCGCATATGGATAAATTGATTGAATATGTGAAGAATGCGGTGAGAGATGGTGCGAAAATTGAGGTGGGAGGATCGAGAATTGAGAGAACTGGTTTCTATTTTCCACCGACGATTTTGTCGAATGTTGATGATGAGAATTTTGCGGCCAAGGAAGAATCGTTTGGACCAATTATGTGTATTTCTACTTTTGATGATGAGTAAGTTGGGGAAGTACACAAAAAATATGAAAATTTGAAAAATTTAGTTTTTGTATATTTTCTGATCAAAATTCTTCAAATATTATAGTCGAAAAAAAAATTTTTTGTCAAAAAGATTTTTTATTAATTTTTTTTCGACTTGAATCACCCCATAATATTTTCAGAATCGCCCAATTTTGTGAAAATTTCTGCAAAAAATATAAATTTTCGAATTTTTTGATTCTCCGAACTGAAAACGTGTCAAATAGTTACTAAATCACGAATTCCAGATGAAATTGAGTTTTACAGCCAATTTAGTGCTGAAAATTAAAATTACAAGACTTTGAAAACATTTCCTTTAAAAATCCGGAAATTTTCCGAATTTCCAGGCTTGAAATCAAAATTCTTCAAATAAATATTGTTTTTTTTACAAAAAAAATTATTTCTAGAACTGGAATAAACCTTAAGCCGGGTTAGAGATCCCTAAAATTCCAAAAAATCTAGAGATTTGACCTAACTCGTCTCAGACATTTTTGGACAACAAATTTCGATTCCGAAAATGTAGAAAAACCTTATTGTTTTCCTATTTTTTGACATTTTTTCTGGTTTCATTTTTGTGTGGAAGAAATGTAAAAAAAATAGAAAAAATTATTATTTTATTTTTTTTTTCAACTTGAATCACCTCCATTAGTAAATCTACTGAAAAATTTTAATTTTATATATCTGGGTAAACATTTTCTGGAAATTTTTTTTTCATGAAACATAAGTCCAAATAGGCGCAGTCTGGAAGCCTGCACCTAATTCCAATAAATTCTGAAAATCCCCAATTTTTCCAGTGACATCGAAGATGTTCTTCGCCGCGCAAATGACACTGAATTCGGTCTCGCCGCCGGCGTCTTCACAAAAGACGCCTCAAAATCTCTGCGTGTTGCCGAAGGTCTTCACGCTGGAACCGTCTTCGTGAACACTTATCAAAAAACTGATGTTGCTGCTCCATTTGGAGGATTTAAACAATCTGGATTCGGAAAAGATATGGGAGAAGAGGCGTTGAATGAGTATTTGATCACTAAAACTATCACTATTGAATATTAGATTTCTATTTATTTGCTTCATTTTTTTCACTTTTGTCAAAAAATAAATAAATTATGGGATTTTTTCAAAACGTGACCCAGATATATTTAAAAAAAACCCCACGTGGTTTGATTTATTTTTGAAATCCGAAATCAGTTTCGAAAAAGAAAAGTGTCTGAAAATGTTTACAATAATAACAAGTGAGAGTTTTCGAAGCGATGATTCGGAATGGAAAGAATGTTCACTTGAAGAAAAGGTACGGTAAAATATATTGTGTGCAATTTGTCGTCGCGGTGTTTGCGGAAAAAACATTTGGGGTATACTGTATGTAATGTGTAATTTGTCGTCGCGGTGTTTGCACACTTTGTTAGCCAGTGGCGTCCTGAGCGCACTTTGCGATTAGATTGTCTAGGCACGGCTCCTAGAAAATTAGATTCTCTAGGCGCAGCTTCTTGAGAACACGCCTCTCTAGGCTCGACTACTTCACATAGTGAATCTCAAGGCGCGGCTCCTATAAAATTAGATTCTCTAGGCGCAGCTTCTTGAGAACACGCCTCTCTAGGCTCGACTACTTCACATAGTAACTCTCAAGGCGCGGCTCCTAGATAATTAGGTTTTGTAGGCGTGGCTGCTTGAAACCCGGATATTTTTCAATTTTCAGATAAATTCGTTGGAATATCTCTCAAATAACTATGAAAAATACCTCCAAAAAGCGGATGATTTGAAAAGTGCCATAAAATACAACCGAAAAACGCATGAAATCGAAAGTCAACAAATGCAACGAAAACTTCGACACATCAAACAAGACTTTGGCTCGATTCAAAAAGATATGTCAAAAATCGCCGACGAAAGATTGACACAAGTCAAAAAAGCATTGGCACCATATTTGAAGGATTCGGTTGAAACATCGGAAAATCCACAACACATCAAATCGCAACTCATCGAATTGTTATCAAAGATCAGTGGAATTGAACAAATTATTAAAAAAGATGCGGAAATTTCGAGAAATGTTCAAAATGATCATGAAATTCTTGGTGTTTTAGAAGCCAAGCAAAAAGATGCGATCGAACGTTTCGAGGGAGTTTCGAGAGTTCAAAATTTGGCCTATGATATTCCACAAGATGATCAGTTTTATAATTTGGCGATTGCGCCAGCATTGCTTTTGGCTTTGGGATCATCGAAAGATGTTTCGAAATATTATCAACAAAATTTGAAGAGTATTCAACAAAGATTGTGCGCTTTTGTTGCGCAAATTCGATTCAATGTGAGTTGAGAAATGTTTTCCGATGAAAAATTCTTTGGAAATGTTGCTGCGTGCGGCTGTGCGTCGCGGTCGGAGAAAAATGCATTTTCCCGACCGCAACGCACAGCCGCACGCGACTGAAGAAACAATTCTGCACTGATTTTTAGTTTTTACGCCAGCCACCAGGCATGTGCCGGAAATTTTTCGAATTTTCCGGTTTTCTCATAGAAAATTCCATTTTCCGATTCAAAAAATGAGTTTTACAACCATTTTTAAAATTGAAATTTGAAGACTTTAAAAAAATTTCCGGAAATTTTCTGCTTTTCCGTTGATATCTAATTCCGAAAGGTTCTTTGATCACAGAAATCTAAAAAACCGGAGCTTTTCCACATTTTACTTATCTTCAAAACCAAATTTTCCAGAGCCAGCAAGTTTTCGGAACTCCTCAAATTCAAAGCAACAAATTGTCAAATGGTGAAATAAGTGTTGAATCGTTGGTTGAGATAACTGAACATCCAGTTGATAGTCTCACTTCATTTTCAAAGTAACTCGGTTTTCTCGTATCAACAATAAAGGTATTTATTTTCTCTGAAACTTGTTCGTTTTGCTATCCAAACAATGAAAATTCCTGAAATCTCGATTTTCTTTTTATTTTTTGAGAACAGGTTCTGCTGATAAAAACGAAGAGGCTTATGGGATCATCATCATCTTCCCATAAATCATTATTTCTCGACAATTTTCTTTTTGAAGACTTGTTTTGTTTTGAAAAAGAAAAACACGTTATTTATTACGCAGCATCCCTGTAATATTAGCATATTACAGGATTTGTTTGATTCAATTATTATCACAAGATATCCGAAAAGCTTGAATGATTTGACCCAAATTCCACGCCCACAGCCATCTTTTTCTCAAGCCCCGATATAAAAAGAGGCTGGAGAAAGTGAAAAAACTGAAGAAGAACTAATCTTCGCTGCTGTAGATACGTCCGTTTTCGATTTATCTATATCAAGTTCATTTCATTCATTCTCAGCAAGTATGAAATATCTTTTGTTGACTTTCACCTTGTTTTTCGCGACAGCTGATGCATGGAATCGACAAAGTGAGTTTTTGGGTGGAATTCGGGAAAAACGGGTGGAAAAAATAGGGAAAATTGCAAGTTGAGAGAGAAAAAACCACCTTCAAATTGCAGTTCGACTCCTCGTTTCGAGACCAAGCGCGGGAAACATGTTTTTCAAATTCAAAAACGTTTCCCGCGCTTGGTTTCGAAACGATAGATCAAATTATTTGTGAATTTCGTGTCTCGTTTTCTCTGTGTCTCTTTCGATTCACCCTGTAAAAGACCGTGTGGAAGATTCGGGAACCTGAAGTTTTGAAGTAAAAGCCCCCCAGGAAAAGTCGCAAAATTTCATTATTTTTGATAAAATTGAAAAAAAAAAGTTTACACAACTCTTAAGATGTTCTCAAAAGTTTCAAGAATTTGACTTAGTCTGCTCCAAGTTAAGCGCGTGCGGCTATGCGTCGCGGTCGGGAAACAATGTTGCTTCCCGACCGCGACGCACAGCCGCACGCGACTGACGAACTAATGTTTTTTAAGCTAGGAAGTGCGCTTAAAATTTTTGAGAAAATCTTAAATTTCAAGAGATTTTTCAACTTCGACAATAAATTCAGTGAATTTTTTCAAAACCCTTTTTCTAGATCACTTCGGAAATCCATGCTACCTATGCCGCTGTTTTGTCCAATACACCGATCGTGACGTGGCAGTTCCAATTCGACCATACGCAATGGCAATCGATGGATATGACACAACAGAAGACAGATGTTTGGCGACTTGTCAAAGAGATTCGGTAAGAAGCCCGGCACCTGCTGAAGATTAAAATTCAATTAATTATTTTTTTCAGCGATGCAAAGCCGCTGTTTATGGAATGGTTGGTGGTCGAAGTGTTTTCACGTGCGAATTCTATGAGAAAATCGATTCGCGAACTGCGCCAATGTATATTCCATATGTGAATATGTATATTAAACGGTCAACATGTCCATTATCGATTTCGCATTTGTCGAATGTTGATATGGTGCCAGCAAATGATAGTTCGATTAAAAGAAGGACGAAGCAAGAGAAGTTTATCAAACGCAAGAATCCGTTTTTGGGTTAGATTTTTATTCAAACATTTTTGTGTTATTTGATCTCTTCTTTATTAATAATTATAATAATTATGAATTGATTTTTTTTTTGAAAATAAACTTACTTTGGAACATTTTGATTTGATTTTTTAAAAATTTCAAAAATTAAAAATAATAATTTTTCAATCAAATTCTAAAAGAAAAACAGAAATCAGCAAAATCTACACTTTTTGTGAAAAAGTACAGCTAACTTCGTACAGTATAATTTTTGGGCATATTTATTTGTTTAGGTGTACTTAAAACGTGGCAAGTACTGTAACTTATTCAGAAAATAATATAACATATTTTTCCTATGCAGAAGAACGTCGAAAAAACAAACTATTATTTTTGAGTAGAGACAATGTGAAATTGAGAGAGTGCAGACAGAAAAATTGATTTTTCGCAGAAAAAATACAAAAAACTGTCTGCACTCTCTCAATTTCACATTGTCTCTACTCAAAAAATAATAAACTGTATATTTTGTTTTTTCGACGTTTTTCTGCATAGGAAAAATTTGTTTTTTCAATCAAATTCTCTAACTTTTCATTCAGAAAACCTGAAATCAGTAAAATCTACACTTTTTGTGAAAAAATGTATAGTAAGGGTTCTGCAAACTTCGTACGGTATAAAAAATATTCAAAATTACAAGTTTGAACATTTTCTAAAGGTTGCAATTTCCCTTTTTTCCCGAAAAAAAACCAAAATTTAAAAAAATTCCTCAAAAACAAATGAAATATGATTTTCGCTTCGCGCGTCGCTTTTCCTCTCTCTCTCTATTCGCGAAATTTTCGAATTGTGGCAGTCTCGCCAGCCGAGTTTCGCTAACTCGTGCAAATAATTTGGGGAATCCAAAGTTTCCCGCTTCACTCATTCGCTCCTTTAGTTTCTTCCACCCACCATGCACCAGTCGCTGCTTCCATGTTCTTTCAGTTTCCAAACATGGATAGGAGCTACGGGTAGATGGTTCTAGAAAAGGCCCCCGAAGCGCGCGAATGATGAGTTTTTGGAAACACTCGCGATGGACAAAAGCAGCCAGCAACGGGCGGGAATCGAACCCGCACACTGGCCACATTCTATTCAAACTTGGTAGACACAGCTGCTACCGCCTTGACCACGAGTGTCACCATCAATACAGAGGCGTATGTCAAATATATTTTCGCGAAAAAAAGGGGAAGGGTGTATGGTGTAGGGTGTTCGCCATGAACAAATAATTGGTGTACTCTTACGAGTGGTCACCACACTCGTCCTTGACGAAATAGTATAGACGCCATGAGAGACGCAGACAAAGTACGCGCGCGTTCTTTTTTGATGAAGAAGAAAAAGATAAATGGGAAAAGGTGGACAAGGTGGAGATATTTTGGTCAAAAGTACAACCCTCGACAACCAACCCTCGAATGTTTAACCCTCGTCATTTTGTACAACCCTCGTGTGTTTAACCCTCGACGTTTTCTGATTTACCCTCGTCATTAAAAAAATTTTTTTTTTTCAATTTCAGTTGTCATTTTTTGAGGCGAGCAATCCTTGGAAGTAGTTGTTAGGAAAAACTATAAATTTTCACACGATGTCAGGAATACTTGTTTTTTACTTCTGAAACATCGCATTTTGTTGAAAAAAAATTTTTCTTGGGCGTTCACTAAGCCTAAGCTTTATAGAGAGAAATGAAGTTTTTTTCTGAAAAAAATCACTTCGAAAATGAAAAAAATTAATTTTTGAAATGACGAGGGTAAATCTGGAAATGCCGAGGGTTGAACACACGAGGGTTGTACAAAATGACGAGGGTTAAACATTCGAGGGTTGGTTGCCGAGGGTTGTACTTATGACCGATATTTTTTATTCAAAAATTTTTTCCTAAAAAAGGTTTTTACTACGCGAAAAACTGGTTTTCGAAGTAAAAAAATCAAATTTTTATCTGAAAATGAGACACAAGACACAAATTCATTTCTAAAAAATTGAAAATTTTTAAAATGCCACGTGGAAAACCCGATTTCCAGCTGAAAAAATGAATTTCTAAAATGCCACGTCACAAGTCACGTACAAAAATTAAACCAAACTGCTATGTCACGACTAGAAAATGTCAAAAACTTTTAGCGAAAAAAAAATAAAAGCTGCGCGTCACATTTGATGTGCCGCCCGCAAAACCGCAAACACCCGTGTCGCCCGCCAATTTTTTTTTCAAAAAATATTTTTATTTTTTTTTTCGAAAATTCTCAAAATTTATATATTTACCCGTAATAATACACTGTATAGAACATAAAATCAAAGACAAATCTAATACTTCCATTCCGCCGGATTCGCATCCCCAATCGATTCAATTTCGGGTTGCGGAGCATTCAGCATTTTCAGATGATTTCTCGAGAAATATGCGTTTTGCCACGTCCATTTAGTTATGACAAAACTCCAAGATCCGGTGAACCAAAGATTCTCGCCATACATATCTTGCATACTTGCAGCTCCTTGTTTATTGATTCCAGCGATCACAAAACAAACAATCATTCCGATTAATCCAAGAGCTCCAATAATGATATCTGAAAGGAGTTAGGCTAAGTAGCTGGGCCTAGTTTGAGAAATAAACTTACTTGGCCAAACCATCGCATGAAAAACCCACTCAGGCCAATTAATAATCGTTCCCTTCTTCATTCCCCAATATAAATAAAGTGTTTGACAGGCGAATAAAGTTGCAATAAAACATGTGGCTGTAGATGACCAATTCTGCAAAAAAAAACGTTTAAAAAAAAAAATTTTTTTTTGAAATCAAGTTCACCTGAAACTTAATCGAATACGTCAAAAATGCAGAAATCCCGAAAAGAATTCCAAAAATCGTCCAACCAATTCGAACATTGATATGGCAAATAAGTTTGCACCAATTACGCTCCGACATCTCGTAAAATTAAAAATACATAAAAATAATGTTTTATCAACAAAAATTTGCTTTTTTATCAGCGCTTTTTCAGGGGTAATCATTGTTTCATCATATGAATGGCAAAATCTAATTCTAGCAAAGTTTGTGCTTTAATTTGCCATTTGAATGTGAGATTGGGATTGGCGATTTGTGGAATTCTTCTAGGCGCTTTTTGGTCCGTTATTTATATCGCTGTTTTTAAGGTTTGTGAATTGTCCCTTTATTTTTCAGACCTAAATTTTTTAACGTTTTCTAGACTTTGTTCAAGTAACTTTTGAATAAAATTGAAAAAAAAGTTACAAAAAATCAAAATTTAGGAAAAATTGGTTCAAAATAGTTTTAGACAAAACCAAATAAGATTTTTTTTTTTAATTTTGAAAATATGAAAAAATTCCGGATTTTCAAAACCAGAAAATCCGGGGATATTTGAAGTTGTGTAATTTCAAAGTTCATGCTGTTTTGGGCTCAAAATGCTCGGAAAATTTTAAAAATCCTGGTTTTTGAGCTCTAGAAATTTCAGGGCTTAAAATAATCGAAATTGGGCTCAAAATTCTCGGGAAATGTAGATTTTCGGGCTCTAGACTAAAATAGTCTAAAAATAATCAAATTTGGGCTAAAAATGCTCGGTTCTGAGCTCTATAACTTTCTGAACCTATGAATATTGATTCTAGGCTTAAAATAATCCAAAAATCATATGATTTTCTTATATTTTTGAGATGTTTTCAAAAAATTCTGAAAATTTTTATTTTTTCTCGAATTCTGAGAAAATTTTTGCAAAAAATTGCGTGATTTTGAAAATAAAAATCACTTTCCGGAAGATTTCCGGCCCAAATATTTTTTTTTCAGAACTGGATAGCTCTCTCCGCCAGTCTTCTCTCAGTTCTCTTCGCCTTTCTAACTCTCTACATTTATATTCTTCAAAAATGCAATATTTTTGAGTCAAAACTCTCGCCCAAAACCCGCTACATTTTGATGGTTTTCAACGCGATTTTCATGATTTTCTCGGTTGTCGCATTTTTTATGAGCATCATTTTTGCCATTGTTTTGAAGCAAGGAGTTTCAGTGAAAGGTCAGTTTTTGATCTTATCAGTTCTTATCAGTACATGATTTCTTCTCCGAAAAAATCAAATTTTCCGAAAAAAAAATGAGTGAAACTCACCTTAAAAGAGGAAAAAACTATAATATGAGTAATCGAACAACAAAAAAATAAAATTTGAAAACTCCACACCTTTTTTGATAACAATATTTGCTTTTTCAGATCAATTTGCTTTTTCAGATCACAGCCAAAATCTTTGGTCAACTTGCACCTGGTTTTTGATACTTTTCAAATGGACTTTGCAGAATACGCTGATTTTAAGATTTTCTCTCAAATCTGCATAATTTATAGATAATTTTTATAAGTTTTGAAAAAAAAATTCGATTTACAAAAATTTTTTTTCGACTTGAATCACCCCATGAAAGTTTTTGAATTTTTCTGAAAAATAATTCAATTTTTAAAAATTAAAGACATTTTGAATTTTCATTTATAAATGCAAGTATATTTCATATTGGAGTACTGTAGCCAGCAAATATTTGTTGTGTGTAATTGTGCGTCGCGGTGTATTCCAGAAATGATTTCCCGCGCTTTTCGAACCGTTTGAATTCATTTTGGAATTTTTTGGTTGGTCGAAAAATGTTTGAATAAAAATTTCAGAATTTTCAAAATTAAAAGTTTTTGTTCAAAAAATGTTCAAAAATATTTCACCAAAAAAATTTAGAAAATTTTATTTTTTCAGAAATTTTTGGTTAAATTTCAAAATTTTTCGAAATTTCTTTTTTCAGAATAAAAATAATAAAAATAATTTTCTCTATCTGAAATTTCTCAAATTCCGTTTCAAAATTCCAAATTAAAAAAAAAATTGACAAATTAAATTTTTTTCAGAATAAATAATAATTTGGAATCTGAATTTTTCTGAAAATATTTTTTTTCCGATTTGTCAATTTCCAAGAGTTAATATGAGCAACTGAAAGTTTTATTGATTTTTAAAAATCCCAAATTCAATTATTCTTCCCCTTGTCAAAATATTTCTCAACATCTCTCATAATCCTCAAACACATTTCATCTTTAAAAGGCGGTGTAGCAATTTGAACAGAAATCGATAAACCTTCACAGCCTTTCAAATTTTCCCCAACCAATTTATCCCAAATATCACCATTTCCTTCAAATTCGCACTCATTTTTTCCGATTTTTCCAATCGGAACAGTTCCAGCAGGAAAATCAATGAGATTATAAAGAGCTGTGTAACTTGTCGCGCTTATCATTTTATTTGGAGCACCGTGTTTTGGTGGATATGAGCCCTGGAAAAAAGGGATTTGGGTGGGGAAAGGGAAAAGTTTGGAACACTTACAAATGCTGGACAAATAATCGCATCAAGGTTTTGTTTTCGCATTTCAATCACGAATTCGTGACGATATTCTTCGATTTTCCCATGCATTTCTCGCATTTCTGGAAAAATCGGCAAAATTTTGTGTCGATTTTAATTTTTCTCTCTGAAACCACAAATAATTTTCAGATCTTCTACATTTCAGATTTTTTCTGAAAATCTGGAATTCTCATAAAGTGTAGATATTTGAGTAATTCAAATTCAGGTTGAAAGTTTTCGGATTTTCAATTTCTGCTTCTGAAACACAAGGGTTTCCAAAATTAAAAAGTTGTACTGTAAAATTTTTATTCCGAAGTTCATCAGAAGATTTTTGAGCCCATGGAGCTTGTGTAAAAAGAATCCGAGCCTAGTTATCAAGTAGCCACGCCTAGAGAACCATATTGTCTAGGAGCAGCGCCTAGAGAACATAATTCTCAAGTAGCCGCTCCTAGAGAACCTAATTGTCTAGGAGCCGCGCCTTGAGAGCTTATATGCTAAGTAGCCGCGCCTAGAGAACCTAATTGTCTAGGAGCCGCGTTTAGAGATCCACTCTGGCAAGCAGCCGCGCCTTGGGGGCTTCTGTGACAAGTAGCCGCGCCTAGAGGTTTTAATTTTCTAGGACCTGTGCCTTCAGAGCTTCTGTGCCAAGTAGCCAACCCTACCTTCACAATCATGCGGCAATTCCTTCAAAACATTTCGAATTCTCCTCATCGGCATCAATTTCCTCATAATTTTCTGACAAAAATACGGAAACCTCGTGACCGGAACCCCAATATAACATTCATCCGGCACAATATCCTCCGACAATAATTTGTTCAAATAAATCGAACCATCCGAAGTTGCAGCCGCACAAAACACACTGAACATCAAATCGGGATTCGGAACTTTGAACTCGAAAATTGAATGTCCTTCGATGTCTCGAAGATAGTTTATTGTCTCCAAAACTGCCCTTTCGTAGGCTTTTGGAGCTTTTTTGATATCCGTCAAATGTATAATATCCGATTCGAAGTTTTTGAGTGGAATTTAACATTTCTTCTTGGAATTTGACTGGTGGCATGTAATAATCCGATTCGAAAAGAGAATTATCATTCCATTTCTGCGGAAAAAGATTTTTGGAATTAAAATTTTAACAATTTTCTTGAAAATTGGTTTTTTTTCAAAAAAAATGAGAGAATTTTAGAAATTATCACGAAAATCATTTAGAAAATTCCACAAAACCTGAAATTTAAGAAAACTCGAAAATCTGAACATTTCTGGAACTCAGGAATCTGAAAAGCCTTGAAAAAAATTTTTCAGCTCCCAAAAATTTTTAGAATTTTCATTTTTAGTTAGCCCAAATTAGTTTACACAATATATTTCATATTGGAGTACTGTAGCCAGCAAATGTTTGTTGTGTGCAATTGTGCGTCGCGGTGTAGATATGTGTGAACCAGAAATGGTTTCCCGCGCTTTCCAAACCTTTTGAATTGTATTTTGAAAAATGTTTGAATAAAAATTTCAGAATTTTCAAAATTGGAAGTTTTTGTTCAAAAATATTTCACCAAAAAAAAATTAGAAAATTTTATTTTTTTCCGAAATTTTTGGTTAAATTTCAACATTTTTTCTCAAATTCTATCTGAAATTTCCCAAATTCCGTTAAAAATTCAAAAATTTCAAAATTTTTTTAAAAATTGAAAAATTACATTTTTTTCAAATTCTGAACTTTTCAGCAAATTTTGGTTAAACATTTCCAAATTTAATTCCAAATTTCAAAATTTCAAAATTTCTAGATCAAAGGAATGGATTCAACTCAAGGCCTAAGTCAATAACTTTTCAAATCTTTAGAAAATCATTCAAAATGTGTAGGTTCTGCGAAAATTTGGCTGGAATTTCAGATTCAAATCTCAAAACTCAACAAAAAACGATTATTGTTTCTGCGAGTTTTTCGAATTGAATTTCAGGAAAAACAGAAAATGAAAACTCAAGAGAAGAACTAAAAAAATCAGAAATGTTCAATATTTTTTATCATAAAATTAGAGCCAGTGCGCTCTATCGAACAAAAACTATTTTAAGAAAACTTCAAAAAGTTCCTTACCAATCTCATATATTCCACACAAATATCCACATTCCTAGCCAGCGGTCCTTCAACAGTTCGCAACAATTGTCTTCCCGGAATCGACGAAACTTTTCCAGTATGCGAATTTCGATCCGAACAACTTTTGAAGCCGACAATTCCACAGAATGTCGCGGGTGTTCGAATACTTCCACCAACATCAGTTCCAATACCGAAATGTGCAGCGCCGCTGGAAATTAGGGCAGATTCGCCGCCAGAAGAGCCGCCAGGAACACGAGTGACATCGAGGGGATTTGATGTTGAGCCGTAGATTGGATTGCAGCAGCCGAAACTTAGAAGAGCTTGTGGGATGTTGGTGTGGACGAAGGGAATTGCGCCTGAAATTTGGGGAGATTTGAGTTAGGATAACTTTTTTTAGAACCCTCTTTGTTGGATTTTTTGAACCAAGACAACTTGAAGCTCAAAACTTTCAAGAAAAAATCAAAATCTGAAATTCCAGCCAAAATTTGCAGAACCTACCCAATTCCATAAGTTGCTTAACACATTTCGAATCATTTTCTGAAGGTTTGAAAAGTGATTGACTAAGGCCTTGAGTTGAATCCATTCCTTTGATCTGGAAATTTTGAGATTTCGAATTTTTGAATTAAATTTGTAAAATTTTTAACCAAAATTCTCTGAAAAATTCAGAAATTGAGAAATAAAAATATTAACTGTCAATTTTTAAAAAACTGTTTTAAAAAAATAATTTTTGTAAAATATTTTTTTAATTAAAAAAATAACTTTAAAAATGTGAAATTTTCAGAAAAAATTTGAATTTTCAATTTTTTTTTTAATTGTTAAAAAAAAATAATTTTAAAAATGTGAAGTTTCAGAAAAAAATTTAAATTTTGAATCTAAATTTGGAAAATTCCGAAAAAGTTTGAAATTTAACCCAAAATTTCCAAAAAAATAAAATTTTCTAAATTTTTTTAGTGAAATATTTTTGAACAAAAACTTTCAAATTTGAAAATTCTGAAATTTTTTTTCCGAACAACTTTCAACATTATTTTGACCAAATTTTCCAGAATTTTAAAATTTCGAAAAATTTTGAAATTTAACCCAAAATTTCTGAAAAAATAAAATTTTCCAAATTTTTTTGGTGAAATATTTTTGAACAAAAACTTTCAAATTTGAAAATTCGGAAATTTTTTTCCAAACAATTTCCAGATTTTTTAAAATTTCAGCATTTTTTTCGAATTTCAGATTGATTTTTGACAAAATTTAGATTTCCAGATTTTGAAAATTCCAGAAAATTTTTTGAATTTTCAAATTTCATTCACCTTCAAATTCCCAAACCCCCAAATCCCAACCTTAATACATTCCTTAACACTAACAGGAATTCCAAAAAGCTCCATGTTCCCCCGTTTCTCAATCTCAACTTCCTCTAACTTCTCCGCCAATTCAATCGATTTTTCAACAAAAAGACAAACACAATTCGTATTTTCCTGTGCTTTCATCGCTTTTCTTTGAAATGCTCTCAAAACCTCCGTCACTTTCAAATTTCCCATTTTCAAATCTGATTTCAATTTTTCGTAGGGTAAATTCACAATTCTCTCCGCCTCATTTTCATCCAATTTCTCAAAATTCCTCCGAATCCACTCAAAATTCCTCAGCTGTTCATCTTTCCTTTGTTGAATCGCGTGTTTCAGCAAATTCACTTTTCTCTGGAAAAAAATTGCTGGAAAGGGCAGAAAAAATCAATCAATACCTTCGATTCAAAGTAGAAATAAAACACTAAACCGGCCAAAAATAGCACAAAAAACGTGGTGATCATGAATTTCTCGCTGATAAAATGAAAAATGAAAACTGTTATCATGAATTATTCTTTTATTGTGCTGGGGGAAAAACACAACAATTCAGAGAGACAAAAGAAATAGAATATAAAATACACACAACAAAAAAACCTAGAAGAAACCGGTTAAAAAGCTCAAAAAATTGAATTGGGTCGAAAAAAAGCGGGACCATTAAAAAATAGGGGAGGGGGAATAAAGTGCAATAAACCGCGTATGCTCAAAAAGTGGGAGGGGGTGGGAAAAAAAAGAATAATTATAATTTACATACAAATTAGGCGAATCCGAATCCTTCTGTACATTCGCGAATTGCGAGAAGAAGACTGTCGCGCAACTTCTCATAACTCTCGTATTGTGGAAGATCCAATTGATTGAAGCTGCAAGAAAAATTAGGGGTTTCACAAGCTGAAAATCTTGAAATTCTAGAAAACTAACCAAGTATGTGCAGCTGGAAGACGATCACCTCCTCGACTGTCCATGTGAAGACTGAATCGCTGAGTTCCGTTCATTCCTTCGAGTGTGGCGAATCCTTGTAGTGGCACCTGCAAGAAATGCAGATTTTGTTTTTGGATTCTATTTTGAAAAATATTTTTTTATTTGATTTTCAATAACTTATGATTTGGAAAATTCAAAATAGCAATTTATAAAAAAATTTTGTAATTTTTAACGTGATCTATGGCGTGGCAATTCAAAGTACATTTTCATTTGAAAAATATCGAAAATTTGTTCAAAGACGGTTCATTTTGATGCGGAAATTCAAAAATTCAAATTTCTCAAAATTTTTTTGTGAATTTTTGGGTCAAAATCCCTAATGTTCAGCCTGAAATTATGGACTTTTGACCTGAAATTGAAAATTTTTAAATTTTTCATAATTTAATAAAACTTGTTCAGAAAAAACATTGGAATTTCAAAAATAGAAATTTATAAAAAATTGTTTGGATTTTTTAACGTGAGCTATGACGTGGCGATTCAAAGTTCATTTTGATTTCAAAAAAATCGTTCATTTTGACGTGGGAGCTTAAAAATTCAAATTTCTCAAAATGTTCAATTATTTTTTTTAAATTTTCGTTTAAATGAGCTAGAAATTCATTCAAAAATTCAGAAAACGTAATTTTTCCGCGAAACCTCAAAAATTCCCCCATTTTCCCCCCAAAAAAACAACAAACCTTAGATGTTCCAGTGACAAATTGCAAGAATTTCGCCTTATCCTCTTTCTCAAACGATCTCAAAGCTCTCCAGAACCATTGAACTTGTACACTACTCTTTTGATATCCTTTATATTCGGTATTCGCTGCCAAATCATCAATATCAACAGTCGGCAAACCGGAAATCAACAATTCCAATTCTTGTTCATTGAACATTGATATCAAATCTTTGGGGATAATTTCATAGAAACCTTGAAGGAACGCATCCAATTGTTTCTGAATCGAACCAGTCATTTTCGTTTGACAAATCAATTTGACATATTCCTCTTTATTCGCATCAGTCACTTCAATTTGTCGACCATTTGGTTTCAAATCTCGAGTTGAACGAACACCAAACTCTTCAACTTCTGTTGAGAAGAACAAATCCAAACCAAGATCATCGATTGGATTTTGGAGAAGGAATTCGAGCGATTTGAAGAACGCTGGATCTTCACTTTCCAAATCTTGATAACGGACAGGTAAGTTGAGGATATGTTTGTAGAATGCACGGGTAAAGTAACAATCGAGATACTTGTGATCATAGACTGATTTGGCAATCAAACGTCCAACAAACTAGAAAAAATATGGATTTTTTTGGGGGGAGAAAGAGGATTTTTTAAACATTTTTTAACAAAAATTATTTTTTAAATTTTTTGCATTGAAAAATTTTGATATTTTTCATTTTTGTGGGGTTTTTTGACATCGGAATTTTTTTGAATCACCCCATTAGAAAAATCTCTCTAGGGACCATGATAATTTCAACAAAAGCACCCCAGAAGACATACCTTGAAATAATCCAAATGTTCCGGATTAATATACGATGCTTTATTGATCATATAAGTGACCATATCACCTGGCGCAGTGATGAACAACGCATAATTGGGATTGAAAATTTCACGAGTGATCACCGAAAACCATTCTCTCAATAATCCACCAGCATCTTGACCTTCTTCACCTTGGAAAATGATGTAGAATCGATTCTTCCATTCGGATGGTCGAAGACGGAACAATTCGCGGAATGAATCCGAAAATACGCGAGAACGATTCACTTGAACTGACACATCATTTCGACGATATCTGCAAAATATCACGTGTTTTTATGGGTTTCAAGAAGAAATAAACTTACACTGGCTCCGCTTTATTCAACTCTTTTCTGAAATATTTGCGCTTCACATCGAAATCTAACAATTTGGGGAACTGTGTTAGAATTGCAAATGGTCCACCAGCTGAGAGCACTGCATTATTTTGACGAAGAGCTTGATTCAGCACTTGACGATGTTTTTCTGGAAAAACATTGGGATTTTTGAGTAGGATTCGCGAGCTCAAAAATTTGTTGAATTTTTTTTTCAGATGAAAAATAGCTGAAAATTCATCAGAGAAAAAAATATGAAAATTTGAATTTTTCAAGAAAACAGAGAATGTTCAATGGAGCGCGTTTGCTAATTTTGATCAATTTTCTGTCAAAACGCCTCGTTTTTCTCCAATTTTCATGTTTTTCAGCTGAAAATTCACGAGAGAAAAAAAAAATGAAAATTTAAATTTTGCAATAAAACAGAGAATTTTCAATGGAGCGCGTTTGCTAATTTCGATCAATTTTGGGTCAAAATGCATCGTTTTTCTTCAATATTCATGATTTTCACATAAAAATTGATCAGAGAAAAAAAAATGAAAATTTGAATTTTTCAACAAAACAGGAAATGTTCAATGGAGCGCGTTTGCTAATTTTGATCAATTTTGTGTCAAAACGTCTCGTTTTTCTTCAAATTTCATGATTTTCAGCTAAAAATTCATCAGATCCCTTAAAAAATCCCCAACAAACCTGCAAATTCGACCAATTTCGCCGTATCCGCATCCAACTCATCTTTCGGCGACGTTTCTCCTCCACCAATCTCACTCTCCTTGCGTTTCGCCGCCTCTTCCGACGCTTTTCTCGTCGTCTCACACGCATAAATCAAGAAGAACGATTCGGCAGCGGGTTGAAGAGCCAAAACCGCGTGCGGATCCGAGGCTTTGCCGAGTTTCATCAAACATTCGGAGAGGGAATCCCAAAGTGGATTGAGTGATTCCAATTTCTCCGAAATTCTCGGCTCCTCTTCAATAATTTCCTCAATTTTCGCTGATGGTTCTGCTGAACTTGAACTTGTTCCCTCTTCCGATTTCTTCTCATCCACCTTCTTCTTTTCCGCTTCCTCCTTCAATCTCTTCTTCTTATCCAATCGAATCTGTTTCATATGATTCCGAACCTTGACCAAAGTTTGCAATGAGCTCAACAACGAATATTGTGCTCCAGCTTTATCCGTCAACACAGTAACCGCCGGCAATTGCAATTCCTTACACGAGCTCATCATCAATCTCGTATTCTGCTCTCCATCAATCACAACTTGTTCACCATCAAATCGACCATGTGCAACTCTTCCAAATCCACTTGTATCCACCACCAATTGACTGGTTTTCGATGTTGTTGGCTGTTGTTCAGATGTTGTTGATGGAGATGAATCCATTGGTGTTTCCGATTTTTGTGCTTCCGTCAATTCATCATTCAATCTTCGAATTTGCGGCAACAAATCGGAGCCAAGTTGTGAGACTGCAGAGAATAATTGCTCGTAGATGAATGGAGATGTTGCTTCGGAGAATGTTCTCATCGATTCAGCCAAAAGTGTTCTGAAGAAGAGGATTTTTGAAGTTTTTCACAAAAATGGGCTCGGAAAGTGATTTTTAATAGTAATATCTCCAAAATCGCTCATTTTTTGTAGAATTTTTCAAAATTTTCCGTTCAAAAACTGATTTTCTTAGCGAATTTTGTGATTCCAAGCCCCAAAAAACTCACAATCCATCATTCAAACCATCAGGCGAACAAATTCCTTTCGTCACAATATCAATCACAAAATTCAAATGTTGTTTGATCGGAATTTCGTCTTGTTTCAGCGACAATTTCTCCATCGAATCATGCGGCAAAGTTTGGAAGATCTGAAATTATCTCAAGTTTTTCTGAAAATAACGGGGGGGGGGTGGAAAAAAGTTGAAAAATTGGTTCATTTTAGAGCAAAAAAAATGTTTTAAGCAAAAACTTGGCCAAATTTTGATAAAGATTTGGTCTTAAAATTGGGTCTTAAAATTGACCAAAAATCTTCGATTGGACAAATTTCGGTAATTTTTTTTAATGAAAAAACGAATTGGTGCACTTTTGGTCAAAAATTGGCTGAACATTGACCAAAAAGCTTCGATGGACCAAATTTTGGTCAATTTTTTCACGAAAAAAACGAATTGGTGCATTTTTTGGTCAAAAATTGGCTGGAAATTGTCCAAAAAGCTTCGATTAACCAAATTTCGGTCAATTTTTTGATAAAAAAAAAAAGAACTGGTGCCTTTTTGGTCAAAAATTGGCTGAAAATTTACCAAAAAGTTCCGATTTTTGCTCAAAAATTGGTCAAGCCCCCACCACCGTAATAAAAAAAACTCACAGCACTCGCCACTTTCAAAACTCGATCATGTAAAAGTCCAGTCTTGGCAATCGTTTGCTTATCCAAATACGTCAACAATTTGGCGAGCGGCGAATTCTCAAGCGTTTGCTCTCCATTAACAGCCCACTCTTTCTTTCCGGCCGATTTCTGAATCATACTCCAGAACACATCAAAACCCGGCTGAACTTTCGCCGGATCCGAGTTCTTCGTTCCACTTCGAAGCGCAACCGGCAAAAAATTTCCCGGGTACGCTTTTGCGATAATCGCCAACAAATCAAGAATATTTCGACAAAGTGTGATGGAGATCATCGAATGAATCGACACCTTCGCACAATTCTCCGATATTCTAACAGCCTGTTCATTATGTCCAACACCGCTGACCGTAATCGATTCCAACCACGTCGGAATATTCGACAAAATCTCCTCGTCATCCGCATTCGATTCACTCGCCTTATCCAAAAGCGCCAACAAACACCAGATAACAAAATCGCAACTCGCCGAATTCACACAAACACTTCGAAGCACCTTTTGGAGTCGTGCATAAGACAATCTCGAATCCACCAAATACAACATACACAGTGTCATAATCGCATCCTTATCCATCAATTGTGTAGTTGTGAGGCTCGCCTGATGCGCACTTCCAGCATGTTGTCCAATCGATATTCCACCATTTCCACTTGGTCCACCCGTGGAATGTGCACCGCCTCCTCGATTCGTTCGATGTCTTCTAAACAACAATCGTTGATATCTAAACATATTCGGATCATTATTCTGCTGTCTCGCACGTCTCGCTTCATCCTGCATATTTTGCGGCAGGCCCGCCAATTCAGTCTCATCCATCTCAGCCAGCACTTGCGCTCTTTCATTCGCTGGAAGTGACGCAATCACAGCAGCTCCATCCATTTCAGCAACCGGCGCCGCTGGAACATTTCTTCGTCTCGCATTCTCTTCCGCTTCTCGCACAGCTCTCTCGTGTTCCGCCAAAACTTCCTCTTGCAATTCCGGTGGCAACGCATTCAAAAACTCTTGATTAATCGGCTCAACAATCGGAACATCAGCTGGTGGTGCAGCAGCGGCTGCTGGCGCATTTCCCTCAACTGGCGCTGCACCCGGAACCGCTGCAGCTGGCGGATTATTCTCAACAACCAACGGTCTCGCAGCTCTTTCAGCTCGCTGTTGTCGCTGATAATCGCGAATCACTTCAGTTCTCATTTCTTCCGGCAACGCCGCCAAAAATGCCGGATCAACACCATCTGGAATCTCGATATCACCCAAAATCGCTCGATATTCTTCAGGCATCGCATTTTGTTCACGCGGCGGTGGCGAATCTGGATTTTGTTGTTGCTCTTCAGCTGGCGGAGAAGGATTCGAAGGTTGCTCAACAACTTGAACTTCTTCTGATGGCTGTTGGGGTTGTGGTGGTTGTGGTAGTTCTTGAACTTGAACTTCAGCAGGTTCTGGTGCTTGAGCTGGAGCTGGAACTTCAGCTTGAACTTCAACTTCTTCAGCTGAAAAATACAATGATTTTTTTCGGAAAAAAAACACTTCTGGGGATTTAAAAACATTCTGGAATTCCAGGTCGAAAATTTTCTGTTCCAGTTTATTTCTGAGGTTGAAATTGGAACTAAAATCGCAAACTTTCTACAAAAGTTTTCGAACCTTAAATTTCAGATCGAAATTTTTCATGTTTTTGGACAATTTCAAGTCGAATTTTTTTGTGTTTTGGACAATTTCAGATCGATTTTTATTTAGAAATCTGGAATTCCAGCTCGAAATTTGTCATGTTTTTGGCCAATTTTAGGTCGAAATTTTCATGTTTTTGGACAATTTTAGGTCGAAATTTTTCATGTTTTGGACAATTTCAGGTGGAAAATTTTCATGTTTTTGGACAATTTCAGCTCGAAATTTGTCATGTTTTCGGCCAATTTCAGGTCGAAAATTTGCTGTTTCAGATTTTTTTCTGAAATCCCAAAATTTCTAGAAAATCCTACCTGGTTGATCAACTTCCATTGGTTGAACCGATTCCGCTGGAACACTATTTGGTGGATTGAAAACAGCCACATATTCATTATTTTCTGGCGCATTAACAACTTCAACTGGTCGTTCAGTCTCTTCTGCATTCGAATTCGCATTCGAATTTTCTACTTTTGGTGGTGGTGGTGTCGCCTTCTTTGTCTCTTTCTCCTTCTTCTTTTTCGCCTCATTCTCCTTCTCCTCTTTTTCTCTCATCACTCTCGAAATTTGCGAATTCACAATCGCACACACAAATCGAATCGAAATCGGCTCCATTATCGAAACATATGAATCCAATCGCTCCAAACACGAATAAACCATTTGTGTGCGATTTTGTCGCGTCATATCGTCATCTCTAAATTGCGGTGTCGCATAGGTTCGAATTCTTCCGGGGAAACCGGCGCCATTGCTCAACTCGAAAATTCGATCAAGGAATGATGATTGTGTTGTTTGTTGTTGTCGAAGAGTGTTGGCAAATGGATTGACATTCATCGCAAAATGTCCACCATGTGGTCGACGATTTCCAGATCGAAGTTGATCCAACAAAAGTTCTGCGTTATGCGCATCTCGTCCATCTTGAGCACGTCGAATCGCATTTTGTCGATGAAGATGATTACGTGGCAAAACATTGATCGGAACCATCGAATGTCCGTGAATCTCATATTGACGAACACCTAGAATATTCAGAATTTGATGGTGGAGGATTTCTGGTACGTGATTTTCAAAATAAAAATTGTACGCTATTTTTTTTACAGTATGACCTCTAAAAACTGTGAATTCGTCAGTTTTTGACCTCTAAAAACTGAAATTCATTTTAAACTTACGCGAAGTATCATCTTGTGGTGGTCGAGTCAAAAGTGGATGTTGAACAGATGGAACTGGTCTTGGCGGTGGACGACGATCTCGATAACCTCTGAAAATTGGATAATTTGAGGGTAAATACAAATTATGAGGTAAAAGAACATACAACATTTCCCATTCATCGTTTCTCAACATTTCAGCAAAACTCATATTCGAGCGACCAAACAACAACATCTCTTCTTGGAGCTGGAAGAAAAATGGTCAATAATTTATCCTATGACTAAAAAAATTCAGATTTAGGCCAAATTTCCATGATTTTCAATTCAAAATTGTCAGATTTCTTCTTTTTCAAGTTAAAAATTACATTTTCTGCAGAAATTTCAGCGGGTTTTGTTCAGAAACAGTTTCTGTAACTTCAAAAACAGTCATGTGATATTTTTTGTGAAATGTGAAAAACTGGGATTTTTTTGAAATGATAAATTAAAATTTAGTTATGGGGTAACTCAAGTTTAAAAATATTCAAGATATTTTTTTTTCATTTTTTCTGTGGAAAACATTTTTTGGCTTCCTGACTACTGCATTTATAACTATTTTGGAGCAATTTTTCAAAAATGTCGATTTTGTTTTAAATTTTTGAGCATTCCTTTATGGGGTGACTCAAATCGAAAAAAATAATTAAAAAAACATTTTTGGACAAAAATTTCCGCTTCAGAAAATGTCAAAAAACTATTTTTTCCACACAAAAATGAAAAATCTTTCGCAGCGAAAAAATTTTGGCTTGAATAAATACCGCGTTTATAACTTTTGGAGCAATATTTTCAAAAATGTCGAATTTTTAAATTTTTGAGAATTCCTTTAGTTTTCAGAAACAGGTTTCTATTCTCAATTTTCTAAAAAAAAACCGCTCACCATTCTCGTATAATTGGGAAAACCTCCAAAAACCTCTCGATCCATATCATCATCTTCCAAACTATCCTCATCAATTCGTCTCGCTCCTTGTTCTCCCGCATCTTGCATAGTCTCTTCAACCTCTCGATCTTCATCATCTCCCTCATCCTCATCATCATCATCGTCATCATCTTCATCCTCGTCCTCTTCATCTTCATCATCCTCATCATCCTCTTCTTCTTCCTCTCCATTATTTTGTGTCACATCCATCTCTTGTTCGCCATCTCGATTTTCAGCCGCAACAACTTCACTAGCTTCTTCCACAACTTGTCCTTCTCCAACAGCTTCATCCGCATTCTGTGGCTCATTATTCGCCTCCTCTTCTCGTTCACCTTCCGCATCCGAATACTCGCTAACACTTTCCGAAACATGATCCGACACTTCCGAACCCTCTTCATCATCCATTCGTTCACCAGCCTCTTCCCAATCCATATGATTCTCATTAAATCTTCGACCATCTTCAGCTTCTCGAATCTCTCTCACAATTCCTCTCCAATCAATTCCATCTTCATCATCATCTTCCAACTCAAATCTTTCGCGAACTTCTTCATCTTCGTCTTCATCATCATCTTCTTCGGCTCGCGCAACAACAGCCGCAGCCGCAGCAACTTCACGTTCAAGTTGAACTAGTGCTGCGTGCGGATTTTGTGCCTCATCTCGACTTGTCGAAACTCCAACTTCCATTCTTCCAACAGTTCTTGCGCCATTTGCAGATCCAAGAACTCCATTTGACAATGTATTATTAGCAGCAGCTGGAACATTGGCAGCCTCCAAAAGAACATCCAAAGTTTTCAAAATTCCATTGATCGTGTCGATTGAATCCTAAAAAAAAGATCTTTTGTTTCCTTGTTAGAGGTGGATTCTGAGCAAAAAAATAAGTTTTGCTCATTTGAAAGATCGTGAGTCCAATCCTCGAAGGATTTTTCTGGAAGCTTCTCAAACAATAATGAAACACCGTGTTAAATGGCTTTGGAGCTTCTGTTTCTTTGTCAATTATGATTTTTATTAGGCAATTTTATTATTATTTTATTTAACTCCTGGTCCAGGAGACGAACTTTTGAATTAAAATTTATCGATTTTTATGTCAGACTCCACCAGACCTGGGAATTTTTACGTTTACTTTTACGGCTCAAAAAACCGTAAAATGATTCGTAAAAAATCACTAAATATAGTGAATTTTGACAGAATCAAATTGAAACTTTAAAAAAAAACTCAAAATTTTTTAAAAGAAAATTTTGATTAAATCCTAATTAATTGATTTTTGATGGATATAGTGAATAAAATTTTTAAAAATTTTTCGGAGTTACGATAAGTTAACCAATCCAAATTTTTGAAGAAGTTTTTGCTGTTTTTCAGTGAAAAGATTGAGTAACAAAATTTTACGAAATTCACGGGATTTTACGGTTTTTAAAAAGGTGCCACGTAAAAATTTCCCAGGTCTGTTCTCAAACATTAAAATTTCAAAGTTCGAAATAACAGTGAAACACCATGGCTAAAAAGTCAGGAGCTGTGTTTCTTTATCAATTCCAATTTTTAATGTGAAAATTTGGCAATTTTAACCAGGAGACAAACTTTTGATTTAAAATTTATCGATTTTTATGTCAGATCCCCCTTAAAAACTAACCTTAGTCGAAACTTGCAAACAAGTAATCGCCCGAACCAATTCATTACAAATCTTTTTCTTATGGAACAATTTGACAACATTATTCGATTGTGCCGATATTTTATCTTTCGATCGATGTTCACCATTCGAACTAACACACATCGTAACAATCAATCCACACAATTCGCTAATATTTTTCGCCGGTTTCTCCTCAAATTGATCACCGCTAGCTCCAGCCAAATTCTCATCCTTCTTCTCATTTCCAATTCGATCACAGAATGCTTGTAAAGCTCCTTTGATATCCTGAATCAATAATTCTTGTGCTCTAACAACATTTGGAGCCGCCGAAATAATTGCAATCAAAGTTTTGAGAGCAGATGCGATTTCCAATTTCTCGGGATTCGTTGATATATACATTTCCAACAATTGCAACATCACACTTTTTCCTTCATCTTGCGCTTCAGTCACAACAATCGCAATCGATGGATATGATTTGATCAATTCGGAGATGAGCAAAAGAATCTTGTCTCTCGAAAACATTCGAACATTTTGAGGGAATGTTCCATGAATTATTTCATTCAACAACATTTCAACAACTTTTTGAACTCTCAAATTGATCGGCGATACTTCGATCGATGTTTTTGATGAAGTTGATGGTTGTCGATCTCGTTGTTCTTTGACTTCTTTTGTCGTTTCTTTTGGAATCATACTAATCACATTGTTGTTGAGTTTAGCGCATTTTTCAAGAACAGAGACGAAAACAGCCGGATTTCTGGAAAAATGAAGAAATTGGGGGAATTTTTTTTGGAACAGGGTTCACAAATTTTTTTCAATTTTCCTGAAATTTTTTCAATGACAACCCTACCCTAGAATCTCATACCTCGGCCAAAATCCTGTTTTTCAAAATAAAAAACTAATCGCTAACTTTTTACAGTATGAAAACTGTGAATTGTTCAATTTTTGACACCTGAAAACTCTGAATTCGTCAGTTTGACCTTTAAAAACTGAAATTCTGATTTTTTTTTCAAAATTGTATTCTGGCCTAGAATTTCCTAGATTTTCTTCAACCTTCCTAATTTCTGAAAATATTCCATTTCCAGGCCTAGATTCAATAGTTCGAGAACGAATTATTCAAAATACTTGAATTTTTGGGTAATTTTTAGATTTGAAACCATAATTTTTGATCCACAATATTTTGTGTTTTTGACATTTTCAGAATCCCAAAATTCCCACCTGCTAGAAAGTGCAGTCAATTGATTCAAAGTCGTATACCAATCTCTTGGCTTCGGTGTCGACGGATTCAAATAATCCATAATATGCGAAGCTTGCGGTGATGCAGAAGTTCGAATCGTTTTTTCAAACACCTGCGACAACAATGTGTTGTCATCAATACAATTTCGCACAATAATCGATACAACTCCAGTCGCTTGTGGCATTGGCAAACATTTCAAACGAATCGCACTCTCAATTCCACCAGCTTCCAAGAATTTCGAAGCACTTTCGGGATTTCGCGTAAGTCTCGCTGCAAAACTGAGCAATGATTGAGCACACAATTGATGAACATCTTCTTTTTGCAATAATTGAATTGTCAAAACCAGAAGTCGTTGATTCTCTTCTTCGGTCCATGTCAATTTTCTTTCCGATTCTTCCAATTTCTCAATATCAATTGCAACATCTGCTGGAATTTCAGCTCGAATATAATCCCTTTGTCCACCATTATCAGATTGATACATTCCAATGAAATTAATCTCAAGTTTTCGTGGCTGTTGTCGTCTGAAAAAAACCCTGATTGATTATTTTAAAAAGAAAATATATATTTATCAACTAACCCAGCCCGCTTCACAATACATTTGAAACTCTTGACTCCACTGAAAAATGCCTCATTGATCGCTTTTTGTGTCGCTTCTTCATATTCAACCCATTTTCTTTCTTTTCTTCGAATTCCAACCTCAGCCACGTCATCAATTTGATACGAGAATACAAGATGTTTGGAGAGGGATTCCAAGTATTTTCTTCGCGAGATTGAACGATGATTTTTGTCGTATAAATCGATCCAGAGAATAACACGTGAGAGAATCCTGCAAATTTTGTGAATTAAATGAAGTTCAAATCAGGAAAAATTGAAACCCGGAAAATGGAAAGTCGGAAAAATTCCGGATTTTTTAAACCGGAAAATCAGGAAAATTTTTCAAGGTCTGAAATTTCGAATTTCAGCACTGAGTTGGCCCAAAAACTTATTTTTATCTGCAATCGTTCTGTTCACTGGTATTTCAGTAACTATTTGGGACGTTTTACGTTCAAAAAATCGTAAAATTCTGAAAAATTGAAAAAAAAAATTCAAAAAATTATTATAAACTGGGGAAATTCCTCAAAATTTTGGCAATATTGAAAATATTAATATTAAAAATCATTTTCCGGAAAACCGGAAAATTGATTTTTCCTTGAAAAAACCGGAAAATCGAAAAATTTCCGGTAAAGAACTGGTTCAAATAAAAAAGTTCATTTTTACGCGAAAATTCCCTTCGGCTGATCGATTTCAAAAACAAATTTAAAAAAAAAAATAGATTGTTCAGTTGAATTTTATTATTTATCTCAAAAATTTACTGTTTCAAAAATTTTTCAAAAATTCGAAATTGTGAAATTTATTGATAGGTCATTTTTATGATATTTATAGGTCATTTCCATTTTCGCCACACTAAAAATTTTCATTTCGTAATCATAATTTAATAAATTCTAAATACCCCGTAAAACTGTGAAACGTAAATATCCCAGGTTTTTCTAAATCAAAAAACTCACAAATTCTGCAAAGTCGGTATCGAAACAAATCGCTGCTCACAAAATCCAACCAACGTCAAAAGCCTCGAAACAAGCTTGCGCTCTTTTGCAACATCAATATAATCCTCGGCAATTTTATCAAAAATCAAGCAGGCAAAATGAATACGATTCGCCAACACCTTACAAGTATCCATAACTGATTGCGGCAATCCACTCAAATCCTCATTCGCCAAAATCTCTTCAACCATCAAAATAACCTCGTCGACAAGAATCTTCTGAATAATCGCCTCCTTTTTCCATTCTTCCGGCACAACTGGCAAAATCGATTGAACCAGGTCGCAACAAGAATAAACCAATTCCGACGAGACATGCATGACACGTTTGACGAGTGGAATCAATTGCATACAAGCCGATTGAAGCGAGATATCCTGTTCGATTTTCAAATCTCTCAATGGGGGAATCAACGGCAATGCAATATCATCCTCTTCCTCGATTTTTGGTGTTGGTGTGGAAGATGATGATGCAACATCGGCCGAAGCTGAAGTCCCTTGTTCTCCTTGGAAATAATGATTAATAAAATTTGCCAAGCTCTCTTGTCGATCGGCTGAAGAATTAAACGCACGCGTGAATCTCAAACGTGTCTCCGCACTCAATTCCTCTCCAATTTCTCTAGTCAATGTTGCCAAATAACTTTCAACCGTTTCCGTCGATATTGGTGGTCTCTCAACCGGCGGTGGTAGAGCAGAAGCTTCACCAGGTGCAGCTGGGGTGGCGGGAACATTTGGAGTGGAAGCATCTTCGGGAGGTGGTGGTGCAGCGGCTTCAGTAGCAGGAGCACCCAAAGTTGGTGGCGGTGGAGCATGACCTTCTGGTGGCACATCATTATTGCTTAATAACATACTAACAGCATCATTTATACTGCGAGTCGAATCAATTGCTCGAATAACAGTCTCTCGCCCGAATCCCATTTCCATCAACATTTGAATTTGACTTTCGTCTCTTGGCATAACAATTGGGACAGCTGGTCGTACATGTGGACCTGTTCCCCAGTCATCGTTGGAATCCGGAGTTTCTGAGCCACTATTTTTACTGTCTTCCGCCAAATTTCGAGCAACCTGGGAAAACATATTGAAAATGATTGAAAGTTCAGCATTTCGGGAAAAATGTATTTTTTTTAATTGTCACTAATTTTTCAAACCAGTTTTGAATTTTTTTTTTAATTCTAACAAAAAATACAAATTCATCCGGATAAAATTTGCAATTTTTATGGGGTAATTCAGGTCGAAAAAAACTAAAAAAAAATAGTTTTTTCGATTCAGAAATCAAAAAACCCTAAAATAATAGGGAGAAATCAAAAAACCCTAAAATAATCGAGTAAAATAATTGAAATTTAAATTTTGTCAAAATGTATGTTTTTATTTACAGTAATTTTGAATTTTTCAAACCAGTTTTGATTTTTAAATTCATTCGGATAAAATGTGAATTTTTTAAAACAAAAATTTGGCCAAATATTTCCCCAAAGTTTTTTGCCCATAAACTAGAGTTAACTCCCCCGCTCCCAAATTTATCACAAAACGCACCTCGTTGAACACCGAAAACGCATTCTCACACAATTCCTGATACGAAGAAAGATCGTTATGTTCACATAATGATAATCTTTCGAACAAACAAGTGAACGCGTTGAACAAATCCTGTAAAAAACAAATATTTTCGAAAGATATGAAAAAAAAACAAAAATCTTACGCGACAAACAAGTTTCAAATACTTGTTAACATCAAAATCCATACTCAATCCAAATCGATGATTTGTTCTCGCCGATCCATCATTTTGTGTCATATTATTTCGATTCGCCAATTTTCCAGCCAATCTACACCACTCAACAAGCACTTCACTCAACCCATTTTTCGAATATCCTTCCAAAGACGGTGCCAAATTATCGACCAACAATTCGAAAAAGGCTTTGTGACATCCACTTTTGTAGAATTGATGAATGATCGACGGATTTGCGGCTCTCGAATGATCATCGAAAAGAGTTGTTGACATTTGGGATAACAATTCGGTATATCTTGAATATCCCATTGGCGAATTGTTGATGGCTTGAGGTTTCCATTTCAAATCTTTGTAGATTGAACTAAACACCATTGTTGCACATTGTCTGGAAAAACGGGAGATTTCAGACTGAAAATTAGTAAATTTCAAAAGTTTTTTATTTGTGGAGAAATGAACATTTTTCAAAACAAATCTCGGCCAACAAGATTACAATTTTGAGAAAAAAAAATTTAGTTTTCTAGACACTGCAGGTGTCTCAAAAATGTCTATAGTGTGGATTTTTTTTATTTTTTTCAATTTGGAAACACACCTGGGTCTATCAGTTGAAAAAAATCTAAATTTGAATTTTTTAGAGGTCACACCTGCAATGCAGCTGCCCGAAGAAAATTTTTAATGTGGATTTTTTTTGTTAAGAAAATTTGTTCTTCAAAAAATCAGTGAAAACTAGACTTTTCGTGGAAAAACGTAGATTTTGCGAAACTAGAAAAAGAACCTCTAATTTCAGATTCCAAACCCCAATTAAAAAACCCACGTTGCAGCTGGAAGTAGCGATGATCCATTATCCATCGGTCTTCTTGGTCTTCTTCCATTCGATGATACGGTAGATATCGATTTTCCAACAAGTGTCAACATTTCCGAAACAAGTCGATTCGATTTTTGCACCAAATCCGCCAATTGTTTGTTCGAAACCCAGAAATTGAATTCCTCTTGCGTGACACCGAAACTTGTCCAATGCTTCTCTTGCGGCTCTTTTATTTCAGCTCGTTCAACACAAACTTCTTGATCCAGGGCAGTGAAATCAGGGCGTCTGGAAAAAAAAAGCTGAAAATCATTCCCTTTATGTATAACTAACTGTTCATTCGGCAATTTTCCAGCAATCAATTCTCCTGGATCAGTTTGCGTGGCACAAGTTCGTATAGATGGTTTCAACGATCGAATAAGTGCCGATTCCCAAACCAACATTCTCGACAATCTTCGAAGCAACGCATACAATTTGCAACCTTCGGGTGTTTTCCATGTTTCGAAAACTCGATTGCGCATTTCAGTGTGCATTTGAGAATTGATGGGAGCTTTGCTGATCATAACAAGAACCGGAAGAATATTGTTCAAATTCACAAGTGTTTCATTGATCAATTTATCACCGATTTTCATCATCATCGAAGCTGTTTGCTTAGTTTCTTCCACTGCAAAAAATTGATAAAATTAGGATTTTCAGATTGAGACTAAGAGGAGCATTTTTTGATTTCAAAATGCTCCAAAAATTGAGCTGAATTCAGGATTTTCAGAATTCACGTAAAATTTGGAGCATTTTGAGACTAAATATGAGCATGTTCGATGTCAAAATGCTCCAAATTTCGAGCTGAAATTTGAAGCATTTTGACCCCAAACTTGAGCATATTTAATATCAAAATGCTCCAAATTTCTCGCTGAAAACTAATATAAAATCAAAAATACCTTGATTCAAAACCGGAAACGAGCTCGAATTATTGAAGAGCGGTCCAATAGTTTCAAGGAAAACCGTCATAACCGACGACATCAATCGTGGCGAACTATCGCTGTTTCGTTGGAAAACAATGAATTTGACGATATTGGCGAGTGATTGTGAAAAATGACTTTGTGCAATATCATTATTGAGGCATGGAAGTTGGCACAATGTGAGCATTTTCTTGATTCCTCCTTGCTCAACAAATTCATCGACCATTTGAACATTTGAAGATTGTGTCATGAATGATTCGAAAATCTGTGAAAGGGAAAAATAGAAAATTGAAAGATCCTATTTTTTTTAGTCTTCAGTATTTTTCGAATAAAAATTTAAATTTTCAGAAAAAAAATTTAGCTAAACACTTCTGAAAACCCTTCAAAAATGTATATTTCTCCAATTCTCCAACAAAACCTCACCGTTGCTGCAATATTCATATAATCACCAAGTGGCAATAGTCGTTTTCCAGTTCCATCATCACAAGTCATATCAAGACCAGCATCATATTCATTAACAATCGAATTGACTTGTGAAGATGATGTGCTTGCACTATTTCCCTCATTTTTCGCCACAATTCCCTCTCCACTCATTTCATCCATCGACATTTCAGCTTCTTCATCAACATCTGACTCTTCATAAATCTCATTTTCATATTCTTCTTCCATCGGTTCATCCGCATTCTCTTCATTGTTTGATTCTTCAACAACAACAACTTCTTCAACACGTTGTTCCTCAACAATCGGTTGTGTTGGTGGGCAAAGATTATTCAACATCATACTTTTCGCCACATTTTTCGCCAACGCCATTACAATTTCAGTGTTTGGCGGCGGGTTTTGTCCACAATTGATTAATTTGTCCAAAACTTTGATCACCGATTTTATCATACTTTGTTTCAATTCAGTGTGATGACGGAGCAAATCATCTAATGCGATTCCCAAACTTCGAACAACTTCGCTCATATCATTTCGCTTCTTTTTCATTGAAACCAAAAATTTGACACTGAGCAAAATGCGGAAGATTTGATCGAAAGGTTCGTAGGATTTGAATTGATTCAATCCACGTTCATTGAGGCAAAGAGCAGTGAAAACGGTTCCAATGTTTTGAATAACATCACGACTATTTGGAAGCTGGAAAAAAACGGGGAATAATATAACACTTGAAAAAATCCGCTAGGTGTTGAACTTTTAAATAATGAAACACGTCGAAATATACCAAATCGGCCATGCTGATCACGAATCCGAAGTTAAAAATTGCCACAAACTCCTGTGAGCACTTTCCTGGAGCTGCGAGTTTTGGTTTTCGTCCATTTTCACCTCCTGGGTGGAAAATCATTTGAATAAGGTTGTTCACCACATTCGACATCCTATGAGCTTTTTAGTTTATCAAAAAATATAAAACACCAACTGAAAACTGTAATTTTTTGTGCATTTTGAAAAATTACAGTTTTCAGCTGGTTTTTCATATTTTTGAATAACTAAAAAGCTCATAGCTTATTCAAGTTATAAAAATTGATTTTCCACCCTGGAGATTTTCCACCCCCAAAACTCGGAGCTCCAGAAAAGTGCTCACAGGAGTTTGTGGCAATTTTTGACTTCGGAATCGTGATCAGCATGTTCGATTTGGAATATTTCGATATGTTTCATGGCAAATTTTGAATCGGACCAGGTCCAATTAATCGGACCCGATTTTGAGGGTTTTCTGATTCGGATCAGGGTGACATTTTTCAATAGGAATCGGACCACAAAAAAGGAATCGGACCAGGTCCGATTTTTTGAGAAAAATTCTGAATCGGACCCGAAAAATCGGACCACTTTTTCAAAAAAGTCAATTTTTGGTGCAAAAATCAGGAAATTTTGAAAAAGTGGGCCGATTTTTCGGGTCCGATTCAGAATTTTTCTCAAAAAATCGGACCTGGTCCGATTCAAAAACTGCCATGTTTCATCAAAAGTTCGACCTTATGCACTTCGTAAGCAGCAACAAAACCAACCTCTTTTCTCAACAAACTTTGAAACAACACAAACGGCACATGTCTTCGTTGCAAAACCGACAATTGATCCGGATTCTGATATACAAAATTGGTAATCAATTGAGCTGATTGATGAAACAACGATGGTGAATAATACTCGGCATTCGATAAAATATGCGTCAATGCAGTTGGCAATCCACTATCCATAATATGTCGAATCACATCATTGAATTGCGCGTCTTGAATGACTCGCTTCACAAATGTCAACAATCCCTTAATCAAACCGCTTCGTTGTTGATGACAAGTCAAACCAGTGTGCGGTGATTTGATCCAAGGACCACCTTGGATAACCTCCCCAGTTTCACTTTTTTGTGGTGGAGCTGAAGCTGAAGCAGAAGCAGAAGCAGCAACAGTTGCCGGTGTTGGTGTGATTGAAGTCGTTGGCTCATTATTCTCCCACATATCAAGAGTCACATCATTCTCATCTTCATTATTCTCAACTTGTGGAGCTGGTGGAGCAGCAGATGGAGCATTCTCTTCAAATGGCATATCATAAGAAGTATCAATCATAAACGGTTGTTCTTTTCGACATTCCTCTATCTCATGAACAATTCGATTCACACAAATTTCCATGCCTTTATGTGTTTTGAATGCAGTGACGTCAATCGTTGTGAACAAATCGATAATTCTCGCACATCTTGTACCAAATGTGATTAATTCAAGAGGCAATTCATGAAAATCAATAACACTTAACAATGTTTGTGTCAATCCACTTCCAACCAATGTTTCACCGCCTGGTTCAACGCTTGCGAGATGATAAATAAAGGAGAAAAGGGCTGTAGCAAGTCCGACTGATGGTTTTCCAGGTTTGTTCAAATTGTTATTCTTCAACTCGTCGACAACTTGTCGTGTCAAAACACAAAGGAATCCGTGGTATGATCCGGCTGACAATGCTTCCAAAATCTGCGGAATCTTCGGCTCTTTCTCATAATTCACAATACTACAAAGAGTTGCCAAAACTTCTGTATGAACTCGATCCAAAATCGCATAATCTTTGTCGTTATCATTTTTCTCTTTTTCGGTTTTCAATAATGCGACAAGTTCACCAACAAATCCATTATACAAAAGTGCACCGACTGGATTGTCATCAGTTCGACATTTACAATAAATCAAGGTGGAGACGGAAAGAAGGCGAACAACGAGACATTTGAAACGATGAAGCCATTGATCAAAACCATTCAACATTCGAAGACGTGAGAGAAGATAATATTTATCCTCTTTTGAAAATGGTGATGGAGATGATGCATCAGGCGATGTATGTGGACTCAATTGATTTTTATATTTCTCAACCAATTCCGCAACACATTCTCCAGGCTGGAAAATGGCAAAAAAGTTAATTTCGTCTGAGAATCTTACATTTTCATGTTTTTTTTTAGCAAACGAGTTGAAATATTGGATTTTAATCGTATTCATAGGATAGAAAGGTCTACGGCGAACCGAATGATATGAATTTTAATGACTTTAGTCGTTAAGATCGTCTAAACGTCGTTAAATCACTTATGGATAACGTAAAGTCATAAAAATTTACATCATTCGATGGGGAACTGTTTCAACTTGCAATCGATATTTTTAATGAAATGTATGTTTTCTAGTAGTTTTCGACCCGCTGATCACGATCCCGCTGTCCAAAACTGCAAAGCTCAACTCCTAACATGGCATGACGTGGCAAAGTTGGAAAATTTTGAAAAATTGGAACTTTGAAGGGTCCGCCTTCAAAATTATTTTTATGAAAATCTGATGGCATAGCGTTGAACAATCGTTGAACAACCCTATGCTATTAGATTTGCATAAAAATAATTTTGAAGACGAGTTCGGACGCTTCAAAGTCCCAATTTTCCAACTTTGCCACGTCATAACTCATGTTAGGAGTTGAGATTTGCAGTTTTGGACAAGGGAATCGTGATCAGCGGGTCGAAAACTACTAGAAAACATATATTTCATTAAAAATATCGATTACAAGTTGAAACAGTTCCCTTGTTAGACCTTTCTATCCTATGAATACGATTAAAATCCAATATTTCAACTCGTTTGCTAAAAAACATGAAAATGTCATTTAGTCGATTGAATATTAACCTTTGGTTTTTCAATCGTAACACTTCTTTGTTTGCTATCCGTATAAGTAAATGGAAAAAATGCTGGAAGTTGTGGTTCCTTCTTCATACATTCCGACATTTTCACATGTCTCAATTTTCCACCCCAACATTGTGCGATCGCTGTCAAATGATGGACAAGAGTGTGTTGTTCGGCGACCGGAACACGTTGTGTCAAATATTTTGAGCGTTTTCCCATTGTTTGCAAAAGACGCAAAACTTCGGCCAACATGTCCATATCAGTACTTTCGAGGAGAACAAGAATACGCTGGAAAAATTACATTATTTATGTGTTTTTATTCTATTTAGATCTATTTAGGATAACTTACATCCATACTTCGATAAACTCTTCTTGAAGAAGTGCATTCAAAAAGAAGAATTGTGAAGCGAAGAACTGATATTGCTTGCTTTTTCACTTTTGGATCATGATCACAACACAACTCATTTTTGGTGTTTTTTGTGATTGCCTCCTCGAGAACTTCATCACATCGATTCAATACATCTGTCCAGCGGCACAATTCTGTTTTCCCCATAACAGAATGCACCTCTCGCCCTTTATTGATCTCGATGATAAATTCCTCGGTGGTTTTTGCATTTTTGATGTTTTTCAATAGTTTTGCACTTGCCGGTGGCTGAAAATAGTGCTTTCTGAGGAATAATCTTTCGATAACTCACCATATCACCATAGGAACTGGTGCTTGCCGTTGATTCATCTTCTATTTTCATTTTTGAAACAACTACTTATCTTATTTACAAATACAAATTCGATATTTTTCCCGTCGATAAGATCTGTAAAAAAATGATGATAAATAGTGCTATTTCATAATAACAAAGAAAGAAATAGTTCTTATTGATTTAACTGAAAAGGGAAAAGTATGTTCTATATATAAATAAATGTAGGAAATATTTAGCAGAATCAAATTTCTTTCCAATATTTTTTAGATGATAAATAATTTTTTCGAGAGAGGAGAAAAAACGAATTATGGCGAAGAAATGTGAATTGTTCGAAATGTGTGTGTGCGAACAGCTGTAAACAAGAGACGCAGACAACAAAATCGATTCAAGGGGGGAGAATGACGGAAAAAGACGGTTGCATTGAGTTGTGTGTGTTTATTTTTGCTGTGTCTCGAAACGATTCTAGTGTGGAGGAAATTTGAAATTTAGAGTTTTTTTTGCAGGAAATGCTTGAAAATGTATAAGTATACTATTTTACGTTTAAAAAAGGAGAAAATCAATAGATTTTACTTTCAACATTACCTTGTTGATTTGAGAAAAAATGAAATAATCGTGAGAACATCGACATCGTGGAGAATTGAAATAAAATTAGAATTGGGGGAGTTCTTCTCGAGAACCAAAATGAAAATGAATTCCAGAAACGGCTTTACGAATAATAATTTTAAAAATCAGTTCACGCAAAAAATTAGTTTCAGGATTTTGTTCATTTTCAAATCAATAATCAAAAAACCTGGCTTTTCAAAGACGTCAGAAAATTACTCAAAACACCCGAAAATAGTTTCATTTCAGAGTGGAAAACAATTTTGAAATGAATTATTGATTCGAACCTATGATTCACAACTTTTGGCGCTCATCAACAAGCTTTGATCAACTTCACTCGGCGGTTCCCGAAAAAAAAAAACAAAAAAACGCGAAAATTCGAAATGAAAACATTTAAATTTTGTAACGGGTCTCGCAGCGAACATGTTCGTTGGAGCGCGTTTTCTCTCATCGAGCGATCGCCATTCAAAATTTGTCATTTTTTTGTTTTTCCGTTTTTTCACAAGTTTTCTCAATTCTTCACTGAAAACTTGATTGCAGAATGACTAACACACGATTCTACATTTTCTTGTTAACATTGCCAATATTGATTCACAGTTCGAATGATGCATTTCCAACAAGTATGCTCACAAATATCCTCGGCGCATTTCATGGTCAAAAATCTGTCAATTTAACCGGACTCTTATCAGCATTCGATGTCCCTAAATGTTTCACCGAATGTATCGGAGACTACACCACATTTTTCGATCATCCTGACGTGGTTTGTCAGTAAGTTACTTGAAGTCATCACTGGCATGTTCTTGAATGAAAAATTTCCAGAAACTACGTCAAGACTACTCAATGTTTGGAAAAATCGCAAAATTGTGCAGGCCCATTGGTAGATACACTAAACAGTACCATGAATTTCATGTGTTCAACTAGCATTGAACGTTAGTTTTTTATTTATATCTAATCACTTCACATAATAACATGTTTTGTAGAATATACATCACAACTTGGTTGCCTTCAAAACTCCAGTCTCGAATTACAGGAAGAATGCGAACGCGATTGTTCAATTCAAGCAAATATCCTCGAAAAAGCTTCGAAGAATCAAGGGGATGCACTTTTATCAACCGAAAACATGTGCAAATCTTCATTATGTCTCGTTCAATGCTATAAAAAGAATATGGTCACAAAATGCTCGGTGAATGATGACAATATTCTCAACAAAATATTCGCGAGCTTTGAAACCAAGAAAAATCGTGTCGATGGATTTGACAAAATTATGAACTGGGTTATCCCAGAAAATTGTAAATTTGAGAAGAATTTCACAATTGCTGCAGAGAAGAATATTGGGCCAAATAGTGTTGGAAAAGTTGCGAATCCAAAGCTTGAAAATGTCAGAAAATCCGCGGAAAAGGAAGTTACGACTACAACCACAACTACTACACCAAAAACTTCTACTAGAAAAACCACCACAACTACAACTGGAGTTCCAACAACTACAAGTTCCTCTTCAAAATTGCTCATTTTCTCAGTTTTTATTCTCCCATTCATTATGTAACTAACTAACTAACTAACTATTTATATCTGTAAATAATGAATTTATCGCACATGGAAATTTTGAAAAAAATTAATTGTTATCTGGTAATTTTGAAGCCATATTTATTCATGTTTTTTTTCTAATTCTAACAATAAGTAAGAAATTGGTTTCCAAAGATGTCAATTTATTATCGAAATGAAGAAAAATCAAGTGGATTATTGCGAGCAGTTCCACAAACTGGAACATATTGGGAAGGAGCCAATGTTCCATCAGATGTTCAAAAATTGTTTGATGTTTATAATTCGAAAGCTCCATGGAATAAGAATTTTCCATCTCCTCAACCAAAAATGACGAATTTCAGAAAAGTTGAGGAAAAGAGAGAAGATTCTGAAGGTAGTAGTTCGGTAAGAAATTTAATTTTTTAGGGACTTTCCCAACAAAATCTACAAATCACCAATTCTTCTTCCAGCAACAACGCTACGAACAAAATCACAAAATCCACTATTCAAAATTCAACATCACCAACAATCGAACCTATAAACATCAAACTGATACTGGATCAATGACTGATTTGTCGGACTTTTCAGTGAGTTTATTATTTTTCTTCCCAAAAAATCCAATTTCTTCTTTTTTCAGCTCGGTTGTTATTCGGATGAAGATGAACAAGAAACAAAAGAGCGCGAGATGCGAAATAAAATGAAGTTGGAGTTGCGACAAATTCGTCAATCTCAATTTTTCGCCAAACATAATTTGTTGAATAATGGTTATGGTGATAATAATTTTGGTCAGAAATAGTTTTATTGATGAAGTTTTTGTTAGAACATGTGGTTTTTGTCAAAAATCATTTTTACGTGAACTATGTTTTTCTCTAGAAAAAATTTGAGTCAAAAAGCTGAATGTTTATCTCACAAGACAAAAAAAAGCTGAAAAATTTGATTTTTTATTGAAAAATTGGGATTTTCAGCTACCAGGTCGAAAAAATGCTGAAAATCTCACAATTTGAGTCAAAAAGCTGAATTTTTTAGCTCACAGGACAAAAAAAAGCTGAAAAGTTTGATTTTTAAAGGGGGGGTAAGACGACAAAATTTTTTTGTCGCAAAGTTAAAGGCTCCCCAAAAGTAGTAAAACCTCCAAGGGATTTTTTCTGGAAACGCTCAGAAAAAATGTTCCATAAACTAGGTACCACGTATAGCTATACGTTGAAATTATTCCATAAACTTTCGGACAACGTATAGCTATACGTTGAAAAAAGTTCATGGAATATTTTTTTCGGACCTTTTTGGCCTTTCGGGAAAAAATCCGCTGGGGCTTTTACTATTCAAAGGGAGCCCGATTCGTTGAGCAAATAAAATTTTGTCGTCTTACCCCCCCTTTAATTGCAAAATTAGGATTTTCAGCTCCCAGATCGAAAAAATGCTGAAAATCTCACAATTTGAGTCAAAAAGCTGAATTTTTAGCTCACAGGACAAAAAAAAGCTGAGAAGTTTGATTTTTCATTGCAAAATTGGGATTTCAGCTCCCAGATCGAAAAAATGCTGAAAATCTCACAATTTGAGTCAAAAAGCTGAATTTTTAGCTCACAGGACAAAAAAAAGCTGAAAAGTTTGATTTTTAATTGCAAAATTAGGATTTTCAGCTCCCAGATCGAAAAAATGCTGAAAATCTCACAATTTGAGTCAAAAAGCTGAATTTTTAGCTCACAGGACAAAAAAAGCTGAAAAATTTGATTTTTAATTGCAAAATTGGGATTTTCAGCTCCCGAATCGAAAAAATGCTGAAAATCTCAAAATTTGAGTCAAAAAGCTGAATTTTTAGCTCACAGGACAAAAAAAGCTGAGAAGTTTGATTTTTCATTGAAAAATTGGGATTTTCAGCTCCCAGATCGAAAAAATGCTGAAAATCTCACAATTTGAGTCAAAAAGCTGAATTTTTAGCTCACAGGACAAAAAAAAGCTGAGAAGTTTGATTTTTCATTGAAAAATTGGGATTTTCAGCTCCCAGATCGAAAAAATGCTGAAAATCTCACAATTTGAGTCAAAAAGCTGAATTTTTAGCTCACAGGACAAAAAAAGCTGAGAAGTTTGATTTTTCATTGAAAAATTGGGATTTTCAGCTCCCAGATCGAAAAAATGCTGAAAATCTCACAATTTGAGTCAAAAAGCTGAATTTTTAGCTCACAGGACAAAAAAAGCTGAGAAGTTTGATTTTTCATTGAAAAATTGGGATTTTCAGCTCCCAGATCGAAAAATGCTGAAAATCTCACAATTTGAGTCAAAAAGCTGAATTTTTAGCTCACAGGACAAAAAAAAGCTGAAAAATTGGGATTTTCAGCTCCCAGATCGAAAAAATGCTGAAAATCTCACAATTTGAGTCAAAAAGCTGAATTTTTAGCTCACAGGACAAAAAAGCTGAAAAATTTGATTTTTAATTGCAAAATTGGGATTTTCAGCTCCCAAATCGAAAAAATGCTGAAAATCTCAAAATTTGAGTCAAAAAGCTGAATTTTTAGCTCACAGGACAAAAAAAAGCTGAGAAGTTTGATTTTTTATTGAAAAATTGGGATTTTCAGCTCCCAGATCGAAAAAATGCTGAAAATCTCACAATTTGAGTCAAAAAGCTGAATTTTTAGCTCACAGGACAAAAAAAGCTGAGAAGTTTGATTTTTCATTGAAAAATTGGGATTTTCAGCTCCCAGATCGAAAAAAATGCTGAAAATCTCACAATTTGAGTCAAAAAGCTGAATTTTTAGCTCACAGGACAAAAAAAGCTGAGAAGTTTGATTTTTCATTGAAAAATTGGGATTTTCAGCTCCCAGATCGAAAAAATGCTGAAAATCTCACAATTTGAGTCAAAAAGCTGAATTTTTAGCTCACAGGACAAAAAAAGCTGAGAAGTTTGATTTTTCATTGCAAAATTGGGATTTCAGCTCCCAGATCGAAAAAATGCTGAAAATCTCACAATTTGAGTCAAAAAGCTGAATTTTTAGCTCACAGGACAAAAAAAGCTGAGAAGTTTGATTTTTCATTGAAAAATTGGGATTTTCAGCTCCCAGATCGAAAAAATGCTGAAAATCTCACAATTTGAGTCAAAAAGCTGAATTTTTAGCTCACAGGACAAAAAAAGCTGAGAAGTTTGATTTTTCATTGAAAAATTGGGATTTTCAGCTCCCAGATCGAAAAAATGCTGAAAATCTCACAATTTGAGTCAAAAAGCTGAATTTTTAGCTCACAGGACAAAAAAAGCTGAGAAGTTTGATTTTTCATTGCAAAATTGGGATTTTCAGCTCCCAGATCGAAAAAATGCTGAAAATCTCAAAATTTGAGTCAAAAAGCTGAATTTTTAGCTCACAGGACAAAAAAAGCTGAGAAGTTTGATTTTTCATTGCAAAATTGGGATTTCAGCTCCCAGATCGAAAAAATGCTGAAAATCCACGTGGTTTTTACTACAAAAAAATGTCAAGCTTTCAGTAAACTACTGTAGGCAACACTAAATGTGTGCAGTTTTGCGTCACCGTGTTTTCACTTTTTACTATTTTTCGCGCGCGCGCGTAAATAAAATTTCACAGGGTTTTTCGTCTTTCTCATTTGTTACTCTCAAAACAGGGTTGAAAAATCGTTTTGTGTTTTTTTCTGCAGGTTCAACGAAAAATGAAATTCTTTTTTGACAAATTTAACGTAAAAATTTGTTTTTTATCGAACTCTTACCTTTTTATTTTGCAAAAAAAAACACAATTTCAGGTGATGACAGAAGAAATAATATTGTCCGGTAGATTCTTTCCGAATAGCTATATTTCGGAAAATCATCTGGAATCCACGCCAAAATCATTTAATGGTGTTAATTGGTGAGTTGACTTCGCTTCGAAAATCCACGTCATAGTCAAATTATAGGTACATATCTGTGGATACAACATATGATTATTTGACGGTTTCGATTCACAACGATAATGCGAGCTATCTACAATCATTCGACACAAATATCAAAGTGAATTTGGAATATGAAAACAACAGATCAGAAACAGACAATTTGGAGAAAACTTTTGATTTCAAATTTGATCACAAAAACAATACATTTTGCATCAAAGATTTCATCGCGCTTGAGGAATTTGGAAAGTACTATGAAGATTATGATTTCTCAATTAATGCAATTATACATTTCTCTGCGAATCGCGAAAAAGAAATTGTTGAAGAAATTGATTTTTGTGACCCAAATTCAGCATCCAATGACATTATTTTGAAGTTCAAAGATTCGCCAGACAAAGTATTATATTCTAGCAAATGTATGCTTTCAATTAATTCAAAAGTCTTCAAAGTGATGTTTAATTCTGATTTTGAAGAGAAAAATAAGAAGACGATCGATCTTGATGACAAGTTTGAGGAATTCAAGGCATTATTGAAGGCTATATATCCAACTAATCAGCAAAATGTGATTAATCGCGAGAATATTGAAATTCTTATAAATTTGGCGGATAAATACGATATGCCATTTTTGATGAATAGATGTGTTGCATTTATAAGAAATGCTGAAGATATTCCAAATGATGTGAAGTTTTTGTTAGCTGATCGATATTCACTTCCAGTAATTCATGTGAGTTATTATCGAAAATCTCACACCGGTACCACGCGCTCCACCGAAATAAACACGCAACGCAGACCGCGCCGCGCCACAACACACACAAATAAGGGAAGGATTCAAATTCCCTCTCTTTTTTGTGTGTGTTGTGGCGCGGCGCGGTCTGCGTTGCGTGTTTATTTCGGTGGAGCGCGTGGTACCGATAAGATTTTCGACAATATTCATTTGAAAATAATAAAAAATTGTTTTAAAAAAATTTCAGAACGAATGTATTCAACGTTTAAACGATGTCAAATCATTGGAAAACTTGCAAGATTCTGAAGTCTTCGAAAATCTGACAGATGAGGAGGCGAGCAAGAGAAAACGAGGCAAGTGGAATTAATTTCGCTTGGAGCTTTTAATATCATTTCTACTTATTTAACACAAACTCATACATTTTTCGCATTTCTGCAGAAATTTTTGGCACAAAAACCCCCCTTTTTGAGCCCAATACAAAAAAAATGCACAGTATTTTGGTGATGAACAGAACAGGTGCACAATACATTGTCACATTTATTATTGTTTGCCAAGTTTTGGCGGGAAGAGACTGTGTAGATAATTACACAACAGGTGTTATTCGTACATACTGCAAAAAAAAACATGGTGTGAAATATTTTATGATGCGAAAAAATTCACTTCTTGGATTTGTCCGCCTCGCCGCCAGCTTTTCGTTTTTGCAATTTTTTGTTCGCATGTTTTTTGTACTCTTCCATGAAACCTTCGACACTCGCGTCTCTTTCGATTATTCCTTCTTGCGCAAAATATTCGAGCATACAAACGTGGAGAAAGAGGAATTGGACGTGCGATTGGATGGCCTGCAAAATTATCGATTTTTTTTTCAAACTGCAAAGATTACTGTAGCTAAAACTACGGTTGTATGGTAGTCAAAATTTGGAACTTCAAAGGGTACTGTAGCTTTTTAGGGGTAGTCTCGAACTGCAAGAAATACTGTAAGCAACTCAGAAACATGCCGAACTGCAAGGGTTACTGTACCTGATTAATACAAAACTAGAAATATTCAAACTACAAGGGTTACTGTATAATTCGAGACATCTGATCTACAGAAGTCGAGGAATGTTTTGATATTTTTGGAAACTGCAAGGATTACTGTAGCTTCCCAATAGTAACCTCGAACTGCAAGGATTACTGTAACAATCTCTGGAACATTCTAAACTACAAGGGGTACTGTAGCTTCTAAAGGGTGATCTTGAACTGCAAGGAGTACTGTAAATACCTAACATTCATTCCGAACTACACAAAGGTTACTGTAGCTTCCTAATGATCATCGCAAACTGCAAGGATTACTGTAACTCAAGATTTTCAAAATACAGAAGTCTAGGAATGTTTTGATATTTCTGGGAACTGCAAGGGGTACTGTAGCTTCCCAATGATCATCGCAAACTGCGAGGATTACTGTAAATACCTAAAATTCATTCCGAACTACAAAGGTTACTGTAGCTTCCAAAAGGTAATCTTGAACTGCAAGGAGTACTGTAACCACTTCAGAAACATTCCGAACTGCAAGGAATACTGTAACAATCTCTGCAACATTCCAAACTACAAGGGTTACTGTAGTTTCACAAGGACCTAAAAACTTGTGCTGTACTCCAAAGCTACAGGGGGTACTGTAAACACTTCAGAATCATTCCTGACCCCAGAACTGCAAGGATTACTGTACCTGATATCTAAAATATCTCAATTCCTTAACAATATCCATCATCTCAATATCGGGCTCATTCTGAAATCTCACATTCGAATAATCAATTCCCACAAATGTGGCAGTTCTTCCAACTCCAGCACTACAATGAACAACAATCGGCGATGTTTCGGGATTCACCTTCTTCACCCATCGATACAATTCAATCATTGGCTTCGGATCTTCCGGTGCCAATTGATCCGGCCACCATGGAACATAAATATGATTAATATCCATGGGTGGTTTCTCACCATCTGCTGGTTGAACAGTCATCACACTCCACCCAACTTCTTTCACTGGTTCCGGCTCTTTTTTCGCAAACAACACCTCAATATCTCCATATTTCTCCTTGTCACCTTCTTTACTCGGAAAATATTGCGAACATTTCTCGACACCTCCTTCAACCAACGGACATAACATTAGAATGAATTTGACCTTTTCCTGATAACACATTGCCCAAAAATCGGAAATTGTTTCGGGAAGTGGACCCTGTGTTAGAATATATTTGGTTTCCGAGTCGGGAATTTGAATTAGTGACGCGTGGATATAGTCACATTTGCGATTTTTGAGAACCACACGGGTTTCATCGATACATTTCACATCGGCATAGCGATTTAATTCGATGTTGGCCTCGAAGGCCGTGTATTGGGCATCGGGTGGATTGAAACCCTTCATTTTGTCGACGAACATTTTGCAAATTTCTTTGGGCTTCTGGAGAAAAAAATGAGAATTGGAGTTGGAAATTTGAAAATCAGATCACCTTTTGAACATTTTTTTCAGGCTTGTTTGGGCTTAGGCTTTATGCTCAAACTTTAGGCTTGCTAAGATTTAGGCTTCTTAGGCTTAGGCTAAGGCTTAGGCTTGATAGGATTAAGCTTGTTAGGCTTAGGAGTGTTATTAGGTTTGTTAGACCTAGGCTTAGGCTTAAGCTTTAGGCTTATGTTTAGGCCTGTTAGGTTCAAGCGTAAGCTTGTCAGGCTTGGGTTTAGGTTTATTAGGCTTAGGTTTAGGCTTGTTAAGTTCTCGCTTAGATTTAGGCTCGTTAGGCTTAGGTTTAGGCTTGTCAGGCTTAGGTTTAGGCTTGTTGGGCTTAAGATTATTATTAGGCTTAGGCAAAATTGGGCTCGGTTAAATCAGGCTTCTCTCAAGCTTTAGGATTGTTAAGTTCAGGCTTAGGCTTGCTAAGATTAGGCTTCTTAGGCTTAGGCTCACAGTAATTCAGAGCTGCAAAATCTACACGGGATGTTGCGCACTCAGATCTTCATGAGTTACTGTATCTCTGGATTACTGTATAGGGTTAATCTGATATCCTATATGGAAATGCAAGTCAGCGCGCGTTGCGTGTGCGTTGCGGTCGCTAGGCTGTTTGCCAGCGCGCTCTCTCTCTATGCGTCGCGAATTCAAATTTATGTTTTCGCGGGCTCTGATTTCCAATCTGCTCACCATTTTCACCGCTTTCATCGCCCACGTTTTCCTCATCGCATTTCTCTGCTCCAAATTCAATCCAGTATTCATTTGTGTCGTATCCTCTTTTTGATTATTATTCGTCTTCGTTTTCTCATCTTTCTTCGATTTCGTTTCCTTGCTATTCTTCTGCTCATCCTTCAACACCTCTTTTTCTTTCGATGTTGTTCCATCGGCTGGCGGTGGAGCATCTTTCACCCCTTGATTCAGATGATTTTCATTCGGCGGAGTTTGTTTTTGAGCAGCAGCAGCAGCCGCTGGCGGACTTTTGCTCACCACTTTCTTCGTGCTGTTGTTGTTGGTGTCTTTTGGTGATGCTGCTGCTTTTTTGGAGCATGATAATATGAGCCACAATGTTGATGAGCATACGGATAACAATATTAATCTGATATTATCGAAGAATACGAAATACATCGGGTTCTAAAATGGCTGGATTCAGGGGGAACTGGGCTTTTATAGCGAGCCAAGTGGAGCAAAAAAGTGGGTCACGTTTAAAAATTTAAAAATTTTTGGAACATTTTTTATCCCAAATTCAAATCTGGAAACAGCTACCTTTTCACCAACATTTTCCCTCAGTGAGAAAAAGGAGATACGGCCGAGTGGCTAACGTTTTTGACTGTCGCGCATGAGACCAGGGTTCGAATCCCGGTGCCCGCAAAGTTTTTTTTCAAAGTGAAATAGTTTATTAATTATAAAATTAAAATTAAATGTTACTCTCCCGGTTCATCTCTAGTCTGTGTTTGAGTTCTCACAACTTCCGCCGATGTCTTCTCCATTTTCACCGGTTTTTCATTGACCTTCTTCACTTCCTCATCATCACCATTGAATATATTATCCAGTGCAACTTCTTGAATCGCAATCAAACTTCGATCATAACCTCGTCGATTCGGATGTTGTTTCTTCCCTTCGCTGATGGTTTTTCCAACCGTCTTCCGATTTTTTTCCAGCGATTTTGTCTTTTCTTGACTCTTCCGTTTCACTTCCACACTGGTAATCGGTTTTCCATTCGCCGTGATCTCTTTTGGTGTATTTTCACTGGATTTTGATTTGGACTTGGATTTCGATCTCGACTTCGATTTCGATTTCTGCACTTCAGGTCTCGTTTTCTGCTCCTCCCGATTTTGTTTCAAAACACGATGATTGGTCGGTGCGTCAATTCTTCGTATTTTTTTCGGTGGTTTTTTCAAAAAACAATTTGATAGAATCGACGAATAAATAATAAGCATATAAATCAATGTATACAACTGATTCATTTTTGAAAAATATATATTTAGATAAAAAATGAGGGGATTTTGGGAGAAGTGGGGGTTTTAAAGGGGATTGTTATGCCACGTGGAATATGAATACATGTCACGTGGTTTTTTTCTAGAATTCAAATGTTTTCTTGGTGAAATCTATGTACTCTCGTGAATGCTAGCAGATTTTTTAATTAAGAAGGGCCTTTGAGTTAGAAAAACTTGGATTATGAAGCTTTTTGAGTGTTCACAAAACTGTTTGAGAAAAAAAGTTCCAAATTCTTTTGAATTTTGGACCAAGATTAGATCATTTTAACAGCTTCTTGAGAAGATTTGACTTGAATTTGATCCAAAATTCTGGAATTTTTCCTGGACTTTTTTTTTGAGTCCTAAGATTCTAAATTTTCTGTAAAAAATTCAAAAATTCATAAAGAAACTCAGAATCAGTAAAACTTTTTGGACAAAAATGTTTGGAACCTGTGAAAAACGTTCCAAATTTATGGATCACAATTTGTACTTTCGATAAGATTCGTGGTAAAATTAATCGGAACTTTTTTCTGAACCTTCCTGAGCTTGAATTCTAAGATTCTAAAATGTCTGTAAAAAATTCAAATTCTGATGTAAAGTTTTACAATGAAAAAATTTACAGGGAAGCTTTGAAACAGTAAAACTTTTTGGACAAAAATGTTTGGAACCTGGGAAAAAAAGTTCCAAATTTATGGATCACACATATTTCTGCTAACTCCATGTTAAAGATACTTTTTGGTCCAAAATTTTGGAACTTTTTTCCTGAAGTCCTAAGATCCACTAACTACAGATTCATAAATTTCTGTAAAAAATTCAAACTCTGAAGTATTCCAAATATGTTTTGTGTCCAAACCTTCTCCCAAGTTTTTCAATTAAAAAAATCACAGAGAAAATTTGAGATTATACATATAATTTTCTAGAAAAAACTGTTTGGAACCTGTGAAGAAAGTTCAGAATTTGTGGATCACAATTTTTATTTTCGATAACTCAAAGATTCGTGGTAAAATTAATCGGAACTTTTTTCTGAACCTTCTTTTTCTCAAGAAAATTCAAATTCTGAAGTAAAGTTTTAAAAAATTCACAGAGAAACTTTGAAACAGTAAAACTTTTTGGACAAAAATGTTTGGAACCTGTGCAGAAAAGTTCCAAATTTGTGGATCACACATATTTCTGCTAACTCCAAGTTGAAGATACTTGGTCCAAAATTTTGGAACTTTTTTCCTGAAAGCCTGAAATCCACTAACTACAGATTCATAAATTTCTGTAAAAAATTCAAACTCTGAAGTATTCCAAATATGTTTTGTGTCCAAAAACCTTCTCCCAAGTTTTCCAATCAAAAAAATCAAAGAGAAATTTTGAGATAATATAATTTTCTAGAAAAAACTTTTGGAACCTGAAAAAAAAAGTTTCAAATTTGATTAGATTCAAATATTCTTGGTCCAAAATTTTGAAACTTTTTTCCTGAACCTTTCTGAATCAAATCATTTTTTTCAAAATCCACCCTAAGTTCTCGTAACTCAAAGATTCTTGATCCAAACCTCCTCCAAATTTTTCAAAAAATCCACCTCGACTTCTCCTAACTCCCTTGTCCAATTCCAATTCTGCTCATCCATCCAAACATATGTAAACATCTCCCTTGCCTTCCCATATTTCTAATCCACCATCATCATCGCCAGACGCCAAGCAGCTCAGCTCAGCGTGGGTGGGCGTGGCTTGGCATCCAGCCAGCACCAATTAGCGAAAGGGGCGTGGCCTATTCGTGTGTTGGGTTTGACCCCAGATTTACTTTAGTCTATTATATTCACTATTGTCTTCTTACCTTTTTTGTTTGCCCTTTTTTTTGAATATTTTTTATTTTATTTTTTCTAGAATCCAAAAATGAGCGCTGAAGATGCCACCACCAAACAAGAGCAAATTCCATTGAAAGAAGGCGAGAATGCGGCAGAAAATGCGGAAGTAGTTGCACCAGAAGAGCCAAAACCCAAGAAGAACTGGTTCTCCTGGGGGAAGAAGAAGGCCGCGGATGATGTCGCGGAAGACAACGCGGAAGCTGATCTTGAAGCTGGAGGCGACGCGGAAAAACCACCAAAAAAAGCAGCATGGTGGAAGAGAAATTGCGGGAATAAGGGGGAAAAGGAGCAAGCTGTGAGTTTTGGAGTTAGCCTAACTTCTAGAAAAAAAAAAATAATGTTCTTCAAATTCAGGATGAAAACATCTCGATTGGCATTGATTTGGTAAATCGCGACACCAACTCCATCAATCCACACATCCAATTCGGATTCGAGGACATTTTCGGTGAAGCCGATTCGCAACATTCATGGGATTGTGTGTGGCGTTTGAATTACCGTGTATTCACGTGGACTCGTCTCTTCGTCTATCGTCTCCTCTCTCTCGTCGCTCTTCCATTCACCCTTCTCTTCGCCATTTTCTTCGCTCTCATCTCAGTTCTCAATGTCTTTATCTTCGTTCCGGCTGCAAAACTCTTATCGATTCCTGGAAATGCGTTGGCCAAAATCTGGAATTGGTTGATTCATGCGATTTTTGATCCGATCGCTTCGGCTATTGGACTTGTGTTCAGCTCGTTTACCATTCGAAAATATGGAATCAATCAGGAAACAACTGCGCCATGTGTATAAATAACATTTTTCACTGTTTTTTGTGTTTTCACAATTTTTTCTGTGTATTTTTTGGGACCAATAAATTTTATTTTCGAAAAAAAAACATTTTGTTTCAAGAATTTTCAGAAAAAAATCGTGGAACCTAAATTTATAGATCTCGTCACCTCTTCTTGATCTCTAGGCGAGCCTACTTGAATACTGGGTTCTCAAGGCGCTGACTCTTGATGAATGTACTTTCTAGGCGCTGATCCTTGTCAGAGTGGTTTTCTAGTAGCGCGCCATAGACACTTGAGTTCTCTAGGGGCGGCTACTTGAAATAGCAGCTCTGAAGGCGCTGACCCTTGACAGGTTAACTGTCTAGGCTCGGCTTCTTGCCCTAGCAGCTCTCTAGGTGCGGATCCTTGTCATAGTGGATCTCAAGACACGGCTTCTTGTCAGAGTGGTTCTCTAGACGCGGTTCCTTGCCAGAGTGGTTCACTAGGCGATGCTACTTGATAAATAGGTTCTCTAGTCGCGGGGTCGAGACACTCAAGTTCTCAAGGCGCTGACCCTTGATAAATGCATTTTCTAGGAGTGGCACCTTGTCAGAGTGAATTTCTAGGCGCTGACCCTTGACAATTGAACTTTATAGACTCGGCTACTTGGAATAGCAGCTCTCAAGACGCGGCTCCTTGTCAAAGTGGTTGTCTAGACGCGACTCCTAGACAACCAGGTTCTCTAGGACCAGCCGCTTGACAACTAGACTTTCTCGATGCTGATCCCTCACAATTGGACTCTCTAGGCGCGGCTCCTTGCCATAGCAGCTCTCAAGGCGCAGATCCTTGACAAATTAGTTCTCTAGGCGCTGATCCTTGTCAAAGTGGTTGTCTAGGGCGCGGCTCCTAGACAACTAGGTTCTCTAGGACCAGCTACTTGATCCAAAAAATCCTGCGATTCAGCTCAAAACTTCATTCACAGTCAAAAAAATACGGGAGGGGAACAAATTGTAAAATTCTAAATCACTAACACTTATTTGAGACCACCATTAAACATTGCATTCATCATTTGAGTCGCTTGATCGTGCGAAATCGGCGCATTACTTTGACGAATCTAAAAATACACAATCATTTTTAATAATAATAAAGTTGTCTGTCTCTCATGCGACATAAATCTTTCAGATAAAATCTAGTCATTTCTGTCTCTCTCTCGGGACCATTCTTGCGCAACCTCTCTTCTTCTTTTTTCTGTTCCAATATTCGAATATGTTGCGAGAGAGCATATTCAAATAATTATTATTAGAAAAAGAAAAAGGGAGGGTACCAATTATCGGTTTTGTGAGCGGGACGGGGCCGTTTCTATGGTTTCAAACAGAAAAAAAGCGGATGGGATTATCTTTTCGGTAGGATCAGGATCAGCTATTCAAATTTTGTATATTATTAACTAGAGATCTATTCATGTGGAAAAATTGAGAATTAGATTTTATTAGAAGTGGGTATAGGCACCGGTACTAGGCTTTGTAGGCTCTCAAGGTTTGGCTCCTTGACAACTGGATTCTCTAGGCTCGGCTACTTGAGGTAGAGGCTACCAAGGCGCCGTAGCTAGTCACAGTGGCTTTCAAGACGCGGCTCCTTGCCCTAGGTTCTATAGGCGCGGGTCCTATACAACTACGTTTTCTAGGCTCAGCTGCTTGAGGTAGAAGCTCTCAAGGCGCCGTGCCTAGTCACAGTGATTTTCAAGGCGCGGCTCCTTGACAACTAGGCTAACAAGGCTCGACTGCTTGACAATTAGTTTCTCTAGGCCTGGCTTTTAGACAATTTGGTTCTCAAGGCGCGGGTCCTATACAACTAGGTTATCTAGGCTCAGCTGCTTGACAACTAGGTTCTCTAGGCTCAGCTCCTTAACAACTAGGTTCTCTAGGCTCAGCTGCTTGAGGTAGAATCTCTCAAGGCTCAGCTCCTTAACAATTATGTTCTCTAGACGCGAGTCCTAGACAATTTGTAATAACTCAAACAAAATCTCCCCCAAAAATTGCGCAACTTTTTTTGAAGAGTCCTTCGCGCACGTATTGTTACATCATTTCGACGCAACAGGATATCGACTAACCCAAAAATAGTTTGTAACATAATAATTTGTGGGATAAAAAAACGGGGAAAAAATAGACAAACCTGATTGAGAACATTGGCAACTGCAACTTTATGAGCTGGAGACATACTCGCAATGATAGCTTTTCGATTTTCGAACATTTCTTTGAAGATTGGCGAGATTTTTGGCTGCATTTTCACGTTTCGTGGCTGGAAAACAGGATTTTTGAAAAATAGTTTTGAGGAAAAATTCAAATGAGAACGGGAATATGAATTTTAATAAAACTGAAAATTTCAGAGAAAATTGAAAATTAAATCGGAATTTTCAGCGATTTTTGACTGAAAATATGCTGAAAATCGGGATTTTTCAGAAATTTTAAGCCAGAAAATATGATTTTTGGCCATTTTTGACTGAAAATATGCTGAAAGTCGGGATTTTTAAGAATTTTCAGCAAATTTTCAGCTAAAAATCTGAAATTTTCTTAGATTCATTTTGAAGCTCTTGAAATTTGCTTTAAAAAATGAGCTCCAACTTGAATATCTGAAATTTTGGCTGAAAATCACGATTTTTAGACATTTTTGATTGAAATTAACCTGAAAGTCAGAATTTTTCAGCATTTTCAGCTACAAATTTGAAATTTTCTTAGGCTCATTTTGAAGCTCTTGAAATTTGCTTTAAAAAATGAGCTACAACTTGAATATCTGAAATTTTGGCTAAAAATCACGATTTTTGATCAAAAACACACAATTTTAGATCAAAATTGACCTGAAAATCAGGATTTTTGAGCATTTTCAGCTAAAAATCTGAAATTTTTCTAGGCTCATTTTGAAGTTCTTAAAATTTGCTTTTAAAAAAATGAGCAACTTGAATATCTGAAATTCTGGCTGAAAATCAGGATTTTCAGCGATTTTTGACTAAAAATATGCTGAAAATCGGGATTTTCGGTCATTTTCAGCTAAAAATCTGAAATTTTCTTAGGTTCATTTTTAAGCTCTTGAAAATTTGCTTTAAAAAATGAGCTCCAACTTAAATATCTGAAATTTTGACTGAAAATCACGAGTTTTGGACATTTTTGACTGAAATTGACTTGAAATTTAGGATTTTTGAGCATTTTCAGCTAAAAATCTGAAATTTTCTTAGGCTCATTTTGAAGCTCTTGAAATTTGCTCTTCTGGCTGGAAATCATGATTTTTGACTAAAAACACACTATTTTACATCAAAATTCATCATTTTTCGCACTAAATCCCGCGATTTTCAGGGGGAAAACCGTTTTTTTAAAATTTTTTTAAATTGAAGGTCTTTGTAATTTCAAAAAATCTCACCGCTTTTCGATCTTTCCTCCTCCGATTTCTTCTCCTTTGTCTCGCATCCGATGTTCCAGCTTCATCTTCACCCGAAGAACTTGAAGAACTCGAGGAATTCGATGAATCCGAAGATGAACTTCCAGATTCAGCTTTCCTCTTCTTCTTCTTCTTCTCATTTTTTCGCTCTTCTTCCGAATCAATTTCTCCTTCATCCAAATCTTTCACTTTTTTCTGCGGCGGCGGCTGTGAAACTTCAGCTTCTCCCTCCTGATCTTCTTCCTGATCTTCCTCGAGATTTCCTTCAATCATTCCACCTCTTTTCATTATTCTCACTTTAATATCAGCTCGTCGAGCATGTTGTTTCTCTTTTCTACAAAGAAAAACGTTTTGATTTCAAAAAAATTGTTAGAAAAATTCAAATTACCTCCATTTTTTATAATCATCTTGGGACATTCCTTCAACAGCTCTTTGTTGTCTCAATTGTTTTTTGGTCAATCCACCATTTCCAATTTTGACAGTTCCATCGTCATTTGCTCGAACAACACCGCTTGCTTTGGTTTTTGTTTTTCTGGAGAAAAAATGGGGATTTTTGAGAAAAAGATTTTCGACTGTGTCAAATAGCTAAACCTAGAAGTGCTGGTTGTCAAGTAGACGCTCCTAGAGAACCTTATTATCTAGGAGCCACGTCTAGAGAACCGAATTGTCTAGGAGCCGCGTCTAGAGATCCACTTTGGCAAGCAGCCGAGCCTTGATAGCTCCTATGTCAAGTAATGCAGCCTAGAAAATTCAATTGTCTTGGAGGAGCAGCGCCTAAACATCCATATTGTCAAGGAGCTGCACCTTCAGAGCGTCTGTGTCAAGTGGCCAACCATAGAAGGCCTAGATGTCAAGTATCTGTGCCTAGATAACCTAGATGTCTAGGAGCCGCGCCTTGAGATCGAATTCAGCAAGCAGCCGAGTCTTGATAGCTTCAATGTCAAGTAATGAAGCCTAGAAAATTCAATTGTCAAGGAACGGTGACTAGACAACTCAGTTTTCAAGTAGGCTCGCCTAGAGAACCTAATTGTCTAGGAGCCGCTCCTTGAGATCCACCTTGGCAAGCAGCCGAGTCTTGATAGCTTCAATGTCAAATAGCCAACCCTAGAAGGGCTAGATGTCAAGTAGCCGCTCCTAGAGAACCTAATTGTCTAGGAGCCGCTCCTTGAGATCCACATTAACAAGCAGCCGAGCCTAGAAAATTCAATTTTTAAGGATCAGCGTCTAGAGAGTGGAAACTCTCAGAAAATCAACCATAAATCTTGGATTTTTCAGAAATCTTGGTATAATTCTAATAATTTTGAATGCCCCCTCAAAAATCTCACTGTGCCCACGATTCAAAACTAAGCGCTTCTCCTCCCAACAAAACATTTCCATCCAGATCCTCTTCCAATTCCAATTCTCCTTCCTCCACAATCAATTTCGACCGATTCTGCTGTAAAAACGCACCAACACCCATCAAACTCTGCGCAGCTTTTGCTCGTTTTTCCGCTCCTTTTTTCTTCGATCTTCTATTCGATTCTTCAATAATCGGTGGTTTATAATCAATAGTTTCCATTCGAACAATACTTGGTCGATCAAATAATTGCTCAGACATTATTTCAACTTTCCATAACTTAATAAGTCCCTCAATATGTTCTCTCATCCAATGCATTTCGGTTTTGTTTAAATATTGTTGCAGAGCTGATAAAAGAACAGGTTTGAGAAGAGAATCGGGTAATCCACCGTAGGATTCAGAAACAACATCAGCCAATGCGTAAAGTTCTTCCTTCTCGTTCATTTCCGCAAAATTTATTCGCTCATCTTCAATGTGCTGAAAAATATGGGGGTTTTGGACACAAATTTTCGGAAAAAATGCGAAAAATCATTATTTTTGATAATTGCTCATGTCAAAAAGGCAGTTTTTGAATCGGACCATAGGAATCGGAGCAGGTCCAATTTTGAGGGTTTTCTGAATCGGACCAGGGTGAAATTTTTTCAATAGGAATCGGACCGCAAAAAAGGAATCGGACCAGGTCCGATTTTTTGAGAAAAATTCTGAATCGGACCACTTCTTCAAAATTTCCTGATTTTTGCACCAAAAAATTGACTTTTTTGAAAAAGTGGTCCGATTCAGAATTTTTCTCAAAAAATCGGACCTGGTCCGATTCCTTTTTTGTGGTCCGATTCCTATTGAAAAATGTCACCCTGGTCCGATTCAGAAAACCCTCAAAATCGGGTCCGATTCAAAATTTGCCTGTCAAAAATCCCGAATTTTCCATCAGAATCCGGATTTTCAGAAAATTTAATCAAAATTGTGTTTAGAAAAGTTCAGAACTTCAGAATTTGGGACTTTTCAATTTTAAATTTGAAAAAAATGTCAAAAATCCCGAAATTTTCATCAGAAAGTTTGATATGAGCAATCCCACCTTCAGCAGCCTTTCCAAAACTTGATCTTCCTCAATTTCCGGAGCCAGCCCCGCATTTTCCTCCCCAATTTTCTCATCTTCTGGCTCATCCTCCAATTTTTCTTCAATTTCTCCATTTTCCAAATCCAAATCATCCGGTTGATGATTTGATTCTTTTCCATTATTTCCCGACATCAAAAATGGTTTTGCAGCGGTTTCCGATTTGACGAGAGCTATATATTCATCGGTGCTCAGTAATCTTTAAGAAAATTAAAATGATTAATTTTTATTATTTTTGGTTTTACAAGGGGAAGCGCATGAGGGGGTTAGGTTCTGAAATTTTTATGAAACATATCAAAATATACCAAATCGACTATGCTGATCACGATTCCGAAGTCAAAAATTGTTAAAAATTCCTGTGAGCACTTTCCTAGAGCTCCGAGTTTTTTCTCCATGTTCCAGGGTGGAAAATCAATTTTTATAAAATGGATAAGATTGTTCACCACATTCGAAAACCTATGAGCATTTCAGTTTATCGAAAAATAGGCAAATTTTGAATCGGACCCGATTTTGAGGGTTTTCTGAAACCAGGGTGACATTTTTCAATAGGAATCGGACCAGGTCCGATTTTTTGAGAAAAATTCTGAATCGGACCCGAAAAATCGGACCACTTTTTCAAAAAAGTCAATTTTTTGGTGCAAAAATCAGGAAATTTTGAAAAAGTGGTCCGATTTTTCGGGTCCGATTCAGAATTTTTCTCAAAAAATTGGACCCGGTCCGATTCCTTTTTTGTGGTCCGATTCCTATTGAAAAATGTCACCCTGTTCCGATTCAGAAAACCCTCAAAATCGGGTCCGATTCCTATGGTCCGATTGAAAAACTGCCCAAAAATATGAAAAAAAAGCTGAAACTGTAATTTTTAAATGTGCCCTTATGACTTTTTTGAAAATTACAGTTTTCAGCTGGTTTTTCATATTTTTGATAAACTAAAAAGCTGATAGGTTGAAAATTGATTTTCCACCCTGGAACATGGTAAAAATGGACGAAAACCAAAACTCGCAGCTCCAGAAACCTTCTCACAGGCATTTGTGGCAATTTTTGTCTTCGGAATCGTGATCAGCATGTTCAGTTTGGTATATATTTCGATATGTTTCATCAAAATTAGGCTAAATCTCACTTCATAACAGCATTATGTTCCCCGTCATCAATTTGAAAATCTTCAACATCAGCCGGCAAACTTTTCGCGGTTTCCTCATCAATTACAAGAACTTCAGCTTGAACCAATCCCTCATGATTCGGAAGCGGAAGAATTCGATGATATTTAATGACATCTGCACCAACTATACATTCCAAATAATGTTGAGCTGTGCTTTTCGGCAAGTTTAGCGCGTAAATTGTGCATGATCGAGTTACAGCATCTTCTGATGGTGTGAAATAACTACTCGTTGGAACAACTGACGCGGCTTCGACTGAAAATTTTGTTTTTGATTCATTTTTTTTCAGGAAAAAATTAGAGAAACTCACAGAAAACCGGGTCAACTGTGACAATTGCTTTATTCCCATCGACGACCAAATTTTGAAGAATCACATATGAATCTCGCGCAATTTCCACTGTCGATAATTCAACTTCCAATCTTCCGGTTTTAATATGCTTCTCGCTGGTTTCCGGAGCTCTTGAAAACGTAGAATTGAATCTTTCACATCTATTCAGCAGCCGTTGTACCTTAAAAATTCAATTGGTCAATTCAAAATCGAAAAATAAAGATGACAAACCTGTGGATTAGTCATCCAACCGCCAGGATGTCGAAATCCCTCAATGATGATTGTTTTCTGTTTTCGCAACTTCTCATTCTCATCCTCAAAATCTGGAACAACTAGTTCCACAGGTTCTTCACCCATTTGACAGGTTTTTTTTTTGGAAAAATGAATTCGAAACGCAAAAAACACACAAAAAAAACTTTTTTATCGAAAAGTGAGAGGAGAATGTGCGCTCCAGTGAGAAATGTGTGGGGTTGGCAGTTTTTTGAGTGTAGTTTTTTTTATTTTTGTGCGGTGCAGATGTTTTTTTGAATTTTTTTTCCCAATTAATTTAGAGTTTTCAAAAAAATCAGAAAATAATTTTTCTCACATTTTGTAGCTACAAAAACACCGCAAATATCTCTGAAAAAAATCAATTTCAGAACGAGATTTTCAGTTCCCCCCTGTATTCCCCCCCCCCCCTGTATTTAAAATTCAAATCCAGGATTACATAATATATTTATTCTTCTTCTCACAATGCAATAAACTTTTCCGATTTATCATCCGACCATCTGTCGAATCGCATTCAATTTGCATTTTTTTCTTGTCTTCCGTTTTTCTTGTCTCGTTTTTTCTTTCTTGAAAAATTATATATATTTTCATTGTACTAAACTTTTTCTTCTTCCTAATCAAATCGCGCGAAAAACATATGCAAATTGTGGAGTCCGAGCCGAAAAATAGGAATGAAAATGGGCGGAGCCGCCAAAAAAATTCCATTATCCATTCAAGATTTTTTGCTGCTGCTCGCCTTGAGTGTGAAAAAATATTTATTTTTTTTGCTTTTGAAATTTCAGAAGCAAATTCAATTTGTGTGAAAATCTTGGATATCCTTGCTTTTTGGCTGCACACGACAAAATGAGATGAAAATTACTAGAATATTCAATTCGATGTGTTTTTTTTTCCGCATACATGAACACTAGATGATACTGCTGGAAATATTTATATTATTTAGAGGAGAAAGGAGAAAATGAGCCGTATCTTTTCTTTTCTGAAAAATTCTTCGTTTTCTAATTTATTTGTTTTTTTCTGATCGTGAGATGAGAAAAAGAAAAATAAAATAAAAAAAAGTTAGGCGCGCGGGATCGAACCCTGGTCTCACCAATCAAAAACAATCACGCTAACCAGTCGGCCACGCAGCGTTTTCTGAAGACTATAAAAATTTTCATATTTGATATGCGCGCGAGTTGCCAGCGATTTTTAATTAATATTTGCTCAGGTATCTATAATTATTTGTACTTTTTCTCAAGCTCAATCTAATCCTATCATTATTTTTTCGTTTATTTTCATATTCACAAGTGTACAACTCAATAAATTTAAAGCAAAATTCGATTTTTCACACCACATGTTCTAAATATCATAAAATGTTTTCTTTCTTCACATCCCATGAGTTTCAGAAAAAACCATCTTCCTCTTTTCTCTCTGTGTCTTCTCCCTCATTATTTACCTAATCTCTCTCCACTCTCTCCTCTTTCTTGCCCTTTTTGAGAAGCAAATAGGCCACGCCCATTTAAAACTTCATTCTTCTTTTATTTTTTCGAGGTTTTTACAGAACTCTCGTCGATGATATCTTGAAAATGACTCGAATATTTTTGCTTTTATATTCATTTTATTTGCTAATTATTAATTATGGATGTTTGGCCATGTCGATTTCGGCACTCAATTCATCGCAAGCCATTTTGAAGTGTCCACCAGCAGAGCAATTTATCAGGTTGGTTTGGGGGGATCTTATAACCTGAGCAACGCTAAAAAAAAGTGAGAACGAAAAAAAAAATTATATACCGTAGTTCTTGGTCGCGACGAGACCATGTGTGTGTTTCGGGTGCTGCGCCTTTCAAAAACTACGGTGTTTTTTTGTTTTTTTTTCCGCGGATCTTCGCGAAGCTTCGAGGTTTTCGATTTTTCTACATGGAAAAAAGGCAGAAATCAAGGAACATTGATAACAAAACGAAGAATGGAGATGGTCTAACCTTTTTTAAAGCAAGAAACACCATAAAAAACGATTTTCAAATGTTTTATTGAGAAAAAACGCGTTTTCCCTTCAAAATTGCGAAAATAAAGCAAATTCATCTTTAAATTTGTTCTAACTCAACCCAAAACCTTTTCCTGAAAAAAAGATTTGCTCGCATTAATTTATGCACTTTTTCCTCCTGGCCATGAATATTGCGTGTATGTTCATACGACTTTGCTCAAGCGAGCGGAAATATGCGCTTTTCTAGTACGACTTCACAATAAATATTGTTGTGATGAATGAAAAACAAGAAAATTATGCATTTATGAAAAATGCGGCCACGTGGAAAAGTGTACAGCTTTTCCATTCTTCTTTTTTTTGAATTTGAACACAAATTAAATTTGAAAGAAAAAGAGCAAACGCAAAAAATGGCTCCCAATTAGTAATTTAATTCATTTCGGAAATTGTGAAACTTCTCTCAAGTTCAAAAGCTCATGAAAAATTCATAGAAACCTCATCAAAATTTCAGAACCCATATGGCTCCGGATTTCGAGACTCCGAGATTAGTTCGAAAGTTGAAATGGTTTCAAGATGACTCATTAGTTGCCTCATATCAACAAGTGAGTTTTTTTTTTTGCCTCAGGGAAAAAAGGCAGGAATTTTCTTTTTCTCTCTCTTAAATTCGATTTTGAACACTGAAAAGACAGATTTCTCTTCTTTCTTTCTTTGTTGTGTTTTTTCTCTTCATTTTCTGTTCAAAAAAAAAAATATACGTATATAGGAGAAAAGGGAAAAAGTGAAAAGTTGAGCCTTTTAGAGGAGCAGGAAAAAAATGAAAAGCAAAACTCATCATCGATGTTGTTATGGGTTTTTTTTCGTTTTGTTTTTAGTTTGAAAAATGGTGGAAATTTTGGGATCGGGGCTGAAAATTGTCTGAAAATATTAGAAAAAATTCATCTACAAAATTTTAAAAAATTTACAAGTTAGGTGGAATTTAAATAGAATTAGCAATTTTTTTCGAAAATATAACGGAGCATGTTGAAATTTTTTTATGATTCTAAAAATTTTTGACAGTTATGATTCTAAAAAAAAGTTTTCTGGCGCCAAAATTTGATCTACAGTAAGTTTTTTCGTGATTGGACCAGAAAAATTGTTAAATTTTTAGAGTTAAAATTTGATCTACAGTAGATCATTTTTTGGTGCCAATAATTACAGTTACCCAGGGCTTTTTTGATGGCTAAAAATGTGAATTTTCAAGTTTTGAGCTTCTGAGTTTTGGGAATTCGAAAATAATTCAAAACACATTGCTCATGTTAGAAAATAATTCAACAAAAAAAAGTTAAATCCAAAATTTTTATCGGTAGAAAAAAAAAATTTTAATTTTTTTTTGACAAAAAATTTTCGCTTCAGCAAATGTGACCATTGCTCATGTTAAAAATTACAGTAACCCAGGGCCTATTCAGTTTTTGATCTACAAAAATGACCTTTTTCAAAATAGTGTGACCATTGCTCATGTTAGAAAATAATTCAACAAAAATCAAATTCAACATTTTAATGGGGCGATTGAGGTAGAAAAAAAATTAATTTAAAAAATTTTTTTGACAAAAAATTTCGATACAGAAAATGTCAAAAATAGGAAAAAATATAGTTTTAGACATTTGCTGAATCGAAATTTTTTGTAAAAATTTAAAAAAATGATTTTTCTGACTTGAATAATGTTTCAAATTATTTTTCATTGAACCTTAACTCAACTCCAAAACCATTGCTCATGTTAGAAAAAATATTCCTCAAAATTCCCACCCAGTTCCAAAAGTATCTATATATGTATACCTAGACACATTTTCGTACCTCCTCTCACACCAAAATAGATGGACCTTCCTTCTTAATGGTCAACAAATAATTGGATTTTTTTTTTCGTGTTGGTCCACACACACACATCTACTAAATCCAATTATACCATCATCATAAGTGACGGAGAAAAAGATACATCATTATTATTATTATTACACTTTATTAGTCTTGAGCACAGCCCAAAACCATATGGTTTTTCTAACTCGATAATTACTCCTATGAAATCCAAAAAATGTCCAAATTTTTCCTTTTCTTGCGCAATTAAGCATGTTTCCGCAAACAAAACAAAAAGCACAAATGAAATAATGAATTGCTCAGATCAAATTTCACCACCACTACTATACTAATATTGAATTGAATATCGTTTAAAATACACCTGTAAATGGGAATGGGTTCAAGTGGTTTGCTATTTGCACTTTTTTCTATTGAGCTAGCAGCTCTTTTAAATATCTAAATGAGTCAATTGTTGGGGAGGAATGACAGGAAATTGTTTGAATGGAATTTGAAAGAATGAAGAAGAAATGATGATTGAGAAGGAATTTGTGAAGTTCAAGATTATTTTTTTTATTAGTCAGAGAAAATATTTTGAGGAAGGATAGGGATTTCACGTCGTGCCACAACAGAGGGAAAAGATAATTTCGTGGAGACGCAGACATTTTGTGTGGTCTCGCAGCGATTCACCTGAGGGACCGGAGAGAGTACGGTTTGAAGCTTGGTCTCGCAGCGATTCACCTGAGGAACCGGGGATAGTACGGTTTCGGCAATTGGTCTCGCAGCGATTCACCTGAGGGGCCGCGGAGGAGTACGGTGTCTTTTTTCTCTGCGTCTCCTCGGATTTGTCAGAATCAGAAATGAGCTATGACGTGGCGAATTTCTGAAATTCAGATTCGAGAATTTTTTTAGAGAAAAAATATTTTTGATCTACCAGAAAATTTTTGTAAATTTTGAAGTCTAGCGATTTCAGCCACACATTGTTTTCTGCAAAATTATATAGATTCTGAAACCAAATTTTTTTTTTATTTCCATTTTCGCCACGTCATAACTCATTTTCAAAATTTTACAGCGGAAAAAAGATCTGAAAACTTCACAGTGTGTAACTTCCAGAAATTCCAGAATTTTTGAAACCAATGGAAAAGTTAGAGTAAATATTTTTGATCTGAAAAAAATGAAAATTTTTGTAAATTTCGAAGTCTAGCGATTTGAGGCACACTTTGTTTTCTGAAAATTATTTTCAATTTCCACTTTGCCATGTCATAACTCATTTTCAAAATTGAGCTTAAATCATTTTTTGACATCGGAAAGAAGATCTGAAAACTTCACAGTCTGTAACGTCCAAAAAAGCTAGAGATTTAGAGAAAAATATTTTTGATCTACCAGAAAAATTTGGAAAATTTTGAAGTCTAGCGATTTGAGGCACACATTGTTTTCTGAATTTCCAACTTTGCCACGTCATAACTCATTTTCAAAAATGAGCTTAATCCTTTTTGACATCGGCAAAAATATCTGTAGGTCAAAACCTTCGGTGCATAATTTCTCCAACCCTCAACATTTTTCTGGTATTCAGATCAAAAATATTTTTCATATTTTTTCTCTAAATTCCCTTCCGCGCTTGAGATCCACGTGGATTCGAGCTCCTTTAAAAAAAATCTATTTTCGCTCTCAACTTCCCCCCCCCCCCCGTCATTTCTTCTACTACAAGAAACAAAATCCGATTTCCTGCCTGATTGCTCTTTTGCCATCTCTAATGTAAAAGTAATTGCCGGAAATCGAATCCGCTCCTCAACTCTTTGCCTCCTACGTAAATAGTATCCATGTGTTAAGCCATTCAAAGGCCAGGTGTATTTTTGGGGGGATAATCCCCGAAGGAAGTTACGTAATTTGTCGTTTGGTGTTTGCACACACACATTTCAAAATGAATAAATAATTAGGTGTTAGCTTTGTGTGTTAGCCAACAATGGGGAGGTACTTGAGATTTGGAAATAGTGTTTCAGGATAAGTGGGTTCAGCAAGAAGAAGAATAAGACATCTGTGTGAACTAAGGAAGAGTAATAATAGGAAGAACCAAAATAAAAATAACAATGTGTCAATTGCACACTAATTGGATCGGTGAATAAAGAAAATGTGTGGATGTAGATGAGGAGATTGGAGAAACAAAAGGAAAAGGAACATCAAGGGGAGAGGAACATCAGTGGAATCTGAAGATCAAGAACCTTTGGAAGTTTTGAGAGCCTCAGGAAACTTTTGGGGATTTTAGATAAATCTAGGAAACTTATAGGAATTTTTAAAATCTTTTGAGAAGGTTAGGAAACATTTGGGGGTTTTTTCAAAAATTTTTGGGAATCTTTGAGAAACCTTTTGGAAATTCTTGAACTCTGAGGAAATTTAGACAAAATTGGGAACCTTAGGAAACTTTTAAGGTTTTTAAAAATTTTTGAAAATTTTTGAGAACCTCTGAGAAACCTTTTGGAAATTCTTGAACTCTTAGAAAATTCAGAAAAAATTGGGAACCTTAGAAAAGTTTAAGGGATTTTTAAAAACTTTTGGGAAGCTTAGGAAATTTTTAGGGATTTTTTAAAATCTTTTGAGAAGCTTAGAAAATTTTTAGGAACCTTAAAAAACTTTTGAGAAGCTTAGGAAATTTTTAGGGATTTTTAAAAACTTTTGAGAAGCTTAGGAAACTTTTAGGGATTTTTTAAATCTTTTGGGAAGCTTAGGAAATTTTTAGGGGTTTTTAAAAACTTAGAAAACCTCTGGGAACCCTTTGGGGACCTTTAGGAGTTTCTTGAACTCTTTGGGAAATTTAGACAAAATTGGGAACCTTAGGAAACGTTTAGGAAACTTTTTGGAAATTCTGGAACTCTTAGAAAACTTTTAGGGTTTTTAAAAATTTTTGGGAACCTTTGAGAAACCTTTTGGAAATTCTTGAACTCTTAGAAACTTCAGAAAAATTGGAAACCTTAGGAAACTTTTAGGGATTTTTTTTTTACCTCTGAGAAGCTTAGAAAACCTCTGGGAACCCGTTGGGGACCTTTAATATCCTTAAGAAATATTAGGAAACATTTCAGAGCCTTAAAAACCTATGGGAAGCCTCTGGGAAACCTTTAAGAATCTTAGAAAAACCTTGGAAAACTTCTAGAGATTTTTGAAACTTTTGGAAACCCGAGAAACCTTTAGGAAATTCTTAAACTCTTAGAAAATTTTAGAAAAAATTGGAAAGCCTTGAAGAACCCTAGGAAGCTTTAAGGGATTGTTAAAACTTTTGAAAAAATTGGGAAATTTTCAAGAACCCAGGAAACTTTTGGAAATTCTTTGGGAAGTTTCAGGAACCTTTTGGGACCTTCTAGAATATCTGAAAAACATTGCGCCCAGAGATTTTCAAACACCAAATCCCAAGTTCTCCAATCAAAATTCTATGTAAATTCCAGGATGACGGTTCCGATTCCTCTCGTCAATGGTGGGTTGTCGACCCTCGCTTCGAACTCATCCGCCCATTCTACTCCTTGCGAGTCTCACCCGTCACACCAGAAGATTCAGGAACCTATCGATGCAGCATCGAAACCGACCCGCTCTTCTCAACACCATCCAGCACATCTGAACAAAAACTTGCCGTGCTAGGTGAGTTATAAATCAGGGGAAAAAACACACTTTTGACCAAAATTAATGAGTGGCCTGGTCAAAGAGAAAAAAAGTTTATAAATTTTTGAGCAACAATAACTTTGCTCATTCAAAACTTCTACTATAAATTGTGTGGTTAGCGTGTCGATTTGCAATTAATTTTCAATGAGCACAACAATTATGTGTGCAAAAATTTTTCTTGTTGTCCAAAATATGTATAGTCTAGCAGGTGCAAGGGGATTATTTTGAGGAAAATAATAAATAATTAGAAATATTATTAATTTCATTAGGAACATGACATGTTCAGGTGAAAAATCTAATAAAGGTTTTGCGAGACCAAAATAAAATCTCAGGAGAGGGATTTACTGGTCATAAAGATGAGTATCTTTTCATTTTTGCGGTGCAGCCAGAAGAACTCGCAGAATACTAATGAGAAACACCCGCAAAACTTTCACTTATCTGATGTTGTTTGATTGATGGTGCAAGGAATTTTTTTTGGTTTTGAAATGACCAGAAGCTTTGGGATTTGTTTTGGGATTTCGCAATTAATTGCGAAATCTCTTGGATGGGGAAAAGTTTAGAAATTACTCTGAAAATTTGAGAATTGAAAATAAAACGTAATTATTATTTTGTGACGTCAGGGGCTTTTGGAAAATTATTTTTCTGGGAACTTTAGGAAAGCTTAGGAAACATTTGGGAATATTCAAGAAGTCTAGTAAATCTTGGGAAATCTCAGAAATTTTTTTGGAAACCTTCAGAATCTTTTGGGAAATTTCAGAAAATTTTTGGAAACATTTTGAAACTTTTTAAAATCATCGGAAGTATTTTGGGAAGTTCGGGAAATTTTTTGAAATCTTGGGAAATCTCAGAAATTCTTTCGGGAAGCTTAGGGAAAATTTGGAAATTTTTGGGGACCTTAGGAAACTATGGATATTTATTTGAAACTTTTGGAAGCCTTCAGAAACCTTTGGGAATATTTGGAAACTTTTGGGGATTTTTTGAAAGTCTTGAGATTCTTTTGAAACTTTTAAAAATCTTTGGAATTTTTTTGGAAACCTTTGAGAGATTTTTGAGGGCCTTAGGTAACATTTGGGAACATTTGAGAAGTTCAGGACACTTTTTGAAACTTTTTAAAATATTCGGAGTTTTTTTTTTGAGACATTTAAAACCTTTCGGGGACTTTTTGATACTTTTCAAACTCTTTGGAATTTTTTAGGGAAGTTTTAAGAATCCTGGGAACCTTAGGAAAATTTTTAAGAGCCCTAGGTAATATTTGGGAATATTTTGGAGCCTTTCCAAATTTTTTAGAATATTGGGAAAATTTTGGGAACCTTGGGAAATCTCAGAAACCTTTGGGAATACTTGGAAACTTTTGGGGATTTTTTAAAATTCTTGAGAATTTTTTGAAACTTTGAATTTTTTAAAATATTCGGAAGTATTTTGGGAAGTTCAGGAAATTTTTTGAAATTTTAGAAAAGCTTAGGAAACTTTTGGGAATATTCAGGAAGCTTAGGAAATTTTTTGAAATTTTAGAAAAGCCTAGGAAATTTTGGGAAATCTCAGCAAATTTTTGGGAACTTTTTGAAACTTTTTAAAATATTCGGAAGTGTTTTGGGTAGTTCAGGAAATTTTTCGAAATTTTAGAAAAGCTTAGGAAACTTTTGGGAAGTTCAGGACACTTTTGATACTTTTCAAAATCTTTAGAATTTTTTAGAGAGCTTTTGAAAATCCTGGGAACCTTAGGAAACTTTTTGAGAGCCTTAGGTAATATTTGGGAACATTTGGGTACCTTAGGAAACTTTTTGAAAGCCTTAGGTAACTTCGGAATCCTTCGAGACCTTTGGGGTTTTTTTTTAATTCTGGAGAATCTTTTGAAACTTTTTAAAATCTCTGGAATTTTTTTGGGAAGTTAAAGACATTTTCGGAAACCTCGGGGAATCTCAGAGAAATTTTGGAAAGCTCAAGAAACATTTTAAAATATTCAGGAAGCCTAGGAAATCTTGGAAAATCTCAGAGAATTTTTTGAAAACTTTCCAGATCTTTTAGAATATTCGAAGATTTTGGGAAGTTCAGGAAACTTTTGAAAATCTTTGGGGATTTCTATTTAAATTTAAATTAATTTTTAAAAAACTCTGTAAATCTTGCGAACCATTTCAGTACAAAAAAATTTTACCAAAAAATAAATGAATAAATAAATAATTTTCACGTGACACGCCTTCAAATTTCAAGAAAACCCCCCATTTCTCAATTTTTCCAGTCCGCCCAGTTGCCCCATCTTCCCCCGAAGTCAAAGCAGCCACAAATCACTCAATAACCCTTGTCTGGACTCACAATGCCGCCAGAGCTCATCGACCAATTCTCCGATTCCTCATATCAGTTCGAGCAATCACAAACAACTCGAAATTCATGTTGCCAGCTCCATCGAATGCAACAACTGTGATTGTTGATAATCTGATTCCCTACACTCTTTATGCGTTTGCAGTTCAGGCTGAAAATTCGGCCGGTTTGAGTGAATTCGGGCCAGAGACAATTTATCGAACACTAGGGGAGCCACCAGAAAATCCGGCGCGAATCGAAAAAATTCGAAATATTTCATCGACTTGTGTCGAGATAACAGTTCAACCACCAGAAGAAATGACTGCAGAATTGGAAAAATATATTGTTGAGTTACAGGAAGTCGCAAATGAAACGATTGCCAAGAAACAGATGTAAGTGTTTTTTTCAGAAGATTTTGAAAATGATTTCGAAATAAGTTTTTTTCAGATTCGATAAGCCAACATCTACACCATTGGCGATTTGTGGATTGAAATCGGAGACAAAATATTTGATATCAGTCCAGGCTGACAATGGATTTGGGATAAGTCCAAAAACGACATCAATATTCAAAACTGAGCCAAATATTCCGAATTTGTCACCAACTTCGATTACAACAGTTCCTGCTGTTGGAAAAGCTGAGATTACTGTACTTTGGGATGCTCCACCGCCAGAAATTGTCAGACTTATCACTAAATATCATTTGTATTATAAGGTTAGTTAGGATTTCTAGAGAAGCGGCTGCTTGACATCTAGTTTCTCTAGGCTCGACTGCTTGAGAACTAGTTTCTCTAGGCTCGGCTGCTTGACAACTAGTCCCTTTAGGCTCAGCTGCTTGACAACTAGTTTCTCTAGGCTCAGTTGCTTGACAACTAGTCTCTTTAGGCTCGGCTGCTTGAAAACTAGTTTCCCTAGGCTCAGATGCTTGAAAACAAGGCTAACAAGTCTCGGCTGCTTGACAACTAGTTTCTCTAGGCTCGAATGCTTGACAACTAGTTTCTCTAGGCTCGGCTGCTTGAAATATAGTTTCTCTAGGCTCGGCTGCTTGAAAACTAGTTTCTCTAGGCTCGGCTGCTTGACAACTAGTTTCTCTAGGCTCGGCTGCTTGACCATCAGTTTCTCTAGGCTCGGCTGCTTGACAACAAGGCTAACAAGGCTCGGCTGCTTGAAAACTAGGCTAACAAGGCTCGGCTGCTTGACAACTAGTTTCTCTAGGCTCGGCTGCTTGACCATCAGTTTCTCTAGGCTCGGCTGCTTGACAACAAGGCTAACAAGGCTCGGCTGCTTGAAAACTAGGCTAACAAGGCTCGGCTGCTTGACAACTAGTTTCTCTAGGCTCGGCTGCTTGACAACTAGTTTATCTAGGCTCAGCTGCTTGAAAACTAGTTTCTCTAGGCTCGGCTGCTTGACAACTAAATTCTCTAGGCTCGGCTGCTTGAAAACTAGTTTCTCTAGGCTCGACTGCTTGACAACTAGTTTCTCTAGGCTCGACTGCTTCAAAACTAGTTTCTCTAGGCTCGACTGCTTGAAAACTAGTTTCTCTAGGCTCGGCTTCTTGACAACTAGTTTCTCTCGGCTCGGATGCTTGACAACTAGTTTCTCTAGGCTCGGCTGCTTGACAACTAGTTTATCTAGGCTCAGCTGCTTGACAACTAAATTCTCTAGGCTCGGCTGCTTGGCGAATACAATCTTAATTTTGTTTAGAATTCCAAAAATCACCAAAATAATTTTTTGTAGAGCGAATCCGACAGTCAATGGAAAATGGAAAACCTAAATCTGAACAAAAACAGCGGTCACTCAAAAAAGTTCAAATATCGTCTAGTGGGCCTCGATCAAAACACAATATACCGTGTTCGAATTTCAGCATCAACTGAAAAAGGCGAAGGCCTTCCAAGTGTTGACAGCCTAATCCGAACTGATATTGAACAACCGGGAATTGTTGTCTTGAAAGATGTGAATTATGATTGTGGGAGGGGTGTCAAATTGACATGGAACTATGATACAACTCACAGGTATTTGTAGATTTTTTTAATTTCTAGATTTTTTGAATTGTTTTTCCAGTGCTCCAACATTTACAATAAAAATGATGAATCGAACAACAACTTTGCAATTCAATACAACACAAAAATCAATCGATATTCCAAGTTTGGCACTTTATGAAGAGTATGCTGTTAGTATTGGTGTTATCGATCGAAGCAAATTGGATAATTCGACGATTTTGTATGGGAAGTATAGTGAAAATTATAGGATTATTTTGAAAGGTTCGGGGTTTTTGGGGATTTTAAGCATTCGAGTCCAAAAGTAAAATGAAATTATTATTTTGTGACGTCAAACTTGAAGTTTTCATTGAGGAACTTTGGAAAATTTCTGCGGACTTTAGGGAAGCTTAGAAAACATTTGGGAATATTCAGGAAGCCTAGGAAATCTTGGGAGATCTCAGAGAACTTTTGGAAAACTTCAAAAGCTTTTGGGAATATTTGGAAACCTTTGAGGATTTTTTGAAAGTATTGAGAATCTTTTGAAACTTTTTAAAATCTTTGGAATCATTTTGGAAAGTTCGGAAACCTTTGAGAGATTTTTGAATCTTTTCCAGATATTTTAGATCATTCGGAAACTTTTGAAAGTATTCAGAAACCCTGGGAAATCTGAGAAAAAATTTCGAAAACTTTCCAGATTTTTTAGAATTTTCGGAAACTTCTGGATATATTTTTAGACCTTTTGGAATCTTAGGAACCCTTTCAGAACTTTTAAAATGAAAGTATCTTATAAATATTTGGCAATGTTTCTCAGAAGAGCCCAAAAAAGAGCCCAAAAATTTCCAGACGAATGCGCCTATCAATCTTCAATCTGCTCGATTGGTGAAAAATGCTCAAAACTAACTCAAAACGCAGAGAGCCCTAAACTCATTTCAATTATAATTGTCACATTTTCGGTGATTCTATTCATGGTGATTTGCATGATTATTGCACATTTTGCGAGAGGATCTATGAATTTGAAACATTTGTTGAAGAAGAAAAAAGAGAAATGTGTTTATTTGGAGGAAATTAGTCCGCTGGTTTATGGTGGGTTTTAGGACAAAATATTTGATTTTTAGGGACGAAATTCAACTGAAAATTAGGATATTTAGAGAAAAATATTTTTGATCTTGATCTACCAGAAAAATGATCATTACACAGTTTTACGAATTTCCAATTTTTGCCACGTCATACCTCATGTTCAAAATCGGTAGATCAAATACTTCTGTAAAATTGCTACAGTAACCTGAACTTTTAGAAAGTGTTTCTAAGTTTCTAGAAAAAACTTTTTATTTACAGTAACTCTATTTTTTAATTTTTTTCTAGGCTCGGCTGCTTGACAATTAGTTTCTCTAGGCTCGGCTGCTTGACAATTAGTTTCTCTAGGCTCGGCTGCTTGAAAACTAGTTTCTCTAGGCTCGGCTGCTTGAAAACTAGTTTCTCTAGGCTCGGCTGCTTGAAAACTAGTTTCTCTAGGCTCGGCTGCTTGAAAACTAGTTTCTCTAGGCTCGGCTGCTTGAAAACTAGTTTCTCTAGGCTCGGCTGCTTGAAAACTAGTTTCTCTAGGCTCGGCTGCTTGAAAACTAGTTTCTCTAGGCTCGGCTGCTTGAAAACTAGTTTCTCTAGGCTCGGCTGCTTGAAAACTAGTTTCTCTAGGCTCGGCTGCTTGAAAACTAGTTTCTCTAGGCTCGGCTGCTTGAAAACTAGTTTCTCTAGGCTCGGCTGCTTGAAAACTAGTTTCTCTAGGCTCGGCTGCTTGAAAACTAGTTTCTCTAGGCTCGGCTGCTTGAAAACTAGTTTCTCTAGGCTCGGCTGCTTGAAAACTAGTTTCTCTAGGCTCGGCTGCTTGACAACTAGTTTCTCTAGGCTCGGCTGCTTGACAACTAGTTTCTCTAGGCTCGGCTGCTTGACAACTAGTTTCTCTAGGCTCGGCTGCTTGACAACTAGTTTCTCTAGGCTCGGCTGCTTGAAAACTAGTTTCTCTAGGCTCGGCTGCTTGACAACTAGTTTCTCTAGGCTCGGCTGCTTGAAAACTAGTTTTTCTAGGCTCGGCTGCTTGACAACTAGTTTCTCTAGGCTCGGCTGCTTGACAACTAGTTTCTCTAGGCTCGGCTGCTTGACAACTAGTTTCTCTAGGCTCGGCTGCTTGACAACTAGTTTCTCTAGGCTCGGCTGCTTGAAAACTAGTTTCTCTAGGCTCGGCTGCTTGAAAACTAGTTTCTCTAGGCTCGGCTGCTTGAAAACTAGTTTTTCTAGACTCGGCTGCTTGACAACTAGTTTCTCTAGGCTCGACTGCTTGAAAACTAGTTTCTCTAGGCTCCGCTGCTTGACAACTAGTTTCTCTAGGCTCGGCTGCTTGACAACGAGTTTCTCTAGGCTCGGCTGCTTGAAAACTAGTTTCTCTAGGCTCGGCTGCTTGAAAACTAGTTTCTCTAGGCTCCGCTGCTTGACAACTAGTTTCTCTAGGCTCGGCTGCTTGACAACGAGTTTCTCTAGGCTCGGCTGCTTGAAAACTAGTTTCTCTAGGCTCGACTGCTTGAAAACTAGTTTCTCTAGGCTCCGCTGCTTGACAACTAGTTTCTCTAGGCTCGGCTGCTTGACAACGAGTTTCTCTAGGCTCGGCTGCTTGAAAACTAGTTTCTCTAGGCTCGGCTGCTTGAAAACTAGTTTCTCTAGGCTCCGCTGCTTGACAACTAGTTTCTCTAGGCTCGGCTGCTTGACAACTAGTTTCTCTAGGCTCGGCTGCTTGACAACTAGTTTCTCTAGGCTCGGCTGCTTGACCATCAGTTTCTCTAGGCTCGGCTGCTTGACAACAAGGCTAACAAGGCTCGGCTGCTTGAAAACTAGGCTAACAAGGCTCGGCTGCTTGACAACTAGTTTCTCTAGGCTCGGCTGCTTGACAACTAGTTTATCTAGGCTCAGCTGCTTGACAACTAGTTTCTCTAGGCTCGGCTGCTTGACAACTAGTTTCTCTAGGCTCGGCTGCTTGACAACTAGTTTCTCTAGGCTCGGCTGCTTGAAAACTAGTTTCTCTAGGCTCGGCTGCTTGAAAACTAGTTTCTCTAGGCTCGGCTGCTTGAAAACTAGTTTTTCTAGACTCGGCTGCTTGACAACTAGTTTCTCTAGGCTCGACTGCTTGAAAACTAGTTTCTCTAGGCTCCGCTGCTTGACAACTAGTTTCTCTAGGCTCGGCTGCTTGACAACGAGTTTCTCTAGGCTCGGCTGCTTGAAAACTAGTTTCTCTAGGCTCGGCTGCTTGAAAACTAGTTTCTCTAGGCTCCGCTGCTTGACAACTAGTTTCTCTAGGCTCGGCTGCTTGACAACGAGTTTCTCTAGGCTCGGCTGCTTGAAAACTAGTTTCTCTAGGCTCGACTGCTTGAAAACTAGTTTCTCTAGGCTCCGCTGCTTGACAACTAGTTTCTCTAGGCTCGGCTGCTTGACAACGAGTTTCTCTAGGCTCGGCTGCTTGAAAACTAGTTTCTCTAGGCTCGGCTGCTTGAAAACTAGTTTCTCTAGGCTCCGCTGCTTGACAACTAGTTTCTCTAGGCTCGGCTGCTTGACAACTAGTTTCTCTAGGCTCGGCTGCTTGACAACTAGTTTCTCTAGGCTCGGCTGCTTGAAAACTAGTTTCTCTAGGCTCGGCTGCTTGAAAACTAGTTTCTCTAGGCTCGGCTGCTTGAAAACTAGTTTTTCTAGACTCGGCTGCTTGACAACTAGTTTCTCTAGGCTCGACTGCTTGAAAACTAGTTTCTCTAGGCTCCGCTGCTTGACAACTAGTTTCTCTAGGCTCGGCTGCTTGACAACGAGTTTCTCTAGGCTCGGCTGCTTGAAAACTAGTTTCTCTAGGCTCGGCTGCTTGAAAACTAGTTTTTCTAGACTCGGCTGCTTGAAAACTAGTTTCTCTAGGCTCGGCTGCTTGAAAACTAGTTTCTCTAGGCTCGGCTGCTTGACAACTAGTTTCTCTAGGCTCGGCTGCTTGACAACGAGTTTCTCTAGGCTCGGCTGCTTGAAAACTAGTTTCTCTAGGCTCGGCTGCTTGAAAACTAGTTTTTCTAGACTCGGCTGCTTGACAACTAGTTTCTCTAGGCTCCACTGCTTGAAAACTAGTTTCTCTAGGCTCCGCTGCTTGACAACTAGTTTCTCTAGGCTCGACTGCTTGAAAACTAGTTTCTCTAGGCTCCGCTGCTTGACAACTAGTTTCTCTAGGCTCGACTGCTTGAAAACTAGTTTTTCTAGGCTCGGCTGCTTGAAAACTAGTTTCTCTAGGCTCGGCTGCTTGAAAACTAGTTTTTCTAGACTCGGCTGCTTGACAACTAGTTTCTCTAGGCTCGACTGCTTGAAAACTAGTTTCTCTAGGCTCCGCTGCTTGACAACTAGTTTCTCTAGGCTCGGCTGCTTGACAACGAGTTTCTCTAGGCTCGGCTGCTTGAAAACTAGTTTCTCTAGGCTCGGCTGCTTGAAAACTAGTTTTTCTAGACTCGGCTGCTTGACAACGAGTTTCTCTAGGCTCGGCTGCTTGAAAACTAGTTTCTCTAGGCTCGGCTGCTTGAAAACTAGTTTCTCTAGGCTCCGCTGCTTGACAACTAGTTTCTCTAGGCTCGGCTGCTTGAAAACTAGTTTTTCTAGGCTCGGCTGCTTGAAAACTAGTTTCTCTAGGCTCGACTGCTTGAAAACTAGTTTTTCTAGGCTCGGCTGCTTGAAAACTAGTTTCTCTAGGCTCGGCTGCTTGAAAACTAGTTTTTCTAGACTCGGCTGCTTGACAACTAGTTTCTCTAGGCTCGACTGCTTGAAAACTAGTTTCTCTAGGCTCCGCTGCTTGACAACTAGTTTCTCTAGGCTCGGCTGCTTGACAACGAGTTTCTCTAGGCTCGGCTGCTTGAAAACTAGTTTCTCTAGGCTCGGCTGCTTGAAAACTAGTTTTTCTAGACTCGGCTGCTTGAAAACTAGTTTCTCTAGGCTCGGCTGCTTGAAAACTAGTTTCTCTAGGCTCGGCTGCTTGACAACTAGTTTCTCTAGGCTCGGCTGCTTGACAACGAGTTTCTCTAGGCTCGGCTGCTTGAAAACTAGTTTCTCTAGGCTCGGCTGCTTGAAAACTAGTTTCTCTAGGCTCCGCTGCTTGACAACTAGTTTCTCTAGGCTCGGCTGCTTGAAAACTAGTTTCTCTAGGCTCGGCTGCTTGAAAACTAGTTTTTCTAGACTCGGCTGCTTGAAAACTAGTTTCTCTAGGCTCGGCTGCTTGAAAACTAGTTTCTCTAGGCTCGGCTGCTTGACAACTAGTTTCTCTAGGCTCGGCTGCTTGACAACGAGTTTCTCTAGGCTCGGCTGCTTGAAAACTAGTTTTTCTAGACTCGGCTGCTTGACAACTAGTTTCTCTAGGCTCGGCTGCTTGACAACGAGTTTCTCTAGGCTCGGCTGCTTGAAAACTAGTTTCTCTAGGCTCGGCTGCTTGAAAACTAGTTTCTCTAGGCTCCGCTGCTTGACAACTAGTTTCTCTAGGCTCGGCTGCTTGAAAACTAGTTTCTCTAGGCTCCGCTGCTTGACAACTAGTTTCTCTAGGCTCGACTGCTTGAAAACTAGTTTCTCTAGGCTCCGCTGCTTGACAACTAGTTTCTCTAGGCTCGGCTGCTTGAAAACTAGTTTCTCTAGGCTCGGCTGCTTGACAACGAGTTTCTCTAGGCTCGGCTGCTTGAAAACTAGTTTCTCTAGGCTCGGCTGCTTGAAAACTAGTTTTTCTAGACTCGGCTGCTTGACAACTAGTTTCTCTAGGCTCGGCTGCTTGACAACTAGTTTCTCTAGGCTCGGCTGCTTGAAAACTAGTTTCTCTAGGCTCGGCTGCTTGACAACTAGTTTCTCTAGGCTCGGCTGCGCTCGACTGTAACCTGAACTTTTAGAATTTTCTAAAAAAATCTTTTTATTCACATTAACTCTATTTTATCTGAAAATATATGTAATCTTGTCTGGAATTTCAGAATTTATGAAAATCTTAATTTCAGCCTAACCTACTTAATTTTCAGATTCAAATGGTCATGAAGATATCCCGGTTGAACTATTCTACGGATATGTCGAAGATCTGCGACGAAACAATGATGCAAAATTCAAATCACAATTCGACCAAGTCGAAAATGCTGAAACCGATTCCACAGATTCAATTCAATCTTCCAACGTTGAAAATCTCAACAAAAATCGATATATGAATATTGGAGCGAATGAAAATACGAGAATTCGATTGAACGCGTTGGATGGTTCGGATTATATTAATGCGAATTATATTGATGTGAGTTATCCCAAAGAAAACTGAAACCTGAAATCAAATTTTTCAGTCTTGTGAGGAGAGAAACGCTTACATCGCAACACAAGCTCCGCTACCCTCAACGTTTTCCGATTTTTGGAATATGGTTTGGCAGGAAAGAAGTAATGTAATTGTTTGTATTACAAATATGATTGAAGAAGGAAAACGAAAATGTGATCAATATTGGCCAAATTCCATTGATTCTCCACAAATTTATGGAGGTCATCAGGTCACACTTCTTTCCGAATCTTCAAATTCACATTTTATTCATCGAGTTTTGGATTTGAAGATTGTTGGAAGTCTTCCGATTGTGGAAAGGAAAGTGCATCAATTACATTTTCTAAGTTGGCCGGATCATGGAGTTCCAACATCGGTGATGCCACTTTTGAACTTCATCCATTATACATCGGATATTCCATCAACTGGTCCACAAATTGTACATTGTAGCGCGGGAGTTGGAAGAAGTGGATCATACATTCTGATTGATAGTATTCGAAGACATTTGATAAATTTCCGGAGATTGAATGTGATTGGACATTTATATCATATGCGAAGACAACGTGATCATTTGGTGCAGACTTTGGAGCAATTTATATTTTGTCATGAAGCGATTCGACAATTGATTCGGCATGGGATTACACGAGTGCATTCCGATCTTTTTATGAGATATTTGCATTATTTGTCGGAGGAGAATGTGAAAAATGGGAAGACTCGGATGCAATTACAGTATGAGGTTGGAATTTTTTTTACTTACTACTGATTCAGGTCGAGAAAAAAAAAAAAAAAAATTTTTTAACAAAAATTTTCGAATTTTTTAAATTTTTCTATTTCGCAGCGAAAATTTTTGTACAAAAATGTTTTTTTTGAATCACCAAAACCCTTTTGCGCAACGAAAAAAATGTGCATTTGTGCGTCGCCGTGTTTGCACACAACTGCGCGATACAGTAGCCTCCTGCCACACAAATTATTATCGAAAATCTCATCGGTACCACGCGATCCACCGAAATAAACACGCAACGCAGACCGCGCCGCACCACAACACACACAAATAAGGGAACTATTCAAATTCCCTCCCTTTTTGTGTGTGTTGTGGCGCGGCGCGGTCTGCGTTGCGTGTTTATTTCGGTGGAGCGCGTGGAGTGCCGATGAGATTTTCGATAATATTCTTTGCAACAGGGCGCACATTGTTGCGTGGCCGAGTTTTGTTCTTTTGATATTTCTAGGCCACAATCACGCTCCAAACTTCAATCCAAAAAATATTTATCACTAGGAACCCAAAAAGAAACCTGAATTCTAATTTTCCAGGATATTTGTGAATGCCGCCATGCTCCGCCTTGCTCAATCGATGAAAATTTCCTAATCCTCCCCGGATATCATCGATTAGACGAATTTATTGTTGGCAAATGGCCAATCGAAAATGAAGAAATGTGGAGATTATGTTGGAAAAAAGACATTCAAACAATTGTTCTCATCGGAGATTCTTCGAATTTTTGGAAGAAAATTGAGAAAGTCGACTCAATGGATCTGTTATTCTCACAAACTGATGAGAGTTTTGTGAATGTTTCGAATGTGGAGAAAAAAATGGATATAAAAATAATCAATATTTCACAAGAATCACTTCAATCTGATATTTGGCTGGAAATTGAGAATATTCAAAAACTTCGAACTGGTTCACATACATCTCCACTTTTATTGATCTCCCCAGCTGATCTCGAATTACCGGTGACAATTAGCACATTAACCACTTTGGCTTGTCAATTAGAAACTACTGGATGTATTGATATTGTACAAGTTTTGTCGGCTTATTCTCAAATTCAATGTGGATTGTTTTCTAATAAGGTTGGTTTTTGATTCAATTCAAGTTAGAGCTCCCCCTGAAATTTATTTTTTTCCAGATTCAAATCGATTTGATTTATCGAATGATTAGTGTTTTGGTCGGTGGAACACGTGTTTAATTTTAATATGGGTATTGATTTTTTTTTAGATTTTTGAAAAAAAAAATATTGTATTTATTGGAAACTTTTTTGCAGTTCGAAATTTAGATGACTACAGTACACCTTGCAGTTTGGGATTTCTAAAGTTTGAAACTTGGTGTCTATAGTATGTGGTTCTAAAAATGTTGCAGTTCGAGATACAGTACCCTTTGCAGCTCGAATTGAAGCTACAGAGTTTTGGAATTGATTGAAGTTTTTTGCTGGAACTACAGTACACCTTGCAGTTCGAACGTTGCTACAGCACCTTTCGCAGTCTTTTGAAGTTGGGAATGAATTACAGTACCTTTGCAGTCTGAGATTTTCTGGAAACCTTATTTTTAAACTGCAGAACCATATGACTACAGTACCCTTTGCAGTCCGGATTTTGATTGAAGTTTTTCGCTGGAACTACAGTACACCTTGCAGTTTGAGATTTCTGAATTTTGATAATTGAGATACAGTACCTTTTGCAGTCTAATATTTTTTGTGAACCATATTTTTGAACTACAGTATCATAGGATTACAGTACACTTTGCAGTTTGAGATTTCTGAACCTTGATAATTGAGATACAGTACCTTTTGCAGTCTTTTGAATTTTGAAATGAATTACAGTACCCTTTGCAGTCTGATATTTTTGGTTTTCAAACTACAGTATAATTTGCAGCTCGACAAAAATCGATCAATAAAATATTTTATTTTTAAATACAAAAATATGGTTCTTAAATTTGTTTAAGAGATTTGTTAAGAAGTTCGAAAGTTTGTTCAAGATGGCGTTTTTCGTAAACCAAAGAAGGACGGAATCGAAGTGATTTGTCACCACAACCACCACAATGTAAACCATTTGCGATCGCCTGAAAATTTTTTTGAGAATAAAAAACTCTAGATTCTGAACTTACCGTATCAACGAGTTTATCTCTGAGCGCTGAAGTTGGAAAATCGATGGCGGCAAAAGTTCCGCGACCTCTGGCCTGATCCAATTTCGAACTGTGGGCGGCTTGAAGTTGCGCCAGATTTTTTTGGAATTCAACACCGATTAATTTCGATTTCTCCACTAATTTGTCCCTTTTGATGACTTCGATGGCTTTGTCCAAAAGAAGCAATTTTGTCGGGTCTCCGCACCAAGTATTGTAGATACGGTAGGCCTGAAATTTAGATATTGGGTACAAAAAATCGGGAAATTTTCAAAATTTCACCATTCCCTCAAGTGGGCGTGGCTTAAATGCAACCCTCGCACATTTTTCCAATACCTCTTTAACTCTCAAATGTTCGGCATAGAAATAACCACCGGTGAGAAGTTTCTTCGAAAAAGTAACAATATCGGGTGGACTCGACAAATTCCAATGATCATGTGCCCAAATGTCACCAGTTCCACCGCCACCAGTTTGCACCTCATCCACAATAAACACAACACCATTCTTCTTGGTGATATCTCTCAATCCTTGAAAGAATTGCGGTGATCCATAGTGATCGCCACCTTCGGCTTGAATCGGTTCGACGATCAGCGCCGCCACGTCATTGTCGCGTTTTTTCCATTCAGCGATTTTTTCCTCCACGTCTTTCAGGCATTCTTTGTCTTGCGCATTGTTGTATTCCACGTTTTTGTCGAGTGGATATTTGTAGCGAGGGAATTTGGCAATGGGCCAATCCAACGCGGGAATATCGACCTGCAAATTTCGTCTTGCGAGAGGCAGAGAAACAAACATATATGTCATTGAAAATTAAACAAGTGGACAACGTCGCCCTTATAGCTCAGTGGCAGAGCGTTGGTCTTGTAAACCAAAGGTCCGTAGTTCAATCCTGCGTGAGGGCAGAACTTTTTTTTTGGATTTTTCTCTCACCTTATGAATCGCTTTACTTCTTGTAACTGACAACATGCAGAGTGATCTACCGTGGAAAGCGCCTTGGAAACCCATAACCGATAGATTTGGAGTTCCTGGTTTTTGTTGATTCATACAAGATTCCAAAGCGGCAGCATCTGGGCCTTTTCCACCACGTCTTTGCGCTTGATACCAGATGAATGCGGTTTTGATAGCATTTTCGTTGGCTGATGTTCCACAAAGCATTGTTTGAACCGCTTTCAAACCTTTTGGCGCGATTGAAGTCAATGAATGTTCGACGCCTTTTCCATAATCGGTACGGGGAAATGAGCCAAGAGCTGGGCGAGAAACCAAAGATGTCTGGAAAAACACGGGGATTTCCTTGAAGAACAATATAAATAAGAATAAAAGCTCACAATCAATCGTGGAGTTGCCGCAACTTCGACCAAATCCGGATGATTGTAGCCGAGAGGAAGAGATGAGATTTGAGTGTAGACGTCGAGAAGTTGATTGCCGTCCGCATCGACGACGTAGTTTCCGAACGATTTTTCGTAGTCGACGAAGAATCGGACCGATGTGGTTTGCTGGAAATTAATTTTTACTACGGTACTTCTTGATTTGTGCACTTGTGCGTCGCGGTGTTTACACACGGATAGTGGTTTCAGCTGAAATTACAATTTCAGAGCATTTTCAGCATGTTAGAGGCATTTTCAGAAAACGCTGAATATACCATCTGATTCGTCTCGTCGAGATGAATCAGGAAAACCATTTGCTTTTTACTGAAACGCATATTCAAAATAGTTAACGGCTGAAAACTGCGAATCAAAGGCGCACACATTTTTCGAAAGAGTGTGGTCTCGCAGCGATTTCAGTTTTTCCACGTTGTTCAGCGTGAAAACTGAATTTTCAAGGCTGAACTCCGCCTATAAAGTAACTGTCTGCAAACACCGTGACGCGCAAATGCACACACCGTACTTTTTCCACGTGCTCTTCCCCATTTTTCGAGCTCAAACATTCAAAAAAACTCTCGGCCATCTGCCAAATCTCCCCATTTTTTCTTTTTTTTTACACAGCAGCTGACCTTTACACTAATTTTGAACAGAATCAAAAGATATACAACAAAATAATGTGTAGAATTGCACAACTTTGGGTAAATCTTGAGCTTTTTCTACCCAGATTTCTAGCCTAGAAATTACAGTAGTAAAAATATCGATTTTCTTACATGCACTGGATCCATTTGCGCCTTTAATTCCAATGATTTTGGTCCGGGAATCGCTGTTTTGATTGTGGGCGCATTTGGTTCCGCGTTGGCGATTTGCGCCAAACCACGACCTATAAAACTGGTTTCCTTTTTTGTTTTTACCAATTTTTTATTAGTTTTATTAGTTATCAAAATAAACTGTTCGGTTCTTATCAAATTTTTATTTTTTGATAAGATTCTACGTTGTTTGAACTGATTTTTTCTTCAAAAAATCATTTTTTTTTATTTTCAAAAAATCTTTTTTTTTGTTTATTTCCCAAAAAAATAAACATTCTCATGGGAGGATTTCCGAGTTTTCTTTTTTTTTTTTTGAGAAAAAAAATTATGGAAAATTTTTTTTCAATTTTTCAAATAAAAAAAAAGTTCACCTTGTTGAAGAACATTGGATTTTGCAAGTCTGGAGAGCATTTCTGGAACAAAAAAGAGCAATTCAATTCACATTTCAAAAAAGGAGAAATCCAGAAAAAAACAACTAAAAAGAACCGAAAAAATAAATAAATTGTGAAGGGCCGCAGCAAAAAAATCGAGAGTCGAAGAGACACAGAGAAGTTGTAAAAGTGGGCGGAGCCTGGAGAAAAAATAGAAGTTTATTTCAAGAAAAATAAATAGAGATAATTAATTAATTATAATTAATGACAGCAATTAGAAAAGAGGCTATTTTATATCACATGACCCGAAAGACTAATTGAAAAAACCCTAAAATTGAATAAAAATAAATACAAAATGCAATTAAAATTCGGCTAACTAATCCAATTTTTCCTCAATCAACAAATGTGCAGCTCTCAAATATTTGTGCACCGCCGTTTCGAAATCGCATTGCTCCAATGGTTGAAGTTTGTCAATTGATCCACCATCGGCAACGGTTTTTTTGGCGCGTGACAAAAGAGCAAGACGGCAGACCTGGAGAAATGAAAACATATTTATTGGGAAGAAGCACATCTGAATTTGATTTGGGAATATTGATGGGGATGTTTGGAATTGTAAGAAAATATGGATAATTTTCAGAAAATTTTGATCTGAAAATTTTTTGACCGAAAAAATACAAAATGTGAACTTTTCGAAAACTGATGGGCATGATTAAAGTTTTAAAAAAATAATACAATATTTTTTTTTGTCAAAAAATTTAGATTCAGCAAATGACAAAAAACCATATATTTTCTATTTTGTTTTGACATTTTTTCCACACAAAAATGAAAATATCTCGCAGCGAAAATGTTTCAATGAAAAAAAATGTCAAAAAATAGGAAAAAATATAGTTTTTTGACGTTTGCTGAATCGAAATTTTTATTTTTTTTTCGACTTGAATGAATTTTGACAGAAAAATAAAAAAAGTGAACTTTTCGAAAACTAATAGAAATTTTTGAAAAAATTAAAAATCATCAATTTTTTGCGAGAAAACTGGAATTTCAGTAAATTCCAGATTTTCGACTTGTAGATTTGAATTTTCAAATTTACGATTTTTGTCCGCTAAATGTGATTTTTTTGCGCTAATTTAGAAAATCTGCTGTGATTAAACTTTTGGTATTTTTTCATTGGGTCTAGGCAAATCAGGCAAGCTTACTTTTTTGAATTTAAAAAATATATAAAAAATACTTTACTCCCAAAATTGAATCAAATGTGTATTCAAAGTTTTCAAAAAAAGCGTTTCGAGAAATGCACATAAATCTTTTGCTCTAGAGCTCTTATATTTCAAAAATTTGATTTCATCTCATCTTGTTTTTATTTCATGAAATTAAAAAAAAATTTTTTTTCGCGTACCCAAAAATTTCACATTCTCAAAAAAAAAACAATTTTCAGTGTTCAAGTGGATTCAGTGGAACATAATTGAAAATTCTCAAGACATTGGCATTTTTTTTCAAAGGATTAGGGTTGAGCTCTTTCTTCTTCTTCTACATATTTGTTTTTCACCCCTTCTCAACTAGAAAACGAAACCCATAAAACAAAAACCAACCTCCTTCAAATCAGATCCAGACAAACCATCAGAAACCTGAGCAATACTTGACAAATCCACATCCCGATTGATTTCCTCATTTTTCAAAATCACTTTCAATATTTTCTCTCGTTGATTTGAATTCGGCACTGGAACTTGGAATCTGGCCGTCATTCTTCGCAAAATTGCTGCATCGACGTCGCGTGGACGATTTGTTGCACCCATCACAATTATTTGATCGCCAGTACTTGCGAAACCATCCCAGAGTGTCATGAATTGCGCTTTCATCATTGCAGTCGCTTCGTGGTCGAAAGATTGACGATCACGAAGGAAAGAGTCTAGAAAATAAGAAATTGGGAAGAAAATAACAGAAAATGATAGTGTTTTTCAAATTTTAAACAGAATTTTCCCTTAAAAACAATTCAACACTCACCAATTTCATCAATAAAAATAATAGTTGGTTGAAACTTCTGAGCGACTGAAAAAACAGCAGCAGCCAATTTTTGCGATTCTCCGTACCATTTATCCGTCAAATTCGACACTTGAAGATTGATGAACCTTTAAAAACCATAGTTTTTCAAAATTTATATATTTTTATAAATCATAACACGGTTGCGCAGAGTATAATTTTGAAAAAAAATTTGATCTCAGTTTTTAAAGGGTCAAAACTGACGAATTCAGGGTTTTTAGAGGTCAAAAATTGAAAAATGCACATTTTCATACTGTAAAAAGTTAGCGCACAATTTTTTATTTTGAAAAACAAGATTTTGGCCGGGGTGTGATATAAATATTCATTTAAATACCTGCATCCCGCTGCTCGAGCCACAGCTTTTGCCAACAATGTTTTTCCACATCCAGGTGGTCCGTACAGCAAAATTCCTCTTGGTGGTGATAGAAGAGTGCTTGAAGATTCGGCGGCGAATTGAAGCGGGAGAATTATTCGATCTTTCAACTCGGCAACCAATTCATCGCAACCTCCTGAATTTTTGTTTTGGAAATAAATTTTAAAAAAATGAGACGTGTACAGGTTTCACGTGGAATTTCGATCATTTCTTGGCTAGCTTTATGGTCTAATCAGTCTATAATAGTTTCTGTTCAAGATTTTCAGATGTGAAACATTTTTGGTGAGTTCTGTTGGGGGAAAACTTCAGTTTCTGATATAAAATTTCAATTAGTTCCAATCTAGTAGAGCTAGGGGTTATCCGAATCCATGAAAATCTAATTTCTCACCAATATCATCCCAATCTGCTCCAACATCATCTCCGCCAACGAATTGAGTTGCAATTCGAAGTTCATGTTCGCTTAATTGAATTTCTTTCGTTATTCCGAGTTCTTGGAATAATTGTTTGACCTTCTTCGCATTTTCTTCATTCTGCGCGTGATTTGGATCGAGATGTTTCACCAAATAACGAACTGTTAGAAAAGACATTGCTGCAGCAGCACAAACGCGGATCGCGATTCCGATCATTTCCGGGCGATCCATTTTCTATCTAATTTCGAAGTTATTTACTTTTGCTCAAAAATTGTATGTTATGAAATGGTTAGGTATTTCTATTAACTGTATAATAATTTATGTAACAGATAATACAGAATGCCTTATATCAACATATTTATTGATTGCAATAACAAAAATAACAGATTTAGCTTGAAGCGCGAACAGACACTTGCCAGACTCTGATGATGTTATCGGTGTAACCAGCGAACAAGGTTTGTCCGTCTTGTGACCAGGCCAAAGAGATACATTGTGGTCCTGATCCCTTTCCGGCGATTTCTGGTCTGAGTTCGTCGATTTCTTTCTTGTCTTCCAAATCCCAGATCTTGATGGATGATCCAACAGCGGCGCAGAGCCAATATCTGTTTGGTGAGAAGGACATGGCGTTGATGACGTCGTTTCCGGAGAGGGTGTACAAGTGTTTTCCCTCGTTGAGGTCCCAGAGCATGGCTTGTCCGTCTTTACCTCCTGAAGCGCAGAGGGAACCGTCTGGTGAAACGGTAACGGTGTTGACGTATCCGGTGTGTCCGATGTGGTTGGTCTTCAGACGGCAGTTTCCGAGGTTCCAGACCTTGACAACCTTGTCCCATCCAGCAGAAACAATAACTGGATCGCGGTTTGATGGCGAGAATCGGACGGTTGAAACCCAGTCGGTGTGGCAGTCATCCTAAACAAGAATTTGAAATTTTTTGTAAAAACCAAATGAAAAACTCACGGTGATGGTGTATTTGCATTGAGCAAGGGTGTTCCACAATTTGATTGACTTATCGCGGGATCCAGAGACGATTTGTCTGTTATCAGCAGAGAAAGCGACGGAGAGGACATCCTTGGTGTGAGAGATGAATTGACGAGTGGAGACTCCTCTGAAAATTATTTGTATTAAAGCTGGAAATTTAAGAAGAATACATCTTATTTTTTCATGAAAAATCCAAGATCAGAGATCAGAATCTAAGCAACCCTCTTCTCAAACACGAATATGCTTCATAAACACACATTCGTATGGATAAAGAACTTACTGGTTCAAATCCCAAAGGCGGAGGGTCTTGTCCCATGATCCGGAGAGGGCGAATTGTCCGTCGGATGAGATGACAACATCGGAAACGAAGTGGTTGTGTCCGGTAAGAGCTCTGACTGGACGTCCGATTGGTCCTCCGTCGGATGATGGAGTGCTGTCAACATCCCAGACAAGGATCGACTTGTCTAAAAATCAAAATATAAATAAATTAACCAAAAAATATAATTTCATGAAAAACTTACCGCGAGAAGATGAAAGAACGGTGGTTTTGTCGTTACGGGTGAAGGTAGCGATTTGAGTGACCCATCCGGTGTGTCCCTCAAGGGTTCCGGTAAGTTTCATCTGTTCTTGAACCATATTTGTGTAACCCGGTTCGATGTCCTGTAAAATTCCCATTTCGACCAAAATTCGGAAAGAAAAAATAGCAAGCGATTTGAAAATCGAGTTGGCGGGATAGATATAACCTAACCTTTTATTTCTACAATTAAAATTCAAAAAAACTTCAAAATTCAAGCTTTCACGCGTCAAAACGAAGAAAAAAAAAAGAAAAACGTCCTAAAAATTCTCCATTCAACACACTCGTTTCTCTGCGACCGTATGTTTCCCTCGCGACAAGACCCAACACGAAAAATAAGTGCGCCTTGAATCTGGACGTTTGCCAAGCTATTTTATTTTTTTTTTCGTTTTTTTGCTGTTTTGTTTTGTTTTGTTAGTAAACACAAGACGTTCCTCCTCAAAATGATACACTTTACACTTTCTTCAATTTGCTATAAGCGAAATATTATAGCAACCCGAAATTTGTCCAATTTCTTCCAGTTTTGTATAGTTTTTGTTGAAACACATTTTTTCAGAGAACTTCAAAATTTTCAACAAACATACTTAAATGAATTCAAGATTAAGATAATTAATATCCCCCTTCAAATATTCTTTCTTATTTCATTTCATTTTTTGTGAAGGTCGCTGTCACACTAATTCCGATGTAATTTACTTCTCAAGAGCCGCCACTCACCGGCGCCGACACTAAATCAAACATTTTTTCTCCTGTTTTTTTCTCCCTTGCTGTTCGTTTTGATGGGATTAACATATTTTCCTTTTAGCAGCAAAAGTCTATATTATTTTCTTATCTTTTTTAGTTATTTTTATTTTTATCTATCAATGCACTTGAAATGATGATATTTAAATATTCAGGATTTTTTATTTTTAATATATATTAATATATTTTTCAATGAAGAAGAAGAAAATAATAATAATAACAACACAAGTATCTTCGGATTACATAATGTCCTTCGAACCTCTTTTCCTTTTTCTTTCCCCCATTTTTTCCTCCGATTGCTATCGATCGATCTATTATTTGTCTCATTTTCTCTCCTCTCTCCTCTTCTCTCATTATTTCACCAACCCAATCCGGCTGGCCAACAACACACTCTTATACTTTTCGTTGAAGAAAACCGTTTAATTCCCTCTTTTGGCTTGCTTTTCTTTGTCTACTTTTTGCGCGCTTCTTCACACTTTTGTCTCGGCTCTTTTGGTATGGTTTTTTTGCGATCGAAAATTGAAAAAAATAATTTTTTTTGTTAAATCCTCCTTTGGCTTCTTTTGAGAAAAACATGTGTTCCCCGCCCGAACGGAGCAGGTCATTTTTTCTCATTTTTCAAAAAAAAAACTTTTGGGCTGATTCACGAACGAAAAAAATGTTTAAAAATGTTTTTTTAACATTGAAAGATCAATTCACGAAAAGTCAAAAAATATCGAAAAAACATTGTAAGTCAAAATTAGTTTTTCGAGTTTTTCAGCCAAAAATGATGACAAATCGATATTTTTGAAGCTTCTGGTGTGATTTCTGATGAAAATTGACCTCGGAATCCATTTTTCAGAAGTTTTTGCTGATTTTTCGTAAAAAAATATTTCAAATTTTGATGAATTTCGAAAAAGTTCATAAAATAAAGCAAAATATGGTTCTCGAAGCTTATTTTCATCAGAAATTACTCCAGAAGCTTGAAAAATATCGATTTGTCATCATTTTTGGCTGAAAAACTTGAAAAACTAATTTTGACCTACAATGTTTTTTCGACATTTTTCGACTTTTCGTGAATTGATCTTTCAATGTTAAAGGGTTGGTGTTTTCCTGGTGAAAAAATCGTCTGCAAAAAAGCGTCACCGTGTTATTTTCAAAGTTGTGTGCAAACACACACACGAAAATTCAAAAACAAGTTGTGCGCTAGAGCGCATTTACCTGCTTTATTTCGTAGGTTTTAACTCGCTTGTGTTTTTGAGGAAAAACATGGGCTGAATTGATACTAGAATTTTTTCTAAACCTGGAACCTTCCAGGAGCACCTTATTCCTATCTAAACCAAGCAAAATTCCCTGGCGGAGCACCAACCCTTTAAAAAAACATTTTTTCGTTCGTGTCCTTTTATGACCTCACATTATTATCATTACTTTTATAAACATATTTTCCCCCACTATAATTCAAAATTAATTTTTTTTCGACTTGAGTAAAAATAAGCAAATTAAGTTTTTCTATCTAAATATAAACAACAAACCACAACTAATTAGTTTATTTATTTATTTATTTACACAACTTTCTTCAATACCAGTTTTTCCTTCTGATTTTTACGCTTCTTCTTCTTCGTTCACTAAAAAGCAACCTCTCTCTTGGGAGTTTTGCCCTTTCTTTTTCTCGGACTAACAAAAAGATGAGATTATGCTCTTTCACATGATTGAAATAGTAGTAGTGGTTTATTCCAAGTTTTGCCTCCTCGTTTTTGATGATACAAATCTTTTATAGATTTGTTTTTTCGATATGAATAATTTTTACTATGTGAAAGAAAATACGAGTATTTTATGAATATATGTCAAACAGATTGATCTATCCCGGATTTGTTGAGATAAATTTTCTGGTGTTTGGGGCGAAAATTTTGAATTTAGGAGTAGTTTTCGACCCGCTGATCACGATCCTGATGTCTAAAACTGCAGAATTCAACTCCAAATGTGAGTTATGACGTGGAAAAGTTGGAAAATTGGGGCTTTACTCGTTTCAAAATGATTTTCATGCAAATTCGAAAGCATAATGTTGTTCAAGAAAATCTTTGAAAAGCCAAGTCTCCTGAACAACGCTATGCTATCAGATTTTCATGAAAATCATTTTGAGGGTGATGAGTTTTCCAATTTTTCCACGTCATGACTCATATTTGAAGTTGAGCTTTGCAGTTTTTGACTAGAAAATCGTGATCAGCGGGTTGAAAACTACTAGAAAATGTAAATTTTATTAAAAATCTTGATTGCAAGTTGAAACAGTTCCCTTGTGAAGTAAATTTCTGAAATTCTGAAGCTTAAATGTTCAGAGCGAATTTTTTTCTGAATTTGAATTTTTAAAATTTTTGTTCTTCTTCCCCAACCCTAAAAATAAACTCAAATGATTTTTCTGTAATTTTTCAACTTCAACCTTTTCAATCTCTCAAACCCCTCTCAAATCTCCCAACTCTTCCAGATCTACCGGTATTCATCGCCGGATGGAGCCACGAAAACCGCGGCAAGACCCGGTAAACGATGCTCGCTTCTACGAATCACTCATCAAACCTCCCCATATTCGAACACCCGAAGATATTCGAAATGTCTATGAGCAATTGCGACAATTGGACACGTTCAGCAATTTGTATAATGCGCCTTTAAAGGCGATTTGTGCGTCGGCGAGATATGAACGACATCCGGCACATTATAATCTTTTTCGGTGAGCGCGCCGGGGGTTTTTTGGGAGCCAAAATTTGTGAATTCAAAATTTTTACTGAAAAAAAAAACTGTATTCAAAAATCACATAATTTTGCTGCCAATATGAGTTATGACGTGGCAAAGCCTGATTTTTTTTTGAAAAATTGGGACTTGATAAGGTTATTTCTGATTTAAACATGAATTTTGTGAAAATCTAACTATGCTATCATTTCTGTTGAAAATCCACGTGTCAAAATTTTCTCCCTTTAAATAATTTTTTTTACATTTAGGGATCAAAAATTATAGCCAAAAATGTTTGTGCGCAAAAGTTTTGAGCTGAAATTATTCCAAAAATTTGAGAAAAAAAATCCTTATTCAAAAATTACATAACTTTGCTCCTAATATGAGTTATGACGTGGCAAAATCTGAAATTTTTTGAAAAATTGGGGTATTACTAACTTGAGCAATGAATTTGTTCATAAAATTCATTTTTCAAGATTATCAAAAAAAAATTTTTCAAAAATTTTCAGATTTTGCCACGTCATAACTCATATTAGTTTTTTTTTTGAAAATCCTCAACTTTCAAATTTTCTTAAAAACAGAAAGAACTTTCATTTTTTCCATGGCAATTCCTTGGAAACATTTTTTCCTGATGCATCTATTCATTTGCGAAAAAAAACCGAAAAAAATGTATTTTTTTACAATATTTTTCTATTCACCAAAATGCACGAAATAAATGTCAATCGTGACGAGACCCACACACATTTCAAGGAGAAAAACATGCGAGAAAAAAACAAGAAATGAAATTTTCGAAAGCATGCATTTTTCACACTCGTTGCCTTGAAATGAGTGTGGGTCTCGTCACGATTGCATGTATTTCGCGACAATTTGTGATTTTGGTGAATAGAAAAATATTGTAAAAAAATACATTTTTTTCGTGTTTTTTTGCAAATGAATAGATGCATGACTCATTTTTTTTTCAAATCTCAAAAAATCCGATTAGAAAAAGGATTTCAAAAAAAAAAACTTTTTTCTCTTTGCAGTGACGGTCAAGTTGCAACGTGTTGGTATATTCTACTATCTGGATCAGTTTTTATCGAAAATCACATTTATTTGCCCTATGCTTGGTATGTTTTTCACTTTTCCCGCGCCAAAAATTTTAAGTTTTTCGCTGTTTTTTCTACGTTTCGATTCGAATCGTTTCGCTAATCCTTAATTTCTAGTTTTTCGAAGATTATGAATAATCTGGTTTTATTGGATTCCTTCTTTCGTCGTTCCTTTTCTCCATTTTTTTCTCGAAAAATTTCGTTTTTTCGTACTTTTTTCATTTTTTTTCTACAAACAAATTGCAAAACGTAAATACAAAAGGTTCGAGAGAATTAGTCATTTTTTTGTTTCGCGCCATTTTTTTCCAGACACATTGTTTGCAACAGAAAAAAAGAAAGAATTTTCTGTGTATGTTGGGAAAAGTTATCATCTCCTTTCGATTATTTTGTTGATTTTCACCTAAATTTGTCGCGCGCGAGATGATATCTTGCGGTTTGATACTTTTTTCTCGTTATTATTATGATTATTATTTGGCCTAAATTTTTTCTTGGACATTTGCCAGCTCAAAATTTCGGTTGAGAAGCCGAAGTCTAGAAGTTGAGATCTAGAAGTCTGAGGTTTGGCCTAGAAGCCTAAGCCTAGAAGTCTATACCTAGAAGCCTAGAAGCCTAGAGCTTAGAAGGCTGGCCCTAACAGCCTCAAGACACCTTATCCTAGAAGCCCAAAGTAATATCTACAAGCCTAGAAAAATAGTCCTGTAGTCAAAGCCTGGAAGATGGCCCTAACTACCTAAGCCAAGAGGCCTAAGCCTAGAAGCCTAAGCCTAGAAGCCTAAGCCTAGACGTCTAGTGCTAATAGTGAAATCCTCAAATCTCCAACAATCTTCAGTAATTTTCCCCAAAGTTCTCATTCATTTTTCTACTAATCAACGAAAAATGAAAAATGTTCCCATATGTTTTTGTTTTTGACACACTCATTCAAAATGAGTAATATCTCCTCGATCTTTTCGTGTGTGTTTTTTATTTTTATATTTTTCTTCATCGTCCATCTTTAATGTGTCTCATAAAATGTGGTGGTGGTGGCTGTAAAAAGCGCGGTTTTTCTCATTTTCTTTATTTTCTCATTTTAACCAGCAGCAAAAAAAATGGGCGAAGATTTTTGGATATAACATTTTTTGAGAATCGTAAACCTCGTTTTGGTTTTGTTTTGTTCAAGGCGTAGGTGTCATTAAGCTGTTGTCAATCCGAAAAAAATCCCTTCTTTAAGTTGGCGCTCACGTACAGTAGACTGAAAATGACGTGGCACCTGCACATCAAACTGGTTGGCAAAAAGCCAGCGTGTTATTTTTCAAATAGTATCCAAGAAGTCTACTGTAACTAGAGATCAGACTTATTGTTCGGATTAGATTTTGAAACTTTTGTCGAATTTTCTTTGCTTTATGGCTTTTGGCATATGTTTTTCAACACAAAACTAGGAAATAGTATGATTTTTTGCATTTTCATCGCTTGAAATCGGCCCAGGCTGAGGTCCGGACGTAGGCTTGAGATCAAGGTTAGGCTTTAAAGGTGGAGGCTGAGCAAAAATAAGTTATGCTCATTTGAAAGATCGTGCTCTAATTAGTACTATCCTTGAAGGATGCTTCTCAAACATTAATTAAAAAATTTCAAATTTCGAAAAAACAGTGAAAAATCGTGTAAAATGACTTGAAAGTTCAGATTTGCAGTAGTTTGGATTTGATTTTTCAAAAGCTTCCAGAAAAAATCCTTTGAGGATTCTACTAATTAGAACTTCCTCTTTCAAATGAGCACAACTTATCTTTTGCTCAGACTCCACCCCAAAATTTGAACGTAGGCTTTCAACCCTTAACTTGTGTCACAAAGACTAGACAAATATTAGGCCCAAACCTAAAAGTACATTTTTGGACCAACTTCTAGACCTCTAGTCTATTTTGTCGTTTCTGTTCGACCTCCCAGGAAATGAGAACATGATAATAATTGTTGTCTTATTTATTTTGCTCATCCTTTTCTTCTCTTTCCTCCCAAAAACATTATCATCTTTTTTCCATAATATTATTGTGCCTGTGTTCATAAAAACCTGCCTTGATTATTTATTATTATATGTATGTATTTTCTTTCGAGCTCCCCCATGTTCTTCTTCTTCTTTCTTTCTTGATCCAGGAGAAGAAATACACATAATTGTTTACATTAGCGACGTTTTCGGCAACTGGCCGACACGGTGTATTTTAGAAAATCGCCGCCGCTCACAGACCTTTTTCCCCCCATTTTTTCTGTCTTGTATCCAATTTCAACCTGATTTTTTGCAGTTTTGGAAAACGCAACGGGTTGAACTATCGAAGAACACACGATTGTATGCTTTTACAAGAATCGGAAATGATTGTGGTGAGTTTTTTTTTTGAAATTTTGACTCAAAAAAAATGTTTTTGACCCTGTCACTTTTTTGTTGCAAAAAAAAAGGAAATTTGATTTGTGATGTCAAGATTTTTTGTCACATTTTTTGATTTTCACAACATTTTTTTCTTGACCAAAACAATTTTTTCCATTTTTTCTAGATTGATTACCCGGACGTGGCTCTGAACGGAGCGAATTCGCCAAAAATGCAAAGAGGAATGGATAATCGAATGGCGACGAGGAAATCGGTGGGTGGTTTTTATCGGGTTAGCGCCTAGAGAACCACGTTGTCAAGTAGCCGCGCCTAGAGAAACTTATTGTCTAGGATTCACATCGAGAGATCCAATATAGCAAGAATCCGCGCCTTGAGAGCATCATTATCGAGTAGGGTTGCCTTGAAATCCTAGTTGTTAAGTAGCCGCGCCTTGGAAGCTTAGTTGTCAAGGGTCAGTGCCTAGAGAACCTAGTTCTTTAGTAGCCGCGCCTGGAGATCCACTCCGGCAAGGAACTGCACCTTGAGAGCATCATTATCAAGTAGGGGAGCCTTGAAATCCTTGTTCTGTAGTAGCCACACCTAGAAAGTTCAATTGTCAAGTAGTCGAGCCTTGAAATCCTAGTTGTCAAGTAACCGCGCCTAGAGGACCTAATTTTCTAGGATCCGTATCTAGAGATCCACTCCGGCTATCGAGAGATTCAATCCACCAAGGAGCCGCGCCTTGACAGAGTCTATTTCAAGCTCCCGCGCCTAGAAAGTTCAAAATCCAAATTTTTTTAGGCTCCTCATTTTTTTCCTCAATTTTTTTTCTAAGCCTAATTTCATCTCTTCCAACTTCCTGTTCTTCCATTTCCTTGCGTGACAATTTGCAACATTTTATTTTATTTTTTATTTGGATGATGTGAATTTCTTATATTATTTCTCAGTATACACAAACTCTTTTCCGAAATTTTCACCTGTTTCTCCCCGTCCTTTTCCAAAAAAAAATAAATAAAAATCAATATTTTTGCAGACACCCAACGCTGATTCGATGGCAATGCCCCCTCCGCCAGTCCCACCACGACCTCTTAAACTACCACCAACTGCCTCAAAAGGTCCCGCACCTTTGCCGCCACGTGGATTACCTCGAACATATCCGCTGGATTTTCCAGTCGATATGCCAACAACATCGGCAGATCATCGAAGTCAAGTGTATTTGAATGGATGTTCGATGCAAATGGCTGATGATGACACGTTGGTTCGAGTCAAACATCGACGAGAGAAATCGAATTCGTTGGGTGGAATGAATGTGCAAGCGGCGAGACGATTGAGAGGGAGAAGGTGAGGATTTCACAGAGAACAAAAAAATAAAATCCGAAATTTGGCTATTTGCCAACCAGTTTGATGTGCAGGCGTCACCTCATTTTTGGTCTACTGTACGTGAGCGCCAATTCAAACAGGGGATTTTTTCTTTGCTGAAATATTTTTCGTATTTTTTTGAGATCTGACACGATCTTTGGGGTTGGACAAGGGGAAATTGAGAGATTTAGAGAAAAAATTCTACACTGTGAATTCTGGAATAAAAAAAAAGAAAATGTGAACCTCAATCTGAATCTGAAAAATTTCTGAGAAATAAAAATTAAATTTAATTTTTGAAATTTTTTCCGGAAATTTGAAATTTAAAATTGATTTTGAATATTTCCAAACTCTGGAGCTCTCTGAAATTTCCAAAATTAAATTAAAAAATTTTTTTTTTCTGATGAAAATTCGGGTTTCCCATCCCAAAAGCTCCAAATATACTTTGAAAATTCGAAATTCCATAAAAAGTGATTTTTTTTGCTCATAGACTACTGTAGCTCCATTTCTAGCGCGAAATTTTTGAAATTCAAAATTTTGGACAAAAAATTTTAGTTTGAAAAAAAACTGTGACAAAATTTTACAATTTTTCAAAAAAATAATCAGATTTTTGAGATGTTTTTTAGCTAATTTTAAAAACTTTTGAAATTTTGGACAGAAAACCTTTTTTTTGCATTAAAAAAGTACACTTTCAAGTTTCCCTTCCAAAACCGAGAAGAAATTGATCAGATTTTCAAGAAAATTTCAGTACGGTAGCAATACTGTAGCTCTGTTTCCCGCGAAAAACTTTTAAATTTGAATTTTTGGACAGAGAACCTTTTTTTTCATTAAAAAAGTATACTTTCAAGTTTTCCTAACTGAGACAAAATGAATTTTGATCAGATTTTCAAGAAAATTTTCACAATTTTCCTCATTTCCAGCACGGCTTCTTCAACAACAACCGAAGGTGAAACAGCATCAAATGATGGCGGAGATTCGGAAGACGAAGAAGGAAGTATGCCATCACAAGAAAGTAGCAGCGGAGGATTCATGGATCTAAGAGACAGTGTTCGTGAATGCCTCGAAAAAGAACCATCACAACGAAATTCGGAAGATTTGTCAGTTCTCCTCGATTTTATGCAGCACATGTCAGCATTTGCCGCATTTCCAATGTCAATTAAAAGAGAACTTTGTCTGAAAATGGTTTTTGCTGTAGTCTCCCCAGCTGGAACTCTTGTATTAGGACATAATGAACGACTTGATTCGTGGTCTGTGATTGTGAATGGATGTATTGAAGTTGTGAAGCCAAATGGTGATCGAATTGAGTATAAATTGGGAGATTCGTTTGGAATCGAGCCAATTTCCACGCAACAATATCATATTGGAGAAATGCGAACATTGGTGGATGATTGTGAATTTGTATTGGTGGAACAGCGGGATTTTATAGCGATTATGAGTACGATTGGGGAACATATTGAGAAAGATCGAGATGGGATAACTGGAGAAGTTTTGTCGGAAATGGAAAGACGGACGATTGGAAGCTATTCGGGACAAGTTCTGATTAAGGGAAAGCCGGATAAATTGATACAGTATTTGGTGGATGACAGGGATAATAATGTGGATCCGCATTTTGTTGATGATTTTTTGTTGACTTATAGGGTGAGTTTGGGCCCCTGGGGAAAATTGATTTCATTTTTTTCCTGGAAATTGTTGTGATTTTGAAGGAAACGTTGAAATTCTTGAAGTTTCATCTAGAATTTTTGATTTTTCTTTTACAGATTCCTGAAACGTATTTTTTCCTGTAAATTATTGAAGGAACCCCTGAAATTCTTGAGTTTTTTCATTCAGAAGTTATGATTATTGATTGAAATTAAGAACTGAAGCGGAAAATTTGGATCAGAATTTTTTCAAATTTCCCCATAAAAATTTGAAGAAGTTAGCTACAGTACCCTGATTTTGGCGCGGAAAATTTGGATTTGAATTTTTAAAAACTTTCTGAAAATTTTGAAATTACAGTATTTCAATTTTTAGCTCAAAAAACTTTGAATTTTTCAGCCGAATTTTGATTTTAACTGAAATTGAAAATCAGAGCTACAGTATCCTGATTTTGGCGCGAAAAATTTGGATTTGAATTTTTTAATTTTTCCCTGAAAATTTGAAATTACAGTACCCTAATTTTTAGCTCGAAATTTTTAGGCCGAATTTAAATTTTAATTGAAAATGAGAGCTACAGTACCCTGATCTCGGCGCGAAAAATTTGGATTTGAATTTTCAAATTTTTTCCCTGAATATCTGAAATTACAGTATGCCAGTTTTTAGCTCGAAAACCTTGAATTTTTAATCCAACCTTAAAATTTTTACACATACATAAAATGGGTCCCCAGAATCGGGTTAGGGTTTAACTTTTTTCAAAAATCTGAAGGGAAGGGTGCCTAACTTGGCCAATTTTCTGCTGATGATTTACCAAAATTACCAGATTTGTCCAAAATTAGCTCAAAAATGGTAGGAAGGTGTTTAACTTTGGAAAATTTTCAAGGAGGGACCCTAACTTTGAAAACTGACTCGGGGGACCTATTTTATGTATGTTTTTACATGGAAAACAAGAGCTACAGTACCCTGGTCTCGGCGCGAAATTTTTTTTCTACTGGAGTTTTTCTGAAAAACATTCCTTTGAACCAAATTTTTAGTTTTTACGCTGAAATTGAAGCTACAGTACTCTAGTTTTTATTTTCAAAATTGTTGTTTGCCACGTGGAATTCGGGACGATTTTAGGCCTACAGTAACCAGAATTTGGCGCGAAAATCCAGAAATTATTTATTTTTGTCAAATTTCCAACTTCTATCTTTGCAGGTTTTCATTCGCGATCCGACAGTAATCTTCGAAAAATTAATGTTATGGTTCGCCGAATCAATATACCGTGATAAAGTTGCTCGACTAGTTCTCCTTTGGGTCAACAATCATTTCAATGATTTCGAAACCAACGATGAAATGTGGAATTTATTGGAAAGATTTGAAGGAGCATTAGAAAGAGATGGAATGCATTCACAATTATCACTTCTAAATATCGCATGTTCTGTAAAAGCCAAACCTCGACAAATTCATTTGACGAGGAAAAAAGAGGATAAAATGATGATGAGATTGGTTGGTGGAAAAGAGCAAGGGAATTCGGTATTTGTGGCCGAAGTTTTTGCGGATACTGTAGCACAACGAGAAGGTGTCAAAAGAGCTGATGAAATATTGGAGATCAATCAACAATCGGTGAAATATTTGACGGTTTTGAAAGCGGAAGAAATGTTGACGGGAAGTTTGTCGATCAATTTACTCCTGAAAAATAATGTGTTGGGATATAAGGAGGTGATTGGGAAGGTTGATAAAACAATGAGAAATGGAGGGGGAAGAAATGCGAGCACGCCGATGGTTATTCCTGTGCATAAAACTGTGAAAGGTCAGTTTTCGGGCAAATTTTGGGATCAAAATTCAATTTTCGGGAATTTTCCCCAGATTTTTAGCAAATTTTGGGATCAAAATTCAATTTTTTAGAATATTTTTGAGATTTTCAGCAAAATTAAGGATCAAATTTAATTTTTGAGAATTTTCCTGAGATTGTCAGCAAATTATGAATCAAAATTCAATTTTTGGGAATATTTTTGAGATTTTCGGGAAAATTTCGGGATCAAAATTCAATTTTTGAGAATTTTCTTGAAATTTTCAGAAAAATATGAATCAAAATCCATAAAAAACATATATTCCCGAATTTTTTATTCATGATGCCCAAAATTTGACCTACAGTAACCCCTCTTTGGTCCACAATCATCATTTTTTGGCGCGAAAATTTTGAATTTTCCACGTGAAATTTTCGCTCCTGAAATCGGACCTACAGTATCCTCGATTTTCGGCGGGAAAATTTCGAATTTCAAAAAATATTCAGTATCTTTTTTTTTGCATTTTCCACGTGGCATTTTTCAGCTCAAGTCATTACAGTAGTTGAACTACTGTAATCCCCCTCTCTCCAGCTACAGTAATCAATGACTTTTTGCCAAAAATTCCTCTTTTAGAAATTAAAATTCACACCGAAAAAATTGGACCTACAGTATTTTTTTGATCTACAGTCATTACTTTTTGGCGCGAAAATTTGAATTTTCCACGTGGAATTTCAGCTCGAAATATTACAGTAGTTGAACTACAGTAACCCCCCCCCCTTTTCAGCAGAAATTGGGCCCTACAGTACGCTATGACTTGAATTTTGAAAAAATTTGTGTAACCCGCGAAAAATACGTTTCGAAAAATTCTAGAAATATTTTTTTTGTTTTCTCAAAATGGTTTTTTCACTGCGAATATTCAGAATCAAAATCCCGATTTCTGCACATTTTGGCCCAATTTTTAAGCGAAAATTGGAATTTTCCAGTATCCCAGCATTACAGTAATCCCATTTTCATCAGAAAAAAAAAATTTAATTTGAATTTTTTTCCCGCGCGAAAATGAAAATCTTTGAATATTTTCCAAATTTCAGCAAATAAATCAAACGGAACAACCGGAAAATCAAGTATGATGGATAAATTGATGACAATTCTAAAATCGGGAAAAGAAATGGATGATTTCACCGACGAAGTTCCAAAAATCAATGATCTCCGTCCATCTCGATCCAATCCAGACATAACATCAATCTCACAATATTACGGCCCGGTTCGAAGTGAATTACCCGAACATGTTCTCAAGATCTATCGAAACGATCAAACCTTCAAATATCTACCAGTCTACAAAGAAACATCGGCTCAAAACGTTGTTCAACTCGCACTTCAAGAATTCAACATGACAGCCGAAGGTTCACCAGAATGGTCACTTTGTGAGTGTACTGTGACACAGGATGGTGTCATAAAACAGCGAAGACTTCCACCGCAAATGGAGAATTTGGCGGAGAGAATTGCGTTGAATAGCAGATATTATTTGAAGAATAATAGTAGATCTGAACCTTTAGTTCCGGATGAATTGGCACCGGAAATATTGAAGGAGTCACAAACTCAATTGTTGAATTTGAATGCGCAAGTTGTTGCGGCGCAATTGACACTTCAAGATTTCGCGGTTTTCTCAGCCATCGAACCAACTGAATTTATCGATAATTTATTCAAATTGGACTCAAGATATGGATCACCTAGATTAATTGAATTCGAACAATTATTCAATCGAGAAATGTGGTGGGTGGCTACTGAAATTTGCACCGAAAGAAATGTCCAAAAACGAGCGAAATTGATCAAGAAATTTATAAAAATTGCGAGATACTGTAGAGATTTGAGAAACTTCAATTCGATGTTTGCGATAATGTCAGGGTTGGAGAAACCGGCGGTGAGAAGATTGCATTCATCATGGGAACGAGTGTCAACGAAATATATTCGAATGCTTGAAGAAATACATCAATTAGTAGATCCATCGAGAAATATGTCGAAATATAGGCAACATTTAGCCGAAGTTGCGCAAGAGCCACCGGTTGTCCCGATTTATCCGGTGATTAAAAAAGATTTGACATTTTCACACGAGGGAAATGCGACGTATGTGGAGAAGTTGATTAATTTTGAGAAATTGCGATTGATTGCAAAATCGGTGAGGCAGGTGATGAAATTGAGTAGTGCACCGTATGAGATTGCGAGTATGGCGGAGAGGGTGAGTGCTGGGGACATATTTTTTGACAAAAAATTTCGATTTCAGCTAATTTTTATCGGAAATTTCGAAATTCTTTTTAAATTTTATTAAAAAATTTTCCAAAAAAATTTTTTTTTCAAAAATTCTTTTTTTTTGGTGCCTGAAATAAGGAATTTTGAAATTTATTTTTTTTGGTGTCAAAAATTCGAAATTTCAACATTTTTTTTGAATTTCAATTCTTTTAATGTTGAATGTTGAATTTTTAAATTTATCAAATTTTGAATTTTGAAATTTGAAGTTTAATTTTTTGAATTTTGAATTAAAAAGTTTTTTTTCAAAATTTTCTCTTGAAATTTTGAATTTGAATATTTGCCGCCCAAAATCTACAGTACCTTTTCACCAATAGTTCTTGGAACTTTTTTTTCGAGTTTATTTTGTTTTGAAAATTTTCCCATTCAAATTTACCAGGATTTTTGAATTTCGAATTTTTTTGAGAATTACAGGCCTCCTGAGCTCTCTGAAAAATAATTTCAAAATTCTCATTTGCCGCCAAAAATTAGGAAATTCAAATTTTATCTTCTGACCACCAAAACTTGAAATTTTGAATTTGAATATTTGCAGCCCGAAATCTACAGTACCTTTTTACCAGTAGTTCTTGGGATTTTTTTTTTTGAAATTCGAGATTTAAAAAAAAAACCCCAGATTTTTGAGCCCTAGGTATATTTAAATTGGCCAATTAAAGTAAAAATTACAGTAAATTTAAGAATTACAGGCCTCCTGTGTTCTCTAAAAAAAATGAGTTATCCCAAATCGTTTCCCCAAATAAAATTCATTTTTTTGCAGAGCGGCGGCACTGTCATCGATGCTCTTCTTCACATGAACACATTCGAAGGTTCCAACGTGGCAACAATGCGAAAAGGAATGAGCGCGCGACAAAATCAGCCGCGAAAAAAGATCTACGAACAATCGTTGATGGTTCGAAAAGTCAAATCGTATTTGGAAACACTGAATGTTGTGGATAATGAGACGGAGTTGGATACGTTGAGCTATGATATTGATCCGCAGATACAGAGTTAGTTTGGAGCAAAAAATACGTTGTGCTCATTTGAAAGAGCAATTTTCTGAAATTTCTCAAACAAATTTCAAAAAAAAACAGTGAAACACCGTGTATTTGAGGCTGTTTTTCTATGTAAAATCCAAATTTTTCAATTAAAATTTGACAAAAAAAAACATTGCTCATATTATAGACAATCGTGGACCATCTGCAAATATTCGACGTGTTCCATCACCAACTCCATCTTCATTATCTTCGCAATCCTCAAGTTCCGCGGATCGACGACTTTTTGCCAACTCGAAATTCGGAGTCGAAAGTCCGCAAGCTGTACAGAAAATGTTGGCATTGGTTCAGAATAGTAAACTAAAAGGTGTGTATTTTTTTTATTTGAAAATTGTATTTTCACGCGTTTTTCCCTTCTTTTTTTCCTTTTCTATATGTGCCCGTGTGTTTTTAGTGATGCACCAGAAAAAGCTGAAAATTTTGGCTCATTTTGAGTTGTTGAAATTTTAAAATTATTGGAAATCTCAAAAAATTTGAAGTTTCTGTAACTTGAAAGCTAAAAATGCATATATCTTGGCCCGAGGCCCAATTTTTCTCGAATTGGACCAAATTTCGAAAATTCCCCAATTCAGGAACCAAAAAATCTTGAAATTTTAAAGAACCTAAATTTTGAATCAATGAATTTTTTAGTTCCTGCAAATCTGGAATTGTTAAAAATTTATTTCAAAATTTTTGGTCCAATTTCATAAATTTTTGAGAAAAATAATTGAAATTTTAACAAATTTCTGAATTTTCCTGATTCAGGAATTCAAAAATCTTTTTTGAAAATTTGAGTTCCTGAAATTCTAAAATTATTCAAAATTTGAAGTTGCTGTAACTTGAAATCTAAATAAAAATGTTTATCTTGGCCTGAGAAATTACCCAGGCCCAATTTTTTCTGAAATTAGAACAAATTTCGAAAATTCCCCAATTCAGAAACCTAAAAATCATTTTTTTTTCTCAAAAATCGGTTACAAATTATTGCACCTGGAAATTTGCCAAATCCAAAGATCAGGGAATTTTTTAATTGAGCCCAAGAAATTAGACCAGGCCCATTTTTTTCTGGAAAAATTCTGAAATTGGAACGAATTTTGAAAAAAATTTCTAGCCCAAACAACAAAAATCGGTTCCAAATTGGAATATTGTCAAATCTGAAAATCATCCAAATTATTGAAATTCCAATTTTTCAGCCTAAAAAAGTTTGAAAAAATCAATATTCCATCCCTCCCCCAAAATCACCGCTTCTCCTTTTCCCCCTTATTTCTTTCCTATTTGTAACCGTAATCCTATCTAGGTGCACCAATTCCATCATCACCACAAACCGGCACACTTTCCGCTTCTTCTCGTGGACTACACCGAAATGTGCCACGTGTCACGCCGAATCGCCAAAACGGAACAATTCAAAAAAATGAACCGGTTCAGCTGAATGAGGAAACCTCGTCGGTCACCAGTTTTTATTCGTCGGGTTAGTTTTTTCCTCCAGAATTTTTGATAATGAAAAAAGTGTGCATTTTTTTATAGATGTGCTCATTTAGAATAATATCCAAAAATCCACGTGTTGTTGTTGTTTTCTTTTGCTGTTGTTGTGGTTTCTCGTGCACCCTATTGTCTCTTTTCATTTTTACAAACTACTTCTTCTTCTTCTTTTTTGAGTGAGTGAGTTTTAATTAGCTAATTAATTAATTAATTAATCAATCAATCAATAATTAATCAATTCTCAGAATACGCTCGCCGAACTCGATCCGGATCCGAAGTTCGATTTCCCACTTTTGAAACATCGGATGGATTTTTGTCGCCGGCCAATGCGATTCTACCAAAATCGTCGTTGTCGGTGGTGATTCCAACGCATTGGTGAGTTTTTTTTCGGTATTTCTCATGTTAGGCTTATTTTTCTGAAAATAAATTGGGCCTATGTTTTTTAGCATTGCTCAGGTTAGGCTTATTTCTCTTTACAGCATTGCTCAGATTAGGCTTACTTATATTTTTTGAAAATAAATTTGGCCTGTGTTTTTTAGCATTGCTCAGGTTAGGCTTACATATTTTTCAGAAAATGAAATTTTCTGCATTGCTCAGGTTAGGCTTACAATTAAATATTTTTCTGAAAATAAATTGGGCCTATGTTTTTTAGCATTGCTTAGGTTAGGCTCACTTATTTTTCTCTAAATGAATTAGGCTTGATTTTTTAGCATTGCTCATGTTAGGCTTATTTTCTGAAATTGAATTAGGCCTATATTTTTTAGCATTGCTCAGGTTAGGCTTACATTTTTTCTCAGAATTGCTCAGATTCGGCTCGCATATTTTTTTGAAAATATGTTTTTTAGTATTGCTCAGGTTAGGCTTAAAATTAAATATTTTTTTGAAAATAAATTTGGCCTATGTTTTTTAGCATTGCCCAGGTTAGGTCCATTTTTAACAGCGGTTTAATTTCCATTTTTTTTAAACTTTTGAACAATTTTTAACTGGAAATCTAGATGTTCAAAAAATTAAGTTTCAAATTGTCTAGAAAAAAGTTGATTTTCAGTCCACCACCTCAAAAATCATCAGCCACAACGCCCAAACAAAAATCTTCCCCACATCGTTCCCGTTCCCGCTCGCCATCTCTTTCCTCTGTCGTCCTCTCCACTTCCCCCCTCGCAACATCATTCGGAAGTCCACACCATTCAACCCACTCAACACTTCGCGGTTTCGTTTTGGGACATCGACCGATTCCGATCCACGGATCATCAACACTTCCATCGCCAAGATCTTCATCGAATGGTTTGCCACCAAAATCACGCCCAACTATTTTGCCCAATAAAATGGGAACTATTAAAGAAGGTGATTTTTTTATTTTTCGGGAAATTTTATAAAAAATCAATTTTCAGCAAACTTCTTGACATCTGAACAAGTTTCCCGTGTTTGATATCGAATTTACGTGTGTTTTCTTACATAATCTATCTACATATTTATTGCATGTACCTTGCCATATATACTTATTTTTTTTCAAAAATGTACCCTTAACCTTAATTCGACCAGTTCAAAATGTTCATTTTTCTGTGATGTTATTTATTTTTTTCGCTCTTCTTCATGTGAATATAAATATAAAATTATTAATTACTCAACTTTGAGCAAAAACATGACGAATATTTTTCAAAAATTCCAATTGCATTCGAGTTTCGAGATCGGATAATTGGGCGACTGACGAAGCGGTTGAAAGACCGTGTCCTTGAATTGACACACCGGCTCCTCGCTTTTCACCATACACGACTTTTCCGTCGAATTCGTCGATTGGAATGTTGAAATCGCTGTCGACGGTGGAAATTGTGGAACCGATGTGCTCTTCGATGTCGCCGAGCAGCTGGAAAAGTTTGGAGCTCAAAAATTGTTTTATGTATGAATTGCTAGTTTTTGTCAAGGGTTAGCGCCTAGAGATTCACTATGACAAGGAGCTGCGCCTTGAAAGTAAATTGTCAAGGATCAGCGCTTAGAGAGTCTAGTTCTTAAGGAGCGGCGTCTAGAGATTCACCGTGGCAAGGAGCGACGCCTAGAGATCCTCTCTGACAAGGAGTCGCGCCTAGAGATTCACTATGACAAGGAGCTGCGCCTTGAGAAATTCTATGACAAGGAGCTGCGCCTTGAGAGCTTGGAAGCCAAGCAGCCGCCTCTTGTAAGTTAAATTGTTAAGGAACAGAGCTTAGAGAGCATAGTTGTCTAGTAGTCGAGCCTAGACAGCTCAATTGGCAAGGGGCCGAGCCTGAAAACCCCAGTTGTCAAGTAGCCGCGCCTAGAGAGCATAGTTCTTGAGTAGCTGCGCCTAGATAACATAATTGTCAAGGATCGGCGCCTGGTGAACCTAGTTGTCTAGTAGTAGAGCCTAGACGGCTCAATTGGCAAGGGACCGAGCCTAGAAATTGCAGTTGTCAAGCAGGCGGCGCTTAAAGCATATAATTGTCTAGAAGCAAAGTCTAGAGATACACTCTGACAAGGAGCGACGCCTTGCGAGATTCTATGCCAAGTAGCCTCGCCTAGAAATCGCAGTTGTCAAGCAGGCGGCGCTTGAAGAATCTGATTGTCTAGGAGCGGCGTCTAGAGATCCACTCTGACAAGGAGCGGCGCCTACAAATATCTATTGTCAAGAATCAGCGCCTAGAGATCATAACTCGCAAGTAGCTGCGCCTTAGGAGCATCTAAGCCAAGCAGCCGCGCCTAGAGATCCACTCTGACAAGGAGCGGCGCCTACAAATATAAATTGGCAAGGAGCACCGCCTAGAGATCATAATTCGCATAATTTTTTTTCAAATTTCAGAACCCCCCTCCCCCAAATCACCCACCCTCTTCTCATTCATCCAAATCGCACATCCACCATTCTGAACCTCTTCGGAATTATGGCATCCAATTCCTCTCGATCGACACGTGTGAAACCACACTTTTTCCTCATTTTCTGAGACCAACGAAATCGACAAACCCATTCTTTCAGCTCGTCCAACTCGACCAATTCGATGAACATACATTGCTTTTTCATCGGGAAGGGTCATGTTGATGACTGGAAAAATAAGGAAATGGGGGGGGGGTGATTCAAGTTGAAAAAAATTAAATCGATTCAGCAAAACTATATTTTTTCCTATTTTTTGACACTTTTTTCTGTGATGATTTTCAATTTTCTGGTGAAAATTGACTTACAATCAAATTTTTTTTAGAAAATTTCAAGTTTTTTGTTTGATAAATGACTCATCGCAAAATCAGGAATGGATCAATTTTTCAAAAAAAAATTTATTGAATCTTTAAAATTCAGAAAATCCGGAAAATTTCCGGATTTTTTGAACCGGAAAATTCGGAAAATTTTTCAAAGTCTGAAAATTCGATTTTTCATTTTTTTAGCTACAATTCTTCTAATCACAGGTAATTTAGTAACTATTTGAGACGTTTTACGTTCAAAAATAGTAAAATTTGAAAAAAAAAACCAAAAATAGCATTTTTTCTATCATAAACTGAGAAAATTTCGCAAAATTTAGGAAAAATTGTTTTTTCATTATTTTTTTCGACTTGAACCACCCCAGAAGAAATGAAAGAAGACTTACCGAAGGGTACACCTTGAACATCCAATCCTCTAGCAACAACATCTGTGCAGATCAGAAATCCAATTTTGCCAGTCTGGAAGAAAATTTTGGTCAAAATTTGGTCATTTTTTCACAGTTTTGATCAGAAAATTGGTCAGAAATTGAATAAAATTATTCAATTTTTGTTCAAAATCACCTGAAAACCATCCAACGAAGCGTCTCTTTCTTCAGCCGTACGATTTCCGTGTAAACAAACAGCAGATAAACCTGCAAAAAACAATTGTGAGCTATGACGTGGGCCACGTGGCAAGTTGAAGGTGATTTTGGGGTGATTCTGATTCTGATTCTGTTCGAAAAAATTAAAACAAAAATTTTCGATTCAGAAAATGTCAAAAAATAGGAGAAAATCTAGTTTTTTGACATTTTCTGAATCAAAATTTTTTGTAAAAAAAAGTTTTTTAAAAGTTTTTTTCGACCTGAAGACATTTTCATAAAAATCGGAATCGACAGTTCCAAATTACTGTAAATCTGAACTTTCAAGCCATTTTACACGATGTTTCACTGAGAAGCTTCCGGTGCTAATTAGAGCACGATCTTTCAAATGAGCAAAACCTATTTTTACCATTATTCATCAAAAAAGTCTCCATCTGATCACATTGTTGTTTGGTTCGACAAAAAATGATAGCCTTGTCCATATTCAAAGCTCGAATAGCTTTCAAAACATAAATTCCCTTCAATATTTTTGTGCCAAGAGAAATTGTGTTTTTGTCGGATGTTCCGAGCCGAATTTTGTCGGAATCGTGGATGTGATCATCCTGGAATCAAAATTTTTGCAAAAAATAAATATTTTTTCAAAAAAAAATTTAAAAACCTCAAGTCGATTTGGTTGATGTTTGAGTCGGATCCATTGTTTGTCTTCATTTGCATCCACGTGGCAAACCACGTGATGAATATCGTTCGAAACACAATCGGTGCCTTTTAAATCGATCCATTGGGGAAATGACATGTGACGATTCTGAGAGGATTTGATTTTTAAAGTTTTGAATTTTGTTTGGGAATTTTTATGAATTTGAATTTGAATTTTTTTTCACACTAAAATATTATTTTTTTTTATTTCGAAATTATTTTTTGAAAGTTTTTCAAAAAAAATCCACGTGGCAAAATCTACATAATTTGAGCTCAAAAATAATTAATTTCAGAATTTTTTGGAGAAAAATTCCACGTGGCAAAAAACTTGAAAATATACTGGGGAAATTAGAATTTTGAGGACTTCTTCTAGAAAAATTTTTGAAAATGAAAAATCCACGTGGCAAAAATTGAATATTCTCAATTAAAAATCTTAGAAAAATACAAGGGGAACTAGGTTTTTAGGCCGAAAATCCGTTTTTTTTTTTGAAAATTTATGAAATTTGAATTTGTTTAAAAGTTTTTCGCCAAAAAAAAACCACGTGGAAATTTACAGAAAAAATTTTTTTTTCCAAAAAAAACCACGTGGCAAAACTTGAATATTCTCAATTATAAATCTTAGAAAAATACTAGGGAAACTAGATTTTTCAGGCCAAAAATCCCTTTTTTTTTTGGAAATTTACGAAATTTTTTATTTCAGAACTTCGAAATTGTTTAAAACTTTTTGAGAAAAAAAATCCACGTGGCAAAGTTTCAGTAGAAATCTAGAGATCCCGCCAAAAATCCAAATTCAAAAAAAAAAAGCTCACCGCAAATCTCTCAACCTCAAAATTATGCATAGTCGCTGAACACGCAATAACCTGCCTTCTCGTTCCATCCGACGTCACCAATGGCAAATGTTTGAATAAAATATCGATTTGTCTCGCCGAACCATTCGTATCAGCCAAAAATTGATCAACCTCATCGATGACAATAAATTGCAAAGCGGTCACAGCCAATTTTCCAGTCTGCATCAAATCAACAACTCGTGCAGGTGTTCCAATTATAATATCACATCCAATCGATAATTGTTTGATTATTTCAGTCATATTTACACCAGCGGCAAGAGAAATACATCGAATTTTTGGGTCATTTAAATAGCTGACAAATACTTTCATATTAATGAAGGTTTGTTGAACAAGTTCACGAGTTGGTTCAAGAATCACACATAACGGACTGTTCAAATCAATAATTCCCTTTTTCTCTTTGCTAAACCATCGAACACAATTCTCTTTTGCTTGATTGATTGCAATAAATCCATTGCCAGGCTCATATTTGAAAGGTTTTCCACCAAAATTCACATCTAGCGCTGAATTTTGAAGCAAAACTGCAGGATACAGGCAATTTGAGGGATTTCGAAATTTCTCATTGATTTTATATCCCGGTTTGAAGTGTTCGCCATTCCTAGACCACCAAATTTGAAGATTGTCTAGATCGAGAAAACATCCGATGACGTCATTTGTTGTGAATGTTTTGCCATAATCATCAAATCGTTTACCATAACTTTTTTTCGCTGTTCCACCGTAGCCAAAACTTTCAAAATCGGTGCCAATTTTTAGAGTTCCAGCCAATGTTGAGAAACCAATACGACACAAACCATCGCGTTTGATTTGAACTTCATAATAATATTTGCCTGAAGTGTGTAATCCAGCACGGCATCTTGCACCATTCCAATCTTTCGGTACTCGACTATCACAATTCAAATTATCCGAATCGATTTGTAATGAAACATCACGATCTTCACGATTTAGAATGAATTCGTGAATTTCGGATTGCGAAGAAGAAGATGAAGAACTAGATGGATTTAAAGCATCTTTTCGACGTTCCCAAACAATTTGAGCGATTGGAAGACAAAATGCGCCAGTTTTTCCGCTTCCGGTTTCTGCGGCGATGAGTGCGTCGACTCCACCAAGAATTGCAGGAATTGCTTCAGATTGAACAGGTGTGGGCAACCTGAAACACGTCTAGATTTCGAAAATTGAGGTCACGCCCAGTTTCTCACGTTTCTATCTTTAATGTTGAAAATGTTCATTTCAAAATTATAACTTACGTCCAATACAACGAAGAAACTGCTTCCGACAATTGTGGAATAACTCCGAATTCCTCAAATGCTGTCATTTTCTCGCAAACGTAACTTTTTTCTCTTGAAAAAAAAATTCGGAATTGCAAAATATTTGCTGGCCTAGAAAACCAATGCGGACTAGAATTTGCGAATGAAATCGCGCTCCACCGCACTAGGCATTTTTATTTTCGTTTTCACGCCTTTTTTCGTTTTTCGCCCTTTTCTACCCGAAAACTTTGAATTTTAGCACTCTACCTGGCTTCAAAAATTAAATAGTAAAATAGCCCATTTTCAGAAGATGGAATATCCTCCGAACAACACATTGTACATTAATAATTTGAGTGAGAAAGTGAAGAAAAATGAGCTACGCGATTCTTTGATTGCTGTTTTCAAGCAATTCGGCGAGATTAAAAGTGTGATGTGTTTCCGAACATTGAGAATGCGAGGACAAGCTCATGTGATTTTCACAAAGCTCGAATCAGCGCGATCTGCCAAAGATGCATTGAATGGTTTTCCTTTCTATGAAAAACCAATGGTAAATTTTTCTACTGAACTGAATTCGAGAATTTTTGAAATCAATCAATTAATTCTTTCCAGCGCATTCAATTCGCCCGTGAAGATTCAGACACAATTGCCAAAGAAAAAGGAACCTATATCAAACGCGAACCGCAATATCTGCTAAACAAAGTTGTCAAAAAACCAAAGCGAAATCGTCGGGAAGGAAATGGCGAAGGACCCGCTCCACCGAACAAGATTCTTTTTTGCACAAATCTGCCGGATACCGCCACAACAGATATGCTGGAAATCCTTTTCAATCAATTTCAGGGTCTCAAAGATATTCGTATGGTTCCAAATCGTCCTGGTATCGCTTTTGTTGAATTCGACAGCGATTCATTGGCAATTCCAGCGAGATCGGCTCTTAATAATTTCAAAATCACACCTGATCATATAATGCGCGTCGATTATGCTAAAAAATAATCTGATCTCATAAATTATTGTACTTTTTATTAAAAAACTTCATTTTCTTTGATGTTGCGTGGTTTTCAACCATGATTATCTCTCACTTTTAGAAATCGCTCATTTTTTAAAGTTCAGATGGCTGATATTCTTCCAAACCACACTTTGTACGTCAACAATCTCAACGAAAAGGTGAAAAAAGATGAGTTGAAGCGAAGTCTTCACGCAATTTTCACTCAATTCGGCGAGCTCATTCAATTGATGTCGTTCCGAAAAGAACGAATGCGTGGACAAGCTCACGTGGTTTTCAAAGAGGTTTCGTCGGCTTCAAATGCTTTGCGAGCTTTGCAAGGTTTCGCATTCTATGGTAAACCGCTTCGTATTCAATATGCTCGAGAGGATTCAGATGTCATTTCGAGAGCCAAGGGAACTTTTGTGGAGAAACGGACTAAAACTATTACAAGAAGTTCGGTCAAAAAACCACATGATAAACCTGTGAGTATAATAATTTGACTAGAATTCTGTGAACACAGTCAATTATTATCGAAAATCTCATCGGTACCACGCGCTCCACCGAAATAAACACGCAACGCAGACCGCGCCGCGCCACAACACACACAAAAAAGGGAACGATTCAAATTCCCTCCTTTTTTGTGTGTGTTGTGGCGCGGCGCGGTCTGCGTTGCGTGTTTATTTCGGTGGAGCGCGTGGTACCGATGAGATTTTCGATAATATTAGTCTATTATTGACTTATTTTGAATTTTGGCTTATTATAGGCTAATACGGCACATATTATTAGTCAAAAATCGATGTAATTTTCTAAATCTAGCCCAAAAAGCTGCTTTATGATCAATTTGAAAATGAGAAATACGAAATTACATTCATCTAACAATTCTAGACTTCCAGAGATCCCTAAACTTTAGTCAAAAATGAATCTGAAGTTTAGGGATCTCTGGAAGTCTAGAATTGTTAGATGAATGTAATTTCCTATTTCTCATTTTCAAATTGATTATAAAGCAGCTTTTTGGGCTGGATTTAGAAAATTACATCGATTTTTGACTAATAATATGTGCCGTATAAGCCTATAATAAGCCAAAATTCAAAATAAGTCAATAATAGACTGCCTGTGAACCCTGATTCACTTAAAATGTCTTGTTTTCAGAGCTCTTCGTCGAATAATGCTGGAGTTTCAAATAATGAATTGGAAGAGGGGCCAGGATTGCCAAACAAGATCTTGTTTTGCTCGAATATCCCGGAAGATATTGAGCAAACCACTCTTGAAGCGGTTTTCAATCAGTTCCCTGGAGTTCGGGATATTCGTGTGATGCCGAATAACAAAGGAATTGCATTCGTCGAATTCGACAGCGAAGATTTATCGGAACCCGCGAGACAAGCACTCGACAACTTCCGAATTACACCAGATCATCAAATCAAAGTTAAATTTGCAAACAAGTGAAGATCTCATAAATATTATTTATATTTTTTTGTATTTTTCTTCTGACTTCATTTTCAAAAGGTTCCGATCCTAGTTTATTTTTTTTCGTCTGAAAATCATCTTCCCAAAAAAAAATTCAGCAAAAATGCTGCCCTCATGCAGTTCGCCCAGAATCTTGCCACTTTTTCAAATTCGCTGCAAAACCACAACGAAAAAACCATCGAGTTGTTGGAAATGCGAGAAAATCGTGAATGATCCGATTATTTGTCAGAAGTGTAATGTGATTCAGCCGGTTGAGAAGAGTCAGGATTTTTTCAATTATATGGGAGTCGAATTTAAATTTGATATTGATCAGGAGGATTTGAAGAAGAGGTGGGTTTTGAGTTATGACGTGGCAAGGCTTGAAAATTTTCGAAATTTTTTTTGTACAGTTGTTCACGCCGAGTGAGAAAGATCCAGTTTTCGCTCAGCGACCTTCTGAAGAGCCAAAAGTTGAGGATTTTTGAAATTTCGTGGTTTTGAGAGCCCATAACTCATGTTAGAGATGATTTTTATGGAAAACTGAATGCATCACGTTGTTCAGCAGGGTCGATTTACCAAACTCAAGAGCTGAAAAAAAAATTGTGAGCCACAAACTTTTTTCTGAAAAAGTAAAAACAAACTTTGTTAAATCGACCCTCCTGAACATCGCCATGTATTCAGTTTCTCATAAAAATCATCTCTAAGATGAGTTATGGGCTCTCAAAACCGCGAAATATCAAAAATTCTCAACTTTTGGCTCTTTAGAGAGTTGCTTAGCAAAAACTGGATCTTTCTCATCGTGAAAAAATGTGCAGAAACATGGGTGTCTCATTGAAAATCTCCGGAATTCCTCGAGAAGTACACACAATTAAATTATGTGTGCGGTAGAGCAAATTTGATTGTCTCTATGTGTTATTATCGAAAATCTCATCGGTACCACGCGCTCCACCGAAATGAACACGCAACGCAGACCGCGTCGCGCCACAACACACACAAAAAAGGGAGGGAATTTGAATCGTACCCTTATTTGTGTGTGTTGTGGCGCGACGCGGTCTGCGTTGCGTGTTTATTTCGATGGAGCGCGATGAGATTTTCTCTGTGAAACACGGTGTTTAGAATTTTTTGAAAAGTGGAACCTTTCATTTTGATTTAGCACAAGTTCCCTTGAACCCCATTTCTTCCAGATTCCGCCAACTTCAAACCAAACTGCATCCCGACAAATTCATGCAAGCCACCGACGAGGAAAAACAACTATCCGAACAACATTCGCGTCGACTCAACGACGCCTATAAAATGCTGTCAGATCCATTCGCAAGAGCCAAATATTTGATGAAACAGGAGGAATTTGATGCGGAAGCGGAAGCGGAAAGTCACGCGGAAACTGAACCGGAAATTCTCATGGAAATGTTGGAGAGGAATGAAAATATAGCCGAAATGCAATCGATTGATGAGCTGAAAAATGAGCAAGAGAAGATATCGGTGGGCGGGAAATTCAAAATTTAAATTTTCAAATTTCTTTTTTTTGCAGAATGAGATCAACATCGAACTCGAGAACCTCGGGAAATTTTTCGAATCTCGAAAAATCGCCGAAGCTCGCTCCACAATTGGAAGGTTGACTTATTTATATTCACTGAAAAATACTGTAAATACCAAATTAGGCTTTAATTAATTAATTGATTTTTTAAAAAAATAAATATAGATTTCTAAAAAAGTTTTTTGGAATATTCAGCTTGTTTCACGCGAGAAAAAATATTTTTTTGAATTTTTTGGGAAAATTTAAATTTTAAAAGTTAAGGTTGGAAATGGAAGAATCAGCTGCAGGAACTTCGAAAATCAGGGAAAAGGTTGTAAAAATTACAGTGGTCAATGGGAATTTTTATGTGGAAAAAGATGGTGAGATTTTTATTTTTGGAATGAAATTTGAGTTTATTTTTGAAAGGTCACGCAGAAATTTAAATTTCACGTGATTTTTTCGAAATTTTTTTTTAAAATGAAATTTGAGTTTATTTTTTGAAAGGTCACGTTGAAATTTAAATTTCACGTGATTTTTTTAGAGTTTTTTTTTTCGAAATGAAAATTTAGGGTTTTTTGAAAGGTCACGCAGAAATTTTTAAAAATTTCACGTAATTTTTTAGAAATTTTTTTTCGGAATGAAATTTGAGTTTATTTTTGAAAGTTCACGCAGAAATTTAAATTTCACGTGATTTTTTTTAGAATTTCTTTTTTTTGAAATAAAATGTTTAGGTTTTTTGAAAGGTCACGCAGAAATTGAAATTTCACGTAATTTTTTTAGAATTTTCTTTTCATCCAGTATTTGATTTTCAGAGTTTTTACCTGTTTTTGGCTCAAAATTCACGCATTTGAATTTTTTTAAAACCTGAGCATTTTTTTGCAAAAAATGTCACAAAAAATACAAATTTCCCCATTTTCAGACCTTGAATTCCTCGAAAAAACGGCTCGAGTTTGTGTAAATCGCACCAATATCTCCGAATCGAATTGGAAATACAATTCGAATCTTTTCAAACTTCTCCCACCCACAATTTTATTTCTCCACGAATTCGGTTTCATTGAATTGTACAACACCGAAAATCAACGTATTCCCATTGAAATGATCGATTTTCCCGACACTCCACAATTTCGAACTCAACGATTGGTGGCTCGTGATTTGTGGCGACGTGGAATGTATATTAGTGATGGTGCGAGATTTGGCGGACATTTTTTGGTTTATAGAAATTCGCCGAATCAATGTCATGCGGATTTTGTTGTGCTTTGTCAACATGGTGGGTTTTCTTTGGGAAAATGGAAAATTGAGGATTTAGTTTGATATGCAGGGTACAGTAACCTTGAACATTGTTTTAAATTTTGAATTTTTGATCCATTTTTTATATGTGGGACAGTAATCTGGATAATTGGAAAAATACGATACAATTTAAAAAATTTAATTTTTGAAATTAAAATAAAAATTTTTTGGACACTATCAATTTTTCCGGGTTACTGTACCCTAAAGATCATAATCTCTAGGCGCGGCTACTTAAGAACTAGGGTCTCTAGGCGCGACTGTTTGACAGCTAGCATTCCTAGGCGCGGCTCCTTGTCAGAGTGTAGCTCTCGATGCGAGTCCTAGACAAACAGGTTCTCTAGGCGCGGCTACTTGACAACTAGGTTTTCGACGCGGGGTGTCTTGACACCTAGGATTCATAGGCTCGGCTCCTTGTCAGAGTGTATCTCTCGACGCGAGTCCTAGACAATTAGGGTCTCTAGGCGCGGCTGCTTGACAACTATGTTCTCTAGGCGCGGTCACTTGCCCTGGAAGCCCCCAAGACGACCCGAAAATTCCAGCCAAAACATCGGACGAACTCCAAACCACATCCGCCATGCGAGTCTGCAACCAAGTCAAAAAATCGCTTCTCATCGCCAAAACTCTCCAAAACACCGTGCCACATTATACCAAATGTCTCTGGTTTCGACCAGAACATTTGTGAATTTTTCACCTGCCTGGCTCTTTTTTTTCTTCTGGCTCACACAATCGATTTGAAAGCGTTGAAATGTGCAAAATCATCGAACTCATTCTTGCCGTCCTTTTTCCCGTAGGTTTTTTTTTTGGAATTTTGTGGTAATTAGGGTAATTAAGGATAATTAAGGATAATTTTTCAGCCTCTGGCAGTTCTGTTGGCTGATGGTTGTGGATGTCAAGTTCTTGTCAGCGTTTTGCTAACCTGTCTTTTCTTTGTCCCCGGAATTATTCATGCCTTCATAATCATCATCCGTAAATGAATAAATAAAAAGTTTTTTCATTCAATTTTATTCGTTCCCAAACCAGTTTCATCGCTTTTTATTCAAAAAAACAAAAATTTTTGGCAAAAACCGGTTCTTCGAACACCCATAAAAGCCTTCTACCTTGTCTGTTTCAAAAACAAAAAATGGGATTAGATTCGGCGAAAATCGCGACAGCTACAAGTGTAGTTCTAAGCATCTCAGTCATCGCATTTTGTGCCTATTTTGCCACGTCGGTTTGCGATGATATTAATGAGTTTTTGGATGAATCGTTGGTTCAGTTTAAGATTGGACAGGTGAGAAATTTTTTTTTTTTGATAGATCTACATCAACTTTTTTGAATTTCTGAATTTGGGGAAAAAACTTTGAGATTACTGTATTCAAAAAAAATGAGATCTGGAATTTGTTTTTTCTGGAAACTTCTCTAAAACAGTTCAAAATCTACAGGATTACTGTAGAAAGGTAGAAGTAAAAAATACTCTGATCCCTGAAAATTCTCAAAAAAAAATAAACGAGTGCCATAAGTACAGTAATCCTGGGAATAAAAGTACAGTAACCCAGCGGATATAAGTACAGTAATCCTGCACAGTAATTCTTTGAGATCACAGATTACTGTAGCTGTGTTTTGTTTCTTCCAAGTGAATAGGTTGATTTTTGAAGTAATGAGATTACTGTAGGTTACTGTAGGTTTGGATGAATCGTTGGTTCAGTTTAAGATTGGACAGGTGAAAAATTTTTTTTTGTGACGAAAAAATGAGATCTGGAATTGTTTTTTTTTTGTTTTCTGAAACAGTGAAACCGAAAATTGTGCCAAAAATTCCAAAAAATGGATCAATTTTGTGCCAAAAATGCTGAAAATCCGCAAAACCGCTGGAAATCAATAATTTCAGCATTTTCAGCACAATCTAGAAAAATATGTTTTCACAGATCCATTTTTTCGGAATTTTTGGCACAATTTCCTACAGTACCCTCAGTGAGATCAAAAAAATTAAATTTTGAAATTTCTTCCAAATCTACAGGATTACTGTACTTATCCAGGGAAATTTTAAAAAAAGTGAAGTCTGAAATTATATTGAACCTACAGTAATCTCAACCTATTCACTTGGGGAAGAAACACAGCTACAGTAATCTGTAATTTCAAAGAATTACTGTGCAGGATTACTATACCTATATCCACAGGATTACTGTACTTTTATTTCCAGGATTACTGTACTTATATTCACAGGATTACTGTACTTTTATTTCCAGGATTACTGTACTTTTATTCTCTGGATTACTGTACTTTTATTTCCAGGATTACTGTACTTTTGTTCACGAATTTTCTGGGAACAGAGTATTTTTTTTCACTTCTGAAACTCGGGACATTCTAAAATTATATTGAACCTACAGTAATCTCGTCACTTAAAAAAAATCCACTTGACTACAGTAATTTCTATTTTTGAATTTCCAGGATCAAACCGACGATGCTTGGAGAGAAATAACTTACCTCAACTCCAAAACCATCACAAAAAAATCTCCCTTCATTTCAACATCCCGTGCAAAACGTCACGATCTCCCATCACACTGTAATTGTCTGGCTCAATCGACATGCCCTCCAGGTCCACCGGGCCCTTCTGGGCCTGCCGGATTAGACGGGCAACCGGGAGAGCCCGGAATTCCTGGGCCGAATGGAATGTCGGCGCTGGATATGGTCAAGATTATGAGAAATGATGATAGTTGTATCAAGTGCCCGGCTGGTCGTAAGTTTTGGGATTTTTTTGAGAATTTCAAAAAAAATCGATATTTTTTGCAGCTCCTGGGCCTGCTGGACTTCCTGGAAATATCGGACAACCCGGGGAACCTGGAAAAGACGGACAGCCTGGTCGTGGAGGTGGCCAAGGCCCCCCAGGCCCTCCAGGTCCACCAGGAGATGCTGGAGCACCAGGCCCGAAGGGACCTCCAGGAACTCATGGCTCTCAAGGAAAACCGGGCATCAGATATCTTGTGGGTGAGCCTGGACCGATTGGACCACCGGGTCCCCCGGGAGCACCTGGAAAAACTGGAGCACCTGGAGTCGCTGAAGAGGGACCCGATGGTCTTCCCGGGCCTGCTGGACCACCTGGTAAACCAGGAATGCCTGGGCCGGTTGGGAAGCCTGGAGCACCTGGGGAAGCTGGTTTACCGGGAAGTGATGCTGCTTATTGTCCGTGCCCGAAACGTGAAGCGTTTGTTGAATCGTCGCATATCACTTCGGAAGTTGCGTCGGATGGTGGATATGGTGATGGAAGTTCGAGTAACTCGAAACGAGAGCAGAAAATTGAAGAAATCAAAAGAGTTGAAGAAGAAGAAGGAGATGGGGATGCTGGAGATCTTGAAACTTATAATATTTTCAAATTCTCAACACTTTGAAAATGAAAATTATGAAATAAATGTTTTTTCTCACAAAATTTGATTCAGAAAATCAGAAAATTTTTATAATTTTGAATTTTTAAGCCGTAAAAAATTTAAAAAAAAACAGTGCAGAATTGAAACATTAGTTCGTCAGTCGCGTGCGGCTATGCGTCGCGGTCGGGAAACAAAGCACGACCATACAAGGCGCCCGTTGAGTCAGACGCGAGACGACGAGAATATTTTGCGAAAATATCCTGAAAATGAATTTCGCTTCGAGATATTTTCAATAAAACATGTGTTCCTTGAAACAAAATACGGTATTTTTTCAAAGGGACACACATATTTTCTCAAAAATATCTCGAAGCGATGTCTTTCTCTGACGTCATTAGACTCTCGTCGTCTCGCGTCTGACCCGACCGCGACGCACAGCCGCACGCGACTTAATAATTTATTATTAATAATATATTATTGTTAAAGTTGAAAAACATTAGATCGTCAGTCGCGTGCGGCTAAGCGTCGCGGTCGGGTCGGGTCAGACGAGAGACGACGGGAGTCTAATGACGTCATCAAAGACAGAGAGAGAGATATTTTTGAGAAAATGTGTGTCCCTTTGAAAAAATACCGTATTTTGTTTCAAGGAACACATGTTTTATTGAAAATATCTCGAAGCGAAAATAATTTTCGAGATATTTTCGCAAAAAACTCTCGTCGTCTCGTGTCTGACTCAACGGGCGCCATGTGTGGTTGTGCCGACCGCGACGCACAGCCGCACGCGACTGACGAAGTGATGTTTTTTCATTTTTGTTTTTTTTTGCAGCCACATTTTTCAATTTCGACAATATTGAAAATTTATTCCAGAAACCCAAACTTCCAATTTCCACGTCATAAAATTAATAAATATTTCCCATTATTTTTTTTTGCAGCTCTTTTTCGCCGGCAACAAATAATTTGCTATAATACGACCACCCAGTTAAGTACAAAAAATGACTGAAGTCTCCATGGATACTTATTTCATTTTTATGGGTATAAGATGTAGATGTTTTTTTTTATTTTTACCCTTTTTCAACACGATTTTAATTATATTGCACCCCATGTCTTCTTTCATTTCATGAATAATTTTTCATTTTTTTTGTCTTGTCGGTGTCCTTTTCGTAACGCAAAAGGAAAAAAAAATAAATTGGATTCTCATTTTGAATTTGCGTCTGGAAAAATCTGAACTTTTCGGTTTCCCTAATTAAAAAGGAGAAGAAAAATGAGAAAAAAAAGTTTTTCCTTCTCGAAAACTTTTTATTTTCTTTTTGGAAATTGATAGTACATTGATTTTTGGTCACACAAAAATTATTATTTTTCATTTTTTCCCAAAAACTTTTTTTTCAGAATGAGTTGGTCTAACTCCACAATTTCTGAAGGACTTCGTTATTTTTTACCACGCGAGGATGCTAGAAAATTGGAAAGATTTTTCCCTGAAAACTTTGATCGATTCACGGCTGCCGTGGCGATGAGGAAAATCGAGATATTTTTGAAAGCAAATCAGATTTTATCCGAACCCGCTTACAAACTTGTTGGAGATATTAACATGTTCCGAAATCCTCAAAAAATCATTGGGGAATATCATCATTCGAAAACTGTTCCGTACAAGGATCGAAAGGGGAATTTATACGTGAACAAGGTTGATGTTTTTGGAATTGCTCATGAGAAAATATGGCAGTTTTTTGAGAATCACACAATTTTATATGAAGAAATCTATCGAATGATTTCAAGAAAGATCGAAAATCATTTCGAACTCATTCCGTTTAATGATTTACCGGAAATTATTGATATTTCTTTGAAAAATCACAAAGAACATGCGATTGTTCCAACCGATTTGACTTCGAATTTTGAAACTTATCTCGATTATTTTTCCAAATTTTTCAATGAAATGCAAATGGATTGGGGGAATATCAAGGCATTCTTGGAATATACAAATCGGGTTAGTTTTCTGTGAGAGAAAACGAGAGAGAAGAGACGCGAGACGAAAAAGGGATATGAGAAACTCCGCCCACTTTTTTTTTCGTTTGTTGTGTGTAATTTTGCGTCACGGTGTATGTGTTCCCCGCGCTTTTTGAATTTTTTTTCTGCGAGGTTTTTCAATTGAATTTTGGGGAAAATGCCTTCTGCAAAAATCTCTCAATTTTATTTCCAGACTTCTCCGATTTCTGGAAATCCAAAAAAATACATCGAAATCTACAGCTTAACATTGTTTTATGTCACATTTTTCGAAAGTTTCAAGAAACAACATTCGGATCTTTTTTCACAGGTGCGAAATTATTTGCATTTTCGATTTTCACAATCAGTTTTTTTCCAGAATTCTGAAAGCACAGTGATTCGCTGCTTTGACTCTGAAAACCAACAATTTTTCATGATTGATGAAGCTTTCCGCGCAATTAAAATCGCAAGAGAAAAAAGGCAATTAGAATATCCAGTTGAATTGGAAGATATTCTAAACAATATTGATGGCGAAGTTCAAAATGGGATAATTGGAACACTTTCAACAGAAGAATTTGATAGATTTTCAGATTTATTTGAAGTTTTTGAGGATATTGAGATAATTGATTGTTCGATTGATAGAACAAGTCTTTATTTTGCGGTTCCAAGTATTTCAATGAGGAATTCGAGATGTTTTTTGGCCACTGATGGATTTAATTATTTATGGAAAGAGATCAGTTTTGGGTTAAAATTGTTTCAAAGAATTAACAGTGAAAGTTTGCCAACTGTTTTTGAATGGTTCAAAAATTTGGGAGGAATATTTCAAAAACGAGAAGATTTATATTTCATCGAAAAATCTGAACTCGACAAAATTATTCAGAAAATGTATGAGGATTTGGAACCATTATGCTTTGATTATATAATGCAATGCACATTTAGCAATGATTTTATGATGAAACAAATTGAAAAAATCGAGATCAAAAAGGAAATTACGGAATTTTGTGAGAAAACAAAGACTGATTTGAGGTTGCTGAAATATTTGAAAACGAAATTGAAACGAAATGAACCGCAGGAGAGTATGGATGATAAGGATATTCGAGATGTTCATGATATTTTATTCAAGAATCGATTTTTTAAGGAGGACGGAATGGTGAGTTTCTGGAATTCCTGTTTAATTTCCAATTTTAGGAACGCTTCTAAAAATCTTTTTGAAAACAACCTAATTTCGCGAGAGAGAAAACGAGAGAGTAAAATTAGCAGAAGAGACGCGAGACGAAAAAGGGATACAGGCTCCTCCTATTTTTTTTTTGAATTTCCAAAACACTCTTAAATGTTTTCAGGAAATGTATCGAGATTTCATTCATAGTCAAAAACAATGTCACACAATTCCATACTATCAATGTGCTTGTCAACGTGATTTTCATTATAATCGACCTGAAGTGGTAAGAAATCTTCCCCACCTCTAGGCGCGACTCCTTGACGAAGGTGACGCTTAAGCGTCGCTGCTTAAGTGGGCCTATGTACCTCTAGGCGCGACTCCTTGACGAAGGTAACGCTTAAGCGCCGCTGCTTGAGTGGGTTTACCTCTAGGCGCGAATCTTTGACGAAAGTGACGCTTAAGCGCCGCTGTTTGAGACGGTTTACCTCTAGGCGTGACTCCTTGACGAAGGTGACGCTTAAGCGCCGCTGCTTGAGAGGGTTTACCTCTAGGCGCGAATCCTTGACGAAGGTGACGCTTAAGCGCCGCTGCTTGACTGGGGGTACTTCTAGGCGCGAATCCTTGACGAAGGTGACGCTTAAGCGTCGCTGCTTGAGAGGGTTTACCTCTAGGCGCGAATCCTTGACGAAGGTGACGCTTAAGCGTCGCTGCTTGAGAGGGTTCACCTCTAGGCGCGAATCCTTGACGAAGGTGACGCTTAAGCGTCGCTGCTTGAGAGGGTTCACCTCTAGGCGCCGCAGCAGACCCCAAATCCCTTAATTTCCAGCGGCGACCCGCGAATCGCACCTATCAAATCGACGTGGTTCGATCAACAATTCCTCCAAATGTTCGTTTCGATTTGGAGATGGATTATTGCGAGATCACCCAATCAAATGAGCACATTTTCACAAATGCACGATCTTTGAGATGTTGTTTGGAGAGTGTTGTGAGAAATGGTGGAGCATTGTTTGCTCCAATTTTGAGAGATATTGCGTGTTCGGTGAATTCGCATGAGAGTGGATTTCGACAAATTTTCCATGTTTCCAAAGAGCATTATGAAAATATGAACGTATTTGTGTTGGAGCAATTTGGAGGTAATTTTGTACTATAGATGAGTTTCGCACTTACAATTAGCATGGCCTAGAAATTTCTTATCAAAAAGTTCGGCCACGCAACCTTGTTGCTTTTCAAATATTATTGAAAATCTCATCAGTCACCACGCGCTCCACACGCAACGCAGACCGCGTCGCGCCACAACACACACAAAAAAGTGTTGTGGCGCGGCGCGGTCTGCGTTGCGTGTTTACCGATGAGACTTTCGATAATAATTTGTGTGGCAGGCTACGGTAGCTAGCAGTTGTGTGCAAACACGGCGACGCACAAACGCACGCCCCCGATTTTTTTTTGTGGCGCAAAAAGGATTTTTGAAATCAAGATTTCGAAAGAGCTCATTGACAGTGCGAAAATCAATTTCAATTCCAAATCAGAAAAACAAATATTTTTCTACAGAGATGTCAGAAATAATATCCGAAGAAATGGCAAATCAAGAAACAGAATGGGATGATTTTTGGATTAAAATGACTGATAAACTTCCACTCATTGACGTCACAAAACTCGAAAACTATAAGAATTTTCTCGACGAGGAAAATTATGAAGAAATGTATGTGGAAGTTGCAACATTTGTAGAACTTCTTCCTGTTTGGTTCAAACATCATGACACAATTCAAGAATTCTATGAGATTGTTGAGCCGGATCAGATGATCTTACCAGTGTCTCAAACAGCTTTTTCTACTAGAAAAGCGATTCGAAATGATCTTGCGATTGATTCGATTGAAATTATTCTTCAGTATCACAATTATTTAAATCATCAGAATTATGGTTTGTTTTTTTTCACTTCAAGAACTTCAGGAACATAAATAAGATTATTCTGTATTCCAGAAATTTTGATGGAACACGTGCAGAATTGGTTTTGGAAGACAGAATGTATCACAATCCATAATTTGACAAGATTATTTGATGCGATTCAATGTTTACCGATTGATCGATTTTATTTTTTGGTTAAAAAGGATATTAGAAATCGGGGAAGATTGTGCAAACCTGATGGGGTTTTTGATCGATTTCGATGATTTTTTGAAGATTTTTTTGTTGCACAATAACAATATCTATATATAAATAAAGCCTGGGAAAATATGAAATCTAAAAATAGATGTTTCTCCTCTTAAAAACATCAGACAGTCATTTATTCTTCAAAAAAAAACAAATGTTCTCTCTGAAAATTCTCTCAATTTTTCTCCGCTTTCAAATCGCAACATCCGTGAGCCTTTGTCAAATCACAAAGTTGTACTTCTCGAGGATGATTATTATGATCTAATTGATTTTCTCAACTCAACATCTACGGATGAAAATGGAAAATTTAACATTTTTGGAACAGAAGCTGAATTTTTCGGAATGCAACCAGTTCTATGTTTTAAACATAATTGTACTTCAGATTTGAAAGAATCGATTGAAAGTTGGTATATTCAGAAGAAACATTTGGATACAGTTTTAGATGTTAGTAAAAACTTTGGTATTGGGTATGTAAAACCAGATCTACGCATTAATGAAAGATTTGAACCTATTTGTAATAGGTATTTTTCATAAATTTGAACTTTTGAATGAATGTTTTGCATAAATAAATTAAAAAAATTTATTTTTTATCATCCAAACTTCCAACTTCCACGTCATAACTCTGTGCTCAACCAAATTAATAAATATTTCCCATTATTTTTTTTTGCAGCTCTTTTTCGCCGGCAACAAATAATTTGCTATAATACGACCACCCAGTTAAGTACAAAAAATGACTGAAGTCTCCATGGATACTTATTTCATTTTTATGGGTATAAGATGTGTTTTTTTTACCCTTTTCAACACATTGTGTTGACTCGTGTTTTAGATATAATTTTTCTTTTTTTTTTTTTTTTTTTGAAGAATTCGTAACGCAAAAATCTGAACTTTTCGGTTTCCTAATTAAAAAAAAATAAATTTTTGTTCCTCAAAATCTCTCCTGAAAATCGATTTGATATTTTATTGGCCACACACGACGAAAAAAACCAAATTGTTTATATTTCGACCTTTTTTCGTTTATATAATTATTTTTCGCATTTTCTCTACAATATTTCCCACGGTAATATGTATCTGCATAATTTTTCTTTATTGCGCTCAAAACTTTTTTTTTTACTGTCACATCTTCAATTGATTTTTTTTAGAATGAGTTGGTCTAACTCAACTATTTCCGAAGGACTACAATACTTTTTGACACGCGAGGATGCTCAAAAAATTGCGGAATTTTTCCCGAGCAATAATGAGAGATTTGATGCGTCAGAATGCTGGCAGAGAATTCGAAGCTTTTTGGAAGAAAATGAGGAATTGAGGAGCTTTGCCTATGCTCATGAATTTGTAGCGGATATTAATTTGCTGCGGAATTCAGAAAATCCTCAAAAAATCATACAAGAATATCATAACTTCAAAGTTCAGCCATATAAAGATAGAAAAGGGAAGAAATATATTTCAAAACAAGATGTTTTTTCAATTGCTCATGGAAAAATCTGGCAATTTTTCGAAGTGCAGCAGAGAATCCTTTGCGAGGAAATTTTTAAAATGATCTGGAAGTCAATCAAAAATCATTTCAAAGGTTATTTCGAGCTCATACCATTTGAAGAAATTTCGGAAACTATTGATAGATGTCTCAGAGACCACGATGAAAATACAATTATTCCAAATGATTTAACTTCTTCTTTTCAAACATATTCCAATTATTTATCAAAATTCTTCGAAGAATTTCAATTGGATTGGTCAAATATTAAAATCTTCCTTGAAAATGAGGAGCAGGTGAATATTCCTAACTTTTTTTAAAAAAAGTTTTAAAGATTTTCATTTCAGAATTTTCCAATCACCGAAAATGCACAGAGATATATTGAGATCTACAGTAAATTATTATTCTATGTCACATTTTTCGAAAAATTCAAAAGAGAACATCAGGAATATTTTGAAACTTCAAAGGTTTGTTGCCAAGTGATTTCAAAAAAAAAAACAAAAAAAAATTTTGCAGAACTCTTCTACTACCCAAAATAGAGTTGTTCGATGTTTCCACTATGAAAACGAACAATTCTTCATGATTGATGAAGTTGTGGGAGCAATCAAAACATCCAAGACAACGAAACATCTAACAGCTGCACTTGAACTTCGCCAGCGAACCGGTATTGATGAATATATCAGAGATGGTATCATTTCAACAATAACATCTCATTATTTTTACCATCATTCACAGAAATATGGATTAAGTGATGAGATTGAAATTATTGATTGCTATTTGGAAACAACTTCTAATAGTCAGAAATTGGGGGTTCCAAATATATCAGCAAGAAATTCGATATGTTTTTTGGCTATGGATGCGTTTAACTATTTGTGGAAGGAGATTAGCTTTGGGCTCAAGATTTTTCAGAGAATTGAAAAATCGAAATTGCCTGTTGTTTTTAAGTGGTTCAAAAAGTTAGAAAACATTTTTCAAACTCGATTAGATTTATATTTCATCGAAAAATCAAAAATTGACCAAATCATTGAAAAGATGTACGAAGATCTTGAACCATTGTGCACTGAACCAATTATGAATCTAACTTTTGGTGAAAGCGAAGATCAAGAAACTGATGATAGTCTAGTAGATTGGGAAACTGTTGAAGATCGAGAAAGAAGAAGAGAGGAAAAACTTTTGGAAGAGGTTGAGGAGTTTTGTGAGAAAACTGGTGCCAATTTAGTGTTTCTCAAATTTTTGAAAAACAAATTCAAACATAATGAGCCACAGCAAACAATGGATCAAAGAGATATTCGAGATATTTTTGACATTTTATTCAAGAATCGATTTTTGAAAGAGGAGGGAATGGTTAGTTCAACTAACTAACTTAGTTGGGGGAAGAAGTTTGATATGAGCAATAAAAAAATTTTCCAGAAAATCTATCGAGATTTCATTCATGGTCAGAAAAAATGTGATTCAATTCCATATTTCGAATGTTTTTGCTCAAGTTTTCATGATGTTCTAGATCCAGAATTGGTAAGAATTCCCCCCAAACCATTTTCAAAATAAATTTCCAGGAAATTCCCGAAGACGACACTTTTCATGTTGATGTTGTGGAGTTCAATCACCCTGAAGATGTGAATTTTGAAGTTGAAACTGATTATTTCGAGATCACAAAATCACAAGAATACATCTTCACAAACGTCTCCTCCTTCAGATTTTTCTGTTCAAGTCTTCCGAATGAAACCGCTCAAATCGGCCGAATTTTGCGCGATATCGCAAGTTCAATAATGGGAAATGCTGTGCATTTTCGACAAATTTTTCATATTTCTCAACAAGATCATGAAGAATTCAAAGAAAAGGGTGTGGAACAATTTAAAAGTATGTGAATTATCATTTTTTTTTCCCACATAATTTTTTATAGAAATGTCAGAAATGGTTTCTAAAAATATAGAGAATATTGAATGGGACGAGTTTTGGACAATAATCCTTGATAAAATGCCATATATTGATGTTCGAAGAATTTCGAATTATAGAGGAATTTTACGAAATGATCGAAAAATGTATACACAAATTGCGACATTTGTAGAATTAGTTCCACACTGGTTGAAAAACTATAACAACATCCAAGAGTTCTACAAAACTGTTGTGCCTGATCGAATAATTCTACCAGTTTCTCAAACTTCTGATTCACCTTGGCGAAATATTCGAAATGATTTGGCGATTGATTCCATCGAAATTCTTCTCGAACATTCGAATGCATATAATCACAAAAATCTAGGTTGGTCTGGAAAATCATTCCATTCACAAAACCCAAAATTTCAGATATATTAATGTGGTTTTCGGAAGGATGGTTTGTGATGACTGATTTTATTGGTATTCATGATTTTGAATCAATTGTGGATTCTTTCGAATGTCTACCGATGGATCGATTTTATTTGTTGGGGAAGAAAGATCGGAGAAATAAAGATAGACATGTTTATCCTGATGGATATTTGGATGAATTGTATGACGAATAATTCATAAATTTTTTGATTTAACACCAATATTATCGAAAATCTCATCGTTACCACGCGCTCCACCGAAATAAACACGCAACGCAGACCGCGCCGCGCCACAACACAAACAAAAAAGGGAACGATTCAAATTCCCTCCCTTTTTTGTGTGTGTTGTGACGCGACGCGGTCTGCGTTGCGTGTCTATTTTGGCGGAGCGCGTGGTACCCGATAATAATTAATAAAAAAATTTATTTTTAAAAATCATTCAATTTTCTGCTTCTTCACACAGAAACACTTCAAAATCTTAACAAAAACATAAATCACAGCAACAAAAAAGACAAGAATTATCGAAAGAATATCCAAAAGATAATACTGAAAAATATTCAAATGTCTACCATAATTATCCATTTGTGGAAACTTTCCAAATCTCGCTGCAAACTCGACATGTTTCACAAAAGTTTCTCTGGGATCATTTGGCTGATTATTCAACATTTCAGCCAATCGAATAGCATTTTCAGTGTATTTCGGGTTTTCCACGAGTTTCTTGATGGTTGTTTTAAGAAGTTCTGGGTTTCCTAAATCCGTTTTATGCAGAACTTCAACTCCTCCATGCATTTTCATCATTTCCGCATTTCGATTTTGATCAGCAAAAATAGGAATCATAATACAAGGCTTCCCAAGAATCGCAAGTTCTGTAGTGCTTGCCAATCCACCGTGTGTCAAAAATACAGTTAATCTCGAATCCCCCAAAAGTTCATTTTGCGGAAGCCAAGATCCTAGATAAACATTATCCAAATCCTCAGCAAATTTCGCATCTTTATCCTCATATTTCCAAATAAATGTGTACTCTGGAAGAGTTTTGAAAACTTGAAGAAGTGATTTTTTGTATTCTTCCGGCATATGAATACTTTTTGCATTTGAGCCAAATGAGATGAGAATGTTGGTTTTTCGCAAACTCAAAATCTTGTCCCACTTCTCTGCCAAAACAAGATTTGTTTTGGACACGGAAATTCCACCAATTGGTATAATTTTGTCAAATGTTGGAGCTGGAAAATCCAACAAAGCAATCTGATTTGGAAAAATGAATGAGCTTTCTGGCAAATGCTCTCTCCAACTTCGATATTTTCCACCAAGTCGTTCATATTCAACATCTCCAATATAAGAAAACATATAACTTCCAGAATAAGCCTCAATTGTGTTAATAAATCTTTGCCAAATTGTCATTTTATTGTTGTAAGTTGATTGAGTGGCGGGGACATAACTTGTGGCCATTGGTTGTCCCAAAATCTCGCTAACATGATCCATTCGGCTACAGGAAACAATGCTGACATGAGCAGGAATATTTATAGCTTCGAAGAAATCTGGAAGGATTCTGGTTGTCAACAAAAAATGCCCAATTTGTATTAAAATCCCCAATAAAACTCACAATATCCACAAGCATCAAACGGCTCAGTAACTCCAATATCAAATTGCTCATTTTTCACCAACTCAATAAGCTCTTTCGATCTCATAACCTTCTCGCATTGTGCACTCATCAATTCTGCCATTGGTCCAGCTCGAGTTATCAAATGAAGTGGATTCGAATTATCGGTCCAAACATTTTTCAAAACATTTTTCATATTCCCACTGATTTGCACAACTTTCTCATCCGGCTCGACAAAAATCACATTTTTTGTTGATTTCAAAGCTGTTCGATTTCTCTCATTTGTATCGATGATTGGGATGAGCACAGTCTGATATCATAAAACATTTTCGAACTTTTGAACTTGAAACTCACCACATTATGTCCAGCATCGGTCAGAATATCAGATAACGCACCCATCATTTTGACATGACTGTGTCCAAATAAATTCGAATAAACCAGGATTTTATACGCATCAAGGGAATGAAGAATCAAAAATGCTAGAGAAAGAAGAAGACGCATTGCAGTTTTCAGAACAATACTAACTACTACCAATGCACTATTTTTGATAACAAAAAAACAATTTGATAAGAAAAAATATATGTATTTATTTATATGAATAGGGGGCGGGATCCGAATGTTTCGTTGAATTTTCGAAATCATAGAACAACATGCGGACGTATAACATTTTTTGATTACGAGCACAGTGCCCCCAACGCGTAGCCAGAGAAAAGTTGTGCGCATTTTTGGTGCATGTGCGGTAGAGCGCACAAGCCTGTTTGTCGGTTTTTGAAAATTTAACACTAGGTTTTTTCTTGAAACGATTAGAATTCAGTTATACTTGCATGAAAACTCCCAAACTGAGCTATATGTTCTGGAGAATAATGAGAGGAACGTTTTGATATAAAAAATGTGAAGATTGGATTCAAAATAAGTTAGTTAATATCTTTTGAAGAAAAACAAATCAAATTTTATGAAGGAAAAACGTGATTCGGCACTTGTTTCATGATAAATATGTAAATTAGAATACTTTCAAGGTGTTTTAAGAATCATTTGATCAAAATAAACTTCTGAAATCTGGTTTTTTGTTCAATTTTGGGCGAATTTCGATGGAAAAGAAAATAACAAAAACGGCATAATTTTGAATTATTATTGATTCCACATACTCGAGGAGTCCTATTTCAATGTTTTGGAAGCAGTAAACTAGATTTTATCAGCTTTCCTGGGTCAAAAATGATGTTTTTGCACAAGGTATTTTTGAAGAGCTCTTGTTCATTTCATTCTCAACCATTTTTCATGAAACAACTTGGAATAGCTTCAATTTTTCTTCCTCTGTCTTCTCCATACTCGATTTAGTTACAAAAATAACATTTCCAGCATTTTTCAGCAAGAAAACAAAAGCGCAAAAAAAGATGAGAGAGTGCGCTTTGTTGAAGAGACGGATGGGAGATAGAGAGAAAACGAGAGAGTGTGTGGAGTGTGGAGTGCTGGCGCAATACGCGTTCGGGACACTGTGACGAGTAGTTTGTGCGCGAGTAGTTTGTAGGTCGAAAATGTTGGTTGACACGGTGTTTCATTGAAATTCTGCCACGGTATTTCATAAGATATTTTTTTCATTTCGCCGCAAAAATTCTTAGAATGAATTTTCAATGTTTATTATGATAAATAATCTAAACCAAGTAAGTATATCTCTTCTCTAAGAATGTTGCATTTCGGTTTTCTGAGTTTTCGTAACTTCCATTTTTTTCGACTCCTCTTGCGTTTTATCAGTTCGAATATTCGGATCATTTGGCGATTTTGCCGGTTTAACCGTGTCATTTGTACACGTGGATTTCTGATTATAAAGCGGGTTTTGTTCACCGCTGATTTGTTTCAATGATTCCGTTTTTTCAGTCTTCTCTTTGTTCTTCAATTTTTTGGCGAGTTCAGCGAAAACATCGCTGGAAAATGTTGAAATTTGAAATTTTACATTAAAAAAAATAAAAAAAAAGTAGGTTGGCGGGTGGGGTCGAACCCTGGGTCTGCAAAAAGCGACTGATTGGTTGGCAGGCGTGCAGACCACTCGGCCATGCAGCTGTTATTTTTTCTCGTCGAAATTGTCATATTTAAATGGCGGACTGGGCGGCGCATTTTCAAGTTCCGCAAACTCACTCATCAAGTTCAGTCTTCTGCTTCTTTTTCTCATCAAATCTCGACAAACCCTTCTCTTTTTCATCTTTCGAAGTCGGCGTACTTGATCCACTTCCACTTTTATACCCTTTTTTTCCTCCTCCACCCGCTTTTCCAATCGGTTTCACTCCTTTTCGCTTGTCTGAAAATGCACATAAAATCTGAAATTACTCAGATAACAACTCACTACAATAGACAATTATCGATATGATAGTTATGAATGAAAAAATTATTATTTTGCAAAAAACCATCGGAGATTTCGGAGATGGGGGAATAGTAAACAATGATTCGATTTTGTCCCCATTTTTTCACGTGAAACAAAAAAAAACATATTTTCTTATCGCAAACGTGATCTAGAAAAGTTGGCAATAAAAGGCGGGAGATTGCGGAAGGCGAGCTATTTTTGATTGGACTTTTGGCAGAAAACTGCTATTGATACAATGTTTTTATCTTCGAAGTGAGTTGGGAATTGTTGGAATTCGGAAACTTGAGATTTTCGTGTTCAGTTCGAGCTGAAACTAAAAAAATAATGTTTTTGCAGTGATCAAAATAAAAAACTAAAACTATCGGCAAGACCGAAAAATAAGAAAAGTGACACAAAACGAAAAGATGTTCGTGACAAAGGCGAACGCGAAAAGGAGAAAGATCAGCAGGAAATGACAATGCAACTACCATCAGATCGTCACAATGCAAAAACGAAAAAGAAGAAGTCGAAAATTCATCATGCTCAACAAGCCGAATCCACTTTGCCTCCTCTAACCCAACAAAAATCCGAGCAAGGAATCAATGTTCTTGGGCAAAGTACGAGTATGACGAAGTTGTCGAAGAAGCCGTCGAGTAATTTTTTAAGTGCAAAAGACAAGCAAGAGTTATCGGAAGTTAAGAAGAAACATTCGTCCCTTGAAACCCTGCCACCAACTGCGCCAACTCCGAAATTGGAGAAAAAAGAGGAAAAATGGGCAGGTGAAGAGGCTGCGTTGCTATTCATTGATAAAATTGGTATGTTCTCATTGAAAATCAAAAAAAAAAGAAAATAAATAAATTCAAACGCCCGCGAACACACGGCAACGTAAGCGGAGTCTCGTTGTTTTCTTTTTCTTTTTTCTGATTTTTGGGCCCTGAGTTAGCCTAACTTTTATCAAATTTTTCGAAATCCCTCCCCAAAAAACTCACCAATCGCTTCTCTTTCTCAAATCACACAAAATTCCTCAATCCTTCAAGTTTTCCACTTGCCCATCAATATTTCGAGCTGAAAATCAGAAAATTTGAATTTTTCATGTACCATTCGAGTTCTGCTAACTCCATTTCTGTTTCTATAGATTTCTTCTGGGTCTCACAACAATTTTCCACAGCTATTTTTCAGAAATCTTACATAAACTCAAAAATTTCAGTGTTTCTCTAGAAAAAACCCACCTTTTTCAATAATCCTCGGATTTTCCATTGGAAGCGATAATTGCAGACTTGTAGAACATCTAAAAATTCAAATTTTGACTGAAATCCACTGATTTTCCCCGGAAACCTGAAAACCCAGCGAAGAAAAAAACGAAAAATGAAAAAAATATTCTCGTGTTGCGCTAAACAGCGGGCAAACCGGAGTGTCGTTGGAAATGTCATTCAAAAAATTTTCTATTTTTTTTGAGAAAAAACGTTTCTTTCTCAAAAAACAAAGTTTTCTTTTTGCAGATTCATTGGTTGCGCGCACAGAATTTCAAGAAATCAACACAATTCTATGCGACACTGAAAAATGTCTGATTTGGAAGAAAAACAAGATCAAAAATCAATCAGAGAAGTTTCCGTGCTATGATCATAACATTGTCAAAAACCCGAATTCTCCCGATGATTATATCAATGCGACAAGTTTGCAAGTTCCAAATGTATCTCGAAATATTCTATTGGGACAAATACCTCGAAAAGATGTTGGCGGATCGGTTGAAGAATTTTGGAAGACAATTTTCCAGGAGAACATTATGCTCATGCATATTTTGGTTGGAAGTGATGAAGTGGCTGATTTCTTTCCACAACTCGCAAATGCTTATGAACATTATGGAAGTATGTTTGTGAACAATCGGAAAACTGAGAAAACCGATGCGGAAAGTGTGAAATTTTTGATGGAAGTTTTGCCGACGGGGTTTTCAAACTCGAATATGATTAATATTGTGATGCATTTGAATTGGAATCCGCAAAATGTTCCGCCAAAGTTTAGCAAGACGCTGAAATCGGCGATTGATGTTTTGAATTTTGTGCAAAGTTCGGTGAGCCTTTTTTTTTATTTTTGTGAGATAATTAGAAAATATTTTTAAACAAAAAATCGCATTCAGGCGAACTTTATTATCGAAAATCTCATCGGTACCACGCGCTCCACCGAAATAAACACGCAACGCAGACCGCGTCGCGCCACAACACACACAAAAAAGGGAGGGAATTTGAATCGTTCCCTTATTTGTGTGTGTTTTGGCGCGACGCGGTCTGCGTTGCGTGTTTATTTCGGTGGAGCGCGTGGAGTACCGATGAGATTTTCGATAATACACGTATTTTTTTTGGCCCTCGGTTCGCGGTTGGTATACTGTATTGCGTTGTGCAAACACGGTGACGCACAAATGCACAAAAATCTCTCGCGTCTCTCCATTTTGCGCGCTATTTTTCGAAATTGGTCTCGCCACGCTCCACCAAAGCTTATTTCCATGCAGTTTTTCACGGCGATAAAGATGGTGTACTCATATTTTCATTTGGTGCGCCGTTCTTGAGATTTTGGTGGGAAATTAAAGCATGTCAGCGAACCGAGATTTTTTGTTCAGCAATAAAATACTGAAATCGAAGCGATAATGCTATTTTCTGCCAAAAAAACCACCCTATTTCCAGCCACCCGACGAAAAATGCATAATAATCTCAAAACACGGCGTCGGCCGCGCCGGTTTCTTCATCTCCCTTTGCTCTGCCGTCAACTCTCTCAACAACAAAATCGAGCCGAAATTGGTGAATATTGTGAAAACTGTTCGAGAACAACGTCCGTATGCAGTCGAAAGTTTCAAACAATACACTTCGCTCTATTTATGCTTGGTTTATTATATCAAGAAGAAATTGAATGATCCGAAATTGAATCAGAAAACTGGAGAGATCAATGAGGCTTTCAAATGTTTGCTGGAAGGCGCTGGAACTTCAATGATGCCACCAGTTCAACCCTGAATCCCTGATCCCGGAAGCAAAAATAAATAAAATATTTTTTTGAGTAAGTATGTACAAAACACCTGCACATATGTGTGTAAGTATACAATTTCATATATTTCAAAGAAAATTCCGACGAATACAAGTATGTGCACCTCCTTTTCCTCTTCCTCTTCCTCCTCATTATTATATTACTAATGAGGAGAGCATATATAAACAAAACAATTCAACAAAAAAGAACTGTCTGTCGTGTCGGGGTTTTGCCCTTTATTTGTTGTATAATTTTGTTTATATGACAGATGTTGAGATACTTGACAAAAAGGTCAGAGATGGTTGGTGGATGGGCAGATTTTGTTGATAAAAATTGGAATTTGGAGCGCTAGGTTTTGGAAAAAATTAGGAAAATGAAACTTAAAAATGGCAAAAAAAATTAATTTATTTGAAAAAATTGAAAAATTTTCTGATGAAAAAGGATTTTGATGTTTTTAATTGTTGTGAGACCCAGAAGAAATCTATAGAAACAGAAATGGAGTTAGCAGAACTCGAAAGGTACATTAAAAGTTCAAATTTTCTGATTTTCAGCTCGATTTCAATATGAATAACGTGGAAAACTTGGAGGATTGAGGATTTTCGATGATTTTGGTGGGATTTGAGAAAGAGAAGCGATTGGTGAGTTTTTTTGGGAGGGATTTTGGAAAAATTTGAAAAACATCTTTAAAAATTGATTAAAGTTAGGCTAACTCAGGAGTGAAGTTTTAGTCGGAGGGATTTCTGTAGAGTTCGTCATTTTTTAAACTGATTTGCATTTGAAAGACAGTTTTTTGAAGTTTGTTTCTGTTATGTTATTTTTTGATTATTAAAAAGGTAGATAATTTATGCTGAATCTAAAGTCTTCTCTAATTCGCCCAAAAATCATTGAAATCCTTTTTCATCAGAAAATTTTTCAAAATTTTTAAATAATTCTATTTTTCTCACGTGAACTTTATATTTCTTCGCCACGTCAAATTTCATTTTCCCAATTTTTTTCCCAAAAAACTTCCCGATATGCAAACAAAAAAATCATCATCAAATAATAATAATTTTCTGCTACATTTCACTAATCCCCCATTTGCCCTTTTCTTCCGTTTTCCCAGTCGGCTCAACTCAAAAAAAAAGAACCATCGGAAGTTGTTGAGTTGACCGCGTTCGCCCACAAGTTAATCCTCTATCTAATTACGATGACCTAATAGATAGATCCTAATCCTATAACTGAACTTGGATACTTTTTTTTTTTTGGATTTATGAATAGCCGAAGTTCTCTGGATCTCATTGTTTTCGAAAATCCACCATGTTTTGGCGCACTAGGTCCTTCTAATTAAAAAAAAGGCCGGTTGCAATCGAACTAATAGAACCCTCTCATTAAACATCCGAATAACAACAATAAAAAGTTTTTCTGGCGGTAGATTCGGGTGAATGAAATACACATAATTATGGAAAAATTATAGGATACGCGCAGGTACAGTAATCCTGGCGGTTTTTAATGGGAAATGTTTTTTTGGAATCTAGTGTTTTTAGGTTTGATGAGAGAATCTGTGATTTTTGTAGATTTTTTTGAATTCAAGAGTTACACTATGTTTAGAGTTGAAGCAAAATTTTCTCGAAATTCAAAAAAAAGTGAGCTTTTCATAAGGTCAAAGTTGTAATTTTCAACATTTTGAAAAATTCTGAAAGAAATTATTCCTTCAAAGTTTAACATGAGCAATCTCTTGAATTTTTGAAAATTTATTAACCTGGTCAAGTTTAGATTCAAAAAAATCAGGGGATTCTGAAAATCCTATTTTTAAATTTCAAGTAAATATGCCACGTGTCATTTTTGAGCCCTCTAACAGCCGAGCCGCGCTTTTTGAGCCAGATTTTCTCTGAGATGTTTCAGATTTTTTAGAGTAAGTAGATCACAGTCTTCTGATAATTTGTAATTTTCCTGGGAAATTCGGATTTATCAGGAAAATTCGGATTTTCAATTCTAGTTTCAAAATGTCATCAATTTAAAGTTCGAGACCACCCACGAAGCCTCAGAGGCCTAAACTTGAACCAAACAGAAGATAGACATGAAATAATGAAAGTTCAAATTTTCCTGTACGCAAAATTGCGTCTCAGTGTTTGCACACATCAATGGCAATTTCGAAATTTTGAAAATTTTTATCAACTTTGGAATTTTTTTACTGGTTCCTTGAACTATTTTTGAAACTAAACTTCGAGGAAAATTCAAATAATTGTCTAAAATCCCGATATTTTCCTTTTTTTCCCCCATCAAATCAGTAGTAGTTCAAAATAAATATTCATTTTCCCATCGTTTTTTTCCCAAATCGACCGTATCATCATCATTTTCAATAGTATACTATCCACCTGTTTGTCTCTTCTTTCCAATTCTATTTGTTATGGGAGAGACTCTTGTGTCCTTTTTTCCTCAACAGTCATGGTCATGAGAACTTTCGAAAAGGCAGGTGATAGAAATTTATGACTGTGGGAACCAAATTCTCATTTTGAAAATCCCTAACTTTTTAAGGTTCTGTTCGGAAATAGAGGGTTTTGGAGAAATTTTCTGGAAAGCCCTGTATTTTCTCTAAAACCCTGTATTTTCTCTGAAGCCCTTTATTTTCGAGCAGAGTCCAAAACTTTTTTTCTGCTAATCCACTTCCGGGTAATTTATGCGTAACTGTTGCACAACAATACCCCAATTCCCCAATAAATAAATCCATGTAAATTCTCATCAATCACAACATTACTCATATTAGCATACACTTGACCATCACATTACAAATAATAAATTACGTAATCTGAATATTTTACGCATTTCAATGCACTTCTTTTTCTTACATAATTAATTTGACGAGAGAGTGTGTTGAAATGAGAGAGTGCAGGCAGAATCAGTGGGGGGCTCGATATATTGAGGAGCTTGATGAACTCGGCGGGAGATTCAGGAATTTTTGCGTGAAAATGTTGCAGGCACAACCTTTATCAAGGCAATTCTAATCAATTTCCCTCGGCCTGCTTAGTATAGTGGTTAGTACTCCACGTTGTGGCCGTGGCGACGCTGGTTCGATTCCAGCAGCAGGCAACTTTTTTTTTTTTTTTGAAAAACTTGACCTCTTTTTTGGAAGAGAAAGAAAAGTTCCCCTCATATTGTTTTGTTAATGGACCGTGACTTCCGGCCTACGAAATTTGCATGCCTCATCATCGTTACGCAATTTTCTATGCTTCAATTAATTCCATTCTTCTCTCATAAAATCAGACACGGTGTGTAACAATAAATAGATTTTTTTTGGATATTTATTGACAAAACGGCTCTTTTTCTCTATGGCTATGGCTAAACATATTTGTCAAAGATACTTCAGAAAAGGTATTTACAAATATAGGTCAGCCTTGAACTTCATATGGTAATAATTATAATGAGGGGGGAATAATTAGAAGAAGAAATTGGAAAGTCAACACGTGTTACAGTTCACTGAACTGGAAATTGAACAATTTTGAGCTCAACACAATATGTTTTGTTGCGTAATAAAATAGGAAGACATAAATTGGGTTGGATAATTGAAACATTTCTGAGATTTTTAGAAGATTTATTGAGGAGGTTCTCAAGTTTTGCACAGTTTTGTTAAGGTTTCTGCAAGACTAATTTGATTTCTGGTAGATTTTTCGAGTTTTTCAAACTAAAATTTCGTAGAAAACTTTGCCACGTGGATTTTAAGTTTCGAATTTTCTCTGAAAATTGTGCCACGTGTGGATTTGTGACGGGAAAAATTTGAATATTTGAGTTTCATAGAAAATTTTTTTCCACGTGGATTTTGTAGTCCCAATTTTCGAACTTTTACCACGTGGTTTTTTAAAAATTCCTAAAAAATTTCGCTTCTGGGATTTTTAGTGTCAAAATTTTGAATTTTCTCTAAAAAAATTGTGCCACGTGGATTTTTTGCGGAAAAAAAATTTGAATTTCATAGAAAATTTTGCCACGTGTAATTTAGTGTCAAAATTTCGAATTTTGGAATTTTCTCTGGAAAATTTGTCCTGTGGTTTTCAGGAGCCAAAATTTTAATTTTCAATTTCTTGCCACGTGGATTTTTCTTGAACTTTTGAATGTTTTTCTAAAACTTGTGCCACGTGGATTTTTAGTGTCAGAATTTTGAATTTTCAAAAAATGTTCCACGTAGTTTTTAAGCCCGAAAAAATTTGAATTTTCAATTTTGTGCCAGATTTTGGATTTTTTGACTTGAACTTTTACTTTTCGAAAAATTTCGGATTTTTGCGGAAAAATTTGAATTTCCAAATTTTCTCTGAAAATTGTGCCACGTGGATTTTCTGCTGAAAAATTTTAATTTTCAAATTTTCTCTGAAAATTGTGCCACGTGGTTTTTTTGCGGAAAAATTTGAATTTTTGAATTTTCTTGAAAACTTTTGCCACGTGGATTTTCGGCCGCGAAAATTTGAATTTTCAAAAAATGATCCACACAGATTCAAAAAAAATCTATAATTTTCTGTTCCTCATTTCAAACTTCAAACCTAAACCATTCATACCTCCATTTTTGTCAACTCCCCCCATATGTGTCACATTTTGACCGTGTCTAATTTTCCAGCCTATCTAAATACCCCGATCATATTTACACATGTCGGTGTGGTGTCAAAAGCCACCACAGTCACACCAATTTTCACACCAAACAATGCACGAGGTGTCGGTGTCGATCTCAAGTACGATACGATAAATGTTGTCATGTCGGCTGCGGCGGCGGCTCCCCATAGCGTGAGCAAACTTTGTTCTTCTGTATACTTGAAATTGAGTGGGTGGGAACATTACCTAACTTGGAATCAGATATATAATTTTTTGTATTTATAATAAATAGTGCACCTGACGATGATGACACTTTTTTCTTTGGGAAGAAGAAGACAAAAAAGTTACATAAATCGTATAATTGAGGGGTATTTTTGGAGAGAAGACCGAGGTCAGATTTCGTCAATTAGATAAGCGATTTTATTGTTTTGGTGTGGGTGTGATTTCGAATCTTTTATTTTATTTTTCGAATTTTGAAAGTTTGGAAGATGGGACAGAATTTGAAATTTTGGATTGATTGAAAATAAATTTTTAAAAAAAAGGTCTTGGGTTAGGGTTACTGTAATATTGTCAATCCGAAAGAACAATAATCCCCTGTTTGAATTGGCGCTCACGTACAGTAGACTAGAAATGACGTGGCACATGCACATCAAACTGGTTGGCAAATTGCCAGCGTGTAAATTTCGCATTTTACTTTTCAAATAGATTCCGAGAAGTCTACTGTAGATTTGGTTTTCTAGGCCATTTCGGTTCTCTTCCAAGGTTAAGCCTTAAAGAAACATTTGAAAAAATGAAAAAGCATCTGAAATTTGAGAAATTGAAAATTCCTGGAATACTGTAGAGTCTGTTAGATACTGTAACTTGAAAAATTATGGACTTTTGTGAAAGTATTTTCAGCACGGCCTCTCAGAAGTTGAATCGCCAACAAATTTTTGAAAGAGTGCGCGAAATGCGATTTTTATCAATAGGGCGCACTTCCATTTTCACTTTTATTTTCTTGTTTTTTTGTTTTTCGAAAAAATTTTCATTCACGTATTTTTTGTTGTTTTTGGTGAAATATAGGTTGTGCTCATTTGAAAGATCGTGTAGAATCCTCGAAGGATTTTTTTTTCGGAAGCTTCTCAAACAAAAAATTTCAAAGTTCTAAAACACAGTGAAACATCGTGTAAAATGCCTCCAGATGTACAGTAATCTGGAGCTGTTTTTCTCTGTGGATTCCGATTTTTTGAAATTTGCCAGTGGCCTTTTTTAAGATTCCACCTTTAAAATGTTGTGTTCCCACAAAATCCAACAAATGTTTGTGTGTCTGAAATCATCTTCTTCTTCTTCCTCTTCTCATTTTCCCAATTTTTTTCACGCGCATGTGGTATGGCGTGGCTGTTGTTGCTTACGGCTGGGCTCCAATGCTTCCATCCACCACATATGACACACAGACTACTCTACTTTTGAATTGTGAACAACAGTTGGCTGCAAGAAGAGCCCGGCCAAAACATATGTGCAACAAAAATGTGAGACGAGAAACAGCCATTCTGCATTTTTCAAATAATATTCTTGGAATTATTTCAATTTTCTTCCAGTCATTAATTTTGGTGAGAAAAATTCCAACATTTTTGGAATTTCGTAGATACAGTAACCCTAAAAACTATCCACGTCACAGAAAAAAAGTAGTATTGTATGTTCTTGTTACTGAAATTCCTTGAGATCTTGAAAGGGTACTGTAGCTCTGGAAGCTTTTGAACATTACAGTAACCTCTATCAAAATTACCTACATTTTTTACAGTAATAATTTTCTACAGTAACCCTTTCACAGTATTATCGAAAATCTCATCGGTACTCCACGCGCTCCACCGAAATAAACACGCAACGCAGACCGCGTCGCGCAACAACACACACAAATAAGGGAACGATTCAAATTCCCTCCCTTTTTTGTGTGTTGTGGCGCGACGCGGTCTGCGTTGCGTGTTTATTTCGGTGGAGCGCGTGGTACCGATGAGATTTTCGATAATACTGAAAGTCCTTGAGATCTTGAAAGGGTACTGTAGCTCTAGAAGCTACAGTAACCTCTAGCAAAATTACCCACATTTTTTACAGTACCCCAAATCTTTACAGGCCTCAAAAATATTTTCTTCTGGGATTTTTTCCCCTACAGTACTCTCTCTCTTACCAGAATTACTCTGTATATATATATATCGTGATAAGACCCTCCCCCCGATTTTTTCCCAAAACAAATCTCCACCCCCCCCCCCCCCCATTTTCGACAGATGGAGAAATTGTGGGCGGAGCCTGTTTTCCGCGCTCCCCCCTTTTCACATTTCTCTCCTTCCCCATATTTTTTTGTCCATTGTCTATTTCTTTTTTTTACCTGACAGACATGTTTGCACTTTTTTTGGGCATTACTGTAGAGTTTTATTTCTTCTTATTGTTATTTTTGTTATTATTTACTTAGCCCAAGATTTTTTCTACAGATCTGCGAAAAAATGCATCCAACCGTGTCAATTGCTCCAAAGAAAATCGGAATGGCTTCAACGTCTTCAGGAATCAAGAAAGCCAAAACAACCGCTCAAGTCAGATTCAATGCCGAAGAGCGCGCAGAGCTCAAAAAATTATCAGCAATGCTCCCACCAACTCCAAAATCCACAGATCCATCCCAGGTTGTCTTCCAAGCAGCAACCTATATTCAACAATTGGTTGCCACCGTGCAAGCTCGAGTAAATAATGGAACCCTACCTAAAGGTGAGTAAATTCGCTCTACTGATAAAGATAAAAAATTCTGGTTTCTTTCTTATCACGCGAAAAAGATGCTTCACACACACCTAGGCTACGTATACCTTAGGTATACGTTAGGGATACTTTATCCATAACGTATACTTTTTTTTGTCCATAACGTATACGTGTTTTCAACGGATACAAAACGTGTAAAATTTCATGGAAGATTTTGACTGTTTTTTTGGACTAAATCTGTCCCTTATGAGCATGGGAGTTAGTTTAACAACTTTTCGCGAGGTTTCGAGACCATTTCGAATAAATTTATGGTGAAAGTTGAAATTTTGGAAAAGTGGACGTAACGTGTATATTTTTCATCCGTAAAGTAGACTTGGCAAAAATTGATAAATCATTGGAGGTTTTTCGAAAAACTTAATTTTCGTTGTTTTCTCAATGTTTGTGATGTCAAAGAATGAATCAAAAACTCAATTCGATAATCGGAAAGACTTTTTAAAAAGTACACGTAACGGAGATGTATTATTTCCATAACGTACACTTTTTCATCTCCATAAAGTATACGTTGAGTACATTTTTTGTAACCTATAAAAAATACATTTTCATTTTTATAAATTTTCCATCCTACGTCTTATAGATAAGTTCTTTCATAATTTCAGTACTTTTTCTTTCCTAGTTAATTGTTTCTATACAATTTTGGCCATTTTTGTCTTCATTTTCCACTCAAAAAGAAAAATTTGCTCAAAATTAGGTCTAAGTTTCATTCCTGGACTGATATCCCATGTATTTTCAGTCATTTTCATATTTTATCACGTTTTTATTTGCAAATAAACATTAGTAAAACTCAAAAATTGCAAGAAAAACGCGAAATCCAGAAAAAAAAGATAAGCCCCGCCCACTTCCCACGAAAAACATAGCGTAGCGCGCAGCACGCGAGGTGTCGGTCGCTAGAATTATATAAGTAGACAGAGCGCTTTCCCTTCCCCAAAGCGTGTTTCGCTAAAAAACGCAGAGGAATGGAAGTTTTTTCTAAGCAATATTGAATTGCAGTCAATTTTGAACTGATCTATAACTGAAATAGATTCACATTATCAATCTGAAAAATAAATTCTGAAATTTCAAAAGTACACTTTTTATGTCCGTAATTTTGTCCGTTACGTACACGTGAGAGTCTCCATATGGACATCTCAGGTGTACTTAACGTACAAGTGTGCGAGAATCAAAAAGTGTACGTTATGGAGACTTTACGTATACGTACCCGAGGTGTGTGTGTTGCGAAATAACTGGGGGTATAGCTCAGTGGTAGAGCGCTCCCTTAGCATGGGAGAGGGCTGGGGTTCAATTCCCCATACCTCCATAAATTTTTTTTTTCATTCAAATAAAATTTTTTCAGAAGCCCTCGATGCACTTCCACCAGCATTTGCAAAGGTTCGAAAATCTTCGAAGAAACAACGTCGCTCCGTTGAGAAGAAGCGCTAAACTTTTGCTTTTTGAATTGTTTTTGTGATTTATATCTATTACGGGTTTTTTTTGTCTAGATAAAAAAGTTATTTTATTTCCATGAAAAACAAGAACACCTGGGCACACCTGCAAATAATTTATGATAAAAAATGCGTGTGTTAAGAATTATTATTTTGATTACATATATATTTTTTCGTGGGGTGCGCCAAAAACAATTTTTTCGGAGCAGAACAGTTGGTGGTGTGACATTTGGTGTGGTCTTTGACAAATGTTCGTGGATTTTTCACTTGTTGAAAAAACATGTGGCAAATTCGGAACAAAAAAAAACATATGCGACTTCTTTTTCTGATTTGGCCGGATTTTTTTCCGAAAAATTGAAGCCTTTTGAAAAATTTTTGGATAAAAATTCCTAAAAATTGGATCATTTTCTGAAAACTATTGATTTTTAGGGTAAAAAATCTGGCCCGGCCTTCTGGGGTCCAAAAAATTATCCAATACAGTAACCCTGTCCTTCACACATCACATAAATCAATTCAACCACAAAACTTTTTTGTTCTCTTTTTTGCTGCTGACAAATTAGTTTTTCTCTTTCTGTCGTGTGAATGTAGAATGTACAGTAATCTTTTGGTGACCTTAAAGGAACACAAAAGTTATATGCAAACCATTTTGGCCTAAATGTCAATGAAACAGGTTTTCCATAAAAAAACAACAAAATATTTTTTTTGCGCAATATTTAATGTTTTGGTTTCAAAAGCGCCACCGTTTACGTAATCCCCCAAATTTTTACGAGGTTTTTTTCCTTTTTCATCTAGCCGCCTTACGCAACTCTTTCCCTAAATGTAAATTTGCTTATCAGGAGCCAATTAAAAAAATTCCAACTGTGCCAAAAATTGCACTTCACTAAATTCAGCTGTGCTATTCGACACCCATCAATTTGGAGTCAGTCATAATTTTTCGTGAATAAATAAATGAATTGCGCAACAACAAAAGTTTGTGGCTATTGTTTATGAAGAAGGTCAAATAGATAACCCCATAGAAATAGAAATAAATAGAAACAAAAATCAATCTCGGCAGGTAATAAATTACGTATTATTGTTATTATAGTGATTCAAGTCGAAAATTTTTTTTAAAAAACCCATTTTTTTCACAAAAAATTTCGATTCAGCAAATGTCGAAAATAGGAAAAAAAAAGTTTTTTGACATTTGCTGAATTGAAATTTTTTTGTCAAAAAATTTTTCAAAATTAATTTTTTTTAGAGGATAGGAAAAGCTGCAAAAATTGAGAGAAAAAATTTGTTTCGAAATTTTTTTGAACATAAAAAACTGTGATTTTATTGATTTTTTCACAAAAAAATGGATTCAGAATCGGAAAATATTTAGAATTTCTATTCGAAAAATATTATGAATGTTGAAAATTCTGGATACTTTTCTTAAAGGCTTTGTGTTTCTCCAGGAGAACTTGAGCTAAATTAGGAAGCTTCTGGTGTGTTATCCAAATTTGCTCTATGGCACAAATAAATTATTTGTGTGTACTTCTCTTGGAATTCACATCTTAGAGTTATCATCTCTCCTCACGACCATACAAGGCGCCCATTGAGTCAGACGCGAGACGACGAGAGTATTTTGCAAAAATGAATTTCGCTTCGAGATATTTTCAATAAAACATGTGTTCCTTGAAACAAAATACAGTATATTTTCAAAGGGACAAATATTTTCTCAAAAATATCTCGAAGCGATCTGTCTTTCTCTGTCTCAGATGACGTCATCAGACTCTCGTCGTCTCTCGTCTGACCCGAGGGGCAATTCTCTAATAGAGTAAAAATGGTCCTCAATCAAAACTAATTTACAGTAGTCCTAAAATTTTTCGATTTTTTTTTCAAAAATTTTCCACTTAACTACTACTACATACAGTAATCCTCATGATCTACAACAATTATTTTCATTATTAGGATAATCCATTGAAAAATGATCTTACATCTGCAGATCTTCTTCTTCTTCTTCGTTTTCTACAATTATTTTTCAAATTCACCCAGAAACCTTGACAATATGGCAACAATTTACATAATAAAAGAATCTGCAAATCGTAAACTTAATCTGATTGCTTGTAAAACAGGAATCTTGTGGTTCAAAAAAATGGTCTCAAGAATTCTTCTTAACTTCCTATAACTTCCTATTTATTTATTTATAAATATTTGGTCATCACTGATTTTTGAGTGACAGTTCAAATAAAGTTTACCGACGACGCACCGCGGGCAGATCGCAATTGTGATAATTACTCTTTGACTGACACCATATGTGGCGGTTTGTTGTTACCTGTGCACGGTTGTTTAAGAAGAAGATGAGATAAGAAGGAAAGACTTTAAGACTTTGATTGACTGAGAAAAATGAATGATATTGTATTTACATAATTGTTTTTGTAGTGGGAAAGTTTCGGGTTACTGTAGAGGTTTTGCGGTAGATCAATGATTTCGGGAAAAAATATTTTGAATTCGAAATTATTTTGACACAATTCTGAATTTAAGAGTTTTTCCTAAACTGTAGGAGCTTATCCTTTGATATTTTCAGATCATTAGTCCATGCCTAACGGAAAAATCAACTTAAGTTGATTCTAAACAATCCTAAGCAACTTAAATTGATCCTAAACAACCCTAAGCAACTTAAATTGATCCTAAACAACCCTAAGCAACTTAAATTGATCCTAAACAATCCTAAGCAACTTAAATTGATCCTAAACAACCCTAAGCAACTTAAATTGATCCTAAACAATCCTAAACAACTTGAATTGATCCTAAACAATCCTAAGCAACTTAAATTGATCCTAAACAACCTTAAGCAACTTAAATTGATCCTAAACAACCCTAAGCAACTTAAATTGATCCTAAACAATCCTAAGCAACTTAAATTGATCCTAAACAACCCTAAGCAACTTAAATTGATCCTAAACAATCCTAAGCAACTTAAATTAATATTTAACAACCCTAAGGACATTTTTTAAAAAGCTGAAGCCTTGTAAGATTCATCTCATAGGATTCGGGAATCCGCGCAAATTTTTCATAGAGCGAAATGTCTTAGCCTAAATAAGTCTGAATTTCAGTTTTAACCTAATTTTGAGTTACCGTAACTACACTGATGGTGGGAGCTTGACCAATTTTCGACCAAAAATGCACCAATTCGTTTTTTTGGTCAAAAATTGACCAAAATTCGGTCGAATCGTGAATTTTGGTCAATTTTTGGCCAAATTCTGACCAATTTTTTGACCATTTTTATCTGGCCAAAACAGTGATTTGATCAAAAATTGGTCGATTCTGACTTTTTGAGCATAATTTTCAGATTATCCTCAAGTTTTAATAAAATTAATGAACTGATTTGCATATTCCCACGATTTTTTGCATTATCTCTCATAAATTATCCACATCTATATTTTTATGCTAATTACCAGGTGACCCAATTATAATTTCTCTACTTAAACTTGCGATTTTTCTCATTTTTCCGTCCCCAAACCAATTATTATTAATAATAATTTTCTTACATGTTTCCGCTTTGTTGATGCAGGTGTGAATACATTATACAACTAATAAATATATAAATGAAACATTTTGGCGGCTTTTTTGGGGTGTGGGTGAATAGACACCACAGCAGGTGGCAGTTACCGCATTTCATGTATTTTCGCCTTGTATCCGGCTTGCTTATTATTATTACGGCATTTTTTTATTGCTGGAGGACGGGTACGGTGGAAAAGGAAATACCGACAAATTATACTATAAGAAAGAAATAATGGCTGTGGGGAACATGAAGATGAGCTAACTCGTTCTCCCTCACTTGAATATTTAAAAGAAGAATTGTGCCGCTGGGAGTAAATATAAATAGAAATGAACAGATGTTTGAGAGGAAGTTGGTGGCTTTAGTAATTAGGTAAAAGTTCTGTTCTCCCATTTTGGCAAAAAATGTACCGTAGTAGTTTCTTTCAAAAAAAAAAATGAATACGCAACATTTTTTCCCAAGGTTTTTCACCAATGTTTCTCACAATCAGGCCGGCAAAAGCTTTGATGTTTTTGTTTTCATTTTATTTTTTTTTGTGTTAAATAGAAATAGAAATATTTTTTGGATACGGTAATTAAAAAATGCGCAATTATCGGTGCCAAATTACACACACGTGCACAACTAAGCAATTCGATATTTATTTGGATAAGTTGCATAACAAACATTCCTGACTCTACTCTAATCCTTTGATTACTCTGGTTTTTTATTGTGATGCAATAAAAAAAAGAAAAAAAAAAGTTTCTGGAGGTATGGGGAATTGAACCCCAGCCCTCTCCCATGCTAAGGGAGCGCTCTACCACTGAGCTATACCCCCTGCCGACAGCCGTCTGTCAACCTGTCCAACTAATTTCTGACGAAAGTGACCTGATTGTGAATAGCGGCGAGAGAGTGTGCGAATTGAAGAGACGCAGAGAAGCGCAAAAGGCGCCGCGGCGCTCGTTTGTCGGCTAATCATATTAAAATAACATGAATAAAAACGGTAATTTTTTTTGTGAGAGAGAGAGGGGTTTCAAGGTTATGGTTATTATGATGATTTGTATTCTTTTTCCCCCCTGTAGTGAATTAGGGACTTTGGATAAGTCCCCTGAAATTTTCAAACAGAAGACCTTCTGGTGTCCAGATGCGGGTCTGTTTCACAGGTGTGCGAGCAGCAGCTTGAACCAATTTATTAGAAGAGCCCACCCCAATCTTGAAATTTTGCATACGCATATGTATTGCATAGAGCTCACTCGAGCTCTGATACAACTTTTTTTGACACTTTTACAAGTGACACCTGTTGCAGGTGTGTATACCATTATTATTAAAGTAAATATAAATATACGAGTGTGTTTACAACAAACTTGTATAAGAAACATTGTAAATAGGAGCAGTGGAAAAGTGATTTGCATAAAAATGTGGGAGATGGTCTAAATACAGGGTGGTTTTGAGTGGATTTATGGGATGAGACAAATTATTCAAATTTTTTTGTGGTTGAAGGTGTCAATTTAAACCAGGGTGTGGTTTGGAGTGGGAAAAATTTGACAAATTCTGGGTGTGGAACTCCAAATCACATTTTTTCGAAGATATTCTAGAAAAAGTTCAGAAAATTCAATCTGCGATAATTTTGAAGCTGTAAATTTTAAACTAATTTTTTTTGTTTTCTGGAATTCCGTGATTTCCCCAGATCACAAAAACAGAATTTTTAACCAAATTTTTTCTAATTTCCAAATTTCTAATTTCCAAAAAATTATTTTTTTGATCTAAAAGATTCTGAAATTCTAGAACCTTATTCAGCTCTACCGTATTTTTTTCTAACTAAAAATTCACGAGAATTTTTCCTCAGATCTAAAAAAAAAGTTTAAAATTTCAAATTTTTCTCCAAAAAAATTCTAGCCACAGAAAACTCTATTCAGAAGAATTTCCAAGTTCAGAAAATTTTCCAAAAATCCCTTCAGACCTTTTTTTCTTAAATAACTTGTTCTGTTCTAGAAGGTTCTGAAATTCTGTGATTTTTTTCATTGAAAATTTACGAAAATACATAGAAACAGAATTTTTAACTTAATCTTACATTTGTAATTTCCAAATCTCAAATTTTGGATCCAAAAAAGTTCCAGCCACAGAAAATTCTATTCAGAAGAATCTCCCAGTTCCCAAAAACCCTCCATCTGCAAAACACACACATGTATTTTTCTTCAAGCTGCTCCAGAACAGATGCACATTCACAAAACACCAGATTGGTGTTAGAAATCGGAATTACGCAAGCTTCTACATTCACACCTGTTGATCCCAGATCCCAGATGTATGTATGATGTTTTTTTTCCTTCCAAACTAATTATGGGCCCTGCCCTGATTCTGAAGAAAATTTTTTCGAAAATTCCGCGGCAGCCGGCTGTTCATCTTCGCCATATTTCACTTTTTCCCCAAACCCCAAACTAGCCAGCCAGCTGTTCAAAATGTGCATTTTTAGTTGCGAGAGAGAGAGCTATACAAATTCTTCCTTTTTTGCTCGCGGCATAATTTGAAATGGGGTCCCCCTCTATTGAAAATTCGAGCTAGGAAATTTTCCAGGGCTCCAAAAAAGCTCCAGGTGTAAAAAAAACCGGCCTGAAAATAAAATAAGAATTTTTGGGGAGATTTCAGAACCCACGATTCATCTGCCCTTTTTTTGAGAAAAATGAAAAAATGTCAGGCACCCCAGCTGAAGATTCAGATTCAGATGTAGGATTTTTTTTGCTGTATACATAGAATATATAATATATTTTTATAAATATACACGTGGTGGTCCTTTTTGAAGAAAAAAAGGCCATTTGTTTCACAATCTGCTCGAAAGTACAGCTGTGTGAGCGCGGAAATCTGGAATGGAGAGCAGATGAGCAGACGCACGCGCGGACACGGCACCTGCAAAGAGCAGTTGGCATTAATTTTTGGAGGAAAATGGGGGGAGAGAGGAGAAAAATTAGATGGAGAATGAGGATAATGAACCTAAAATTAGAAAATGTGGTGGAGAGAGAGAGGGTGAAAAAATTGTATCAAGGAAAATTTGTGCCACGTGGTTTTCCTGAAGAAATTCTATTGCCACGTGGATTTTCTGACGATTGGAAAATATGAAACAAAAAAATTTTGATCTACATTTTTCCAGATTCTTCTAGAAGCTTTGCCACGTGGATTTTTGAAGATAGAACAAAGTGTTAGCTGATCTACAGTTTCCAGAATTTCAGCTTTTGCCACGTGGATTTTATGACCTGAAGAAATTCTATTGCCACGTGGATTTTCTGACGCATAAAATTGATCTACATTTTTCCAGATGCTTCTAGAAGCTTTGCCACGGAAAATATTTCCAAATTTATCTAATTTTCTTCCTGTGAAGACTTTTGAAGAAAATCCACGTGGCAATATATTTTTTTAAATCTAAAATTTATGTAGTTTTCAGCAACATTTGTGTTGTGAGAATATATTGCCACGTGGATTTTAAAATAGTTCCAAATTCAAAATATTTTTGATCTACACTTTCAGAATTTGTTCGCTGTGAGGACTTTTGAGAGGAAAATCCATAATTTTTTGATCTACCAATTTTCAGCAACATTTGTGTTGTGAGAATATTCTGCCACGTGGAATTTCTGATCCCTTTTCACACATTTTTTCAGAGAAACTTTACCCCTAAAGTAAATTTCCTGAAGAAACCTACATTTCCACCCCCAGACGGTATTTTCCCCCAAATTTTTTTCCGAAAAAACACATGTTAGAAGAAGTTTTGTCGTCGATGTTGAAGAAAAAGCTTGTGGGTGTCATATGGTGACCATACGGAGATATGTTAGCATATGTGTTTTTGTGTGTTGCGCGCGCGCGCGTGAAAAAATAACAGATGGAATGTTGACGAAGAAAAACAAGAATTGACTTCGTTTCTTCTGAAACCTACACCTGCCAAAAGTTTTCTCTCACTTTTTGAACACCTGCTGACTTTGGAAAGATTTATTTTCGTATATTTACAACCCGGGAATGTGTGTGAGAAACGAGAACTAAAAGGGAAAACTAAAAAGTGAAGTGAAAAATTTTTTTAGGGTGAATTCGATGTTGTTGGCGGTGTTGAAGCTCGAGATGAAGCTGGGCTTGTTGAACAAGATGCGAAATATTCTTCCAAACCATCTGGGAGACTGTTTTCCTTGCCGTTTAATTGTGCTTGGAGTTCTCGAATGTGTGCGATGGCAGCCAAAACTAATTCGAGTTGTGAGGATTCGTCATTTGAGCCGATGAGTGCACGAAGTTTGGTTTCAACCTGGAAATAAAAAATTTTTTAACAAAAAAAATTGTCTGATCTCGGGCGGGCTCGAACCGCCGGCCTTCTGTGTGTTAGACAGATGTGATAACCACTACACCACGAGATCGCACGGCACTCGACAAGTTTTTTTCCAATAAATAATACTCACCTTCTCCTTCTCTTTTCGCTCCTCCGATGACTTGCGAATTTTTCGTGATTTTGGCGATAATTGGGAGATGACGTCACGTGGCGCGCGAACAACACAGTTTTTCATTTTGAAGAAGATGAAGAGGTAAAAGTTTTAGTGAAAAAGTAAAGTAAAGTGAAAAAACGAGTCACTTGACGAGATATAACAAAACGTTGGAATGACCATGAGAGAAGGCGGAGCGAACATGAGAAAAAAGGGGGGGGGTGCTCGTTGGCTCCGCCCACTTTTCTTTTTGGTGGCGGAGATTGGGGAAAAGGGAAATGGGAAGACCTTAAACAAGCACAGGTGTGTGGGAATGAGAGAGAAGACACAGAATTATAAATAGATAAAAGGAAGGAGTTGACCTTGTCTGGAAATTTGATCTGGAAGAGTGTGGGAATTTCTTGTACAATTTCTCAAAAAAAAATTTTTTTCCAAAAATTTTAAGAAAACCAGAATTTTAGTGATTCTGTGAATTTTAAAAAGTAGAATTTCAGAAAAAAAATAAAGATCTGAAATTTTGAATTTTCAGAGATCTGACTACTGTAGGCTAAATTTTTTTTTTTAAAGCAACACCCTCGTATAATAGGCACTTTCTTGAAAAAAAGCCCAAATGTTCTCAAATCTCAGATTTAGCTTAGTTTTACTGATTTCTAGTTCGGAGAAAAAATTCAAAACGTTTGAATAAGTAGTCGCCGAAATATGGAAGCCCATTGAAAAACTGGAAAAACTCAAATTCAAACAACGCGGGCTAGCGTCAAGGCGGAGTCTCGTTGTTTTCTTTTTTATTTTTTCGCAAAATTTTTCCGTTTTTTTCGGAAAATGACAATTTGCATGGAAAAAACTGTTTTCTGGGTATGAAAAAAATAAATTGAAGAAGTATAAACACTAAGATTCAATATTTCAGACGAAAACTGATGTTTTCAATGGAAATTGTGTTTTTTTAGTTTTTGACCGGAAAATGCAATGTGAAACTGAAATATCATTGTCAAAAATAAAAGTAGAGATAGTTAAGGATGTTCAAAAATCATTGTTATAATTTATTTCATTGTTTTCAGTGAAACAATTCACTTTTTGTTGAAAAAAAGTTGAAAGGGGTACTGTAGCACACAATTGTCGTCACAGTGTTTGCACAAATGTCATGAAATTGCGGATCTGCACAATCTGCAGGCGATTTTCAAAAAAAAAATAATTTTTTTTCTCAAAAGTGGTCAAATTTGATCGTTTTTGAGTATTTCTTTTTCATATTTCTTGAGAGTATAGCTGAATAGGTTAATTTTATATATTTTCGTGTTTGAATGCATTCCGCAATGGCCTTATTATACGAGGGTGTTGCTTTAACATGAAATAAATTTTAATTTTTTTGAAAATAAAATACCGAAATTAAACTCTGCACAGTTTTCCTTTGAAGACGCTACAGTAATCCTCAAATTTAAAACACTACAGTAATCCTTAACTTTAAAACACTACAGTAATCCTTAACTTTAAAACACTACAGTAATCCTTAACTTTAGGACGCTACAGTAATCCTTAACTTTAGGGCACTACAGTAATCCTTAACTTTAAAACACTACAGTAATCCTTAACTTTAGGGCACTACAGTAATCCTTAACTTTAGGACACTACAGTAATCCTTAACTTTAGGACACTACAGTAATCCTTAACTTTAAGACACTACAGTAATCCTCAAGTTTAGGACACTACAGTAATCCTTAATTTTAAGACACTACAGTAATCCTTAACTAGCCCTATCTCTTGTTTTCCAAATTTTTACCGTAACCAGGAAAACGGTTATTTTTCTTGTTAGGTCAAAAATCATAGTAATTCAGAATTTTTCGTTTTCTATTTTTTGTAGTTTCAAAAAAATTGAAAAATTAATAAAAAATCCTCTTGTGGACATTCTAAATTTGAAGTTGTGTATCTTTTTCTAAAAAAAAAGTTTCAGAGTAATTTATCTGAAAACTGAAAGGTTACTGTACAAAAACCTTTTCTCCAAAAAAATTTACAACCACTAATTCTTCCAAAAATCAGATTAATTTTACGATTTTATTATGTAAATTCTTTTATTATGTTAATTAATTTTACAACGTTAATGTTGCCATATTTTTTGTTGTCAAGGTTAGAGAAGAGTTTTTTTTTCTCTTTGCACGTGCTCTTTTTAGCATCATAAACAATGGGTGTTAATTTCGGTAGATTGTTATCTTTCAGAAAAACGAACAATAGATTTTTTGATACTTTTTTTTCTTTTTTTTTCTTTTTTTGCAGAAGAACAAAAATAGAAAAATTTGTGACAAAAAGTCGTAAAAACAACGTTTTTTTCCCCAATAATTTTGCACACCTGGACTTAAACACCTGTGATGAGCTCAGAGGGCTCTCCATATGTGTATACACACAATTCTCTGGAAACACCTGGGGAAAAATGAAAAAAAAATACCAGGTGATCAAAGTCGCGTTAGATTTCATTAGTGAAAGCGTTTCTGTTGCTGTTTTAATTTTCGAAAATGGGGTTTTTGGCTCGGCAGATGGCAGCAGATAAGAAGACAGCTGAAAGCGAGTTTTGGGTGAACACCTGGGTGAAGCAGAAGAAGCAGCAGCAGACATATAGCAAGCAGATCCTATTAACATATGCTCTTTGCAATAACAGCCGGCCGGAATGAAAGAGAAAAACAAAAACAGTTAATAAATAAAAAAAAAATAAAAAAAGTTGCCTGCTGCTGGAATCGAACCAGCGTCGCCACGGCCACAACGTGGAGTACTAACCACTATACTAAGCAGGCCGAGAGAAATTAATTGAAATTGCCTTGATAAAGGTGCCTCTCTTTGTTTTTTATTGTTCACCAGATGACCTGAAGGGGGGCGAATTTGAATTTTCGAATTTCCCACGCAGGTGTCACACCTGTAGACTTTCGCATGCATATCATCATCTGCAAGCAGCTGGGAATGTGAATTTGTTGTGTGTCGAAATTTCAAATTGTATTTGGAAATTTTTTTTTGAAAAAAATCAGGGTTGTGGTGACCAGATGCGTTCCGGACCGGGACCCATTCGGTGGGGAGTAGAAATTGTCGAAAATGCAGATGTGACCGCGCACCTGATGTCTTTTTTTGGGAATTTTTTTCTAGATTTGATGAATGGGAAGGGGGAATTTTGGAAAATCTCAGATTTATTGATCTGTATTAAGGTATCGAATTTTGAAATTGCTAATTCTGAAGATCTGAAGATTTGCAAATCAGTTTGGAGAAAATTGAGTTGCAGGGGGATCTCAAGGTCACGGGTTCGAACCCCGGTGCCCGCTCCTCCTAGCTTCACAGTGCACGACCATACAAGGCGCCCGTTGAGTCAGACGCGAGACGACGAGAGTATTTTGCAAAAATATCCTGAAAATTAATTTCGCTTCGAGATATTTTCAATAAAACATGTGTTCCTTGAAACAAAATACGGTATTTTTTCAAAGGGACACATATTTTCTCAAAAATATCTCGAAGCGATCTGTCTTTCTCTGTCTCAGATGACGTCATTAGACTCCCTTGAAATTGCTAATTCTGAAGATCTGAAGATTTGCAAATCACTTGGATCTCAAGGTCACGGGTTCGATCCCCGGTGCCCGCTTCTCCTCGATTCACAGTGGACTAAAGAGAAATGAAATTTTTTTGGAAAATTCTGGAATTTTTCTCTTTTCAGGTTACTTGTGATAACAAATTTTTCAAGAAAAGTTTGGAACCTCAAAAAAATTTTCAAAGATTTTTCTAGATCTCAAACTTTCAGGTCGAAAAAAAATGAAAAAAGACAATTTTTTTCACTGTAACATTTTCGCTGCGAGATATTTTTCATTTTAAATTTTTGTAAAAAAAAATGTTTTTTGTTTTTTTTTCGCCTTGAGCTCCCAAAATTCAATTTTTTCCAGATCCCTGAAAAATCCACTTTTCTTCCAAACACCATATTTTTCAAGTAGATCAAAACTCATATGGGAATTCGATAAAATCTGTTTCTTTTCATTTTCCGGAACCGGACATCTGTTGCTTTTATTTCCTTATTCTCGCCTTATTTTTAGAGGATGAATATTTATGTCCATAATTATTATTATATAAATTCTCAAAAATATTATTCCAAAATCTCTCGAATTAATATTTATGAGAAGAAGCTCAGAACTTGGCTCATTTTCATTTTTCATTTTTTTCCTCACCGACCAAAATAACTTGTCTCTTTTCATTTTCCTCAACCGATTCTCTCGGGAGATGTTTTTGAAGTGGAAAAGGAAAATAGAGAAAAGAGTACGGTAGGGTCGGGGGCCTTGAGATTGGCCATTTGAAAACCAAAAAAAAAAAAAAAATAATATTTTGTATTTAGATGGCAAGTTTTGGTGAGCCCGGAGTTCGGTTGTCGATTAATTTGAGAGAGCGGTGAGTTGGCCTGATTTTGGACCTGGATTCAACAGGGCCCTGGGTGATCTAAAAAAAATTTCAGAGCTTTTTTTAGAACCTTACTGAAGTTCTAGGACAATTTCAAAAAGAATTTTCTAATAAAAATTCAAACTCAAAAATTTTTCTTCGTAATTTTCCCTGAACTTTCCTAGTTCTCCACACTTAAGTAGAATCCACGTTTCATTTTTCAAATTCCAGATGTCGAATGCATGATCTAAACGAGGCTCTCGACGATCTTCGCGCCGTGATTCCATACGCACACGGTGGAAGTGTTCGAAAATTATCGAAAATCGCCACACTTTTACTGGCTAAAAATCATATTATCATGCAGGTTTGTGGCAAATTTTGAATCGGACCCGAGGAATCGGAGCAGGTCCTGTTAATCGGACCCGATTTTGAGGGTTTTCTGAATCGGACCAGGGTGACATTTTTTCAATAGGACCACAAAAAAGGACCGATTTTTTGAGAAAAATTCTAAATCGGACCACTTTTTCAAAAAAGTCAATTTTTTGGTGCAAAAATCAGGAAATTTTGAAAAAGTGGTCCGATTTTTCGGGTCCGATTCAGAATTTTTCTCAAAAAATCGGACCTGGTCCGATTCCTTTTTCGTGGTCCGATTCCTATTGAAAAATGTCACCCTGGTCCGATTCAGAAAACCCTCAAAATCGGGTCCGATTCAAAAACTGCCCAGGTTTGTGTCTTGTAATTACGTAATTATTCTACATATTTTTTATTGGAAAAAATCGGAAGGATCAAAAAAGGTGTTGGTCGTTTGGAACCATAACATAACAATGGAAGAAATGTGTTAATCCGGAAATGGGGAGATTTGTAGCGTACTGTGGGGGGGGGGTGTATTTTTTTAGATCTTAGATCTAGACTTCGGGATTTTTTGAACCTATTTTTTGAAAAAAAAAGTTCAAACTGGATTTTTGGCCCAATTCTAATCCAGACTTTTTCCAGGCCAAAGCAATCGAAGAACTTGGAACACTAGTCAGTCAACTTCGAAAACAACTTCAAGAAGAGCCGAAAGAATCAACCGATAAAGATATCAAGGAGGAATAAATAGTTCAGACAAAAAAATGAACAAGGTTTTTTAAAGGGGTTGTCCTGCTACAGGGAAACTTAGGTTCATTCGATAGAGCTAAGGTGCTCCTGAAACATTCCATATTTTATTTTGATTTTAGAGCGAGTTTTCACCATTTTATTCATGTTTTTGCTAGGTTTTAAGGTTTTAGTGCATATAAAAAACATGTGTGCTCTTCACACACATAATTTATTTGTGTGTATTTCTCGCGAAATGCATTTCCTAACATTTTTCAACTATGGAATGTGATTTTAATCAACTTTAGGCTTGCTTATAGTTAGTTTTAAAAAGTGACGCACTATTGCGGACTTGATTTTCGACGTAGAAGTACAACCCCTTTAAATTAGATTTTTTCAAATTTTATTTATACCTATTGTCAATCCGAAAATAGAAGAACCCCCGTTTGAATTGGCGCTCACGTACAGTAGACTAAAAATGACGTGACACATGCACATCAAACTGGTTGGCAAATTGCCAGCGTGTGAATTTCGCATTTTATTTTTCAAATAGACTCCAAGAAGTCTACTGTAGTCTTGGTTTCTTAGGCCATTTCGGTTCTCTTCCAAGGTTCTTATTTTTTCGGAATGAAAATACTCAAAAATTCCTACCCCCCCCCCAAAAAAAAAATTTTTTTGATTCTCAAAGCAACCTATTTCATATTTATTTTCTTATCATTTGAACTTTCCCACGTGACTTTTTCTTTGATTGATAAATTATTTGTTGTTTATTCAATGATTATGAATAAATATGTAAATAGATATGTAAATTACAAAAAGATAGCGAAAACAAATAAAAACAAAACGGGTTTGACTTTGGTGCTTTGGTGTTTTGATTTTTGGGTTGTTTTGGCTTCGAGTTTGGTTTAACTAGTGAACTTTGGAATTTGAATTGTTATGTGAGAAGAAAATGTAGGATTGCTCATATTATACCTGCATTTACACATGGCCTTTGATAAATACAGTCATTTTTTTTTAGAAATTTGAACGTTGCTCATGTTAAAGGCGGTCAGACAGCTATTCCGGTTGACGGAGACCACCCACGAAGCCTCTGACTTTAACCGGGCTAAACTTGAACCAAACAAAAGATAGAGTGAAAAAATGAAACTTCAAATGTTCCTGTGCAAAAGTGCGTCGCGGTGTTTGCACACACACAAATCTCGCTGGAGGCAATTTGAAATTTTGAAGATTTTCTCAGCTCGTATTAACTCTTATGATTTCGGAACTTTTTCACTGGTTCGTTTCATAATAAACTATTTTTGACACTAAACTTTGAGGAAAACCGGAATAATTGTCTAACTGTTTTTAACCCCAATTTTGTTGTTCAGAAGGTTTTTAAAACATTCCACTTGGGATGTAAAAATAAATTGAACTTCCTCATATGAATTCACAAAAAAATCTAAAAATTAATCAACTTTGGGAACTATGAACAAACATTGTATCTGAGAAATTTTAAATTGAATATTTTCTAGCAAAAACTTTTGTTAAGGTCATTTTCGCGTTTTCCCCCCATAAACTTTTTTGGGAATTCCCCCATAATTTTCCTTGAAGTTTGGTCGACAAACGTTTCTCTTTATCAACAAAAAAAGTTTCCAGAGGGCAAATTTTGGTCTTTCGAACCAATATTTGTATCTATTTTCGCATTGCCTTTTCATCACAATGATAAACATTAACATTCATCGAAATATGTTATCAATTTAATTACCTTTTCTTCTTCTTCTTCTTCTTCTCATTTTTTTTCCAATTTCCGATCTTTAGAAAAGATCACAAAGTATCACGTGGTTCGATTTGATTTGATGTCAGTTAAATCGACAACAAACATCACAAATTATAGCCAATGTAGTCGAGGCTCTTCATTTTTTCTAGGAACAATTTATTTGTTAAACTCGAACTCGGAAAACATTTTATTGGAGGAATGATTTATGGAGTTTTATTTTGAGAAGCTTGAACTTTTTTTTTTTTTTTTTTTTTGAAAAAATCAAAGTTCATAGAAATTTTCGTGGTTTGTGATCTGTTTGAAGGTCAGACAAAATTTTGGTGGAATATTTCAGAACTCAGAAAATGATTACTCATATTAGTCTAAAAATTTCCAGAATCAAAAAACATTGCTCATGTTAGTTGGCAATTTCTCTACAGGTTTGGAGACTAAAAATATTGATGATAGAATTTCCGAACCTAGAGAATTTTTGTGAAAAAAATCGGATTTTTTCAAAAAATATTATAATTTGTGAGCTACATTTTTTTCGACTAACATGAGCAGTCTTCCTATTTCGATTGTTTTTTCGATTAACATGAGTAATCGTCCTCCAATTATTGTCAATCCGAAAAAATAAGAACCTTGGAAGAGAACCGAAATGGCCTAGGAAACCAAGGCTACAGTAGCCTTCGCAAAATTTTGGAGTCTATTTGAAAAAAATGCGAAATTTACACGCTGGCTATTTGCCAACCAGTTTGATGTGCATGTGTCACGTCATTTTTAGTCTACTGTACGTGAGCGCCAATTCAAACAGGGGTTCTTTTTTTTCGGATTGACAATAACATTTTTCCAGAATTTTTTCCAGATGTATCTTGATATCCTCCAGGTCACCTTTCCTTTCAAACTATAAACAAATAAAAGTCAAATGAACTTTTGTGTCCTCAGAAAACCTAATCCACGTGTAAATAACAAATCGGTTTGTTCTCGAAGACCAGAAAAAAAATCGTCGACGACCGATAACAACCACATTTTGATCGACGATCATTTTTGTGTAAAAATTTAATGATGGCAAGACAGAAAAACGGGCAAAATGTGGACGAGAAAAAACGAAAAGAAATAGGGACAAATTGTTAGTGTTTTATCAAGTGTGAAGAAAAAAAGAGAAGAACGAAGTTGATAAGAGTATACAATAACAATAGTTCAGAAAAAATAGTGATGCAAAAAATGTCTCGGGCTGAAAAATTGGCTTTGTTAGCGCCTGGAAGCTCATTAACTGTCAAGTTCTGAAAGGAATCCTGAAGATGTCACTGAAAATCTAATAGTGATTCTGAAGTTTCCACTAATGATCTGATAATGGTTCTGAAGATCTGACTAAAGATTCTGTAGATTCTGAAGTTGTCACTGAAAGTTTCAATGCTCATTTTGAGATTCTGACTAGAAATCTCTGTGGATCATTTTCAGAAGCAGAGCTTCAGCTAAGCATTTTCTGAAATCCTTTTTTTCCAGCCAAAATATCTTGGCTGAAAATCTCCTTCCTTTTTTCCCAAAAAATATCTAATTTTCTGATCAAAAAACACTTGAAAAGTAAACAAACAATTTATTTTTGCCTCCTAGACACATCTGGCAAAAAGCAAAAATATTTTTATTTACATTCTCTTTTTTTTGTTTCGTTGAAATGATATTTTTCATCTTAATCTTCATCTAACTAGACTGTAGTTTGAGGATTGAATTCAATTGGGTTGCGTGAGAATTTGGAAATTTTGAACTAGACAAATGGGTTTTGTTCTTTAGTCTTGATGTTTTATGGGGTCGTATTGGAGAGAAATAATTGTTTTAATGAACAAAGATTTGTAGATAACTATGAGCTTACAAGGGAACCTTTTTTACTCAACACTTCAAATCATGATGAAATTTTGTCCAGAGACAGCTTTCGGGGCCATAAGAACACCCTAAAAATCTTAGTTACCCAATGGACCTATGAGCCAAGTTCTGGGCTCTCAAAAGTTCAAAAATTGCCAAAATTGGCTCATAAAACACGTCATAACTCAATTCTCGATCAATTTTATGAAAAATTGATTAGCAGATGATGATCAGCGTGGTCGATTTACCCAAAAACCATCAATAAATCAAATTTTCATAAAAAATTTTGATTTTGAAAAAAAGAATGAGCAGGGGCACATATGAATTTTCATGAATTTTCGGTCCAAAAATAAAAAACTTCAAAATTTTTCGAAAAAATGTTTTTTATTGATTTACTTTTAGGTAATCGACTATGCTGATCAATATCTGAAACTTTATTTCTCTCAAAAAAATTTTTGAAATGGAGCTATGATGACTTTTGTGACCATTTTTAGGCCTTTTTTGAGTTTTTGAGAGCCCAGAACTTGGCTCAGAGGTCCATTGGGTAACTTAAATTTTTAGCGTGTTCTTATGACCCCAAAAGCTGTCTCTGGACAAAATTTCATCAAGGTTTGAAGTGTTGAGTAAAAAAGGTTCCCTTGTTAGGATTTTACCGGAGATGCACAGAGAAGTACATTTTCAGATGAAAAATTCTGGAAAAAACTTTTATTTTTTTTAAATTTTTAACGTGAACGTGAAAAAGGGGTTCCGAATTATTTTTTTTTTCATTTCTAATTTAAATTTGTTAGCAACTCGGAATTCATTCAAAAATCAGGATGATCACGGTAAGAAAATATTCAAAATTCTCCAAAGTACGGTGTTTCTGCCAGTCGCTGCGAGACCATCAGTGTTAGTGACGCAGAGGAATACTGGGAAATTTGGATTTGAATTTCTGGCCTCTCTGATCCTTTCTTTCAAGCCTAATAGCCTAATTTTTTTCAATTTTTAAAGATTTTTTTCATAATTTTCATATATTTTTTCAATTTTTCTCAAAATACCTCCCAAAAAAACTCACCAATCGCTTCTATCACAAAAAACATTGAAAATCCTCAATCCTCCAAGTTTTCCATGTTGAAATCCACTTGTCCATCAATATTTCGAGCTGAAAATCAGAAAATTTGAATTTTTCATGTACCATTGAGTTTTGCTAACTCCATTTTTGTTTCTATAGATTTCTTCTGGGTCTCACAACAATTTTCCACAGCTATTTTTCAGAAATCCTGCATAAACTCAAAAATTTCAGTGTTTCTCTAGAAAAAACCCCACATTTCTTCAATAATCCTCGGATTTTCCATTGGAAGCGAAAAAAAATTCCAGCCAACATCTAAAAAAAATCAATTTTTGACTGAATTTCACTGATTTTCCCCGGAAACCTGAAAACCCAGCGAAAAAAAACGAAAAATGAAAATATTTTCGTGTTGCGCTAAACAGCGGGCAAGCGGAACTTCGGAGTGTTGTTGTAAATTAAATTAATTTTCTATTTTTGTGTCAATATTTCAGTGATTTCGCTTTTTAAAAGGGAGAATTCTTCCCTTGTGTCTCAAGATCCAAACTTTCCAAATCCTGACCTCTCACCTCACCTCATTTCATTTTTTTTCTCGTTCATCCCATCAAAAAAGTTCATATTTTTGTGTAATTTCTTTTTTTTCCATCGTCCGTTATCTGTTTTTTTCTCTATACTCATCAAAAAAACTTCATTTTTAGGGGGTTGTAAATAATTTTTAAAATAAACAAAAAACTTGTTTATTTTTCGACTTTTTCTCGTTATTTCGGGAAGGGTTTGGGATGAGAAAAATGGAAACATATGAAAATTTTTTGTTTTTTTTTCAATTTGAAAAAAAATTAATTAGATGTGTCACTTTCAGTGAATAAATGAATAAACATCAGGCTAGGTAACCAATTTCCTACTCTGTTTTAAGCTTTTCTTTACCCGCGATGCGTGTGCGTTGCGGTCGCGCTTTTCAATACAAAAATTTATTTCTCGCGAGTTAGCCTAAACATCATTATCAAAACAACGGAAAACTGTTTGAGAGATGAAAAATCGTGGGGAAAAAATCAATTCCAAACTTTTTTCCCTAACCCGAACAATAAAAAAATTGAGAAAAAATGGGCGGAGCCAATGTTTGTTACCCTTCGCCCCGCCAACACTATATAAATATACCCAATCACACTTATCTCCCATTAACATTTCATTCTGGTTTTGTTTTCATCTGATTCTTTTGGAAAAAAAAACCCATCCTAGGTCTCGAGAAAAATATAATTTTATGGAAAAGTTCAGAGTACTCTGTGGAAAAACACGTGACCCTTTCTCATTTATCTTATTCTTCTTCTTCTTCTTCTCTCCGAAAAAAAAATGATTACAATAAGAAAAAAAGTTCAGGAAACATTGGTCATTTTTCACTTATTTTTTCGAAAAAAAAACTTTTTTTCGAAACATTTTCAGAAAAAATTTTTTTGATCTACCCCGCGAATTTTCCGATTTCTCTAGGTTCCAAGTTGACCTGACTAAGCTACAAACTCTTTTCCAGTCCAGTCTCAATTATAATCCATTGATTCTGTCTTATCTTATCGTGGGTTTTCTCCTCTGCTCATTCAAAAACCGCCCATTTTTATTGATATCACCTCTCTCTTTCTTCAGTATAAGTTCTTATTCGTGGCAAATATGTCAACCGGTATTTTTTTGCATATTTTTCCCCCTAACCCTAACCAAAACCTTATTTTAGGTATGGCTCAATCACTTCGTAGTCAATTTGCGACTGACAAACAAGTCCTTCAAAAGTTCTTGAACTTGGACCAAAAGGGCAAATATCAAGCTCTTTACATCTGGATCGATGGATCTGGTGAAAATATTCGTGCCAAGACCAGAACTTTTGACTTCGAGCCAACTGATCCAGAAAGTAAGTGTGTTCTTTATTTTGTACCCTTAAGCACGTGCAAAAGATTAGCTGTTATCAGTCACTCCACATTGGGGCAAAGAATAAAATAAAATGAATTTCAGAGCTCCCAATCTGGAATTTCGACGGATCCTCAACTGGACAAGCCGAAGGTGCTGACTCGGATGTTTATCTCAAGCCAGTCGCCATCTATCCAGATCCATTCAGGCAAGGAAAGAACAAGTTGGTGCTTTGTGAGACTTATGACAACAAGAAGAAACCAACTGGTAAGAGTTCAAACGAATCGAAATACACTATATTATGTTATGCCATTGATAACAAAACATTGACAAAGTGTTGGGTTGTCTTATCATAAGTAAACAAGTCACACGACCTTTCATCTTTATCATTAATGGCTGCGGAAAACGATCAGAATGTTTTCAAGCGAACAAAGAACAGTTTTTTGAATTTAAAAATATTGTTTGCCGCGTGTTTCGTTAGAGCGCACATTCTCTATTCAGAAATGTTTTTTTTTATTTTTTTTCACATTTCGAGTCAATTTTCAGCCACCAACTACCGTCAAAGATGCAAAGAGGTGATGGAAAAAGCATCTGGACAACATCCATGGTTCGGTATGGAACAAGAATACACTCTTCTCGACATCGATGGACATCCATTCGGTTGGCCAAAGAACGGATTCCCAGGACCACAAGGACCATACTATTGTGGAGTTGGAGCCAACAAGGTTTACGGAAGAGACATTGTTGAGGCTCACTATCGTGCCTGCCTTTATGCTGGAATCACCATCTCTGGAACCAACGCCGAAGTGATGCCAGGACAATGGGAATTCCAAGTTGGACCATGCGAAGGAATCACAATGGGTGACGAATTGTGGGTGGCTCGCTATTTGTTGCAACGTGTTGCTGAAGAATTTGGAGTCATCGCCTCATTCGATTGCAAACCAATCAAGGGAGATTGGAATGGAGCTGGATGTCACACCAATTTCTCAACTGAAAAGATGAGAAATCCAGGGGGAATTGAGTATGTTTTCGTTTCTTTTCATTAAAAATAGCTATAATTTATGCTAATTTTTCGAAATTTCCAGTGAAATCATGTCTGCTATCAACAAATTGTCATTGGTTCATCCACAACATATCGCCTATTATGATCCACATGGAGGAAAAGACAACGAACGTCGTTTAACTGGTCACCACGAGACTGCTAGCATTGACAAGTTCTCATATGGTGTCGCTTCTCGCGCCTCATCAATCCGTATTCCACGATCAACTGACGATGATGGATATGGATACTTCGAAGATCGTCGTCCATCATCCAATTGCGATCCATACACTGTTACCGGAGCTATTGTTAGAACCGTTTGTTTGGAAGGAGCTGAACGCAAATTGTCGATGATGTATGTGCCAAGTCAACCACCAAACTTCAACAAATAAATATGATCCTAGCCATTCTCTCAAGAAAATCAACCACTTATTATATTTTCATTTATTGCATTTTCTTCATCTTTTTTTAAATTTTAATGTGTAAATAAAGGACAATTTTCCAAAGTTTTATAGTCTTATTTGCCATTTAAAAATAGCTATTTTTCTCAATGAATTGAAAAACAAAAAAAATGATAGTTTATTTTTTGTTTTCAGTATTGATTGTTATCAATTCGGCTGATATTAAATCGAGATACAAATCACTCAGAGATTCGCTGGCCAGCTCGCCACCAGGTGGGGAGGCTGGCTGACCTGGGAACCACATGGAAACCACGTCGCCCGGTTTTTTTCGCTGGCAAGGTGGCCAGGCTCTGGCTAGGTCACGGCCACATGGCTACCACGTGGTGGCCACTTCGCCGCGTCAAAATGAATTTTCATGAAAATGACTGAAAAACTTGTGAATTGAGGCATTTTCGAGAAATTTGGCTCATTTTCTGTTTTTTCGCAGCACTTGAAACCTTAGGAAGTGAAAAAAACAGTAGAAAATGCAGTTTTTTGAGTACAAACCACTATCTTGCCAGCTTTCCAGAATTTCAAACACACAGGCCACGTCGCCGGAAAACTCGAGGCGACCTGGCGGCCATGCGGTTTCCAGGTGGCCGCAGCGATCTGGTGGCGAGCTGGCCAGCGAATCTCTGAGCACTTGTCAACCATGGAATTGCGATAAATATCGAACATCACCTTCAAGATGCAATACATCATAAAAATCTGACTTTGGGTTCAATTCTTGATGAGAAATTTGGTTTCATTGATTGTGAAAGAAGTTTTAATCGAAATGAAATCATCAAAAATATTCCGAAAAGTTTCGAAATCGATTATCGAAAATGTAAAGCTGAAGTTGCGTTTGCAAATGTGACTGAAATTGCTGAAACACCGAAACGATTGAGATTTTTGACAAAGGAGATTTGTGAAAATGGAAGTGGAAGTGGAAGAGTTTTCGAAAGTGAAGCGAAAAAAGTTGGAAAATTGAAATATTTTCTTGTTTCGAGGAAAATTGTGAATTGTCGGAAATGAAAAAATTTATTTTTTGTGGGGGAATATCGAACATCATCTTCAAGATGCATTACATCATAAAAATCTAAGTTTGGGTTCAATTCTTGATGAGAAATTTGGTTTCAATGATTGTGAAAGAAGTTTCAATCGAAATGAAATTATCAAAAATATTCCGAAAAGTTTCGAAATCGATTATCGAAAATGTAAAGCTGAAGTTGCGTTTGCAAATGTGACTGAAATTGCTGAAACACCAAAACGATTGAGATTTTTGACAAAGGAGATTTGTGAAAATGGAAGTGGAAGTGGAAGAGTTTTCGAAAGTGAAGCGAAAAAAGTTGGAAAATTGAAATATTTTCTTGTTTCGAGGAAAATTGTGAATTGTCGGAAATGAAAAAATTTATTTTTTGTGGGGGAATTTGAAATAAAAACTTGTTTTCGAGAATTCGACGTTGTTGTGTGAGAATTGCAAAAACCTGGAAAATTTGTTTACGAGACTCCGGATAACGCTGCGTTTCTGAATTTTTTTCGCGAAAAAAAATACATTGAAAGTTTTAAATAAAAACGCGCATAAAAAATTTCAGGAATAAATTTTCAAAATGCTAATTTTTCCTGTTTTCTTCGAAAAAAAATTGTTCAAAACGCTGTGTAATTTGTAATGGTTTCTTAAATTCATTGGTTTTTTCAAAATTTCCCTTGAAAAAATTAAAACAACGAGACTCCGCATGACGCTGCGTTCACAAAAGCGATTTGCGCCATTTTTCAAACATTTTTTTCTTTTTTTTTACGTTTTTTTTCCGTTTTTCATACATTTTACGACCAAAGCTCTCACAATTAATTCCAATAATTTCTCACAATAAAATTTTAAAGCCCAAATTACGATCATAATTCTTTCATTCACGATGAAAGCTCTCCTTTTCATAATAACTCTATTCCTAAACATTTTCAATTGTCAAGAATTGAAACTTGTCGATGAAGGAGAACTTGACGAAGAAATGATTATGAAACAAGTCAAAGAGTGGCTAATGACACAATTTATGAGCTTGAATAGTTCGAATTTTGCGGACGAAAATGGATTTTCCAATCAATTTGTTTTTGATGACTAAATTTGAAAAAATATTGAATAAACCGATTTTTCCTTGAATAACAGAAATAATCCAGCTCATCCCAAAGTGCGCAAGATTTCTCAATTTAAATTGTTTTGGTTTTTGATCGGCGCAGACACAAACATATGTCTTTTTTCGCGCCAAAAACCGTCTGTCTTTTTGTATTCCTTTCAATTCTTCGTGAAAAAAAAACACAATTCACTTTTGAGAAAAATAAATAAATATTTGTTAGACATATCTATAGATTGTATCTGTTTTCCGGCCGGTTTGACCATAATTAATTAGGTTAAGATTTGTTTATTATTTATTTGAAAATGTTGGTTTTTGAGAGGAAAAACATACAATTTGTTTAGTTTTTGTTTTGAAAAATAAACAAAGCGATGATAAGATTTCAATTTTTTCTGCGTCTCTCATGCATTTCAAATGTTTATGAGTCTCATTCATTTTTTGGCCGCCAAAATGAGTAACCACTTTTCTTTTGGCTGCTAAACCCCCACATTCTTTTCCTTATGTAAACATTTTCCCAAAAAATTCAATAATTTGTTCCTGAAATTTTTTCATTCTATAAGAATCAGTGAGATCTAAATACGCGACTATTTTCGGTCGACAAAGAATATCAAATTTCGCAACGCCCCTCCCAAAAGCCTCTCTGACTCACACAAAAAAAGTGCTTAAAATTTTTTTGAGCCTATATATTTGACACATTTCCTCTGATAAGCTTATCATTTCCATTTTTTTGTGAAAAAAATAAAATAAAAATAGAACAGTCAATTTCAGAATGCCAAACTGCCCACGTTGTGAGAAACCAGTCTATTTTGGTGAGTTTTTTTCTAAGCTTGAAAATCTCATCGGTACAACGCGCTCCACCGAAATAAACACGCAACGCAGACCGCGTCGCGCCACAACACACACAAAACGGGAGGGAATTTGAATCGTTCCCTTATGTGTGTGTGTTGTGGCGCGGCGCGGTCTGCGTTGCGTGTTTATTTCGGTGGAGCTCTTTCAAACTTAAATTTATGAAAATTGAGCTTTTTGAAGCTGAAAATTATGAAAAATGAGATTTTTGAGCTGAAAATCATGAAAATTTATCTCAAATTGATGAAAATTGACTTTCTGAAGCTGAAATTTATGAAAAATGACATTTTTTAGCTGAAAATCATGAAAGAATTTGAATCGTTCCCTTTTTTGTGTGTGTTGTGGCGCGACGCGGTCTGCGTTGCGTGTTTATTTCGGTGGAGCGAGTGGTACCGATGAGATTTTCGAAACGTATTTTTTGCAGCCGAGCGCGTTAGCTCACTTGGAAAAGATTGGCACCGGCCGTGTTTGAAATGTGAAAATAAATCGTGCGGTAAAACACTTTCAGCTGGAAGTCATTCAGAGGTTAGTCTCTCATTTTTTCATTTACAAGTGAAATAATTGCAGCACGAAGGAAAACCGTACTGTAATCGGTGTTATGGCGCGCTTTTCGGACCAAAAGGATATGGCCACGGTGGAACTGAATCGCACACTTTTCTCCAGGGATCCACATAAATCAGTGTAATTTTCAATAAAAACTTTATTCGTCAAATTATCGATGGACTAGTTATTTAGTTAGGAAAACCCGAAAGGGTAGACGTATTTACAAAAAAAGTTGGATGTTTTTTTGAAAAAAATCTTACATGAGCAATTAGAAAAAAAAGTGTTAACTGAAAAAAAAACGATGATTTCCTAAATGATATGAGTTGTTTTCAATAAATATTTGGATCATCATACCAGTGACGACGTTGGTCACTGAGACCTGGTGTGTAACTGTATCGATTGAGAGCAGCTGATGTGTCGCGGGTGGCTGAACCGGACGCTGAACCCGGATATTTTCGATATTGTGCTACGTATGGATCGCGCGAGGTGGAGGAGGTTGGAGTGGCGGATGTGTAGGCTCTGAGAGAAATTTTTTTACCAGTGAAAAAATTCATGAAAGTTAACACGAGCTGAGAAAATCTTCAAAATATCAAATTGCCTCTAATGATTGGTGTGTGCAAACACTGCGACGCACTTTTGCGTACAGTGAGATTTGAACTTTTATATTTTTTGAAGCCAGTTCAAGTCAAAGGCGTCTTGGTCAACCAGAATAGCTGTCTGACCGCCTTTAAATTAATTCTGATCTTCTATGTCATAACTTCTAACGATCCAATTCTAAAACCACAAACCTTGAAGATGACGATGGTGTTGAACTATAATAATCCGTAGTTCCTGTATCGTTTTTACGAAACAGCGATTTGATACGATCAATCGGTGAAGATGGTCGTTTAAAATCACGCGTTGAATCATCATAGCCATTCGACGATGTGATCAATTTTCCATCGGCTCCCAATCGAACTTCACTCGTTTTTCTTCGATTAAATGAGAGCAACGATCGTTTTTTCTTTGGATTCGAATCCAATGCTTGCGAATCTCCAACATTTCGACCATGTGGTCCAACCGATGACACCTGAATGAAGAATTCAATTCGCTTGCGATCAAAAATGAGAATCAAAATCTAGTTCCATGCTAAATGTATTGGGGAAAAGATGCACATCAAACCACATACCCGAGATTTGTGACCGTAATAAGGTGCCTAAACGGGTTTATCAACATTTTGCACGAAAAAAATTAAAATTACCTGTCTTTGTGGCGACACACTTTTCTCCAATGACAAATGTCGACGAAGACGTTCGAAGACCTGAACAAGGATAGAAGAGTTCACAACAAAAAAAATCATTTTTTTTTCTGAAAACGACATGCTGGAGAGAAGAGGGTGTTCATTCAATCCAACAACAAATTCACAAATGAATGAAGACACGTGCATCTAATGTGCAATTGGTTACTTACCGATCTAACTCCACTTGGTTCATAGGAAGATGTTTCACCGCGCGGTTCGATATCGGCGCTCTAAAAAAAACAAATTAACCCAAACTTTTTGGGGAAAACATGAACCAACTTGTTTATTTTTCAAAATACTTCTTGGTTGTCCATCCTTCTCAAAGGTCACTCCAGTTGATCTATCCCGATTTGTATCATGATAATTTACATAAGTGTAATCATCCGGTGTTGTTAATCGATTCAAAATCGAGCCTCCATAATCATAATCAATCTTATTGCGATCCATCGATCGACTTCGATGATAACTTCGTCGATCCGCGTCAGTCATCGCTGATGAAACACGTCGAGCTGTCGGGCGGAATCGAGAAGATGTTTGAGTGTTGTCGTTTAACGCACTTGAAATCGCATAATGATCATTTGGAGTTGTTGATCGACCATAATTCGAATAGGATTCTTCGGGTCTTCTTAAACCAGTTACTGGTCGATCGCTATAATATGCTGATGGTCGATATGATGAAGTTGGAGCTGTATGATATGTTGATGTATTTCTCTCAGCATCTCGTTCCGCTCTAGTTTTATACACTTCAAATTTACGATCATTTGCCCAACTGTTCAATGGCTGAAAAATTAAAATTTTGAAACGTATTTCATTTTCGGATCTTATTTCCCATATGGATCAATTCATCTGAGAAAAAAAAAATGAATTTCGCGACATTTTTCGTCGCGAAATTGAAATTCACGAAACGACGCGAAAAAACACAAAAATAAAGGAGAATTAACGGATCGCGACGAGACCCAACACACAAACAAACATGTGTGCCTTGACTTTTTCTTTTCTTTTTTCAGCGCTGTTTCTTGTTTTTCCGCGTTCTCATCAGATTTTGTGAAAATTTAATTACTGCACATGATTTAGCTCCTCATTTTCATGCTAATTATCACTAATACCCCTTGAAACAGCGCTGAAAAAGAAAAAAAGAAAAGAAAAAATCAAGGGACACATGTTTGTTTGTGTGTTGGGTCTCGTCGCGATCCGTTAATTCTCCTTTATTATCGAAAATCTCATCGGTACCACGCGCTCCACCGAAATAAACACGCAACGCAGACCGCGTCGCGCCACAACACACACAAAAAAGGGAGGGAATTTGAATCGTTCTCTTTTTTGTTTGTGTTGTGGCGCGACGCGGTCTGCGTTGCGTGTTTATTTCGGTGGAGCTTTTGAATCATAATATTTCTTCTCATACATCACAACATTTCTATCTTACCTAATCAAAGTTGGGTTTTCGGTAAACCCCGAAAAATCTAATTAATTTTAATTAATTATTTTGTATCTAGATCAAAAATCTAACCTCATGATCAATTTTTCGTGTATAACTTGGACTTGCATTTGACGATGTGATATAATTTGTGCGATCATATGAAGGTCTGAAAAAAAATTTTAAAGTTTTTCTAGAACTTCAAAATAATGAAAACCTGTATAAATATCTCATATTGAATAGTCAGAAAAAAATACAGAAAATAAATGAAATGAAAAGTGCTCAATGAGCACTGAGGCTTAGGGTTGGGAGCTTAGTGATGTTTGTGTTTGGCGGGAGGAACCCAACAACAAAATTCTTTGTATTTCTCTTTGCCGGAACCCACCTGGATGATTCGTATGGATCGTATGATGTTGATTTTCCTCGATCATCGCGATTTACAGCGGCGGTCTGGAAACAAAAAACGTCGGAACTTCAAAGAAATCAGTTACACCCATACATTAATAGTAATTGTTCTCTTTTAATTCGTTTAATTAGGATTGGTTTCACTTTTTTTTCAGATGGAGAAAGAAATTTGGTTGGAATTTTCTGTTAATGAAATTTTAACTTGGGGGAATTTAAAAACAAATTTTAAGAGAATCACAAATAATTTTAAATTTTAAAAATTTGAAAAACTCACCCAATCATCATTAAAAATTAACATAATTAGAAAAAAAATCTCTAAAAATTTCAGACGCTCTCCAAAATAAATAAATCAATGAAGCTGAACATGCAGGGAGGGCGGTTCTCTATACCAATTGTGTTCTTCTTTTGCGCGAAAAAGACAACAAAAAAAAATGAATGTACTTCTTGCCCTAATTAATGATGATTTTTAGGGTTGGACAACGACGACACACACAAAAAAACGAGATGCTGACGTTTTGATTTATTAATGCTTGAATGGAGGTGTTCTGTTTTTCTTTTCGTGTTCGGTTTGATTTTTTAAAGATAACATTAGTTCTAGAGAAGGAGGGATGTTTTTAGGATAAGTTAAAAATTGGAACCTTTTGGAAGTCACGTCCTTTTCCAGGGTGAATCGAGAAAAATTTTGAAGTCGATAAAATTTGAAAAACATTTTGTTTTCCCGCGCTTGGTCTCGAAACGAAGTGCCGGACTACGAATGGATTTGGTGTTTCTTTCTCTGCGTCTTTCTCGAATTGTAATTTTCCCTATTTCTGAAAGGCCGTGGCACAAAGAGTTAGCACAACTCGAGGAAAAATTCAAATTTTTGGATCCCCTAAGTTTTCGATTGGTCCAAAAATTTGAAGCTAAATTTTTCAGGGCTCAGGAAAAATTTTTTACAAAACCCTAACATAAATACAAAATTGTATAAATAAATGTTATATTCAAAAAATCTTTAAGGTTTTAAGAAAAAAATTCACGATAGATTTCCCTGCGCGAGAACCCGAAAATTTTAACCAAAACTCGATTTTCGACTGAAATTTTCAGTTCAGGAATGACTTTTATTGAATTTTGGTTAAAAACCAGATTTTCAGTTTAAAAAATTGACAATTCCCTGCGCGAGAACCCGAAAATTTCAGCCAAAACTAAATTTTGCCCACCGCTACCATACAAGGCGCCCATTGAGTCAGACGCGAGGCGACGAGAGTATTTTGCAAAAATATACCGAAAATCAATTTCGTGGCGAGATATTTTCAATAAAACATGTGTTCCTTGAAACAAAATACGGTATTTTTTCAAAGGGACACACATTTTCTCGAAAATATCTCGAAGCGATGTCGTTCTCTGTCTCAGATGACGTCATCAGACTCCCGTCGTCTCTCGTCTGACCCGAGGGGTAATTTTCTATCGGAGTAAATGGTCGTGCCACACAAAAAGAGCCCCAAACTCACATATTTCGAAGGCGAATGTGCTCGATACTCATGTGTATGATGAGTTCGATAACTATCATCATGATATCGTGGCCGAATATAAGATGTTGGATTTGTTGAGGTGGTATGCGTATAGAAAGGATCAGAAGAGACCGGCGAGAATGCCCGATCTTCATACGACGGTTCAATTGACGGTCTTTCCAGTGCTCTGCAACAAATCTTGGTTTTTGATATATTTCCATTCCTAATTGTAAGAATAAGAAAAAAAGCAACCAAAAAACTTCGGTTAACTCAAAAATGTCACAACAAAAAATACCGTAGGGCTTCCTCGGTTGTTCCGATTGTTCGATTTCTCAATCGTCGCTCCCTGGTTTTTCTTCGGATATAAGCTGAGGCACTTTCCCACGTATCTTTCTGCTCGGTTGGTGTTTTTGGAGTGGAGGAAATCTCAGAATTTCTGGAAAATCAAATCAAAACCAACAAAAAAAAGCGGTGAGCAACAACTAATCAAAGAAAGCTCAAGCATTATGCACAAATCAAAACACGTTGTGAAGGGGGATTCACACTCACGCGTTGATTCGTCTCTGTAGGTCCGAAGCCTGGTAGGCGTTGGGGCGGAATAACAGATTTGTTTGTGATATTCTGTAGCTTAACATGTCTGAACCCGGAATTTTCTAATATTCAACTAACCTTCTATCGCTAGCCGCCAGAATCTCATCCATTTTATGCGAATCGGGTTTGATGCGAAGCTCGGCTACCGACACCAAATATTTTGCTGATGTTTCGGGCGCTTTTTCTGGAAAAATTGGAAAAATTACGCTGGTTTTGTTACCAAATTAGCCAAAAAAACAGAAAAAAAGTAAACCTGGATTATGAATAACTGTAGAAGTTGTTGGTGACGTCACTTGATATTGTGGCTTATTTTTATTGATTGAACTTGCAGCGCCAACAGTAGTAGTTACTTAATAAGCAGAAAGTAATAAGAAGAAAAACATTTTAAAAAAATTTAAAAAATTGAAAAAAAAAACCAACCTCCACCCGTTCGAATTCCAGCAATGACGGGTCGTTTGGGTTTGAAGTTCTCGAAATCCGAGCCCTCTTCAGATTCCTCTTCCTCCTCGACTTCTTCCTCGTCTTCTTCATCTTCTTCTTCTTCTTCATCATCTAGTTCTTCACCATCGGATTTGACGATGACTGGAGGTGGACTTCGTGGTGGAACACTTCCAACGTATCTGGAATTTGAGATTTTTGAGATGGAAAAGGGACACTTTCTCTGCGTCTCTAGCTTTTATTCTGGATGTCTGGACTCTCATGATCTCTAGATGTCTATAGAAAATTGCCCCTCGGGTCAGACGAGAGACGACGGGAGTCTGATGACGTCATCAAAGACAGATCGCTTCGAGATATTTTTGAGAAAATACCGTATTTTGTTTCAAGGAACACATGTTTTATTGAAAATATCTCGAAGCGAAATTAATTTTCGGTATATTTTTGCAAAATACTCTCGTCGTCTCGCGTCTGACTCAACGGACGCCTTGTATGGTCGTGTCTGCGTCTCCAAACATTGTCCGGACTCTCTGCGTCTCTAGCTTTTATTCTGGATGTCTGGACTCTCATGATCTCTAGATGTCTAGCTTCTCTGCGTCGTTGTTTAGAGTGTCTAAGCTGTCTCGACTCTCTGCGTCTCTAACAATCTGTGCTTATAGAATTTTGAAAATAATCTAAATTTTGATAAATGGAAAATTTCTTAAAAAATTGCTCCGGACTCTCTGCGTCTCTAACAAAATAGATTTTCTGGTTGTCTGGAGCTTATAGAATTTTGAAAATAATCTGAATTTTGATCGGAAAATTTTAAAAATTTAAATTTAAAAGAAAATTTCAATAGAGCGAACAAGCTCCCTGAAACTCACGAATTTCTCGGTTTGTCGCCCTCTTTTGGCTGTTTCAACAAATCCGCTTTCACTTTTTCCATTCGAAGTTTTCGGCGAAGTTCAACATCAATATTTCTCGCATCGATTTTTTTATTGTTGGGATAAGATTGAAGGATTTCTTTGGCCTGCAAATAAAACAAATCAATTTTGATCTGACTTTGATATTATCCGTTTGGAAATGAGATTCACCCCGCGAAAAAATTCATTTGAATTTGTTGCAGGAGACGCAGACATCGAGAGAGAGCGCTGGCAAACAGCCAACGGGGGTTTTGTATGGGGAAGCGACCGCAACGCACACGCATCGCGGGGGGGGAATTAGAGATTTTTCAAATTCAAATTCATTTTTTCGCGGGGTGACTCTCATTTCCAAACGGACAATATTAAAAATGCTCTAGAAAAAAATCAGCATAACAGGAAAAAAGAAAGAAAAACTTGGTTCACACATGCTTACTGTTTCAAATAAAAACGGTGACAGTTCTGCGCTAGGCTGCGGTCCTCCGAAAAACTTTTTCTCATGTGTCGGACTCTCGCATTCCGTCGACACTCCCCGACCATAATTCATTATAATTGTGTGCTGCAAAAACAACATGCGTGGATGGGTGGGTGATAAATAGAAGTGGTGTGTCAAAAAAACACATGCATATATGTAGAAAAAACATCGCTACCTGATATTTCCCTTTGCTCTGCCGTTTAATGAGTCCTCTATCAAAAGCATCGAGGAATTGCGGAGACGATGATGGATCCGGCGGTGGATGTGTCTCCAAATTATTTGCGATTGGTGCGGCTGGAGTTGTGATTATCTCCGGATTCTTTGATTTCTCCTCTTCCGGCGCTTTCTTATCCACTTCATCTGCCAAATCTTCCATCTCACTATCACTATATTCATCATCATCATCTTCAGATTCCTCTTCTTCCACAACATCTTTAATAACAGCGATTTTTGGAGTATCTGGAACTGGTGTTTTCTGTTTTGCTCCTTGCTCATCTTCATCCGAATCATCGAAAGATGTGTCTTGAACAGTAACTTCAGTGGCATTACTTGCAATCGACTCCTGCATTCGATCAGCCGAATCTTCATCCGGATCAAATCCAACCTGCAAAAACCAATTGAGGGAACTATGGGCGGGAAAATAAACATGGTGCATGTGTTAGATCTAGCTGATGTTATTCATACCTCAACCGAATGCCACGGTCGTTCCTTCATTCGTTTTTGTGCCTGTCCACCAGGTGGCGATGGAACTGCCGGAATCTCGTCGGTTTCGGAGTGTTTGGTTTTTGGGCGAGTCAATGTGTTTTGGCGGGATGAGGAGGTCTTACAAGAAATGTTATTTGGATTAGAAGATGCAACTTAGGAAGTGCGTAACTTAAGGCTCTACTCAAAAAAAATTTCAAAACATAGTACCTGTGTTTGCTGCTCGATAATCTTGCTGGTTTGTTTTTGAACAGGTTCGGGTTGAGCAGCGATGATGCTTTCGAGGAGCTCTTTAACCATCGGACGAGTATCGTAAAGTGGGTGCGCTTTGATTTTGGCGATGATGTTGAGGTTGACAGCTCCACGATCCATTTGTTCGAGGACCTGGAGAAAAAATGAGCTCTAGAATTTCGAGGCACCACGCGCTCTACCGAAATTAACACGTAACGCAGACCGCGCCGCGCCACAACACACACACACAAAAGGGAGGGAATTTGAATCGTTCCCTTATTTGTGTGTGCTGTGTGCGCGACGCGGTCTGCGTTGCGTGTTTATTTCGGTGGAGCGCCTGGTGAGATTTTCGACAACAGTTCAAAAATTTTTAATTAAAATATTTTTGGCCGCTAGCCCAACTAATAAAAAATTTTCACCTGCTCCAAAAAATATTCCACAAAACCAGAACTCAAATAAAAATTCTATGATTTTTTTTTAGTTTAGTTATTATCAAAAAAATTCAAATCCCATTTTCCCAAGTACGGTATTCCTCTGCGTCACTAACACTGCTACAAGACCAGCCCAGAGAAACATGGGTCTCGCAGCGACTGGTAGAAACACCGTACTTGGAAAGACACGACCATACAAGGCGCCCGTTGAGTCAGACGCGAGACGACGAGAGTATTTTGCAAAAATGAATTTCTCTGCGTCACTAACACTGCTACAAGACCACCCCAGAGAAACAGAGTCATATGGGTCTCGCAGCGATTGCCAGAAACACCGTACTTCGGAATAGTGTCATTTGAATTTCTAGCCTTCATTTTTTTTGCCAAATTTTTTTACTTTCTCGGAAAAAAACCTAGACTGTATCAAAATTTTCCCAATTTTCAATAAATACATTTGAAACTCAGCCTAACTCCTCTAAAACTCTCACCTGATTCATCAACATATTCAACGAATCCGTCTCAATGCGATAGGCACTGGCCGACAAATGCGCTCTGGTTCGATGTCTCTGCGATTCGGCCGCCGATGTTTCTTGCAGCAAATTCGGTGGTCCACTCGCCGCAGGTTTCTCTTTAACCGGCACAAAAGAGGGTGCTCGTGATGCTTGTCTGAAAATGTAAATTTTTTAACGTCACAGATTTTTCCGCATCAATGATCACTCAAAATTATATATCATATTTTTTATACCTCATTCCTTCCTCTTTCTTAAATCAAAAAGTGTGTTTTTGCAACACAAAACCTTTTTTTCCTCAGAGTATTATTGGTATCCAAGTAACCTCACTAAATTTTTTCTAGGAAAAAAGGGAATTCTTCATAAATATCAGATTCTTTTTGTTGACCACCTTCTATACGATTTGTGAGATTTTTTTGGCTGAAAACATATAATTTCCTATTCATCTTTTTGTGTTTTTTTGTCAGCAAAAAAAAATAAAACAAAAAAAATCGAGTTTTCCTAATTGAATATTTCGCCACCTGCCTGACTCATGATAGAAAAAGCGAACATTTTTCGTAGATCATAGATAATTTCTCAATAAAAACTTTTCCAAGAGAAGTTCGGGGCCTCTTCGTTTTGAGACCAACATGTTTTTCGAATATTTTTCCCGCGCTCGATTTCGAAAGTCTCGTTTTCTCTGCGTCTCTCTCGGTTTAACATGTAAAACACTGTGCACTATCCCACGTGGCAACACAATTTTAGGTCCCCAAAATTCTGTGCTGCGATCCCCTCCCCCCCCGCTCTCCCAATGTTTCCCACTCACTGTTTCGGATCTTCCGGCTGTTGTTCCGGCGATTTCAATTTCACCGGCGGCTGTTTCAAAGTCACTGTAACCGGATCCTCTTTCGGTTTCACCATCGTTGCCTCTTGTCTTGCAGCAGCCTGAAACTGATCTTTGTATTTCGGCTCTGACCAAACTAGATCTATTAACCCTTTTGCCCCCGCCCTCATTAAAATCATCGCGCATTATTTTATTTCGTTTCATTTTCACAAACCGAAATTTATTATTTGACCCCAGACTAATCCGTTGCGACCAAAAATTTACAATATGATTCGTTTGTGCGTGATTCTACTCATTTTTCTGGCCGCTTTTGGATGGTGTGAGGTAAAAAATTGAATTTTATGGGTGAGTCTTTGAAAAAAAAAACAATTTTTTGTTTCAGACAACTTGCGCTGAACGATGTGCTGATCATTATTTGGAAACAATGCGTGATCATCCAGATTACACGTCCTTTCAATATAAAACCGAATCTCTAAAATGTGTTCAAGCATGTCGAGATGGGACTCTACAGTAAACCTTATAATTTAAATTCAAAATTAAATTTTTTCATGTATATAATTACGGTTTTCTATACCTATGCATCGATTTTTTCAAAATAAATTTTTCTCCCAAAAAAAAACTCACATCTCTTTTACTCTGCCCCAATCGATTTTCAATTTGTCGCAATCTTTCCAATGGATCATTTGTATCAACTTTGGGTTTTTCAGGTTCTTTGACACCACGAAGCGATTTTTCAGCTGCTCGCATCTCAGTTTTCTCCTCTTTCTCATCGGTTTTTCGCGCTTTTGGTGGTTTGACCGGTGAATTTTCGTTGTATTCTTCGGCTTCTTTTCGTCGCCGTCGGAAATCTTCAATCTTCTTGCGAGTTTCGTTGGACAAATGTCCGAATTCCATAAATACATCTTGTTCATCGGCTAAATCTTGGACAACCATTGTTTCCTCGCGTTCAGTGAGTGGAGTATGATCAATGATCTGCAAATTTGATTATTCAGAAAAATTTTTTTTTGAGCTCGGGGAAATTTTCTAAAGGCCTTAAAGATCAGGTCCAGAGTACCGCAACGAAACATTTTTGTGAAACAGTTTCACTTGGTTTTAGCAGAACATTTTAAAAAATTTCAATGTTTTCACTTTCTATCTGAGTCACTTTTTGTTTTTTCAACGAGTGTCACGATTAAAAATGATCAGACAATGAAAAAGATCGAATTAGAAAAATATTAAAAACGTGACACGGTGCAGGTGTGACGTGTTTTCGATGCAAAACATTTTCAAAAAATGAAATGCTTCACGTGTTTTTTCATAACACATTTAATTTCTCGAAATGTGTCATACCAAAAAAGAGTGACACAAAAAAATGTTTCACGTTTTGAAAAAATTAATTGTGTGACACATTAAAATGTGTCACACAATTTTTGTATGACACATTCAATTTTTAAAAATGTTTCATTGGTTTTCAATGAAACAAATCTGATCAGCTGTTTTGTTTCGCCACATTTTACCATTTTCTCTATTAGAGAATTTGATAGAAAAAGCGACCTGGAAGTGAATTTGAACACATTTTGAATAGATTAGTTTGTGAAGATACTATTTCACTTTTGAGAACTTATCAAATGGACCCGAAAAGTCGGACCAAGTCAGATTTTTTGAAAAAAACTGACAAGGAAACCTTTCGGAACCGCCAAAAAATGATAATTTTCCCCAGTCCTCCACAAAATTAGCTTCACCGCCAAAATTTTCAAAAATTCGGAAATTTGATTTTTTCTGAAAAAGTTGGTATAGCTGAAAATGAAGCTGAAATGAAAACTTGATTTTTTTTTTGAAAAATAGGTGTTTTTATTTTCCACATAAAATCAAATTTCCGAACTTTTGAAAATTTTGGCGGTGAGGCTAAGATTTTGTGGAGGACTTTAGGTTTCTGGAAAAACAAACCTCACCCAAGAACCTGGAGCAGTAGCTGAAAAATTGCCCACCTTGGTTCATTTTTCAAAATTATCCACCTAGTGAAAATGTTTTTCTCGACTGAGTCTGGCCTTGAAAGCCCTTAGATTTTTTGTCCACTAACAAGGTTAGGTTTTCCAAAAAAAATTGCCCACCTGGAATTCCAAAAAAATTATCAATTTTTTGGCGGTTCCGAAAGGTTTCCTTGTCAGTTTTTTTCAAAAAATCTGACTTGGTCCGACTTTTCGGGTCCATTTGATAAGTTCTCAAAAGTGAAATAGTATCTTCACAAACTAATCTATTCAAAATGTGTTCAAATTCACTTCCAGGTCGCTTTTTCTATCAAATTCTCTAATAGAGAAAATGGTAAAATGTGGCGAAACAAAACAGCTGATCAGATTTGTTTCATTGAAAACCAATGAAACATTTTTAAAAATTGAATGTGTCATACAAAAATTGTGTGACACATTTTAATGTGTCACACAATTAATTTTTTCAAAACGTGAAACATTTTTTTGTGTCACTCTTTTTTGGTATGACACATTTCGAGAAATTAAATGTGTTATGAAAAAACACGTGAAGCATTTCATTTTTTGAAAATGTTTTGCATCGAAAACACGTCACACCTGCACCGTGTCACGTTTTTAATATTTTTCTAATTCGATCTTTTTCATTGTCTGATCTACTATATACTAATTGAAAACTGCTTTTTAAGAAGTGCGTATGTCAGATGGACCAACTTTTTTTCTACTTCATGAAAAGTTTCGGTTAAAAAAAGAAAAGTTTCCAAATAGTTGCAGCATGATGCAGAACATTATGAAATTTCAAAGTTTTTTGTTGTAGTGCGCAGGGAAACTTTTAACTGAAAAAACTCCTGAAATTCAATGTATTTTTGAAAATAAAAATGTGTAGCCGACCGTAACTCAATTTCTAGAAGACCGTTTTGAATGAGACTTGGACCAACGTGTTCCAAATTTTTCGTAGATGATGCACGATATTCGAAATATTTCAAAAGTGCGCAAGTTTTCACGTGAAAAATAAAAACTTTTTCCGTGTAGAAAAGAATGAACACGTTTTTAATCGGAAAAAATGGCTAGGTCACGTTTCTTATCTGATCTTTCTATTTCATTCATAGAGGGGGACATTTTTAATCATTTCTCGCTATTACTCTACTCCTAATCGGTTTGGAAAATGAATGGAAATTAAGTGAGTCAAATTACTGTAGATAAATTTATATACTGTTCGAACTTTCAGATATTGGATAATTTCTTTTACAAGAAGAAAAACAAATACTTTAATGTGAATGTTTGATAGTGAGTTTTGATGTGTTTGGGAATCCCAATATAGTTAAGCCCAAATTATTTCAGTTCCGTTTTTTTCTATGATTATTTACAATTTTCTGTGAAAATCGAATTCATTCAAAATTTCTTTTTTTGATCAAAAATAGACTCGTGGCAAAAAAATCGGCCCGAGGTTTTTCGTTGGATAAAAAAAAATCGGCTCTGAACGGAAAAAGAGGGGTTTAGAATAAAAAGAGGGGTTTTCAAAAACTTCATTTTTCAAAAGCTTCAAACGATTTTCAAAAGTTAGTTTCAGAAGTTGCTTTTGTTCAGAATTTCGAGCTTAATCTGATCCTTGCGCTTAAATTTTATGAGAAGTGAAAATATTCCCACATTTGGGAGAATAAAGTTTTCAAAACCCCTCTTTTCCGTCAAATCCCCTATTTCTTTCAAAAACCCCTCTTTTTTTCCTAAAACCCTCTTTTTCCGTTTAGAGCCAAAACATCGGCCCGAGTTTTTTTTCAAAAAAATTGGGCTCGAGTTTTTTCAAAAAATCGGTTTTCGTTGGATAAAAAAAATCGGCGCGAGTTTTTTCAAAAAAAAATCGGCTCGAGTTTTTTTCAAAAAAAATCGGCTCGAGTTTTTTCAAAAAAAAATCGGCCCGGCTTTTTTCAAAAAAAATCGGTTTTCGTTGGATGAAAAAAAAATCGGACCGAGTTTTTAAAAAAAAATCGGCCGATAAAAATCGGCCCGAGTTTTTTCAAAAAAAAATCGGCCCGGCTTTTTTCAAAAAAATCGGTTTTCGTTGGATGAAAAAAAAATCGGGCCGAGTTTTTAAAAAAAAAAATCGGCCCGGCTATTTTCAAAAAAAAAAATCGGTTTTCGTTGGATGAAAAAAAATCGGGCCGAGTTTTTTCAAAAAAAAATCGGCCGATAAAAAATCGGGCCGAGTTTTTCAAAAAAAAATCGGCCCGGCTTTTTTCAAAAAAATCGGTTTTCGTTGGATGAAAAAAAATCGGGCCGAGTTTTTTCAAAAAAAAAATCGGTTTTCGTTGGATGAAAAATCGGGCCGAGTTTTTTCAAAAAAAAAATCGGTTTTCGTTGGATGAAAAAAAATCGGGCCGAGTTTTTAAAAAAAAAAAAATCGGCCCGGCTATTTTCAAAAAAAAATCGGTTTTCGTTGGATGAAAAAAAATCGGGCCGAGTTTTTTCAAAAAAAAAATCGGGCCGAGTTTTTTCAAAAAAAAATCGGCCCGGCTTTTTTCAAAAAAAAATCGGTTTTCGTTGGATGAAAAAAAAATCGGGCCGAGTTTTTTCAAAAAAAAAATCGGTTTTCGTTGGATGAAAAAAAATCGGGCCGAGTTTTTAAAAAAAAAAATCGGCCCGGCTATTTTCAAAAAAAATCGGTTTTCGTTGGATGAAAAAAAAATCGGGCCGAGTTTTTTTTCAAAAAAAAAATCGGGCCGAGTTTTTTCAAAAAAAAAAAAAATCGGCCGATAAAAAATCGGGCCGAGTTTTTTCAAAAAAAAATCGGCCCGGCTATTTTCAAAAAAAATCGGTTTTCGTTGGATGAAAAAAAAATCGGGCCGAGTTTTTAAAAAAAAATCGGCCCGAGTTTTTCAAAAAAAAATCGGCCGATAAAAAAATCGGGCCGAGTTTTTTCAAAAAAAATCGGCCCGGCTATTTTCAAAAAAAAAAATCGGTTTTCGTTGGATGAAAAAAAAATCGGGCCGAGTTTTTAAAAAAAAATCGGCCCGAGTTTTTTCAAAAAAAAATCGGCCGATAAAAAAAATCGGGCCGAGTTTTTTCAAAAAAAAAATCGGCCCGGCTATTTTCAAAAAAAAATCGGTTTTCGTTGGATGAAAAAAAAATCGGGCCGAGTTTTTAAAAAAAATCGGCCCGAGTTTTTTCAAAAAAAAATCGGCCGATAAAAAAAATCGGGCCGAGTTTTTTCAAAAAAAAAATCGGCCCGGCTATTTTCAAAAAAAAAATCGGTTTTCGTTGGATGAAAAAAAAATCGGGCCGAGTTTTTTCAAAAAAAAAATCGGCCGATAAAAAAATCGGGCCGAGTTTTTTCAAAAAAAATCGGCCCGGCTTTTTTCAAAAAAAAATCGGTTTTCGTTGGATGAAAAAATCGGGCCGAGTTTTTAAAAAAAAAATCGGCCCGGCTATTTTCAAAAAAAAAAAATCGGTTTTCGTTGGATGAAAAAAAATCGGGCCGAGTTTTTTCAAAAAAAAAATCGGGCCGAGTTTTTTCAAAAAAAAAATCGGCCGATAAAAATCGGGCCGAGTTTTTTCAAAAAAAAAATCGGCCCGGCTATTTTCAAAAAAAATCGGTTTTCGTTGGATGAAAAAAAATCGGGCCGAGTTTTTAAAAAAATCGGCCGATAAAAAAATCGGCCCGAGTTTTTTCAAAAAAAAAATCGGCCCGGCTATTTTCAAAAAAAAAATCGGTTTTCGTTGGATGAAAAAAAAATCAGCCCGAATGAATCAATGAAAATAATCAAAGGGCGGCGGAGTTTACTGTTCTTTGGTTTTATCTTCCACGGCTCTGAAAATTTCAGATGGAACATAGAAGCTTATACTCAGAAAATAAGGCAGCATTTCTTTTCTCTCTGGATATAGATTTTTTGGATATAGATTTTAGATTTTCGGAACAGTTTCGCCAAATGTTGTGCTTTAGTTTTTGAGACGTAGAAAATTTGGATTAACCTCTTTATAAAATCAAGAAATTTTTTCGCACATTTTTTAAAACCATTTTCGTCAATTTTCTTTAGAAATTTTAAAAATCATACCTAGCGGAGAACGGAGAAAGAATTCAACGAAAATCAAAATTTCGGTTTTTGTTTAAAGAATCTTTTCCAACTTTTCAAAAACTACAACTCTGTCGTATTTTAAGACGAAACATGTTTCTGTTTACACCTAAAGAAAACTACGCGCGAAGCCGGGACAATCCAGAAGGAGGAGCCGGCGTTAGCCGGCGGAGCCCTTCTGGTCATTTTTTATTTGTGAAGTGTTGTGAATTTTTTTTGAGTGGTGCTATTTTTGTTTCGAAATTCATGAAAATCAGTGACACTTACAAGAAAACTCAGTTTCATGTTTCGCCTTGTTTCGAAACAAAACAAAATCTTGCGGTACTCTGATCAGGTCCGATATTTTGGGGAGAAAAATTCTGAATAGCACCTACCTGATTCTCTGGAAGTTCCTGAATGACCGGCATATTCTCCTCAAGATTCAACCACCAATGTGAAGCGATATCAAAAATAGTGGCGCGTCTTTTCTGGATTCACTCTCAACATATTTCGAATCAACATTGATGCGGTACTCGGTGTCTCTGGCTCATAATACGCTCCTCTTTTGATCTGTCGAACCATTCGATTGAAGTCTCGACCATCGAATGGCATACTTCCATAGACCAAAGTGTATAGAAGAATTCCCAGACTCCAACAATCAACTTCAGGACCTTTGTAAGGTGTTCCATTGATGATTTCAGGTGATGCGTAGAGTGGACTTCCGCAAAAAGTTGTCAATAGAACTTTATCCGAAAAATAGTTGGACAATCCAAAATCGGCAATTTTCGCATTATTATTTTGATCCATCAAAATATTTTCCAACTTCAAATCTCTGTGCGCAACCTTATGCTTATGACAATATAAAACAGCTGACGTGATTTGTCGGAAAAGTCTGCGAGCTTCAGCTTCTGGCAAACTTCCACATCTCGAAACATAATCATACAATTCTCCGCCACTCGAGTATTCCATAACTAGAATAATTTTGTCTTTATTCTCAAAAACTTCGTAGATTTGAATGATGTTCGGATGGTTTAATGCAGACATGATTCGAATCTCACGACGAATTCGAACCAGATCCGCCTTGTTTTCGATCGCTGATTTTTTGATCAACTTCACTGCCACCTACAAATTTATTCAGATTTTTTTTTCACAACTCTTTTTACTCGAGGATTTCCCCGGAGACACTATTGGTTCAAATAAAGTCATGCGATTGGTGTTGATTCTATTTTATTGTCTCAAAATCTCTGGGGACAACGCGAAAAATATTCGCATTTCAAATGCGGTTCGGTTTGGAAAAAAAAACAAAATTTTTTAAGAAATCCGAGTTTTGTGCTGAAAAAATCGATAAAATGCAAGAAAGGGTCAGGGGAACTTGAGCTAAATTGATAAGACAGTGATTTTCTAGCCTAATATGCTTTTGATCTATGATTCTCTAACAAGTCTCCTCATTTTCACTGATTTTCCAATGCACACAAAACACGCAAGCCTCAAATCACTGACGCGTTTGCGGATATGTTTGCGCATTTTATTTTTTTTTAATTTTCAAAAAAAAATAAAATTCGTTTTTTTTTTAATTTTCAAAAAATAATAATAAAATGCGAAATTCCCAAAAAAAAACAATAAAATGTTTAATTTTTATTTTTAATTTTCAAAATTTTTTTATTTTCAAAAAAAAATAAAATTCGCAAATTTCGAAAAAAAAATAAAATTCGTTTTTTTTTAATTTTCAAAATTTTTGAAATAAAAAAATTTTTTTTTTTGAAATTTTCAAGAAAAATAAAATTCGTTTTTTTTTAATTTTCAAAAAAAAAATAAAATTTGCAAATTTCGAAAAAAAAATAAAATTCGTTTTTTTTTAATTTTCAAAATTTTTCAAAAAAATAAAATTCGTTTTTTTAAACTTTCAAAAAAATATTTTCAAAAAATAAAATAAAACGCGCAAACATAACCACAAACGCGTCAGTGATTTGATGCTTGCGTGTTTTGTGTACTCCAATGTTTTTTCTTCAACTAACCTCTCGATCAAATTTATGATCATATGCCAACGAAACTTTTCCATACGTTCCCGATCCCAACTTCTTCGTGATCTCAAATCGATGTTTCGGCTCTTTTTTAGTTGGACTTGTTGGCTCGGCGCCAGTCATCGGATGTGTTCCTTGAAAAAAAAAATTTTTATTTTAGTTAGAAGTGGGGGTGAATATGATGATGATGATGATACCATTATTATTATTATTCCTATCATTAATATAATTATTATTATTTTGATGATTTCTTCGTATTGCATGCCTCATACATTTTACAAAATAGCCAGTGTTGCAGAGCAACGATGAAATTGGCATTTTCAGCTCACATGAGTAGGAGAAAACCCGGAAAAAAACACAATAGAAATCGAAAGAAATATATTCTTTTTGTCAAGAAAGACAAGAACAGCTATATAACAAAGACAAAAAAAATAAGAAATACGAAACCCCAGATGTTCTATCTATCTATATATTTTTTTTGATAGATTTAGCGAAAGTGCCAACCAGCCAGCAAAAAACTTCCTCGAAAAAAATGAGCCAAAACACCACACACAATTCCCAAATGACCTTTATTGTCACCAACCAAAAAAATTGGAGGGCTCAAGAAAAAACGACAGCTCTTTTTTGACTTGGGTGGGTTCAGATTAAAAATTGTTATGTTATTTTCTCAAAAGTCTGTGGTAAAAAGAATAAAATATTCAAATATTTTTCGAGTTTGGTTTGTTTTCGAGTAGAAAAAAAATAGAAATAGAACAAAGCGAAAAAATTTCGGGAAAAAATAGCGGTCGCCTGAATTATTTAACATTTGACATGAATTAAACTCTGATTTTGTTGGGGCAGCGAATGAAAAATTGGAATCTTTAAGGTCAAATTTAGACAGCTAGCTTCCGCTTTAGAGGCCACGCTAGTCTAGGTCTAGGCTTATCTAGGCCTAGGCTCCATCTAGGTCAAGGCATGGCCGCTAAAGCGGAAGATAGTGCCGCTACGCGGAAGCTAGCGGTCTACACTCGCGCTAGAGGCGCTCGGGGCCTAGCCCAGATCCCCGAGCCCTTCAAGGCGGCGACGCTAACCTAGGTCTAGGCTCTATCTAGATCTAGGCCTAGGCATGGCCGCTGAAGCGGTAGATAGTGCCGCTTCGCGGAAGCTCGCGGTCTACACTCGCGCTAGAGGCGCTCGGGGCCTAGCCCAATTCCCCGAGCCCTATTCAAAAACGGCCAGGCGAACCTAGGCCTAGGCTCTATCTAGATCTAGGTCTAGGCATGGCCGCTGAAGCGGTAGATAGTGCCGCTTCGCGGAAGCTAGCGGTCTAGACTCGCGCCAAAGGCGCTCGGGGCCTAGCCCAATTTCCCGAGCCCTCCAAGGCGGCCACGCTAACCTAGGCCTAGGCTTTATCTAGATTTAGGCCTAGGCTCTATCTAGATCTAGGCATGGCCGCTGAAGCGGTAGATAGTGCCGCTTCGCGGAAGCTAGCGGTCTACACTCGCGACAGAGGCGCTCGGGGGCCTAGCCCAATTCCCCGAGCCCTATTCGAAAACGGTCACGCGAGTCTAGGTCTAGGCCATATCTAGGTTTAGGCCTAGGCTCTATCTAGACCTATCTAAGTCTATCTAGGCCTATCTAAAGTAAGTCTATCTAGGTCTAGGCGTGGCCGCTAAAGCGGTAGATAGTGCCGCTACGCGGAAGCTAGCGGTCTAGGCCATAGCCCGACTCCCCCACTAACCTGGTCCATAAATATTGCTCGCCGACACGCCGCCACTCGATCCAAACGGTCGAATATTACTCTGACTGATTCGAGCCAAACGGCCCGAACGCGAACCCGAATTGCCAACCGGCATACGACCTGAAATCAATTGAATTTTATTTTTCCAACAAAAAATAATAATGTTTTCCTATTTTTTTCATTGCAAAAAAAGGCGAATCGTAATAAAAACATTTGCGAGAAAATAATGAATGAGAAAAAATTTGCAAAATTTTTTTGTGCTCTCAAATACAGTTTATCTCGATCATAAAACCAGCTCTACCTACCTATCTACTCTCAAAAAAAAAAAAAAAAAGAATCCAATGCGCGCAGAAAACAAATATATTTCAAATAATTTACGCAGGGCTGGGTGGGTGGAAAAAATTAACAAAACGTTCGGAACCGGCTGAAAATTGAAAACTGAGATTGTGGATCAGAATCAGAAGTTACGCTAATATGAGTTATGACGTGGCAAAGATGTTTTGAACTTTAATTGAAATCGATCAGACTATCCATAAAGCTATAATTTCTTAAAAACTTGAAGCGTTACCTTACCAGATTTTTTTTTGAAATTAAAAAAAAATATTTTTTAGTCTAACATGAGTTATGACGTGTCAAAGATGTTTTTTGAAATTAAAAAAAAACTGTGATCTACAAAAAATTCTGAAGCTTTGCCACTGAACTAAAGTTTCAGAAAAAAAACCGAAAATTTCAAGAATCTGAAAATTTTTCAGCTAATCACATCAATAAAATCTATATGCTCTCTTCATTTTTTTTCGTGTTTCCCGGGGATATTTTTCGTTCATCCACCCACTCTCGTCCATCTTTTTCTCTCAATTTTCTCTCAATTTTTGCGCCTCCTGTTCGTTCAATTTTTACACACACATATAACAGAAATGTTGAGAGGTGTCAGACAGACAGAATCTCGCGAGAGGGGACAAGCAGAAATTATATTTTGGGGATGATTATTGGATGAGTCATGGGTGTTGAAATAAATTCTGGAATTGTGATGAAGCTAAATCAGGGCTGAAAATTCTTCAACTCAAGATTCTAGACTGAAATTTCTGGAAATTCAGATTTTCCGGATCGGTAGAAAAAATAGCGATAACAGAATCTGAAAATTTTTTCAAAACAGTTCTACAGCAAGTCTAACTTCCGAATCTGAGCCTCTGGGTTCAAAAAAGCTTCAGATCTTTTGGCTGAATCTAATAATTAATCTGTACATAAGGCCAGAACATCAAGATTCAGTTTCAGTTTCAGAATTCTATAGATTCTAACTCAAAGCTTCAAAATTCTGATCTACATCAGAATCTGTGCCTGAATCTTCACTCAAAAACATTTTTCTCCAATCAAGATCTCAATTTAAATTTCCGTCAAATCAAAAAAAAAAAATCAATAAAAATCCATATGTCAGAAGCATCGAAAAAAAAAAGAAAAAGTAAAAGAATAGGAATAGAAATGAGTAGTCGGATAGCAGATGACCCTTTCTTTCTTTCTTCACAAAAAATCTCGTGGAGCTTAGATAGAGAGAAACGGAAAACGACAAGTTTCGAAATAATATCAGAAAAGATGTGAGCCGAACAACTGTTCGCCTTTTTATTCGCAAAGAAAATGGGACCTTCGGAAGTTTTTGCAAAAAAAACTAATTATCTCGTAACGAAAAGCTTTTACAGAATTTTTTTTGGCAAAAAAATGTAATATTTTGCAGCACAGGAAAACGGAAAAACGCGATGATAATACAAAGAATAAATATGTGGAATTATGTTTACACGGTGGTCAGGCAGGCAGGTCTAGAGGTTTTTTGGCTCCCAAAAAAACTCACTTGGATCTATAGTTACACTAAATCGTTTTACAGAATTTGTTGGTTTGATTTCACTTGAGGAGACCTGAAATTGAATTTTTATTTTTTATTAGAAGGTCGTAGAGAAAAAAGTGGAAAAAAAATCATACCTCCCATTTGATTCGAACTTCACTTCCACTTAATCTCGCTTCTTTGCATGATTTATCCAAACTTCTGGAAAAAAAATAACATTGAATGGGACTCAGGCTTAGGCTTAACCAATGTATTAGGCTTCTCCAATAGTTTAGGCTTAGCAAATCAAAGCCCTAAATTGGTCAGACCAAATTGAAAAAAAAATTTTTAATTTTTGGGAATTCATTTTTTGATTTTTTAGGCTCAATTTGGGCTTTGATTTGCTAAGATTAAACTTTTGGATAAGCCTAAGCCTGAGTCCAGAATTTCAGATATGTCTAAGCCTGATAAGCCTAAGCCTAAGCCTAATGAATTGGTCAAGCCTAAACCTAATAAGCCTAATAAGCCTAAGCCTAAGCCTAAAATGAATTGGTTAAGCCTAAGTCTAATAAGCCCAAGCTTAAGTTTTCAGATAAGCCTAACCCTAATGAATTGGTTAAGCCTAAGCCTCAAAAATTCAGAAAAAGATCAGAAATTTAAGCTTAGGCTTAGCCAATTTATTAGGCTTAGGCTTATCTGAAAAAGCCTGAGTCAAAAGATCAGAAATTTCAAAAATACGGGATTTCCAGGCTTTCTAAAACAAGTTCCAATCCAAAAACCAAAAAAAAAAGATTCCGAAAAATTTTGAATTAAAACTTCTAGATCCACCAAGTCACGACCATACAAGGCGCCCGTTGAGTCAGACGCGAGACGACGAGAGTATTTTGCAAAAATATCCTGACATGAAAATGAATTTCGCTTCGAGATATTTTCAATAAAACCTGTGTTCCTTGAAACAAAATACGGTATTTTTTCAAAAATATCTCGAAGCGATCTGTCTTTGATGACGTCATCAGACTCCCGTCGTCTCTCGTCTGACCCGAGGAGCAATTTTCTATTGGAGTATAAATGGTCGTGCAGAGAAGCTAGACAGTTAGAGATGATAAGAATTCTAGAGAGTCCAGACATCCAAAATAAAGGCTAGAGACGCAGAGATTTTCCATTGGAGGTCGTGAAGTTTTCAGGCTCAAAAAATCACCAACCTTGCTCCCTCAATCTCATTCTCCTTCTCCAGTGATTCTCTTCTCGAAATCGTCGTCGCATCTTTAATTCGATGACTCGATCCACTATTATTTCCATATCTTTTCATCAACGAATCGATTGTCGGTGATTCATCTCTACTTCCACTTTTGCGCCTCGATAATAATTCAGATGCTCGTGCTGATTCTCGAAGTGGCGGAGTTGAAATCGCAACATTACTCACATTCTCCTTGCTTTTGTTGAGATATTTATTCATTAATGCATCAATTGCAGCATCGCGTTGGGGAGGAATCACTGGAAATTTTTGATTTTTACTAAAAAAAAAATACCTGAAAAATTTTTGCGCTTTTTTTGAGACCTGACACACAACGCAAAAAAATGCGAGATTTAGAGAAAAATTATTTTTGATCTACCAGAAAATTTCTTGAAAATTTTGAAGCCTAGCGATTTTGGGTAGTAAATTTTTTTTTGTGTGGTGTCAATCCAAAAATCCGTGGAAGAGAAAACCAAACTACAGTACATTTTGCGGCTCCTTTGAGCTTTTGTATTGAAAGAGGAAATACTTGGTTTTCTAGGCCATGAAAGTTCAAAAATTAGGCCACGCCCCTTTCCCAACTCACTGTACGCATTAGTCCTCCGCTCACTTATCCGATGCCTCAACCGCTCAGCTCGACTCTTCTGCTTCGGATCTGAAGGTGGTCGAGATGTGACAATCATCGAAGGCACTGCATATTCATGCGATGTTTGACCTCCTCCTCCTGCGTCGGAAATCAGACGATCGATTTGAGAGGTTGGATCGGGTCGAGACCAACCGACTGATGAGGAAAGCAACGCGGGTGATGTTATTGCACGACCGTATGCTCCGTATTTTTTCTTGGTCGACATTTGCGGGCTGAAAATTATTTTTTTTTAATCTGGTGAAAATTGTGAATTTGGAGAATGGGGAAATCGAATTAGGAAAATTTCTTGGAAAATTGAAGATTTCAGATATTTCAAAAAAATATTCAAATTCAAATTGCCACGTCATAGTTCACGTAAATAAATAACTCTAAATAATTTCCTAAATAAAAATTCTCCAAAATTTTTTTCAAATTTAAAATTCGCGAAAAATTTTCAAGGATCATTTTTCGTGTTCCAATCCAATTCAATTCTGAAAATGCTCAAAAATCTTCATGCTCCAGATTTTAGTGTTTGATACAGAATAAACACAGAGCTATATGTAACGGATATTTTCTATTTAATCAGACACAAATTTTTTCTGGCGGGCAAACAAAAAATCTCGATTTTTTTTTGAAAAAGATTTTCTTCAAATTCTGAAATTCATAAATAAAAAAGAAAAAAAAGGTTTGGGTTTAGAATGAAATGAATAAAGAAATGAGAAGAAATGTGTTCATTCGGGGCACATTTTTCAAAACATCTGGTGCTGATATGGGAAGCTTGGCGGAAGAACGAGAAAAAAGAATTTTATCGCTTTTTCACAGGTGTTGAAAATTTGCAGAGCGACAAAAAATTCAAAAAAAAAAAAGGGTGCGGGGAGGGGGCCTCGAACTTGGGTCAAAACAATGGCAACCTATCCACTTATCCACTCGGACACGCATGCTTAATTTTTGGTGCGCCGAATTTCGATGAAAAGCTTGCATTTTTCATATTTTTTCGCCGAAAACCACACCCAAACCTATATAGAATATTTAGTTGTTCAAAAAACATGGGAGCACAACACGAGAATCGAGTCAAAAAAAAATTAACACAGCAAGAAGCATGGTGGGAAGAAGAAGAAGAATGAGAATGAGAGAAAAAGTGCGCGCGGGATTTTTGAGAGCTTGAGCAAACGTTGCTCCTCCGAGCTGCGCTTCGGGTTCGCGCACACTTGTTGATTTTTTTTGTGCTTTCAACACGACGAGCAAAAAAACGAGATGTGGATTGGAATATGAATCTTGGATCGAAAAAATTTCAAAATTCAAAAATTATGGATTTGAAACAATTGGAACATGATGATTTTCTGAAAATGCAAACTTTTCCTCGAAATTCGGCGCCCAAAAAATAAAGCATGCGTGTCCGAGTGGATAAGTTTACAGCTTGCCATTATTTTGACCCAAGTTCGATGCCCCCTCCCCGCAGACTTTTTTTTTTGAATTTTTTGTCGCTCTCCAAATTTTCAACACCTGTGAAAAAGCAATAAAATTTTTTCTTAAAAATTAAAAAATTGTTTTTGAAAAAAAAATTGTTCCAAAAATACTACAATAATTTCTAAAAGCCACTATAATCTTTTTGAAAATCTTTACAAAATGAGAGAAAAAATTAGGATAAATAGAAAATAATTTCCGGCTCTGAATTCATTTGGAATGAATTCAGAGCCTGAAATTATTTTTTATTCGCATAAAAAATCTAGAAGAGAATCAAGGGAAGGTTGGAAAGATGATTCAGAAACGGTGAGATTTTTGGGAGGTCCGGAAGCTCCAGAGGTTGATTCAGATTTCAAAAAAAAATCCTGATCTGAGCAATGTTATTTTGAAAATAATTTTTTCTGGATTTCTGATAAGTCTAAAGAGAAACTTTTCAGAATTCAGTTTCAGAACTTATTTCCGAAATTAGTGGAAAATTGAGCTGAAGTTCAAATTTTTTGAATACAAAACTCACATTCTAAAATTACTTGATTCCCGCCATTTTCAAATTTTTCAAAAATTAAAAATGAGAGATTCTAGTTTTTCACGCGTAAAAGATTCCGAATTCAATTTTTTTTCCCAAGTTCCCTGAAATCAGCTTCATCTCTTTTTTTTCTCCAAAAAAAAACAAATCCATCTCCTCCACCTACAAAAAATCCTTTCCCTCTTATCGGATTTTTTTTTATCAGAAGAAAAAAAAGAATATAAATCCCTCCCCAACACAAGAGCACTCTATTTTATTATTTTTTTTTCATCATTCATTTTTTTTTTAGAAAATGCTAGAAGACCTAATTTACGAAATATTGCCAGTCATTGGGTTTGGAATCATATCAATTTCAATTTTTATTATAATTGTCATGCGGAAATGTGAAAAATCACTGATGTTTTGCCTTTTTTTCGCGATTTCAGGTATTAAATTCAAAAATTTTCAAAAAAAAATAAAATTCTTACCTTTCAGATCTGCTAACCGGAATTGCTGTCATAATAAATGGATTCTATGGAGTTATCGTAACTATTTATGGGAGCAGTATTGAACAAATTCAACCAATCAATTGTTTTTATCGTGCACCGCATATCACAATTCTCATTTTCACTGATTATTTACATCTGTTGATTTTATGTTGCTTCACAATTGATCGATTTATTCAGATTTTGGTGCCGGTTTCGTATGGAAGAATTTGTGAGGTTTTGATTAATTGGAAATTATTCGCGTTTTTGTCGATTTGCGCGATTTTTCCATCTGTGCCAGCTTTTCAATTTGCAGTTGAGGTGAGCAGAGGATTTTTGAGCGCTTATGCTGTAATTTTTAAATTTTAACAGATTTTTGAGTGAAAAATTGATTCTGAAACTGTGAAAATGATGAGATTTTTTCTCACAGCGTGTACTTTACTACCTGAAAAATTTTCGCGCTTTTTTTGAGACCTTCAACGCAAAAGTGAGAGAAATATTTTTGATCTACCAGAAGATTTCTTGAAAATTTTGAAGCCTAGAGATTTTGGTAGTAAATCACGCCATGTGGATAAAATTTTTTCTGGAAATTTGAATTTTGAGTGAGTTCGAATACAGAATCCTAAATTTCTAGACTTTTCTCCGAAACTTTTTGAAGATAAGGCTCGTCAGCAGTCAAACCAAATTCAAAATTTTCAAGATCAAAAACGTGGATTGTTTCGCACTAGGGCTGATTCACGAACGGAAAAAAATGTTTAAAAATGTTTTTTTTAACATCGAAAGATCAATTCACGAAAAGTCAAAAAAATGTCGAAAAAACACTAGTTTTTCAAGGTTTTTCAGTCAAAAATGATGACAAATCGATATTTTTTAAGCTTCTGGAGTAATTTCTGATGAAAATTGACCTTGGAATTCACTTTCCAGAAGGTTTTGATGATTTTTCGTAAAATAAAAAAAATTCGAAAAAATTCATCAAATAAAGCAAAATAGGGTTCTCGAAGCTTATTTTCATCAGAAATCACTCCAGAAGCTTCGAAAATATTGATTTGTCATCATTTTTGGCTGAAAAACCTTGAAAAACTGATTTTGACCTACTTTTCGTGAATTGATCTTTCAATGTTAAAAAAAAATTTTTTAAACATTTTTTTCGTTCGTGAATCAGCCCTTCTTCCAGGCTCATGAAAACGTGACAATCCGCATCGGTTCCCATTGCCGATTCGACGAAGTCGTCGGTGACTCCTTCTATCTCTCGCACATCCTCAAAATCCAATGGATCCCAATCGCATGCCTCGGAACTCTATCCTCCACCCTTCTCATCTACATAATCCGTCAATCCAAGCATAAATGGAGTTATAATTGGTCCGAGGAAATTGGGACCACCAAACAATTATTCGGCACAATTTTTATGCGATGTTTTCTGTCGGGTTTGAGTGTGCACATTCCGCTTTTATTGATTTCTCGAACAACGCAAGGACATCAAATGCTTTTGTTGAAAGATTATTTGATTCGAATTTCTTATTGGATTTTTGTCATCATTTTCCAGCCAATTTGGTATCTCATGATTCTCACCAAATTCCAGCAAAATGTCAATCTTCTCTTTAATAAATACTCAGATAATACTCAAAGAAATTGGCAAAGCGCGGGTGAGTTAGAGGAACTCAAAAAAAATGTTATAATCCTTTTTCAGATGATCCCCCTGTGGAAGGCGGAGCTGCTCATCTAGATCGACATGGCTCACCAAATCCTTTCGGATCCTGGTATTCCATGACTGGAAATATTGCAGGAGAGGCTGGAGTTCCGGTTGGAAATCAAAGATCTGTCAGTTTCTATTATGATAACTGAAAAATTTGTTGGAAATGAAGTATTTAATGAGAAAAAGCAATAAAAAATTAAAATTGCGACGTCAAATAAAACGCAAAACTCATCTCATTATCATTTTGTGTCGAAATTCCAGAATTGATCAATAAATGTCGCCAAGTGTCGGGGTGTCTTGGTGAAAAATGTCGCCAGCGGGAGAGTTCGGCAAGTGAGGCACGCTGCAAAAATTTGAATTATTTAGTTATGACGTGGCACTGGAATGTTTTATGGATCAGAAAAATAGTTTGAATTCTGGAACATTTCTCAAGCTATTTATTGATTTAAAAATGTTTTTTTAATATCATAGAAAATCCTGAAGGTTTTCAAAATCTCAGAAAATTTGTCTTTTTCACAACTTTTTTTCTAGTTTCTTATGGGCTGATTCACAAACGAAAAAAATGTTTAAAATTTTTTTTAAACATCGAAAGATCAATTCACGAAAAGTCAAAAAATGTCGAAAAAACATTAGTTTTTCAAGGTTTTTCAGCCAAAAATGATGACAAATCGATATTTTTTAAGCTTCTGGAGTAATTTCTGATTAAAATTGACCTTGGAATTCACTTGGTTTTGCTGATTTTTCGTAAAATAAAAAAATTTTAAATTCGAAAAAATTCATAAAATAAAGCAAAATAGGCTTCTCGAAGCTTATTTTCATCAGAAATTACTCGAGAAACTTGAAAAATATTGATTTGTCATCATTTTTGGCTGAAAAACCTTGAACCTACTTTTCGTTTCAGTGTTAAAAAAACATTTTTTAAAATTTTTTTCGTTTATGAAGTTATATTAGACTACTGTAGTCAGCAAATCTTGTGTTGTGTGTAATTTTGCGTCGCGGTGTATGTGTGTACCGCGCTTTTTAAACCCATTTGAATTTATTCATTTTTCTGCGAGTTTTTCGAATTGAATTTTGGGAAATGAAAGCTATAATAACACCTCAAAACTCAGCTGCCTTTAATTGACAAAAAAATCGACTGAATCACCCCATTTTAAAAAACTAACAGTTTCCTCATCTTTTTCCTCAATTTCTTCCGATTTCTTCGATTTTTCCTTTTCATTTCGCACAACTTGACTATCCGCTACAAAAGTATCCTCATCTTCTTCTAATTGTTCATCATCAAAACTTGTCTCATCATCATCTTCTTCTTCATTTCCTTCTTCCTCCTCATCACTATCAACAATTTCGCTTTCAAACATTCCAGTTCCATCACATTTACATTCACACAAATCGTGTGTATTGCATTCTGTATCGGGTGAAAATGAGAATATATCATGAAGTTCTTCGTCGCTGAAAGTGGACACCGAATCGCCAACTTCGATCGCATCGATGACACATCCGAGGCCAGTTTTTTTGATCTGACGTTGTAGCATTTTCTCCTCAATTGTTCCCTGGAAACAGAGTTTTTTTTTTGAAAATTTACAATTTTCGGGTTAAATTTGAAATTATTCATTTATGAATCACAATAATGTTTGGTCAATAAGTCTATAAATTTTTGTAGTAACAAAATTTTCGTGATTTCCAAGAAAAAAAAAGGACATTTTCTTGTTTTTCAAAGTCTTTCAAGCAGAAAAAACCAAAATATAAGTACTACTTCTGACATCTTTCATTCAATCATTTCCAATGTTCTATCCTCACATTTTTCAATATATCGGATTTTTCGGGTCCCAAATCATCAATTCCATTTTGATTTATCTAATTATCAGTAAACCTAACACATCATTTGGTGGCTATAAATATATAATGTTAGTTTTCTCGTGTTATAACATGATTTTTTCGTGGGTTGAAATAATTGTTCAACCAATTATTTATTCAACTCCTTCAACTTTCATAGTTATTATGGATAGACAAATTGATTTCATCGATCGAGAAATTGGTTTTTATTTTGTCTCAACATTTTGTTCATCTTGTTGTTTGAGTATAACTCTTTTATCTACCCATTTTTTCTATCGATTCATAGTTGTTTGCAAATCAAAATATCTAAAACATTTGGATAATTCAAAAATTTTATTATTTATCCCATGTTTTTTGATAACAATTTTATGGTATCAACTTATATTTACTGGAATGAGACAAAATAATGAAAAAGATATTCTTTTAAGTGAAGATATTTATGAGGCTTTCAACAAAAATATGACAAACATTTCTTATGTTGCATCACTTTATTGGAAAATTCAACAAAATTCGGAAATTGATTATGACATTGTTGAAATCTCATGTTCATTGTTGTGTATTTTTATAATTGTAAGTTAAAATTCATGGCATTTTCGGACCTTTTAGCCTTTCTTTTGAGAAAATAAAATTTTGTCAAAAAGAGAGGGCAGAAATTCAAATTTCTCCAACTCGGGGTCCCCAAGTACGGTATTCCTCTGCGTCACTAACACCACCATCCCATTGGGCATATGGGTCTCGCACCGAACACCGCACTCGGGCTGTTTTTGTCAAATTTTTCAGAAATTTCAGATGTTATGCTCGTTTATTTGTATATTTTGTGCAGTTTCAATTTACTCAAAAAGTTTTAAAAAATCAAATAATAGTCTTACTATTCAAAGACTCGAGAGACAAATTTTGACAACATTGATATTTCAAACATTACTTCCACTCAGGAGAACGACCGCGAAATCTGCGCGAAAAGCGGGGTCTCTGCGATTCGCTCAACCTTCGCGGGAGAATCGCGCGTTTCGCACAAACCTCGCGCAATATGGGACCCGGTAGACTGGACGTCGCGAAATTTGCGCGAATTGCGGGGAACTTCGCGTTTTGCGGAAATTTCGCGGGCTTCCTCGACCGAATTGGAGCGTTTCGCGACATTTTCGCGCAGTAGCATGGTATATAAAAAACATTTTCGCTATTCGCGTCACGTGCGCGCATGGTCAAGTGGGTAAAACAAATGTATTCGAGGTGAGAGATTGTGGGTTCGAGGTTGGGTGAGTGTGATAAATACAAATGATGATCACCTGAATGTGAGGATCGATCATGATGCCATTTTGTTTTGAAATTGAGAGGACACCGCGAAATTCACGCAAAACGCGATAATGAAACCGCGAAATTTACGCGAAACGCTGTTACAACACCGCTAAAGCGCGGCGGATGCGCGGCGTTTTAGCGGACTTCTGGGGTTCGCGTTTCGCGCAGATCTCGCGGTCGTTCTCCTGAGCATTTTTATTAATGTATACACCAATTGGTTTATTATTATTTCTTCCAATGTTTAATTGTCATTTGGGAAAATATGCGAGTATTGCATCAGCAACAACTGGAATATATCCAATGTTTGAACCAATTTGTTCTATTATTTTTATCAAGCATTTCAGAATTCGAACTTTTGGATGCTAATTTTGAAACTGATATTTTTGATTATAAAAAATTCACTAAAATTCCGTTATGATTTTTTTTTTGGATTTGGTCCAGGCCTGTGCCGGAAAATCCGGAAAATTTTTCAAGGTCTTAAATTTTCGATTTTCAGTCTTAAGTTGGCACTAAAACTTATTTTAACTACAATTTGAGACGTTTTCCGTTCAAAAATAGTAAAATTTGAAAAATTTCATATTTTTTCATCATAAACTGAGAAATTCTCCCAAAATTTAAGCAATATTGAAGATCCGGAAAACTGGAAAATTGATTTTTCCTTGAAAAAACCAGAAAATCCGAAAATTTTGGTCCCAAATATTCTATTTTTCAGTAGATAAGTCTGTTTTTAGTCCCTTCAAAAACCCAAGAGAAAACTTTGAGCCTACTGTAGTAACCAATCGATAAATATGACACGGTCGAATTTGTCCATCTCTCCAAATCCTAGCCATCGCCTGTTGATCATTCGCCGGATTCCAATCCGAATCAAACAGCACCAATCTGCTGGCACCAATCAGATTCAACCCCACGCCACCAGCTTTTGTGCTCAACAGAAAAACATTGTGCGCATCGTGAACATCATTAAATTGTTTGACGAGTTTTTGCCTATCTTGCACAGCAACTTTTCCGTCTAATCGATAAACTTTGAATTGCAAATAACTGCAAAGTTGTTCAATCATATCCAAAGTTTCGATGAAATTCGAAACAATCACTGCGCATTCGTTGAGAAGTCGAAAACATTTCAACATTTCTAGAAGAACCGATAACTTCCCGGATTCTTTGACACCGCCAGTTGGCATCATTTTTCCGCTGAAATGATTGAGAAGACTCGAATGTTTTTTGTTGCCTTTTTCGTGTTTTTCCAATAAATTGTCGTACATTAATTTGGGATGATTGGATAATTGTCGAGCATAGAATATGAGAGAAAGTGCGTCGCCTGTCATATAATCACAGATTTCTTCGTGCACTTTTTGTTGGATTTCGGAGGCTTTACAGAAGAAGATATATTCATCTGGAAAATTAGGGATTTTTTTCTGAATTTTTAAAATTTTATTGAAGTTTATCAGAAATTTAGCCTAGATCAAGCATAAAAATTATAACCTTGTTCAAAAACGATATTTAAAAATTCTAGGCCTGAAAATTCAGGCTTCGGGAAAATTCAGGCCTATAAAAACCAGGCCGAATTTAAATCTAGAACATAAGATAAATTTTAGGCCTGAAAATTCAGGCTTCAGGAAAATTCAGGCCTATAAAAACCGGGCCAAAATTAAATCTAGAATTATAGGATAAATGCTGAGCCTGAAAATTTAGGCTTAAAAAATAGGCCTTTGAAAACCAGGCCAAATTTAAATCTAGAACATTAGGATAAATGATAGGCTTGAAAATTCAGGCTTAAAAATAAGCCTGTAAAAATCGGACCAAATTTAAATCTAGAACATTAGGATAAATGCTAGGCTCGAAAATTCAGGCTTGACAACATAGGCCTGTAAAAACCGGGCCAAATTTAAATCTAGAACACTAGGATAAATTCTGAGCCTGAAAATTCAGGCTTCAGTACTTAGTAGGCCATTAAAAACCGGGCCAAATTTGAATCTAAAATATTAGGATAAATGCTAAGCCTGAAAATTCAGGCTTGACAACATGGGCTTGTAGAAACCGGGCCAAATTTAAATCTAGAACACTAGGATAAATTCTGAGCCTGAAAATTCAGGCTTCAGTACTTAGTAGGCCATTAAAAACCGGGCCAAATTTGAATCTAAAATATTAAGATAAAGCCTGAAAATTCAGGCTTACAAATTGGCCTGTCAAATCCGGGCCAAATTTAAATTAGAATAATCGGATCTGTCAAAAACTGGGCCTTAAAAAGCCTTTATCATAAATTTTTGTAATATTTCCATCTCTTCAACATTTTTTATTCACTTTTCAAAAATCCTCCCCAAAAAAATGCTCACGTTTCTCCGGCAAATGCGATTGATTAACCTCGGCAGTTCTTCTCAACATACATTCATCAATCATTTCATTCAATTTATCCGGAGATTCTGAGCATAGTTTCAAAAACTTTGCACAAGTCCCAAAATTGGTTGGTCGAATGAAATCTAAAAGTGAGAAGAGTTCCTCGAAGTCGTTTTGCATCGGAGTTCCAGTTAGAATAAGTCGCCGAGGAATTTCCAATGAAGCTATCTGCAAATTATTTTTTTTTGGAATTAATTTTATTAATAGGCTCTCATTGAAAATCTCATCGGTACCACGCGCTCCATCGAAATAAACACGCAACGCAGACCGCGCCGCGCCACAACACACACAAAACGATTCAAATTCCCTCCTTTTTTGTGTGTTGTGGCGCGACGCGGTCTGCGTTGCGTGTGGAGCGCGCGGTACCGATGAGATTTTCGATAATAGTTACCCCTTTTCTGAGTTTCGAATCCTTATTTTTCAATTTATGTCCCTCGTCGCAAACCAAAATATCAAATCGAACAGCTTTTAATTTTTGAATATATCTCGAAGCCATGTCATAACTAATAATTAGATATGGAAGAGATTTTTGGGTTGATAAATATGCATCAATATCTGAAGGCTTTTTTAAGACAACAGCTGGAAATCGCATATTCCTCCACCATTTATTGAATTCCGCTTTCCAATTATTCACCAAACTTGAAGGAACAATAATCAAACATTTCGAAGCAATATTATTTATATTATTTTTCGCTCCTCTCATAAGCGCCCAAGTTGCCGCCATTGTCTGAATCGATTTTCCCAATCCCATATCATCTGCCAAAATCGCGCCACCACCACATTCACCTTTCAATTTATCAAAAATGAATCGTATTCCGTCTTTTTGATGGGGTCGGAGGAATTTGACGAATCTTTGATCCACACAGATTGGTGACTGTTGATTTTGCAAAACATCTTGCTCGTTGAGACAAAATGCGGGAAGTTTTTGCTCGGGTTCGCCTGACATTCCGAGCAATGGATTTTTGAAACCTTTTTTGGCCGGGAGAATGGCGATTGGTGATTTGAACTTCTGCAAAAAATAATATTGGGCTGTGAATTTTGTAAAGTTTTTGGAGCGTTTGAAATTTACATGACAAGATTTAAAAATTTGAATCTAAATGTATTATCGAAAATCTCATCGGTACCACGCGCTCCACCGAAATAAACACGCAACGCAGACCGCGCCGCGCCGCGCCACAACACACACAAATAAGGGAACGATTCAAATTCCCTCCCTTTTTTGTGTGTGCTGTGGCGCGGCGCGGTCTGCGTTGCGTGTTTATTTCGGTGGAGCGCGTGATACCGATGAGATTTTCGATAATAGATTCTTTCAAAAAGTGTAGAAAATCCACGTGGCATTTTTAGGCTTATGTTGTTAATTTTTTCGAATGAAAATCAAGCGTGAACTTTCGAAATTCAATTTTTAAATTATAATTTTCCATTTTCGCACCTGAATAACTGGGATAAGCGGCTTTGCTCTTGGTGATTCTGGCAATTCTATAGCTGGTCTTTTCCTATTCAAATTCTCATGTTCAGCCTTCACCGGTTTCACAACAGCTGTTGGCTTCGTCTCTAATCTCTCTTGAACTTCTACACTCCACGAACCCAAAACAACAATTCTCCCATCTTCCAAATCATCGATTCTTCGAACACCAGCAGATCTGGATTTGAAATTTGTTAAGTTTTCTGTTTCCAATTATCTCACACCGGTACCACGCGCTCCACCGAAATAAACACGCAACGCAGACCGCGCCGCGCCACAACACACAAAAAAGGAGGGAATTTGAATCTTTCCCTCATTTGTGTGTGTTGTAGCGCGACGCGGTCTGCGTTGCGTGTTTATTTCGGTGGAGCGCGTGGTACCGATGAGATTTTCGATAATACCTGCAAATAATATCCTTTTCATCATCTGATTTCAGCAAACAACAATCTGAATACAAAATCAGAATGCCATCGCCTTCCCAAATTTTATGTTTTCTAGTTGAAGTTTTGCCGTAGAGAACCTGGAATCTTGCGATTTCTCCAGTCGGAAGATCAGATCCATTATAATCATCTAGTTGTACTGGAACCCTGCTCATCTGAAATTTAAAAGAAACTCACAAATATTTTTAAACAGGGAAGAAAATAAATAAAATTGAAAACACGACACAACAAAATAAACAAATTACTCTCTAAAATGATAAAATTTTATTATTTATAAAAATAATATTTTCTTACAGGCAATAATATTTATGTATTGGTTTTTGTTATAATAAAGCGAGTGTTATGGCAATTTACCGTCGAACAATTCAAGTTCTTTGGCATTTAGATAGAAGAAATTAGTCTATATCACAGTTGGCAAACAAATAAAAATATAGATAAATGAACAAAAAAAAAAACATAATATTCGGCAGGGATTTGAGCACCAGAAAAGAAAAACGTTTAAAAAGTGAATATAAATTTAATTTTAAAAAGAAAAAAAAGATTATTTTCCAAAGGAATTTTCGCTACTATGGCACAGATTTTGGCAAGATTTGAGAGAAAATTATGGCTTGCAATTTTGACTGAGCCATGTTAAACCTTCGTGTAAACCGTCGCCAGTTGCTGCGCACGATGGTTGCACATACCAATTTCTATCTCTAATTCTTGTCAATCCTAGTTTATCTTGAATCTCGTGTGGTTTCATGGCTGCAAACACAATTTTTGAAGAAAAAAATTCCCACACCTCCTCCTCTCACTCACCATCAGCTAAATCTTGTTTATTTGCGAAAACAAGTATAATAGCATCCTTCATTTCTCGATCATTAATAATTCGGTGTAATTCCATACGAGCTTCATCAACTCGATCTCGATCTGCTGCATCCATAACAAAAATAAGTGCTTGTGTACCGGTATAATAATGACGCCAAAGTGGACGAATTTTATCCTGGCCTCCGACGTCCCAAACATTGAATTTGATATTTTTATATGTCACCGTTTCAACATTGAATCCAACTGTTGGAATTGTTGTCACACTTTGCCCCAATTTTAACTTGTACAAAATTGCTGAATCATCAATGTTATGAAATTTAAAAAAAAAACAACAAAAAACTCACTTGTTTTGCCAGCAGCATCCAATCCGAGCATCAGTATCCTCAGCTCCTTTTTGCCAAAAATTTTCGACAGGATTTTACCCATTTTCGTTTATTCTTATCTGAAAATAAAGCAGTTGTTCGTGTTGTGTTTGTGTGTGTGTGGGAAAAAGAAAAAAGAAAATCAATGAGGACACGCCCACTCGCAAGCGTTGTTGCCCTTGTTTGCAAACATGCGGCGCGTTGTTTATTTATTTTTCCTTTTTTTTTTATTTTCCGATTTTTTTCTAATTTTCAGGATAAAACCGGTTTAATGGTGGAGATAAGTCTCGGTGTGTTGTTCAGAGGATTCAATGCATCGTAAGCAATATTTCACATAATTTTTTTTATTTTTTCAAAAATTTAACCCGCTTAATTTCAGAAAATTCATCCTCTACACATGTCTCCTCACATTCGTCGCCCTTGTCTCGCTAAAACTCGACAATATAGTAACATTCAACTATGCATTTGTATTCGCACCACTCTGGGCGTGTAATCTTCTTGTTTTTCTCGCCGCGCTTATCGGAATCTGCTCATTTTGCACAAAACCACCAGCCACAACAGAAATATCAATGAGAGTCGATTTTCATGCGATGATAATTACAACAACTGAACATATCTTCCTCTTTGTTTTTCTAGTAATGACCTTCGTCAAGCTCGAATTCTCCAACCTTTTCGATCCAAATTATCCACTTCCATGGACAATTGTGTTCTGCCCATTATTTGGTCTTTCAATCTTGTCAATTGTAATCGCTATATGGTCTTTGAGACACGAAAAACCTTTTGAATTCGAATTTTTCTACGCGATTAATATCGTTGAACTCGTTTTCATTGCCTTCAAATTAGATAAACAGGTAATTTGTATCTAGATTTAAAATGATTTTTAAAAAAATTTTCAAATTCAGGTTGATTGGTCTTGGGCAGTTGTATTCATCCCATTATGGGCGGTTCTATCAATCTCCGCTGTTGGTGTACTGTATGCCTTGGTTCTTTCAATAGTTCTCGCTCGAAGTCGTCATTTCATTCCTTCGCATCGCCGACAACATGTTTATTCTGCAGTTTTTCATACTTTCCTCGTTCTTCCAGCGTTGGTTTGTCTAGTTCTTCTCACAGGGAAACTTGATTCAATGCAATGGAATGATAAAGAATCAGCTGATGATCTACATTTTACTGTAAGAGTTTTTTTAAATTTTTTTTCTTCTAAAAATCTATCAAAACATGTATGTTTAGACGGTATTTGGACCCCTTATGATCTCATTATTCTTCATGACTTTAATGTCTCTTGGAATTGGAGGACCACCTTCGGGAGCATCGATGACAAATATTTGGTGGTTTGGCTTGCGACAACCGCTTTGCCCATTTTTGTTGGAAAAGTGTCCGTCTTTGAGAACTTATGCAAATGTTAGTTATCGACTTGGTTCGAGAAGGGAAACTAATGAGGTAAGAGTTTTGGGGAGGGGAGAAAAAGGAGCTGAACAGAAATTTTTATTGGGAAAATCAAAATTGAAAAATTAGTAAGATTACGATCATAGAAAACCCGTAAATTTAGTGAAATTTTACAGTTTTCATGGCTCAAGCTCAAAATTTATTAGGGCACAGGGTGTAATTTACTACCTCAAATGGCTAGACCTCAAATTTTTCATAAATTTTTGGGTAGATCAAAAATCATTTTTCTCTAAATCTCTCGTTTTTGCGTCGAATTTCGTCGATTTTAGTCCCACCCCTGAGATCGTGTCAGGTCTCAAAAAATGCGCGAAATTTTTCGAGTAGTAAATTACACTCTGTGTAGGGCTCATTCACAAACGAAAAAAATGTTTAAAAATGTTTTTTTTAACATCGAAAGATAAATTCACGAAAAGTCGAAAAAACATTGTATTTAAGTCAAAATTAGTTTTTCGAGTTTTTTCAGCCAAAAATGATGACAAATCGATATTTTTTAGGCTTCTGGAGTAATTTCTGATTAAAATTGACCTTGAAATTCACTTTCCAGAAGGTTTTTCGTAAAATAAAAAAATTTCAAATTCGAAAAATTCATCAAATAAAGCAAAATAGGGTTCTCGATGCTTATTTTCATCAGAAATTACTCCAGAAGCTTGAAAAATATTGATTTGTCATCATTTTTGCCTGAAAAACTTGAAAAACTAATTTTGACCTACAATGTTTTTTCGACATTTTTTGACTTTTCGTGAATTGATCTTTCGATGTTAATAAAAACATTTTAAAACATTTTTTCGTTTGTGAATCAGTCCTTGTAGTTTTCATAGCCACACCTGACGAGAGAGTGTCCCAAATTTTTTGTGCAGTGTGCAAATTTTTTTCAAAAAAAAATGTGCAGCGTGAAATTTTCAAGTTTTTCGAAAAAAAAAGTTCGCGGGCAGGAGGATTCGAACCCTGGTCTCATGCTCGCCAGTCTAAAATGCTAACCTCTCGGCCACATCTCTCTTTTCTCCTAATGGGAAAATGTTGGTGGAAAGGAAACTGTTTTTAAACGAATGCGTTGCTACGTTGCTCAAATTTTGAAGTTAGGATAACTAAGCTTAGGCTTAACGGATATGGTTGATTTTTTTCCAATAGATTGCTAAGGTCATAGGCAGTGTGGAACACCATGAGTGCAGTGTGAAAATGCCCTATTTCGCTGTTATTTTGGAGTGTCCATTTCAATGGTAAATATGGACATTACAAAGAATCGGACGGCATTTTTTTCCGAGCACATATCAAGGGTTGGTATATTCAGAAAGTTGGTGTATTTTTAAGCGTAGTTTTCGAATTTACCCATGTGCAGTGTGGAATTTGAAGTTTTTCCATAGAAAGTCAATTTTTTCGAAATTTCAGTGACACTATGGTTTGCTAAGCAGTCACGTAAATTCCACACTGCACATTGTGTTACTACACTAAAACGAAGTCTGCTGAGTTGATTTTCACCGAGAAACTTCGAAAAATTAGCAAGCTGAAGTTGTTTTTGAAGTTGAGCAAAAATAAAAAAAGTTTAGTTCCAATGAAGATTCGAACCTGGGCCTTCTGAACACTAGCAAAATGGCCTACCACTGAACTAGATGCGCATTTATTTCCCCAGGTTAAATGTTGGTGAAAAGGAACCAAAGTTATTTTTCGAAAAAAAATGCAGTGTGACTTTTGAAAAAAATGTACAGTGTCCATTTTGGACACGTCTCGTCAGGTGTGTTCATAGCTCAAGCTCAAAATTTATCAGAAATCTCGAAAATAAAATCAAAAAATGATTAAATTTTTTCGTTACGTGAATATTCTCACGCCACGAAATTCATTCACTCTTTTTTTCCAAAATTAATTTCATTTTTTTCCAGAACACTGTTGAAGAACGTCAAGCTGTAATCAACAATACTCCAGAAGATCAACAAGATGAACCAGATTCTTCAACAAACTCATCTCGCCGAAAAGATCGAAGCTCCACGCAAAATGACCCGGAAATCGCGGCCGCCTCAAGTTCGACGATTGTTCGACAAGCGATGGAAAAATATCGAACTGATTTCGCTTTTCATTATGGAAGTGAACTTAACCAACCTGACTAGTCAACAGAATTTTCAATTTGCTTTAGAAAATCGTAACACGTGTATTTTTTATTGTCCATGTTGTCCACAAATATTATTTTGATCTCACATCTTATAAAAATTTTACTTTTCATTTTTTTTTTCTTGAAAAAAATCAGAAGAGTTTAAAAATGTCTCTTTTTATAAATATTTTTTATCTCAAAAAAAATCACTTTAAAAAACTGGGGTTTTTTAAGGTGATGAAAATATAAATGCGAAGTTTTTACGATATCATTGAAGTCGAGGAAAACGAGCCGATTGAGAAGATCAAAAAAGCGTATTTCGATTTTTTGCGCAAAGTTCATCCGGATAAATCCGAAGGTCCGACTGACGTTGAGCTTTTGAATACGGTAACCTTGATTTGGAATCGGATAAAGGTCTCGACTGGAAAATTGGAATACGATTGTTGGTTGAGAGAGCAGAGATTGCGAGAGACGAAGGGAACAATTGCGGAGAGAATTGAGATTGAGGAGGTGAAAGATTTTCCACGTCATATTATCGAAAATCTCATCGGTACCGCGCGCTCCACCGAAATAAACACGCAACGCAGACCGCGCCGCGCTACAGCACACACAAAAAAGGGAATGATTCAAATTCCCTCCCTTTTTTTGTGTGTGTTTTAGCGCGGCGCGGTCTGCGTTGCGTGTTTATTTCGGTGGAGCGCGTGCTACCGATGAGAATAAATTTCTTCATTTCAATTTTTCCAGGGCGACGAAGAAATTGTGGACGAACCTTGTCGCTGTGGTGACAATTTCCAAGTTTCCGCAGAAGAAGTCAAACAAATCGTCGACATTGGAATATTCGAGTGTGGATCTTGTTCATTGTGCCTCGAAGTAGTGAAAATATGTCATTAGACGAAACAAGCACCAAAATCTTGGTGTTGGGTGATAGTTGTGTGGGAAAAACGACATTTTGTCATTGTGTAGCTGGGGAGATTGGACAACTGCATTCTTCAACAATTGGAGCGACTGTGACTATGGCATGGCATGAATATCGAGTTGGAACACCGGAGCAGCGAACGGAATTGTTGGAGTTGTGGGATATTGGGGGAATGATGGCGCATCGACAGAATTCGCAAGTGTTTTTTGAGGGAGCTGTTGGTGCGATTCTTGTTCATGATTTGACCAATAAAAAGAGTGAAGAGGTATCTAATTTTTGAAGATTTATCAACAAAAAAAATAAATTAGGGCTGATTTATGAACGAAAAAATGTTTTTTTAACATTGAAAGATCAATTGTCGAAAAAATATTGTAGGTTAAAACTAGTTTTTCAAGTTTTTTCAGCCAAAAATGATGACAAATCAATATTTTTCAAGCTTTTGGGGTAATTTCTGATGAAAATTAACCTTTCCAGAAGGTTTTGTTGATTTTTCCTTTAAAAAATTTCAAATTTTGATAAATTTCGAAAAAATTTAAAAAAGGAGGTAAAGTAGGGTTCTCAAAGCTTATTTTCATCAGAAATGACTCCAGAAGCTGAAAAATATCGATTTGTCATCATTTTTGGCTGAAAAACTCGAAAAACTAATTTTGACCTACAATGTTTTTACGACATTTTTTGACTTTTCGTGAATTGATTTTTCGATGTTAAAAAAAACATTTTTAAACATTTTTCCGTTCGTGAATCAGCCCTATTTGAATTCAGAATCTTGCCAGCTGGCTAACTATGCTTGACGGAAAACCTCGAGGAAATTCAAAAAAAGATCCAGCTGCTGTCGCTTTACGAGTTGATATTGAAAGTTGCAATATTCCTGTGCTTATTGTTGGAACAAAAGCGGACCTTGTCCCCCATAAAGGACCTGTTAGTTATGATAGGTTGGTCCTGAATTTCTTCTTAAATAGTAACGATGATTTTTTTCAGATTACACATTGATTCAACGAAAAATATAATAAAAGGATCTGCAAATAGTATAACATTATCAAGGTTTTTTGATTCTTGTTTGGATCGAACTCGAAGAACATCGCTGAATGGTAATTTTTATGGAAGACCTCCTCGAAGATCAGCCGCTTCATCAAATGTCACATCTCCAACTACAGTACCCCGCCTTAATTTAAATTCCACGTCGTTTTCCACGTCTATTTCTATGGGTTAAATAACATTTACTTTGGGTTTTGTTTCATTTCTTGAAAATGAAATCGTTGAAAATCAAATTGATATTAGATTCGGATATTTTGTCACGAGAAATACAGTTTATCACTGATAGTTTGCAAAATTTTATGACTGAAAATTTTGGATCGCCAGAAAATCAAAATCAATTTGTGGTTTTAATCGGAAATGATGTGATTTGGAGAAGTTCGGATAAATTGGATGTTTTGATATCGGATATTCTGAAACATTCCGATGAATTGAATATTTATCGAGAAAATTCGGAGGTTTTTCGGAGATTTCAGAAAATTCAGAAGAATTATATCAAGAGCACAGATTTGTGTGCACAGTTTTTTGTCAAAACTTCTTTCATTTTTATTGAAGTTGAGATAAATCAGGAGAAATTGAAAGCATTGGTTGATACAGGTGATTTTTGACTGAAAAATTAAATTTCTAAAATTCTCCCACGGCCTAACTTTTCCCATTTGTAATTCTCGTCCATTTTTTCCCAAAATTCAGGCGCGCAGCTATCAATAATCTCCAAAAATTTCGCTGAAAAATGCCGAATTTTCGATCAACTCGACACTCGTTTTGCTGTCCAAGCTTCAGGAATTGGAGGAAATCGAGCTGCTCTTGGAAAAATTTTATTTGGTATCTATAAACATTGATTTTTCCCAAGTTACACGATGTTTTTTGCAGTGGAATGTTTGGTTTCTGGAAATTCGATGAGATCGATTTTGACGGTTGTTGAGGAACTCGATTTCGAATTGATTATCGGTATTGATTTTTTGAAAGCTTATAATGCGATGATTGATTTGAAGGTGAGGAAAATCAATTTGCATTAGAGCGCAATTGCTGAAAATTCACCGTTTTTACGTGATTACAGAACCAGAAAATTGTGTTTGATCAAAAATTCGATGTCAAGTTTCTGCTGGAAGATGAAGAAGTTTCAAAATAAATATTTATTTAAGCTATTCTAAATAAGTAACAAAGAGCGTAAAAATCGAGAGTTTTAGAGAAATATTATCGAAAATCTCATCGGTACCACGCTCTCTATCGAAATAAACACGCAACGCAGACCGCGCCGCGCCACAACACACACAAATAAGGAAACCATTCAAGTTCCCTCCCTTTTTTGTGTGTGTTGTGGCGCGGCGCGGTCTGCGTTGCGTGTTTATTTCGGTGGAGCGCGTGGTATCGATGAGATTTTCGATAATAAAACTCTCGATTTTCACACTCACAAAATGTTCTACTTATTCACAAATCTCGATTATAAAAATGTGGTGGTTTGAGAATCGAATGTTGCCACGCTGATCTTTCTTCTTCTGGAAAATCTGCAAGAATCTTCGAGACTTCTCGCATAATTTTCTCAATTTTAATTCCTTGCTCGATTTCGAAATTCATCAAACATTCAGCATCTTTGCATTTTGAAAGTGTGTCTGCGAATTTTTCGATTTCACGAATTGATTCTTCATCACTTTCCATATCGAAATTTATTAGAACTTCGATGGTATTCAAAATATAATGAGCCATTGATTCGATGCTCTGAAAAATCCAGACTTTCTGTGAGTAATTTCGAATTTCTCATCGGTACCACGCGCTCCACCGAAATAAACACGCAACGCAGACCGCGCCGCGCCACAACACACACAAAAAAGGAAACCATTCAAATTCCCTCCTTTTTTGTGTGTTGTGGCGCGGCGCGGTCTGCGTTGCGTGTTTATTTCGGTGGAGCGCGTGGTACCCATGAGATTTTCGAACTAGACTCACCATCGGACAACTATTCGGATTCTTCTTACATTCTCCAATCAAAACTGTCAATAAATGCGACGGATGATTTTTGATCATTTCCATCGTTCGAAGATCCACATTATTCTCAAAAGCTCCAATTTTCACTGGAAGTTTTGTCAGCGCCAAAATCACAACTAGCGGGAGAAGATACATGTCAAAAGTGAATAAAATGAAAAAGAAGTGATCGAAAAATGTTTATCAGAAACTCGATACTTTTCGAAATTGTTTATTACACGTGGCACAAATTATTATACACAAATAAACTTTTTTAAAGCTCGAAAAAAATGACCCTTTATAATTTTAGTGGTTGGTGCAAAAAATTGTAGTCGTTCTCGAAAATTCCGAATGGATATGTTGAGCAGAAGTTGAAGGTCAACATTATCAGATTGACGAGCAAACGGAACTGAAAAAAAATGTTTTTGGGTTCGGGTTTGTGGAGTTCTGGGCTCAAGCTCAGATTTTTATGCTCAGGCTTCTAGGCTCGTTAGGTTTGGGCTTCTAGGCTTGGCCTTCTGGGCTTCTAGATTTATGCGTTCAGGCTTTCTATTTATGAGTTCAGGCTTCAGTATTTTGGACTAAATCTTCTAGATGGCTTGCAAGCTAAGATTACTAGGCCAAGGCTTCTAGGCTCAGTCTTTTAGATTCAGGCTTCTATTCTATTCTAGGCTTAGGCTCCGGCTTCTGGGCTTCTAGACTAAAGCTTAAAGGTTAAGGTTTCCAGGCTCAGGATTCTGGATTTAGGCCCAGGCTTTTAGATTCAGGCTTCCAAAGTTCCCCTAACTCACAATTCTAAAAACCACAAAATACACTCCAATCGTCGGCAAAATCAGCAAAAGAATCACAAATAACGATGTCGAAAGGAATTGTTGGCGAGAATCCAAAAGAATCTGAAAAAAAATATTGATTTTTTTTTCAAAACGTGAAACGTGGCATCGTCAAGGGCAGAAAAAAAAACAAAAAACGATGTCAGAAATGGGAAGAGCTCCATTGCTTGATCAACTAACCTAGGTAACTCTACTACTAGTATTTTACTAACCCGAAAAAAAAATGTGCGTTTCGAGACCGACCAAGATTCTCAGGTAACTAAAGCTTCCGCGAACGCGGCTACGTGGAATTCTGATGGATCTCTATGGTTTCCATGTCACTAACAAAAGATTTTACAGAAATCGAACAGATGCCAACTCACTTTTAATAACTGACCAGCCGCTTTCGGCAACAAGAATCTCACACAATACCCTAACTGTAAGGGAAACTGAAATAACCCAGGAGCTTAGAAAAGATGCGAATTCGAAACATATGTCCTATGTGTTCCAAAAACAAGTGCATGTTTGGATTTTGCCACTTTCACTTTCACAATCAAAATTCGGTGGAAGAAAGAAACCCTCATCGGCTTGCACAATAATCACCGTTCAAATTGCGCACGATTTCCTCAAATACAATTTCGCTGTCCCCTTCAAACAGACAAATTATTCGCAAGCATTGCCATCAACAGTGATGGAAGTTATGATAAATGCGATAATTGATGGAAATGATACGCATGGAAAAGCGATGAATGCGCGGCGAAATGGATTTGTTGGCGAGTTGGCGAAAGAGAATTTGACGAGTGATTTGGTGATCGATCCGCCCTATTTGATGTGCAATGTTTTGTTGAAGAAACCGTTTCGTGATACGTTTACAGTGCCCGAAGCGATTCGAGTTCATCGACCGGAAATGCACGAGATTGATTATAAATGTTTTGTGGGGCCGTTTATTCCGAATCTTATTCGAGCATTGATGAGTGGGATTGAGAGGTAAGAATGGGAATAAGATAGCTTCTGATATTTTGTATGAAATTTGAAAATATATTATCAATCTTATCGGGTGATTCAGGTCGATAAATTTTTTTTTTAATTTTTGATTAAGAAAATGTCAAAAAACTATTTTTCCACACAAAAATGAAAAATATCTCGCAGCGAAAATGTTTCAATCAAAAAAATATCAAAAACTAGGAAAAAAAAAGTTTTTTGACATTTCTGAATCGAAAATTTTTGGAAAAAACTTCTTTTTTTTAGTTTTTTTTTTCGACTTGAATTACAATTTTTTCTCCGAAAATCCAAAAATCCACGTTTCAAATATGAATCCACGCGTTATCAGGTCAATTCCACGTGGAACTATTTTTTTTTTGACCGAAAAAAAACGTGGCAAAAGTAGAAATTTTTGCTTTTTCTGAACACCCCAAAATCCACGTGTCAAAAATCTATTTTAGTTCATGAACTTGAAAAAACTGTAAATCTGGAGCTAGCTGAAAATCCACGTGGCAAGCAGTAGCAATTTGGATTTCCCGCGGCAAATTCAAAATTCCAATCAAATTTTTCCTTCCAGCGATTATCTCTCAAATTTGAATCGCCTCGTTTTCGGAGTTTTGGCATTCGAAAGAGCCATGTCATATATTTATGATCGACCAACTGATACAATTTGTCTAATCGATACCCACATGCATTTTCAAGGTCAAGTTGGATCAGTAATTGCCAGCTCGGCTTTGGATGATCTCGAAGATTTTTTGATAACAACAACAAAATGTGTATTTCAGGAGGTTTTCAAAAATCGCAATTTTCATGGGGTAACTTGTCACGTCATTTTATATTTCCCTTAAAAAATCAATTCTTCTAGCAATTCGAAATCACTTGTCTAATGGTCAGCGAAATCTACAATAAAACACATCGTGGCGCGATTTTCAAATGTGGAAAAGATGCGCCGCCCGAAATTTCGAAATCAAAAATGACTGCGAGTTTGAAATCTCGAATGATGAAAGTGTCTGTGGAAAATGGAAATGAAGAAGATAGTGGATATGAAAGTACTTAATTCATAAATTTATTTTTTTTTGACTGAAACTCACGTTATCATTTCGTTTTCTCAGCGGATTCCATTTTTTGCCGCGTACAAGTCCCCATAATTCTTTTAGTGTGTAACTGCAAACTGACCATAATCTGGAAAAAATTATTGTTGAATTATCGAAAATCTCATGCGCTCCACCGTAATTAACACGCAACGCAGACCGCACCGCGCCACAACACACAAAAAAAGGGAGGGAATTTGAATCGTTCCCTTATTTGTGTGTGTTTTAGCGCGGCGCGGTCTGCGTTGCGTGTTCATTTCGGTGGATTTTTTTGAAAAGGTTCCCCACGCTGTCCAAATATTTTTTTTTGTGCTTTTGAAATTAGAAAAGAAAAATTCATGGTCTGTGATTGAACTAACATTTGCATCAGTTTTCCAAAACAAATATTATCACTAGAAAATTGTGACGTGAACTAAAAATTGCGAAATTTTTTTAAATTCGAACAAAATTCAGAAATTTTCCAATTTTTCTTGATAAAATCTCACCTTGTCGCATATGCATCGAAGCACAAAAAATGAATGAAGAAAAACTTGCAAACATCACAAAGTGCAGCCAAAAATGTGGTAAATCCGGCCAGCAAAAAGCAAATGACAAATCGAGTCATTTGAGGATATTTCAGAAAATGAATGAATGCTGAAATATTTTTTGCTCATTTTCAAATTTTACTTTTTTAAACTCACTTGTCCAGAGATAAATGTGATATCGAAAAAAGCTTGACAGAGTTTGATTAACAGGTATAATCAATTTGAGCCCAGCTGGATTGTTTTCTAGAATTGTTATCACGTTGTCTAGATGTTGTACTAGATCTTCAGCAAGATTCCAGACTGTTTCATGGATAATTGTGATATCTAGACAAACTAGAATCATCCATCCGATTAAAGCATCAATGATTGTTAAGCGCGTCAATTTCTGTGAAGTTTTGTAATCCAATGTTTTGCACAAAACACTAAAATCTCGAATTTTCATGATTTTCCGTCTAGAAAGAAAACACATCAGCAATTCAAAAAAATATCTCAAAGAAAAAGGAAAGATAAAACCGGGACCAGGAAAAGCCCATTCAAATCGAAACACAAATCAATCAATAAAGGACTATCGAGACAAAAAGGTGTACTAAACTGTGTATTAGTTATAATTTTTGAGGGATGGAGGGGGAGAAAATTGCAAAACATATCAATTGTTCAATCGTTCTTAAGTTCGATGCTCGAATTTAGTGGGAGGCTTCGAGTTTGGCTTTCAATGAGGCTGGCATCTCTGGTGGTGGTGGACGTGGAAGGTTAAGAGCGACCTGGAAAATATTAATTATTTATATATTTCGTATCCCATTTGAAGAGAAGAAAACTCACTTTAACGGAATCGTAGATGAACCATTGAAGAGCAGTGAGGGTACCGATCATAATAATACGTGGAACAAGTCCCTTCCACAATCCTGCGAATCCGAGTTTCTTGATGATTCCTCCGACGGTGGCTTGAGAATCTTGGTTCAATTTGGAGACGAGAGTATCAGCTGGGTGAGAAACAACAGCGCAGAAGACTCCAGCAATGTATCCAGCAATGAAGGTAACAACAAGTTGTTCTCCCTTTGAGCATTCGGCTCTTGGTTTTGGAACAACATATTGGTAGAGAGCTTCGACGGTCTTCTCGAAACAGGCGAATTTCATCATGGTGTATGGGATTTGTCTCATCCAGAGTGGTGGAAGTCCCTTGTAGAATCCGGTGAGTCCTTCAGCGGCGTAGATTTGTGGGGCACATCCTCTGAGGGTTGGTGGGGCTCCTGGAGCGGTTTGGACACGGACCTTGGTGGCTTCCATTGGTGCGAGGAGGATATCGGCGAAGAACTCAGCTGAAGCTGAAGCAGCCAAGTACAAAGATGTTCTGTACAAGTATGCGTTTTCTTCTCCAAGCAAGTCAGAGTAGACGTTCTTGAAGACCTCGTAGAATCCGAATTTTCCGAGTCCTTGGAGGGAATATCCGATGGCGGTTGGGGCCCATCCTTTGGCAAGAGCACGAACTCCTTCTTCGGCGACTGTGGTACGGAATCCAGAGAAGATACCCTTGTATTTTTCTGGGTTGACCTGAATTCTGCATTTGATGAGATCGAGTGGGACGATGGCGGTGTGGGTAATTCCGCAGGAGAGAACTCCTCCGAGAGCACAATAAGCGTAGTATTGTCCAGATCCGAATTGAACTTGTCCTGCTGAAAATTTCAAGATTGAATTGAAAAAAAAAACACTTTATCAACCTTCGTGTACTGAAACAGCTGTAGTAGCAACACCTACAGCCATTTTGGCAATATAATCTGTGGATCTATAGGAAAGCCATTCCATAATTCCATCAACAAGCTGTGTCACACCCCAGAAATAAAGTAGTATCCACATGGTCAGAATAAAAACTATTCCTAGTCTACCATTACTTCTATGAGGATTTTTTGCATATGCAAAATAGGGAAGAAATTTTTCTTCTGTCTCTGATGTCATTGATAATTTCCGATAAGCGACTCGTGAATGAATTTTGGACATAAATTTTTAGAAATGAAAAGCTCGCATAATAGGAAAATAAATACGTTAGACCTTGAAACGTTTGCCACGTTCCGTTCTTTTCTCTAGCCGTCGTTATCTCATTTTTAAATTCTCTACCCTTGTTCTCTTTCTTCTTTCTCTGTTTGCATGGTTTTCACATGCATCGCTATGAACGAGAGAGCGTGCAAACATCTATTTTTTTGAAGAAAAAATGACGGCTGTTTGATCAGAAGAATTATAAAGGTAAAAGTACATACTTTGAAAATTACTTATTCGGATTCATGAAACAATAATAATCAAGATTTTATGAGAAGTATGACTGATAACAAGTATAACTTAATCCATTTGGAAAAAAACTCAATTAGATTGATTAACTGTTTTTTTTATCTGAAAATTCGAAAAAAAACTTCACAAAATTGAATAGCTTTTTACCGAAGATTTGTTTTCATCACAAAAATGTAATCGTTTTTCAAAAAGCCGGGTATTAGAAAGTTTGATTGAAAAAACACATTGAAAACAAAACAACAGTTGATTGAAACACGCCTAGTTCAACTTTTACGTGTTGTTTTCATGAGTATTATTTACCGTAATTAGGAAATAGGTGAAATTATCTTTTCCTTTCGTAAATGAACGTTCAATGTATCATAACTCTAAATCCAACACAGCTAATTTTTTTTCAACACGGAAAACGAGTTCTAAGAAGAAGCTTTACGAGATAAAATCTTTTGGGGGTATATTTAGTATGATTGAAAATAAACTTACGAACTGCGGCGGCTGATTGACAGCTAGCAGATCTGACTGGAAGAGAGAATGGATTTGTCTTTGACGACTCGGAAAGTTGACTGAAACCGCCCATATTTTACCTGAAAATGTAGAAATTGATTAAGAATAGTGAAAAACGCAGCAATAAATATCAGAAAATTGGTCCTCTCTCTCCTCCCACAAAAAAGTCTGCGTAAAAATTCAAAAGGGTGCCCGTTCTCTGAGCGATGGTCGGCACACACAGTAACCCTGCAGAAAAATTTAGCAACAACATGCGTATCTAACTCCCTCTTGGCTTTTTGCCAATGTTCGAATTTTCTTTCTTTTTTCGAGAAAAAAGTGGTTTTTGCAATTTTTCAAGCTTTTAGGAAGCAAAATGGCTGATGAAGAACTGAAGAAAGCTTTTCAAGACTTGCAATTCAAAACGAATGAGACAAAAAGTCGGATTCAACAAGGAGAAATCGCCAAAAAGATGCATTTGCAAAAAAATCGCGTTTCTGAAGTAACTCACAAAAATCTCGTTGGTGTACCTGATGATTTGCCAGTTTATCGTAGTATTGGAAGAATGTTCTTATTAACTGATAAAGCTTCCGAGCTCACCAGACATGAAACCGAAGCAAAAGAGTTCAAGTAAGTTATGAATGAAATAATTATTGCAAAAAAAATGATGTAATTTCAGAGATAAAGTAGCATCAATCGATAAGCAACGAGAATATTTGGAGAAAGGATTAGCTGAAGCTGAAGCAAATTTGCGGGAACTTATCCAATCTCGACGAGCTTAATTGGAATAATAATTTGCAAAAATCTCATAAATAAATGTGCTTTCTAAATAAAAATGTAAAGAATCTATAAATGCGAATAAGAAATATCGCTTTCTCATACTTATTATGAAAAAAAAAACATTTAGGATCTCTTTTCAAAAAAAAAAACGTTGCAGAAATGCTGCCAAGTCGGGGAATTCTTCGATTTTTCCGAAGGATTCATGTTTCGGCAGCAACTTCTTCCTCAACAACACCATCGAGATTTCCAAATTCGCGAAGGAAGAAGAATGCAGTTCGAAACAAAAACATTGAGGATCTGGTTGAGCCGAAAAAAGTGAAACATCTTGCCGCGCAGGCAATCGGAATGGAAGATTGGATTGTTGGATTGGATAAAACAACAATCGAAATGGCACTGGATGAATTTATGAGACGACCAATGGTTAGACAACTTGCGCAAGAAAACGGGATAAATGATAAACTTTTTATGCGCGCGTTTCGAAGTTTTAAAGAATATTGTACACCGGAAGATTTGAGTTCAGTAGATTCAGGATTACTCATTTTATTCAGTGATATTTCAAAAGGCGAAAAAGACGTCGAAATTCTCTATTCATTTTTTCTCGATCACGCAAAACAAGTCTTCCCACATCTCGAAGCAATGGATGATCTTCGAATCATTTCCGATCTAACAAAACCACACAATTGGTATCCTGAAGCGAGATCATTGACAAGGAAAATCTATTTTCATGCAGGCCCAACAAATTCGGGTAAAACTTATCATGCTTTGAAGAGGTTTAACGAGGCGAAAAGTGCGGTTTTCTGTGGACCTTTGAAATTGTTGGCGACTGAAGTATTTCATAAAAGTAATGAATTGGGAGTTGCTTGTGATTTGGTGACTGGAGAGGAAAGAAGGTTTGCGAAAGATAATCATCATCCAGCACAACATCTTTCGTCTACTGTTGAAATGCTTTCAACGCAGATGAGAGTTGAGGTAAGTCGGAAAAATTTCCAAAATTCATCAATTCAGCTTGAAATTTACGAAGTCTTATGTTTTAAAGTTGAAAAATTGAGCTTGAAGTATTTTAATAAAATTTTTCCAGAAACTTTTCCAAGAATCTAGAATCAAGCTCAAGAAAATGCACAAATTCATGCTCAGAATCCACCTGGAAATCATTTCCAAGCTCAAGCTCAAAATTTAGCTGGAAAAATTTCTCAAGCTGAAATTACAGCGGGAAATTTGGCTGGAAATCTTAACCAAGCTCAGAAATCTGCTGAAATTCCACCACTAGCCAAAGCCCAATCAAATTTTCAATCTGAAGCTGAAATTGGCACCAGGACCGCCAAATTTCGAGCTGTAATTTCAGATTGAGGAATATTTTCAGCTAAATTTTGAGCTTGAGCTTGGAGATGATTTCCAGCAGGATTCTGAGCATCAATTTGTGCATTTTCTTGAGCTTGATTCTAGATTTCTGCAAAAATTTCCAAAATTCATCAATTCAGCTTGAAGTTTAGGGAGTTTTATGTTTTAAAGTTGAAAATTGAGCTTGAAGTATTAATTTGGCGGATTTTTGAGTCTGAAATCGATTTTCAGCAGGTTTTCGAGCTACGTGAAGATTTCCAGCTAAATTTTAAGCTTGAGCTTGGTGGGACCTGAAAATGCTTCTAGATTTCTTTCCAAAATTTCCAAAATTCATCAATTTTGAAGTTTACGGCTCAAAATCAATCAAATTTTTCCAGGTGGCAGTCATCGATGAAATCCAAATGCTGCGCGACGAGCAACGTGGCTGGGCTTGGACTCGCGCACTTCTAGGCGCCGCCGCCGACGAAGTTCATCTTTGCGGTGAACCAGCCGCAATCGATATTGTCAAAAAGTTGCTCGAACCAATTGGTGAAACTGTCGAAGTTCGATATTATGACAGAAAAACACCGCTAACAATTGCGGATAAAGCTATTGAATCTTATGATAATGTATGGTTTTTCTGGGGTGATTTAGGGGGAAAAAACCTATTTTTTGACTTTTTTTCATTGAAAGACGAAATTTTTCGTCAAAAAATATTTTTTTTTCAAAAATCCATCCAAATAACCTTTGTATCTAGATTGAACCCGGCGATTGTATCGTGTGTTTTTCGAAAAAGCACATTTTCTACAATTCAAAAAAACTGGAAGAGCACGGCATCAAACCGGCAGTGATCTATGGAGATTTACCGCCGGGCACCAAATTGGCACAAGCTGCCAAGTTCAACGATCCCAATGATCCTTGCAATGTCCTGGTGGCAACTGATGCAATTGGAATGGGATTGAATTTGAATATTCGGAGAGTGATTTTCAATAGTTGCACGAGACAGAATGAATTGCTTCCCACTTATTCGGCGCTGCAAATTGCGGGAAGAGCGGGAAGGTTTGGAACGGCTTATGCGAATGGGGTGACAACTACGTTGAGATCACAGGAATTGGCAACATTGAAGACGATTCTGGCGCAGAAGGTGGGAATTTGAATTTTTTTGTAATCTTGGGACCTTTTAGGATGACAATTTTGGTTTAAAATAAAATTTCAGCCCTAATTTTCAGCCTGAAAGGTCCCTGGTTTTTTCAAATTCATCCTTTAAATTGTTATTTCAGATCGAGCCAATCACAAATGTCGGAATTGCCCCAACTTATGATCAAATTGAAACATTCTCTTTCCACTTGCCTCAAGCTTCTTTTGTCAGACTTTTGGATTTGTTTGTCTCAGGTATGTAACCCTCATTCCTCCCTTTCTCTTAAAATTCAAAAAAAATTCCAGTCTGCTCGGTATCGAATCATTTTTTCATTTGCACAGTCGACGATATGCGCGAATTGGCGGTTCTCATCGATCAAATTCCACTTCCGCTCAAAGTTCGCTACACATTTTGCACGTCGCCATTGAATACTGATGATAAAATGCCGGCGGCCGCGTTTGTCAAAATGGCTAGGAGGTGGGGGGAATTTTGGGGAATTTAAAAATTGGGTATTTTTGTTCTAATTTTGATGAAAAATTGGGGAAAGTCTGAAGTTTTTGATGATTTTTCAAACTTGTTTCTGAACTTTTCAAATTTCACTCACAGATTCACAGGCAAATTTTAACAAAAAATATAATTTCTGAAAATTAATTTTTGAAATCCTGATTTTTCAAGCCAAATTGAAAAAAGTTGACTTTAAAATATTTTTTAAACATTTTTTGTAGAAATTTGAAAAATCTGAAGTTTTTCATGATTTTTCAAACTCGTTTTTGAACTTCTAAAATTTCACGTGTCAAAAATCAACTTACAGATTCACAGGCGAAATTTAACAAAAATTATAATTTCTGAAAATTTTGAAATCCTGATTTTTTAAGCCAAATTGAAAAAATTGAAAAAAAGTTGACTTTAAAATATTTTTTTTTTACATTTTTTTCGTAGAAATTTGAAAATTCTGAAGGTTTTGATGATTTTTCAAACTTTTTTCTGAACTTCTAAAATTTCACGTGTCAAAAATCAACTCACAGGCAAAATTTAACAAAAACTGTAATTTCTGAAATTAATTTTTGAAGCTCTTCATAATTATTCGTGAATTCTGGGCCAAAACTATCATTTCTAAAAAAAATTTTGAAAAAAAATAACTGACAATGAGAAATTCTACTTTTCAAGAAATTTGAAATTTTCGAGGAAAATTCTTGGAATTTCTTCCAAAAAATCCACGAATTCCACGGAAAAATGTTCAGATTCTCAACTGGTCAAGCTCTAACTTATGAATGGATGATGGATATGATCGAATGGCCTCCAGCACCAGCCACCAATTTACGCGAACTCGTTTTCCTCGAACAAACCTACGAAATTCTCGATCAATACATGTGGTTATCAATGCGTTTTCCTGACATGCTTCCAGATGAACCTGCAATTCGAGAAGCAAGTCGACAATTAGATCAAATGATTCAAGAAGGTGTTGATAGTTTTATGAGTTTGATTGGACCTGGAGAGAATTTGAAGAGAGCTGAGAAATCTTCAAGACCATCGGAACCACCAAGAACGGAGAAAAAATCGATACTTGAAAAACTATTGAAACGCGCTGATTTGTCGGATTTGGATTTAGAGCAACTTCGAGAGGAATTAAATAAAGCTAAGAAATAGTAGTAGTAGAATTTGAGATTTTTTTTGTTATTTGTTGTTTTTTTACACGGGTGTAGGAAATTTAGATAAAGATTTTTTACAAAAAACAACAGCATGACTTAAAAATTGTGGAAGTTGAATCAGAATTAATATTTTCCTTGACCCCGCCTCTTTTCAATATCAAAATTGCGCATTCTTCAAAAATTTGCGCCACATTTTGATTCAATTTCGCACTTGTTTCAAAATATGGGATGTTTAGAGTACGAGCGTGATCTTCGACGAATTGTTGATCGATTTGACGTGTGCCGATTAGATCGGATTTGTTGCCGACGAGGATCAGAGGAACCTGTGCGAGGGGAAATTTGAGATTTTTTCTTGAAATTCGCGAAAAATTAGATATTTTTATCCGAAAAATTGATTTTTTTCTTAAAAATTCATGAAAAATAGATATTTTTATCCGAAAATTTCAGAAGTTCTCAAATTTTTCAGAAAAAAACTAAATTTCTCAAAATTTTCAGGGAGCCTGAAAAACACGCTATTTTTGGCTGTCCAAATCGAGAGAGTGGCGCAGAGAAAAAGACGCTCGTTTCTCGACACGAACAAAAATATTTTGGTAAAAAACTACTGTATCTACTGCTTCGCGTGTGTCTTTTTCACGCGTTTCTCGAAACGAACAAACAAGAAAACTATATAACTACTGTACTTAAAGGGAGTTTTCGCGTCTCTGTCATCTCTCTCGATTTGGATGCTCTTCTTCTTTTTTAAAATAGCGTGAAAAACTTCCAAACAAAAACTAATTTTTCTGAATGACGTGAAAATTTAAAAAAAAAAGAAAATTTTTAAAAATTCATGCAAAATTCTTGAAAAATTGAAAAATCATGAAATTTTAATCCAAAAATTTCAGAAAAAAATATAATTTTTCATTAGGTAAAAATCAATTTTTGAGGATTTGAAGAATTTTCTGAAAACAAATCGAAAATTTCTATAATTTCTCTTTTTCTCCAAAAAACCGATATTTGAGCATTTGGTTTTCTAGGTCATGAAATCAGAAGTTTTTTTTTTGAAAACAGGGACTAGTTTGGATTTCTAGGCCACACAACGTTCAGAAAATTTGAAAACTTTGTAAAAATTAAGTCTTTATCAAAAACTTTTCAAATTTTTAAGGTTTTTCTAAAATTTTAAGGAAAATATATTTTGGAAGCTACCAAAAAATAATATTTCAAAAAATTCGCAAAAACCCACATCCTTCCCGCGTATCCTCGCAATATTCTCATAAGTCAATTTCAAATCCTCAAACGTCGATTTATCCTCCAACGAGAAAACCAAAATGAAACCATGCGCCGATTTATAATAAGTCTCTCTCATTCCACTAAATTGCTCGGTTCCGGCCGTATCCAAAATTTCGAGCCGCGCATTTTCAGCCTCAATTTTCGACAACTTTCGATAACTATCCTCAATTGTAGCATCATAATGTGGAGTGAAAACTCCTTGAACAAATTGAAGCGTCTATTAAAATTTGGAGAAAAAATTAATTAATTATGAAAAATCTCTTACCAGCGCACTTTTTCCAACTCCTCCATTTCCCAAAACAACAATTTTATATTCTTTCATCGAAGAATTGACCAGATTAGGCTTATATGATGAGAAAAGAAGCAAATAAATTAGGAAAGAACAGGAAATAATGATAAATTACAAGGCAAAACATGATTTACCAGGTCATTTTCGATAAGATAAAACTTTATTTCAATTGTTTTTTCCTTGTGAAAAGGAGAAAAAAACAACAACAAATACATAATTAAATAATTAAATAAAAATATACAAGAAATATCATCACAAGTAGCAGTTAAGTGAACTTAAAATAAATCAGTTCAATTCAATTCAATTTCCAAAATCCAACAGTTGAATCACTGGACGCCGTAAAAAGCATATTATTTTTTGTGCTCATATCATTTATCGAATCCGAATGTGCTTTCGAGTATTCTTCAACCAATCGCATTTTGTTACTAACATCCCAGAATCTAACAGTTCCATCTTTGCAGGCTGATACCAAATGTTCTTTGCCTTTTTGATTTCCTAGTGAGACGAGGGATTGGATGTATTGTTGATGGGCGCGGAGTTCGAGATGTTCACGTTTTCCATCGGTCAGGGAGAATTTCATTATGTTCTGGAAAATTAGGGAATTTAAATATAAGGAATTTGAAAATTAGATTTTTTTTTGAAATATTTTTTTTCTTGATTCAAAAAACCTGGAAAATAAAAGCTAAAATTTGCCACGTCATAATTTTTTCAAAGTTTTCAGATCAAAATGTTTTGGAAAACTTCTTGGAAGTTTTTTAAAACCAAAATTCCACGTCATAACTTTTTTGAAAACGCATACGGGAAAATCTGCCACGTCATAACCTAACCCTTTGGATCAAAATTCTGAATTTTCAAATTTTTGAAAATTTTAAAAATTTTTGCCTTCAAAAATTCCACGTCATAGCCTAAATTATATATAAAAAATTACAGTTTTTTGAAATTCTGAACTTTTCACAACATTTCAGGATCTAGCTCAATTTTATGGATAAAAATGATGAATCTGAAATTTTTTCAATCTGTGAATAAATTCTTAATTTTAGATTTAGATTTTTTTTTGTGAAATTAATTTTTGAAATTAATTTTCAAATTTTGATCCAATTCTGGAAATTCGGAAAATCCTTTGGATCAAAATTCTGAATTTTCACTTTTTTGGAAAATTTTAGAACTTTTTGAGCTCAAAATTCCATAATACATTCCACGCCATAACTTTTTTGAAAACGATCACGGGAAAATCTGCCACGTCATACCTAACCCTTTGGATCAAAATTCTGAATTTTCAAATTTTAAAAATTTTTGCGTTCAAAAAATTCCACGTCACAACCTGAATTAAAAGAGTAAAAGTGTGAATTTTCAAAAATTATTTCAGAAAATTCAAACTTTTATTTTAGGTTATGACGTGGAATTTTAAACGCAAAAATTTCTAAAATTTTCCAAAATTTGAAAATTCAGAATTTTAATCCAAAGGGTTATGACGTGGAATTTTTGAACGCAAATTTTTTTTTAATTTTCGAAAATTTGAAAATTCAGATTTTTGATCCAAAGGGTTAGGTTATGACGTGGCAGATTTTCCTGATGTTGAAGTAGTTCTAGAGCTTTCGAAAAAACCTTTGAAACTCGTATTCAAAAAACTTATGACGTGGAATTGTTTTTGTAGAAAAATCTCACTCACCAAATCCTTAGAAGCCGTATACAAATATCCATTCAACGGCAAAACCGCCGTCACATTATCATAATGTGGCGGTGTGAATTCAGACTTCGATTCAATAATTCCAACACCAGTTCCAACTTCATACTCTTTCACATAATGATCTCGACTTCCAGTATACGCCAAAATACTTCCTTCCGATGTCATCGTCGTTTTCAAACAAGAAACTTCAGATTTCGGACTATGCGATGCCGCATTCAATCTTCCCAACGGTTTCCATTCTCTCAAATTCCAAACTCGAACAAATGCAGAGAACGAAGTGAATAGCATTTGTCCAGTTGGATCAACATCAGCTGCAGTTATAACAGATTCTAAAAATGGAATCGAATTCTGTCTTGGCATTACAGATGTCACATCAATCGAACTTCCATCATTGACTTGTCCACTTGAATTGATCACTTTTACACATATACAATCAGGTGATCGATAATCCCAAGCTCTTCCTTCAAACATTGAAAATGTGAAGACAAGATTTGAAAACGGCACGAATTTGACCAAATGCACATTATTCGGATGAACTCCAAGAGTTCGAATCTCTTTTCCCGCTTCAATATCCCATAACTTCGCAGTTCGATCTTTCGATCCAGTTATCATCAAATTCTCATTTGACACATCAACTGATAATACACCTTTGGCATGTCCTTCTAAAGTATGAGTTCGACTAACTACACTTCCACGCATTCCATCTTTGACTGGCGCAATTCGACTATGTCTTCTGGAAAAAAACAAGGAATATTTGGAGATTGGGAAAAATTGGGGAGAGACTACTGTAGGTTTTGACTGGAATTTTTGGCTGAAATTAGAAATTTTCAAAAAAGCTAAAAATAAGATTTTGAAATTTTAATTTTTTTTAGAAACTTCTGAACTTTGAGAAAATTTTTATCCCAATTTTTGTGTCCAAAAATTTTCCAAAAAAAAATCCGAAAATTAGTTTTCTGGAATTTCAAGATATTTCGGGGAAAAAATTTCGGATAAATTTTTCTTTAAAAAAATTTTGGACTAAAATTGTGCTTTTTGTGAGGTTTTTTCTGAAAATCCATATTTAGAAGTTTCTGAAAAAAAAATTTCAAAATAATTTTTTTTCAAGATTTTTTTCTGAATTTCCAAATTTAAAAAATCAAAAGTCTTTTTCAGGTTTTCTTTTTTTGCACTGAAAATTTAAAACTTGATTTCAATGAGTTTTGAAGCCTGAACTTTTAAGAAAATCTAGAAAAAGCTGTAAATCAGTTTTTCTGAAAATATTTCGAGAAAAAATTATTTTAATGATTTTTTTCGGAATTTTTTTGTACTAATAATTGTGATTTTCTGGGAAAAAAAGTTTCAAAATAATTTTTTCAAGATTTTTTTCTGAATTTCAAATTTTTTCTAGATTTCTCAGGGTTTAGGGAAAATTTCTAGATAATTTTTTCGCGCTGGAAAAAACTTTTGAAAAAATTAATTTTCTCTAAAATTCCCATCAAAACCCCCTACAGTAACCCCTGGCAAAATCCACCCAAAAAAGATTTGTTAAAAAGGACAAATAACTAGAGAAGAAAAACAAAAGGTGCACAACTACAAAAAAGCGAACCGATTATTTTTCATTATCAATTCAGCACAAGTATCATTCAACCACGACGGCGAAATTCGAGCGAAAACCGATTTCGTGCTATTGTTACTGGTTAATTTTTTGTTGGTCATTGAAGTTGAGTTAAGTGTAGATTTCGAGCGAGTTGGCGGATATGTGGCTGATAAACTTGTTGTTGGTTGTTGATTCGATGTTGATGCAAAACAACAATCCTCTTGAACAGATGCCAATCTGCTTAATGTTTCTTTTCCTCTAAAAAGACAACATAAATTCACTATATATTTACAAAAGCGTTAGATATTCCTTCAAAAATCCACCAATTCTGCTCACCCTTTTCGATTTTGCTGCTGTCTAAACCCGCCACCATTACAATTCCCTAATCTTCCACCAACAGTACTTCGTTGCTTCGAATTTCGTTGAAAATTCGGGGCCGATGTTGAGGGTTGCACCGCGATTGAATTCGAGCTGCAAATTCCAGGCGGACATCACTACATCGAAATATAAATATATGTACAAAAACATAAATATGAATATAGACAAGACACGTGGCAAAAAGGAAAGGAGAGGGAAAATCGGGAGAAATGGGTGCAAATTTCGGGTGGATTGTGTATGGTTTTAAGGATTATTGATTGATTAGGTTGGAAAATTTCATGGATTTAGGAGGGAAGTTAAATATTAGGTTAGGGGTTCAGGGATCTAGAAAAAATTGCTCTAAACCTTTTCAGAAAAACAAAATTCAGTGTAAAATTACTTTTAAAATTGAAATTTGGTCTAAAACTTCAAACTAAAAAAGATTTTTGAAAAAACTTTTTTTCTGTCTTAAATTTATGAAAAATTTCAGAAATCTTATTTCTGAGCAGTTTTTTTTTGAACTTTCTTATTTTAAAATGTCAATTTTCGAAAAATTAAATTTAGGGTTTCGTTAATTAGAATTAATATCAAAATTACCAGACTTTGAGCACAATTTCTAGAATTTCAAAAAAAACAATAATTTTTGATTATATTTTTGAAAAATTCCGAATTTTTAGGCTTCTAATTCTAATTTTTCAAGGAATTTTTGAGCAAAATTTCTAGAATTTCAAAAAAATAATTTTTGAAAAGTTCCGAATTTCCCCTACCTCAGTAATAATTCAATTTTCAAAAAATTAAATTCACGAATTCCTGAATAATATCAAAAATTTCAGGCTTTTCTAGACTTTAAAATAAAAATTCCTCTAATTTTTCCTCCCTTAATAAATCCACAAACATTTTCCAACCCATCTCAATTATTCCTTTTTTCTCATTTTTTTTCTCCAAAAAAAAAAGAACCCACATTTTCTTTTTCTTCGTCGTTTCTTCAGATTGTTCAACAACTTCCGATGGATACAATAATTCTTCCTGAGTTGCTGTATGTCTTCGGATCTTCACATTTTGCAATGATTCTTCGATGACAGTCGGTGAAACACTTGATGTTTGTGATTTTCTTCCCGAATTTTCTGAAACCCCTTTCATATTTTCTTTTCTTGTCATGTTTTCATATGTAATATAATATAATGTGTGAGCACACAGAAAGAAAGCCCACTATTTTTATGTGCCAAATAAAATGGCCGAAAATTTTTATGTGCGTGTATATTGCCCAACTTTCGATTTTTCTCTCTCTCTTGGTTGGAAAAAATGACTAAAAGCTTTTAATGAGCAAGAATACTGTAGCTCATTAAACTTGAAATAAATTTGCAGAAAAGTGCAAGCAATCACAAAGAACGCCCTTTGGAGGAAGTAGGGAAAATTTGCAGAAAAAAAGTTTTTTTTGGGGAAAATGGAAATTTATGATTTCAGAGAGCTGCGTAAATTTCAATTCTGGTGAAAAAAATCAATAAAAAAAATCCTGAATTGTTGAATCTGAGTTTTTGAAAAGTTATATTATAGCTTTCTAGGCAATAATCCTTGACAATTGAATTTTCAAGGCGCGGCATCTTGTCAAAATGGATCTCTAGGCGCGGGCCCTAGACAATTATGTTCATTAGACGCGGCTACTTGACAACCGAGCTTCCAAGGCTTGGCTACTTGGAATAGAAGTTCTCAAGACGCGGCTCCTTGTCAAAATGAATCTCAAGGCGTGGGCCCTAGACAATTATGTTCATTCGGCGCGGCTACTAGACAACTAGGGTTACTAAGCTCGGATACTTGCCATAATGTAATTCTAGGCTTGGCTACTTGCCATGGATGCTCTCAAGGCTCGGATACTTGACATGGACGCTCTCAAGGCACGGCTCCTTGCTAGAATGAATCTCAAGGCGCGGGCCCTAGACAAGTTTCAATTTTTCCTTCAAAAAAATCCCCCCAAAAACACACACCTTCTCCATCTTCATCTCCTCCTTCCATCGCCAAATTTTCGGCGATAACAACAATTTCATTTTGTTGTTCGAGTTGTTCAATTCGAGCATTCGACTCCTGAAAAAATAACAAAATTTTATTGTATTCATAAAAATTCATAAAATCGTATTCCCCCTGTTTTTTTTCCATTAATTCATTTTTTCCTTATTTTTCCTTATTTTTTCTTATTTATAGCCAATTTTAAGCGGTCAATGATGACAAAAGAATTCAATTATCCAGATAAGAAAAGGATGAGAAAAGAGACGAAAACGAAACGAAGTGAATAAACAATTGTGACTGGACGTGTTCCTGGCTCGGCAAAGAAAAAAAAAAAGACGTGGTCCGCTGGGAATTTTCAGCACTTATTTTCAACTAGCTACAAAATGCTGAAATTCGATCGAAAACAACAATAATATTTGAAAAATGTTTGTAGAAAGTGCATACTTTTTTGTGGAGGAAAACCTCACGAACGGGGGCGGAAATTGGCCAACAAAAACAACATTTTTTTTCGACACACACAAAAAAAACAACAATGAAAGTTGAATTTTTTTTTGGAAATTGATTTGTTTGTTCTTTTCTTAACTTCAGAAAAAACTAAAATGTTTTTAAATTAGCCAAATTTCCTAGAAACTTTCTCTCATTTTTTGTGCGTTGAAAATCCCTATTCAAAAAAGAAAAGAATTACGAAATTTTGAAAAAAAAATAGCTTATTAAAAATTCAAAAAAATCTGGGAAAATATTTTCAAAATGGGATTCATATTCGATTAGGTGAAGAAGATTTGTGAAACTAAACTATAGTTTTATCAAAATTTCGTTGAAAATAAATTTTTTTTCTGAAAAATCTTACCGAATCGGAATCCGGATTCGGAATTTCATTTTTGTAAAGAAAAATGTTAAATTTTTCAAATTTTCAGGAATTTCGAGTTGAAAAAAGACCAGAGGCCGAATTCACAAAAATGGTATACCAAAAATTAGTGAAGAAAAAATTTAGCGTACCAAAAATTGCTGAAATTTTTTTGTGGTACGCTCAAATTTTTTCTTCACCAATTTTTGGTTTACCACTTTTGTGAATTCAGCGCCTGGTTTTTTCAACTCGAAATTCCTGAAAATTTAAAAAATTTAACATTTTTCTTCAAAAAAAATTAAATTCCATATCCGTCAGAATTTGGTCCAAAAATTTTTTGTTTGGAAAAATCTCCCCGAAACTTATAGGAATTTCAAATTTAACTTTTCAATGCAAAAAGTTCGAAATTCCAAATTTTCAGGGATTTCGAGTTGAAAAAAGACCAGGTCTGATTTTTCAAAGAAAAATCTGAATCAAATCATTTTCCAACTTGAAAAATCGAGTTTTTTAAAAATCTGGCCCAGATTCAGTATTTTTCTTTAAAAAACCAGGTCCAATTCTGAATTTTCCATTTTTTCAGAACCCTCGCCATCATTTTTTCTCAACATAAATTTTCCCAATATCAAAAATCATCTGAACTCTTCAAGAACATTCCAACATTTTTTATGTATCTGACCTCTAAGAACTCCATTGTTTCTCTCATCTCCCAATGAATATCTAAAAAAAACTTTTCCCCGCCCATTCTTGCTCACACGTGATTATTTTCCATTTTTTTTCAACAACAACAAAAACTAGATGACCAAAAAAAAGAAACGAAACTCAATACATATGTTTTTTCTCTCCTCCTTCTTCTAAAGTCACTTGCTTTTTTTCAAGCATGTTTTTCAAAAACAACTTATCCGCGCGCTGTTTTTCCAGAACACTACTAGAAAAAATCGTCAGATTTATTTTTCTTCAGTGCAAAAATGAAGCAAGATTCGTCATTTTTTTCTTCAAGAAATGGGGTGAATCTCCAATTTCACATGTTTTAATTGCATTTTTCTCGCTCTCGCGCGCGGAGAGCACTCTTCATCTTATTCATTTCTGTTTTCTGTGGCCAAAACTAATGGCTAAAAATCGCCCAATCCCCGGGGAAAAATATTGGGGTGGGCGGCTCTAGAAATATATGTATATTTTATTTTTTCGCATGAAAAAACACTGTTTTTTCTGTGGATAAAGAGGCAATTTCCTTTCTTTTCTGGGGCCCAAAATTGGCTCAATGATTCGATTTCAAGTACGCCGCTTCTCCTTTTTTCTGGGTTTTTTTCTAAAAAAAATACTGAATTATTCATTCATCTCTCTAAAAATACATCCTTGGGTAATTTAATTTTTGCCGTTTTTTCTTCAAAGCGGAAAAAGATAAGCGAACAAAAGGTCAAACATGAAGTGGATCTGAATCTCGCTGTTTTCTTCTCAGCGCCGCACTTTTATTTGTTTATTCTTTTTCAGACAAGATTTTATGGCTTTTCGTGCGTTTTTTCGACTTTTTTCTACACGGTGAGAAAAAATGGCAGATTTCGAAATAAGTAAAAATTGTGAAATTTTGGACAAAAAAATAATTTTGTTCACAAATTTCTTACGAGGAAAAAAATAATTCTGCACAGTTTTTCACGCTGAGAAAAATCCCGTGTTCAGATTTTGCTGACAAGGGAAGTGCATAAGGTTAGGTGTTGAACTTTTTCTGCAATTTAGTACACATATAGATTCGAACCCGCTGATCTCGAATTCGTTTTCAAAAATTGCCACAAGTGCACCCAAAAGCAGTTTGGCGCCATCGAAAATTCACCATTTTTTCCTCGTTTCATATATCAAACATTTGCAGGCAGAAAAAACAGGAGCGCGTAGTCGAGTGGTAAACAATCACGTTTGAAATTTTAGGTTATGGGATCGATCCCGCTTCGAGGCAAACTTTTTTTTCCATTTTTTTTTGCAAATCCATTTATGAAAACAAAGAACAAAATCATGGAAACATAACCATTAAAAAAATTCAGAACATTTTTCAGAAGTTATCAAATGGAGATCATTTCATCTTTCCGTTCAAATTTCACCTTTAAAATACTCATAAATGGATTTGAAAAAAAATTGAAAAAAAGTTTGCCTTGGAGCGGGATCGATCCCATAACCTAAAATTTCAAAGACGTGAGTGTTTACCACTCGGCTACGCGCTCCTGTTTTTTCTGCCTGCAAATGTTTGATATATGAAACGAAGAAAAAAATGGTGATTTTTTGATTGCGAAAAACACCATTTGGGTGCACTTGTGGCAATTTTTGAAAACAGATTCAAGATCAGCAGGTTCGAATCTATATGTGTACCAAATTGCACAAAAAGTTCAACACCTACCCTTATGCACTTCCCTTGTGAGCGACTCTCTGAAGAGCCAAAACTTGAGAATTTTCTGAAAATTGCGTTTTTGAGAGCCCGTAACTCATGTTAGAGAAGAGTTTATCAAAAACTAAATACAGGGCGATCTTCAGGAGGGTTCATTTTCCAAACTCGAAAATTTTGACAACAAATTTTATGACTTTGGTAAATCTACCCTTCTGAACATCGCTCTGTATTCAATTTCTCATAGAAATCATCTCTAACTTGACTTCCGGGCTCTCAAAAACCACGAATTTTCAGAAATTCTCAACTTTTGGCTCATTTTTGCTGAGCAAAACCTGAAAACAGGATCTTTCTCAGCGTGAAAAACTGTATAGAAACATTGTAAATATTATCGAAAATCTCATCGGTACCACGCGCTCCACCGAAATAAACACGCAACGCAGACCGCGTCGCGCCACACAAAAAGGGAGGGTATTTGAATCGTTCTTTTTTTTGTGTGTGATGTGGCGCGGCGCGGTCTGCGTTGCGTGTTTATTTCGGTGGAGCGCGTGGTACCGATGAGATTTTCGATAATATATGTCTCGTTAGATACTTTTTTTGTAAAAAAAAAAATCCTGGATTTAATTGCCAGGAAATCGGAATTTAGAGCAAGATTTTAAGATCTTCACCTAAAATCCGATTTTTTTGTGAGCCAAAATCCAGAAAGCCCCCAAAAAAATGCTCTATTCTCTGAATAATTAAATATTCGTCCCCTCGTAAAATCGCTGATTCTGACAAGTTTCCTGTTGGTTTTTTGTCACCACAAAGATCTCTAAAACCAGCAAATTATATAATTCTAGCTGACACAAAAGTGCACATTTTTCCATCAAAAAAACACACAATTTTTTTGGAATGAATAAATTATGAGAGCACAAAATGGGTCACGTTTTGAAAAAAACACACATTTCCCTTTCTCTCTCTCTCAAATTTTTCAACACAAACCTTAAACTCAGCTTCCACTTTTGCCGCAATCGCCGCTTTTTGGAGACACAAATCGAACAGGTGTTGCATCAAATATCTGTAAGAAAAATATCACTCAAAAATAGATTTTTTTCCCCTTGTCTCGCTGCAGAGAAATTTTTTGAGGTGATAAAAAAAGATGTGATGTGATGTGATTGACTCACTTCAGATCAACCAACACACACACTTTTTCACAATCTTTTCTTTTCGCGTATTTTTGTTCCTAGACAAAAATTAGATGCGGATCAAATAATCCCTATCCTACCCTATCTATTTCCTTTCTTTTTGTTTTTTTTTTCTTCGAATTTATTTATTTTTATGTAATTAGATATATTATTTGTTGTTTTTTTGTGTGTTCGAAGAAAAAACAATTAATTTTTCTTTAGTATAATTTAATTTATAAGAACTCATTTAATTTTAGTGTATAGAAAAAGAGAGAACTTGGAATTTCAGAAAAAAATTGTGTTTTTGAGTTTGATGCTAGAGTTAAGCTAAACTTCAATCATCGGCTCAAAGAAAAAATTAGATGTCTAGATTTCATAAAAACCAGGCTTCTAGGATTAGTTTAGCCTAGCCTTAAGCCTTAAATGTACTTTCTAGGCTCGGTTCCTTGTCAGAGAGGATCTCTAGATGCGGTTCTTAGGAATTTAGGTTCTCTAGGCGCGACTCCTTGACAACAAGGTTCTATAGGCGCCGATCCTTGACAATTGACATTTCTAGGCTCGGCTACTTGCCAGAGATGATCTCTAGATGCGGGTCTTAGGAATTTAGGTTCTCTAGGCGCGGTTCCTTGAGAACTGGGTTCTATAGGCGCCGTTCCTTCACAATTGGATTTTCTAAGCTTTGCTACTTGCCAGAGAGGATCTCTAGATGCGGGTCCTAGGAATGTAGGTTCTCTAGGCGTGACTCCTTCACAACAAGGTTCTATAGGCGCCGATCCTTGACAACAAGGTTCTATAGGCGCCGATCCTTGACAATTGACATTTCTAGGCTCGGCTACTTGCCAGAGAGGATCTCTAGATATGAGTCCTAGGAATTTAGGTTCTCTAGGCGCGGCTACTTTAGGATTTGACTCTCTAGGCGTGGCTCCTTGACAACAAGGTTCTATAGGCGCTGATGCTTGACTAACTTAGCCTAACTTCCACTCACTTTGCCTCAGTCAACGTCTCACATCCCTCCAAAATCGCCTCAACCGTAAATTTATTCATCGCAATCTCATCGTCCCCATCCTGTTGTTCATCCTGAAAAAAAATCACATTTTTTGGGGCTGAAACATGGAAATTGTCAATTTCCTTTTGCTGTCTGCGAATAATTTTGTCTGCAAAAAATATCCGATCACAGGTTATTTATTTATTCCATTTTTTCCCAGCTAATTACAAATTCATATATCTACCTTCCTTTTTCTTTTTCGCCTTCAAAAAAGGTCATGTTTTCCTTTATTTTTTCCCTTCTCTTTGGGTTATTTTCTGAATAATAAAAAAAAATAATAATAACTCTATTTGAGAGAAACTTATATTTTCGACTAATTGGGATTATTTATGACGAATTTTTCGAGATTTTTCATCATTGAGCAAAAAAAAGACTTGTTTTTCTTTGGAAAAAAATAGGAAAGAGTAAAGTTTGAGTACAACTTTTGTTGATTTTGGAACACTTAAAATTGAATCGTGTGAAAATAGAAACGAAAAATATAAAATTGAAGTAGGGTAATTGCGAGAACCAAAAGTCAGGCTAGGAATTTTTCTAGGCAAAAAAAATCAAAAATCCTTGGGGCCGGGGAGCTCAAAAAGAGGATCTGACCAATATTTTTGAAATTTTGTTTCAGTAGCTCGAAATTTATTGATTGATCTCGAAGTCTAATCGATTCAGAAGTTGTAGAGAAAAACTATCAGATTCAAAATTCGTTCCACTCTAGAAATCAGAAAGTGAGCTCAAAAGTTAATTGGAATTAATTCCAACATGAGTTCAGCTAACTAGATTAAGCTATTTCAACTTTCAGAAGAAATCTTCACAAGTCTAAAGCTACTGAAAAAAAATTTCAGAAAAAGTTTTCACAAGTCTGAAGCTGAAAGCTACTAAACTTCAGAAATTCCCGAATCTCCAAGCACAAGTTCAAAAACTAACAAATTCCAAGTTCCTCCCACATCAACTTTAAATCATTCATATTTGATGTTTAAAAATTCCTTTCGCCAGAGTATTTACCTCGTCCAAAAAAAATATATATGTTTTCGTTGTCTTTTTTATATATCTATATTTTTTGCTATTTTTTTTTGTGCGTGTTGCTCCAAACAACAATTGCTTTCCTTTCCTCTTCTATTTCTTCTTCTTCTTCATTCCCACCCTCACAAATATCAATTCTTCTTCTTTTTTTTGTCATCCCATCTTTCTTTCTTCTTCTTATTTCCATTGAGGACGAACCCAATTAAAAAGGCGGTCTTTTCTTCTTCGTGGCTAAAATAAATACGAGATCGACCAAAAATGGGCGGAGCCCTTCTTCTTCTGCTCTCCTCTCCTATTTTCTGTCATTTTCAGATTTCTGCCCCTTATTTGTCTCTCTCGGGTATTAGTATTTAGTTCCCCATTTTTTGTCACGTAACATACAAAAATCGCTTTTGCCAGGATAAACTTTGTGTTGTTCTAATCGGATAATCCCCCATATTTATCAAATCTTTTTTTTTTTCATTTTTTTTGAGCTTAAGAAAAAAAGAGAAACTTCAAAACGGCCCTTTTTTATGGGCTGGATTAATATTTAAACTACTCGCACCATTTTGTGCAAAAAAATGGGAAGAAAACGAATTTTTTCAAGGTTCAAAGGGGAATCTTGGTTGAAAAATGTGGCTGGCGTAAAAAACATTACTTCGTCAGACGCGTGCGGCTTTGCGTCGCGGTCGGAAAACAACCAATAATTTATTTTTTTCCGACCGCAACGCATAGCCGCACGCGACTGACGAAATGCTTTTTACTTTAAACGCCAGCCACATTTTTCAACTTCGACTATACTAATTTGAATGCATAACATTATTTTTGGCACGATTTTTCAGAAATTGAAGCAACTTTCTTTTGAATTTTAATAAATTCCGAAATACTTTGCGAATTTCTCGTGATTTCTCGTGACCACAACAATTTTGAAGTAGTTGGGACCACAACAATAGGATTTGGTCCCTTTGAATTTAGCCTAACTCAAAAGTGAGCTCCAAAGTTCCAACTCGTGCAAAAAATCCGAAAAAAAATATAATTTCCGGATTGTTTCCCAATAATTTATTCATATCACCACCACATAAAATCCAATTACTTTCTTTTTCATTTCCGATTTTTTTCCAAAAACGTACTCGGCTGAAAGCTCCAAAAAGAGAAGAGAAGAGAAAAACAGCTTGTTAACCCGGGGCCAATAAATGTTCCACCCTCACTCTCTTTTTAGTGTGGCTCTTTTGGCTCCAGCTCCATTTCCAGAAGAGAGAGGAGCACAACAACATCCGTTATCTGTTTGACGCATCACATCATCGAGAAAAAAGGGGGAAAGATGTCTCTTCTCTTCTTATATGTATAGGAGGACCACTAAACATCACATTTTCTTTCTGTTTCCTTTTTTCTCCATTTCGCCGTGTATTTATTATACCACTTTTTCAGACAAAAACCAAAAATGAGCTCCGAAAAACGTTCAAGTCTATTAAACGAGAAACGAACAAGTGTTCAGATGAAGACCAGCTTCTCACAAGAGGTCTACAAAACTCCGATCAAACAAATTCTAACAGCTCCTTCACAATCGCATTCAAGGATTACACCAGGAGGACAGGTCAGTTGATATTTTGAAAAAATGATAAACAAGATAAAATCATATGATTATTGAGCTCTTAAATTAGCTTCCGATGAAGTTAAGGGAACTTCTGATTTGTTTTTCTAACAATTTTGTCTGGGAATAGCCTGAAATGCCAATAGGCTCTTCAGGGACTATGGGCCTTTTTTTGGAAATATTTTAAATATGATACGAAAATCTTCTTACTATTTCTGTATTTTTCCAAAAATAAAAAATTCCACTATTTATCAAAACATATTTTGACAGCTCCAATTATTTACAAATCAAACATTTCCAGTGAAAAACAAAACGAAAATCCCATCAATTTTATATGATATCATAAATTCAATCCAGAAAGGGCAAAACAAAACACATGTGCTTTTTCTTATAAAAGAACGAAGAAAAAATAAAGAGAGAGTTGGACAAAAACATCTTAATTGTTTTGCAATTAGTTGTGCTTTTTAGAAAAAAGCGAAAAACATTCTTGAAACAGCGAAAAAAACCAATGTGGGAATATATACGAATTTTTTCGGGGCAGAAAATCGAGCAGTTTGAAACACTTACGAAAAAATGTATCAAAAATAAAATCTTCTCAGCTTTGTATTAACGAAATTATATAAAAGTTTAAAAACATTCCAATAACCGAGAAAAAAATCTCGATTCATATCAAAATTTTTTGAAACGTATTTATTCAATCAGATTTTTTTTTGAAAACAAATTTTGGGTGATATTTTTTTCGGAAAATTTTAATTTTAGATTTTTTTCGGAAAACTTAAAATTATGGGGGCGAATTCGCCAAAGAGCTGCTTGAAATTCCAAATTCAAAATTCAAAATTCAAAATGTTTTCAATTTTCCAGCTATTCCTATGTATATTGGGCCTTATTATCAGTATTGCAATTTGTGTTTGGGCAGCGGGTTTCAGTCGTGAAAGTGGATTGCGGAGAGCCGTTTTTGCGTCGGCCGCCGCGTTTTGTGGTCTTCTTTTCGCATTGCTCACATTTATGACTATTCGACGAGCGAAAAAGTGAGTTTTCGGGTAAAATAGTGGTCTAGACAAAAATTGTTGTAATTTTGTATTTTTCATGTTCTGATTGAATGTCTAGACTCTCTCAATTTCCCGTTGTCTCTAAACATTTCTGAAGATCTTGAAATTTCCTGTTCAATTTCATAGTTAAATCCGCACAGCCCGATTAGAAAAATCTTCAGGTCCAAAATCTGAGAACCTTCAGAAAACGGAAAATTCTAAAAGTTTTGGATTTCAAAAATTCAGAAAAATAAATTCTAACGATTTTTCAGGACATTCAAATGATTCAAAAATTACGGGAAAAAAATCTAAAAATTTAGTTTTTTTTGACAACGAAATCCGGATTCCAAACTTTTAAACAAGAACTTCAAAGTTCTGAAATTCTAAATTCCAATTCTGAGCTAAAAGTCCAAAAGCCAACAACCCCTTTTTACAGTCCACCAGAGCCCGAAACTCTTCCCGATCTCTCGCAACGTCGTTCAACAATCGGAGCGCGTGTTGGCAAGCGATCAATCGCAGCTGGCATGGCCGGCGTCGATGACAGCCCTTCCCAAGTTCTTGTGACCGGTGCACGCGGTTCAATCGCTTCCTAAACAATTCCTCCCCCATGTTTTTAAAATATTTGCCGCCCTCCTGCTTTTTCGGGTAGCTTCCCAACCCATTCTTCCCCTTTAAAAATAAAAAAAAACATTGTTCACTTTTTTCAACAATCGTAGTAAATATTTTTTGTTTGTATCATATCCAATTGTTTTTTTTTCCTATTCTTTTTCTCTCTGTGTGAATTTTTCCCCGAATCCATAAATCTATAAATCAATAAATCTATTCCCAAAATACCAACCTGTTGATCAACATCCATTATCAATTTTTGTTGATATGTTATTTGATTTTGAACATATTGCAATTTTTCTTTGGCACTATCAATCACTTCCAAAATTCCATCGCGATAAATGATATCTTGACATTTTGTGAATAATTTCTCATTTTCCACAATTTCAATCATCACATTTTGTCGTTCGTTGAGATATCTTTCGAGTTCGGATTCCATGATTCGGATGGTTTGACGTTTTCGAACACATTGATCAATCTGGAAAACAAATAGTTGAAATTTTGGGAGAAAGATGATTTGGTAGACTGAAAAATTCGAAAATAAGAAAAAACTCTGAAAAAAATTTCGCATTTTCATTCTGAACTTAATTATTTTCGAATAAATATCAGGAATGATTATTTAACAACAAAATTTTGAGAAATTGTCTCAGAATTTTTTTCATTCTTTTTTTGAAATCCAGAAAACTTCAGAAGCTTTTTGCATTTGAAATTAACATTTTCCGAAAATTTCAGGCGAATATTTTTTCACAGTTTGTTTTTTTCACAATTTGAAGTTACAGGTTTTTCAGCAGAACTTTTGAGAAAATTTGTATAAATTCAATTTTCAGGTCAAAATCTGATTCTCAGGATTTTCCCCCACTTAAAAATAGAAATTTGAAGTTGTTTTCAGGGTTTTGATTCAAAAAATTCGAAAAAAAATTTTCTGTGCGAAAAATTTTTAGGAAACTTTTTGAGCCATCATGTTTGAATTTTTGTCCAACTATGGAAATTTCAGGAAATTTTTTGAGGCAAATTTTTTGCAAGTTCAAAAAAATCAAATTTCCAATTAAAATTTTTGAAACAAAGAGACAAACGCTTCGAAATTCCAGAATTTTTAACAGACCCTTTGAAAAATTTTGAATTTTTTATTCCAGAAAACTTCAAAAATAATTTACACTTGAAATTGAAATTTTCAGTGAGTTGAAAAAAATGAATTGAAAACGTGAAATTTTTTTTGATGAATTTCAAAAATATTTCATAGAAGTTCTGGCTCGAATTTCAAATTTTTAATAAAAATTTTTGAAACAAAAATACAAAAGGTTTGAAATTTCATAATTTTCAACAGAACCTTTGAAAATTTTTATAAATTCAAGCCAACATTTTGGGAAGTTGAGATCTTCAATTTTCGGGTCAAAATCTGATTTTCAGAATTTTCCGCCCACTTAAAAATCCTCACCTTTCTCTCCAGCACATTCCACTTAATTTTAGCCAATTTCGGTGAGAAACTAATCTCCTTCTTAATCGCTCCAACAGCTCTTCTTCTTCCTCCAACAACAGTATTTCTACCAGTTCCAGCAGCAGGTTTTCCAACATTTCTACTCGCCAATCTCGCAGCACTTGCAGCTTGTGCTTTCTCTTTCCTCAATTGATTCACTTCACTCGTCGTTTTCTTCAAAAACTGTTCTCTTTGCTTATCTTTCATTTCCAGATTCCTAATCTTATTCGCCTGTAATCTCGTCTGTTTTTCTTTTGTAGCCATAGCTCTTGCATTCGCCTGCTGTTGCTGTTTCTGTTTCTTCTTATCCTCATTCATTTTCTTGATCAACTCAACTTTCGCCTTTTTCAAATCAACCACTTCTGATTTCAACCTCGATTTCTCTTGAAGTTCTCTCTGACTCTTCGCAATAACTTTCAAATGTTCCTTATCCAACGCCTCAATCTTCTTCAACTCTTTTTTCAATTCCACAATTTTCAACTCATATTCTTGTTTAATTTTCTTCATTTGATCATCGCTCAATTTCCCTTTCTTTCCATCTCCTTCCAATAACACTTTATCTCGTTCAGTTTCCGTATCTTTGATTCGATTCATTAATTCTCTCAATTTCTTCTCATAAGTCTCTCGAATTTGTTGATTTTGTCGCTCAGCTCTTTCCAATTGATCAATCAATTTTTCTTTGATATCCAATTCAATCATAACATCATGCAGATCAATTTCAAGCGCTTCAGCTTCTGAAAATAGATCTTTGAGAATTGAAAAATTTTCAGACAAGAATTTCTCACTCACCCTGATTCTGCCTTTGCTCCTCTTCATCCTCCTCATCCTGTTCATCATCCGCTTCATCCTCATCAATTTCATCAGCCTCATTACTAGTTCCATCCTCTTCTCCACCATTTCCAGCCATCGAAGAATAATCCGAAGTTCCGGCTGAAACAAAAAAAAAGGATTTTATGTTAGGCAAAAAGAAGAGGAGAAGAAAACAGATAAAAAATAGATGAGTTCATGAATTTTCAAACAACCCACTTTCAGCCAGCGCCTTCCTCTTCACTTCAATATCCAGCTAGGCTTAGATAATTGTTTTTCTAATTTTTTCAGGCCTACGCTTTTTCAGGCCCACAATTTTGAATAAAGATTGGTTTAGGCTTATTTGTATTCGATATGAAGCCTAAGCCTAGGCTTATTTAGACTCATTTTTAGGCTTTTACCAGGAACATGAATAAGGCATGGTTTAGGGATGTTTAGGCTCATTTTTCAGAGCTTTAAAATAAGGCTAAACCTGACAATTTTAAGTAAAAGCTCTGAAAAATGAGCCTAAACATCTCTAGGCCAAGCCTAAACCATGCCTTATTTGGGCTTGTTTTGAAGCCCCGGTAAAGCCAAAAAGATGAGTTCATGAATTTTCGAACAACCCACTTTCAGCCAGCGCCTTCCTTTTCGCTTCAATATCCTGTTTCGCCAATTCAATAAGTTTCGCCGAATTGAATTCACCACCAGCTTTCGCTCCACTTTTCCATCGCGCATTCTCTTTTCGCAATTGATCACAAGTCGATTGCGTTTCATACAAAAGCGATTTCGTTCTCTCCAACTCCTCCAAATATTTCCGAAAAGTCGCCTGAACTGCATCATCCTCTCCTTCTCCACCAACAGAAGCTGGTATCGATGCCAATTCCTTCTGCGCCTTCAAATCAATATTCTCACTTCTCAAAATATCCAACGTCTCGTTAAGCGCTTTGACGCGGAATCGTAAATGATTGACTTCCGATGTCAGATAGATATTCTCATGATATTGATCATTTACAACCTCGTGTCCATCAACATCAACAGTTCGTCGACCTTGTTTGAATTCCAGGAGTTCGGCTTCTAAAGATGCGATTTTTCCGCGAAGTTCTCCAATCATTTTTGATGATTTATCCTGGTTAGCAGTCACCTAAATGAATTTTTTTAAAAATTATTTCTATGAGTTCAACAAAATGCCCACCTTATTCTTGATCTCTTTCGCACGATTCGCATATTTCATCGTGTTCAATGTTTCCACAAAATCACTATCACTCGGAGAGCAACAAGCAATCATAAGTGTACGACTGAAACAACACATTTGTAAGAAAAAAAGCGAAATATCTATGATCGCTGGTAATTATATCCGTTTTTTTGTCGCTCACCTATTTCCTCCCAACGAATCTTGGAGCAATCGGGTGAGTTTCGAGTCACGGTATGGGACATGCGACACTTTTCCATTGGCACCTCCCAAAGCGGCGATTACGTTACCAAGGGCCAACTGGAAATGAATCAAAATTATTTTTTCAAATCTGAATGACACGTCGCATGTTCACGTTGAAAATAAAAATGTTGAGATAATTTTTTTTCTAATTTTTTCAGGCCCACAATTTTTCAAATACTACAAAATTATTTTGAATAAAGATTGGTTTAGGCTTATTTGTCTTCGATCGAAGCCTAAGCCTAGGCTTATTTAGACTTATTTTGTAGGCTTTTAACGGGGCTTCAAAACAAGCCTAAATAAGGCATGGTTTGGGCATGGCCTAGAGATGTTCAGGCTCATTTTTCAGAGCTTTAAAATAAGCCTAAACGTGGCAATTTTGAGTAAAGTAAAATTGCCACGTTTAGGCTTATTTTAAAGCTCTGAAAACTTCGCCTAAACATCTCTAGGCCACGCCTAAACCAAGCCTTATTTAGGCTTGTTTTATAGACCCGGTTAAAGCCTACAAAACAAGGCTAAATAAGACTAGGTTTAGATAATTGTTTTTCCAATTTTTTCAGGCCTAGGCTTGTTCAGGCCCACATTTTTTCAAATACTAAATACAAAATGATTTTGAATAAAGATTGTTTTAGGCTTATTTGTATTCGATCGAAGCCTAAGCCTAGGCCTATTTAGACTTATTTTTTAGGCTTTTAACGGGGCTTCAAAACAAGCCTAAATAAGGCATGGTTTAGGCTTGGCCTAGAGATGTTTAGGCTCATTTTTCAGAGCTTTAAAATAAGCCTAAATGTGGCAATTTTGAGTAAAGTTAGGCTTGGCCTAGAGGTGTTTAGGCTCATTTTTCAGAGCTTTAAAATAGGGCTAAACGTGGTGAAATTGCAACGTTTAGGCTTATTATAAAGCTCTGAAAAATTCGCCTAAACATCTCTAGGCCAAGCCTAAACCATGCCTTATTTAGACTTGTTTTTAAGCCCCGGTAAAGCCTACAAAACAAGTCCAAATAAGCCTAGGCTTAGGGTCTAGAAACATGCGTTATTCAAAAGCATTTTGTAGTATTTGAAAAATTGTGGGCCTGAACAAGCCTAGGCCTGAAATAGGCCTAAAAATAGCGTTTTTTTTGCAATTTTTTTCAACAATTTTACAGAGAAATATTGCTCATTTTAAGGTTCCTCCCAAAAATGCACTCACCAATCCAACATTAATACTAATTCCCTCTCTCGCTCTTTCACCAGTCGCTCCAGTTCGTTTCATTCTTTCCGATCCGGCCAAATCGACAAAATGAAATTTTGCAGTCAACATTTCCATCTCAAGATCGCCCTGAAACCCAGAAGAATTTTCAAAAATCAATAGTTGAGAAACTCATCGGTACCACGCGCTCCACCGAAATAAACACGCAACGCAGACCGCGTCGCGCCACAACACACACAAAAAATGGAGGGAATTTGAATCGTTCCTGTATTTGTGTGTGTTGTGGCGCGACGCGGTCTGCGTTGCGTGTTTATTTCGGTGGAGCGCGCGTAATAATCGAGAAACTCACAGTTTTTCCCTCCACAACATCCTCCAACAAACTTGGCACAACTCTTTGCTGTTTCAAATGAAGTGTAAAAATCGCATGCGATCTCGATGATTGCTCATTCATATTTGTCGACGCAACAGTTCGATTCAATGCTCCATTCTTCAATATTTCCATAGTTCCATCTAAATCAATAACACTTCTTTGCTCAACACCGTGTAGAGCAATTTCGCCTCGATTATCTTCATGAATTCGAATATTTGCCGACGAATTTCGATCATCCGAGAGAAGATCCAAAACATCGTCATTGTATAATTCAACGAATTGCACAGATACATCGAAACTTGGCTCGAGAATGCCTTTTTCAAGGGCTTGAGCCTTCAAATCAACAATTTTCCTAAAAGTATGATGAATGGCACGGGGAATCACACCCAAATCTTGCTCATTTTGCACTACAGCCGTGTCAAAAGCCGTTCCCATTGTATGCGTTTTTCCAGATCCCGTCTGAAAATATTTATTTCCTATTTTCTTTCCGAAAATCCCATACCTGTCCATAGGCCAAAACGGTCGCATTAAAACCATCAAACAATCCATCGACTAATTGTTCAACACATGATTCATAAACCACGTGTTGAGGAGTTGGCTGATCGAAAACATGATCGTAGGTGAAAGATCGATCGCCGCCAATTGTGACTTGTGGATCGTTGGGAAGAACTGATGTGCAGACGCGACTGCCTTCGAGTTTTTCGCGATTTCCTTGTGGGCGAATACTGGAAAAATTGGGGAGGGTTTTTTGGGTGGGAAAGAGATGGGAAATTGTTTGTTGAGAATTTTGGAAATGAAAATTGCGGGAATTTTTTTTGAATGATACTTTTAGCCTAAGCCCTAAAAGTTTTAGGACTGAAAATTATTTTTCAAGATTTTTTTCGAGAAGATTTAGATATTTTCTTTGATCGATTTTGAAAAAAAACCATGAAGTTTTCAAAATTCAAATTCAAAAATGAAAACTGAAAGTAAATTTTCGAAATTTTGAGGATAAAAAATGATTTTTCTAAAATTTTAGATTGATTAGATTCAAAAAAGAACGAGAAATCTCTGAAATTTTGAGGATAAAAATGATTTTTTTTTTTAATTTTTTTTGAATTTTTGAATAATACAACCTCTGAAATTTCAAGGATGGAATTTAATTTTCAAAATTTTAGGTTAATTGAACTTGAAAAATAAGAACAGCAGAATCTTTTTTCTCGAGATTTGTTGAATTTTTTCGACTCAAATCACTCAAATTTTGAGCTCAAAATCAATTTTCCAAATTTATTTTTAAAATTTTAGGTTAAAAATAATGTTTTCTCTGGACACGATTTTTTCTAAATTTCAAATCCCCGTGATAAAAACTCACCGAAGTGCAACCTGCACACACGTGTCTTTTCCACCTCCCGAATCGATCATTTTTGCATATCTATAAAAAATACAGTTTTTATAAAAATTAATCACAACAAAAATAAGAACAAGAGAGAAGAAGGACTAGTAGAAAATGAGCAAAAAAATTCAAAAAAAAAAGAAAAAAATCAAAATGGAACAAGTTGGGGTTCCAATCTTCCCAGATATTCGCGTTTCCAGCACGGGTTTTCAGATGAAGAGATCTGCAAAAAAAACTTGATTTTTTTGTTTCGAAAACAACAATCTCAAACCTTATTAACCGTGGATCGATAATATTGATAGTTCAAAATAGCTTTACATAAATTGAAATAGCCAAATTCGGGCCAAAGAACATCGTCGAAATAAACATGTGTTGAGGCACATTGCCACATTTGGAAATCTGATAATCGATGTTCGCCAGATGTTCGGACAAATAAATCGGGTGGAGAACCGCCGAGACCTGAATCGAGGCAAGCTTCGATCATTGATTCATCGATCTGAAATAGGATTTTGGGAGGAGAAAACTTCAACTTTTGATTTTTCGCAAAAGAAATTCGAAAAAAAAATTGATAAAGCAGATTTTTTATTAAAAATTCTTCGATTTTATAAAAAAAACTCACCTCATCAACATTAACCCTTCCATCCTCCACATTTTTCCGAATAATCTCAAAACTTCTCGCAATTTCATCTCTCGATGTATAAGGCATACAAATATTCACTCGTCTTCTCTTATAATTCTCCGTCGTCTTCTCAATCTCATTCATTAAACCTTGCAATTTCTCCGATAAAAGTTTACGATTTCCATAGAATCTAAAGCATACTTGCTCATTTTCCAATTTCACCGGATCATCCAACAGTTTTTGAAATTTCTTTTCCGCGAGTTTCATAAGACCCCCAACTTCTTCATCACTCCGTTTGAAATTTTCAATACTGAATGCGTAGACTGTAATCTCCTCAACGCTGAATTTCGTGCACCAATCCATGATTTTTGCGAGTTGTTCAAAACCCTGAAATTTTTCAAAAAAATGAAAAGATAAAAATAAAAACAAGGAATTTCTCACTTTTTCATGTCCTTTCAGCACATTTCCCAAATGTTTTGTTTTTGCATATCTTCGATTTCCATCCATCACAAAAGCCAAATGTTTAGGAATCGGTCCAGATGAGATCAACATTCGAATCATCCAATGAACCCAAGATTCCTTTCGCTCTTCAACAAACCATCCACCTTCACTCATTTTCTGAAAATTGTGCAGAAATTGAATTCCACGAGAAGTACACACGAATTTTTGCGATAGAGCAAACTTGATTTTTGAATCTTTTGTGTGCTTTTGAGAAAAACACGGTGAAATATCACTCTAGAATTATTTTGGAAATTAGAAAATTCAAGATGAACTTTATTCGACTTAGCAAAACTTCAACCTAAAGAAACACAAAAAAGTATAACGATGTTTTATTGAAAAAAAAACTTTTGGGCAGTAAAGTAAGAAAAACAATTGTATTCTTCAATTTATGTTGATGATCAAGGACATTTGAAAAAAAACCGAAGTAAAAAACAACTGGGTCAAAATCAAATTTCAAATAAATAAAATTTCCAATTTTTTCTCATAAAGAAGATATATGAAAACTGGATTTCGCAATATTTTATGCAATTCAATTTTTCAAAAAAATCAATAATTGACACAAAATGAAATGTATTTCAATTCAATATTATGTATTTAATTCCAACTAAAAAAATTCAATAGAGAGAGAGAAGAGAGACGCAGACACAACGAATGCTCAGAGTGACCTGTACTTTTCGCTCGCCACACGTCTGCGTCTCTTCTATTCGCCACGCTATTTTTTTTGAGTGAGAAAGGGACATTGCGGTTGGTTTGTGGGGTTTGTGCATAATTTATGAGTGAAAAGGTTTAGACGAGGCCGAAAACAATGGGAAAAGTGACATATGGGTGGGGTTAGGGCTTTTAAGCTTGATTGGAGTGAAAAAAAACCCGATGAATATCTTATTTTTCGTTTTTGTTGGACAAAAAAAACTTTTGAGGAGAATAAAATAGAAATTACATTCATGAATGAATGAATGTTGTAAATCTGATCCAATAAAATCCTCGTTTTATTCATATAAAACTTGGGCGTAACTTGAATTCACATCCGAAAAAAGGGAACAAAATGGTGTAAAAAAGATTGTTGGTGATTAAATTGAAGAATAAATATTGACACATTTTATTTATGATCCTGTTTGAAAGGAGAGAAATGCCCAATACTATAAAACTCACAGATAAATACGGAAATTTGAAAAAAGACGGACTATCGAATGAAAAAATTGGAAATGAGTGATTATTCCACGAGTTCACGTTCAGAAAAAAAACGTGGGCTACATTTTTTGGCTAAAACGTGGTTTGACCATTTTGGAGGACAAATTGACCGGACACATATTTTGTTGCTGAACAAAAAATCTCGGTTCGCTGTTTAAAGGGACATGCTTTAATTTTCCACCAAAATCTCAAGAACGGCTGCATCAAATGAAAATCTGAGTACACCATCTTTATTGCCGTGAAAAACTGCATGGAAATAAGCTTTGGTGGAGCGGACGGGTGCCGTTTTAGCGTTTCGGGGTTCGTGGCGAGATCAATTTCGAAAAATAGCGCGCAAAATGGAGAGACGCGAGACATTTTTGTGCATTTGTGCGTCGCCGTGTTTGCACAAGTCAATACAGTATACCAAACGCGAACCGAGGGCCAAAAAAATACGCGCGGATTTTAATTTTTTCATGAAAACTATAACAATTTCAAATAAGAATTTATTTTCATTAGATGTATGATCATTTCTTATCTTTATCCTCCTTCTTTTCTCCCTCTTTTTTTCTCTTCATCCTTTTTCTCTTCCTTCTTTTCCTCTTCTTTTTTATCTTCTTTCTTCTCATCTTCCTTCTTTACATCCTTTTTGTCCTCCTCTTTCTTTTCTTCTTTCTTTTCCTCATCCTTCTTCACATCCTCTTTTTTCGTTTCATCCTTCTTCTCTCCTTCAGTTCCTCCTCCTTCCTTCTTTTTCTTTTCTTTTGCAGAATCCCAATCACTTTCAACATCATTAAAAGTTGGATAATCTCCCTTGTTTCGTTTTTCACCTTTCGCAATTTTCTCTTCTTTGGCGTTTTTGGTGATTTGCTTGGGTTTGATTTCCTCTTTTCCATTTGGTGCATCCTTTTTCTCGTCTTTCTTTTCATCGCTTTTTTTCGATGATTTTTTATCGTCTTGTTTAGAATCTAAATGTTTCTATTGTTTTTATGATCTTTCTCTTTAAATCCCTCACTTACCTTTCTTTTCATCCTTTTTCTCATCCTTTCCAGCTTCATCCTTCGGTTTTTCTTCCTCTTTCGGTTTTGCCTCTTCTTTTTTCTCCTCTTCTTTCGTTTTTCCAGCAGCTTCATCCTTTTTCTCTTCAGCTGGTGCTGCAGCCGCCGGTGGAGCTGCGGGTTGCGGAGGTGGCGGCGCGGATTTCGCAGATTTGCCTTCAACTTTTGTGCCCGATCCCTTCTTTTTTCCACCACATCCAAACAACAAAGATGATAGAATAATAGTCAAGGGAATATAGAAAATCATGAATGAATCACTGCTCATTTTGATATTCGACTTGAACTTGAATGTGTGTTCAATTGAAAATGCTTACTAAAATCACCTAAAATGACCGACTCTCATGAAAAGCTCGTTTTTATACGGCATTTTTTGGTCAGAATTGGGACACGTGAAAATTATTCATTTTTCAGAAACTCTGGAAGATTTCTCGGAAAGTTTAAAAATTGAATAAAAACGAAGTAGAACATCAAGCAAGAAGTTTTTCATTCAATGCTTCTGCACAAAGCTAGCTAGCTTCAAAAAAAAAACGAAAAAATGAATTGAAAAAACACACAACGTGTTACGGTGGACTAGTCAAAGGAACACAACAAACAACGATTGGGTCTCGAAGCGATGTTGTTATTTGAATTTTTTTCTTTCAACAAAAATTTTTTTTTTTTGAATTTTTTCTCGGAAGGTTGGGATTTTACATTATTTTACAATTTTATTTCAGTTATTTCAATAATGAACACATTGAAATTGAAAGATAAAACTTTTTTCAATATTTTCAGCAATATTTATCCAGGATTTATCGAATTTTTATTGACAAGAAACATATTCATGACAAAATACGTGGTTTTTCGAGGTAGCCATACATTTATGTGGTTATTGACGACAATCAAACACTCAAGGTCATATAATTCGTGGATCCATGATAATTCCAGAAAATTTTTCGGAAGAATGTGAATTTTTTTTGTTAATTTTCACCCAATTTTTCCAGAAAAAAAGAAGTTTCTAGATATCATCCAAAAATTATTCTCAAAAAAATACTAGAATTTTTTCGCAATTTATTTAAGCGTAAATATGAAATTCAAGACAAGCACTTTCTTTCTTTGTCAGCATTTCATTTCTCAACAAACAAAGTAAACACAAACCTGAGTTGCGTTAAGTTGAGTTGTTTTTTTTCGCCCTCAATTTTTGTCGGAACACAACTAGTTCTTGTTGTTGTTATTTGTTATGGAGAGAGTTCATTGAAAGCACAGGAAAGCAATCAAAAGCTATTCAAGTGTGAAGTGACAAAAAATCGTACAATTTTGTTATTATTCATAAAAATTTTTCAATTTTTTTTTGAGAAAAAAATCTTTCAAGATAATCTTGGATGAGCTTTTCTAGTGATTTTAAAAATGCCTACTGTAAGAAAAAAGCTTTCAGACAAATTAGATAGGCCTATCCGGATTATTTTTATTATTATTCCCTTATAAAAAATTTGAAAAAAAATTCAGAATTTAATAAATTCAAAAATCCCAGTTTTTCCCAAGATGTTTGATCGATCATTTTGAGTTAACGGAAGTGTGAAGTAAATCAAACAACATGATTATTTAACAGATTATTTAGGCCCAGTTTTTTTCTTTGTCCTGTTCTGTTCTTCCCCCGAAATATATGTATGTAATGTATTTACAAGAAAATATTCAATCATTTTACGATGCTCTCCGCGGCCAAATAAAATTCTTATGGTTTTGTACAGTACTCCTGATGATTTCTTTTTATTTTCAAAAAAAAAAAATAAAATGAAAAAACTTCCGTCTTGAGCATCTTCAGATCCTCGTTTTTCTCTCACTGAATACTAATCTTATTTATTTTTTTTTCTATTTTTATTTATTTATGTATGCATCTCTATGTGTTCCATTTTTTTCTTTTTCTTTTTTTCTGGAAAAAAGTATTTAGTTTTCTTTTTCGAACATCTGCGTTGCAAAAGGCGAGGTTCAATTTCAATTAAAATTGAATTTGAAACATACATAGATAAATGGAGGAGGGGAGAAACGAAGACAATTTATTTTCCAATTTTCTCGAGCATTTTTTTTTTTGAACGCGCCAGTGGATTACTGTAAGTTCCGGGATGTTCGAGGTTGATTGAATTTCCTTTTTTTGACTTGAAAAATGTTTTTTTATTTGGAAATTGTTTCAAAACTGAAATGTATTTAAAAATGAGTTGGAAATGTTGAAAATTTTCTTTTCTATTAAAAATTCGCTGTGAGACCTAAAATCAATAATATTTAAATTCAAATTATCGGAACTCTGAAATCCCTTTTTACTCTGCGTCTCACAGCATTCCAATTTTTCAAAAATATTATTACCGAAAATCTCATCGGTACCACGCGCTCCACCGAAATAAACACGCAACGCAGACCGCGTCGCGCCACAACACACACAAAAAAGGGAGGGAATTTGAATCGTTCCCCTATTTGCTGTGTGTTGTGGCGCGACGCGGTCTGCGTTGCGTGTTTATTTCGGTGGAGCGCGTGGAGATTTCCGATAATATTATAATTTTCTTGAACAAAACTACAGTATCCAAAATCTTCTAAGCTAAATAACTAAAAGCTATTTTTCGAGGCGCGCGCTAAATCTGTAATCGGATTAGTTCTGAACACATTCATCTCATCTCACTTTATTTCAAACTTTCTTATTTTATTTGCTATATTCCTCAAAGACGACCGACATGAGTGTAAACCGCAAGCTTCCGCGAACGCGGAATTCGCGTAGCTCCGGAAAAATTGGCGCGTTCGCGGAAGATTGCGGAAGAAAAAATATTCTGCTCTTCCTCATTTTTCAAAATGTTTCATGTTGTTCTTTGTCATGTCAAGTCACAGACAGATGTACCCAACCCAACCCAAAATATTATGATTTATTGGTCTGTGACATATGCATATTTTAGTATTTTGTGTTAGTCTTAGGATTCTTCAACTACATAATTTTTCTGTCTTCTTCTTGTTTTCCATCTATAATATATGAGTAACAAAAGACGCGAGAGAGATTTTGTAATTCAAAAAACTTGTTTTTTTTTCGTTCGTGGTTTCGGATTATCACCGGATTACCTTCAAAAAAAAGATGGAAGAAGGAAAATATTATTTTTTGCTTTCGGCGAAAAGAATAAAAATTGGAAATGAATAGCCAACTAATTAAGCCACGCCTATTTATGAATTTTTATATCGCTTTCTTTTTTCATTTTATTATTTGTGTGGAGGAAGAATATGTATGGGTTTTATTTTTTATTATTTTTTTGTTCGGGAGCTTGAGCTTCTGAGGATAAATTTAAAGGTGCAACTTCTTCGAGAGCTCAAAAATCGTTTCGAGACCAATCACTTCAGAAATCTCTGTACCTTTAAAGTTTCAAGGGCCAACCACTGTTCAGAAAGGTATGCGCCTTGAAAAATTCAAAGGATCATACACAAATTGGTCTCGCAACGATTTGAGCTCCTGGAGACTTTTTGAATACTGTAGATTACGTCATGTTTTGTTTTGATCGAATAAAAATGAAAATAAACAAAATTTGATATATTATTTCACTATGTTTATATTATTTTTCCCAAAAATTTCCTAAATGACTCATCTACCGTATCCCCCCTCAAAAATTGATTTGTATCTGTCTATCTAGATACATATTTTCGCTTCCCCTCTCTCCGATTTTATATGTAATGAATACGCCCCCTTTTTTTGCTGCCCCCAAAAAAATCGTTTTCATATTTATTATATAATAACATTATATTATTATTATTATTCACCAAATATTTATTAATCTATTATCATTTGAATCGGCTCCTTTTCCCTTTTTTTCTATACGATTTGATTTTTTTTTAGAAGAATACTGTAATTTTCCAGAAAAACAAAAAACATCATGCAAGTCAAAATCGTCACTTTCTTCTTGGCTGCTCTTTTGGCTTTCGCCTATGCTGAAGATGCTGCACCAGCTGCAGCAGCTTCTGCGGCTCCAGTGGCTGCTGAACATGCAGCTGCAGCTGCAGCGAGTTCACCAGCTCCAGCTGTTGCCGCTGCTGCTGATGTAATTTTTTTCTATTGATTTTTTGGGAGTTGGTTGAAAAATTGTGATTTTAATCGGATATTGACACAGATTTTGGAGTTTTTGCGGTTTGAAACTGAACTTTGAGGGAAAATTATTAAATCTGGACTTTTGGTTGAGAACTTTTTTGATTATTGCTAGAAATCCTAAAAATTTTTGAAGATTTATAGAATTTTCAAGACAAAATTTTGCCATGTTTCGAGGTCATTCAGTTTTTGAAAAACTCAAAAATGCAGAGCTGAGACTCTGAATTTCGATAAATTTTCAATATCAAAACCAATTTTTCAATTAAAAATATGTTTTTTCGAGGTTCAAACCAATCTTATAGCTGAATTTTGAAAATTCTACCTAGAACCCCCTCACAATTCAAAATTTCCCAAAAATTCTCACAATTCCAGGCGGCTGCTCCATCAGATGCTTCATCCTCATCAGCTCCATCCGTCGAAACCACAACCAAATCATCAATCGTCTCAATCTACTCAATCTTCACAATTCTTGCTGCTCTTTTCTTCAGCGCCCACTTCTAATTAATTTTTTTCTTACAATAATTAAAATAACTAATCCAAACTTGGGTAGTAGAACATCTTCGCCGCTCAACATTCCAATTATTTTATATACTTTTTTCTAATTATCATTTTCTTACTTTCAATAACTTCTTTATCTGTCCAAATGGAATAAATCTTTCTGTAGTGATCCAATCAATAAACTAATTAATTAATTATAATTTCTTGGCCATGCTGGTCTCATTGCATCATAATCATCGATTTTCGTCGATTCATTCAAACCAAGACCATCAAAAATTTCTCGATTTTCTAGATTTTCAGATTCTTCCAATTGTCCAACAAGCTTTTGGTCGATTTTGGAATTCTCTATGATTTTTCTGAAAAATACTTTATTTTATTTATGGGGAAAAAATAAGAAACTAACTTGTTCAAATTTACATTTCTGATGAAATTCTGAAGATTGAATTGTTTTTCGAGCAACGCATTTACACTTGAAAATGGTCCGAAACATTTTCGTTGAATTCGAATTGGAACTGCTGAACATCCCAAACTTGAACCGATTGTTGAGGCGAAATTTCTGGAAAAACAAATGAGAATTAAAAATTGAAATAATTTTTCAATTGCCACGTCGAAGTTCACGCGGAGTTCGAAAAGTTTGAAAATCTCAATGTATTTTTCGGATTCAAAATGTGTCGCTCGACTTTTCTCAATTTCCAGAAGACCATTTTTGATGGGACCTTCACCATTCTATTCCAAATTCTTTCCCATTGAGGCGCTAATATTCGATTTTTCCAATAATGCGCGAGTTTTAACGTGAAAAATCAAAACTTTTTTCATGTAAAAAAGAATGAACACGTTTTTATTCGAATTAAATATCAGGCCACGCTTCTTATCTGATCGTTCTAATTTTTTTCAAAGTCGAATAATTTTAGTCATTTCTGAGTGTTACTCTTCTCCTAACAAAAGAATAAATTAATAAGTAAAAAGTAAGTCAAACTACTGTAGATGGCGTTAGCCAGCGAAGCCCTTCTAGTTTTTTTTTAAACTAACTTGAGCATTTCATCGTCTTCTCCACTACATTGGATTGTTATTGAAAACCGAGGAACTTTGAGCCAATTAATTTCAATCGAATAAATAACCTGAGCTCCTGGAAGTTGTGCACGTGGCAATCCTTTTCTCGCCAAATCAAAAGCTTCTTCACTTTGTTTATCAACATTTGCATGTTCGAAAGCGGCACTTCTGAATTGTGATTCCAAGCGAGATATGACTTTTTCGAATTTGTGTCTTGTGATTTTTGATAAATCCAATTTTTCATCTTTCGGGCTCACTTTTGTGAAAATTCCATCGAAACGATAAACATTTGTCCAGGATTTCGACATAATTTCGGGAAGAGAATCACTCCCTTCATTTATACCGAAAACTGAAATAGATCTTTTGAAAATTCAATTTTCAATGAGGAACAGGCGAACTTACGACAAACTCCTGAACTATTTGTGTGAAGCGGCAAAGGATCGACAATGTGGATATCTTCGGGTCGAATCGAACTTCCACAAACTAACGGATGATGACTGAATTTTAAGTTTATCTATTTTCAAGAATTATTTTAATTACCGATAATCAGCCAGATCTTTGCTGCCAACGACAAGAAGAGCACCCGAAGACTCATGTGGTTCGACGATTGGGAGTGAAATTATAGGAAGTTGTAATCTTGACGTTGATTCAACACTGCTGTTGAATTCCGTGATTCGATTTGTGATGAGCTTTTTTATAGCCGAAGAAGAAATTCCTGACGGCTTGTAAACACAGAGAACGCCTGATACAGCTTTCCATACCGACATCTGATCAAATGAAACTCAAGAATCAGTGTGAACTTGATCGATAGAAATTGAAAATACATTTTCGTTTTAAAAAACTATTAAGACCAGTTTTTAGTAACAATTTATTGAATAACAAAAACAATTTAGTGCTTTTGGGCGAGACGTCTGTCACGCTCTTCAGCGATTGTCAAACGGACTCCTTGTCCAGTTGGGAGCGAGACGAGGGCTTTGTTTCCCTTTCCAATGACGAAGACGTTGGAGATACTGAACAATATTGAAATGAAAGAGAACCAACCTTAGCCGGACGTTTACGACCCTCGCGGTCCCCGACCTTCTTTCTCCTTTAGTTTGCTACATTTATACTTACCGGGTAGCGAAGGAGTGTCCTGCGGCATCCTTAACGTGGATGATGTCGAAAGCTCCTGGGAGTCTTTCACGATGTCCGATGATACCAATACGACCAACGTTACGACCTCCGGTGATGTAAGCCAAGTTTCCTGGCTCGAATTTGACGAAGTCATTGATCTTTCCAGAGTTGATGTTCAAGACGATGGTGTCGTTGACCTCAAAAAAGACATGTTTTAAGCTGAAAATTCACCAAAAAATTACCTTGACATGTGGGTCTGGGTATCTGATGGTGCGTCCGTCGGTGGTGGTGAGGATTGGGACTCCCTTGATGACGGTGCGGACTGAGCGGACCTTGCACAGTTTGAACTCAGCTTCGGCGGCTTGGATTCTGTGAACGACGTAACGTCCCTTGGTGTCGTAGAGCATACGGAAATACTCGTTGGTGCGTTCAATGCTGACGACATCTAAAAAAAAAGGAAATATAAAATGTTGATGCCTGGCCTTGAAGCCTATTACTTCAGTGAATCTAAAACTAACCCATGAATCCAGTTGGGAATTTGTGGCAGGTTCTGACCTTTCCGTCGACCTTGACGATTCTTTGGAGAAGGATTTTCTTGGCCTCGGTGTAGTTGAGAGCGTACTTCAGACGGTTGCGGAGGAACAAACTCAATGGGAGTGATTCGCGGAGCTTGTGTGGTCCTGGGTTTGGTCTGACAGCGAAAACTCCTCCGAGTTTGTCGAGCATCCAGTGTTTTGGAGCGGCAAGACGTTTAAGATGCTTCTTTGGTCCTCTCATGTTGAAGAAATGGGTACCTCAAGCTGAAAATTCAAAATTAGACAAAAAAAAACATTTACGAAGGTTTCAATGATGAACATGAAGGAAAGAAAGTTCGTGAATTTCTGATGAACCATGTACCAACAAGAATAAATATCTATGAAGAATGATGAAATATGGCCTTGAAGCCTAAAATACAAGAAAAACGAAATCCACACAAAATTTTAGGCCGGGAAAACGAAAAAAAGAAAGAAAAGAAAAAATGAAAAAGGCCCAAAAAGAAAGAATGTGACGAGACCAAACACAAAGAAAAATAGATGCCCCTTTAAACTCGATCAAACGCGCTCCGTTGTACACACTAAAAATTTCAAATTTCGTTTTTTTTCTTTTTTTCTGTGTTTTTTGCCCGAATTTCTGCTAAAGTTAGGGGTTTCCGATCTAAATTATTTGAAGGAATAATTCATAAGTAGGTTCTTGATTGTATTTAAAAAAAATGATAGGATTTCATTAGTGAAAATTTTAAGAAATGAGAAATAAGAAATGAATAAATATTATTTTGAGCGTGACCTCAACATTTTCAACAAAAAAAACTCAGCTCTCAATTTTATTTTTTATTTGTTTCAACTGTATAAATGTTGAATTCTGAAATTTTTCTTCAATTTCGAGGTTAGTTGTTCGAGGTTAAATCTGTAACTTTTTTTATGAAACAATTAGAATATTCGTAATTTTTTATTATCGGAAACAGATATTAGAGCAATTTTCAGTACAAAAAAAAATTAAAAAAGAAAAATTTGGACTAGCCACAGAAATTACAGCTAATGGAAAGAGAAACACGGAAATTTTCTTATTTTATTTGTTATAAAAATTTTGTTCAACTGGGACGATGGAAAATTAAGGCAGTTTAGAAATTTCAAAGGCACATTATGAGTTGGGGGATTTTTTTTGTTGAGTATGAATGAGTAAGTAAAGTAAAAATTTAGAAAAAAGATCGACTTGAGGTCGTTTGAAAATGTTGTGTATTTTTTTGTCGGAAAGAATAAACAAAAAAAATAACTGAATGAGAAAAAATATGCAATATTTAAATGACTAGATATGGAATATTTGGATTTAGATATAATTTGCTCGAATATTTCCATTATTATGTGCAAAATTAAAAGTTCGACCACATTGGTTTTCGAAGCCAACGAAGTCGAAGTCCAGAATTTGTACGGATTTTGATTGAGGCGGCTTCAGCTGCGCGAACAGTGTCCTATAATTTGATTTTTATTTTTTAGTTTCGTTCTCTCTTATAAAAAGATATTACCTTTACAGATTGCATCAAGTTTTGGGCATTCAATACCAATTGTTGCATCGCTTCTTCATCTTCTTCACTGCCTGCAAAAATATCGATTAATGTGTGAGTTTTTTTTATGGGTTTTTGTTTTTGGGTAAAGGGTTTCACACGTTAGTTAGTTTAGTCAAAATCTTGGTATCACTCATGCCAATTCAATCATTATTTACCCTCAATTTGTTGACCGTATGGTCCAATAGTATCTGAAAAGTTTGATTAAAGGAAAATTTAAAGGAAATTATAATTAAAACAAAAAAAAAACATACTGGCTGTTCCGAGCATTGTTGCTTTGACTGTTGAAAGAATCTTGAGTTGTGTGGCAATTGTTGGAATACGTTCGCAAATTTGAAGAAGCGACATTCGCATTTTGATATCAGTACACATTCTCGCCAATTGTACAGCCAATCTGGTCACCTCTTCCGATGAATCAGCAATAGCCTTCGCACAATCAATCAAATCCTTTTTGGTTCCACCTTCGCCTCGAACCAATTGCGATAATCTCGCCATAAGAATCGCCATTCGTTTCGCCGCCGCAACAATGTCGTTTTCTTGCGACGACCATTGTTTTAATTCATTGTGCAAATTATGAGCGGCCGAGAGAATCGGTTGATGACTGGCTTGTGGAAGGGGATAACGTTCCCAGAAGGCGCGTGTCTCCTCTTCTTCATCGTATTCTGGTGGTGGTGGCGGTCGTGGGGGTGGCGAGAGTTCGACTGGTGGCGGTGGACGCGGTGGAGCTGGGATTTCTTCGCGGATTATCATCTTGTTGTGAACGATTGGTGCGGATGGTGGGGAAGCGGTGACATTTCGGATGATTTGAGATGATGGTGGCTGAAATTTTTTTAACGGTTCACATGGTTTAGCGCTGCTCCTTCCTACATTTTTGACCTATTTAGTGGGAACATGTTAGGATTGCCTAATATCAGAAATTTGTTTTCAAAACTATTTTGTTGAAAAAATATGGCAGCCGTAAAAAATAAAAGTCAGTGCAGATTTGAATGAACGAAAAAAAATTACTTCTTCAGTCGCGCGCTGCTGTGCGTTGCGGTCGGGAAACAATCAATTCACGACCATACAAGGCGCCCGTTGAGTCAGACGCGAGACGACGAGAGTATTTTGCAAAAACATCTCGAAAATGAATTTCGCTTTGAGATATTTTCAATAAAACATGTGTTCCTTGAAACAAAATACGGTATTTTTTCAAAGGGACACATATTTTCTCAAAAATATCTCGAAGCGATCTGTCTTTGATGACGTCATCAGACTCCCGTCGTCTCTCGTCTGACCCGAGGGGGCAATTTTCTATTGGAGTAAATGGTCGTGAATTTCCTTTGTTACCCGACCGCGACGCACAGCCGCACGCGACTGACGAACTAATGTTTTTTTGTCATTCATTCAATTCTACACTGGTTTTCTACTTCGACATTATACGCTAGGTCATCAGATCTCGAAATAATGAAAGTTATGTTGATTTTGGAGCTGCCCGGAAGTTCCAACTTCAAAATACACAAGGAAAATTTGAAACTTTTCAGTTGATCAAAGACCATTCGCAATTGTTTGCCTAGATACTCTACCAACAATTTTACAGTTTCAAATTTTTCTGTTTTGCTCTGCTCTGACAGTTCCCCCTCTCATCAGAATAATATTCCCACGCTTTAGCTGTCACTTTTTGGCTCTCCCATGTAACCCGAGAGCGTCACTATGTATTATTTACAAATAAAAACAAACATTGATAAGGACTCTTGAAAAATGACCATGAATTAAAAAGAAAACGAATTCTTACCGCTGGTGTATATGGTGAAGCTCTTGAAATACTTTCTTGATAACTCGAATGTCTTCCGTTGTTGACTGGAACTCCAGTGATGGCATCGCCGACAGCTCGAACACTGTTCAATAAATGATCGTTGGCACCTCGCCATTGATTTGAGGCGTATTGATCGCGTGGATTCATTGCGACTTGTTTGGCGTGGTTTACCATTGGTGGGATAGCTAAAGGAAGAAATTTATTTATTGATCAGAATCTTTTGAAAATTTGAAAACAAAAACTAACATATATACACTTGAGGGTTGTGAATAGGAGGAACAACCCTTGTTTTATATACATATTCATAATTTTGCTCACTATAATTATCATATTCATCCGAAGAATCGTAAGGATCAGAAACCGAATAAGAATAGCGCTGCGGCATAGTTGTTGAAAAAATATAGAAAAAATTGGAGAAAGCGAGTTACAAGCAGCAAAGTAAGACGAAGAAGAAGGAGAAGCAAATAAAACTCAAAGATTCTTCGGTGTGTTCTCTTATTCGCAAGTAAAGTATGTGATAGAAACGGAGTGCGCAGGGAGAAGACAAATGTCAATATAGCAAAAAATTTCGCTACTAGTAAAGACAATTTCTTTTAAAACTTATTGTTAACCTAATCTCTACGTTTCAAACAAAAAACATCTTATGTTTAAAAAAAATCACCTGAATGCAATTGTGATGCAGCATTGTTGACGCGATCAACGAAACTTGGCTCTTCCGAATTGTCAGCCTCGTTCTTGGCTGTCATCAAAACACGATTACCGAGTCGGGCGATTTGCGATGTGCTGTCAACCATTCCTTGAGCATCGGATGATGTGATGGCACCTTCGCAGTTGTTTGTGTATCTACGCATTGCGTTTTCGGAAGCTCGCACAAATTCTCCGGTATCAATAGCGTCATCGACGTGTGAACGAAGACGGTGGAGAGCATCGGCGTATTGTCTGAAATTTGTTTGGTCAGAAATTTTAAGTTAGAAAATTATTTTCGATTTTTCTCGAAGCTTCGTGTCGAAAATAGTTTAAAGATTCAAATTGTCTTCAAGGGTTGGTGTGTGCAAACACGGCGACGTACTTTTGCGTACAGGAAATTATTTTTCATTTGCCAGTTAAAGTCAGAGGCTTGGTCTCGGTCAACCGAAAAAAGCTTTACCTGTGGATATTTTCGAAATGTTGCTCTGCATGATCTGAATTATTGTGCAATCTGATTTTTCCGGCATTAATAATTTGCGGTGTCATTTGATCGACCTTCTCGGCAGTGTCCAAAATCGCCTCAACAGTCTTCTTATTCTTCGATGGTCCGCAACTGGCGACTAATCTCGCTGTGGTTGTCATACTGTGGGCATGATCATTGAGTCGATGAGACTTGTCTGTGAAGTTTGGCTCGCGGTGCGGGTCATACTCGTCGGCGTGTACGGCTTCCACGAATTGCTTGAGTGGCGTTGTGATGTCAGCGAAGTCATCGACCTGGAAACATGCGTTTGGAAATGAATCTAGATTTGTTGGGGACCATAAAAGGGTATGAAACTAACAACACGATCGGTAAGAATACGTCTCATAAAATCGCCAAGATCCTTCAATGCACCCTTGAGTTGTTGTCTAATTTGATGGGCTTCCGGTGAGTTTCCGAGTCCACGTCTTTCGAGATCGGCTAATTGTGCGGCAAGACGGTCAATATCGTTACATAATCCGAGAAGGCGATTTCTAAAAATATCAGGGATCACAAAGGTTTTGCTGACGGACATATGTGATTCATCCCTTTTTCAAAAAATTACCTGTCTTGTGGGTTCAATCTGTCAGCAAGTTTACGAGCATCTGATGTGAGAAGTCGGAGAGCTTGAAGTCCCAAACCTCCATCATCTAATCCTGGGTTATCCAACCATCTCAACGCTTGTTCAAGTCTTCCAGCAGCAGTATGAGCTGGATTAGCTCCTCCGTGTCTTTGAGCATTTTGAAGAGCATCCGACATAAGTCCTGAGCTATGTTTCGAACCAACCAAATCCTTCAATCGTTGAGCTGTTTGAGCGGCAAGGTTTTCGCTGTCATATCTTCCCGAATTTCTCAAATCACACAATTGATCGGTCATACTGTTGATCTCATGAATCGATCGTTTGATACTTTGAGAATCTTCTGGCAATGCGCGCGCAGCAATTCGATCAGCATACTCACAAATTCTACGAATCGCCTTCTCTCCAATGGCTCCTGGACGAGCACGTGGATCGGCGAGCCAATCGAGAGCAGCGGTGAGAAGAGATTTTGCGGCTGAAAGAGCTTTGCGCATAACTGTCACATTGTCTGCGTCCCATTCATCTTCATCATATGTTGTGAGTTGGAGGACTCGAATGACCTCATTCATCTCTTCGAGCATACGTTGTGATAAATAATTTCTGTTTTCGGCAGCTTCTTGGGATCCTGAAAAATTCCCTTTTGTTTTTGTGAAACTTTTTAAAATTCACCTCGTTGTGCTGGATCATTGTTGATTTGAATAAATATTTTCATGGCGCATATCAAAATTGGTGACAGCGTCTTGATTGAATCTAAACATCTAATCAATATTTCTCTATGTACTTGATGTGTCAATTCTTGTTGTCTCAAATTCACATCCGATGTAACTTTGGATAACCACGGCGAGATGTCCTTAACGAATTGCGCCAAGTCTTCCATCGATTCGATGACTTCGGCGACCGCCAAATAATCCAAAACCTTTTTACATCCCCTGATAATCTTACGCACTTCGGATTCATCGAAACATAAGAGAAGGGCTGATGTTCCTTGAAGGATTCCGCGAGCTCCGTCGATGAGTTTCTTACGAGCTGGAACTGAGAATGGATCTCCTTTCAATGAAATACAAGCCTCTTCAAGAAATTTCGACGATCCTTCAACACGTTGAAGTGCTGGTGGCATATCTTGTTGGAGAATTCGATCATCAGAATGGTCGCAGGTATCATAACCGACCTAAACAAATCAATATTTTTGATTTTTTTGAAAATAGGAAGATAGAAAACCTTCTTATTTTCTTGACCCCAAGATGATCTTTTATGCCTAAAAGATCGGCGCTCAACAAAATTATATTCTTCCTTCTCAGAAGTTCTCAATGAACTCATCGATCGATGGAAAGTTTTCATGTCTTCTTCATCATTATAATACAATTTTTCATAAAAATATATCAGGAACTAGGTGGAAAAGAGAAATAGAGAATGAAAAATGTTTGTTGTGTACGCGGGGGCCTGTGCGCAACCGATTTTTTCTATTAGCACAATGTATTAGGAGCATAGAGACTAGTGTTGTTGTAATTTTTGCGGCTCGCTGATTTGGGAACAAAAATGTTTGAGTCATGATTTTTCTGGGGGTGGTGAAAAAACACTGACCTTAATCAAGTTGTCGACAGCTCGCGATACGAGACCAACTGGTCGCGTCAAATCTGGCATAGCATTTCCATCTTCTGCTTCTTCGTGAAGGATAACAAGCCGGGAAACCTGGAAGTTGTATGTTTCAAGAGGGAAACATTTATGTTTGGGTGACCCTGAAAAGCTAAGCAAAACACATAGAACGTAAAAAACAGTGATTTGAACTGGACAAAAATTTAAAATATGTACAAAGACAAAGACAAAACATACACATCCATCTTTTCCACGTGGCATCATTAGCTGACAAACTGGACAATCATCCTCGGTGACAATTTGTCGCAAAGTGTCCGGTGAAATGAGCTCCGGAATACTCCGTCGACTCGACGCACGTGACAAGGCTAAACCCGAGCGAGAACGTGCCAAATTTGGCATACTTCGACCCAAATGTTGAACTTCGTCACAAGCTGCCGCATTTTTTTCCGCTAGTGCTAACACATAATGAAGCTGCAAGTTTTTTTTCACCTTATGAGCACGTCTTTTTGGAAAGAGAGAAGTAGATCACGCTGGGATGAAGAATAAATGCACTTGAATTGGAGTTTTTTTGTTACTATTGTGTAAACAGAAAGTGATTTTTGAACACAAACAACATATAAGCATGCATATTCGAGCTAGGGTTAACAATAAGTTTTACCTGTTGAGCGACCGGCTCGAGAATACTCTCAATGGTCTTGGTGTGAAAGACGGGCATCGTGTATTTTATGTCTCGTCAAAGCGTCTAGCACATCTGAAACAATCGATTAAAAAAATAAAATTTGGGAGAAAAAAGATATAAAAATGTATGTGTGAAGACGGAAAAATGTTTGCGAATAGTGAAGGGGTGGTCTTTTTTTTTGTGAAAAAAGTCCAAAATTAAACATTTACGTTAACTAACTATGGACGAGCCTTAAATGTATGTACACACTATACAATTAGGTGTGCGATAGAGCAGACTTGATTGTGAGAGGAAAAAGCGGTGTTGCTTATTTCTTTCGATTTAGCACAAGTTCCTCTTTAAAAAGAAAAAGGTTGCAACAACCAGGAAAATTTGCATGCAGTGAAACGAAAACAATAATATTTTCGCGTGTTCAATGAAGTATGTGGTACAACCCGCTATTTAAATGCTGTACTGCTAGTAGTAGTCAAAAAAAGAAGAAGAAAAAAAGAAGAATGAAAAAGAGACACACATGTTTCGAAAAGTGCATTTGAAAAATGTATGCGCAGATTTTTTTCTGGCAACACACAAAAAGGAGCGGTTTTTTTGGCTCGCACTGGGTGGGAGAGCAAAATATGGAAAGAGTTAAAAGATAAGAATGGGTCAATAGTTTTTGCTGCGTTTGTATTGTGGAAAAATGTGTGGATGTGAAGAATAAGTAAAGTACTCGAGAAAGATGCAGCAGGAGATTTGTTATCGAAACAGCAGGTGACGCTTCTTGGCTTCTGCGCAAATGTTTAAGAGAGAGCCGTTTGCGCACTACTAACATGTAGTAAAGCGTAGAAAAATGTATATAACAAATAGAAAAGATCTAAAGAGTATTTAAAGAGGGGATGGATGCATATATATATATATAAATGGACGCAATAGGAAGGAGACAATAAGTTACATGGGTGGTTAAATACTGTTTGTGTATGTATGTATGTATGTGTATTTAATTTTGACCTTGATGACAGACGGCATGAAAATGGACAGGGAAAGGATTGTTTTGAAATATTGAAAGAGACAAGGCAAAAGAGTAAATAATGTTGAAAATGCTACTGATAATTGGAAGACGGCAGGAATTATAAATAATGAGAAAACTGATAAGCTAAACATTTTGACGTGGCAATTGGTATAAATATTTTGACAAAAAATTGGTAAAATAGAAATACAGAGGCCAAATTCACAAATGCGGTGTTGTGAATTCGGCCCCAGGATTAGAATTTTGTGAATTCGGTCCCAGGATTAGTATAATTTAGCCTAAGTTCATAAGGGACTGGACATACATAAAATGGGTCCCCAGAATCGGGGTGAGCGACTTAACTTTTTTCAAAAATCTGAAGGGAACAACTTGGCCAATTTTCTGCTGATAATCTACCAAAATTCCCAGATTTGTCCAAAATTCGCTCAACAAATGTGAGGAAGGTGTTTAACTTTGGAAAATTTTCAAGGAGGGACCCTAACTTTGAAAACTGACTCGGGGCCTAATTTTATGTATGGGACTGGATTCAACTTTTTGATAACAATATACCAAATTTACCACGCGGATAACGATATCGAAGTTAAAAATTGCCAGAACTCAATTTTTGGGGCGCCTGGAAAGTTCTCACAAGAGTTTCTGACAATTTTTGACCTTGGGATCGTGAGCTTTTATCAAAAGTTCATTTATCTAAGAACGTCTGAAAACGTAGAAACTAAATCTGCAAGAATCAAAACCATGAAATAGGATGGCTGTATCATGAAATATCTCACTCCCACGCATTTCAAAAAAAAAAACAAATTGGAAAAACAACAAATCAATCTGAAAATCAATCGATAATTTTTTGTTGCCTGGTCGAGATTTTGAACGAGCACGATCAAAATCCGAATTGGTCTATCGGTTTTCTATCTGTTTCGGGGGCGGATAAATCGAGGAGATCTGTGAGCACAGAGCAATAGTGAGAGAGAGATTCAGAGATGAAAAGCCTCTCGCATCTCGCCAGATAGAGAGATTTGTTTTGTTTCTTGCCAGCCAGCCAGATTTTTGAAATAAAGAGAGAAGGAGAAGAAGCACCCCACGGGAAGCGAGAGGAGTACACAACAAGTGGCGGGATTTTGAAGGAAGCGAAAAAGATAAGGTGAATCAGTGAATCAGCAGGTGGTTAAAGAGAGGAGGAATGTGTAAAATGGAATGGACCGAAGTGAGGAGATGAAGGGAGAGGAAAGAAATATGGTGGGAGGATAAGAAATGAGCAAAGCAAAAAAAGAAGATGAACGTATTTATTGATGCCCCATGAGTTTTAGAGGGATTTTTTGTTGTTCTACATTGGCACAATGCCAAAACCTTGGATCGAAAAAGGTTATACAATGTTACTAAAAAGTTTATGTTATGTTATGACGAAAAATAAACAAATACCAAAAAAGTTGATGGATCAATAATACACATAAGGGAGAAAAAAGGCGTCAAGCTTAGCTTTACCTGGTGATAAGAAGAAAAATGGGCGCGAGAGAGAGAAGACAAGTGCATGCATGACACTCACGACGAAAATCCGGGAAAGATGCATCTCGCGCGCGCGGATAAGCATTATCAATTTGCGATTTATGCGACTTTCGATAATTATTATTTTTATTTTCGTGTGACGATGCTTGATCGATGAATTGTGGGAAAATGGAGAGATTTGATTTGGAAAGAGATGGAAAAAGGTTTTGGGAAAAAAAGAGATGGCAAAAAGTTGGATTGATGATTGGGAATTTCACTCTGAATTTTTTGGAACAATATGAATTTTGGTACCAATTATTCTGATTTAAAAAATGAAACGTTTTTGAACCAGGCCAGACCAGGGGGCCGAATTCACAAAACTGGTATACCAAAAATGAGTGAAGTAAAAATTTGGAGTACCAAAAATTGCAAATTTTAGGTACGCCGAAATTTTCCTCCCCTGGCCCTCTAGACGCCTATCCTTCACAATTGTGCTCACTAGGCTCTTCTACTTGACAACTAGGTTCGGAAATTTTACATAGAAGCTCTCAAGGCGCGGTTCCTTGCTGTAGCGAAAATCTAGACGTGGCTCCTAGAGAAAGGTTCAGCTACTTGATAACTAGACTTGGTCTTATTCTACATAGACGATTTTATATATTAAAAAAAAGATTTTTGATTTTCTAGAAACAAAAAATCCTTCCAATAAATAAAAATTATTTTATAACATTTCAAGCGAAAAACTGAAAAGATAGGGCTGGAATTCGACGGCTTGATTTAAAAAAAAATCTGGAATTTTCCAAAACATCCCACGCGTTTGAAAAAAGTGCATTTTTCAAGAAACTTTGATTGGAATTTATTTAAAAAAAACAAAACAACCAAAGCGTTTCGATTTCGAAACTATCTATGATTCATTCAACACATTTTGTACAATTCAGAAGCAAAAAAACGGCGGGGAACAAAAAAAAACGAAATGTTACACGTTGTCTGTGACAAATGAACAGATGTTTTCACTCCAAACAAACGACACATACATAAATAGTTGTACTTTTCAATAAAAAACTATCAATAATAATAAGTTTTTCGAACCCACGCCGAAAATAAAAAACTCCGATCGACCTAATAAAAAATAACAACGAAACACAACAACAAATGGTGTGCAATTGAGTGATCAGTACACGCCCCCTCAGTTGAATTTTTTCGAAGATGAGGAGAAAAAATTGAATTTTTTATTGGCCAGATGTCTTTTGGAAGGAAAAAGAATAAAGACGAGATAAGAATCGAGAAGAAAGTGGTACAAAGTAAAAAGAAGGGATGATATGATACTAATAATAATAGGTATTATTATTATTATAATCAAAAGTTATAATAATATTAGTAAATGAGAAAAAGGAGGTGAAGATTTGTTGTAAACATTGCGAGGTTATAACAACTAGGTGTCATATTACTTGGGTTAGAAGACAAAACTATTGAATTACGATTTGGTTTTTTCCTGCGGTTGTCCTACAAAAATCTTTGTTGATTAGAATCTACATGAATGAAAGTGTTTCCGCTTTCTTTTCGGCATCGTTTGTATTTTTGAAAAAAAAAAAGACTAGAGGGAAAGGAAAGGTGACAAATGGTTTTTGTAGTAGTTCTGATTCAAAAGTGTGTTTTGTTGTTGTTCAAAGAATGTTTGTGGTTGAAAAAGGAGAATGGAAACTTTTAGCAGAAAAAGGAAAGGGTAGAAAAATTTTAGATTTTCTAGGATTTTGTGAAAAATTCAAGTTCATCTGAAAATTTTCAGAAATTTCAAACCTTCTGAAAATTATACTTCGATACAAAGATTTTTTTGAAATTCTGAAATATTTTTGTCAAAAAAGAGAAACCGTGAAAAAAAATTTTAAGGAAAAGTTTGGATTCAACAATTTTGGCATTTTTGATTTTCTAGGATTTTTTTGTGAAAAATTTAAGTTCATCGGAAAATTCTCAAAATGTTCTGAAATTTTAGTTTTTAAAATTTTCAAACTTTAAAGCTCTGTAACTTGAAGCTGGAATTTCAAACTTTCTGAAAATTAAACTTCGATACAGAAAATTTTCAAAATTCTGAATATTTTTTGTCAGAAAAGAGAAACCGTAAAAATTTGGATTCTAGAATTTTGTGAAAAATTCAAGTTCATGGGAAAATTTTCAAAATATTAGGAAATTTTAATTTTCAGTGAAGCTAATACATTGCTATTTTTATCAGACAAGTTTTCAGAATTTTCAAACTCTCAAGCTTGAAACTGGAATTTCAGACCTTCTGAAAATTGAACGATACAAAGACTTTTTTAAAATTCAGAAATATTTTTTGTCAAAATTTTCGTTAAAAAATTTGACCAGAAAAAAATGAAAAAAAATTCAATATTTTTTAAAACCCAAAAATATTGAAAACCTAGAATTAAATTTCTAAATTTTCACTTTTTTTTCACGATAAAAAATGATCGTTTTGAACCATTGATTCGATTTCATTTCCAAAACTCAATGGCCGAGTTTTGTTGCTGGCCTAGAAAACCAAATGTTCTCTCACTATTTTTTTCTAATCAAACAAACTCAGAGAAAGCCGGCGACTAATCGGCGACCAACAAGTTCGTCGCAAGTTCGTCGGCGAAAATAGTGTGTGTTTCCCGGAGACGCAGACGAAAAAGTTTCAGGCGACTAATCGGCGACTAATCGGCGACTAACTTATGATTGGTCGCCGATTAGTCGCCTGAAACTTTTTCGTCTGCGTCTCCGGGAAACACACACTATTTTCGCCGACGAACTTGCGACGAACTTACGATTGGCAGACGATTAGTCGCCTGATCTCGATTCGTCGTAAGTTCGTCGCCGATTAGTCGCCGGCTTTCTCTGAGAACAAAACAACATATCACATTTCTCGTTTTTTCCAGGTAAATGCTTCGTCGAAGTTTGCCTCAAAGCTTGAAATGCTGGAAATTTCGCAAATATTCGACGGCCGCAATTGAAACTACGCAAGAAGGAAAAATAAAGTGAGTTTTGCGGATTTTTTGTGAGAATGATGAAACAACATTGATTTTTATTTAGAACAAAATTCTGGTCAATCGTCGATCAATATGAAGATTTTATTGGTGTAAAAGCGGTGAGAGAAGCGCAAGATGAAGTTATGAAGGTTGGTTTGGTTTTTTCATTAAAATTAAATCTAAAATTATAAAACACAATACCAGTTTTCATTCAGTGGGAGCAGAAATTGAGTGCAGCACAAATGTTGAGACGCGAAAAACAGGCGGAAATCAACAACATTCAATCGCGTCTCAAAGAAATCCATTTCGATTTGGATCGAACGAGCAGAGGAGAAGATCAGTGAGTTCTTGAGGTGGTTTCTCTGTGAATTCTATGGACGGTTTTAGGTATTTGCAATTGCTCACTGAAGAACATCAGATTATAAAGAAGGAAAGGGAATTGTTGGCATCGTTTGAAGGAATGGAAACGGCTGAAAGGGAGACTTTTCATCAATTGTCGAATCGGTGAGTTATTCTAACTTTTTGGGGAGAAAAAAACTGGGGTAAAGCTTGGTTTTTTAACCCCATAATCATAAAATAATCAAAAAAATTTTTTGAATTTGAGGAGTTATTATCGAAAAGCTCATCGGTACCACGCGCTCCACCGAAATAAACACGCAACGCAGACCGCGTCGCGCACAACACACACAAATAAGGGAACGATTCAAATTCCCTCCTTTTTTGTGTGTGTTGTGGCGCGGCGCGGTCTGCGTTGCGTGTTTATTTCGGTGGAGCGCGTGGTACCGATTAGATTTTCGATAACAGAAATTCTTTCTTCAAGTACGGTATTCCTCTACGTCACTAACATCGCTTCGAGACCAACCCATTAGGGCAGAGAAACAAAGTCATATGGGTCTCGCAGCGATTGGTAGAAACACCGTACTTGGATTTGAATTTCTAGACTATTTTTTTGGCCAGGTTTTTTACTCCAATAATACAAGAAAATTTCATGCTTGGCTTTTTGCCCTGAAATTTTATTTTTGATAATCTTTATTTTTCCAAAAATGATTCGCCAAATAATGTTTTTTTCCGGTCTGATTTGTTGATTTGACACAATATTTGGCTATTCGAAATTCTGAAAAAGATTTTCCAATTCTTAGAAAAATCAAATACATAATATTAACTTCTTAGAAGTTCCTGAAAATTCTTAAGCTGATCTTTGAATTTGAATATTATTGAAAAACTTGCCACAGGAAATCTTCTGAAAATTTCTTTCAAAAACATCTTCTGAAAGTTTATTTTTGAAAAATCTTCTGAAAATCTCTAGAAGCAGGGAGAGTTCAGTGATGTTTTGGCTGAAAATTAGATTCACAAGAAATTCAACTTTCCCCAATTTTCCAGAGTTCGAACGTCGCACGAAAAAGAGCGCGAACGAGTCGAAAAAACGAAATGGTGGGGAGTTAGCGCTTCTCTAATCGGTGCACTTTTGGGTATTGTCGGAACATCAATCGGCAATGAAATTCGAATGCGAAAATTGAAAGAAATGCTACCAATTGGTGGAGCTCAAATGTCCGAAATGGCAAAAGCAATCGGTGATCAAAATGAGCAAGTTGCTGTGTTCCTAACCGATATTCGAAAAGCTCTTCAATTAGAGGCGAAAAATGAGCGAGCTGTAGGGAAAAGTAATGTGAGCCAAGTTCATGATTCGGAGAAATTGCTGTCTGCGATTCAAGAGGAGAATGCGAAATTATTGAGAGAAATGAAAGAGTTATCGAGATTAGCTAAATTGGAAGCGGCTCTTGAAGGAGATCCATCATCAGCGGTTTATGTTGGAAGTGATTTGGAGAAATTGCTTGATCAAACTGAAAAGAATTTGGAATCGAAAATGAAATTACAAACTCTTCTAACAGTTGTGTTTATTTATACCGCAGTTGCTGTAACTGCTCCATGGCTCTATGCGATTTTCAAAGGAGGATAAATATTTTTTTTATTTTTGTTTTGTTAGGTGCCCCCAAATTCGACGGGTTTTAGCTTTTTGTATATTTATATTTAGCTTCGATCGATGTGAATAAATAAAAATAGATTTTTTTTAATTCCACGTGAACTTAATGATTTTTTCTAAATATTCAGCTGCCAAATCGATCATTTTTGATATTCTGAAAATTTAAAAATAGCTATGAATTTTGAATTTTCGTGTTTCCTAAATAATGTAAGCGGAAAATAGCCTAATTCTGATCAGAAAAACAAGGTTGTTTTTCAGATCATTTTTATTCTAATAACAATTTCAACATTGTTTGTGTGTAAGAAAAATCCGGCATTTGAGAGTGACGCAAAAGTTGCGCTTGTCAAACCGTCGTCGAGCTCGAAACAAAAAGCACCGCCACTTGGAGCAACGTCGCCGAACTGCGTGTGAGTTTTTTATTGGAAATTTGAGAAAGCTAGGCATTTTTCTATAAAAACTGCTAGAAACATTGATAAATTTAAATTTCCCCCCAAAAATCGACTTGAAAAGAGAGTGCAGAGAAATCGCGTCAAGACCAAATGTGCACCAGGTAATGTCGTACTGTAGCACTGGTTTCAGCTGTGTTTCTAGCGTATTTTCCCTCTCAAACTTTCGAATGGCAAAATTTAAAAAAATATGAATTTTTTTTGGAAATGAAAAACGTGTTTGCAATACGGTATGCAGCGAGTGTTTGCAGACAGACACCGAATTTGACGCGCAATTATTTTTTAAAATGTTTTCCAGACCTCCACCGAAAAATGTGCCGATTTCGCCAGCCGTGAAAGAAGAGGACACCTTAGCGTAAGTCCCCATATTTTTTTTCGATCCCCAGAAAGTTCCAAAATCCAAATTTTTTGCAGGGAAGTCAAATCACTAAAATCAGACAAGGAAAAAATTCGACAATCTGCCCGCAAATAATTTTTCCAAAATTTAATAAAACGTTGATTTTTCTCCTTTTTTTTTGCAAGAAAAACTTCTCGATTTTCCTTCTCGCATAAATATTTCATTTGTATTCTAATTATCCGTTACGTAGGAAAGTACGATTTTTCCTACAATTTTGGATTTTCTCTAGATTAAGATACTGTGTTCAAAAAGGAAGGAAATTTGAGATTTTCATGTTTTTTTGGGCGAAGATTATATTTCATAAGTAGATTTTCAGGGATTTTTGACGTCAGGAATTTGTTTTTTTGGTTGCGCCTTTTAAATATGACAAATTTTCAGTTGACAGAAAACAGTAGCATAGCCGAGTGGTATACACGGCTGCAGACTGTTTGCAAAACCAGGGTTCGACTCCACCTGCGAACAAAATTTTTTTCCAATTTTTTCGTGCTGACAAGAGGATTAAAAATCAAGAGTCACCTCATCAATCAAATCTCACCTTTTTTCTCAATTTTTATTGCGATATATTTTTTTCTTTTTCTTTTCCTCCAAAAAAAATAGCAAAAAATAACCGAATTATGCACAAATCATCGAATCTCAAAACTCCGCCCCACCAAATTTTTTTCGGCCAGATTTTTTCGCCGTGTTGTATATTTGGTACTAGTAGTGAAAAAAATTCCCTGGAGAAAATCATCGCACTTTTTTCCCTTCTCTCTTGTCTTTTGATTCTTCAGCATTTTTGAACTAACCCCCGGGGCAAGCCACCAAAAAATGTTTTTTTTTTTTCGTATATTTTTTGGTGTCAGCCACCAAAAGACAACTCTTGGTGATGGTGTCGTTTAATTGGTTTGTCGGAATGTCTCTTTGATGGCGGACCTTCGGAACTTTGTATTATTTATGGACTTTTCAGTTTTGCACACAAAAATTTTGGGTTTTGCTCAAAAATTATGTGGCTCTGTATTTTCAAAATCATAAATAGTTTTGACTTATTGAAAGTCTAAAAGTAGAACTTTTCTAGACGCGAAGTTTCAGAATTTTGAAAATTTTAATTCAAAAAAAATTTTATTCAGAACTTGAAAAATATTTTTATGAGCCCAAATTTTCAGAACGAATTTCCTGTTTTCTGGGGGCGGAATTGATTTTTTTTTTAATTTTTTTGGTATCCAGATGAATTTCATCTGGAATTTTTGAAATTGGGAGATTCCTAAACTTGGCCACGTCATAAGTAAAGTTTAGAATCGAGATCTGAAAATTTGCCTGAAATTCTAGGCTTGACAGAGTTAGGAAATCCCGAATTTTAAGAAAATCTGAAAACGAAAATTACAAAAAATTCTGGGACTCGAAAAAAGTTCCAAATTTTTGGACCACCCAAATATGCTTCCAAATAATAGGCTTCATCTCCAACCTAATTTGCCTAGACAAAAAGAAAATGTGTGTAGTTTGACCTAAACTTGTCACGCAAGAAATTAATTTTCTTCTTTTTCTTCACTTGTCTCTTTTTTTTCAAGAAAAAAAAATAATTCACAACTGCTAGACCTTAAATTTCAAAGCAATTTCTGGTAGATCAAAAATATTTTTGCGGGAATTTTTTCAGCTACGAAAATACACATTTTTTTTGAAACCTATACTTTTTTGTCCTAGAAAAGAAATTCGATATTTTTAGTGTTTTTTTACTCACAAAAAAGTTGGTATGTAGGTGTAAAAAAAGCCTAGACATGTGGAAAATTGTTGAAATCTCCCACGAATCTCTCATTTCTCTTTCTTTCACACTTGGCTCATCTGCGTTTCAATTTTGTGCTCATTTTTTTCAATTTTCAAAAAAAGTGCAGATTAGCAACGAGCTCCGCCTTTTTTCCCTTTTTTTCCACCTGACAACATGTCCTTTTTTATATATTCATTTTTATAATAGAGAAAAAAAAATCTAATCACAATATACGCTTTTTTATGTCCTGATTTTCTCTAAATATTTTTTTTTGCAGGTGAACATATCATTTTTGTAGCAGCCAAGCAAGCCATGAAGAATTTTCTACTTTTGTTAGCCACAATTTTTTGTTTTTATGTTGAAGGTGAGCTTTTCTTTACATTTTTGATCAAGGCGAGTCTCATTTTCAATAAATATTTAAGTATCCTTCTAGTTTTTGGTCACTTGTGTAGCGTGTTTAACAGGTGCCCGGAAGAACAATGAAAAGAAGATTGATTGGATTTTGAAAAGAAGATTCGGTTATAAAAACATTGAATTATTTCGCATGAGAGCAGAGAAAAATGTAGCCTAGTAACGGAAAAAATGAACAGGGTAGCTTCGGCTGGTGAATATGTTTCCAAAAATGTAGATAGCCTAACTTGTCCCCCAGATTCTGAATTGACTTGAGCCATGACTGCAAAATCTCAAATTTTTAGAAGCGCTCCTACTGTGACCAAATTTTCAATTAAAATTATTTTAGAACTTTTCAACGTTTCTGAATTTGTTTGGCAATTTCTTTCATAAATACATGCATGTTACCCTCCCGAAGAAAAAAAGGGCGGGGGGGGTCACAAATTTTCCATTTTTTCAGAGAAATTTTGTTAAAAAAGTTTCTAGATCAATTTTTCGCGCTGAAAATGCTGGAATCACTTAAAATGAGAAATTCCAGCGTTTTCAGCGCAAAAAAATGACCTAGAGCAAAATTTGTGACTTCCCCTGAAGAAAAAAAATGGAGGGGGGGGGGGCGGTCACAAATTTTCCATTTTTTTTCAGATAAATTTTGTTAAAAAAGTTTCTAGATCAATTTTCCGCGCTGAAAATGCTGGAATCACTTAAAATGAACAATTCCAGCGTTTACAGCGAAAAAAATTGACTTAGAGAAAAATTTGTGACATCCCCTGAAGAAAAAAATGGAGGGGGGGGTCACAAATTTTCCATTTTTTCAGATAAATTTTGTTACAAAAAGTTTCTAAATCAATTTTCCGCGCTGAAAATGCTGGAATCACTTAAAATGAGCAACTCCAGCGTTTTCAGCGCAAAAAATTGATCTAGAGCAAAATTTGAAGAAAAAAATGGAGGAGGGGGGGGTCAAAAATTGATCTCACATCAATTTTTCCAGCCGGTTTTCAGGGGTGTGAGAAAAACGTATGAGAAAAATTGTGCGAGCAAAGTTCAGAATCAGATACACTACGTAATAATCCGTGAGATTATAAGTACTTTAGGGCTTCTAACAGAAATGAGGAAATAAAATATAACCGCGGAAAAAGTTCAGGGAAATTGAGAATTCAGATAATTTGAAACCAGAACTTCTTGTTCAAATCAAAATTCAAAAATAAAAATATAAATTTTTCACGTGAAATATTAGAATGACACGTGCTCCAGATCACATTTTCAAAAAAAAAAAATTGCAGGTTTCATTCCCAAAAAACTGATCAAAAAATCGGAAGCAATCGATGAAAGTCTCTATTCCCCGCGACATTATCGATATCTTGATTCACACGAAGAAGAAGTCGAAACAGATGGACAAATAATCGGAGATCACACAAATGCATTCGATGATCCAAATGGCAAACTCACCGAATACATCAAAAATAATTCGAGGAAACATATTCCATTAAAAAGTCCGCATTCAAGGATGAATGTCTATGTTTCAGCGGGTTTATATCAAATTGTTGATTTGGTAATCCTTTTTGATCTTTGATCTTCGATGTCCTTTCAAAAATATTTTTGGTTTTTTTCAGGATCAAAAAAACAATCTAGCAACAGTCAGTGCATACTTCGATGTTCATTGGTATGATGAATATCTGCTATGGAATTCAAGTGATTTCGGAAACATTGAGCGGATTTTTGTGCCGATTCGATGGCTATGGAAACCTGAATTTTATATGTATCACAGTGTTTATGGAAGAGTTCCTGATTATGCGCCAGATGCTGCTGCTGAAATACATCACACAGGTTTGTCTATTTGAAAAAAAATCTGAATCTAATTTGGAAAAACTTCAGGACGAGTTCGAATGTTTGTTTCGATAGCTTCCAAAAGTTTTTGTCCGATTAATTTCAAACGTTTTCCATTTGACAACCAAACTTGCACATTTTCAGTGAGTTTTTAAATACTTTAAAAATATTTATGATCTCAGGATCTATCTAGAAAGCATTGCATATTAAATTGAGCATGAGAATAATAATTAGGGAAAATAGAAGAAGACGGCGAATCGGGAAGTTGATATCAGCGGAGGGAAGTGGGATGTGAAATTCAGGCAGCGGGTCTGCAAAAAAAAATTCAGGGGGCTCGGGATTAAAGGCGGTCAGACAGCTATTCCGGTTGACGGAGACCACCCACGAAGCCACTGACTTTAACCGGGCTAAACTTGAACCAAGCAAAAGATGAAATATTGTGAAAATATGAACCTTCAAATTTTCCTGTGCAAAAGTGCGTCGCGGTGTTTGCACACACTGATCCGCTGGAGGCAATTTGAAATTTTGAAGATTTTCTCAGCTCGTATTAACTTTCATGATTTCGGAATTTTTTTACTGGTTCCTTTCATAATAAACTATTTTTGACACTAAGATTTGAGGAAAACCGGAATAATAACTGCCTTTAAAGTTTTGGAATTACCTCAGAGTCATAGGTTTCTCCCTGAAGAATCACAGAAGTTGAGAAGCATAGTGTTGAATCGCATTTTTTGTAAGTCGCATTGTGATTGCAGAAATACATTTTGGGCTCGAATCCACACAGAATCGGGGTGGCATCAATCTGAAATTTTCAGGCTTCTAGATTTGTTTTTTGGAGATTCTAGGCTCGATAGTTTAAGATCTCACCTGATGAACTGGATATCGATCTTCCAATCTCACATTCGTCCGATTCTCCCCGCAAAACGGATCCATATGCAAAACCAAATCATGACTTCCATAAACCTTCGATCTCGTCAAAATCAAATATGGTGGCTCAGGTTTCAACGCACTCTCCGGCTTATCTTTTTTATAGTCAAAAGTTGTTGGAATCACCGAAATATCCACAAGAGAAGCAGAAGCTCGTGTTGAATTTGCAGATGGGGATTCGATAAGAAATTGAGATTTTGATGTGTAGTGAAATGGCTTGGTTTTGAGATATTCATAACGAACTGCGTAGATGGAATCGTCTTCGAGGGGCACGATGAATTTACCATTGGATGTTGAAGTATCAAAGGTTTTTCTACAATATGTATGGAAAATTCTTGCGATTTCAGATTTTTTCTCACCTCAATGACTGCGTATCATTTTCCCCTAATCGCTCTAGATTAATTGTGACAACAGCATGATCAGATTCAACAACTTCAGTTTCCACAATCAATTCATTAATCGACAAATTGTTCTCCTCCACAGATATCCTTTTCAAATTTCGCAAATATGTTGTACTTGTTGTTCCCTCAATATCTTCACAAGTTTCACCCAAATGTTTTGTAAAATCTCCGAATCCGGAGGCTAGAACAAGATCAGAAGTCCAGCAGATCTTGTGGCATTTTAGAGGGGTTATGTGGGCTTTGATTTGATGTTTGACGCGATCCATCTCTTCGATATCGTATTTTTGATCCATCTGGAATTCGAATTTCACAATCAGCTGAAAAATTTTCAGCCCGACTTACAGTAATCTCAATAGTCACCGCATCTTCATCGCCTTTCAAATGAATTTCCTCTTTTGTGTCTGTGTTCTCACAAATCACTCGAATTTTCACAACTCCACTGGTATTATTATTTCTTCTGAAATTCAGAATTCTTTCCGAAGCTCTACCGAAATGAACACGCAACGCAGACCGCGTCGCGCCACAACACACAAACGATTCAAATTTCCTCCTTGTGTTGTGGCGCGGCGCGGTCTGCGTTGCGTGTTTATTTCGGTGGAGCGCGTTTCGATAATAGAAACCTTACCCTTTATGATCTTTCCATGAAACTGTCACATATAAACTCTCATAATTCTCAATGCCATCAAGACTTCGATGCATTTTCACAGACAGTGCATCTACAAATTCTTCTTCTTCCTTGTGATCTTGTTTCTCAGATGGTGCAACCGGAGTAATCGAGGGGATTCCGGGAATACCAACCAATGGAGCGATTGCTCCAGCCAGGGAGCCATAGGGATGATTTTCTCGAGATTTTGTGCGGACAACACGCTCATCTTCGTGATAAACTTTTTGGCCGTTGATCTCATTTTCGCTTTTGAAGCGGACACCGTAGAGAGCGCCTGGTCGAAGAAATGGAATTGTATAGCGACCGCGGGTGAGCAACAACCATCCACCACTCAAATCGACTGGATTCACTTTTTTGTTTTCCTCGATGTCGATTAGTTCGATGTGGATTTTTAGATGTTCGGGGGTCCTGGAGGAAAGATTTTGGATTTTTGTTGGGAACTTATTTTAAAAGCAGTTAGACAATTATTCCGGTTTTCCTTAAAGCTTAGTGTCAAAAATAGTTTATTATGAAACGAATCAGTGAAAAAATTCCGAAATCATGAAAGTTAATACGAGCTGAGAAAATCTTCAAAATTTCAAATTGCCTCCAGCGGATCAGTGTGTGCAAACACCGCGACGCACTTTTACACAGGAAGATTTGAAGTTTCATTTTTTTACTCTATCTTTTGTTCGGTTCAAATTTAGCCCGGTTAAAGTCAGAGGCTTCGTGGGTGGTCTCCGTCAACCGGAATAGCTGTCTGACCGCCTTTGAATTGTCAAAAGTTGCCCCAATATTTTTCAACTGGAATTCTGTAATTTCTGATTTTTTCTGAGCTTGAGCTGAGTTATGAAAAAAATTTCTGAAATTGGACTCAAAACTGAAACTGAGGATTTTCACAAATTTATTAGATAAAAAATAATTTTTGAAAAATTCTTCAAAAATTTCGGATTTTTCGGAATTTCTAGTTCTACCCCGAACCTACCATCTTTCGAAGTTGTAATAATAATTTGTGTAGCCTCAACCTCAATATCTTCAATATGATCAACAATATTATGAGGTGGCGCGGTCACATTTTGCAATGTGATTCCAGAAAAAATGAATAAAAGTACAACCACCAACATCTTCTTCTTCTTCACATAATAATATAGATAGTAGTTACAATTTTATTTTAGAAGGGGAGGGAAAAAGTATGTTGTATATATACAATTTTTCGTGGGGCGAACTCAATGCTTCTTCTTCTTCCAACACACCGGAAGACGCTCATTCACCTTTTTTGTGTCGCATTTTTCCTCCTCCATCGTAGTCGTCTTCTTCTTTTTTTTCTTGGGCTGGAAACAGACAATTTTGGGAGGTTGAAAGGAATTTTGAGTGAATCACGTGGAATTTGGATTTTTTTTTGAAAAAAAAGAGGAATTTTGGAAAAATTTTCTAACATGAGCAATGATTATTGTAGTTCATATTTTGGATTTTTCAAAGGGCAGTATAAGTTTAATATGAGCAATGATTTACAGTAAAAATATGGATTTCAAAATATTCTAACATGAGCAATATTTATACTGTGGTTCATATTTTAGATTATTCAAAATTACAGTATGGTTTAATATGAGCAATGATTTACAGTAAAAATATGAAATTTGAAAAAAAAATGAAAAAAAATCCGGAAATTCGGCACATAATGTGATTTTCAATTCAAAACTTTAACATGAGCAATGATTATACTGTAGTTCAAGTTCTAATTTTTTCAAAGTCACAGAATAGTTTAACATGAGCAATGGTTTAATATGAGCAATGATTTACAGTAAAAATATGGAATTTGAAAAAAAAAATTAAAAAATTCCGGAAATTCGGCACATAATGTGATTTTCAATTCAAAATTTTCTAACATGAGCAATGATTATACTGTAGTTTATATTTGATATTTTTTAATCAATTTTTTGTACAGTATAAGTTTAATATGAGCAATGTCACAGTACCAGAGGGATATCAGAATCTGAGCCAGAAAAAACCGAGGAAATTTTTAACATGAGCAATTCATGTTTAGCCTAATATGAGCAATGGTGACAAAAATTCCAGTATTTTTCAGCCATTGCTCATGAGCCTAACATGAGCAATGAAAACTTCAATATTTTCTCTGTTACAGTGTGGATCTTGGGCGTTCCAATCCAACATTGTCAATCTAATCGCACATCGAGAAGACATTGCTCTCGAAGATTTTTTCGACAATCAAGAATGGCTTCTCGACAAAGCAATCTTGACAAATGGAACAACTCGAAACATCGAAGATCGAAATGAATCATTCAGTATGGTTGTAATGGAACTCAGCCTCAAACGGCAAAGTTTTTATTATGTTTTCAATTTGGTTTTTCCAACCACTTTGGTACATTTTTTCTTTTTTTTTCTGTATGAGAAGTATTCAGTTATTTTTTTTCTCAGGTATCATTGGTTGCGGTGGTTGGATTTCATGCTCCGATAAATGCAACCGGAAGAAGAGAGAGCAAGTTCCGATTGGGTTTGTTCTCTGTTCTGAAAAAAAATAATTATATGTTTTTTTTAGGAATAATGACACTTCTTTCAATGAGTGTTATGCTTCTAATGCTTGTTGGAGAAATGAAATTCGCGATGGAAAGTGTGCCTGGACAACGTGGATCTTTTAGCGATGTTCCTTTAATGGGTATTTATTATATTGCATTGATTTGTATTGTTAGTATTGCCACGTGTACGTCGAGTATTTTTGTGCATTTGGAGAAGTATGCGTTGAGAAATCCGAGTTGGCAGGTGAGCGAAAAAAAAGTTTTCCGCGCGCTTTTTGAATATGACAATTTTGACGAATAAAAAAAACAGCAGCCATGGCCGAGTGGTATACACGTCTGCCGAGCTTTTGTAAAACCAGGGTTCGACCCCACCCGCCACCCAACTTTTTTTTTCTTTTTTTTTTGAGATTTTCATCGCAAAAATCATATTTCAGAGTGTTCCTTGGTGGATTCGTTGGCTTGCCGCCAAAAAGTTATTCTGCTGCTATGTGCCAAAAGCTTTTCGATATGATAAAGATGGATGTAGTCGCAACAATAATAATATCACATCAGTTTCGCTAACTTCGAGTCCAGATCGGAATTTGATGAAAAATTTGATCCCGAAGGAGGTAACATCTTAAATTTAAAGAAAAAAAAACAAAAATATGTATTTCTTAAGATAAATTTCACTGAAGTCAATCAAGATGCTCCACTTCATGATATTATTGATCCAAATTTGACGATGAGAGAACAGAAAATTGATTTGGTTGTAAATCTTTTGCGAGAAATCATAGCGATTAAGGAGAAAATCACACACGCTGGACAATTGACTGGATATTGGGAGAGAATTATTTCAAGATCTGAAAAAGCTTCACTCGGATTTTATCTCTTCTTGATAACAATTAATGTTCTAATGTTCCTTAATCCTGAACTTTGGTACTAAGTTTGATTGTAAGTTTAATACGGGTTTTTTTTCATAATCAATAACAAAAATATTGTTTTTCTCTTTAAAGAAAATATAAATTTTGTGATAAATTTTATCCATTAATCAATCAATAACTAAAACAATAATTGCATAGAAAAGTAGAAAACAAAAATAGGAAATAGCGATGATTGACAAGGCGACACGTTTACGATTTCCGAGCATTGCTGTTGTTATTTGTCGCTGAATTGGTGTTGCGCCGGGTGAAGCGGTTACTATTGTGGTTTTTGGTGTCATTTCGCGTTTTGTTAGATAGTCGATGACGTGGTTTACGTAGCGGAATGGACCCGGGTTTTCGATTTCAGCTGGAAAATTGAACTGATGCCGAAAGTTTCCCTAACTTTCAAAAAAAAAAAAGTTTTTTTAAAGGCAGTTAGACAATTATTCCGGTTTTCCTCAAAGCTTAGTTTCAAAAATTGTTTATTATGTAACGAACCAGTGAAAAAATTCCGAAATCATGAAAGTTAATACGAGCTGAGAAAATCTTCAAAATTTCAAATTGCCTCCAGCGGATTTGTGTGTGTGCAAACACCGCGACGCACTTTTGCACAGGAAGATTTGAAGGGTCATATTTTCACAATATTTCATCTTTTGTTTGGTTCAAGTTTAGCCCGGTTAAAGTCAGAGGCTTCGTGGGTGGTCTCCGTCAACCGGAATAGCTGTCTGACCGCCTTTAATTTTTTTAAAATCATTTTTTTGCACAAATCCAGTGCTCTAAACTCACATCTAGTCATAATTTTATAAGGTTTCGCTTGTTGAGTTGTTTCATCAACATGAACCATCAAAGTATAACGAACTCTTCTAGCCGGCAATGTCAAATCAATCAATACTAGAAAAATAGAATGTATAAAAGTAGCGCATAACCAGAGATCCATAAGTGTAGCTGCAGTATACGGTCGAGTTGAACACAACATAATTAATATACCAATCATTGCGGCTAATGAAACGAGAATTTGAATTTTTCGACGTTTCCATTGAGCGAGAAAAACTGATGAAATTATAAGGATTGATGGGAGAAAGGAAGAGAGAACTGCACGTGGCCATTCGGCTTTGAAACAAAGTTCGATGAGGCATAAGGGATAATCGGAGATTGAGATTGAGGCGAGAAGTTTTTGGGTTGGATCGCGGAGATCAACTACTCGAGTTATTATCAATGCTTCATCTGAAAAAATCAAATTTCACGACCATACAAGGCGCCCGTTGAGTCAGACGCGAGACGACGAGAGTACACATATTTTGTTGCTGAACAAAAAATCTCGGTTCGCTGTTTAAAGGGACATGCTTTAATTTTCCACCAAAATCTCAAGAACGGCTGCACCAAATCAAAATCTGAGTACACCATCTTTATCGCCGTGAAAAACTGCATGGAAATAAGCTTTAGTGGAGCGGACGGGTGCCGTTTTAGCGTTTCGGGGTTCGTGGCGAGACCAATTTCGAAAAATAGCGCGCAAAATGGAGAGACGCGAGACATTTTTGTGTATTTGTGCGTCACCGTGTTTGCACAAGTCAATACAGTATACCAACCGCGAACCGAGGGCCAAAAAAATACGTGAGTATTTTGCAAAAATATCCTGAAAATTAATTTCGCTTCGAGATATTTTCAATAAAACATGTGTTCCTTGAAACAAAATACGGTGTTTTTTCAAAGGGACACACATTTTCTCAAAAATATCTCGAAGCGATGTCGTTCTCTGTCTTAGATGACGTCATCAGACCCCTGTCGTCTCTCGTCTGACCCGAGGGGCAATTTTCTATTGGAATTTGCTTTTTTTCCCCAAAAATTAACAGAAAATTGGCTTTAGAATTGGTACAGAACCTTCTGATGATCGGGGAACATTGTTCCAATTTGTGAAAAGTTACCAGAACTCCTGTAGATTTTTTTTCCCTACGATTAAACGATCAACGAAACAAAAGAAGAACTTTGAACTTTTTTTTGCTGTCTATCCCCATTTTCCTTTCCCAATCCCTCACCTCCTTCCGACGAAATACTAATCGGACAACTAAAACTCTCAAAAGGATATTTCCACGCTGTCGCCGTACAATCCAAAGATGTTTTAATGGTGATAAAAGTGGCGAGTTGTCCGACAGTCGGATTCAGCGAACTATATTTCGAAGTTGGTGTTGGCGAATAAATCAAAGAGGGATGCCAGGCTGAAAATTCGGCGGGAAGAGTGAGATGATCGAATAGTTCACGAAGTTTTAATCGTTCATCAATCCATTCGAGTTTTATGATACATTCAACGTAAAGGGAACGCTGGAAAGAAGATTATTTCAGGATATTGGTATTGTCCGTTTGGAAATAAGACTCACCCCGCGAAAAAATCAATTTGAATTTGCTGCAGGAGACGCAGACAGCGAGAGAGTGCGCTGGCAAACAGCCAACGGGGGTTTTGTATGGGAAAGCGACCGCAACGCACACGCATCGCGGGGGTAGGGGGGGAATTAGAGATTTTCTCAAATTCAAATTTATTTTTTCGCGGGATGATTCTCATTTCCAAACGGACAATATGAAATTCACACAGAAAAACTTACATTGATAATCCGCGTAGCTAAAATATGCATTTCAACAGGCACATTGAAAAACGTGCCATTTCGATTGGTGACAAAATTATCGGGTGAAGCCGGCCTAACCGCCGCATGATAATATTTGAATTTCCGCGACAATTCATTCAATTCAGTTTGTGTTAGACTATTGGAAACATCAGCAAAAATGATGAGAATTAGATACAATAGCAACGGATTTTTTCGCATTTCACATTTCGTTTCTTCTCGTTTTCATTTCATTTACTGGAAAGAAATCTGATATTTTTTGGTGGGAAACTAATAATAATTTCGAAAAGACGAGACAAAGACAAATACTTTCAAGCGTAATTTAATTTGTTTCAATAAATGAGGGGTAATAGAAATCGAAAATCGAAATAAATGAAATGAATCATAACCGGGTGCGATCGAATAAATGACAAAAAAGGTTCGAGTACTTTTGAACAAATATTTATTTGTTGGGTTTTTGATCAGAAAAAAATGGCAGAAAAAATGCGGAAAAGTACACAAAACAAGTCATCACATAATTACTAACAAAACTATGAATTACAAATATTATAATCGCAACAAAAATGCAGTCATGTGGATATTATATTTTGTGACCTTTTTACACCTATCTAAAATTCTCTGGGTCCAACAAAAAATCAAAAAAATTCAAAACAAAAACACACACTTGTTACGTAATGAAAAATTAAGTGGGTCAATAAGTTGTTTTTGTGTTGTTGTTTTTTCTTACTTTCAAATTAAAATGTTCTTTTTGAATAGAAAGTTAAAGCAAAGCAATGAATTCGATTTGATTTTCGACGCGAAAAGTCTGCTTTTTGGGAAATGAATGGGAAGAAAACGGTATTTAATTGATGTTTTTCTTTTTTTTTCGATTAATGTACTGTGACAATTATGCATTTCAGAGAAGCTTTTCGCTCAAAATGAGACAATAAGAGAAATAAATTAATTTCAAAAAACCGCCTACACGTTGTGTGCATTTTTACGTGAGCGTGTTGACACACGACAAATTTATTTTTTTTTCATTTCGAAAATTTTTGTTTCTCGCGAAGTCTCGCGCGCTTTCCGTTTCCCTATGCGTTAATTATAGGTAAAAACTAATTGCAGATTGAATAGTAAGTCATTTGGCTATACTAGAAGAATAGGTAAAGTTTCTTTCGCGTTAGAATAAAAGAATAGAATGAAAGTTGAAAAAAGGGGAGGGGCGATTTTTCGTTGTTTTTCTTACTTTTTCACCGTGAAACTTCATATGTGAATGAAAAGAAAAAGGGTATTTTTTACAGAATGAGCCAACAAACCTATTCATTCACTCGTGTTACAACTGTATCAAACGGAGATGGCAAAAATTATGCGAAAAGTCCAATCGAATCATTGCCGTCGCCAAATGCCTATTCGTCAGTTGTAAGTGGGTCAAATTATTATCGAAAATTCAACAGGAAGAAGAGGAATTCCTGTTGAAAACCGAACAAAACGAAAGAAAATTGAAGGGGAAAAGTGTAAATCATAAATAATGCTCGATGAGATCTGACCTCAATAAATCTCCGAAATAAAAAAACCATATTTTTGTTGAGAAAAAGATGGGTCAAGTTGTATGCACTTTTCTCTATCTAGCTAGATAGAATGAAACTAAAACTGAAAAATTAGTTGTCAATTTTGCAAAGTGGTTTGGGTAGTGTTTTTTTGGGGGAAAATTCTGTTTTTTGTATAAATATTGATATCAAAAAGTCCCATGAATATCAAATAACGGAAGAAAAACAGAAAAAAATATGAAAAGACATGACAAAACCGCTCAATTACCAGTTCCCATTGGACATCGACTAAATGACATTTTCATGTTTTTTTAAGCAAATGAGTTGAAATAATGGGTTCTAATGTTATTCATATGATAGAATGGTCTAAGACGAACAAAATGATATAAATTTTGATGATTTTACGTTATCTATAAGTGATTTAGCGGCCTATCGACTAAATATCGACTAAACGTCGCTAAATCACTTAAGGATAACCTAAAGTCATCAAAATTTATATCATTTTGTTCGTCTTAGACCATTCTATCATATGAATAACATTATCACCCAATATTTCAACTCATTTGCTTAAAAAAAATGAAAATGCCATTTAGCCGATGTCCAACTATAATCTGTATTTAATTCCCAATGTTTTTCCAGTACCGCACACCATTGCGAAACTCGACAAGCACCTTGAATTCTTCCTCAACTGCCACATCACACAGCAAACCGGGGGAAGACAGGTAAGACAGATATCTAATCTATTTTGATTCATCCTCCCACCAGCTGATTGTTTTTTGTCTCTTTGAGAGAATTTGCCACCACCTGCTGTGCGCTTTTTTTTGTTGCTCCAGAGCTAGTATATAATAATTGTGTTGCGTTGCGTTACTTCATTTTTGCTTTTTTTCGCCTCAAAATTTCAATGGAATTTGCATTTCCATCCGAAAATATTTAATCCTATTAGTTATTTGATGATTCAGTTACACACTGTTTCCCCCAAATATCTATATATTTGTTTTTGTTTTGTTTTTCTTACTTTTTTTCGAACGTTAATCCCAAATTGTAAAGTGGCGAAATGTCTTTTTATCATTCGAGTCAATCGCCCAAGAAAAACAACCGAAATATCAGATTTTTTAGTTTCAAAAAATTGGGTTTTCCAGCTGGAAAGGGATTTGCAGTGTTAATCTTGAAATATCCTGAAATTTTATGGGTTGGGAATGCTGAATTTCACATTTTAAAGAAGAGAAATCGAGATTTTGGATAAAAATAGTAGTTTTCGACCAAAAATTGCAAAGATCATTTCCTAGTTATGACGTGGTAAAATTGGAAAATTTGAAAAATCTTGATTTTAGCGTGCTCCTTAAGTCACGAATTCCAGGTTTTTTTTTGAAATTCGTGATTTTAGGAGCATGCTAAAGTCAAGATTTTTCGAATTTTCACTCTAGGAAATGATTTTTGCAATTTTTGACGACGAAATCATGATGAGTGGGTAGAAAACTACTAAAGAACATATTTTTATCCAAAATCTCGATTTCTCTTCTTCAAAATGTGAGCTTCAGCATTCCCAACCCATAAAAATTCACGATATTAGAAGATACATGAGAATTACACTGAAAATCCCTTTCCAGCTGGAAAACCCAATTTTTTGAAACTGAAAAATCGGATATTTTTGGTTGTTTTTCTTGGGCATTTCGCCACTTTACAATTTGGGGGCCAACAAGTACTGGAAGAAAAAACCTTGAGTTGAAATAGAGAAAAATTTCCGAAACTCATTTCTCAAAAAATCTGGACCAGATGCCTTCACATTCCAAAAACCCATAAATATTTATAAGTAAAAGATAACATTAACATGAAAATAAAACTGTTTTTCTCTGTTCCACCAGCCAGATGTTTTGTGTGGGTTACAACATAAATGAATGAATGAATGAAGAAAAAAACGGCTGGTATAAAAGAGCAAAGCATCTTATTATTTACACGTGTTAAGCAAACATTTTCTTCGATCTATCTATATCTCTTCTTGTCATTTTTGTGTCTCTATCTTATCGCTCGCCGCTAAAACAGTAGCTAGAAAATATTTGAAAATAAATATGTCGACTGTCGATTTGTCTGAAATTTCTGATCGATTTGAAAAATTAAGGGCAAGAAGCGGTAACAATATGGCAACCTACAACACTTCTTCATCATATAATCGTACTTATGAGAAAAAAGTGAGTTTTTCTTTCAGAATTTTTCGAAAGTTGAGAGTTACAGCAAAATTTATCTCGAAAGAGAGGAGAAAGTATCAATTTCCAGCAGCAGGAAAAAAACGGGCTTGGAATTTTCGGTTTGAAATTTCGAGCGTGCATCAATTTTTGTAAATTTTCCAGAGAAAAAACAAAATTATCGAAATAGTGTGGATTTTATTGATTTTCAGATTTTCTAACAGAAAAGTACAGTGAGCACACCTCGGCTGAAATCGTGTTTTTCAAAATAGAAAATTGTACGCTAACTTTTTACAGTATGAAAACTGTGAAATTTTAGGTTTTTGACCTCTAGAAAGTGAAATTCAGATTTTTAGGGGTCAAAAACCTAAAATTTCACAGTTTTCATACTGTAAAAAGTTAGCGTACAATTTTCTATTTTGAAAAACACGATTTTAGCCGAAGTGTGCTCACTGTACTTTTCTGTTAGAAAATCTGAAAATCAATAAAATCCACACTGTTTCGATAAATAATTTTGTATTTTCTCTGCAAAATTTTTTTAATCTGAAATTTCAAACCGAAAATTCCAAGCCCGTTTTTTCCTGCTGCTGGAAATTGATACTTTCTCCTCTCTTTCGAGATCAATTTTGCTGTAACTCTCAACTTTTCGAAACAAATTGTGTAACAAACCAAAAGCCTTTGTTTTTCTTTTAATGACTCATCAAAACCCACTCGTTTTTCTCAATTTCGAAATTTTTCAGGTCATCGAAGAAGGAAATCCACATGTTCGTGTCACAACCCAAACCCATACTCCACTCACTTCTTCGGGTGTTGGAAGTGTTCTTCCGGTATGGACATATTTTATTATCTTATCTAGATTACATAGTATAGTTGGACATCGACTAAATGACATTTTCATGTTTTTTAAGCAAGTGAATTGAAATATTTGGTTCTAATGTTATTCATATGATAGAATGGTCTAAGACGAATAGAATGATATAAATTTTGATGACTTTACGTTATCCATAAGTGATTTAGCGGCCTATCGACTAAATATCGACTAAACGTCGCTAAATCACTTATAGATAACGTAAAATCATCAAAATTTATATGATTCTGTTCGTCTTAGACCATTCTATCATATGAATAACATTAGAACCCAATATTTCAAATCACTTGCTTAAAAAACATGAAAATGTCATTTAGTCGATTTAGTCGATGTCCAACTATATTACATAGCGTAAAAAATGCCAAAAATATTGTATTTAGGACATTAACAATATTCATCAAAGCATGTTGAGCCAATTTCCAAACATGTCAATTGGCGGAGGAGTTGCTGCTCAATCGAATTTGGCGCAAATCACTTCAGTTCGTGTCACCAACACTTCGTTCCATGCAAGTATTGATGTCAGCAAATTTGATGCCGATTCGTTGAAGGTAGATTTTCTTGTTTTGGATACTGCTGGAAAATTTGGTTTAAAAAATGGCAAATTCAAAGATCAGTCTGCATTTGTTCCCTATTTTTCAATTTTTCAGGGAAATTTCGATTTATAAAACAAAATAAATGACAAATTTTATATTTTTGCTGAATCTTGGGGTTTTCTAACATCTGAGTTCCAGATTTTAAATCTAATTTATTCTGGAATTCAGAATTTTCAACTTTATGTAAAACCCCAAGATTCAGCAAAAATATAAAATTTTCGAAATTTCCCTGAAAAATTGAAAAATAGGGAACAAATGCAGACTGATCTTTGAATTTGGCATTTTTAAATCCAAATTTTTGACCAGCCAATCAAAGTTTGAAACTCACCGAAAAACTTGTTTTAAATCGGATTTCGATGAAAAAAAAATTAATTTTTTTATTCTGAAAATAGGCAAATTCAAGTTTTTGCGGAAAATCTAATTTTTCGACGAGTTTTGATTTGAAATTTGGATGTGAAAGATGAAAATTACATATTTTTAAACCTTCTCGGGAAAAAAGGAGCAAGTCTTTCTACAAAAATCGACTTTTAGCCAGATTGCGATCATTTTTAGCAAGCTTTCTACAATTTTTATAATGGGAAAATAAATAAAGCAAGCTGGCTAAAAGTCAATTTTTCTTGCGAACTTGCTATTTATTACCCGAGTTATTCAATCCCGAATTTTTCCAGGTCACCGTTGTTGACAACAATGTGATTGTCGAAGGATCGCACGGCGAAAAAGAAGACTCATATGGAACAATTTCAACAACTTTCAAAAGAAAGTTGCCATTGCCAAAAACTGTTCCAGCCGAAAGTGTTCAATCGCAATTGACTGCTGATGGATTTTTGACCATTGATGCCAAAGCGCCAGAACCAAAGGTTTGTTTTTTGAACTTAGAAGGAATGATCCCCGATTTACCCCCTGGATTTTGATGATTATTTTTTTAAAAGAAGTATATTTGGGAGTTATGAAACCCCATAGTAGCATTTTGCAAACTTCGGCCTATTTCGTGAGTTATGGGAAGTCCGTAATTTTTGAGTTAAAAACTGGTCTTGAGACTTCTCGGGGTCGGAACTTTGTTATTTTTCATCGAAAAACGTCCACCAAAAAATCATTTTGAAGCTAAAAATGCGAAGATTTCAAAATTTTTGGTCCCCGGAATCATTTCATCAAGTTATCATATGATAATTGTGAAATTTCAAAAATTCGAAATTTTCAAAAAATCAAAAAATAAAACAAATAGTATTTAGAGGGCTTGGGGGAGAGTGGACACCAATTGCATCGTGTTCCTCATCAAAAATTAGGTCTACGAGGATGGTCGAAAATATCTGTAATCAGCCTTTTAGAAGAAAGAAAAATTGATTTTTACGTTTTTTCACTATTTCAGATGAGCATTTTCACTGTTTATTGACAAAACCACGATTCTATGGTTTGCATAATTTTTTAAACAATGTTTTTTGGTATTAAAACGTTGATTTTTAGCAATTCTATCATTTTCCGATCATTTCCAATTTTTCTCAAAGTCTCCCAACACCCAAACAATTAAATCTACAAATTAATTGTTTCAAAAATCGTTTGTCAATAGTTTTACTTCGAATTGATCATTTTTGAGTTCTGAGACCTGGATTAGCTTTTTCTACGTCAAAAACTGATCCAGAAAAAATATATGAAAATATCACTATCCGATAAAATAAAAGCAAATCGATATTGAAAATAAAGCTCTCTGATGTTCTCGATTGAAAAAAATGGATTTTTTGTTTGATGTGAATAACTCATTTGTAACTCTTTGAACTCGCCGGTTCAAAGTATTTTAGAAAATTATTTCTCAATCACTTTTTGACGTAGAAAAAGCTAATCCAGGTCTCAGAACTCAAAAATGATCAATTCGAAGTAAAACTATTGACAAACGATTTTTGAAACAATTAATTTGTAGATTTAATTGTTTGGGTGTTGGGAGACTTTGAGAAAAATTGGAAATGATCGGAAAATGATAGAATTGCTAAAAATCAACGTTTTAATACTAAAAAACATTGTTTAAAAAATTATGCAAACCATAGAATCGTAGTTTTGTCAATAAACAGTGAAAATGCTCATCTGAAATAGTGAAAAAACGTAAAAATCAATTTTTCTTTCTTCTAAAAGGCTGATTACAGATATTTTCGACCTTCCTCGTAGACCTAATTTTTGATGAGGAACACGATGCAATTGGTGTCCACTCTCCCCCAAGCCCTCTAAATACTATTTGTTTTATTTTTTGATTTTTTGAAAATTTCGAATTTTTGAAATTTCACAATTATCATATGATAACTTGATGAAATGATTCCGGGGACCAAAAATTTTGAAATCTTCGCATTTTTAGCTTCAAAATGATTTTTTGGTGGACGTTTTTCGATGAAAAATAACAAAGTTCCGACCCCGAGAAGTCTCAAGACCAGTTTTTAACTCAAAAATTACGGACTTCCCATCACGGCGAGATTTTCCCAACGTCCCTCTCCTTTCAAAATTTACATTAGAGAAATAGAGAACAAGTGGGCGGGGCTAGTTAGAGATAGGGGGGAGAAGACTACTGTAGCAAGAAGAGCGGCGGGAGTTTGAAAATAATTTTTACTTTTTTGTTGTTTTTCTATTTTTTTAAAGGATCACCGATATATCCAAGTTAAAGGTCTCACAGAGGAAGAATGAACGGGAAAAATACATCAATTGTCATCGTTTTTGATAGAAAAATTCTAATTTTATTTGCTAAAATCTGGTCTGTTGTTTCTAATTATTCTGAATGGATCCTGACCCACCAGCCAATCCCCAGCCCGACTTCAAAGCACTTTATGAAGCTGAAAAGCATAAAAATTCAAAGCTAAAATCACTTTGTAAACGATTTTACAATACAATTATTTATGCGAGAAGTCGTTACGATTGTTTGAGAGATCGCGCGGAGAAGCTGAATTCGTCGGTGGCGATTTCGAAGAACAATATACGAATCCAGGCAACTATACACGAATCTGAAAAATCAAGATTATTGGAAAATGTGGCACATTTGAGATTGGAGATTAAAAATTCGGATCAAATATTAGAAAGAACTCTGGCTGAAACTGGTAGAATTCTACAACAAAATGATCATGAAAGAAACGAGAATCTGAAGTTATTGGAAGAACTCAAACAAGACAACCTCAAAAAGGACATGGCACTTCAACGATCTCAACGATCTTCAACGATCGATTGAAGCTTTTCATGCACTATACAACAAATTGAGAAGAAGATTTGAATGCACCCGGAATGAAGAGCAAAAGATGCGACAGATTTTGAGGCAGATAATTTATTTCAATAGATTTTCAGATGTTAATTATTTTGATGGATTATAATGAAATTTAAAGGTTGAGGGAGGGTATTTATACATTTAAAAGAACTAACCAATCAACTCTCTCCTCCTTTGTATATCAGCAATTGGTAAACTCGATTTCATTTTCCGACTTCCATGGTTTTGGTGAAAGTGCTTCTTTCGCGTTCCCTCTCCTCTTTTTTCTGATGAATTGATAAGTTCTGGCTCCGGCTCGAGCTCCTCAATTGGCGTTTCCTAGAGATGATTGTTAAACAATTCCTCCAGTTTGCGCACAACATTGACGAGAAAATTCGAAGGCGGTTTGGTGAAAGTGCTTCTTTCGCATTTCCTCTCCTCTCTTTTTCTGATGAATTGATAAGTTCTGGCTCCGACTCGAGCTCCTCAATTGGCGTTTCCTGAAGATGATTGTTGAACAATTCCTGCAGTTTGCGCACAACATTTACGAGCAAATTCGAAGGCGGTTTGGTGAAAGTGCTTCTTTCGCATTTCCTCTCCTCTTTTCCTGATGAATTGATCAGTTCTGGCTTCGGCTTCCGTCCTATAATAAATAAAAAATTATTGAAATCAGCTCAAATGATTAGAAAAACTAACAACTCCGAAAATTGAGATGTTGCACTGGTTGTTCGCCGATAAGAAGAATAATTGAGTTTGGAGAAGTGGTCGAGGCGCGAGTGAATGGTGACAAAACACGGAGAAACCCTGAAAATACTAAATTATTCGCAAAAAAGTATAAATTCCAACAAAAAAGGTTTTTCTTCGAGAAACATTTACATTTCATGCAATAAAAATGAATTATTCAAAAGAGAACCAAAATTATTACTTACTAAAAGTATGAAAAACAAAAAACTTCCCAAAAATCAAAAAATAAACGTGTTTCCCCCAAAAAACCAGAAAAAAAGAAAAGAAAGTTGGGCCTAAAAAAAGGCTTTGTAAAAACGAGCGGGTCTCGTGACGAACGAAGTCTTTGATTTCGCTAGAGCGCGTTTGCATTGTCTCCTCCCCCTCAATTTTGTGCGGGCTGTTTCTGATGAAAGACGTTTTTTTTTTCACACCGTGCCATAACTCACGAAATAGGCCGAAGTTTGCAAAATGCTACTATGGGGTTTCATAACTCCCAAATATACTTCTTTTAAAAAAATAATCATCAAAATCCAGGGGGGTAAATCGGGGATCATTCCTTCTTAGATTTTTGGTATGGGTTATTTTTTGCAGTTGGAAGGTGCTCGTCCAATTCAAATCAAAGTCATCAACTCTTCAGAAAACAAACAATAATTATATAAATTCAAAGCCAGTTCGCCTATTTCCCCCTTTTTTCTATAATCTTCTTCTTCAAATTTATTTATCGCTTTAATTACAGGTTTTATTCAATTTTCAATTTCAATTTCAATTTCAAATTCAAATTCAAAAACTTTAATTTTCAATTATTAATATAATATATGCAAATAATAAATATGTTCGATTTTCTTAATAATTTCGTCGATTTTCTTGCTCATTTGTCTCTTCAGCTTCAGCTTCTTCCTCTTCATTATCTTCAACAACAATCGACAAATTCTTCTCGAGTTTCGGAGGAGATTTTGTGGGTTTGGAGGATTTTTGGTTGGATGAGGAGGTGGGAAGGATTGATTCTGAAAATTGAGGATTTGAATTTTAGGATCGGAAATTATTCAGTTTTTGGGAAAAATAGGCACTAAACTTAGGTTTAAAGGTATTTTTCCTAAATTTGAAGCCTAGAGGGCTTGCAACCCGGATTTCAGGCTTACTCCTGAATTTCAGTGAGCTTTAGGCTTTTCCCTTGAATTTTGGGCCTGGGCTTTGAATTTTTGGATTAGACTATAAAGCCTAGGCTTCAGGCTTTTGCTCGAAATTGGATTCTGCAAATGTAGTCTAAAGTTTTAAAGTTTTAGGCTTTATCTGAAACTTAGGCTTTGAAAATCTAGGCTCAGAGGCTAACTTTTAGGCTTTCAAAGATTTTACACAAAAATAGAAAATTAATTGAATTTACAACGACACTCCGGCTTGCCCGCTGTTTAGCGCAACACGAGAATATTTTTTGTCATTTTTCGTTTTTTTTTCGCTGGGTTTTCAGGTTTCCGGGGAAAATCAGTGGATGTCAGTCAAAAATTAATTTTTAGATGTTGGCTGGAATTTTTTTCGCTTCCAACGGAAAATCCGAGGATTATTGAAGAAAGGTGGGTTTTTTCTAGAGAAACACTGAAATTTTTGAGTTTATGTAAGATTTCTGAAAAATAGCTGTGAAATTGTTGTGAGACCCAGAAGAAATCTATAGAAACAGAGAAATTGAGTTAGGAGAACTCGAATGGTACATGAAAAATTCAAATTTTCTGATTTTCAGCTCGAAATAATGAAGGGCAAGTGGAAAACTTGGAGGATTCAGGATTTTCGATGATTTTTTCGATGTTTTGAGAAATAGAAGCGATTGGTGAGTTTTTTGGGGAGGGATTTCGGAAAAATTGAAAAATATTTGAAAAATTGAACTAAGTTAGGCTAACTCAGGCCCCGAGACTTACCAATATGATCAGCATAATAATCCGAATACGATTTGACATAAACCAATTGTCGAGTTCGAGATTTCATTCCATTATCATTCGACCCTTTTGGAATTCGATAAATATTCGTTTTCGCCGATTTTTCTCGATTTTCTTCAGAAGTTGATGGCTCTTCATCAGCCCATTGAACTTTTCGAAGTGTCATTTCTACAAAAAATCATTTTTTTTTGAGAAAGAAAAAATGAAAGCCAAAAAAATCAGAGAAAATTTCAGAGCAAGCAAGAAAATTGACCATTTTGTTTATTTTCTTTCTTTTTTGACATAAACACATGGTTTTATATTAAATTTTTTTGGTTTGGTCCAAAAAATGACGTTGCTTTTCTTTTCTTTTCTAAATAACATAAATCAATTTTTGCGTGCGTTGGCGGAAAATTGGAAAAATCGAAAGATGAACGGTTTTCTGCAAAAATGACAGAAAGAAACGGCGAAAAATTGTAGATTATGCTAATTTTGAATTGAATTGCATACAAGTTTTTTTTGTTCATAGAAATAAATAAATAAATGATTAGAAAAATGAAAATGTGATTTATGAATAATTAAAGCGCTTGAGAATTTGAGGAAAAAACAGGGAAGAGATTTTGGTTTTGAAAAAAAAATTTTATGATGCGGAAAATATTCAAAAAATTTTCATGAAATTTTCTCATTTTTCCACCTCTGAAAATTATGAATCAAACTACTTTCTCAAAATTTTCTTCAAGTAGCCAAGCCTATAAAATCTAATTGTCAAGTAGCCGCGTCTAGAGATCGACTCTGACAAGTGGCCGCGCCTTGAGAACCACTATGGGTAGGTATGGCGCCTTGATACTTCTATGACAAGTAGCCAAGCCTAGAAAACCTAGTTGTCAAGTAGCTGAGCCTAGAGAACCTAATTGTCTAGGAGCCGCGTCTAGAGATCGACTCTGACAAGTGGCCGCGCCTTGAGAACCACTATGGCTAGGTATGGCGCCTTGATACTTCTATGACAAGTAGCCAAGCCTAGAAAACCTAGTTGTCAAGAAGTGGAGCCTAGAGAACCTAATTGTCTAGGAGCCGCATTTAGAGAACCACTACGGCTAGGTGTGACACCTTATGACAAGTAGCCAAGCCTAGAAAGCCTAGTTGTCAAGTAGCGGGCCTACAGAATCTAATTGTCTAGTAGCCGCGTCTAGAGAACCACTCTGACAAGGAGCCACACCTTGAGAACAACTTTGTCTAGGTACGGCGCCTTATGACAAGTAGCCAAGCCTAAGGCCCAATTCAAAAAGTTCCCAAAATCAAACTTTCAAAAAACAAAAACTGAATGAACAAAATGGTATAACTGACAAACAAAAGATTATCGTTTTCCCCCCAATTTTTTTTTCAAAACCGGTTCCAAAGTGTTTTGGAATTATGCGTTTTCTGGAAACTATTTATCATTCATTTGATCACTTTTCAAAAGAAGAAAACTGGAAGTAAAGATAAAACATTGTTTATTTATATAAGTACCTTCTGAATTAGGGAAGGGAAAAAAACGAGTTTTTTTTTGTTTTTTGAAAGTTTTGATTTGATCTTGAGTTGATAAGTATTCAGAAATAGACAAAAAAGATCGAAGATAATGGTATTTTGTAGTAAAAGTAAAATAAGGCATACTTTGTGACTCTTGGGCGAAAAGAACATAAAATAAAATATAAAATGTATGAACATTGCGTGATTAGACTTTTTAAGTTGTCCTAAAAGTCTGGCAAAACAATTTTATCACCGGAAGTTGGAAAGAGAATGGCAAGCTGCACAAATAACAAAAATATATTGATGACGCATTTCAATTTGTATATACATTTTGTTTGAAATCACGAGACCCTGGGGTTTTTGAACTTTGAAGCGATAAAGGATCAAATTACATTTGAAGTGATAAAAAAAGTTTTATGTATTGGAAATTTGAAAGAGGTAAAAATGCTATGTTACCTACAGAAGACCAGAATTTGATTTCACAATCAGATATCTAAAAATGAATTTTTCCCAATGGATTTTTCACAAAGGATTAAAAATAGCTCTATAGCAGCTTTTCAGAGCAATTTGAAAATCTTAAATAAACTCATAAATAAACTCGAAATTTATTTTTAGATATTTGAAATCAAATTTTGATCTTCTCTATACCTACGTAAGTAGCTTTACCTTCAGTTAGTGGATATTTTTTTAAAAAGTTCTAGATTTAAAAAGAATCGGGGAGTTTATCTTTTGATAGCCTAAATACCTCGATCATTTCCAGATTTCGAAAAAAATCACATGATTTTTTCAAACAAAAGTTTCCAAACCTACCCATCCACCACCAAAAAAAAACCAGTTCAGTTATCAAATTTTTTGCAAAGATCACACATAGAAAATTCTGACAAATCATACGATTTAAATATTCTGAAACACACCCCAAACAAACAAACATCATTATTATTCAAATAATACTTTGAACTTTTTTTATTTTGGGAATTTTAAAATGTTAGTACACAGGAGTATCAAAAAATCAAATAAAATTTAAATTTTTCTGGGAATCCGATTGTCCCAATCGTTTTTGAGATTTTCGAAGTAAACATTTGTGTCCGCAAGGATATCGGTTTTTGGAGCATTTGTGGGTGTTGATGCATTTGATTCGATGTTCAGTGGTGAAGTTCGGTGAGCACACATCAGCTGAAAATTGAATACACTTGCAATCGAGATATTTTTTATTATTTTCTAGTAGGTTTTCCCGGCTGAGCTCAGCTCTAAATTGAGTTATGATGTGGCAGATTTCAAAAAATATCTAGGTGAAGATTTTTCGAAATTCTTGCCACGTCATATCTCATTTCAAAGCTAAGCTTTGTATTTAGTTTTGGTAAATGGGATAGTGAGTGCGATAGAGCGAACTTTCTTTCCTAGGTTTTAAAGGCGGTCAGACAGCTATTCCGGTTGACGGAGACCACCCACGAAGCCTCTAACTTCAACCGGGCTAAACTTGAACCAAACAAAAGTGAAAATATGAAATATTGTGAAAATATGAAACTTCAAATCTTCCTGTGCAAAAGTGCGTCGCGGTGTTTGCACACACAAATCCGCTGGAGGCAATTTGAAATTTTGAAGATTTTCTCAGCTCGTAGTAACTTTCATGATTTCGGAATTTTTTCACTGGTTCGTTTCATAATAAACTATTTTTGACACTAAGCTTTGAGGAAAACCGGAATAATTGTCTAACTGCCTTTAATTTTAAAATACCAAATAAATTTTTGGGTTTGAACTCCGAGAGAAGTACACACATATAAATCATGTGTGCGATAGAGCGAACTTTCTTTCCTAGTGGTAATGTTTTAGCTCCCTCATCAGAATATTCCTTTGGCCTCATAAATTCACCATTTTCAAATATCGTTTCGCATGTTTCCTCCACTTTTCATCAAAATACAACATTGCGGCAGGAAATCCGATTCCATAAAGAATCGCCATATAATTGAAACCAATATGTAACCAATTTGAGATTGACATTTTATTGCCGATTAGGAAAATGACACAAAGAATACTGAAGAAGCTATTCAAAATGATGCCACGTTTGAAAAGCTGGAATATTCTTGATTGTTGGATTATTCAAGGATTTGTTAGTGCTAGAACTAGAATAGCAACTTACATGTGCCGTCTTGACATTTTCAAGAACTTGATATCTCTCTGATAATGAATAGACAACCATATTTTCCGACGAAAATCTATCAATCATAAAATATTTGTTGTTGTAATGCTCGTTGAAAAGGCATGCCTAAAATGAATTTATTAATTTATCTATTTTTTTGGACAAGATGAGGACTTACGAGAAATGCGAATGTGTTGATTGCAAATAGAAAAATCACATGGTATATCACATGAATATATTCGAATACAAAAACAATGTTATTTAGGATTGCCCAAGAATAGAGAAAAATTGTTAACATATAGCCGATATATAGTCGGGGGTGTTTTTCATAGTCTGAAAGAGATGAGGCTTGAAATTGTAGAATTTCAAAAGTCCTACCAGTTTTGTAACATGTAGCACAAAGTCTTTCGATCATCACAAAAGTTGAGAATGAAAAAGCGATGAATACCAAGGTGGATCTACCGATTGATGCGAATTGGAAGAAGTGGGAGGTTAGAAGAAGTTCTGAATTATGAAGCTTTGTTTGGTACTAGACAGGCCTGTGCCGGAAATTTTCCGAATTTTCCGAATTTCCGGTTTTTTCACGGAAAAATCAATTTTCCGATTTTCCGGAAAATGTGCTCGGAAAATCCGGAAAATAATCTTTAGTAGTAATACTTACAATTTTGCCTAAATTTTGGGAAATTTTCTCAGTTTATGATAGAAAAAATGAAATTTTTGGAATTTTTTTTCAATTTTTCAATTTTTACGATTTTTTGAACGTAAAACGTCTCAAATAGTTACTAAATACCTGTGAATAGAAGAATTGTAGATAAAAATAAGTTTTTGTGCCAACTTAAGGCTGAAAATCGAAATTTCAGAATTTGAAAAATTTTTCGAATTTTCCGGATTTTCCGGTACAAAAAATCCGGAAATTTTCCGACTTTCCGTTTTCCGGGTTTTGATTTTCCGGCACAGGCCTGGTACTAGATAAAGGATGGTCAGGTTTTTATAGACTAGAAAATTAGACAATTATTGCGGTTTTCCTCAGAGCTTAGTGTCAAAAATAGTCAATTATGAAACGAACCAGTGAAAAAATTCCGAAATCATGAAAGTTAATACGAGCTGAGAAAATCTTGTGTTTTGAAAATTTCAAATTGCCCCCACGTCCAGCGGATTTGTGTGTGTGCAAACACCGCGACGCACTTTTGCACAGGAAGATTTGAAGTTTCATTTTTTCACTCTATTTTTTGTTTGGTTCAAGTTTAGCCCGGGGTAAAGTCAGAGGCTTTGTGGGTGGTCTAAATTCCTCACCATCATTTCTATTTCCATATTGACACCAAATTTGCATCAATCGAAAAGCCATCGAGAAAAAATATTGGCCAATCAAATGTTTCAACATAAAAATCAAATTCGGATGATAATGATTTGTCTTGAAAAGCACCAGAAAATACAAACCACACTCCAAATAACTCCAAATAATCAGAATTGTTTCGAGAATATATAACCTATCAAACCAATCAGAATCGGTAGACATTTCGGAGTCGGAACGATTCATGAGTGTCAAAAATATCATCTAAATACATCATTTTTCAATCAGATTCTGTTTTTCTCCGGAGAGATGAGAGAGAGAGGTATTTTACAAGACGGGCGGAGCAAAAAAAAAGGAAAAATATGAGGAAGGAAGTGAATTTGAATGGATGAATGAATGAATTTTTAATTTTTCTCGTTTCAAAATATTCCTGAAAGGCGGTGCTAGATAAGTTTGACGCACTTTGAAATACATTTTTACAAAACTGTTCTTTGGAATTTTTTCGAAATATTTTCGCTACAATTCCTACGCATTTTGCAATGAATTTTCCATATCTGATTTTTTTTTGAAAAAAAAATTAAGAAAAATTCGTTGACTAATAATATTTTATTTTTTGTTTTCGAACAAACAAAAATACTACAATTTCTATGGAATTTGAAACTAAAAAATATATGTTATTCAGGAAAAATAATTAGAGAATTTTTGAGGGAAAAATATGACGACTGGGGAATTTTTTTTTTAGCAAAATCCGGAGGAACATTTTTTTTACTCATAAACAAAAATTGAAAATGAATGAAGATTAGAGGATTACTCAATTCTTCTGATAAGTTTCTTGTTTTCAATGAGAGGAGGAGGAGGGGCCAAGAACTCAAGGTGTAGACAATTTTGAGATCAGACGAGATTTTTCTGTTCAAAAAGTGCACGGAAATTAATTTCTGGATTTAGTATCGTACGTAAAAGTTAACTTAAAGTTAATTAGATAAATATATTTAAAAATAGAACATGGAAAATTGTGAAAAGTAATTAAAAAACAGCAAAAATTAATGAAAAATTCTGGACCTATTCATCTGAAAAATAGCGAAATGAAATTATATCCAGAAGAATGAATGAGGAAAAAAAAAGGAAAAATGAGAACATGAATGGAAAATTTGATATATTTGATACAGAAAAATAAAAATTGAAATTAATGAGGAATTCCCGCGAGTTTGAAAAGTGCAAACAGTTTTTTTTCGAATTTATTGATGGAAAATCTCATGGTCTCGCACCGATTGGCAAAAATACCGTACTTAGCAAAGCTCTCTTTTTTGCCAAATTTCTTGACGTGGAAAATAGATTTTCGAACAAATATGTATTAAATTTTTGATTTTTGAACCCCGACTTATTAATTTTTCGGACGCATAATATTTTTCTACGACATGAGTTGATATTTGGAATAAAAAATTGGTCGCTGCGAGACCCATATGTGCGTCTTTGACTTTGTTTCTCTGGGTGGAGGTGTTAGTGACGCAGAGGAAAACCGCGAAATACTTGTGATTTAAATTTCTGGCTTCTCTTTTTTGCCAAATGTTTTTACGTGTATACCACTTCCTAAAATAACAAATATCCAAGAATTCCCGTGAGTTCAAAAAGTGCAAAATTTTTTTGAGATAAACATGAACGTCATGAGTTAAATATAGGAACTATTTGACTTCCAAAAAATTTTTCATTGAAAAAATTATCACATTCAAAATACAAAAATACAATCAATTAGGCGAAACACTTCTAGCAGTTTCCGACATTTTGTTCCTCTCAACACTCTGTGAATTCCCTTCGACTTTAATCTGATTTTGAAGATGTTGATGATCCGGTCCAGCCCATTCGGTTTGCAAATGTGAAAAGTAGACATTTGCGTGATCTGCATTTGCCACGTAGCAATTGTTTCCAAAAGTATCTCGAACTTTTGACATTTGACGGCCGGATTTTTGATTTTCCGGTCCAACTCGACGATTTGAACAACAAATCTGCGAAGAAGATCATTGAGCGTTTTTTTTTTGGATAAATCCACCCTCAAGATTAGGAAAAAACAAAAAGATTGAGAAGCTAAGTGGTTCTATTCAAGTAAATGATATTTAATAATTCCATTTGTTGTCTGACTCACTTTATGTTTTAATCTTCTCAATTCCTTTTTCCATCCGCGATTATAAAAAAGCATACAAATTGGAACAATAGTACCGTATGACCAACAACAATAGTTAAATGAAAGATAAACCCAATTTCGAATAATTGGTGAATTAGTGTATTCATCGACGTGAAGCATTGAAGAGCAAGCGAGAGCAAAGAATGATATTGAGAAACACATTGCTTTGAATGGCTGCAAATTGGAGGAGTTTGTTGGAATGGAATTGAACTTGATCGAGCGTTGGCTAGAGTAGCCACACTCAAGTGGGTGGTGGAAATATATGCAAAATTTGCAAAAACAAGGAAGTTGATTGTGAAAAACAAGAGCTTTCTTCGAAGCTTAGTGTCAAAAATAGTTCAATACGAGTTGAGAAAGTCTTCAAAATTCCAAATTGCCTTGGTGTGTGCAAACACTGCGACACACTTTTGCGTAGCGTACAGGAAGATTTTTCATTTGTTTTGTACCAGTTAAAGGCAGTTAGACAATTATTCCGGTTTTCCTCAAAGCTTAGTGTCAAAAATAGTCAATTATGAAACGAACCAGTGAAAAAATTCCGAAATCATGAAAGTTAATACGAGTTGAGAAAATCTTCAAAATTCCAAATTGCCTCCAAGGATTTGATGTGTGCAAACACCGCGACACACTTTTGCGTACAGGAAGGTTTGATATTTTATATATTGAAATTTTTTTGAAAATTGAATTTTCAATCCACGTTCAATTCAATTATGAAAATAATTTGTTTTGATTGCTCTATGTATTATAATTCTCTTCTGACTATTATTCTCAACATTTTATCAGCTGCTGCAAATTTTGTTCGCGATCTTAAAGACGGTCAGACAGCTATTCCGGTTACCGGAGACCACCCACGAAGCCTCTGACTTTAACCGGGCTAAACTTGAACCAAACAAAAGATAGAGTGAAAAATGAAACTTCAAATCTTCCTGTGCAAAAATGGGTCGCGGTGTTTGCACACACACAAATCCGCTGGAGGCAATTTGAAATTTTGAAGATTTTCTCAGCTCGTATTAACTTTCATGATTTCGGAATTTTTTCACTGGTTCGTTTCATAATAAACTATTTTTGACACTAAGCTTTGAGGAAAACAGGAATAATTTTTTTTTCATTCACCTTTGTCGCATTAATATTTTCCGAAAGTTGAGTTCTCGCACTCAACGAATATCTCGAATCATAACTTTCTCGCAGTTTTTTGTACTTCTCTTTATTGTACTTCTCGATCACCAGGGTCAGCTAAACAAATTTTATTATAGTGCATGATTTTTTTTTTCTAGACAAAATTGGGCCTACCGAGAAAGCTAATAGGTTGACAACTGTAATGAGGATAATGTGGATTTCTCGATTTGAACTGCAAAAAATGAAAATCTGCGCAGATCCAAGGGCGAGGAAGTATAAAATGAATGAGAGAAGATACGAAACCCAGCGGCGTTTTTTGGTCTCATAGTCGAAAACAAAATAAGTTGCGAAAACTCTTTCAAAAACCGGAAATGCGGAAAAATAAAAAGCAACGAAGAGCAGCGAATTTCGAAGCCAGACAGCAAAAAGGAAACTTGGAGTTCTCAAAAGTTCTTCTGTATCTGGTATCACCAATTGCATATAAATCATATACATTCTCGCCAAAATCGAGATAAAATATTGATTTGCCAATTGTTCAATAACCATCGATAGATTTCGATGATATTGTTTTGTATATCGCAATAAATACCAGAGAAGCATTGTTTCAGCGAAGGCGAAAAATAACAAAATCCATTCGAAATACAATGCCATTCTTAACATTGAATCTGTACTTTGAATTGAAGCTGTAGTCATGTTCAAAACAGTCAACTTGTACATTGATCTTGTGTCTATCATAGTATCGAAAAACATTATTCTGAAGAAAAAAAATATTAGTCATTCATTCAGATACAATTTTTTTTAATACGAAAAAATATATATGAAAAGTAAGTGAAAAGCTAAAGAAAAGGTTTTTTTATAAAAGTGATAATAATAAGAATAATAAAAAGTGGGAGGATTTGTGCATTTTTCATCAGACAAAAGTATCAATTATCATTGTTTTTTTTCTAATTGTAATTTTAAATCAAAAAAATTGTCCAAAAATGAGTCGGCCGATTTGCGTCAATGAAAAACTATACGAAACACATTTTAAATGTACTCGGATTAATTATAGTACCGTATACCTCTAGGAGATTATCTAAGTATAGTGAAATGAAAGTGTTTTCTGGTCGTTAGCAGAAAAAATTTAAGAATAAAATATGTAATAAAAATTCGCGAAGTCGGGACTTAATCAAATTTTTTTCCAATTTTGAAAAAAATTACGATGTTTGATAGAAAAATGATGTGAGAATTCGAAGATCTTGTCTAATTGTAAATTTATTATTGTAAGTACCACAGACTGTGAAGGAAATTGCATTTTTCCTGCAAAATAATTAAAGAATTTAACAATAAGGTAAATATCAGAGATCCAAATTTTTTTAACAGCAAAGCACGACGTAAATTTTTGAACGATCAAACATGTTAGATTGAGTTATGGGGAGCAGGTGGATTTCTATTTTAAAAACGTTTCTGATTAGTTCTCTGTGATCTTAAAATTAGGATAAATAAGGACTGAAAAAATTATCAAAACAAAAAAAAATTTTGACAACTGAATAACAAAAGGCATCACTGGCCAATTAGATTAATTGTTATTACGAGGAAATTACTTATGATTTCTTTGAAATAACAAAGGGGAATTTGAAATTTCGTAGAATTTTAGGTCAACATTACTGACGCTAGAAAATCAAAAGATTATAGACAAAATATTATTCTTTGGCTGAAAAAAAACTAATTTGGGGTTTGCTTTCGAAATTGTGATTAATTTTAATTATGAGTTCTGTAGACATGGGTTAAATAAACTGTGAGTACATGGCTCAAACATAGGTGAAATTGAAAAAAACATGAAAAATCTTTTTGAAAAACAGGTATTTCTTTGAAGTTCACATATTTTCACGATAAACTTCCTGGTAAATAAATTTTTTTTGAAGATTTATTTCAGACACGGGGTGTTAGTTCAGACTACGGTAGAAATGTTTTTTTTGTGTAATTTTGCGTCGCGGTGTACTATGTGTGTACCCAAACTTTTGGAATTTATTTATTGCAAAATGTGTGCCTAATCCACGTGTTTCCTGGTCACATTCTCTCATACCTCAACCACCACAAAAACCTTAATTCCGCTTGACTTCTCTTGTTAATCTACCGGGCCTACTACTATTTTTATTCATTTCCTCGTTTTCCCGATTTACTTTTTGTTATGTTTTTCTTACTCACAACAACCAGGTCAAACAAAGCTCAAAGGCAAATCGTCATTTCCGGCCAATTGAAAAAAAACGAAACGACAAAAAACTTTGAAAGACTTTTTTTTATTCGTGCTCAACGATTATTTTCTTTCTTGGTTTTTTTTGGCTCCAGTTAGCAAAAAAAATTTTTTTTTAGATGGGATGTGGATCTTCATCATCAACATCAGAAGTTGCACCGGCTCCTGAAATGATCGAACCATCTCCGCCTTCCGAAGTGCCTTCCGATCCAAAAATCCCGCGAAGCTACCGCCCATCGATTATTAGTTTACAAATTCCAAACGAGTTCGGTGATGATATAAGTTCGGATGCTTTAAGTGATCGGAGCAATGAGCATGAAGAAAATCAGGATTATTTATATGCCACAGATGTTACTTTACAATGGCTTTTGCAAAGAATTGCGGATAAAACTAATAAGGAAATCCCCGAAGATCCACAGTGGATTATTGAGAGATTGAATAGACCAAGTTGGGATTGTAAGTTTTTTTTTTTGGTTTTTTTTAAGGGGGACGACAAGACGACAAAATGTTATTTGCTCAAAAGATCGGGCTCTCCAATTAGCAGTCATATTCCACGTCATAGTAATCTACGTGGCCGCTGAAGCGGAAGACAGTGCCGCTGACGCGGAAGCTTGCGGTTTACACTCGCTACGCTCGAGGACATTTTTTCGAGCGGAGCGAGTGTAGACCGCAAGCTTCCGCGTCAGCGGCACTGTCTTCCGCTTTAGCGGCCACATGGATTACTATGACGTGGGATAGATAGCCTTAGCAATATAGCTTACAAGCTTGTTAGCAGTCATCTCCCACGTCATAGTCACAATCCACGTGGCCGCAAAAAATGTCCTCGAGCGTAGCGAGTGTAAACCGCAAGCTTCCGCTTTAGCGGCCACGTGGATTACTATGACGTGGCAAACGTGGTTTTACTACTTTTGGGGAGCCTTTAACTTTGCGGCAAAAAAATTTTGTCGATTAACCCCCCCCTTTAAAGAAATCTAATATTTTTCCAGCCGATTATGCCACTTCTTCGGTAGTTCGTGTAACTTTTGGATGGGAAGAGGATGGACTTCCAAAAAGTGTAGTTCTCAAAACTCCCGTTGCAAAAGATCAGCGAGAAGATGAAGAGGGTAAATATCACTACATTATGTTTAAGCGTGAATGTAATGTTTATGAGTGGACTTCGAAGTTTCCCAAACTCGTTGCTCCAAATATAATTCACATTAAAAAACATTCGAAAGAGGGAAGTGGTGTGGTTGTGATGGAAGATGTTAGTGACAAAGGAGTTGAGCAAGATCCAGTCAAAGGGTTAACGGTGAGCCGGTTTTTTCTCTTTTCAATTAAAGGCGGTCAGACAGCTATTCCGGTTGACGGAGACCACCCACGAAGCCTCCGACTTTAACCGGGCTAAACTTGAACCAAACCAAAGATAGAGATGAAAAAATATGAAACTTCAAATCTTCCTGTGCAAAAGTACGTCGCGGTGTTTGCACACACACACAAATCCGCTGGACGTGGGGGGGCAATTTGAAATTTTCAAAACACAGGATTTTCTCAGCTCGTATTAACTTTCATGATTTCAGAATTTTTTTACTGGTTCCTTTCATATTGAATTATTTTTGACATTAAGCTTCGAGGGTGGTCTTGGTCAATATTGTCTAACTGCCTTTAATTATGCCTAGCAACTCAAAAAATGTAATCTTCAGCTCGAAATAGTTCGCGACCTTCTAAAGCACATTGCCTACCTCCACGCCACATCCTTGCGGCATTCTTCTTGGAGCACATTAGTCGCCGATCTTCCCCCATCATACTATACACACATAATTGGGAATTTTGACGAGACAATGACATTTTTCGAGCGACAAGACGTGGATCACAGTCGATTTGTGCATACTGCCAAATTTTTTTCCGACGAATTTTTGCACTCGATTGCGACGGAGACTACGGAGAAACTGGAGATTCCCAAGGTTTTGGTGCACGGCGAACCGTATACTAGTAATATTTTTACGAGGACGGAGGGAAAGGATCAGCGGGTTTCAGCGATTATTGATTGGACAGGTGGGGCATTTTTTTTTAAATTAAAAATCATAATTGGGCTACTGTAGTTGGAAAATGTTTTTTGTGTGTAATTGTCCGTCGCGGTGTATGTGTGTGGTTGCCCGCGCTTTTCAAACTTTTTGAATTTATTTATTTTTTCTGCGAGCTTTTCATTCGAGAAATCTGAATAGGAAAGTTCAAATCTGAAATTTCAAATCGTACTGTACACAAAAGTGTTTACACACACGGCAATTTAAAAATCGAAAATCAAACATTTTCCTCAGCTATCAACTTTCATTGGTTTTCTTCCAACCTTAGGCTTTTGAAAAAATTTAAAAAAAAAAATTTCAAAAAATTTCAAATAATTTTCACAAAATCATCAAGGTGGATTTTTTCCAAACTCAGGACTTTGAAAAATTTCGATTTCAAATTGCCTCGAAGTCACGTGGATTGGTGTGTGTAAACACTTTTGTGTACAGTACGACTTGAAATTTCTTTCATATTCACAATCAGAAAAATCCCATTTTCGCAGAAAGTCACTCTGGATGTTTCGCTGAAGATGTGGCCAAAATCATATGTTGGAACTTGAATGCCAAAGAACGCGTCGATAACACAAGTTCACTCCTTGAAGGTTATCATTTCCACTTAGCTCGATATTACGATGGAGATTGTCCATTCACAGTTGATATTATTCAAAAAGCCTACGAAATCTTTGTGCCATTTGCAATGGTTTCACTGTGCGGAAAAGTGATGAGTGTGAAGAACAAAGCCGAAAAAGAGCCATTGATTGAACGAGCCAAAAATCTCCTTCAACAATGTTATACGATTGAGAAGATCAATGAGCAATAAAAAGTCTTTCAAGAAATAAATTTATGTATATCTTAAACATGCACTGATTTTACAACCGTCGAATTTTTCTCGACGTTTTTATCATATTCCTCATTCATCTGAAAATTTCAGATTTCATTTCCAGATTTTCCGGCTCCAAGTAACTTACAGTATCTTGGGTACCATCGGTTTTTTTATCATCCTCCTTTTTCACATCTGGAAATTGGGCGGCTTCCAAAACCGGATTCACTGGCGGCGCAACAGGAGCAGATTTTGAAGCAGACTGAAAATTCGGAACTCGCGGAACTGAACTCTGGAAAAAACCTACACTTTTGGGTTCTGCATTCTTCTTCTTCTTACAGTTGATAAGTAATTGGAACATTAATAAAACAGTGAAACAAATCTGAAAATTTTTTCTGATTTTCGTTTTTTGTTTTCAGCCAAAAATCAAACCTCATATGAAAACGACATTTTCGGGCAAATTATACAAACTGAAATGAGCCCATTTTTGAAATTTTCTACTTTTTGCCAACTCCCACGCGACGTCCCATTTTCATTTTATTTTTTTCTGGATAAGAAAGTGTAATATTTTTTTGTGAGATGAAAATTGTTGAGAGAGAGATGGCAGATGTTTTCGTGCACAACAAACATTTTTTGTGTTGAGATTGATTATTGATTTTGTTACAGGTAATGTCAACCATAACTGCTGGCAGATATGCGAAAGATGATGTAGATGTTGAGACGAAGTGGTGGAAAGAATATCCGAGCAAGTGAGTTTTTTTAACGGGTTTTTGGGGAATTGGTAGTCGAAGACAGCTACCATTTCTTAAAAATTCAAAAAATTAATTTTTAGTCCAAGTTACGCTTCACCGAAATAAACACGCAACGCAGACCGCGTCGCGCCACAACATACACAAATAAGGGAACGATTCAAATTCCCTCCCTTTTCTGTGTGTGTTGTGGCGCGGAGCGGTCTGCGTTGCGTGTTTATTTTGGTGGAGCGCGTGAGATTTTCGATAATAGTTAATAAAAACAATCAAACATAATTTGGCTACTGTAACTTGCATGTTGTGTGTAATTGTGCGTCGCGGTGTATGTGTGTACCGCGCTTTTCAAACCGTTTGAATTTACTTACAAGGAATAGTTCCCAAAATTCCCCCGGGAAAATGGGATTTAATGGGCGGAAGTTTTAGCATTTGGGTAGGTATGAAAAACCCCAAAGGGATTTGGCATGCAAAAATTTTGTTCCCGGATTACCTGGGGGTGGACCTTTTTTCGAGAATGTTTTGGGTTCTGAACTTTGAAAAATCGTAATTCCACTTACAATGGACGAAAAAAGTCGATCAAAACAGTTAAACAAAGCTTACATACTGCTCTATAGACTGAAAAATAGAGTTGTAAAAAAATATTTTTTTGACCCAGAAAAATAAAAAATTTCAAAAAAGTAAAAAAAATTTTTTTCCAAAATTTTTTTTAGAGGAAGTTTCAAGTGTTCTAGTGTTGATTTTCGAACTCTACGCACAAATTTACGTATAGTAACATGTTGAAATCGATATGTCTCCGGGTCCCCAGAAGTTCTAGAAATCGATTTTATGTTTTTCTGTTGCAAAAATCAACAAAAATAGTGTTTTATGCAGGCTACACTTTTGAGTAAAGTTGAAAACGTAGGAATTTCCAAGCAAAAGGTCACTGGATCGATTCCTCACGTCGGAAAAAAATATTTATTGGAAAAATATTTTTTTGGGAAAAGTTTCAAGGGTCTGAACATGTAGTTTAGCGAAAATACTGAACTTCTGAAGAAAATTTGGTCAGGCTAACAGAACATTTTTGAATTTGTCAAAAACTATCACGCTGTCAACTAGTTACGCCAGAAGAGCCGCTTTAGCTGGCAGACCAGTTTGGAAAACCACTTAAACTCGGGACGGCGCCTTGAGAGCATTTATGTCAAGTCGTTGCGCCTGCAGAGACCACTAGACAAGGCACAGCGCCTAGACAAAGCAAAGGCTGACAAGGAGCCGCGACTAGAGAGCAAGTCTTGCAAGGAGCCACGTCTAGAGATTGAACCTGACAAGGAGCCACGTCTAGAGAGAAAGTCTGGCAAGGAGCCACGTCTAGAGATTGAACCTGCCAAGGAGCCACGTCTAGAGATCAAGTCTCACAAGGAACCACGTCTAGGGAACTTGAATGACAAGGAGCCACGCCTAGAGAGCAAGTCTTGCAAGGAGCCACGTCTAGAGAGAAAGTCTGACAAGGAGCCACGCCTAGAGAGCAAGTCTTGCAAGGAGCCGTGACTAGAGATCAAGTATGTAAAGGAGCCACGTCTAGAGAGAAAGTCTGGCAAGGAGCCACGTCTAGAGAGAAAGTCTGGCAAGGAGCCACGTCTAGAGATTGAACCTGCCAAGGAGCCACGTCTAGAGATCAAGTCTCACAAGGAACCACGTCTAGGGAACTTGAATGACAAGGAGCCACGCCTAGAGAGCAAGTCTTGCAAGGAGCCACGTCTAGAGATCAAGTCTGGCAAGGAGCCACGTCTAGAGAGAAAGTCTGACAAGGAGCCACGCCTAGAGAGCAAGTCTTGCAAGGAGCCGTGACTAGAGATCAAGTATGTAAAGGAGCCACGTCTAGAGAGAAAGTCTGGCAAGGAGCCACGTCTAGAGAGAAAGTCTGGCAAGCAGCCACGTCAAGAGAGCAAGTCTTGCAAGGAGCCACGTCTAGAGAGAAAGTCTGACAAGGAAATGACAAGGAGACTAGTTTTCTAGGCGCGGCCGCTTGTCAGGTTCAATCTCTAGGCGCGGCTCCTTGCAAGACTTGCTCGCTAGGCGTGGCTCCTTGTCATTCAAGTTCCCTAGGCGTCGTTTCTTGTCAGATTTACTCTCTAGGCGTGGTTCCTTGTGAGACTTGATCTCTAGACGTGGCTCCTTGTCAGACTTTGTCAGACAGCGCCTAGAGAGCAAGTCTCACAAAGAACCACGCCTACGGAGCCTTCTAGACGTGGCTCCTTGTCAGGTTCAATCTCTATGCGCAGCTCCTTGCAAGACTTGCTCTCTAGTCACGGCTCCTTGCAAGACTTGCTCTCTAGGCGTGGCTCCTTGTCAGACTTGATCTCTAGACGTGGCTCCTTGCAAGACTTGCTCTCTAGGCGTGGCTCCTTGTCATTCAAGTTCCCTAGACGTGGTTCCTTGTCATTCAAGTTCCCTAGACGTGGTTCCTTGTGAGACTTGATCTCTAGACGTGGCTCCTTGTAAGACTTGATCTCTAGACGTGGCTCCTTTACATACTTGATCTCTAGTCACGGCTCCTTGCAAGACTTGCTCTCTAGGCGTGGCTCCTTTACATACTTGATCTCTAGTCACGGCTCCTTGCAAGACTTGCTCTCTAGGCGTGGCTCCTTGTCAGACTTTCTCTCTAGACGTGGCTCCTTGCCAGACTTTCTCTCTAGACGTGGCTCCTTGCAAGACTTGCTCTCTAGGCGTGGCTCCTTGCCAGACTTGATCTCTAGACGTGGCTCCTTGCAAGACTTGCTCTCTAGGCGTGGCTCCTTGTCATTCAAGTTCCCTAGACGTGGTTCCTTGTGAGACTTGATCTCTAGACGTGGCTCCTTGGCAGGTTCAATCTCTAGACGTGGCTCCTTGCCAGACTTGATCTCTAGACGTGGCTCCTTGCCAGACTTGATCTCTAGACGTGGCTCCTTGCAAGACTTGCTCTCTAGGCGTGGCTCCTTGTCATTCAAGTTCCCTAGACGTGGTTCCTTGTGAGACTTGATCTCTAGACGTGGCTCCTTGTAAGACTTGTTTTCTAGACGTGGCTCCTTGCCAGACTTTCTCTCTAGACGTGGCTCCTTTACATACTTGATCTCTAGTCACGGCTCCTTGCAAGACTTGCTCTCTAGGCGTGGCTCCTTGTCAGACTTTCTCTCTAGACGTGGCTCCTTGCCAGACTTGATCTCTAGACGTGGCTCCTTGCAAGACTTGCTCTCTAGGCGTGGCTCCTTGTCATTCAAGTTCCCTAGACGTGGTTCCTTGTGAGACTTGATCTCTAGACGTGGCTCCTTGGCAGGTTCAATCTCTAGACGTGGCTCCTTGCCAGACTTTCTCTCTAGACGTGGCTCCTTGTCAGGTTCAATCTCTAGACGTGGCTCCTTGGCAGACTTTCTCTCTAGACGTGGCTCCTTGCAAGACTTGCTCTCTAGTCGCGGCTCCTTGTCAGCCTTTGCTTTGTCTAGGCGCTGTGCCTTGTCTAGTGGTCTCTGCAGGCGCAACGACTTGACATAAATGCTCTCAAGGCGCCGTCCCGAGTTTAAGTGGTTTTCCAAACTGGTCTGCCAGCTAAAGCGGCTCTTCTGGCGTAACTAGTTGACAGCGTGATAGTTTTTGACAAATTCAAAAATGTTCTGTTAGCCTGACCAAATTTTCTTCAGAAGTTCAGTATTTTCGCTAAACTACATGTTCAGACCCTTGAAACTTTTCCCAAAAAAATATTTTTCCAATAAATATTTTTTTCCGACGTGAGGAATCGATCCAGTGACCTTTTGCTTGGAAATTCCTACGTTTTCAACTTTACTCAAAAGTGTAGCCTGCATAAAACACTATTTTTGTTGATTTTTGCAACAGAAAAACATAAAATCGATTTCTAGAACTTCTGGGGACCCGGAGACATATCGATTTCAACATGTTACTATACGTAACTTTGTGCGTAGAGTTCGAAAATCAACACTAGAACACTTGAAACTTCCTCTAAAAAAAATTTTGGAAAAAAATTTTTTTTACTTTTTTTGAAATTTTTTATTTTTCTGGGTCAAAAAAAATATTTTTTTACAACTCTATTTTTCAGTCTATAGAGCAGTATGTAAGCTTTGTTTAACTGTTTTGATCGACTTTTTTCGTCCATTGTAAGTGGAATTACGATTTTTCAAAGTTCAGAACCCAAAAAATTCTCGAAAAAAGGTCCACCCCCAGGTAATCCGGGAACAAAATTTTTGCATGCCAAATCCCTTTGGGGTTTTTCATACCTACCCAAATGCTAAAACTTCCGCCCATTAAATCCCATTTTCCCGGGGGAATTTTGGGAACTATTCCTTGTTAGTTTTTTCTGCGAGTTTTCCGAGATGAATCTATGTAGGTTTATTTTAATAGAATTATGTCTTATTTCTTTGATATTTTGAAAAATTAATAGGACCTAAACCATACCACGCCCAGGGTGAGGCATATGCACGGCGCCAATTAAAATTTACGGAAATTCACCTCGCCAATATGAGATTTTCTTGAAAAACAGCACATTTTTGCTTGTTGTTCCGTTAAAAAGTGGTATTTTTCAGTCAAAAAGGTTGTTTTCACCTCGCCAAAAAATTCGAAACCCACACCGCCAATTTTCAAAGTTAATTTGCACGAAGCTGGGCGTGGTATGACCTAAACCTAACCCGTCTAATTCAAAGCCCTTTCCAACACTCCCCTCGATTTTTGCAGGTACTACGTCGAACGAACCCGTCCTCAAGATCTCTACAATGATTTCATCTCAAACACCTGGAGCAAATCGAAACGTCTCGCAAAAAGCGCATCCTACACCAATTTGACCTACATCCGCGACAAAGATATGATGGATTATCCAATCAAACGATCCGATTCGGTTTCATTGTTGGCTCCATCATTGGCACTTCCCCAATACTGTAGAGAAGCTCAACGAATCGTTCACACTGCACCCGTCTACAAACCACATGTTCATCAATGGTACAATGGAAGTTATAGTGCGGCCAGATTCAGAGATACACATAGAGAGATCAATAAACCATACAAACCACTTGATACATATATTTCATCAGCATCTTCGCATGTTCCATATTATACGTTTCAAACTCAAAGAATATTCTTTGATGAGGTTTGAGCTTCACGCCATTTCGAAAATCATCATATTTTTTTCCAGAAAGCCCGTCAACTCGCTCCATATCTCAAAGAATCTCAACGCTACATGGATCGCTATGTGTCATCTCGCCTCAAAGCCGACGACTACGCCAATCGTTTCGCATACTCCGCCTACGAATGGCGCAAACCACAAGATCACGCGTTCAACCGTCACTTCATGTATGATCAAGGTGTTTTTGTTGCCACACCAACTGCAGTTCCAGCCGTCACTTATGATAAATTCCCGATGCGAAGACTCTACAAACGAACCGGCAGATTTTATTTTTAATTTTCTTTATGTAACATACACAGATAAATGTTCTTTCTTCCTTATCAGCCAGGTTTCGCTTTGAGACCCATTATCAAAAGGAGCAAAGATTGTGCAATGCTCTCTATTATTTTCTCGATCGATCGATCATTAATTTTATTTTTTTATTTTCTTTTTTTTATATAAGTTGTACAAAGTTCCAGGTAAACCGAAAAATAATGTTCGGACCATTTTGCACGGGAATTTTCCTGTTTTTGGCCATTTGGGGAGCCATTTTCATGGGTGTTTTGGGAGGTTTATACTATAATAATTCGGTTGGATTATTCGAAGATTTACCAGCGGAGGATTCGAAATTAGAAACAAAGGATTGGGCGACTGTTAGAGTTCCGGCGATTGAAAAGTGAGTTTGGGGGATTTTTTGAGGGAGAATGAAAAAAAATCACTAAAGTTCAAAATTTGAGTCAGAGATTCAAAGAAGAGCTTCCCCAGTACTGTTGAAAAGTTTCGAAGTTTTTAAAAATCTAAATTTCGTTTAAAAACTGATTTCAAGGCTGGATGAAGCTTTTTTACCTAGGAAATTTGAAAAGAAGTTTTCTGGGGGTTTGACAATTCAGGTTGGACTCTAATGGAACTTCTTCTATAGATGTTTAGGAACCTAGTTAATATTACATAATTCCAATACATTAAAGGATTGTACCAATCTTAAAAACATTTTCAATTATTTAAAGATCTTCAAATTATATTGTAAGAAAAAAAAATTTTTTTTTTGAATTGACAGCAAATACAGAAAAAATTTTCAATTTTTTCCAGACTTTACCAACAAAATGCTTACAATTGCTGGGTGGCTGCTGCTGTTTACATCGGTTTCACAGTTGTTCTTTCACTTCGCGCATGCTGTTTGGCCAAGCGATAAATTTATTCATAAAATAATTATTATCATTGAAATTATATCCTAAATCTAGCAGATATTGTAAATATTACGAAATTTTGTGTTCGTTTTAGAATTGAAAGAAAAAAATTGAAATTAAGCGGTCGTGGTTGTTGTGTCAGTAACAGTCTTCTTTTTATAATATTTTGTTGTGACATGTCGTGAAATAACTCCTGGCTCCAATGGTGTTTCAACTACACGTTTCTCCTCTTCTTTCAATAATGCGGTTTCTCTTCCTGGATCGGCTGATGTTTGATGTTCGCGTTTGTAGGAAACATCGTGGCCGTTCACATCGCGATATCCACCTTCGGTATTATTATGGGTGTTTGACAAACTTCCGATTGGCAAGCTTTCATTCATTTCGGTACGTTTGTTGAAAACATCATCAACAGATTGAGCATTTGATAAATCTTTGTAGGTTACTTGAGTAGATGGAGCAACCGCCGGAATGGTGCTGGAAAAAAATTTTATTTTTATTTTTAGAAATTTATTTTTCCCAAAAAAGAAATGCTCACGTTGTCTCTGTTTTCTCCTCATAGTTTCGTTTATAATTTCTTGATTCGGAATATTGCGAGAGTTGCGAAACTGGTCTGCTGGTTGTTTCTTCGCGACGGTTTTCCTCTTTGCGGCTGCTCAAATAGTTTTCGTATTGGTAGGAAGCTGGTTGAGTGACACGAGGAGCAGAGGTGTTCTGAAAATATAATTTTGGGAATAAATAGAAATTAAGGGCTTGTTCGGTTTTTGAATGGGTTTTAGAGCCAAAAGTAAACTGTGATACAAGAATATTTTAGAAAAATTCTGGAAATTGTGATCAATGTACAGCAAAAACACACACATTTTCATAAAAAAACGACAAAACACACACATTTTTGAGAGAGCACAGCGAAAAAAAAAAGTTTTTTCTTTTACAACGACACTCCGAAGTTCCGCTTGCCCGCTGTTTAGCGCAACACGAGAATATTTTCATTTTTCGTTTTTTTTTCGCCGGGTTTTCGGGTTTCCGGGGAAAATCAGTGAATTTCAGTCAAAAATTGAATTTTTAGATGTTCTACAAGTCTGCAATTATCGCTTCCAACGGAAAATTCGAGGATTATCGAAGAAAGGTGGGTTTTTTCTAGAGAAACATTGTTTCGATTGAAATTTTTGAGTTGGAAAATTGTTGTGAGACCCAGAAGAAATCTATAGAAATCGAAATGGAGTTAGCAGAACTCGAATGGTACATGAAAAATTCAAATTTTCTGATTTTCAGCTCGAAATATTGATGAACAACTGGATTTCAATGTCAATAATGTGGAAAACTTGGAGGATTGAGGATTTATCGAGGATTTTCGATGATTTTTGTGTGATTTGAGAAAAAGAAGCGATCGGTGAGTTTTTTGGGGAGGGATTTCGGAAAAATTGAAAAAATCGATAAAAAATTGTGTAAAATTTGAAAAAATATATGAAAATTATGAAAAAAGTTAGGCTAACTCGTTTTTCGAACGAAAAAAATAATTTTTTTTTGCTGTGGAGAGTACGAAACATGAAATTTTTATCAATAGGGCGCATTTCCATTTTTACTTTTATTTTCTTGTTTTTTGTTTTTCGAAAATTTTTCATTCACGTATTTTTTGTTGTTTTTCCATGAATTTGAATAGTACTTGTTGTTAAATTGATATTTATCTCTTTTGCTAGTACAAGTAACATAATTTAAGTTGATTTTCGATAGTTTCATACTAAATTCGGTGCTAAAAACAGCTATTTTATCAAAATGTACCTCTTGAATTTTTCTTACTTTTGGTGGACTTTATATAGATCTTTCTAATTTCAGCGTGGGGATTTTAAACTCAGTTTTTGAATTTTTTCAGAAGAACTGTTAGTCTCAGCTAAAATCTGATGTTAGAACTAGGCTGGATCAAAATTCCGAAGGAAATCAGTCTTGATTAGCACACAAACCTTTTCAACATGCGAAGTGAAACTTTCTTGATGCATAGTTGGCTTTGGTTGAGGAATGTGAACATCTCTCTGCAAATTTAAAATCAACGCACCGCACTACACATTCAAAACATTCCAGTCGCATATAAAATATCCCACCTGGCTGTAATTATAGCTAGTGTTCCGAGTAACTGGCAAATTTGTTGTTTGGAAAGTTGGTTGCGGATTTTGTTGTGTAGTTGTAGTGGTTGATGAGCTATGATAGTTGTTGCTCGAATAATTTTGCGATGGAAGAGCAATTGGTTGAGGTTGAGTCGTAGTTGTAGTGGTAGTTTTCGATTCTTGTTTGTTATAGCGACTTGAGGAGAATTCAGTGCTTCTGACACTTTGTCCACCTGGTGAATGAATGATTGTTGGACCAGTTGTGCTATGTGATTCAGTATGATAGCTAGTCGAATAGTTGCGAGGATCCGAAACATGAAGTTGTTGTTGTGGTTGTGGTTGTTGAGTTGTGGTAGTAGTAGTTGAAGAGCTACGATAATTATTGCTCGAATAATTCTCAGCCGCTGGCAAAGCGATTGGCTGAGTTGTAGTGGTAGTCGAGCTTGAATTATGATAATTGCTTGAATAATTATAATTCGCAGATGATGGTCGATATTGTGGTTGTGGTTGAGTTGTAGTTGTAGTGGTGGATGAGGTGTGATAATTGTTGCTCGAATAGTTTTGTGCTCCAGAATATGGCAAAGCGATCGGTTGAGATTGGGTGGTTGTAGTGGTGGTTGATTGTTGATAATTCTTGTTGTAGTTGCTGGCCTGAAAATGATTTGATTTAGAAGATCTGGGCATCTTGGTAAATGCAACTAATTATTGTCCGTTTGGAAATCAGCTCCACCCCGCGAAAAAATAAATTTGAATTTGCTGCAGGAGACGCAGACAGCGATAGAGTGCGCTGGCAAACAGCCAACGGGGGTTTTGTATGGGAAAGCGACCGCAACGCACACGCTAGTTACGCGGGGGTAGGGGAAATTAGAGATTTTCTCAAATTCAAATTTATTTTTTCGCGGGGTGAATCTCATTTCTACAAACGGACAATAAGTTCTAATAAGCTTTTTTTCAAAACAAAAATAAACCTTAGATACTTCATTGAAAGTTCCAGCAACGTTTTGCTAAAAAATATCAAAAATTAAACAGTTTCCCATTCTCTCGACTACTAACCTGAGATCCAGAATAGTTTACTGGAACAGTTTTACTTTGAGTGGAAGTTGAGTAGGAACTATGTTGATGTCCATGCCCCAAATTCGATCCAGCAGTCGCAGTTGAATTAATAACTGGTGGTTGATAATGTGGTCCCTCATTATAACGATTCTGGTTAGAAACCAGATAGTCAATTTGATTTGAGTTGTATCCAGAGTTCAGGTAACTCGCAGCATTTGTTTGTGAGTTATCGTGATGACCGACTGGCTGCAACATGATTTATTGACTTTTCGAATTGAGAACACATGTTGTGCCATGTTTTGTTCAAAAATAAATTTGATTTTGAAAAAATGAATGTTGTTGAAGTTCAATACTGCCAGAAACACAGTTCGGATTTAAAAAAAAATAAAAATGCCCCTCCCCCTCCCAAAAATTTTTTTCGAACTTACATATCCGGTTGTTGACGATGTGTATTGCCGATTGTTCTCCGTGTTGTAGTTTGAACCTTGTTGGTTCTGAAAATCGTAACTTGAAACCATATCAATCTGAAAATCACACAAAACACAAACCGAGCTCATATTGTCAGCCTGCTTTTGCCACTGTTGATGCTTATGTTCGGCTTCGGCATGCCATGCGGGAGGAACACCAGGCGCTACCTAAACTCTCTCATTTATTCATTATCTCTCGCTTTTTTCTCTTTTCTCTTTTTTTTTCATAAAAAAAACTTACACGATCTGAAAATGGGCGGCTCAAACGTTGCTCCGTCTCGAACGCACGTCGTTCCCACGCGAGACGACGTTGATCAACGTTTCGACGCCAATTCGGTTCGGTGATGTAGGTCTGCAAAATTTTTGATACAAGTTTCGGATTTGAAGATCTTCAAGTTTGAAGATCTTCGAAGACTTCTAAAGCAACTCAAAAATGTTATTAGCATTTTCAAAACGGGGGGAACCTCATATCTTTGAAGACGTGGATCGGTTTTACCCTGCCAGGCTTGATGTTTTTGAACCGAATGATTAGCCCAAAATGGCGAAGTTTCACGCTTTGGCGCGCGAAGAGCTTCATCATTCAGAAGAGTTCGAATCGAGACCTGCTTCAATGTTATTTTGAATCCCTTGAAACACATCAACTCACCTCCTTATCAACTTCATATTGATTTCCACTCACATTCCAAACATCTCTTTGTTCTGGCGGTGCAGAACTTTGTCTTGCCAGATTTTTGTTGGCACTCAGCGAATAAACAACAGGTCCTTGATGTTCAGGTTGTCTATAAACTGTTTGATGATCTCTCTTGAAACCCTGAGTTGGCCCGAAGGAAGTTCCAAATTGTGATTGATCAATGTGACGAACTTCATGCTTGATCTTTTGATTCGACAAAGTGTCTCCAACTAATAAATTCGCATCAACAGCTTCAAGATTTGGTGCAATCGCAACATTACACGGGTCATGTGGATTTGCAGTATACTTCGGGCGAAGTCTCGGAGGATCTGGACCATGCCCTCGATAATGATTGTCACACGAAACATTTCCTTGATAGAAATCAGTTCCACCCAATTCATAACCTGGTGGAAGTTTTGGTGGTTGTGGTTTTCTTGGTGGCTCTTCATAATATTGATAATCAGTACCATGATCGACGTGGATTCCCTGAGTGTAGTCGATCCCTCCAAGTTCATAACCTCGATTTGACAAATCATGTCCAGCACTGTGTGATCTACGATATCTTGGGAGAGTTTGTGCGGCATCGTAGTATGAGCGACCGTATGGCTCATTGATGTTATGGGTGAAGACTCTGGAATACTTGATTTAGATTTAGTTCAGTAGGCCCTAGATCTTTAGGCAAATAATGAATGGGACCCCAAATGGGACCCCAAATGACTGAATGGGACCCCGGTGTTTAAAAATCGTCGTGATGAATGGGACCCCAAAATAATAATATGGGACCACAGAATTTTTTTTGAATTGTCTGAATGGGACCCCACTGAAATTTTATACTGAAAGGCCTAGACTACAAATCCTAACTAAGCCTAAGCGTAAAACCCTAACTAAGCCTAAGCCTCAAACCCTAACTAAGCCTAAGCCTGAAATCCTAACTAAACCTAAGCCTATGCCTAACCCCAGTGCTGAGGATACGTCTAAGTTTAAGCCTATCTGTGGTCCCATTCTGAAAAAATTTCAATGGGGTCCCTTTTTTGCGGGGTCCCATTCAGACAATTCAAAAAAAAATGCTGTGGTCCCATTTTATCATTTTGGGGTCCCATTCAGTCATTCGGGGTCCCATTTGGGGTCCCATTCATTATTTACCAGATCTTTACTGCTCACCGATTTTTCTCCGCATGATCTCTGGCATTTTCCAAATGAATCGGATGATTCGACGGTGCTGGCGAACTCGCTGGTCGATAAAACGGATCAGCCGGTGTCTTACTTCTAGCTCTCTCGCTCTTCTCGCGAGCCGTTCTTGCCCAACCGGGTTCCGATTGATAGGGAACATTTGGTGCCTCGGCTTGAGAAACTTTCTCGAAAAAGTTATCACCAAATTGTTCACCTCTCTCGGATTCTTTCAAATATCGCAGAGTTGCCGATTTGGATGGATCGAAATGTTTATCAGGTGCTGGAAGATCGCCGGGATTCTCGCCGATTTGTTGTTGAAATTGTTCGGTGGCCGTCTCTTTTGAATAGAGACCCATTGGCGAATTGTACTGTAGATGGACGGTTTGCGGCATCTTTACCTGAAAGTTCCAAAAATCAACAACAAAAAAAGTTCGATCAGCGAGAAAATGTGGGAAGAAGTGTTAACGTATCATTTCATGCACTAAAAAATGCTCAGGGGAGATATCATGATAATTGGAGAGATTCAGACGTGACTGCAGAAAACAACAATTCCTTTACACAGCAGCTCAAACTGATGAACACGGCAAAAAATGATATAGATAGGATAGGATAGGATCTCGAGAGTGATGGATAATTTGGAAGGGAGATGGGATAACTTGAAAGATATGATGGCACAAAAAACGAAACGAAAATATTTATGTAGAGAGGGAAAAACATATGGATTTTTATTTGATGCTTGAAAATGTGAATGTTTATTGGGATAATTATTGCACTTTTTATCGAAGTTAGATAAAATATGTGTCCCTTTAAAAAAATACCGTATTTTGGATTTCAAGGAACACATGTTTTATTGAACAATACGTCTCGAAGCGAAATTCATTTTCGGTATATTTTTGCAAAACGGACTCTAGTCGTCTCGCGTCTGACTCAACGGGCGCCTTGTATGGTCGTGATGAAACCGGAAATTCAAATCCCTATTTCCCCGGTATTCCTCTGCGTCACTAACCTCATTGGGCAGAGAAACAAAGTCAAAGGGTCTTGCAGCGACTTGCAAAACTACTGTACTTGGTGTCGTTTGAATTTCCAGACTGCTAGTAAAAATAATTGATTTTTGTGAAAAAAGAGAATCTCCTGCGGTGAACATGCCGCGTATACGTTTCAAGATTTTCCCGAATTCCAAAACAGAATTTAAAAGTCTGATTAATTCCCTGCTCGAGTTCTGGCTAAAATTTCTTTGAAGGCATATTTTTTCCGCGAAAAAATTTTTCTTCGTGAATTTTCGTCCCCATAAAATATAATTGAATTAAATCAAAAAATTCCATAAATACACGAATCAACCCTTTGATTTTTTATCAAAATGATCAAAATCCTACTAGCTTTGTGTATTCTGCAACACACCAACGCGATTCTAAAAATCAACCTTGAAGAGGTCTTCATTTGCACCATCCAGCCGGTATGGGAATTTTCGGTAGATTATGTGGAGGACGACTGGTTTGTGGTGATAAAGTATCTACAAAGCCCTCACCAAAGTTTTTTTTTATCTGAAAAGTTTTCAGCATTGATGATGATGTCCATCACACGGGAACTGTGTACGTTCAAGGAACAACATCAAAAATTTCTCGCGTTTTTCCGATTAGCGGTGGTGATGGTCCGTTAGATAATTATTATGAGTTGAAAGCAGTTGTCACACATAGTTGCACAGATACTGGAGAAGATTCGAAACTCTCAATAATCTATGCGATAGTTGGTGTAATGGAGAAATCAGTCAACTTAAAACTAGAACAAGTTCTTAATTCAAAATGCGTTTCCGGCTTGATTTGTTGGCAATATTAAAGGCGGTCAGATAGCTATTCCGGTTGACGGAGACCACCCACGAAGCCTCTGACTTTAACCGGGCTAAACTTGAACCAAACAAAAGATGAAATATTGTGAAAACATGAAACTTTAAATCTTCCTGTGCAAAAGTGCGTCGCGGTGTTTGCACACACTGATCCGCTGGAGGCAATTTGAAATTTTGAAGATTTTCTCAGCTCGTATTAACTTTCATGATTTCGCAATTTTTTCACTGGTTCGTTTCATAATAAACTATTTTTGACACTAAGCTTTGAGGAAAACCGGAATAATTGTCTAACTGCCTTTAAATAACAAAAAAATAACTTCGTTACCAAAAATGTTTATTCGAGGAAAAATAAATTATGAACATATATCGGCTCTACAATAAGTGTCAAGTTGATAGGTTCCCTCGATGCTTGCTTCACTAAAAAAAATCTTGATTATTCAGATTATTATATTTTTTTCTAATGTAAAACTAACCGGTCATCAACTGGAAAATCACCCAATTTATAATCGATAAACGATTGTTTTCCAGTATCAGTACAAGTATGTGTTAAATACATTTTCATTTCATAATAATTATCACCAACACCATCACCTTCACTGTAAACAAACCCAGTCTTAACAATTGCCATTTTATTATGCACTTTGGTTCTTCTGATTTCGAAAACATCTTCATTGTCCCTGAAGTTTTTTCATCCTGACTTCATAAAATGCTTTCATCCTTTGAATTCTACTTACGTCGTCAAATCCCACTCATAATATCTGACCGAAAGTTCCCAATGTTTTTGCAATTTACAAGTGAATTTTTGATTTATCCAAAATTTTGTGGCATTTGTGAAAAATATTTGAGAAATGCAAAGAAATAAGACTGAAAGATGCATCGAAATTAAGAAATTTTTTTAAATAATGAATGAATTTTGTATTTTTAAATTTGGAGAGACATGTCACGTTTTTATTATATATTCTTCGGCTAGAGAAAATTTCAGATTTCAGGTAACTCGCAAACTTTTTAATATTTTGTCATCATGTGTGAATAACAAGAATGAAACGACCGGCTAACGCCGGTCTTCATTCTTGTTGCTACGCAGCCTTCGGCTGCGTGCTGAAGTTTGTATCCTACAGTGAAATCTCATAGAGTCTCATAAAATTAGTATAGTGAAATCGAGGGTTATTTCTTGAAAAATGAACTCTGTCCGTTCATGAAACTTTTCCAAAATGAAAAATTGAAAATTTTATGTGAACAAAATAATCAATCGCGTCGAAAGTAACTATGGAACATCAAAGTTCTTGGTCTATGAGAAAGAACTATCCTGGACACAACTCATTCAGAAATCTCTTACTTCGAAATCCCTCACTTTTGGCAATTTTTGCGCGGAAAACTAGCTTGCCTATACAATTTCATTATGTAGTTTTAGGATCTGAATGTAGCATGTTCATTAAATTTTGTGTTATCACACACACACATCGCTTGTCAGCAACCACTTCAATTTTGCTATAAAAATCATTCCTGATCATACAGCCTCCGGTCTCCTATTTACAAAAGTTTTATAACCCTTTTTGTATTTAACTTTTCAAAAAAAGCATATTGCAGTGTTTTTTCATGGGCTATCAAATTTAATTTTCTAATTTCAATCTAATTTTATCACATTTTCTTTGGCAATTCACTTTTCAAAAACTCAGATAATGAAACTTCAGATCTTCTGCATCTTTAGTATTTTTATTTACAATTATTCTCTAATAAAGCTCGTTTGGTCTAACGAACCTCCGCCAGTAAACTTTCCTTCGGCAAAATTGTTCATAGAAACTAATTTTCCGAGCCAAAAATTCGAAAAATTCATATTTATTTGTCTTTTTTACAAATTTCAGAGCGGAATTTTTATGAAACACGTTTCATAACGGAGAATGTTTTGAACTGTAAAAATACAAAAGAATTTGGCTCTAAACGGAAAAAAGAGGGTTTTAGGAAAAAAGAGGGGTTTAGAAAAGAAAGAGGGGTTTTCAGAAAAAAAGAGGGGTTTTCAAAAGAAAAAGGGGTTTTGACGAAAAAGACCGGTTTTGAGAACTTCATGCTCTCAAATGTTGGAATATTTTCACTTTTCATGAAATTTGAGCGCAAGGATCAGATTAAGCTCAAAATTCTGAACAAAAGCTACTTCTGTAACCAACTTTTGAATATGGTTTCAAGCTTTTTAAAAACCAAGTTTTTGAAAACCCCTCCTTTTTTGAAAACCCCTCTTTTTTTTCCTAAACCCCTCTTTTTCCGCGCAAGCCAAGAATTTTTCTTGAAAGTAGTAAAAATAATCTATAATTTTTATAACTACATTGAAAACCATTTTATTCGAAATTCGAATTTTTGGGAAAAACTTGCCAATCTCCACCCTCTGTTTTTTCACAATCCCTCTTTTTTTCAAAATCCAATTTTTCTAGAACCCTTAATCTTTTTTCTAAAACCCTTTTTTACCTAGCACCTATTTTTCCGTAATCCTCTGGATTAACGTATCTTCAGATCTTCGTAGGATCTTAATTTTGAAATTCCCCGAAATCCTTTGATAACAAAAGTGTTCATTTTTGAAGTTTTTTGAATCCTCTCGGGAAAAATCCCGCAAGTTTTGCCGAAAAAAAGGCAATGGTTGCGGGTATTTCGCCAGCTACCATTGCTCCGCTTTTGAGGGGGAAGCGGCTTCCGCAAACGCCTTGCGGCATTAATTTTGAAATTGCGGGGCCTTTGCGGGGTATTCCTTTGCCGCAACATTTGCGGGCCTCTCGGAAATTTTTGGGGATTTTTGACTATTTTCAGCAGCAAAACTTGCGGCCAGCCGGCAACCCTTGCCGACCACTTGCGGGATTTTTCCCGAGTTCCTAGGTCTATCACATCCGGAGCTTTCCAATAATCAAATGTGTGAATTGAACAAAAAAAATACATTTGATTATTATTTCTTTAGCTTCTAACTTCAAGAGTTTGTCTTACTCTTACGAATGCGAACCCTCTTTCAATAAACTCACATGCTTTGCTACATTTCAAAAAATAGTGTGGAAAACAAATACGGCAATCCGAACGTTTTGAAAAATCAGAAATGAGCAAAACGATTCACGTCAAATTATTTAAATTAAATCTAGGGCACAAAAGTAGGTCAAACGGGACAGACACACCGTTTAATATATAAGAAAGATAATCCAACCGAGAAAAAGAGACGATTAAATATTTTTTTATCGCAACAAAACTTTCAACACGTTTTTTTCGTGTTTGTGAATTTCAAAAATCAATTTTTTTTCTCTGTGTTGAATGAAGTGAAATATAAAGTTATTTGTTTGATACACCACTTCAATAAAATTCATTTCGCAACATATAAATTTTTTTGCGACATGTTCTCTTTTGTTTGACATTATCACATTACAAGGGCGCGGTTCAGAAATTTTTTTTTTGAAAAAAAAATTTTTTTCGACAAAAAAATTTTCAGAGAAAAAAAAAGTATTTTTACCTCCCAAATAATAAGTTAAAAATATTCTTAATTTTTTAAACATTATTTTCAAATACATATCTTCTCCTTAAAACCCTCTATCCTTTCTAAAACCCTTTAAGGTCTCTAAAACCCTTTAACTTCTCCTAAACCCTCTATCTTCTCTCTTAAACCCTCTATCTTCTCTTTAACCCTCTATCCTTTCTAAAGCCCTTTAAGGTCTCTAAAACCCTTTAACTTCTCTTAAACTCTCTATCTTCTCCTTAAAACCCTCTATCTTCTCTTAAACCCTCTATTTTCTCTCTAAAACCCTCTATCTTCTCTCTAAAGCCCTCTATTTTCCCCAAAAAAACATGTGTTCCAAAAATTATGCTAATTCTCTCTCTCTCTCTCTCTCTATTGATTCTCATCCTCTCTCGAAAATTGGCAAAAATGTCTATTTTTTTATTCATGCATCTTTGTTTGTAACTCGATATTTTATTACATTCCGCCTCTCAAGTTCCACTTTTTTCGAAAATTATTTTTTTATATACGTTTTTATCCCTTCTCCTTGAATATATAAATTCAACCAAAAAATGAGTGAAACAAGATTTTGGAAAAAGGGGAATCCTCTAATTTTATGAGAATGCACTGGCGCTTCAGAAAAATCGATTCGTTTTTCGGGAGCCAGAAAAAATGGGGAGAGAAAAGACGAAAAAGAGCACATATAAGGAGAGAGAAAAGAGATCATCGCTTCCGTTTCGAAATTTTTCATTTCATTTTGACTTGTTTCTTAAAACTTTTATGCTAAACGTAAACAAAAAAGTTTTGAAGGAAAAAGACAAAAATAATAAATCTTCTCAAATCCATAAACAATTTTTTTCTTCTTTTTCGTTTTTTTTCTCGAGCGAAGCGAAGGTTAAAAAATGAAAATATCTCATCTCTCTCATAAATCTTGTGGTCATTAATTACACTTTACTTTAGCAAGAGTTTTTTTGTTTTTTGAAAAAATAAATAATTTTTTTTGGTAGTTTGGAACAGTTCCCAAAAATTTAATTTTTTACTAAAATTTCTTGGGTTTCTAAAAAGTTACTGGTTCAAGAACGTTCCTAGAATTTCGTTTTTTTGCCCCAAAACTTCCCCAGAACTATCAAGCTTCTGAAAAAATTCCCGAATTCCAAAAAAAAGTTCACCAGGTTTCTGAACAATTCCTGAGTCTTTGAGAAATTTTGAGAATCTCAGAACCTTCAAAAAAAAATTTTTCTAAAATTTTTTGGGTTTCTAAAAAGTTACTGGATATCTCAAGAACCTTCCTAGAAGTTCCTTTTGTATCCAAAAATTTCAAAGTTCCCAAAAAGGCTCCTGTCTGAACCTTTAAGGCTCTCTGTCTTTTTTTCGGCTCTCCAATATTTTCAGCCAATAAAAATAAGTAATGTGCTCACATTTTAAGGTCACGCTTCATTCTCATTTCCCCATTAAAGGGTTTTTTTGCATGGCGACGAGCTATTTTTGGACGATTTCGTAATATTTTCGGGGGTTCAAAGCGAACATCCAAAATTCCAAAAAAAAAATCACCGGATTTCTAAATAGTTCCGAAACTTGTTAGAAGTCTAACAGAGTTTCAAGAAAGTTCCCTGAATTTTTTTATAATTAGCCTATCTCTCTCTACTCTCTCTCCCCCCAAGAAAAAAATGTTTCCGATTGTTTAGTGAGCTTTAAAAGGATGTGTGCCGCTCTAATTTGCCTCCGACACCAATTTTTTCTCTGCAAAACCGAGACAATTTCTATTTTCTTCTGCAGTGTTCCTCTTTCTCCCATCTCCATTTTCAAACAATTTGCTGCTCCAGCTTTCGCTCCTTCTCTGTCTATGCCGTTTTTTGTTCGTGTTTGCCATCTCATCTCAAAGTGCTTCTTCTTCTTCTACTTGTTTTTTTCCAATTTTTTCTCGCTGGTGATGCTTTTCTCCTTTTTGTCAAGGGTGTTGGTTGTGTCGAAGCAGCTCGTTACTTACTTACTTAAATGTGCTTGTGGTTCAATTTTTGTTCGTTCTCTAGTTCTTTTTTTTGAGAAGTAAGTAGAAGATTATAGAAGGGTTGCTATGCGGCAAAAAAAGGGAAACGAGCAAAAGTTTTTTGCATTTTCCTGTGAGATTTTTTTACACTTTTTTGGAGCTCTGCTGCTTTTTTTCGTGTTTTCCTCTGATAACATGAGAATGACTATGACTACTATACGACTTTTTTTTGAACATTCTAGAGAATCTAGAGCTCCTTGAACTCCAGGTTTACCCTGAAGGGTCAAATTGAAATTTCTCTCTGAAGACTATTTTTTCGAATTCAGGACCGGGCTACCAGAAATTTCTCATTTTTTTTCTATTACATCTGGAGCTTCTTGGAGTGGCCAAAAATTTTAGTGCAGCGTGGAAAAAAATATTCGCGGGCAATAGG